AGCAAAAACACCTATAAAGAGATATTAATTACATTAATAGAGGATTAAATTCCCCCTGCCTAGCTTATAAGGGCTTCTAGTAGGGGTTAGCCCTAACCCTTTAAAAAAAGGAAGATAAAAGGAGGTTATTTATAACTAGTATTAGGAAATAACCAAATTCAGAAGAGCAGGTATGGCTATAAAGTATATAATATAGCAATTTATAATAATAAAAACTACTAGTACTTCTATTACATGCTATTTTAGGTATAGGTAAAGGTACTGATTATTATGCTAATTTTAATTCGCTCTAGACCCCTATCGTGACCGCCTTGGAGTCTTGCACCGCTCAAAGAGATAAATAGTACTTAAAGTAAAACTTAGTATATATAATAATTATAGCCATTAAGTCAGGTTATTATAAAAAAAAAAAAACCAGGGAAATAATCTAAGCAGTAACGGCGTCAAATACAGAGGCCACTCAGGATATAGGTTCACGCAGGTCAGATTCCTTGGTAGATCTGGTCACCTCAGCCCGAACTCCGGGTCCCTCAGCCCAACCTCAACACCGACTCAGCTTAGAGCGGCAGGAGCTCAGTTCTAGAAACGGAACTGGATTCTGGCGTGCTTGAGTTTCGTCTCCGAGTTATTCGGTATCCTAAGTTTATGTTACTTTAAGGCACTCAAGGTTACCGCCGCCGCTTTTGTGACCGTACTCGAATTCAGGCTCTTGAGACCAGTGGCTGAGAGCTTATAATCACCATACAGAACTTAGAGCTCGATTTCAGGCTCATTAATGATTCCTATGGTGATTCCAAACCATGTAGTAGACCCAAAGAAAAGAATCCAAGGCTACTGAGGACCGGGTAGTATGGTTCATCAAGTCAAGAGCGTAATTAGGTACCACCGACAGGTGTAAGAGGACCAAGACAATAAGAATAACAGCGGTAGTTATGGAAGGCCAAGTTACATAATTTACAAGTCTGGGAGAGTCTTCTTGGTGTAGTGGATCAGCAGGTATAGCAGTCTGATATTTATCATTACCTTGTGGACCTCATAATAAGCACTAATACCTTGATCATTAGTAAGGCTAGAGATAATGTATAAACCAGGTGGAAGGCAACTGTCAAAACTCATATTGGATAGAATCCCAAGATGACGTTCCTCTTTGTTCAACCATCGAGTAGACGGGCATTAAATTTCCCGATTGGATGAGCTAAGACCAGAGGAAATGTTGTCGGCCAATGTTTGGGATGATTGGCTGATGGTACTCCTAACCGCTAGGTCTGCTTTAGTATATCCACTCTCAAGGCGTTCTTGCATCTTTTACACGACAGACTTGGCAATGTGGCCATTATATATCCGATGTGCCTACCAGAATGACAGGTAATAAAGACATGTTTCAGGCAGCAGGTCGATGTAAATAGCGATTTGATCCATCTTTGTCGGGGTTTTCAGGGGCATTGTAAAACAAAGAATCCGAAACATGCGAGAGGAGGGTCCAAAGCCCGTCAGTCTCGCACTTCGCATTCTCGTCGTCGCCTGTAAACGAACCCGAGATTACATATGGAGTAAGCCGCCTAAAAAAAAAAGTGCACCGCCACGGAATCAGGGGGACGTTGAGAGACCGGCGCCTGGAATCTGTCTTACTATCGGTATAAAGCCTGAATATGCTTGATCAATGGTAGCATTACCGTAATCCTGGTGCAAGAAGTTTTTCCTTAACATTTTCTCCTTTTACAACATTTAATATCGGATTTCCAACTCTTGCCAGAATCTTTAACAATCTCGATACCTTCCGACCATGTCTCAATCAGCAGCAGGAGACAACGATGTTGTTTTTAAGCTCTACCGATATGATCCTTCAATGGCAGCAGCTGTCATCTTCATCATTCTCTTTCTATCCGTCACTGGATTACATACATATCAATTGATCAGGACGAAGACGTGGTTCTTTTCTTGCTTCGTCATTGGTGGTTTCAGTAAGTCTCTTCCCGACTGGCATACCTGTATCTCTTCTATGTTCCTGCTTCGAGACTGACTCCAAGGTAGTGCAGGTTATTGGTTACATCGGTGTAAGTGTTTTGAGTGTTGAACCTTTTGATACATTCTAACTTGAACCAAGAGAGCTGTGTCTGCCAGCGAGAGCCCCAACTGGACTGTCAAGCCATACGTGGTCCAGACTTTGCTGTTGCTCATCTCACCGGCCTTGTTCGCGGCAAGCATTTATATGATCCTCGGACGTATCATCATTATTACCGACGGCGAGCGGCACTCACCTATCAAGAGGGTCTGGTTGACAAAGATCTTTGTCGTTGGAGATGTCCTCTCCTTCATTCTTCAAGGTGCAGGTAAGCACAGCACCTCACTCTTATTTGCCTACTATTATACTAACTGATCTCAGGTGGTGGCATGATGGCAGGTGGCTCCCTCGATGCTCTCCACAATGGTGAGCGCATCGTCATCATAGGTCTCATTGTTCAAATCGTCTTCTTCTCGCTCTTCGCCGTGACTGCGGCCATGTTTCACATGAGTCTCGTGAGGTCTATGTCCGCAAAGGCCGCTGTGTCAGGCATTCCATGGCAAAGATACCTGTATACTCTGTACATCGCCTCTGGTCTGATTCTTGTACGCTCGGCCTTTCGCTTGATCGAGTACGCACAAGGGAATGCGGGTTATCTTATCTCCCATGAGGCTTACCTGTACATCTTTGACAGCGTTTTGATGTTCCTCGCTATGGTACTGTTCGCCTTGGAGCACCCCAGTCAGCTGAATGCTAAGCTGAACGGAGGAGGAACTGCTGTTAGATGGGGAATTCGATTGTATTGGGAGAAGTAGAGACTTGTACTGTTTTGCTCGCTACTCTGGACTGCGGCAAGCCTGGATGTTCAAACACTGTGTACAAGGTCGCTGAGACGTGGTCTCAAGAGGAGTGATAATTCTATTCGGAAGTGGCACCAACATTGCTTTCCACCGTTATCCTTTAGAAACAGGTTTTGAAGCATAGATATCTGGTACAGAAGATTTGGTCGCCAAATGACAACCATTCGATTAGGATGCTTTGTCTCTGTGAATTTCCCAAGTGTGATAATGATCACTCAAGTGTCAAGACGCTCTGGTCGTCAGTGTGTGCCACGCTTAATGAACTCCGAAGATCTGTTTTTTTTTATTTTTTTTTTTTTTTAAATCGTTCTTCTGCACCTAGCGTTACTCGAACTCAACAGTGACATGTAACATTTATTAGTGCTTTTGTTATGAAGTAACAGATATAAGTAATATGAAATGACATTATTATTATATCTCGTTTATATATGATAAACTTTAACACTCGATCAACATTATTTATCAATACCGATAACTAATTCCTGTCCAATCTTAGCTGCTTCCTATAACCCTAGCTTTCCTCAGCTCAATGATGTATTTACTGCCACTCCATCAAGACGAATTTGTCTCATCAACAACACAAGGTTCAAGGTCATATTCATTTCCGTCCTTGTATTGAAGGTGATCAACATACCATATGAGGAATATAACCATTACAATCGCCATCAAAATTGCATCGAAGATATAGAGAAAGACTTCGTGAGCAATCAGATAGCCGTCATTACCCTGAAGATATTCGACGACACGAAAGATACTTCGAACCAGGATGATGATGCTGACAGTATACAAGACCTTGAGGTCAAGTGTCCACGGGAAGGTATTCTCTCTAGCAGCCAGTGTTGGGTTTTTGAGGCACTTCCTGTGGAATAGACCCGAGGTAATAACAAAGAAACCGAACACCACGACCTGAATGAACAAACCAGCAAGTATGATCTTCTCTCCCCTGTCATATGCCTCGATGGTTCCGGACGCTTGAATGCCGCCTCCAGCTGCTTGTAAGGAAAACGAGACAATGTCACCGCAGACAAAGACCTTTGTCAACCAACGGACAGGAATTAACGAGAGATGTTGGGCTCGAAGGGAGATGATGATTCGGCCGAGGATCATGTAGATTGAGGCGGCGAAGAGGGCGGGCGCAACGAGAATTAGAATCGCTTGGACGCTGTACGGGATGACCGACTCCTTATTGCTGTGAGATACGATTCGGGCAGCGTAGCCAATTGTTTCAACTGTAAAGCAATTATTAGTAAAACTCAATTAGGGGTTTTATGGCGTTAGAGGTAGAGAAGACTCACAAACACCACCGATTGTGAACGGGATGAAGTACCAAGCTCGGGCCTTGCTGAAGCGCCAGGTATGAAGACATGACAATATCCCAAATATCACAGCAGCGACGATGGCTGCAGGAAACGATGGGGTATACCGGTAAAGCTTGAAATCAATCTTGCCATCAGCATTGGTATCGATCCGGGCGAAGAGGTCCATCTTGTCGCTATCAGGATGATGCTTTTGCTAGTTTTCGGGGTGAAGCAGATTCGAGAGATTTGTGAGTAGAAGATGATCTGCTTTTATCAGCAACTCAGAATTGCGACTGCTGAGAACTAAACAAGTGAGCGACAAGGGAAGCTGACTTGAGCATCAAAACTACTTTGTATACGAAAATGTCACCCGGCGTCGCCTCCACTCTACTTCCTCAGGCCTGTATGATTCGCCATCACTATCTGAGGCTATTTCGCGTTCCTTCGCATTTCGCATTCTATGCGAAGTTGGGGAAGTGGGTGACGTTATCCACTGTGAACCGACGGTGGACAAGCGAGAACGAATAAACGAGGGCAGGGATTGCAAAGTGGATGTCTGCAGGGGCTGGATAGAAGGTCAGCGATCTGAGACATTTCCACTTACCATTTTACGAACTAAATATTCCTTCTTCGCAATATGCCTAGGGCTTATAGGTACTCACTTTGTAGACCTATGGAGAGAATTTATTCTTTGGGTAGCCATCCGATCTCCTCCATCGGCCAAACTATATAACTCAAATACTTCTCACCAACAGAAGAGTATATCCGCGTCATGATATGGTTAACCCAGCCACTCAACCACCATTGACTTGGCAGCTTGTGTAACAAGACGCAAAAGTAGGACAGTATAACAAGAGCTTCCTCTTCTTCATCTGCCACAAATATGAGGAAGTCCTTTGCAAGCACAATCCAAGAAAATATATCAACTAGATCCTTATCACCTTCAACTTCATAAAAAACACCGTATGTCTGGTTCAATGCATGAAGCGCATCTTGGTAAATGGAACGCTGCGCTGGATCTGTGATTGTCTCATCTACAAAGAGCCGCAACTGCTGCATATAGTCGGTTTTGAAGGTTTGCTCTCTGATTTCCAGACGTCTTCGAGCCTTGTGAAACAGGGCTGAGAAAGGTCCAACCAAGAGGGTGCTCTGAGCCAAGGCCATAAAACTGGTGCAGCCTTTTATCAGGACTACCCAAGGAGGATACGGTCCGTCGTCATGTTCTGGAGTTTGAGCGAAGGCTAGTATAGATGTTAGCGAGATCGCAAGGAGGGTTAGAGTCCTAACAATAGTAGATAGTCAAGATGGAGAAGGCAAACAGATGTTGAGCATTTTTGTCATTGTATGCATCGATAAACGCAGCTGCGATGCTAAGCGCCTGGTTATGATACGTTATAGCGCGTTCGCGGAGAAACTCTTTTCTTTCTGTTGAGAAGTGGCTGAGGTGGAGTGCTGAGACAGATAATACTGCCAACATGGCATAATCACATTTCAGACAAAGCCTGACTATCCGAATCCGCCAGAGATCTCGGATAGCGACATCGTTGCTTAGCGTTGCGTAAGTCGACGTGCAAAAGTTATGCATAAGTTCCAAGTCCAATAAGCTAAGATTCGGTGCTGTTGTAGATGGTTGCGGCGAGGCTACTGGCGAAGTGTAGTGCCTGGCGTGTATTGGGAGAGTATAGTGGCACTCTTCACCACGTCTCACACAGTGAGCGCATATGGGTTTCTCTTCTCCACACTAAAGGGAGGAAAATACAACCGGTTAGTGAGGGTCTGATATATGGTATGAAGGAGAACCAGTCGGAGTGAGACTTACTTTGATTCGTCTGTGCTTACAGGTCTGACAACCCATCCGCGATTTCGTATGGACTCGTTTCGTCTTGGAACCTCGATGTTCTGAGGTTCCGGAAGTTGGCAACGTTGTTGGCGTAGTACTCGACATGGCCAATGGCAAGATTCTGGATTCATGGGGGCAAAGTCAAAAAGCTCGGGATTGAAAACGAGAACGAGAAAAAGAGAAACGGCGGCCACTGGAATAAAAGGAACCAGTCCAGTATCCCCGGGCCACTAAGGGGAAACACCTCAGCGATCCGCCACAGCGCATCATGGCTTTCAATTGGGCGCAGCGTGGGCTATTGTGGATATTTCTGGATATAGCGCAAAAGTTCCCGGATGCTTAGCCTGACGACCTCGTTTAACTTCGTTCTCGTTCCTCTATGCGAGTCAAGAATTGATTCCCACTTTATCCTCGTCCCCTATTTGACTGTTTCAGCCAGAGGAGTGGATAAACGACATGTATGGAGCGTTGAGAGACGGCCTTCGATGATTACGACAAGATTCTCTTTGCGTATTGAAGAATTCACCTAAATACAATTAAATGTACATACTTAAACGTCTGAGTTAGACGTTATTTCTATTTTCTTTGAGCTTCCATTGCACTGCGCAGCACAGTTCATACAAAGTAGATAACACGGGCGTAGCTACTCCTCTTTCGTGACCTTCTCGAACCACCTCCCCAATGATATTCTCGTGTTCAATAAAATTACCCTAAACCCAGCATGTTAGATCCTGTACAATTGTCCGTATTGGGCAGGTAAATTACCTTTTCTAAATCGATTTGCATGCTTGGAGTAATGTTCTCGTTCATTGGGTTACTCCGTATCGTATCACTTATGATGCTTTCCGGAAGCGGATGTCCAGCCATCTTCGCTACAGCAAGAACTTCTTTCATCGCGGGAATCACAAGTGTATCCATCACTCTGCCTGTTTTCTGCAACTCGCCAGTGTTCAGGCGAGTCAAAGCGCATATCGGGTTGAAAGAGGCATTGTACACCAACTTGCTCCAACGATCAAAATCGACATCTGGTTGATACAGGCATGTAGTTTTGCCCCCCATACTGTAGATTTCCACGAATCGCTTTGCAGCCACCTCTTGTACCTTGGCATTCAAAGAAGGGTTATTGAAGGCTCCGATATGTAAAAGGTCGTTTTGTTTCTGCTCGATAATTCCAGGTGCGACTTCGTGAGCGTCTATCCTGCTGATCCCCGATATGATAACATTCGTCGGGAATCGATGGAGGAACGGTCTTTCGATATTTAAGCCATTCTGTATCAAGACGATGCCTGTATGGCCAGGTGTCACTGCGGGAGCAATGATATCGCACAACGTGGGAATGATGTCGGGAATATTCTTCGTGCAGCAGACGATGTAATCAAATGGCCGGCCCTGTGGATTGTATCTGTTGGGAATGGCATCCAAACCTATACTTAGGTCAGCTTATACTCCTCATCTCATCATAGGTTCCAGAAACACAAGCTCAACTGACTTTCGGTAGGCCGCCAATTATGAATGTCGCCATGCTGACAAGATCTAATCGTGAATCCCTTGCTACGGACCACTTGGAAATTGGACCGCAGAACAGATGTCACTTCTGCCAAACCGCCTCGCTCAACATTGAGTGCAGCAATTGTACCAATACCACCGCTGCCGATCAGTAGTACTCTGTCCTTAGATGAAGCCATTATGTTATGTCCCGACTTGCTGTCGCTAAGTTTCTAAGGGATGAGGTAGGCTTGGATAACAAGAAGGGAGGCTCGATAATATTGAAACGATATTCCTTCTCCTCGGATGCGATTCGCATCATAATGCCGTCCTATCCGCCAGCCGTGCCGGTCGAGGTGCCGGGAGGTCTCCACAGTTCAAGCTCCCGGCTTCGGCCCCGCTCTCACGTCCGGCATCTTTCAGTGCTCTCAGAGGACCTACCAATTCTTGACTAGTGGAATTTCTGGTGTTCAATTAACGTGCCGGTTGACAGTACTTGGCTGTTCGCCACCCTCGACTTGTCAAAGCCGGCACCGGTCAGGATCACACTGTGGAGTTGCATTCTTGATCGTAACAATTAGCATAATAAGCATTCTTTTAAATTACCACTGCCAAGGCCCCATTCAATGAGATATTTGGCAAGAACCGCAAGTCATTTGAAAATTGTTGCTCAAATCATTCACTATGGAAGTCGGCATAATCGGTTCTGGAATCATCGGGCTCACGTCTGCTCTCGCCCTCGTCGATGCTGGGTACTCTGTGACCATCGTCGCCCGTGATCTACCCGGAGACGATTCATCTCAGCAGTGGGCAAGCCCTTGGTACGAACGACTCAACCCCCATCCATGTTTCTCTAGGGCTGACAAGCGTTGTGTAAAGGGCTGGTGCTGGCATTCTTCCCCACCCAGACTACAAAGGACATGATTTGCAGACTGAGAGTTTCAAGTTTTACTGGGCACTCGCCCATTGTGATCCGACAAGTGGAGTGCAGGTACGTGGCTCTCTTCGATATCATTTACCCGCAAGAACTCACTGCTAAACTAATTATCAGGTGGTAGATGTAACTGAGTACTATGATGACCGGGATGATGATTCTACTATCTGGTACAAACGCATGGCCCCAAAATATCGTCGTCTGTCTTCAAAAGATCTCCCGGCAAACGCCAAAATCGGATTCAAATATCAGTCAATGACGGTCAACCCAGCTGTGTTCTTGCCTTGGATCAAGGCCATACTTGATAAGAAAAGAGTTCGTTTCATCCGCGCTGAAGTCAAGTCTTTAGCCGAGGCTAGATCAATTCTCCAGACAAAGGTCATCGTCAATGCTTCTGGCCTGGGAGCTTTCGATCTTGCTAATGACGACAAGGTAGTTGCTGTTCGAGGCCAGACAATGCTTGTTGAAAGCGATTCCCACGAGATGGTGATGTTCCAGGGCTCTCATTACACATACCAGATTCCGCGGATGTACAGTGGCGGCGTGATAGTTGGCGGAGTCAGTCAGCCTGGGAACATGGATCAGGAAGTCGACCCTGAAGTACGGTCAGATATTTTGCGACGAATGAATCTCCTCTTAAACGACCAATATCAGGATGTGGACCTGGACAAGCATGTCATGAAGGACTTGGTTGGGTTTCGACCGAGCAGAGAAGGTGGATATCGACTGGAACGGGAGGATGATGTGATTCATGCTTATGGCTTTAACACTCTTGGATATACATATAGCTATGGTGTGGCTTTGAAGGTTCGAGATCTGGTCAGGTCCTCAACAGATGAGAAAGGGGTCGTGCGGAGCAAACTTTGACATGTCTTTGGTCTTCTTATATATATAGTTTCTATTGTAAAATCAACTTCCATTTACTAATATAGCTGTCTGACACAAAATTATCTGGGCAAACCTTGAAAAATGCGGTGGTTCTGAAGTTTATCCGAAGGGGGACACCTAGGTCCTCATTTTTCTTTGTCAGTGGCAATGGTAATGACACTAATAATGTCAGCCTGTGCGAGGACTTGTCTGTATGATTGATATTGGAAGGCGTCTCGGCCTTTTCATCCCTAAGCATGCTAGGCCAATAACGAAATGTCAGAGTCCTGGCTACTAATTATCGAGCTAAAGCTAACTGACTTTTCATTGTTCTGGAAACCCGATTTGCAATATTTCCTCAGAGTCGAGACCCGTGAGTGTTGACCAAAGCCACGCATTCGATCTCCACTTCAAGATTCTTTGGCAACGTCTTGACTGCCACACAGCTTCTAGCCGGCTTATGCGTGAAGTACGTCTCATAAACCGCGTTGAACTCAGCAAAGTTCTTCATATCATCCAAGAAGACCGTGACCTTTGCCACACGACTGATATCACTTCCGGCCGCCAAAAGGACTGCCTGGACGCTCTTGCAGCATGCATGCGTTTTATCTGCGATACTTCCTTCGAGAGGCTTGCCGGTTGAGTCAATTGGAATTTGACCTGAGAGGAAGACATAGGGGCCGGCGACTACAGCTTGGGACTTGCGGTATGAGTTAGTAGTGGACTGATATTAACGATTGAGAAGGAGTTGTACATAAGGTCCAATAGCTGTCATGAAGGGTCAGCCTCGTTCTGAATGGCTTGTTGAGTTTTGGGGTTGCTCACCCGGACATCCTTGTGATGTCGAGACAGGGGTAAGGTCTGACGACATTTTGCCGAAATGTTCTTTCAAATTTTGTAATGATAGCTTCTTGTTCCACTTCCGGGCGCGTTTACTACACTGCACTCGAGTAGTTCGGAGTACTTATGCACATGCTGTAAAAGGTCTCCATCTACGTGGATCTCCAACCTTGGCAATGCAGAGCATTTATACTTCTTCAAACCCCGCCAGGAAAGCCTGGTCTTAGTCTGAAGAGCGGGTTTTATGTCCGGCACCGTGCTGATTAACAATCAAGCGACTGTCAAAGTACAGTCTTGTTGGATAGTTTAGGGCTCCGGCTGACAATGTCAAAGCTCACCGGCACTTTAGGCCGGTAGAAGATACCGGCACTGTTTCATAGCCGGCGCTCGCTTAGAAGTTACCAAAAGGTCTCCACTTAACGTCCCCAAGTCGAAAGCGGCCAGGCAATACTAAACCGCAGTTACATATACCAGCTGGCACAAGATTCAAAGGCCTGATAATATATGCCGAGGTATGTCTAGGTACTGTGAAATCTGTTCCATAAGCGTAACAGTCTGTGTAGCACAACAGTCTAAGAGGGATAAGACTATCAGCAAACATACATCGGAGGAGTTACTTGTGCCCATATCCCTATAGCGAGATCCAAGCACCTGGGCTATCTGATCAATTGAATACAAAAAAAGAAGCAAACGATGACCAAATAATAGCCGGCGAAACTTTGTAGTGTTTCATGCCCGCCGACTCCTCCACATCATCCGCCTCCCATTCCTTAGCCATCTCAACAGACCTATCATAATCTGGCCACGGCCTGACATCAAGTTTGATGTTAGAGTTGGGGTCATTATCCTCCACAAATTCAAGCCCGCCGCCGTACTTGGCATAACTGTCGTTCCTCCCTCTACTATCAATCTTGAAGCCGCAAACCACGACAACAGTATCCTCCAAATCATCATCATTGCTGCAATCATCCAACAAACCGCGCCAATAGTTCATGTACGGTATAAACGTCTAGTATCCACGCTTGCCTTTGGGTATCATGAGAGACGGGGCTGTGAATGGCATCACTACAAGCCTCTTCAAGTTGACATGCTCCAGCGCCTTGGGGGACGCTGCATCTCGCACTGCTTCAAGGATGCTTCTCTTGGCTTCAAGGGATGTTTTGAGAGTTCCATTGTTGGTCCTGGTGATAGTTGAGTTGGCGATAATGCCTATCTTGGAGCGCTGGATGTTGCACTTGCCATCGTGCCCATCTTCTTCGGCTCTCTCTGCGGTGCAGATTACTAGTTCCGATACACGAATCGGGCTACCTTTGGCGAAGACGCCTTTACAGTCGTGTGGAAATTCTGGCTTGAAATTCTGGCAGCCGCGCTTAGATAGCGACAGAGATACAGTTGGGAAGAGGAGGAGGAGGAAGATTATATACTTTCTCATGATGGTTTTGGGTTATGCATGTATATTCCCTGTCATTCACTATGGCACTTGAAACATTGAATTAGGTCTTTTATGTCCTGCCTTGGTATTTTAAATGGCCCCCATAGTTCTGAATTCTCGTGATTTACTCATGACGTTAGCCAAGGCGGCGCGACTGGCTTAAAGGCCTATAAGAACAATCTGATCAGCACATCAAAACGACCAACAATATCAACAAGCCAATGCGGGGCAGATCCGAACATGAAGGATGTGAATCCTCTCTATCTTTAGCACTCCAAGCTTGATTTCTGTTTCTATTAGAGATCCATATGCTTATCCACATTGGACAGTAACCCTGCCTTTCGCAATACAGTCTAAGCAAATTCGTAGCTAAAGACTGTCTCGATCTGGACTGGTAAAGTTTAACTTTTGAATGAGATATTTACCCATTCGGCTTTGAGGCATTGGTAGGGCAAAGATAGAGGGTTGGCAAACACAACAAGAGCCAGTGTTAATTCAGCTCAAGAAAGGATTAACATATCTATAGTTTTCAGTGCCATTCATGCCACATTTATAATAAAGTGATACTTCAGGCCAGTTTACTGACTCCATCTGCGCAGCGGTACTCTGTACTAATCGTCGGAAAGGTTCTGCCAGCTCTGATTGATGCTCGCTAGTGGAATTATATTGATTTACTATGTAGCTGAAGGGCGCATCTAGCAACAGTATCTGGCACACTTTGCCGTCAGATTAATCCCAGTACTATACCCTGCTGCCGGAATCCACTGAAAATGAAAGAAATATGTCGTGACATTAGAAATACAAATATAGCAGCAAGCGAGGACCATATAACAGGCATGAATATACCGTACCGCTTGATGGAGCCAGAGTCCACATCAGCCTCATTCCATTCCCTAACCATTTCACGAGCCCTATTAAGTTCTGGCTATGGCCTGATCTCAGACTTTATGAGGGCATCTTCTTCATCCCTCTCCACGAAACTAACATTGCCTTCATAGGTGGTGCCATTCTATCAGTCCCATTGCTCTTAAGCCTAAAGCCGCACACCCAGACCGGATAACCGTCCAAGTCCTCCTCCAATTCACCACTACAGTCTTTCGGATATCCCCGCCAACACTGCATTGCAGGCGTAAATGTCCAATACCCATAAGTCCCGTTAGGCGTTGTATTAAAAGGGGCAGTAAACGGCAACACGACGAGTCTCTCCAAGGTGACGTTCTCCAGTGTCCCTATTTCCTTTTTGACAGCTTTGATGATGGCTTTTTTTTTTGTCATGGAAGTGTTGAGGTTTGCCGGAGCCGGTGCTTGAAAGGTTGCGCCGTCGGTGCTATTGATAGTTGCGTCGGCGATGATGCCCATTTTGTAGCGCTGGATATTGCAGTTGCCTTTGCCATCGCCGTTTTCTTTAGCTCTTTCTACGGTGCAGTTTACTATCTCTGACACGCGGATTAGTTAGCCGATTTTAGAAAATCCTTTACGTCCTATGCCGGATAATTCGAAAGATGTGCAGTCGCGCTTGGACAGCGAGACAGCTGTAGCTGGAAAGACCAAAAGGAAGATTGCTGCGAATAACTTCATGATCTTGACTTTCAAGTATACTTCTCACTTCTTTTTCCATTTCTTTTTCCTTCTCGCTGAATTGGACCCCATGTTTTATAATCTGCCTTGAGTTCACAAATGTCCCTCAACGCCCTAAGGTGCCGAGGTTTACTACTTATGACGCTGGCCAAGGCTGTAGCAATAGCTTGAAGCCTGCAAAAACAATCTGATCAGCAACTTACAACGTGAAGAAGGCAATGCGGGGCATTTCCGGGCATAGGTGGGAAGAAAAGAAGAGACTGGGTTTGGTGGTGAATTTGCAACGGTTGCTGTAAGCCAGTCTTGTGTATTCGCCCCCCTCTCCATGCCAGCTTACAAGGACGGGATTCCTCCTTGCCTTTAAACTTTTAAGCTTGATTTTTGCTCGTATAATTGATCCAATTTGGCCATCTGTCCTCCGGTCTACTTAACATAGCCCCCTAGCCATCAATATACTCTAACCCAATCTGGGGCATTCCTGTATCAATATTCTAACAAATGGCCTTGATTACACTTGATTTGAGACACTTCAGGTTCTGGAAGATCTTCCAAGGGCCTGTTGCAAAGACGGAATTTGCCTGGCCGACGAACCTTTGCAATTTGTGTTCCATCTGCCTACTCAGTCGATGAGTGAAGTTTTCATATTAACTATAGTGGAGAAATTGATATTTATATTAAGAAATATTGACCAAGGAGCAGTTTCGGTCCAAGACAATTGACCTGTCACTGTGCTATCAATCAAGGAAATTGTTTCTAAAGCAATGTTTTTAATAGCAGGTACAAAAGTCATAAGTCAAGACATCAACACAGTCAGTTCGGACAGTGACTCATTTAAAATTGGCCCTGATTGTTGAACAGCATACAAGTCCACCGCTAAGTTCGGAAATTCATCCTCATCACTTCGATCTATTGCTAGGACAGAGATAAAGAACCACAATATATGATAAGAGCAACTATGAAATATCTATTCAAGAAAAGAGAAATCTAGCTACTGTTTCCGGTGCCATTTTGGCCGTGGTGACAGGAAAGTGATGTGTCGGGATCGGTCACTGACCTCATCTCTGCGCTACGGCATTAATCGTCGGAAAAGGCTCGGGCCGCTCCGTTCGATGCTCGCTCTGTTCTCTCCTCTCTTCTCGCACCAAGCGGGCAACCATACCGTGCGTGCCCTATCAGAATCCCAGGGTTGGTTGTACAGGTCATCAACTGCATGAAATGTGGAGCAGTTATACTCAGCCACCTGCTTGCAGCAAACTTCAGATTGTGCTATCAGAATCTTGGAAGTTATCAACTAATTGCTTTGGGCATCTTCAGCAAGGATGGTTGAACGAGACTTGTAATTTGAGGAGCTCGAAGTTTACCTACGACTACTAGTAGATGGCAGCTGCGTGTAACTCAATATCAATGCAATTTCATGTTCTAATCACTTTTTGGGGTGCTTCAGTATCGTGTGTATTCAGCTTCATCATCTATCCAAGCAACCTTTCCTTTTCCTCCCGAGTCTTCCCATCCAAGAAGCGGTGAGTGTTATCGTCATGCAATCCCGGCCCTGAGAGATGAAAGGCCAAATGTACTGAGACAAGCAGATACACCGGTCCCACATTTCGATACATATGAACCATTCTGGAGTCTTGGTTTCACCAAAACTTGGAATACTCGCAGATGTCTCTATTCAGTTTTACATGTCCTCATGCAAATGGCAAAGATAGCTCTCACATTCGCCGACTTGAGTCGTGAGATAAATATATGATTGTATTGCTCAGATGCAGGTTTCAGATGAAATGTTTCGGATGGCTAAGATCCGAGACATTTTCGTTCGATTGATACGCTTCATGCCCTTCTCCCCACTCCAACTCGTTACAAGAGGGGAAGAATCTGCACTTGATCGGTTGAGGCTGGGCTGCACGATGATTGTGCACAGCATGCAGTTGGACAAAGCCAGGAAAGCGAACTCTTGTTCTCTTGGCAATGTCACTTTACTCTGATCAACTTTTCCATCTGTTGTAGTTATATAAGGGGATATTCTTCCCACGATGTGAACCGAGTCTTCATCTCATCTTCAACTCAAACCCTCCTCAGCGTTTCTCTATAAAGCTCCTACAAAACCCAGTCAAGATGGCCCTTCCATACCCCGAGGGAGAGGTGTTCTTCATGCGCAGTGTCCTGCGCAACAAAGATCCTGCTCACTATCAGGCCGACAACCCAGCCCACTTCTACTCTCACTTCATGGTTGAGTACATCTGGAACGTAGAGGCTGATCACGGTTCTAAGAACGCAAACTCTTGGGACGGCCACTATCACCAGCGTTCCCCCTACGCCATCGTCAAGGGCAGCGGCTGGGGCACCCACTATGGAAACTGGAAGCAGCTTCCCTTCAGCTACGGCCCACGCGAGTCAGATATCAGAAGACGCCTTGAGCACAATCTTTGCACTAGTGGAAACCGGTTCAAGGACCATGAGAATGGAGATGCTGCCGAGGTAAGCATTTGCACCACTGTTACATGATGTCATGTACTGATGATGATACCTTCAGGCCTGGTTCATGACCATGCCGATGCCGACCAAAGAGGAGAGGTGGGTATGGATCGATGTAAGTATCCTATATTGCCCCTACTTCTAAACTACGAAGAATACTGAGCCCTTTCACAGATGCTCGCCCGTATTCGAGCCATTTACATCCCCGTAGCCTTCTCTGCTAGCAAGGATCATCCCAATCTCAGTATGTGGCTGCAGGTCTCGTTCACCCAGGCACGAGTCGTGGACATCTGGCGCGGAGGCTCGTCTTTCATGGGCCACGAGACAAATCCCACGAGCGGCCTTGGTGTTTGGCGCGAACATACTATCGGATTCGACATCACGGGTCTGACGGAACTTCTGAGTTGCCCGCGTCAGTTCCGCAAGGTGAACCCCTACGAGGCTAAGTTCATCAAGCTTGTCCATCGCGACACTGTCCGAACAGTCTCTGTTAAAGACTCATACCACGATCAGTATGACTTTAGCTGGCTTACCATTGCACAAGCGCACAGCGGGTTGAACATTGAGTGGGGTAAGGGTCAGAAGGGAAGTTGGTTCGAGGATTTCTTCAAGAACGCTATTTCATTCGGTCTGGGTTTTGTTCCAGGTGTTGGACCTCTCCTCTCCATCGCCTTCAACCTAGGGTGGACAGCTGTTGTCAATCCCGATCAATTTATGCATGAGCTCAGCCTCTGGGCACCGTCAGTCAAGATCCCAGAGTTGTTTAAGGATGACGTTCGCAAGAACTCGGCCGAGATCAGGGGACTCACCTATGAGTCTTTCTGGAACTTGGGACCTGCTGAGGCTCTGTCTGAGCTCAAGAAGCTTGAAGAAGAGGAGAAGAAGCAGCAAAAGGTTTCGGGAGAGGTGAAGTCGTACTTTCAGCAGGCGCATGAAGTACTCCGTGTTGACGACGCGAAGTATGACAAGGGAGCTGGAGCTGATGAGGAGCCTGGTGAGGTTCTCGTTGAAGTGCCTCCTCGAGAAGTTCCCTCTAACGGACACGCTGTGGGAGCCAAGGAGTAGGGCATACAGCGATGGTTTATGCAATGGGCAACCCTGTCAAGGATTGCCCTCTTCTGAAAGAGGGTTAATATGTAGCCTAGACAGAATGTATTGAAATACCATGCTACAAGATAGGTCTTTGCAAGTATCGTGCCAGCTATGAGAATCCTGAGCTCTGTACCGTGACTGGGTAGACAGTTATCAGTTACTTCAAAGAGATGTCGATCCCGAATCTTAAGCGAAGCATAATAAACGTTGCACTAAACACCAGGTTTTTGCGGAGTTTTACTTAAGCTTATCTATCGACCTACCTTATCTGGCAATCTTGCTTGTCCATCACCCCCAATCTTCCAGAGTATCATTCACGCCAAGCATACCCCTCACTTCGTCAGTCAGTCCATTATATGAACTGGGTTAGAATGCGGAGGTGATTGATAATGAATTCCTAGTTGATGTCACGATACTCGGATGCATTACGACGATCTGCTCTGGGCGATGAACGGGTGCAGAATAAGGTCCGATCAACCGCCGAAGCCGATGCGATGGGAGTGCATTGCGTCGTATTTAAAGGCCGACGATGCTCCCGCAGAGGGATAAATGGTACAGCCATCGCCCATTTGCAGGGAATTATCCAATTAGTCCACCGTCTTTTAGCATGGCTGAACTTATCTTCACTTTTGCGGCCCTTGTATCCGTTGTAGCAGGACAGTCCGGTGGTATTCAGAGAGGTCTCCAATATGGCGAGAACTGGGCACCCACGACTAAAGACTCTGACCTCGTCTCGGCCAACTTCCCCGATGTCAACATCACACTCCGATCCCCAGCATTTTTGAATCCAGAGAAGGTTCCTGCTCGGTTCTCAAACGGCACGGAGGGTCCGACTGATGATATTGAACTCGGTGAGACCTCTAATCCTGATGCCTCCAGGACGCTTGCTAATTGATTTCAAAGACTACTTCATCCGCAATCTGGCTCAAAAGCATGACTGGATGACCTACGAGTCTGCAGCCTTCCAATCGGAAGAAGGCCGTGCGATCCCATATGTTTTTCTGTCCCTACCAAACACCAACTCGAGCAACGATAAGTTGCGCATCTATCTCCAAGCCGCTATTCACGGCAATGAGCCCGCCGCTGACGAGTCTGTTCTCGCATTCTTGGGTAAGATGGATGCGGAGCCTGTATGGGCCAAGGCAATCTTGGAGAAAATGGACATCAAGATCCTTCCTAGGTATAACATCGATGGCGTTGCTTATTTCCAAAGACAGTTGGCGTCTAATCTTGATCCCAATCGAGAACATCTCAAACTTATGCGTGGTCAGTCAAGGGAGATCAAGCGTATTGTCAGTGAATGGAATCCTCACATCGCTCTTGACATGCGTAAGTATCCGTTATTACTCTTCAATTACAACGACTAACCTTCGTCGCAGACGAGTTCACTGTGCCTACCATCTACGGTGGTCACTATCAGCACGGCGCCGATTCTCTCCTCTCCGGTGGTATCAATCCAAACATTCATCCAAATATTCGCGAGCAGCTCCTCGACTTCTTCATCCCGGCCGTTGGCGAAAAACTTGAGTCTCATGGCCTCCGATGGGAGCCATATGTCACTGGCCCTTCCAACCGCACGGAAGGCTCACGCATCCGCTTCACTGAAGCAGTGACCGAGGCACGCACCGGCCGTAATGCTGTTGGGTTGACACAAACGATCTCATTTTTGCTTGAGATGCGCGGTATTCGTATCGCTGATCAGCATTTTCAACGTCGCGTTGCGACTGCTCTTATCAAAATTCAGGCAATTCTTGAGCTGGCACGAGATAACGCCGAGAAGGTCAAGTCGGTTGTTGAGGATGCGCGTGATGAGTTCATCAACAGCGATGACGATATCGTCATCACTGATTCCTACGTCCCAGAAGACAGGACATTTACCATGGTCGATACGCGTAATGGCAGTGTTGTTCAAGTCCCAATTGACTTTCAGCGGACTACCCCATCAATTGCCAATCTCACCAGGCCGAGACCTGAAGCTTATGCTATACCACGAACTTGGTCCGATGTTGCTGAGAGGCTTGAGATCTTGGGACTGAAAGTTGAGAAGATGAACTACGAGTTCAGAAGAACTTTAGACACCTTGACGATTGAGACTTCAGTGATTGAACCTGAGCTGTATGAAGGCACGTATCTCAATACGGTCACCACCAACTCAACCAGTCGAGAAGTCGTGTTGCCGGTCGGAAGCTACTACGTGAGCACGAGGCAGCAGAATGCCGCTTTGGCGTTTATCGCTCTGGAGCCGGAGAATATTGACAGCTACGTCAAGTTCAACATCATTCCTGTTGAAGCGGGGATGGAGTATCCTGTATTTAGAATCCCACGAGAATGAACTAAATGGGGGGTATCGAGAAGTTTCTCTAAATGCATACTATATTTATCCCAGGACTTCTCCGGTTACATGCACGTTCATACTTGGAATGCCGAATTGATCCGAACTAGGCGCCATGCTTAGCCTGTTAGTGATGTCTTTCTCATTCACCAATGCCCAAATCACCTGCACGTCACTCACAAAGTGGTGACAACATCCTCCACCGCGCCAAGCGATGAGAAAGAGTTCGCAGGAAGCCTTCGATCACCCTTCCGTAAAGAAACTAACTCCTATCGGCTTCGCAGAGAGGCGGAAGCTATGGATTACGTATGAGCTCATCGAAGTCCACTTCGGTGACAGTGATAAAGAGTCTTGTTGGATTCTGATGGAACGCATCCCCGGAAAGCAGCTCGATGAAGCATGGCCGATCATGTCAGAAACCTCAAAGGCAAGAACAATCTCTGAGCACAAGTTAGGATCACGATATAATCACTTGTCCTGATAAGCCGTTTGATGAACTCTACGGAAACGTCTCGTACTCTTGAGCTCCTGAGCATACGCCATCCACTTCATTGCCACTGATCCTCTCAGTTGCCTTCCCACTAGATCCTCCAAAGCGACGAAGAAAGCCGCCATAGACGTCACTAGTTGCCATCGGCTCCCATCCCAACTTCTCAGGGCCACCGCACGGGTCTTCGAGGAAAGCAAGAACATGATCCTGCAGCAGGTGGCTGACTTCAACCTGAAAGTCCGTGGTTTTCGAGACATGATCCAACAACCCATAACTTCCAAATACCAATGGTGTTTCGGCACCATGATACGCTCCAAGCCATTTGTAGTATTTCAAATTCGGAAACTCGGCTGCGTTCTGAAAGCGGTAGACTGGTATGTGCAATCTGCTTCGATAAGTCGTTGAGTTGAGTAACGAGTACACAGCGAAAGGAATCATTCCTGTATTCACTGCCTTTTGATCATAGCTATTTTCGAGGCTTTTAGACGGCCAAGGAAGCAGGGATGAAAACTCGTTGGAGTTCATGGATAACATGACTGGACGACGCGCGATCTTACCTGCTTCTGCTCGGGGTTTGTAATCGGAGAAGTAAATCTGATCATCGACGTTCAGAGCGAAGGTTACTAATGGTATCTCCCCTCGATCGCCATACTGCCCGATGAAATTGACGATCTAGGTTCCAGAAACCTGGCGCATGCAATCTAGCTCTGCAGAACCACCTTCATCCGTGCAGTTACTCTGTGTGAGGGAACTTGGGATCGATGAGTCCCGTGAAAGTTACGGTCGCTGTCCTGATGGTTGGATCATCGTTCCTGGAGTTCGATACTGTGCCAAGATAAAATAGTAAGCGGGCATATGAATTCTGCAGAGTCTTACTCGCATACACCAATCCAATAACAGAACCAAACAGTCCAAACCACAAGTAATTTCCTAATCAAGACAATAATTACTTCAAGCCTTAGCACACATATGGACAATATACTCAGTGTCCCCACGGCCCCTCAGTATCACGAAAAACCTCCTCCCACCACTCCTGATTCGGCCCCTTTGGCGCACGCTTGGTATGTCTACAAATATCCCCAAACTTCATCTTATCCAACCTCCCCCACGCGGTATCGTTCATCTGTCTCGGATATCTACTCTCATACTCCGCCGAAACCCCCCAGTACCTAACCCTCCCGTTGTCCAACTTTACCGTCGCAAGAGGTTCTTCAGGTTCACCCTTCTTTTGAATTTGTATTTTAAGAAGGGCTCGTAAGTGGTGGTAGTACCATGGTTTGTCCCACCATGTTGAGCGGCGCCTCTTCAATCCGTGCATGCCGTTGTGGTGGAGGATAACGGGGACGGTTTCGAGGAAGAAGTCGGCGTAGAGAGACATGTTGTTCCAGTCTGCGTCTGGCTGGATGAGTTCCAGTGGGTTCTCTGCGTTTTTTATATCCTCGGGTAGGCCTTTCAGTCGCGTTGGTGAGATACCCAAGGCAGCAGAGTGTTCATCGATGAGTGCCTGATCACCCAGCGTGACAAAAGCACCGTGATCCCGACCCTCATCATCTTGCGTCCACTGAGTCTGCATCGATATCTGTTGACCGTAGTCAAGACCGATGTGATACTCGAGTTTGTTATCCAGCATATCTCTCATGCCACGTCTGGGCCTTCCCTTGTCTCTCTGGAATTTTCGGAAGATCTCTTGTTCAACCACGACTTCGCCTGTAAGAGCTTGCTCACTGTGCATCTTGATTCCCTGTCCGATGCCCGACTCCATTGTAAACAAGGACCGACGGAACAAGCGCCGCAAATCACCGGCGGGGCCAATGTAGACACCTCCGTTGATCCATCGCGGCCTATTCGTCTGCCAATGCTCTCTATCCTTCTCGGTATCAGGGCCGTAAAGATCCTTTCGCTCTGGGCTCTCGGGCCACTTTTCGCATTGAATGTTGATGCCCTTATCCGCCAGACCAGAATAGCACTTTTTTCCAGTGGCCACAAGGATAGTCTGCTGCATCGGCATTTTCCCTTTCTTGTCCCACTGCTTGCGCAATCTCTCATTGGCCTCTTTATTAATCTTGTGATATCGTTCGAGCATAATCTGCGCGGGCAATTGAAACCAAACATCGTGACCGTCGACGAGGAGTACGATATCATCCTCACTCAATCTCTCAGACGGGTGTGCATCTGGGTGCATGACTGCATCGAGATAATGCACAATGCCGGGAATTTTGGGTAAATTGTGGCCTCCATTCCAGTGCGAAATGAGTCGGTGGTCAATCCCCCAGTTAATAATGACGGGACTCGGGTAGCCGAGCGCGAGCGCGGTGACGACCGTTTTGCAGAGATCGGGGCTTGGAGAAGTAGCGGGCACGACGAGGGCGAAACGACGGTCTTCATCATGGAATTTGTGACGGTGACGCGTCCAACTCGAGTTGGAGTCCGGGTCCCAGCTCCAAGGACTCAGTATAATCAATGATAAGGTGGAAAGGATAAAGGCGAGGGCTGCAATATGGGCCCTTGGAAGCTTTCGAATATCTTGAAGATTTGAGAGATCTGGGAGACTCGGAAGCTTTGATAGGATTGGAAGTGCTAGGAGCGCTGAAAGTGTCGGTAGCGTTGGAAGTGTTGGGAGCTTTTCAGCTCCCGGGATTTCCAACTTGATACCCATGGTGAAAGCTGAAACTCAATTGAGGATCAGAAAAGATGAGCGAGGTGGTTCCAGCCTTATGTCTTTACAAAGGATCTGAAGTAGATAACACGTACATTCCTTGTGATGAAGGGAAGGGAAGAGAAAAGGGGGCGAAATTCCAATTCATTTCTGCCACAATTGGTGGCGTTCTTCTAGCTATTCAAAAATCTTATATCAGAGGCTGTTGGTGGTAGTGTCTCATGTACAGTCTCAGGGTGTGGTAGAGATTGTTATCTGGAGTGGCATTTGTTTGTGCAAGGGGTCTTTTGAGGCTTTGTCTAGATGCGTGCTACTGGCTTGGCTGGGGACGTGTCTTAGACGTGAGGTCCAAGCGGGGAAAAGCTTCCGGCCAAGAACTAAGATCCGCATTTCAATTACCCTGCAGCTATCGACTTCTATTAAACATGGGCTGTTTTAGATTGATGATGGTAAATGTCTTGATGGAAGGTGTATCTTTGTTTTATACTCTATTCTTTACAATAGCTTAAATAAATCTAATTCTTTGTTGCCGTCGTGAGCAGCTCTTCAGTATTTATCGATCGTAACAGCAGCGCATCAATCTCACGGACGTCAGCTCCATTCCTGTACCGCTCTCATGCACATAGTGGATCAGCGATAAAAGCATTTAGATGTGAGAAAGAACTTATAAAACAAATGAGGATATTATTGGCTTCGCTGATTGTCTGCTATAATAACTGTTGTTTGGAAATGCGAAGGACAGGCATTTGTTTCCAGATTCCGCGGACGGAATAATGGGGAACAATGGATAGAGAACTCCTACTGACATTATGTGTCTGTTCATAAGAAATTGACTTGCAGCGCCATATAAGGTCTCCAATATGCAGTATAAGAAGCTTTTGTAGTAGGTAACAACACAATAAATAATCGAGGGTTATTTATTAAGCAAAAGAAACTATCAGTATGGGAACAATTCTTTCATAAAGAAGTCCACCAGTTAGTGGCCCTATCAAACAATTAATTATCAGCTCGGCAGTTTCTGAATCGAGCCAAGTGTCTCACCTGAAGACTAACTCTAGGCTGCAGTGGCTTAGACCAGTGAACTCACCAATCAACCACGATCATAGCGTTTAGTCATCCAATCTCATCAAATCCATCGCGTCCTGTAGAATCACGCGAATTCTCTCGTCTCAAATATCTTCCTTTCTTCTCAAACTATCCTTTTTCATTGCCGCTCAAAATGTCACCTAGAAGGAGCGCGAGAATTCGGAATATTGACTTGGGTGTCACTGCTGAGCCCGCTAAACCTGCGCCTGCACCTGCTGCCCCACCAAAACGGAAGCGCAAAGCCCCAGCTGGAGATGAGAAAGATGAGCCGACAACAAAGGGGAAGAAAATACCGGTGAAGAAGGCGAAAGCGACGAAGTCAACCGATGGAAAGGCAAGATTGAAGGCAGATACGACAGCAGAGACTGAGGCTCTTGCGACAGTCCCGGATGATGTTTTATCTGTCCTGCCCGCCGAGATCCTCCAACAGATCCTCGACAGCGTCAGTCTCCACCAAAGTCAAGAATTACTTCTCAAACACTGACAATTTCAGGTAAATGACCCAAAGAGTATGGTCAAGATGGCCTGCACTTCCAAGAGATACTACGCTCTCGTAATGGCCATCCTCCATAAACGCATCTCCGTCTCAACATCCTTCTGGGCACACATTCCCAATGTCATCCGTCGCATTGAACCTCATCTAAGCATAGCCCAAAAGAAACAGCTCAAGAGAGAAGGACAGTATAAGGGTCAGCAGGAGAAGTTCTCAACTCGTCTTGATCCAAATGCCGTACCTCCTTGTGCCAGCAATGTCCGGCAGATGATTATTGGAAAGATTGATCCCGGCAAGAAGCATAAACCATTCTTGCTGCGATATTTTGAAGAGGTTTTGAAGAATCTTCATAACTTGGAGGTCTTCGACGCCGAGGATCTCACTGAGTAAGTCGACCTACGCATAGCCTCCTCTGTGTCATACTAATGAGATTCAAGGTCGATGGCGGAGAGTCTTTCAAAACTGAAGAACCTCAAATCCTTACGACTCGAGCCTTACCAACGGAGCATAAGTTCCGAAGCTATTATACCACTCGCCAAACTCAGTAATCTCGAACACATCTGCATCGAAGACGGATCTTGGGGCTCAATCGCTGTAACCGATGAAAAAGTCTTGCAGAGCATGCTCCTCAACTCTTTATCGACTCTTCAGAGTCTGGAGGTTCGAACGAGCCAATATTACTCTAACTTTTTAGTCGACTGGGAAGGCCAGGTCAGAGCTCGCAATCCTGATGCTTTGAAGCAAGAGCATGATTTCACGGCGCTCAAATCACTTAGACTACATGGTATCTGCTTCACCGGTGATTTCTGTGGAAACGTCATGCCGAATCTCACGAGAGCCTTTGACTTTCTCAAGCTAAGGGAGCTTAAGCTTATGAGGCTGGAAGAGGGACAACTCACATTCTTCAAGCATCTTCAAGACCTGTTCAGCAAAGCTGACAAGCGTGATATTCACTTACGAAAGCTGTGCCTGGAGATGAAAGGACCTGGATATGGGTATGAATCAAGCTACGCTGAAGTAGAAGTACACCTCGAGGGAATGTATCGATTCATTTCATCGTTTGATTCATTGACCAGCTTAGAGATACATGATTACAATATGTATAACAAGAATGTGCAGTCAAACCCGGGACTTTCGAGACGATTGCTGCAGTCTGTTGTGAAGCATACGGAGCTGGAAACACTGCGCTTTCATTATCGACATATGGGCAGTGAGCCATGGGAGATCCCGTTTGTCTCAGCCGAGACGGTCAATATTCTGGTTAAGAACCTACCCCAACTACGGGTTTTTGAGTTTGCACCCCAAGAGGACAACCTTGTAAGTTACTGCGCTTTTGTCCTTGTGAGCGGTATACTGACACTTACCAGGATGCAATGGCTCGAGCTCTCTCACGTGCCAAAAACTTAACGACGCTGCTCTGTCCCAACTACAAAAGCTTTTACGAAGATCGCGAAAACGCCCATTTGAACCTCACCAAAGCTTTACTCGGGGGATTCATGGAGAACGCCAGCAGCAGCGAGAAATTCATATGGGAGAAGCATTATAAGCTGAATCGTATCACAATAGGGTGGACGGACTTCGGCATCAGATCGGGACTGAAGCCAAAGAAGGGATTTGAGAAACCTGTGAAGATCACAAAGGGCGATCGTGTGGTGGTAGTGCAGGATATGAACCCTAAGAATTGGGGTCATTCTTCGCAGGTTTATTACACTGCCGATAGTCGATGGGTGGATCATGTTACGCGGCCGGAGCGCCGTGAAGGACCGTTGCAGCTTGTATATGATGAGTGAGAGTTGGAGACTGGCGCTGCGTTGTGAGTAGTAATGAATGAAGTAGGAGGGTGGAAAAGCCATGATTAGATCACGGAATTATGGCATATCTAACTAGCTCAGATACTGTTGAACAAGGCATTTTGCACCCGCAAGCTCTTCTCTGCCTAGAGATTCATGGTAAGATGGTCAATCATACCACAGTCCTTTTCGTCTCCTCCAGGTAACTTGCTTATAACCCGAACTGGCGTTTCAAGCCGTAAGTCGACCTTCTTCCGTCCATCGTCCTGAACACTCCACGACACGGTGGCAGTGTTGCTTGAACCAAGGGCCACCTTTGCCTTCAACTCCTGACTCAAGTTCAATCTCGGCGAAAATAAGATCTTGCTTGACCCTGGAGCTATGACGTGTAGACCAGCCAGCTCTGTACAGTACTCGAAGATAGGAACACTTCCCCAGGCATGGCAATCTGAGCGCTGCCTCACGTCATCTTCTTCCCAGGTCGTGAGGTTATTCGCCAGCATTTTTCGCCAAGGGCCCCAAACCTGTCCCCATGCTGACTCATAGACTTCGTCGCCAGCGAGAGCAAACGCCCTCAAAGCATAGAACATCATGACATAGGAACATTTGGAAAAGTCTGGATTAGAGAATGACTCCTTAAGGAGGCGTGGTCGTTCTTCGGCGGTTGCGGCGCCACAGAGGACGGCGAACACTTGGCAATGCTGGGAGTAAGCCCCCTGACGCGCGATGTCAGCCGTCGAATCCGTGAAAAATGTCCCATCGAAGCAGTGAGTGCGGACCGCCTTGACTACAGATGCCGCGCGGGATTCGTACTCGTCGGCGTAGCCAGGTCGACCGACATCTCGGACCAGGCGGGCAGCCTGCTTCAGGACATAGGCGTAAAGCATACTGAAGTAGGTATGCCGATTTGATTCCCGACCGGACGTTGGGACTCCCTTGTCCGGGTGCGTCTCGGTTGCGCCCCAAGAAGTCACCCAGTCGACATACTGCCAGACATCGTCTGGAAACCCGCTAACAAGGCCCAAACTGTCTATGTGAGACTCAAAGAACTCGAAAACACCATCAATTCGAGGAAGAAACGATCGTGTATATGCTGTATCACCGAAGTAGAGGTGGTGGTCGCAGATCTGGAGGACCCAGTACAGGGAGAAGCCGGCAATGATTTGCGGCACATGCGAGGGGAAGCGAGACTGTGTTAAGCCCTCGGGGGTCACGGATGCGGCAAAGTTGGTGATTGTCTGCCTCATCAATCTGTCGTCACCAGAAAGAAGATAGTGAAACAGGCCGACGGAACGAGAATCGCCAGAGTACCTAGAGAATGGTCAATGTGGCGTGAGTGCTTATAAAGGCTATACTGACTGAAGTTGTTCATAGAAAGGGCAGTCCGAGTACCCGTCAAACATGCAATTTCTCATAGTCCTGACGGAGACATCCCATATTTGCTTACCGTCCTTATCTCCTGGCCCGTCCCAGCTTGCCTTGACTGCAAGGGGGTAGTTGACCTGGGTGGCATCAAAAGAGGACAACTCAACGGACTCGGCTCCAACTGTGATTTCCCATCGCATAACGCGAAATGTCCTAAACCAAAATGGTTCGTACACGACGGTCTGCGACGCTGGCAGGTCCAGCGTTATGTCATCGTAAGGGCCTATGATGTGGCCATTGGTCGCATCCAGCCGGTCAGATTTCGACCTGAAAAATGGATAAGAGCGCGGTTCATGTTCGTAGCCCTCACTGTAGGTCACCCTGAATCGAATCTGGCTCTTTTGAGTCGCCTGGAACGTCCAGCGGAGGAATGCGGTTGAGTGCACGTCCGCCTGGACCTCGAGCATGTGTGAAGACCCGGCTGCCAGAGTAAGAGGACGCTGTCCCGACAGATACGCAATCCAGTCATCAGAGTTCAAGCTTCCGGTGTTCTTTCTAACGGTGCTGACACTAACAGAGGTTTGCTCTGGAGTGGGGATCACGCGAGATTGTAGACGCCATGGTGGAAGCTCCCCGTTAAGTGTCTTGATGTTGTATGGCACTGGTGTGACTTTCTCTTTGGCACAACTGGGGACGATGTGTTCGTTAATCTGATGAGAGTCAGTGTGCCTTTCCAAAACGAAATCTAAAACTCACATGAAGGAAGACATCGTCCGGTCTTCCCATTGGAAATAGGATCGAGTTGTCCTCTTCAGCCAACCAGCCTCCACGAGAGTCAAGACTAATGAATTCCCCATCCAACTCAACACCACCAATAACAGTCAGCCCTGGAAAAGAGGTTCTTTCGAAAGGCATTCCACCCCGAGAAGCCGCAAAGTAGCGGATCACTACGAAGTAGATCTCATTATCGCCCTGTTTGAGGTGAGGAGCGATGTCGAGCGAGTCATAATACCATATCAGAGGACTACCTCTCGCTGGCCCAACAGTTACTCGAGTACCATTGATGATGAGCTTGTATCGCGTATCGGCCGAGAAATGGAGAAGCGCTCGAATTGGTTGAGATGGGAGAGTAAACTTGCGGCTGAATGTGACAAGACGTGCGGCCGTGTTTTGTTTGGAGGAATCGACCCAGTCAGGAACCCAGATCCAATTGGATTGGAGCTGATTGATGATCTACAGCGCGAATTAGTTTAATGATGCATAGACTGAGAGAGACCAAGATGGTGGCTACTTGTTGCTCCTGTGATGGCGCCATTAGATCGTTTCCCAGCACCGTAAATGTCTACTTGCAGTGAACAGACTTACGGAAAAAAGAGAGAAGACATATGGAGTTAATATTCAAAAGGTTACTAGGCTGGGGACATGCCCCACGCTCTCCATTCCTGCTTCCATTTGGAAGCTTGTATCGCGTCGGGTTATATCAAGGCGAGCCATGTGCCGAGTGCGGGGGAACTAATCCAAAGTCGAAAACAGCGCATTTGCTAGTTAGACGGCGCCAGCTGATCATTTATGAGTACACGACGCTAGCTGACAATGAGGGGAAACGGCAGGCCTAATGGGGTAACAGAGTGTTGATTATTATATCATGTTCCTTTGTTACGACTAAACAAACCATATCGCACAAGACAGCGACCAGATTTCCTAGCGTTATCCTCCAATCCTCATGCATCCGAAAAGCGAGTCTCGAAAGCCAGCGCCTCAGTCCAGCAACACTGTCTAACCGCCAATTACATCACCGACCTCAGGCTTTGAGAGAAGCCACTAAGTTACATGTTAAAGTGACACCAGTAGAGCTTCCGAAGCCTGAAGAGTAAATGTCGCCTTTCCAGCCGAGACAACAGCCGATTCAACCGTGCTCTGACCTTGAATTTTGCATGATCCATTCTCAAAGGTCTGCCCAGCAACGGTCGGGCTTTGCCCGGCATCGACTCTGGACGTGGAAGCGGCGGCAGTGAGCCTCTTGGCTGAAACAGTAGAACCAGAAAGCCCGACTAGGGTAAAAGTTTGAGAAGGACGAGAACCACTGGTGTAGTAGTCAGAGTTATACAGAAGAACTCTGACGGGCTTGTTATCTTTGTAGATGGCATATGCTGCGTATCCGGTTGTCTGATCATCCAAGGGGGCGATCTTGTCGGCGCCAGCGAGAGCCATTGTGGCGAAGTAGGCTCCGAAATAGGGAGAACCCATTGAGTACTTTCCCCACCAGCAGTACTGGCCTGTTGGTCAAGGTGTTAGTTGTTTGCCAAGACTGTAGACTAGGGTTACTTACAATTTCCGATGGTGCCATGGTGGAAGTACAAAGTCTGCAATGAGTTAGCTACAGAGCTGGAAGAGATCCACGGTGCTTTGTACCTCTGTTCCCATGATCAGGGCTTGCATGACATAGTCGAGGAGCCAGAGTCCAGCACCGTAAGTTGGGCTGATTCCGCCACCGCCCTGAGTAGCTGAGGGACATTGTTAGCCATGTCAAACTACTTGGCCTGGACGATTGACTTACCAGAGTTTGTTTCTCCAAACACATGAGGCTTGTTCTGAGCCGCCGCAGCTGCGACTTCTTTCGCGAAAGGCTTGATCTGGGATGCAATGGCGCTGTGGCTCATCAAATTGGCTAGGTTGGCTGTGCTCCTGGACTGGGGGTAATTGTGAGAGCAGTACTGTCTAACATAGCTGTTGGCTTGACCCTCGGCTGCAGTCAGACCAGCGATGCTCATCGGGCTAGTCCCGAAAAATACACCGGCCGAGATGAGGTTAGATGTGGAAAGATTTCCACACACGGCGTCTTGCCAGGATACCTGGCTGGCGTAGTCAGCTGAAGCTGTCCAGGCAGAGCCCTGGGCGATAGGGTCACTGCTGCTGAAAACTGACACACAGTTAACCGCGAGGAGATATTAGTTAGTGAATTGAACTTACAGTTGGGTTCGTTGCCAAGCTCAATGGCATGCAGGCTGTCAATTTCATCCTGCGCCTTGGCTGCTGCAGCGACAGTATTTGCAAGGTTGTTGAGTCGACGATTAAAGCCTATGGTTACTTTCCCATCGTATGTGCCCGCCAAGGACATTAAGGACGGCCCGAATGTTAGTGAACTTGGCGCATCTCCAGAGTTGGCCACTGTATAAGTTACTTCTTGGCTAGAGGATGCGTTGTAAGTAGACCGGTCCCTGTTGGACATGTAAGCAGCAACAAAACAAGCGAGAACATGAATCATACTGTGTAGTTCCTCCGATCCTGATCGGCGGCCAAGTTCCCGAAAGATCTTTCAAGTTCTGCAAACAAGTTGAGGTGCTAGGTACATCATTCCAGTAGCCCGGGAATGCGAAGAACTCGAATCTGTGGACAGTCAGCGAATTTGTTTTACGTTGGTCATACTATCTCTACTCACGAAACGCCCACCGGGGCATCGGCAAGCTGGGCGCTTGAGTTGGACGGCGGCGATGATGGGACGTTGAAAGTCAAGCCCGAGACGGTGGCGACCTGGGCGATGAACCAGGCGGTGCCGAGAAATGAGGCCATTCTTGAGATACAGTTGGCAATAGAAGTTTTGTTAAAGGAGGCTTGGTAAGATGGTTGTGATTGTCTAGGTAAATCCCTTCTTTTTACTTGGCATCTAGCTGCCTTTTATCCTTTAGACTTTAAGACTTCTGACTTATTTTCGTTGATCGTCGGAGTGAAATCATCTGGAATACCTGAATCCCGTCCCTGCACAACTTGGCCACTTACACCAAACAGCAAAGTATACTAGAGCATTCCTGATCTGGGAGAGCATGGTCTAACTAGACTCTTCCCCAGATTTACTTTAATTTCGGGCTTCTCTCCGCATATTCCCCAGCCATACGCAACTCAATTTCAGTCTCATGATCATCAATCGATCCCAAGGGGTAATTCCCATCACGGATGTTTTTCCTCGGTTCAAACGCCACCGAGTGTAATACGCTCAAAAAAAGCTTTCTGCGCTACATCTTTGGCCCGAGAAATGCCAGCTCGGTCATTCTTTAGACGAAGTTGGTGCAGGTGATCAAGCCTCTTATGATCTGTAGTGGTATGAAGTCTCGGATATCGTTGCCGTGATATCCCTGACAGATGCTCCTGATTGGATCTCTTAGATCCGTGACGTCGTCCGACTACCGTAGATGAACGGACTTGTTTCCGCGACCCCCAGTCAAACTCAATTATTCCCCCTCCGCAGTGGGGTTTGCGCTTATAGCTTTCACAAGCCTGGTCGCTGGAACCAGGCTAAGGACAGACAAGTCTGGGGCCCCGCGTTCTGTTGTTGAGGGACAAGAATTAAAAGTACCACATCGCATCGCCAAGCTATTTTCCATAAAGACTGATCAGAGCCAAGATCTTGGCTGCATCAGGTCCAGATCGGCGCTTTCTTGACAACATTAACATCAACACCAATACTGTCAAAATGCAGCAGCAAAAGGCTCACGCCGAGATTGTCGAGGATACAGGCGAAGGACTTCTCATGAGGTCCAAGCTTGATGACTTGAGCGTTTGGCAAAGTGCCCGCAGGTTCAAGCGCGTTGGCTGCATCGCTATGCTCGCAGCCTTCTCCGCATCTCTCGATGGCTATCGTAAGCCTTGCGCTTGGTCTTGACGCTTGTTTATCTGCTAACAACAACAGAGATCAATCTCAACGGCGGAATCGTCTCCAACGCAGGATTCATACGACAGTTTTCCACCTCTGGCACAACCATCATTGCGGGCAAATACATCTCGGCTTGGGGTGGTATCCAGTCAGCAGGCCAGACCATTGGTCAAGTAGTACGTCGATATTCACACTCAGGTTTTCTGATCGTTTGTTGACGGTTGTACATAGCTCCTTCAATATGTAACCGAACGTCTCGGTCGAAAGGCTGCTATGATGATCATCTGGATCGTCCTCACCGCTGTACGTACGCCACGACACTTACAAGAATTGGCACTGATCACATTTTCTCAACCATGTAGAGCGTATTCGCCGAATCATTCGCAACACACTGGCAACATTGGCTTGTGGCAAAGCTCTTCTCGGGCATGGGTGTTGGCATGCTGCAATCCACCATGCCTCTGTACCTGTCCGAGATCTCTCCCACTCAGCTCCGAGGTTTCTTCATCAATGCCTACACTTTGTAAGTCATGATACTTCTTCAGGTCCACTCGCACCAGCGGTACTAAATCTCAAACAGCTGGTTCGTGCTAGGCCAGCTCTTTGCCTCGGTAGCCCTCAACAGGCTCAAAGCCAACGACCCATACGATTTCCGAACCCCGATTTACACTCAGGTGAGCCACCCATGACTCCTTGTTCGGGATTAGGAAGGATCTTTCTATTGACACGTATCGCAGTGGGCGATGATTGGCTGCATTCTTGTCGCCTTTCTTCTCATTCCTGAGTCCCCTTGGTGGCTAGCAAGCAAGGGCAAGGTTGAACAGGCATCACAAGTATTGAACCGATGCTTCTCCAATGTCGAAGGCTACGACATTGATCAACAAATCGTGAGTGTCTCCGTCGCTTCATTGTTCTAACAACTGCTAATTCCGGAACAGGAAATTATGACTTCTACCCTTGCCGTCGAACGCCAGCAAGCTGAGCAAAACTCCGAGTTAGGGCCCTGGGCTGTATTCAAGGGTCGCAACCTGATTCGATTCATCATTTCTGGCTGGCCCAAGATCACACAGCAGTTTGTTGGTTTAGCCGTATTTAATACCTACGCAACATATTTCTGTACGTGTTTGCTACATAATGCCCTGCTATGATGAAACGCTTCTAACAATTCCTTGCAGTCCAATATGCAGGAAACAAGGATCCATTCCTCGTCACTCTCATCCTCTCATCTGTTCAACTGATCTCGATGATTGCCACTGCAACACTCACGGATTCCCTCGGTCGACGCCCTCTAACCGTCTACCCATATGCAGTGACCGTTGTGTCAGTCCTGTGTCTGGGCATCATTGGCTGTTTTGACTATACAGCCAAGGCTACCAGTTCGCTACTTGTTAGTATGATCTTGAAGGGATCACTTCCGACTTGGCTAATTAGTGTCCGTGTAGATTTTCTTTGCCTGCCTGGCTACGTTTTCCACCACTGGTGCTTCCGCCATCGGTTACGCCTATGCTGCAGAGATTCCACAACAGCGCCTTAGAGCCCAGACGGCTGGTTGGTCGCTGGCTGTGTCTAATTGCATCGCTATCGTCTTCAGCTTCTGTACTCCATTAATGATCAACGGATCGGCCAAGTGGGGCGTCAAGACTGGTTTCTTGTAAGTACTGTCTACAAATTTGTTTGTCTTTTGATGTTTAATTGAAAGCTCACTGATGAATACTGTATAGCTTTGCTGGTACGGGTACAGTTGCCGTCACCATCGCCTGGTTCATCCTCCCTGAGGTGGCCCGCCGAACCCCCGCTGAGATTGACGAAATGTACGTGAATTTTGATTAGTGATATCTGTTTAGGTGTATGAAGCTAATGAGTTTGTTCTCGATAGGTTTGAGAAGAAGGTCAACCTTCGCAAGTTTGACAAGTATGTCACAGAAGTCCAGGTGCACGCACACGAGCTTCAGGACAGGAAGAAGGTGGTCGATGAGGTTTGATTGTACCCACAATGCAAGCACAAGGATGTTCTTAGGATACTTGCTCTTCACTTCTGATTGACGAGTTCATAATACTCTTCTTTATGTATTGCTCTTGTCCATATTGATTAAAATAGTTTTCCACTATTATCCCAATAAGCTCTCATGTGGAAGCTATACAAAATCCCTAAGGCAATACATATATAGCGTAGTTGGAAGTTATGTTATCCAAACAGCGTGCGGAGGTCCTTCTTGTCCATAAGGCTGATCCAACAAACATCCATACTCCACCGGGGCGCTTCATCGTAGGCAGCCCACAGTTCTTTCGCAAACTTCTCAGCGATTCCGATTGGACCGGGGTGTAAGCATTCTTTTAAGACACTCAGACGTCGTAAAACAAAGGCTCGTCCTTTGCTCACGTCAATGGCCATCTGTGAGACGGATAAAGGGTCCACAACACCCTCCTTGGAACGTTCGAGTGGGTCTTTTAGAAGGTCCAGGTAGTCAAGAATGTTCTCCATTGGCCTTGGCTTGGCCTGACTGCTGCCGCTGAGGGTGTTTGAATCTGTTCCAAGTCCGCTCGCGGGCAAGGTTGGTGTGTATCGAAGCCCCGTGGCTGCGCAGACATACAAAAGCGGCTGGATAGCGCAGCTGCCGGACTCGGAGGGGATTCGCTCCAGCACTTCTATGAGCCGAAGAGTGAGGGGTATGATGCGTTTATGCCATATCATTATTGTTTCCGCCTCGCGCGGGTCTCGCGGCACTAGTTGGGAATGAGGCTCCAGTAAGGCAGGAAACTGTGTATAGAGCTGGAGTAAGGAGGCGAGTTGATAAGCTTCAGCCACATGTAAAAGATGAATGCATGGTGTGCGCTGGTCACCAGCATCATTGAGTGATGGTGTTGGAGAAAGCTGCAGCTGTAATAACTCTCTCTCCAAATCCTTTGCCTGCTCAATCTCTGGTGTCGTGGGAGGTGAGGCGCGTGTTCCTCTTGATAACTCAGTAATGCGATGTCGATAGACCCGACAAAGGCGAATTGACCGCGTGAATAGGGTCGAGCTTAGTAGTGAGACACCGGTCCACGGGTGAGGCTCCGCGTCGTAGGAAGACTGGCTGTAAGTATCCATGGAACCAGATCTCTGGAAGGTGGATGGGAGTGCGCTGACTTGATGAATGTCTGTGCCTGGTTCTGGATCATATATGAAAGATATCAACATATCCCAGTAGATGAGGCTTTTGTTAAAGAAGTCCAACTTGTCAGCATCAGCAGCGAACTGTTGTTGTGAGCTCCATCGAAGTAGTGTCTTTGCTTCTTGTAGAAACGGCCAACCCACCCGACGAGTATCTAGCCAACAAATTGTCGTACCAAGGCAGAGTAGTGAGAACATGATACTTGCAGGCATCGCATAGAGGACATTCTTCTCATTGAGCTCCTGTATCTCTGCTTGAACACTCAGGGTTGCTGTTTTGAGCAGGCTCATAGCAGAGTGCCTCATTTGCGGTAACCGCGCCGAAAGGAAACTAGCTGACATGCTTTGGAGAGCGATGAAGACAGGAGGAGAGCTTTGCCAAAGGTCCTCGGCCATCTTTCGGTTCATGTTCGACCTGGAGTCGAAGCCGGACCATGCCGGACATACTTCATCAAACCAACATTTCAGAAGCCGCATAGAAGAATCTGTGCTAATCCCTGGTGAGCGGGTTTGACTGGATCGTCCAGGGTCATATTCTAACAAAGAGCTCCGTTGGGATGTCGCATCAAAGCAGAAATCCGGGAGCCAGTCGGAAGTCAAAAGATCGAAGCTCGGGGTCTCTATAGCAATCGATTGAAGGCTACCACCAAATTCGTGACCAAACATGTTCGTCGAATCGAAGTCCATAAGATCTGGTAGGCTGATATCCTCTGCTTCTGGCCAAAGAATCGTTTCAGCGTCCGCCACTGGGCCAACCTCCTTAACAACTTCTTCACCGGTGTAATCATCAGCCCTCTGCGGATTCAAAGCAAGGGTGGATGGGTTTTCATTCGGAGAATCTGGTGACTTCCTTTGCTGCTGAAATGTCTCATTCGCTGTTAACTGGTGTTTGGTTGACCACCTCAAGGCTCGCTGAGGGTAACCGTCGCATAGCAAGCCCTTCTTTGCACAATTTGTACACGTTGGCCTGCTTTCATCGCATTTGATCTCTCTGTGTGAGTACCTCATAGACCATTTAAGATTCCGTAGACGTACATGTCTCTGCTTACATGACTGGCAACCGCCTCGGGAGCGGTGTCCATGTGACCTCGTTGGCCTACGGCCGCCATGTCGGTGCATGGTAGCTTCTAGGTTATGAATGTCGAGTATAATGGCTTAGCTTGTTCGTGCTATTCCATTCTCAAGTTTTAGGCAGCGTTTCTTAGGTGGTTGGCCATCCGCATTAGGGAGGGGAACGGTGAATCAGCATCCTTGATCAGCAGGGAAACGCGGGGTCGAAAGTAGTTAGCAAAACAGGGCACTACTACGGTACCCGGCATACGGAGTAATATGCCGTGATTCGCCTGGAAACCTGGGCCAATCGGATGGCTGTGTTGCGCTTTGCATCAGCAATTGTCATCCGGCTCTGTATGGTAACTTAAATCAAGAAAGGTGGGGCTTATGATACCTCTTTAAGTCCCTTTAGCTCAATGAAAACATTCTTGAGGTTCCAGCTATGAACACCTCGAAGCCTTGGTGGGTCAAAAGGAGAATACTTGTCCCTTCAACTCGGTAGCGCCGTGGGAAGTATAAGGACGCATGGAACGCCGAAGAAACTTGGCTTCCTGTATATTTCAACCCTTTTTCAAATTTTATGTATACGTTATTCTGCTTCTGTTCAGAGTGAGGGTCTTGTTGTCTAAACTTACATGAACAAGAATGTTAAGCCACCGCAGGTTCACTGGTCCATGACTGAGCACGTTGTATTGATTATACCCACAACCTGGAATCCCAGACCAGAATAGTAGAAAATTATAATAAATCTCACTATTCGTTCTACATTTGACGTCTTGCTCTTTTTCTCCCAACGAAAGAGGTCGCGGATTATAACCAGATTATTCTACCAACTTCAATGACAACATGAAAATATCCTTGCTCCATTAGGTTTATACCCTTGGCCATTACCAATCTAGCTTTTTGGAACCGCTGCAGTCCATAGCTTGGCAGACTAAAGTAAAAAAAATAAGCTAATATGGCCTCAGGGTGTCGAGGAAACCTCGACTTGGGGTGTTTACAAGGGCGTGACTTACTTCTATCAGCCTTCGAGATGTTCGCGTTGCCAGTTGGCTGCTTAAGCGCAGCGGGTTTGACCTCGAAGCCTCGCACTGCCTCCTGACGCCGGTGCATTTCGACCGCATCAGCAATCTTTTCTTGGTCACCTATCACTAGTCAGCTTTGTCACTACAACCTCGACGCGGCGCAACCTCACCATTTCCAATAATTTTGTCTCTGGAAGTGATGAGCTGCTTATACTGATTCTCAAACGCTAGAAGATTCTGTTGTATTTCCTTTTCAAGGGAATCTTTAGTAGTCCCGTCAAGTTCAAACGACCCCTTAGGACTCTTGGCATAAACATCGCAGCGTACATTGGTTTGGTCAACGGCAACGGGAGAGTAGGTAAGTTGGCACCAGAAGGGTCGACTAGGCATCGTGTGTACTGTCGTCAAAGGGAATAATAGTAGCTCTCCAGTAGAAGTAGGTTCCTCTGCTACGAATGAACGGGCGGAATCTGTGGAAGAGAACACAGTTGGATATGATGTAGCGCATGGCCGGTTGACTGTTGTAGATTAGCATCTGCGAGCAACCTAGAACGAAAGCCGAAGATGGGACACCTACGGATGACCTTCCAATTGAACTTTCCACTGAATTCGATACTATCTAGTAGCTCTGTGTCTGGTCCGAGCTTCTCTAGCTTGCCCATTTCTAAACCCGCCGGGGTTCCAGTAGCAGGCACGCCTTCGTAACGGCTCACGTTGATATGAAGGAAGCCTCGGGTGTCCTGATTCGTGTGGATTTCAAAGAGACTGTTCTGGCTCTTATCGAAGCCGGGGAGATTGTCGAAATAGGGGGCCTTGGTGAGCTTGCCCTCCGTATTGTAGCTCCATCCATGATATCGACAGCCAAGAATGGTGGCGCTGCCAGACTGCTTCCTAGCGACCGGGAAAGCTCTGTGTCTACAGACATTGTGAAACGATCGCACTACCATGCCCTTCCCTAAGATCATGAGAATACGAAAGCCAGCAACGTCATAGACAACATAGTCGCCGGGGGAACGAAAACGTCCCCGGTGGCTCACACATATCCACGTCTATCAGTGAAATCAGACCCTTGCATGGCATGCAGAATCGGGTTTCTAGTGTAGTTACCTGGCTGAAAATTGCCCGTCGCTCAATTTGGAATCGAACAGGATCCGACCACCATCCCTCAGGCAGATGAAAGGTTCGGTGTTCTAGCACTAATGCGCTAGCATCGCGTCGTTGCAGATATTGCCAGAAATTAAGAACCATAGAAACAATGAGCACGCTTGCTGTGCCGAACAGAATTAATGAATCCATTAAGAATAGCATCGAAAATGACAGAAGTGTGCCGTGTAGAGGTGAACAACAGCGAATGTTGCTAATGGAAGGGTGAAATATTTAGGCCAGTGGTAAATGCGGTGTATCCGCGGGATCTGTTTCGAGAGCTGACGTTCTCGTGTGTGATTTCTCTATTAGGCAATGTCAATCACAGAATCCGGCTCGCCAGATCCGATTCTACAGCTTGTTGGAAAGATTACTACATCGGGGTATGTGTTCCAGGGCGCATCAACCACTCGTTGCTTTGGCTCTGGAGCAGCATCGAAAGTACAAGAAGAGTTGCCTATTGAGGGGACTCAATAACACTGTATGCGTGATGTCGCTCAGTTGGAAATATGTGGGTAGGCCATGCTGCGTGTAAAAGTTCCTAATCTAGTATAGCGTAGCGTCGGCTGTAATACTTTTGGCGATGCACATGGATTTGGATAAAGCTAAGACATGGACACTCCCACTAACAGCTATTTTAATGCCCCCTTGCTGCTGGGAATGAGAAAACTTCACTTTAAGGTCTCAAAGTACATCTGCCAAGTATCAGAGAAACCAGAATATCATTGAAATCATCCCGTCCATAGTTCATAATGACTGACTGGGACGTTACTCTCCCTGCATCCTGGTACACTAGCACTGGTATATACAGTTTAGAGAGGCGAGCAATTTTCCTGAAAGTAGGTCCAAGAGGTATCTAAGCTCTCTGATCACACTCCTACTGATTGTCATCCAGTCCTGGGTTCTCCTGGGAGCCGTAACCAAGTTTCCCGAAATCAATGTCAACTACAAGCACGAGCTGGCTCAGATCGACTTCATCGTTCGTCGCGAGACTAAAGATTGGAGAAGCATCAAAGTTTCCAAGCAAAGCGATGTACGTACAAGGCCCATCAAGATCTCAAGAAATCTTTCTTATCATACAGGGTACCATTATTCGATCACACCTAACTCCCAATGGGCTTCTTTTCTTGACCATGTCCAGCAAGACTTGCTCCTTTGAAGAGTTCTTCCCCGGCTTTGAGGAATTGACTGCACATGCCGACTTCACTGAACTTCCACTAAGACGCCCTCTCAAGTACATTGCCCATAATAATTGGAAGGCTACGGTTGATGCGTATCAAGAGTGCCTGCATTGTGCCTACGCGCACCCCGAGTTTGCAAAGACTTTCAAACCTGCGGCCTACAAAGTTATCAACAAGCACAACTACTCGCAACATATTGCGACCGTTACCGGTGGCGAAGATGGTTTATTCTTCTTCCTTTTCCCTAACTGCTCCTTGAGCTTGTACGGCGGGGGTTTGACCTGCTGGCGCATTAACCCATCTGAGATACCCGAACAGGCCCGCATGGAGTTTGACTACTATCACAAGGCTCCTGTTGGCAGCGATGAGTTCGAAAAGTGGTATGACTTCACGCGTAATGTTGCTGTCGAAGATATTGAGCTTTGTGAAAAGACTCAAGCAAACCTTAATATTGGTATTTACTCAGAGGGTCTGCTGAATCCCGAAAAGGAGAATGGCGTTGTCTGTAAGTTAATCCCGCTGTCCGATTGATCCCTTATTATACTAATCGATATATTCTGAAAGATTTTCATAGTCGCATACTTGAGTTATGCTCGTCTCAAATGGAGAAAGATGTGGCCACGCAAGCGCCAGCCAGGCCATCCAGGGAACCCCAACTACCCTTGGACAAAGGTCCGGCTAATATTAAGAGTGATTGTGACGGGATACCAAGATGGTAGGAAATTCCAACAGTATATTAGTTACAGTTGCCACCACATAGCGAGTGTTATCCCCGTCTCTGCGCATCTATACTCTGTGTAGTAAGACTTTACGCAAGGACAGAGATCGGAAACGCTAACCCATTGGAGCAAGCGCTCGTTATCAGATAGAGCCTCCATAATTCGGGGGCGACCCAAGAACTAAAGCCTGGTGGCGTAGAGGCTCATGTGCAATCAATGAATTAGTAAATATCCTCCGCTTTGTTCACAAGTGCACATAAAAGGACAAGATAGACCTACTCAAGGTCTTTAAATGTCAGGGATAGTCCAGCAAAGTCTACTAACTTATTATACCATTGCCTGTTTTACAATTGCCATCCCCTCATCTGGGATTTACTATATCTAGATAAGTTATATTCGACAGAAAGTGGCTGGTTGATGTCAATGGCTAGTCGGTACAATTTAAGTTACTTATCTGTTGTTATAGTTATCTTATTTCAATACAAACGAGATGCGGCGATATCCCTATCTCTGACTCACCGTCCCATTCTCCAAATTATTCTCATACCGAAACGTAATATCCGTCTTAACCCCAATCCTCCCACTCGGCATAACCAACACCTCCTCACTACTGTTATCCTCCAGCCCATTCTTAATATTCGTCTCAAACGTACTCTTCGGCGCACCAGTACCAGGATTGCTACCACCCTGGAGCTCAAGGGGCATCTGTTTGAAGCCGGAGAGCTTGCGACTGCTTGACATGCCGGAGCTGCCGAGGAGACGGGGCGCGTATTTCTTGGCGATAGCTTTGTAGGAGGGGATCGAGGCGGCGAGGATGCCGATGTTGGTCTCGATTACGGACCAGTACATTGCGTCGGAGATAACCCAGGTTTGGTCGGAGGAGCTGAGCATCTTGGGGATATAGGTTATTCTGATTATGGAGGAGATGCAGGCGCTGGTGATGTTAGCAGTGAAACGGCGGACAGATATGGTAGTGACTTACAAGAGTCCGAGACCGAGGATAATGGCTAAACTGATCTTCTGTCGTCGAGGAACACGAAGCCTCGCCACCAGTGGAATCGGCAACGTGTACGTCAAGATATCCGTAAAGATATTCACCGCGGCATTCGCCAGATAAAAAGCATTAATGTCAACGCATCTCTTATCCTCCGGCAAGATCGTAATGTCATACGCTGCCGGGATCGGACTGCATTGGAAGATGCAAGCCAGGACATTCGCACCAGCCTGGCATCCAACAACCCCCATCATGACAAACGCCGTCTTGCGTAACATCTTGTCGCCGAGTCGGGTATAGAGAGCCAGGACAGAGATCTTGATGAAGCCGAGACAGGCATTGTAAAAAATGGAGGATAACCAGACGATTTGGAGGTAGGCGATGAAGTTGTCGGTGCCGCGTTTTATTACGTCTTCGTAGTGGCTACCGAGGCCATGTTGGACGGCTAAGGAGGTCAGCGACGGTCAGTTGACAGGTGATATTCTACCTACAAGCTATTGTGCAGCCGATGAAGCACCATGATAAAATCTTGCATCTGTCAATATCTGTACGTGCAGTCGTAAATGGATCAAACTTACAGCTCCGACGCAAATCAAGTCTGCGACAGTTAGCAATGCCCCAACAACAGTGGACCTAAAAAACTCACAATCATCCGCCCCCAGCGACCTAACAATAAACGTCCTCGCCCATAATCTCAGCACCACAGCACAAAAGCTAATGACCGCGAAACAAATAGCAACCGAATTAACAGTCGAGCCCTGTGATTCAGCCATCGTTGTCAAGAAAACAAGCGAAAAAGGTTGCACGAGTCCGAAAACTTCAGCTGATGAAGAATCTTCAGCTGGTTAAATGAAAGAATCCATTGTCTCTCAACTGAGACAAGCAGATAGCCTTTCATTACAGCAGCTTTGATGACTCGTTGGTGTTATGCCAATCGTTTACTGTTCTGTAACGAAAGCACAGACGTTAAATTCTCGGCCTGCGCCAAGCGAGCGAAGATCTTACTGACTCAATCGTTAGCCCTGGATAAAGAGGACAAGTTCTCAGGGGAAATTCATATATCAGATTTTTTATTCGTCTTGGAACCAACACAGGGTATCATTGCCCCCCATTCTGAGTGGAGATTATTGTAATGATTGGCGGCTGGGTAAAACTGATTAAATGCTAGGATAGTTGAATAAATGGTCCGTAAATTCGTTTGTGCGACAATCATGACGCTTGGTGGACCTCGGCTTCTCTCTTCCGGAGCGTTTTTTCCACTTGGTGTTGTTTTCTCCTCTTAACGTTTTTGCTACTGAGGGTAATGAGGCTAGAGACAACGGCCCGGTGGGAGCTAATTGCTAGTCTACCGGTTCTCTTCAGCGTGTCTCACACTAATTATCGCCTCATTCTACTGATTTTCTTTTTACCGCGGATCATTTTATTGAATCCACTTGATCCATAGCTTGTTTCCTCTTGAGAATCTGTCATCTTTTCTCAACTGTGGATCCAAGCAAACAAGGCATTCAACCAATAAAGTCTCCACAATGAGACAAATATCATATCATCCAAGAGTCTGCATGAAGTTTTTGTCAGGGGAAAAGAAGCAGAAGGATTCTCCTTTACCCAGAATCTCGGGATCACCGTCGTGGTATTACCGTTGTATTACCCAACCTGTTCACATGCGAATCTTGAGTAACTGCTGGAGTGGAGAGGATTCAATATCTGAGCCGCGTATGGTGATCTTGGTAACAGATCTTGGCGAATGTGGGTAAAGGACCAGGATCAGAAATTTTACCAAGACTCGGGAACGGTTATCCTGCCGAATGATAGTCCAGGATCATTAGAGGTTCTCAGGTAAGTCACCGTTTGATAGGCAAGCGCGCATGAACAATTCTTGGATCTTCAGCGGATTGCCCATCCGGACGTCAACCGTTACATTAAAGAATCCACTTTACTGTACATATTTCATAGCATAAAAAAAGAAATCACGGGTCATTGGACATCCTTGGTTAATGATCGTCAAGTTGCGCAACTCGGTTATACAGGCTATGTAACAGCCCGGAAGCCAGCCGTCGCGTCGATCCCTCGTACATTATCGGGTACAATCCCCTTTCATTGCTTATGTTCGCGTTCTCAACAATTGGTTCGTTTTGCTTCCTGCAGACACAATGGCTGTGCTTAGCTTTGTGAATGTCGCCCTCTTGGGGGTTGGGTATATTGCTTTTTGCGCTTTGTGGCAGATTGTTCGGTATCGCTTTTTTCATCCTCTCAGCAAATTTCCTGGGAATTTCTGGGGGAGTGTTACGAGGCTTTGGATCACGTATCATAATGTCAAGGCTGATGAATGTGCGACGTTCCAAGAGCTTCACAAGAAGCATGGTAAGATCACCCTGTTCAAAGATGGATGAAGTTATTCACGCTTTGTAGGACCTGTTATCAGGATTACTCCTACTATGCTGCTCGTCAGCGACGCAACGCAACTTCCCAAGATTTACAACCGTCACGCGAACAAGTCAAAGCACTACATCACCGGAAGTTTTGGCAAAGATGAATCCCTCTTCAACATGCAAGATTCGGTCATGCATGCCAAATACAGAAAGATTGCAGCTCCTCTCTACAGCTTAACCAACATAAAAAAGATGGAACCGTTAATTGACTCCAACATCGAGAATTGGATGGCTCGTCTGCAGCGAGAATTCGCCTCCACCAACAAAGCATTCGACTTTGCGCCTTGGGCCGTGTTCATGGCTTATGACATCATTTCAGAAGTTGGCTTTGGTGCTCCCTTTGGGTTTGTCAAGGAGGGTAAGGATGTTGAAGGTCTTATTCAGGGCTTTCATGATGGTCTTACACCATTCGGTATCATGGCGAGGCTGTATCCTTTTACAAACTGGGTCAAGAGTACTTTCTTGGGCAAGTACATGGTTGCTAGTCCAGAGCAGGATTCTGGCATTGGCACTTTGATGAGATTTCGCGATCGCTTGATTGATCAGCGTTTCAAGGATATTGAGAATGGTGCGACAAACGGACGTATTGACTTGCTTCAAACGTAAGCAGCCTCGTTCCATGTCTCGCGCTACATGCTGACATAGATCTACAGGTTTATTGAGGCCAAGGATGAAGATGGCAATCCCTTGGACATCAACTACATCAAGGCAGAAATTCTTCTCGTCCTTCTAGCCGGCGCTGATACAACAGGAACAGCCTTCCAAGCCATGATGATCCATATCCTCACCAACCCATCCGTCTATAAGAAGCTCATCACCGAACTTGACGACGCCACTGTCGCTGGTAAACTCTCCGAGATGCCCCAGTACGATGAAGTCGTCGAGCACTGCCCCTACTACATCGCCTGCGTCAAAGAAAGCATGCGTCTCAACCCCTCTGCACCAAATATCTTCCCTCGCATCGCTCCTCCAGGCGGTCTTGAAATCTGCGGCCAATTCGTCCCCGAGGGTACAGAAGTTACATGCAACCCATGGCTCGTGCACCGAGACCCCAACATCTACGGTGATGACGCTGAGGTCTTCAAGCCTGAGCGTTGGTTAGATGAGGATAAGGCCAAGGTTTACAACAAGTATAGCATGGGCTTTGGATATGGTGCTAGAGTTTGTCTGGGCCAGGATGTTGCACGTATGGAGCTATACAAGGGCCCTTTGCAGTTCTTGAGGAGCTTCAAGGTTGACTGGGTTGATGAGACGAATAGGGGAACATATGTTGTCAAGGGTGGCGTGAGTTACTTTGAGAACATGAACATCACGATCCAGAGACGAGAGGTCACAGCATAGATTACATAGCTACTACTAATACTGTCCCACCAAGCTATCTACCATCAGATGCCACGATACTGCGTGATTCGTTCAGACTTCCCCCTCCTTGACCGAAGAGCTTTTCATAGACCGCAACTGAGCAAGCAGGTCTTTCTGCACGAACTAAATAACCACGAAGTTCGCAGGATCTTGCTTCTTGACGTGGAAACACTTGTCCGCCTCGTCTTTCTCTTGGCCAAAAATGAATGCTAGGTCATTAAGAAAATGACTATAATCCTTTACCGTGTCTTGGGGAGTAGAGTGCTCGGTCCACTGCCTCTTGCTCTCAAGAAACATGGATTCTGTTGCTAAGCTCATTTCTTTGATATTGAAGTTGAAGAATGTGTTCAAAAGCGTGATGTTTATATTGTTGGTGTTGGAAGATTTGAGAAGTAGTATTGTTAAAAGTAGACGATACATAACAGGAAACCTGTGCGATTTTGAGCTTTTATAGTTAGACCGGCCCAGTTAATGACCATTAGTCTTTCTGAGGGATCACAGCTGAGATGCGATGCTTGACATAACCGTCGTCGCAGTCGTCAAGAAGAGCAAGTCATTTTGCGGGTCCTTTTGCACAAAGGCAAGTACAACGTAGTCGTCTGATCCCTTTTTTCTTTTTTTTTTTTTAACGTGGAAATACTTATTATCCTCCTTTTCCTCTTTGCCGAAAATGGCTCTCAGGTTCACGAGGAAGTCATCATAGTTCAGGATCAGGTATGAGGGGATAGTGTGTTCAGTCCATTGCCTGTTACTCGCCCAGAATACAGATTCTGGTACTAAACTCATTTTGTTAAGTTAAAGAATGTATTTCAAGTGGCAATGTCTCGTCGCCGATGTTGGAAGAGTGTAGATATTCATATGTCACATTTGAAAAGGAAACAAGGAAACCTTTGCGAATTGGAGTTTTCATAGTTTGGCTAGACCGGATCGGTGAATCAATATTAATATTGATTAGCTTTCAGGCCGAGGTGCGATCCTGACGCCACCGTCCCTCTGATTCCTCAACTCCCGCAATTCATATTTTAAATCCTTTTGCACCCAGGACACCACAGCAAAGGTGTCACGATGCTGATGCGTGGCGTAGAACTGCCTGTTCTCCTTCTTTTCCTCCTTTCCGAAAATAATTTTCAGGTCCTCGACCAAGGCCTCATAGGTTGGAACCACCTCACTCCTGGGGACAAGGGCTATGGTATATCCTTTGGAGCTTTCCGTGAATGTGCGCTCTTCTGTGAAGCTCATGTTGTGATTTTGGGGTTTGGTTTTGTTTGGGAAATTTGGGATTGGTGGGCTGGGATTGTAAGATTTTTAGCTTTGTCAATGTTGAAATGTTGGTGATGTTGAAGAGAACCAAGAAACGTGCTGGGTCTTGGGTTCTTATGGGTGAGCTTGCTCGACGAGTCGCCATACAAAACGGCAATGGAAGTTATTCACGAGCCTCTACTCTAGTCACTGCAGTGTAAACTGTTGCTGTGATAAAGAACACTAAGTTCTGTGTGGTGATTATAATCTCTCAGCCACAGGTCTCAACTGCAAATAACACATCTGTGATAAAGAACACAAGCAGGTTAAGGGGGGTGAATACAAGCCGTCAGCCATAGGTCTGAGCTACGAACAACACATTCATGAAGGTGCTTGATATCTCTGAATATCTATCGTGATAATCCTGCAGTGAAGTGGTACACTAATGACCTTACATTCATGACTAAGTAATGTGTGGTGATTAGGAGCTTTCACCGACAGGTCTCAACTGCAAAGAACACATCTAGCTCAAAATTTGCACATAATACCACAATGCCTCAACACCTGCTGCAACATATATTGCAAAGCAAACTTAGATTGTGCCTCTTTTGCCCGCTTTAATAGGTATGAGATGATCCAATTCCTCGGCCAAGGCAATGCTAATCCTTACATTCACGACAAGCAAGAGTCTTATGAATGACAATTTAATTAAAGCCGGGAAAGCACAGAGAGACCAAAGCAGCATGGTTTAAAGCTCCCCGATTTGGGGAAATTGTCATATGATCAATGTATTCCACTACTGATGAGCCCTTCAGATCCTTGATACGTTTCTTAATCATCCCTCTCTAACACCAGAGTCCCCCCATGCCAGAAGCTCAGATAGCAAATCTCTTTGTTGCCACGACCTAACGGCATAGTGATTGTTGTCTAGTTCGTAGATATGGTACTCGCGTTGCATTCCATCCCCGTCATAAATGAAGCTCACTGCGACGTAAAACTTGTCAAGGTCCACGACGAGATCTTTAGGAATTGTATGGTCGGTAAACTGCTTGTTCACAGCGCTGGTGAATGTTTCCCATGCTACACGAGGCATATTGTCTCTTTGGTTTTGTGATGTTTAGAAAAGCTGAAATGTGTGTGTTGATGGTGTGACATGTATTTGATGGTGGGCTTGTGTTTTGACTTATCGTTGGGCATTTGAGGGAGGAAGATGCAATACTTATAGGGAAAAAGAGAGCAAGGGAACATTCCGCTACGATGTTCAGGTACAGTCCCTGAATACTGCTGTCGAAGCAACTGTGACAAGAATTCTCCACTGAACAGGCCATCTGACTGATGAGTAAATGTGGTGCCGGTGTCTTTCTGCTCTGAGTCACGTCTGTTCCAAGTCCATATCGCTGCGTAAATGCCCTAAACGTCTCCGAACCCTTGCAGAGCTCTCCTGAGCCAATCAACCAGAGCTTTCGAACAACATGATTCAACGTCTGGGCGAGTATACTGTTACACCGGCCATCTTGAGAAATTGGTACATAGTGATTTACAAACCACAACTCTTGTATCTGGCTCTTAATCACCCCAAATCATCATAGTACAGTATACAGGACAATGCGGTGTTGACGAAGTCCAGTTACCTCTCGATAAGCATACCTGAATAAGCCTGCGGTGGTAGACGAATTGATCAGATGTCTAAGAAAAAGTGCATTCTTTATCATTCACAGTAGTTCCTTTTCTCGAGAGCTTATTGAAAGCTGAAAGACTGGAGAAGGACTGACGCCTCCTGCAAGATGCCGCATATATGGCACTTGGCAGCGTGAATGACTGCCTTATAATTCAGGTAGCTGCGGGTTTTCACAAACATCCAAGGTTACCAATATCGCAGAAAACATAACAATTCTGACTACTTTTATCTTTTCAACCATGAAGCTCTGTATTCTTCGTGGAATACTTTTCACTGAGAGGCTTAATGAGCCCTGGATTGAGAACCTCCGGGCGGGTGAGTGACCTAATTGAGGCCCGGCTAGATAACGATCTGACATGTAAAGTCTGAATTGAGGGGGACAATTTGAATCGCACGGCCGTCTCTGGTGTCGAAAGATGGAGAGAATACGATGATATTACTTCTATAACTGTTCCAACAAATTCCCAAACTCGACACGACATCCACTCTGGGCCGGAGAAGCCAGGGACGTGGACTTGACACCTCACGATCCAAGACTGTGTTCGTATCCCGATGAAGCCAATGCACCCTGGAGCTATACCTTTCATGAATCATGCTGGCGCATCTTGACCAAAATTACAGACTAAATCTAGAGGTCCTGTTTGCAGCTTGTCTTTCTATGCTGACTGACACGAATACCCTGCTTGATTGGGGACGTAGCTACGGGGGAGCTTCTTCGCTGAAACAGCAATTCGGCATGCCTGTACGCACTAGTCGCTTCCGAGCCCTAGAGTTTATACCTCAAGCGTTCCGATTCGATCCGTACTATGTTCCCGGCCTTGTTGATGCCTTCGAAAGAGCTACTCGTCTACAAAACGACGTCTTCTTGAGCCATCTGAAACCCAAGGTACAAAACGACAGCTTCTCTTGCTTACCCCCGGAACTTCTACAAGCAATTATTATCCTCTTACCGACATCAGACGTCCACTCTCTTCGTCTTGCCTCTCCTGTCTTTGCGACCTTGAAATTGCTAGAAACGTTCTGATCATCACGCTTCCAGCTTGGTCACGAAATCGGGCACTTGCCTGAAGCTCACGAGCGGCTTCCTGAATCATGGAGGACTTTGTATCTTTCTCTCAAGACTTGGGTGGGCAGTAGTCCAAGTACGGCTAACCGCCATCGAGTTTAGGGGCTTGTCAAGCGCCTTCAAGCTACCCTGACTCAAATAGACGGCGTTGCTTGCCAAGGCTCTCCTTTGGACACCTGGTTCGAAACCTTTCCTGGTGGAGAGTGTATTTCTGGCTTCTGTCTGATTGATAACCATGATCAGTCTCATCCTGTGGGGTACCAACATGAGGATGACATGTTACAGTAGGCTTCTTCGCCTTTGAATTTTCGACTGGGCTGTTATGTGAATAGGATAGTGGTGCGTCCTGCATCATTATCCTTTGCTTAATGACTGTGAGAATACACATACCCTACCTGTAATCCTGAGTGAGAGTTCGAATTTGATATACCTGTGAACGACTACTTCAGCCATATGAATAGCTGTCAAGACTCGGTTTGCTTTCACAGTCGATGTTTCTCTGAGTCACCTCACTGATGCCATCATGTTACTTATATCTCTTGGTCACCTGCGGGTCACCATACAGGTGCTAACAATCCAGTGACAACTCTCGTAAGACTATGCCTTCGCCTTGCATCCATTGTCAGCCCAAGCACCGCAGCAGTCCGTGTAGTCTGTGTCCTCATTCTTGACTTCATACACTTTAAGCACCTCATCCCCAATCACAGCTGACCATGTCAGTGAAAGCTGTCAAACATCTGGAGTGGAGCAACTCACTGGAGATACTAAGCTGCTGACCATTCTCACGAGTCTGTACACGCCAGCTGACTCGAGGTTCATCGAGATCAGGACAGTCCCATTGGTAAAAGTCTTCATTGTCGGCGAAGAAAGCTGATGCACGCTCGGAGCAGACTTTGCGGCCTGAGTGCCAGAGCTCCATGGTGATGACGTCGTCAATGAAGGGTCTGTTGTGAAGATAGGTGCGGACAGCTACGCATTGGTCTTCAGTGACAGTACGTGTTTAGAGCTGGTTCATCATCTGGTGGCCTGAAGGATGAACGCCCATCGCACTCGGTATTCTCACAGCTTGTATTGATTACAAAACGCCAAGATAAATCAGCATTGAATGATCAAAGGAATGCCTCATGTTTCTATGCTGTGGTGTTCTTCTCATTCCAGATTGGCTGCAAACTCATAGGGACGGCCGCAGGATGTGATGTGGCAAGGTTCGTTTATGGACTGTTACACTACCTGTATGAGATGTCAAGGAAAATGATGCGACTGACCCTATCAGCTTTCCCATATTCAGTCCTTGCAGAAGTCTTGGCTCATCCTCTGTTTCTCTTGCGAAGTATTCGAGAGAATGGGTCTACATGGGGCCGGCCCATATTGTACGATTTTACCCAGCAGGGTCCGTCAGCATTGTGTAGATTGCTTTTCACCTCATCCCTGTAAGAATAAGCTTAAAAATCAAGCTGCGGTCTGTGGGTGACGATCTCCCGCTGCAGACGGAATCTCGTAGCGATGATCCGAGGGGACCAATAGGCGTTGATTGTGCAGCACGTCACTTCACAGTCACAGGTCTCAGAGAGAAGATGACGCGTATTGCTTAACAAAGTGATGGCTACCAATTGTCTGGCCTGGTTAAATTGAATTAAGCGGTTCACATGTTTCATTGAATAATTGGATCAATATGGGAAGCAGGTATGTGACAGAAACAAGCCTTCAAAAAAAAAGACAGAATCAGTTGAATTAAGACAATAACAAAACGACCTTGATGGTTGCTGATAAGTATTTGAAGAAGCTCAAGAGTGCCAACGCTGTCGTAACTCATAAAGGTCGCTATCCGAGAGCGCAATCCCAAGAAGATATGAAGCGGGATATTTGCCGTCAACTTAGCCCAGGATAGATTCAGAGTATGACCACTTATAAAGCCACTGAAAGAAAGTATGTATGACTGTGGTTCTGTCCAAAATAAACTCCAAACGTAGTCGTGAGTACACTTGAGTAGAATGCGACAATCCGTACTGAAAGCATAAAACGCAAGGCGCTGATTGTTTGATGGCATAGTAAGATGTGGAATAAAAGAGAAACGTAAGGTGTTATAGTTGTTGACTTAGACTACGAACTTATTGGTGAGAAGCCTGGGGACAAATGCGAATAAGTGCTGAAAGCATAAAAAGCAGCGCTGGTTGCAATATGTCGCGACTCAGTATCAATACTGGCCATAGGTCGGAAAGTAAGAGTAAGCAAGCGCTGGCGAAGGAAAAGCATAAGGCATCGCTATACTTTGCATGAAGTAGCTTGCCGTCATTGCTTGCTGGTATTGCGCAAGATGCGCGGCGATGTAAGGATTGTACTGCAGTGAAGGACTGCCAACACTTGAACTTGAAGTTGATGGACTGCTTGGCTCGCTCGAGGGGAGGGGCTTTGGTACAGCACCCTTTTGATACCCCTTTGACCGGTACTTAGCCAGACAAGCTGACTTCTCCAACCTCCCTGGGTGGTAGACCACATCAAAGTCCCCAGGCGCAGAAGAGTTGGTGATTATACGCACTGGGCCAGGTGACCCACAAACGTAACCCTTGTTCAAACAGAACGGGTATTCTTTCCAGGGACCCGACGATTGAAGAGCGAGCTCTTCCTTGTTATAAAATTGTCGCGGGTAAATAGACTGGCTTGACACAGGGCTGGCTGGAATTTGCCTTGCCTGTTCCCTTACTTGGCTTGCTGGGATTTGGCGATACCACTTGTCCAAGACCAGTTCAGAGAGTGAATAGTAGGAGCAGTCTGAAGCACTCTCCCACTTGTCTTGTGAAGGTGGAGGGGATGGCGGCCCTCTTTGGTTGTTAAGCTGGTCCAATTGACTCAGCGCTTCGAAGGTAAGAGCAGACATTTGTAATGAGTCAAGTGTCGCTTAGAGAGAGTTGAAGGTGAATATCGGATGAAAGTCGAAGATAAAGAGAATAGCGGGGGTATAAGTTAAGCGGAGGGCAAGAGTCAAACTCTTTGCTTGCTGTCGCTGTGTTCAAGCCTCAGGTAAATGTTACCAAGCAGAGATTGTAAAAAGGCCAAGACAAGTATGTGCGCTATGCTGACAATGTAGGCCAAAGTGTGAAGACTTGCTTCAAGAGGAAGGTAGATGTGTAAGGCGTCGAGAAAGATTGACTTATCAAAAGAAGAAGATAGCGTTGTGACATAAACACAAGCTGAGAACAAAAGACTTGAGACTTAAGCAACAGGCAATTGAAGAGCATGAGGAAGAGAAGTTGAGAAATCAGGAAGAAGGGGAGAGCCTGCATATTTATACACAGGGTGAACAAAGTTTCAGAATGAAAGGCAGCCCTCAACCCTATGCCCTATCAATTCTAAAAGATCGTGGACACGAGAAAGGGATCATGCACGTGTATCTTGCTCGATCTATCGCCGTGAACAAAGAATAAGTTTTGAGTCTGTAATAGATTTGAGTCAAGCTTAGTTATTGAGAAGCGTGAATGGACTCTATCTCGAAACCTCCAGTGAAAAGTGGTCATTTGAAAAGTCAAACTTCCTGTTGTTGAGTATATTGGGCGCTTTGATAGGTGTTCGAGACTAACTTTCACAACTGTAAGAACTTTTAAGCTTTCTGTTGCAGACTTTGATTCTGTGTTTCAGGATCTCATTGGTCGTCATCATATTATACTAAATATGACTCTTAAATGAAAGACGTTTTCAAGGCAATGTGAGACAGACTAGGATATAACACCTTGCTAATATGACACAATAGAATTTTTGATTCGCACGCAAGCATCTCTCTGTGAGATGCACGTCGATTTGCCATTAACCAATGGCTCATCCATACTTGAACCTAATCCCCAGGCAGGCAGAGCATCCCCTTCTGTGAAGTTTGGTATAGAGTGAGTTGAACCTAACAAGCTTAAGAGTTTAGGGAGACAGGATCAACCAACGTTCAGGAATTGAATCATATTGGTGAATGTTGACATATCTTTTCGACAAAGTATATCATGACACGCTAACAGAATGTCGCATACGTGGTCATGGGATATTCAGCGATATCGCGTCACTGTGACAACAAACTAAGACGCTACGGAAATAAGGCAGAAAAACTTAGATTATTTTCATGATCACATGGTAGACAATAAAACAGGTGGCGATGAACTACGTTATAATTGCTTCGTAGTGTCCTAGCTTCATTTTGATTCGTGTATCTTTCCTAACACTAGATAGTCTTTCTGGTCTACCATACATATTACTTTTCCATCGACCAACCTTTGTTAGCTTTCATGCCTTCTCTGGTCCTTGAGCATATTGCCTCCAAAGAGGGTTCTCCAATAAACTCTCCATAGCATTATTCTCCGTACCAACAAACACCTCGACACCAGGACCCGCCTCAGGTCGATCAGGCAACACGATATGCATGGAGTGAGTAACTCCTACCGATGGTGGTCGAATAGCCTTTATCTGACCACCCAGAGCAGGACCCCATTGGATGTCGTAGAAAGGAAACTCTCTCCATGATGAGAACAAGGCATGGTTGCCTGGCATGTCCAAGAAAATGGCTGGTATCAATCGAGACACGTTACCAAGACCATCCACAAGGGAGCTAATGGTAGCGAGGTATGTGTCCTTTGACTTGTTGACTGCACCTCGGACAACAAGCGCAATGTCTGCTAGACTGATATCTTCGTGTTCAAGGACCTTCTCGATGTCCATAACAGCTGGTGCAAATCCAAGGATGTTACCAAGTGTATGCTTGTGAACCGGCTTCCCAGCGCGACGACGAGCATCAAGAGCCAGACCAACCATAGATGGTCCAGTTGGCCTATCCTCACCCTCCTTCTTTCCATGCTGGGCTATCATAGTGCATCGCCAAACCAGAGCAGTCAAAGCATCCGTCGTGGAGATGTAAGAAGAGATGTCGTCTGACTTGAAAAGCTTGGCGTTGCGAGGTGCAGCAGCCTCTTTGAGTTCTTGAATCTTCTCAGGTGAGAAGTAAAAGATATGACCGTGGTGAACTGGTGAAGCCAGCTTTGGTGGGGGTCCTTCAGGCGTGAAGGGTATTTCGATGTACTCGGGATGGTCTTCAGGTTTGCCAACGATGGTATCAGATGGCTTCATCAACTTAGCTCTGTCGTCGCAGGGAATCTCGACTGGGTTCGTAATAGACAGGCCTTGAGCTTTGCGGACTTCCTCGGCGAAGATCTCGGTGAACTTGTATGCCGTTGTTCCATCGATGTAGGCGTGAAGGAAAAGGACGTTGAGAAGTAGGCCTCCCTTGATGAAGTTGAGTTGCACCATAGTAGTGTTCAATCGATCTCCAGCACGAGGCCATTCTCCGCCTAGACCTCGTTGACAAACAACATCAGGGTCCAGAGCTGAAGTGGGATAACCGCGACGCTTCAACTCCTCAAAGCTAGGAAAGTCCTGATCACGAAGATCCTTGACAATAAAGTCATGTTCAATCTCATCGCCATAATGACGAAGCTGCAACAGCCCGGTCTCGAGATAATCAGCAGTAGGCACAGCCTCACAACCAGCAATAGGCGTACGCTCCTTGAAAGCAGAATAAGCCCTCTTGAGAATAGAAGTTATCTCCTCAGCATCATAACTCTCACCAAGCTCGAAGTGAAGAAGACTTCTGATCCATCCCATAGGCCCAATCTTCTCAGTAGGAAGTAAAGGGGGAGCGAGATCAGGAAGTGGAGTGACCTCTTCGGTAGCGACGGTCTTGGAGTGGAGAACGGGTTGGTCGACGACCAGAATTTCTGTTTTAGCAGGAGCCATGATGAAGGATGGGAAAATGTGGGTATGGTTTGTTTTTTCGGTTGGGTTTTGGTGGAAGGGGGCCTGGCTTCTAATACTTGGACAGACAAAGGTGTTTTTTAGAGGCGAAGGTCCCCACGCGGAGATGGACTGTTTGGGCTTCGTGTTGTCCATGTGCGTTTCAGGGCGTGCTGCCGAGGTGGTTACATTGTTGCTTCCTAGTATGAGGATCGACGGTGTTGGTTGAGGAAGTTAGACGGGGGCCAAGCTTTCTTGGGCCACTCGGTTGGAATAGAAGCCATCGACTGACCTGCCTTTCGGGTCAAGCTGAGAACCATTCAACAGATTTGGCTGTCTGATTGACCAATGATATCTTGTCATTTTATCTAAGGTACCCGAAGAAACGTTGTGTCGGCGGATTGCGTGTTCCTAACCCATAAAGCCGCAGCCAGCAATCATGTTTCAATCCCAAAATACTTAGACAAAGCAGCATTCAAAGTGGAATCTGTCGCAGTGGACCTCTATGTAAGTTACAGTAAGCTAGTGTCAGTATCCACGAACAAACCTCGGACCAAATCCGCCATGCCGGAGCCGTTAGTCCCAGGATCTCCCTCAACCCCTTTACCCGTCTTAGAAGCTAAAGCCGCGATAGCCTCTAAATTCAGATAACGCGGACCAAATGAACCCTTCAATGAAACATCACAGGCATTATCGTGGAATCCAGCGGGTCTTGTCTGCATACATAAACGGTTGCACATGGACCAAGCCCTGAAACGTGCTTTTATTCGGCTGTAAACCCTTGCAATATCCGGCCGGAAGTATGACGCGGTACAGGGATCTACTTCCGGTGGTGCCATTTGAGAGCCGCAAGTTTCGTCTTGGCAGTTCATCTCCCGCTTTGAGAAGAGCTGGACCTTAATCCGGGCACTATTGTACCTATATCGCAAGAGCTTTCGGATATCAAACCGCCGTCAGACAGTGACTTGAAGAGAATAAAGTTCAAAGTCATGTTTAAAACATTTCTGTAAGATATTTAGGACAGGACCAAAAACCCCTCGAAGGATTTCCCATTCTCCATAGCAGCCAACCGAAGGTAGCATCGAAGTGGACTCCAACCCCGTCAAAGCCTGCACAAACTTTTCACAAATGGCCTGTTTACGAGTTTGACTTCATCTCCGCGTAACCGTAAGTAAACGAAAAGAAAAACGAGCCCGCAACGGCTAGAGATTTGCAGCGAGAGCATTGCCACTAGAAAAAGAAACGAGGCTCAACTCTTGCCGGGGATGTTCTTCTTTGGACTGGCCTGGGGGTTTTGGCCATTTAACTAACCAACACCCATGGTTCTGTTTGAACCAACGTTTTGCGTGCAGCTAGCCTGATAGCAGCAGATATGGAGGTTGACCCTAACATCGTGGCCATTTTCGGTCCACCGCCGAAAGGGCTGGATCTTGAGAAGAATGTTATCACGACTTACAATGTTGTTGTCTGCGTTGTTCTTGGCATTGCCGTCACAGTTGTCGCATTACGATTTTATGTGAGGAATATGAAGTCGGCGAACATCGAGATGGACGATTGGGCCGTGTTGGTCAGTCTGGTAAGTACATTGGACGGAATGTTCGGACTTCTTCTAATAAGGATTTAGGTTTGCGCTTCGGCGACTGTTGCGATGACGATATTGGGTAAGCTCGCTCTCGCGATACCTTCGAGGTCTGGTGCTAAAGGAAAATAGCTGGAGAGCATGGCTCGGGGGCTCATGTCTGGTCAATCAAGCTTACCACTCTCGTCAACGTCTTCAAGGTCCGTTTACTAACAGCCCACTACACTCACTCAATCCAATACTCACCAACCTCAGATCGTCTACGCCGAACCCTTCGTATACGCCCTCGCCGTCACATCCGTCAAAATCAGCATCCTCCTCCTGTACCGTCGCCTCTTCCCCCTCGGCATCGACAAAAACCGACTCTATACAATAATGTTCTGGATAGCGACTTTTCTGACAACCGTGTACCCATTCATCCTTTGGATCACCATGCCTTTCGCCTGTCGACCCGTCAGTCATTTCTGGAACCAATATCTCGGCGCTAAGGGCAAATGCATCGAAGTAAAGCTATTCTTCCTTGTTCTTGGAATCATGAACATGATGAATGATATTATCATATTGACTGTTCCGATACCGAGAATTTGGACACTTCATATGAATAACAAGACCAAGATTTCCATCATTTGCATTATGCTCCTTGGAAGTTTGTAAGTGACCTCGTAACATTGAGGTAATATTCCTGCTGACTTTTTGCAGTGTCTGCGTCGCTAGTATCGCGCGCATTTACTACCTCTGGGGCTTCTTCCAAAACCTCGATGCAACATGGTGGATGGGCCCGTCATTCGCCTGGTCCAGTCTCGAGCCCTCCGTCGCAGTTATCTCCGCCTGTCTTCCCACGCTAGCACCTTTGTTCCGCATCAAGCGCATCAATTCGACTTCACGCGGTACACCATCAGGACCGACCGACCTATCCAAATCTGGATCGAAGCACTTCCAACTCTTCAGTGTGAATAGAAACAAAGGCAATGCTTTCGGCAGTGATGACGATGAAGTAGAGTTGACATACGATGTTGGAAGGGGAGGGACTGGTGATGGGTCGATCTGGAAGAACCAAGGGGGTTCGGCTGCTGAGCAAGGTATTGTCGTACAGACTCAAGTTTCAGTGACACATCAAGACAGGAAGGGCCGTACCAGCACTGATTAGATTGCTGTTTTCAATATAGAACATACGGAAAGAAAAAGAGGCTAGGGGAAGTCCACGCTTGAAGTTGGCCAGTAAATGTAAATGACAAGCAAGTCAGCACTCTCTTATATCGTTTTAGGTTCTGTTACTGTACACTGCTGCGCGCGCTGACTTTCTATGACTCGCATGACTTGACGCGGTTCCCGATAAGGCATTAGCACTGAGTCAGGAGGCCTCTAGAGCCATTAAGCGCTGGCCGACATACCCTGTACCATCCGATTCGGTGTTTGGGCCTCAACACTCCATTGATATTAGGAGAATTATTGTCTTAACTGAAAACAATGCAAACCCTCAGAATATTATACATTCCTCAAACCCCTAACACTTTACCAGCGCCCTCGCTTCCCTTTACTAGCATGAATTTGAACAAGCTCCTTTTCAACGCTGACGATCCTATCCTTATAGATCGATCGCATAATACCAATAAAATCACAGACGAAACTTAAAGCACACTAAAATACATTTCTGTTTCTAGAGCTGAAGTCCTGCCGGTCCAAGCTGAGTTGGTGCTGAGCTTGGGCTGAGGTGACTGAGCAGGCACGTTTTTGGGGTCGCATACCCCGGTCGGGATCCCGTAAGGGACCACATCTGGGACCACATCCCCCTATCCATAGCTTAGTGATTGAAAAGTGGAAAAGTAGATGAGTTACAGAGGAAGCTTTCAAAAGTTTCAGCTACGCTAATAAGTAACATATACTGCAATCTCGCCCAAAAGGGCAGGCAGTAGTCACCTTGGTCATTATACAGCTTTAATACTTAGCAGAATGCCAACCTAGTTAGGAAAGTTAAGCGATCTCCTGATTACATTAATCTATGAAAAGAAGCCTTATATAGCTAATAAGTGTATAAAGGAAATATTTATATAGCAGAGTTTCCCAAATTCAGACGGATTAATACAGCTGCGGCGGGTATAACAGTACGTATTTTGAAATCTGTCACAAATCATAATATCGCAAATTACAAAATGCGGTGAAGAAATTTTTGTTGTTTTTTATATTTACTCTTAACTTATCATAAATACCTCATTCTTGGTGCCAACACCTTTTCTGTGTTAATTATTCCGTTCCATAGTTATCGCCCTACAAGATTGGACCTTCGCTCTATTTTCTCATTGCTTTCCGAAAGATTCCCCTTTAGTCCTTCCAATCGTGGGTCATGATACACGTGCTTTGTCATTATCTTTTTATCCTGTAAAACCAAGCTCTGATAATATTGCAACCCATCTTCATTCCCACATATCGATTTGTATCTTTTCCACGTAACACCACCGCTGAAAGCATTCCGTCTCCTCCCTCATGAAGCCTACACCTATCGAAAAGTTACTGTCGTCATGGGAAACCTCAGAGCTCGGGACCACTATTTACGACCCACAGACTCCTGTTGATGGACCCAGCTTATTTACTTGGTCCTTACGGAAGATCAAACGTCACTTTGGGTCACAAAACCCAAACTACAAGATTGCGTGTCCCTGTCTACCTCCAAGTCGCCTGTCTGTATTTGCCCTCGAAACGAATCGTCAAAGCCGAAACGGAGAGCAATTAAAACGGCTCGTTGCTCAGGACCCATTCTTTCTGGGTCGTTCAGTGCTTGGCCAAGAATCGGTAATATTGCCAGATATTCGTTGCAGATTTACTACCTATATGGAAGTAGAACAAGGCACAGTACTCGTACTGTACTCAAATAAGTCCGATGGGAGCCACACGGCCAATCGAAGTTCACAGTCCACCGGTGGCCAAAAGATCCCCTTGTTCCTTTCAGCAGGATCTAAAGCAATATTACCTCCAGGTTCAACATTTTGGCTATTCTTCCAGGAGGACACCTTGCTTACGACAGGGTGTATCGTTCCGCCTTTACAGGGACCACGGGCAATCGCCCGCGGCTTGTGTAATGTTTGCCAAGATATTCCGTTCGACAAGCTCAACTGTGAAGAAGGTACAGGGCATGCTCACCAAGAGAGCATTCAGCATCTACTCTCCTCGAGCGAGAGATGTGAATTATGCGAGCTTATTCTCGATACCATTATCGAAATCGAAAAGGAACACGAAAGGTTCGACTACCCCATCCGGCCGGAGTTGATTGAAAATTCGAGTAAATTGAAGGAAGCGCCGGTCAATGTACTAGAATCGATCGACGATTCTGGTGAAGGTCAATTCTTCACAAGACAACAACTTTCCAAGGAGAATAACGTCCTCGTTGGCATGGTAGCATGGAGGAGCCCTTTAGCTCATGCATTTGTTGAGACAAAAGAGGGGCCTGAGAATGATCCTGATGCTAGTTTCTCTCATTTGGTACCTAGCAAGTATGATTCAAAACCTTTGATATATGGGAACTATTGGACCTTGAATGGGATAGAGAATTGTCAACCTCAATTAATTGGCCTGGGAGTTCGGTTGAGCCGAGGCCCCGAGCTGGAGGTGATGAATGGCAGTCAAAAAATAGTACGCTATCTTTTTCGCGGCAGTCAGATAAGGATTCTCGCTCCGGCAGGTATGTATCAAAGATCTCAGACTCTTGCGCATGCCAACTAACTTGCCGATCATACAGATACTCCTCTCTACAGGACTATCCCAGGCAGGCTACTACATCAGCGCTACGATCAGGAGGTTCCGGCCATAAAACTAATCAGAAATTTTCTTGTTGGTTGCTCCCAGGCACACAATGATAGTTGTGTATTGCCTGAGACGGACCTTCCCACGCGGGTTCTCGATCTAAGCGAGCTGAGAACACACAAACACGTCAAGCTACTAGTAACTGGGAACATACGAGGACAATATATTGCTCTAAGCCACTGCTGGGGTTCATCGCAGCCACTTCGAACCACGTTAGAAACTTTCCTGCAACATCAACAAGGTATTCCCGTAAGGCTTTTACCATTGACATTTCAACATGCAGCTATTATCTGCCATCAACTTGGCATCCAATACCTTTGGATTGACTCACTCTGCATAATTCAAAATGACTCAGCAGACTGGGAAATCGAAGCAGATAAGATGAGCGAAGTATATACAAATGCATGGTTGACAGTTGCTGCATCTTCCTCAAAAGGATCCGATTCTGGTTGCTTCACCTTGGAACAGCCTCCGGCGGCGTACATTTCATATGAAAGCCAATCAACGGGAATGCACGAAGTGCGCTTGCCGAGCGTAAAACTCCCATTTCCAATCGAGGGCTCATCGCAAACCTCCGTCTACGCTTGCAAAGAATGGATGCCTCCTTCGTTCCAAAGGTATCCATCCCTTTATCAAATTGGAAGTTTCGGGGCCTATATTGATCCTGTTGGAGATGAGCCTCTGAATCAACGTGGCTGGACACTTCAAGAACGTTTCTTGTCGCCTCGCATTGTGCACTTCACATCTAGTCAAGTCTTTGTTCAATGTGGCCGTGAGACAGTGGCAGAAGACGGAGCTCGATTTGAGAATGTAATGTCTAAATGGGCCGTCCTCAAGCACCTTGAAAGAGATCCTGCAGTTAATGCGAAAGTTGCACCATTGGAGAACAGATACGAAGTGTCTCGACGTTCTGGAGGATGGAACTTTCTAGTTGAATCATATAGCAGGCGTCAATTGTCTTTTGAGACAGATAAATTGCCAGCAATTGCTGGTATGGCTCGTTGGCTCCAGCAACAGACAGGTGAAACTTACCTCGCAGGGCTCTGGAAAGAACATATCTGTCAAGACCTTCTTTGGAGAAAATATCCATATGAAGAGATGCAACCTGTGTGGGCAGATCAGTCGAGAAGACATCTTTATGGACCTGGAAAACCATTGCTGCCGTTCAAAAAGCCAAAAGCATACCGTGCTCCATCATGGTCTTGGGCATCACTTGATGGATCAGTCAAGTTTGAGGCATTATCGAACTCAATTTGTAGCTACTATTGCGATTCATTCCTCGAGTATCATAACAAGAGTCATTTCGGCAAAATACAGTCAGGTTGGCTAAGAATCAAGGTAGGCTTATCCACAAAAACATAGCTTTATAATGCATCATCACTAACTGCTCAGAAGGCGCCTCTTGTTGAAGTCCGACAGTCTAAGTCTCTGTCTCAACCTTTTCCCAAGACTGCGATTGACATCGTGCTGAATGGTCGGACTTACCGAGGACATGCTTACTTCGATTTTAAGCCCGAGCTTCCCTGTTTGGCAGCGATGATTTGCAAGTCTAATTGCTTACTTCTAGAAAAGGTAGCATCTGAACCTAACAACTTTAGGAGGATTGGTATTGCTCAATTAGATAGAGTAGCAGGACTTGGAGTTAGTGTATATGAGGATGACAAGGTCCTAGCTTCTGATTTAGAAAGCGTATCTAGTTTTACAATTATCTAAGTAAATACAGTTTTAGATATCCTTTCTATTGAGACAAATGTGACAGCATATTAAAACTATAGACTAGATTTCTACTTATTATTTACAAATTAAAGTAGTACAAAACCTTATAGTTAGTCCCTTTACATATAATAGCTAGATACTAAAGATATAAGGTATTAGAGGAATTTTATGCAGTCAGAGTGCTTAACTTAAAAAGGGTTATAGGAAAGATAATATCCAAGATATAAATATATGACCCAAATTAACACAACTTCAATAGATGTTCTTCTAGCACTAGCTTCCTCGATATCGAATCGAGATAATGAATTTTCCTTTGAAGTATTACCTCTGCAAAGCTTGAGAAACTTGACATGGTATCTATTAAGTCGAGCCTGCCAATGCTCACCCTAAAATATCTACGCACATCTAAACAATAGTCTCATTAGATAACGCCGGCTTACTCTTGGCTTTCAGCTATCCCAGAATTTCCCCCTTAAAGACTCGAAAGACTCCCTCACCGAGATTGTTATGGGTATCATCAGATTGCTTAATCAATCTGTATGCATTAGGCCCCCAATTTCTGTAACAAACGCGCCTGCTGAACTAAGCCAGCTCTTCAACGAGAAGATCAAGCCAAACATATGAAGAGAGAAAAGTCCCTCAAAGCGTATTGTTACTCCTAAGCCTATGGCTTCGTCATTCTGTCACGGCTGAAAGCCTCTATGCTACCCTTGTTCTCGAAGAGATATTTGGGTCTTTATGTGCCAAATGCCCTTAGCCTGTAAAACCTAGTCAATAATAAGATCATAGCTTCAACCTTCACTACGGCTAGGTTATGAGCTTGCGCGATGTAGTGGTACCGGTAAGATGCCCCACTAAGAATCAGTAAAAGAAAAACATAACACAAAGGGATCTCTGCTTAGGGTTTCTATTGCGGCTTATCGCGTAACCATATCTTGAGCGGAGTGATTCCTTAGGCGGAGCTCATGCTCGACATAATCCAATAGCGATACACTCAGTTCTCGAGATCGAGGTGCTTTGCATCGGAACTCAGTACTTTCAGACATACAATGGCTCAATCACAGCTTCCCAGAAATGAAAGGATTCAATCGCAGCCAAGTTCTGGGACTTTCATTAAACGATTAAAACTTTAGATCCTAATCCTAAACATACTCTGAGGCCAGCCCTGGTTAGGGTGCCATGACGTTAGTAGGCGGGGCGACTTAGAGGTTGAAGGCCCAGAAATGGGAATAGGAGCGACACTGGCCTACCGCTTAGCTAGAGGGGGGATTATATCTGATGCGAGCTGAGGGGGGGCTGAGGGGCTGATGAATAGCTGAGCTGAAGTTAAGCCAGCGAGTGAAGAGGCCATAAAAGCGGCAAGCTGCGGCAGGCTACGTGTCACTTGAGTTTTGTCTCATAATACCGTTAAAACCAGGGTAGAATTTGCGCTGTGCTTTCTCCTGGAGCATGACAACTTCACGTTCAATTTCACCCCTTCTTCGCGCCTTCAACTTCTCCTTCACGTACATTACGTATCCTCACGGGACCATGATCAAAGTATCGTCTTTCTCGATGAACCAAGTGAACCAAGTCAAGTAACGATTGCCACCGCGCTCTATGGCTACGAAGTAGTCAACGGCGCCCTTTCGTTCCTTCCAGAGCACACCATAACCTCGCATACCGATCATATGGGTGCCATCTCGCATTGCCTGTTTATAGATAGCGGCCGTTTGCGGATCAAGGCGCAAATGGTTGGTGGCGAAGCTCGTGCGGCCCTCCGGGGTAAAGAGTTGAGCAAGCCGTCTGTTTGCCATGAAAGCAGGTGGTCCGGTCATGGAGGCAGGTGATTACTTCATGGGAAGAGTTAATTCGGGTGTGTAGGGAGGTGGTTCGGTCGTGTAGGCAGGTGGTTCAATCATGTACGGAGGAGATGGCTGTGTTACCGGTTTTTTGGCAACGCGCTTCCTTACCCACTGGATTTTCATAAAGGGCATCTTACCGTTACTTCGTGGAATTCGTTAGAATTCGTAAGATAGATAGATAAGGAGTCAAGCAATTTATTTTTTGAGAAAGGGTATGTGCTGGTATAATAGATAAGTAAAGCTCTGTGAGGAGAGAATGGAACTGCCATAGTGCAGAGGGAGGACGTCTATTTAAAGCTTTTCTCTGTCTCATAAGTTACCCACTCCTAAATGTTGTTCATGTTAAGCCTAGGCAGATAACTGATATTGCTTAATATGTACCGTTGAACTACTTGGTAGGACAATTGAACATGTTGGTGATATAGTATTTATGTACAGAGTACCGAGTAAGAAAAGCTCGAGTTTGCTCGAACTAACATACGCAGCTAATAATACTTGTTGTTTGTATTCAGGATATATCGCATTATTCTGCTACTCACAATTATGTGTATTGCATGGGCCTGGTCAATGGTTGTTCTTGAGTGTCCTGTAAGGACTAGCAAGCCATGATTGGTGGATGACACCGGGGATACCCTTATCTTATCAGCTTATCACTTCCTCATCTCAGCACCATTGTTCCTTGAGACCTTGACAGAACAACACAGATGCAATGCAGTCAAAGCTCTGATGTAGAAGATAATGATCGATAAAACATTAATCATAGTAACGGCGCATCAACTATTCCTTGTTGGAGTACAATTATTGATTTTAGAGTTTGACATGACATAATCAGCCCCAAGTGGCTTCAGCTAACGGATCGAGTTCCCCTCTCTGATGATTCCTCCCTTGAAATCCTCAACTGTTCTCTCATCTCGAAGCAAGCCTGTTCAGCCGTTCCAATTGCTGACCCTCTTCTAAACCTCGTTCTCGCTTCGAAATGTCGGATCACTTTGACAGGTTCCCCTTCATCAGCTTGCTGAGTGGCTGGGGAGTCGTCAGGTAAGTCTCCCATACCACCGAAACACGGAATTGAACTGACTGATTGTTCCTTGCACAGTGGCCCTGGGTTATTGTAAGTTCGCCCATAACGCTTGCCAATCGTTCATAAACTGATTGCATGTAGTATGCTCCGCAGCTTGGTATCCGGCATCTCAACCGCGACGGTCGTCGGCGTCTCAAGCGGTATGGTCGGCAGCATGATCTGGGGCACAGCAGGCCTACCCTTCCTCATCGGATCATCTCTCGGTTTCGCCCTCGGTAGCTACCGATGGTATGAGGTTGCGACTAGAGAAGCCATGGTTCAGCTGGACCTCTACCCAGCATTGCTGCAAATGCATATCACCTCCAACTTTCCTTGGGTGCCGGACCTGCATAGCAAAGGCCGCGATTGGTATACGGCTGAGACGTTTCGTAGATCGTGGGTCATGAAGAGTATGTTGGTTGTCGGTTGGCTTTCGGCAGAGTCGTCATTACGTGAGATCAGGGAGCGGAGGGAGACGAGATTGATCGAGGAGTATGTCGCTGCTGAAGAGGAGTCAGAGTGAACCCTTTCGTTAGCGAACAGCCGTGTACTAGAACACTTGACTTAGCCAACGTGTCGAGTCAGATAGTTAACTGACCGAACAGCGCCAATGTCTCTCATCTCCACGAGCATTGGGTTGTTTGGCAGGGTCGGCGTTGGTGACCTGTGATTGGATACCATAGCAACGCGCCGGCTTGAGGAACCCCGCTTTCGAGATGGCGTGTCTCGATCACCTTGGACGTTGCATGAACAAAGGCTCTGGACAGATCAACAAAAGAACATGTCTAGTATCATATCATTTTCTGGTTCGATTGAACAAGAAAAGATACAAACGCCACTTTCAGACACGGAATTGTCTATTTAAACCGAGTGAGTCGCAGAAAAGGTGGTTGAAACAACAACGCTGACATGTTTAGCTCATCTGCATCACCACAATATTGGATCCACCATTCTCAGCTTCAAAACATGACTTCGAATGCTCCAACAGCCAAGCTGGCCGTCCTCATCGACGCAGACAACGCAAGCGCTGCAATGGTAGCCTTTGTCCTCGCAGAATTCGCAAAATACGGCACCACTTTCGTCAAGCGCGCTTACGGCGACTGGACCAGCTCCCGATTGAACAGTTGGAAGCCCCAACTCCTCCAGAATTCAATCCAGCCTATGCAACAGTTTGCATATACTTATGGAAAGAACGCGACTGATTCAGCTATGATCATCGACGCCATGGATTTGCTATACTCTAACAAATTCGATGGTTTCTGCATCGTGTCAAGTGACAGCGACTTTACGCGTCTTGCGTCACGCATTCGTGAGTCGGGACTGGTGGTTTATGGATGTGGAGAGCGGAAGACTCCGAAGCCGTTTGTCACTGCGTGTGATAAGTTCATTTACGTTGAGAATCTTGTGCCGAGATCTGGGACTCCGTCAATTGAGGTTGACGTTGCTGGAGCATCGACTACGATACCACTCAATGGAGTCTTGCCTAGCCAGAGACCCCCAGGCGGTCACGCACCGATTTCAGCGTTTTCTAAGGGAAAAGCACTTTTGATGGACTCACCAGTACCTGTCCGGGGCTTGTCTTCTGAGCAACCCTCTCCAGGGCCTTCGAATCGTGCACAAGTCGCGCGCCCCTCTAATAAGATTGATTTCCAGAAGGGCCGGACGGACTCACGGGCGAAATACAACGTCGAATCATCAGCGGAACCATCCAGTGCACAGAACATCAAAGCCGAGCCCTCCGACGCAGGACCACCCATCCCCTCATGGACTAGCACAACAAACGGCAAGCGCAAAAGACTTGACCCCGAAACCAACAGCCCAGCCCCAAACAGACCCCGAGCAACATCCCTCGAACCAAGCGAACTGCAACCTGAGCAACGAGCAGTTGATGAACAAGTAATCGAGTGGCTACGCGAAGCAGTCGAAGCAAGAACCGGTGAAGATGGCTGGGCTGGTCTTGCGGCTGTCGGAATGCTCATGAACAGATGGCATCCGGATTTCGATGTTCGAACATATGGGTACAAAAAGTTGCATGAGTTGATGGCGTCAACGGGATTATTTGAGTTTATGGATCGGAGTCCGGGGGATGGGAAGCCGATTGTCAAGTATGCGAGGTATCTTGTGGATGGAGATGATGGGGCTTCGGTTGAACCACCTTCGGTTGACCCAGCTCCGGTTGACTCACGTTCGAAGTAGATTTGTCTTTTTGATGATTTTGATGCCTGATTTTCCATTTGTAGTCTGATATTACATGGATAGCGGGCGACTTAGGAAAAGGATAAAGAGTAACAAATGTCTGTGTCTTGTAAATCTATCTCTCTTATGCTATGCCGAGTAAGAATGTGCGTTCTGTGAAGCAATTGGCTATGATTTGTGGTATAATGTCTAAATAGGGAGCTAGATGCGCTATTTGTAGTTAAAACCTATGGCTAAGGACTTATAATCACCAAACAGAACTTAGTCGTGGTTTCCCAAACAGAACCAGATCTGAGTCTCAACAACTCTCAAGATGTAGTCTTTACTAAACCGCTCAGCATACCCTGTTTATCAAAGAGAACAGTTGGATTGTCTCCGATATATAAGGTCTGTAATTATATCAACATACATAAAATTCAAGCCTTACCCCCTTTATATTATAAGATATTAATATCACAAACTCCTCCAAAGAAATCCGTCACTCCTTCTCCGGCTATCAACCCATATACAAAAGCCTCTTCTACGAGAGAAAATCCTCCGTCCCCTCGATTTACGCAGGATAAAGGGCGTCTCTCCACCGTATAGAATAGCCACTTTGTCACCGACCTGTGCGTTCCAAGGTGCCAATCCCAATAGCCCCGATAAGTTACTTACAATGAACGATGCGCGCATGCATCACAGATGCTCTTTATATACCTGCCATATTTCTTCTTATTTTCGGAATTATCCCCCCACGGCTCTCACAGTATCTCACGAAATCCTACAGGGACAGCTGAAACAGGTCGCTACGGCGTTGCGTTAGCCCGTGATATGCACAGCATGATCTTGATAATTACTTGTTCCATCTATGGTCGTGTAGCCAATCAAGGCTGGTTCAGTTTCTGCTGCCATTTCGGATGATTATTCACGAACTTCAAAAAACATAACAAGCATGCAAATGTCAACAGGGAGATGAAAACGAGGGAAGCATCCTGGTATGATAGTGTTCCCTGGTCATCCTTGAAATCAGCCTATAGCGCTGAATAGCGCATTGCCAAGATATAAAGAACTTCAGCTAGGCGCATCTAGCCCTGGCCATCCTCTTGGCAGACCACTCCAGTGCAGCCTTTTTCTACCACGCACCTATAAAGTCACGCTGAAAAAGCCTAGTTATCGCCATGTGAGCAATTTCTAAGGTGTCCGCTTCAAACAGTACCAAGGGACGGCTTGGGCAGATTGTTCACGAATACCAATCTTTGAGTCAAGGGCGGACGCTTTATTCCTTTACCTTTCCTACAATGGAATTATTAACTGTGAAGTCTTATCCTGCTAACTCTGCTCTCACGGGATTGGTCGGTAACTCAGACTTGCCCGTATCCTGCATCTCGGAAGCTTCTACACTATGCGCCTGTTTGACACCAGCGGACGGCTTACCATCTCCATCAATCTCAGCCTTTTGATACCCGGAGTCAGTAGTATGAGTCACTGCCCCGGGTGGCCTCTTCGTCTTCTTGCCAATCAAGAACCCAGCTCCAAGACCAAGAAGGATAAGACCAGCTACACCAATTCCCGCGCCAATACCTGCCTTTGCACCAGTCGAGAGGCCACCCTTATTTCCAGAGCCGGAACTTTCTTCACTTCCGCTAGAAGAGCTTCCTCCTTGCTTCGAACCCTCATCTTGAAGATCTGCTTCGTTGGTCGGCGTGCTGGGCTTGCGCTCTGTTGCAGGCTTGGTATGGTTCCCGACACACTTGTATGAACCCTTGACAATGTCATTGAGGAAGTGCTCATCGAACCAAGAACAATCCATGGTCTTGTCGCCTGCGAGGTAGAAATCCCCTGTAATGACCTCGAGACTGAAGAACTCGACATTGGTAAATGGCCCAGTCATGTTGATGCTATCAGCCTTTTTGAGCAAATTGGCTGTAAAGTTGAGAAGGCGAGGGTTATCGTGAATCTGCAGGTCCTTCACGTAGTTCAGCCTCGGTATAGAAAGGTCGTTTAGTGCAATATTCTCATCGATGCCAAGCGTGCAGTTTGCCGTCTTGAGACTCGGAAGACTAAGCTCAGAGAAGAAGTTGGATGTGAAGTTTAGCTTGCCCTTGAACCAATCGACATCATCGCCATGGACTTCGGTCAATTCAGGCATACTGGCATTGACGAGATCCCTAAAGATACCTCCAGCATCGCCACCGCTAGTATGAGTCGCGGGATCGCTGCGACCTCCGAGCTTCTTCAGGTTGGGTACTGAGAGATGTGTATCCCTTCCGTTTTCCTTGACGCGCAGCAAGCCAACTTCAGGGAGAGATAACGAGATGTAATCGAGATCCGAGTTACTTCTGATATCGACCGTGTAGTTGACAGACTTGAGATTATCCAATACCACACGCTCCAATCCGGCGTTCCCCCCAATTGTGATCTCACGCTCAACCTTCTCTGCAGATGAGGTGAAAAGCGCTCCGCCGGTGTCCTGAAACTCAACACCTTGAACATTGATACTCGAAACAGACGTAACGTTCAAGTACAAATTGCCAGCCTCAGACTGACTTGTCCCAGAACTGATCGTGAACCGTTGCGACATGTTGAGCTTCGGGTCTGTATTGATCGATACGTCGCCCCATCCCCAATAGGCAGCCAGCGCATCGATGCTTCGAAGGGCTAGAAGGGTTATATTTAGATAGCCCGGCGTCTTGGTAACTTTCCCTCTTGCGCCGTACATGAGAAGGTCGCTGGTGATGTTCTTGAGGGTCGAGCTGTAAAACGTAACATAATCGTCCGGGAAGTCGTTGTTGTACGTGATACCGCCGATGAGAGTCTCGACGCCAGTCATGTTGATGGTTCCCGTAACGTTGATGAGATGGAGGTCGCCCGTGTACGTTGGACATGACGCCGCAAGGCTCGATATTTGTGTCGTCTCGGTTATTGTCGAAGTAGTCTCGGCGGAACAGTCTAGGGCAGTTAGCCATGAGTGACGCTGTTGAATATGCAGTATGACTTACCAGCAATTACGCTCTCCATATGCCCTAGTAGGCATAATAGCGACCCCAAACGGGTCGCGCTTCTTAGATGGACCATATCTGGGTCTTCGCTGTTGCAGATGCGATGAGAGAAAGGGAGTCAGGCATGGATGCACAACGGGGGAAGGGGTCTTAAGGCATGCCAGTTCCTTCGCTTCAATCAGCCTTGAGTAGTCTCAATTAAGCTTAAACAAGACGGTGGCGTTAACTAGCATTAGCCCGTGGGACTCGGTAGCCCAGGATGCATTAGATGGGAAGCAAAGCAGCACAGAGTCAAAGGGCATCTACACAAGTCGCATCTCCCAGAGACGGTCAACATCAGCAGAGTATTGGATAGATATAATTGTTTACCTATTGACGTAATCTTCTCTTGCGGTCCTGTTACGACACGCAAACTGTCAATATCTGTGATTGTGGCAGTCTTGGCGTTGCACCCCTGCTCAATGAGGCTTTCTGTGAGGGCTTCCATTCGATGTCATTTTTCAGCTCGGATAACGTGGCTGGCTGTATAATTAAAAGCCACCCACCAACAGTATGAGTGGTCCATATCGCAGCAGGCAATCAAGACAATAACACCACCAAAAGAGAAAAAAAACATGACATTTACCATCTGTGCAACATCGCGATTAATTACACAAGCGTGATAACCGGAAACTCATCCTGCGCTTCAAGCTCCGGCCGTCGCCCCAAACCCTTCTCATCAACGAACCCAAACCCCAACCTCTCATACTCTTCACCCCCCTCAACTTTCTTAACCATCAATGCATAATAAGTCTCTTCGTCCCTTTCCTTAGCCTTCAGCAAGACGAGCGCAAAGAACTCCTTCCCTTCTAAACTCTTCACTATCTTCAATGCTTCTTGCGGCGCATCATCAGCCGTAAAGTCAAAGTCGAACCGCGAATCCGTCTCGTCGTGTGCTGTACGAACGGGAGGGTTATTATCGTAAGCATATCCTGGTTTCGTAGGATCCCAGTCTTTGACATCGAGATATAAACGCTCCATCGGCGCTTGGATTTGTATCTTCCCGGTTGTGACCTCGCCGTAGATGTTGGTACCCTTCAGGTCAACCTTGACGTCGAGAACCTTTGCAATCTCTTTGTAATCTCCCGTGACGCCAATGCCAGGAATTCCATCCATAGATGCCCATGACCAAGATGGTGCTCTGTATTCCGCAACACGCCTGCATCTCAGGCTCTGCCAAAGTAGTCCCTCTAAAAGGCGTGATCGCCAAAGACCAACGATGTACTCGTCGTTAAGACGTTTGGCAAAGATACTAGCGAGACCAGAGATGGCGGGCAGTTTATCCGAAGCCTTTGTTAATTTTCGAGGGCCATATATCCAGAGCAGGCTGTACCATGACTGATACAGTCTTGCCTTAGGATCATCCTGTCGTTCTTTATCGTCAGGCTCTTTTCTTTCTTCCTGCCCGTCTGGCATATCATGCACGTTCTCGAATCTCCAATCAAGGAACAAACCATCCTCCCCGCGAAATCCCTTACTACACTCAAAAAACATCTGCTGCTTTGTATAAAGCAAAGTTCGACACGACAGCACTCTTTCTTGAAGAGCCCAGCCTCGATCAGACAGTGGTTCATCCGGTAAACTTATATAAGTACTAGCCCCAGATTCTTCGTTGAGCTGAAGATTGAACGCCATGGCCTGTCCTCTAAGCTCTCCTGATGTGTACTCAAACGTCTTGTATTCCCTCGATATTGTCTCGCTGAATAGTCCTTCCGAGTGATCTTTTGCTTTCGAAGCAGCAATTGTTAGATAAGAGTTTGCGTAGATGGAGAGCATTTTTGATGATTCTCGCTCCCAGTCGTCGTAGTCGCCTTGACAGATGCAGATGCTGTCTATCCAGAGATATCTCACACCTAGTTCGCGTGCTAGTTTTATCACGTCTTGTTGCGTCTGCGATAGGTCGGAGATGATGATTTGACGTTTGCGTTCTTCAAGGGTTGCTTTGGTGGTAGTGAACTGCGGCGCTTTACCCCAGCAGTAGCTACAGAACGAATATCAGTGTAAGTCGTGTTGGTATTCTGCCTGAGAGTGATACCTGAGAGATATGTATTTTCCACGTTCCTGTCCGTCTGTTTCGCGGAGCTTCGCATAAGGACTGTTGATATCATCGCCCACGTCAACAACTCGACACGGCAACAGCGTCTCTCCGGGGCTGCAATCGGGATGCTTGTTGCATTTATTTACCCAATCGTGAGCCCTTGATATAGCCTGAACAGTTCCGCCATGTTGTTCAACAGGTCGTCCGCGAATAATTCGTGCCAGGGGATCATCTAGAAACATCAGTATCGCTATTCTTGAAGAGTATCTCCAACCTCACCGTCTGCTACACAAAGCCCAATGGCTGCCACAAGCCGTACATTTCGTTTATTCTTGTCATCCGTCGTACTCATAACCCAAAATCCATCCCCTCCAACCTCTCTCTTGACAATCCACATTTCCCATAGCGGCCAACCGTACTTCATTATTGTCCCCGCATCCCACTGGGGCTTCAACTCCTCAAGCTCGGACTGGCATAACTCGACCTGACTGAGAATCAAGCAACAAATACCGCAGCCTTTACTATTCGCACCATCACGTAGAGCTTCGAGACTTTGATGATGTAGGTAGCCTCGGCTATCCTGGGGCCAGTGGTGAAAGTCTTGGAGATATGGATATCCACTGCTGGACGGCCATGACTCAGGTGGGACTGTGGGAAGGTTCTCCCAGGGAATTTCTCTGCAGAGATCGCATAAAACCATTTTTCTGTATCGTTGGAGTTGAGATTCATGCTTTTCGATAGGCAACAGCGTGAAACTCGAATGTCAGACACAAGCACTGATGCCTGAGGCATGAGCTGATAATTCCCGCTTAACGGCCGGACTGGGCTTCCACTAGTCGTCCAGATAAGATAACCGCTGTATATATATGCATATTGAAGAACACATATAAGGAATATATTGTTTCACCTGATCTCGAAATATATGTCACCGTCTTCTTTCTTATCAGTAGTGATTCACTAAAAGATTCTCTATTATTTGGCCGGTCCAGCTGTGCTATACTGCTAAATCTCGAAAACGGTTCAAGCAGCAGTTTACGCATTGAGGTCAGCTACATACTCGAATAAAAGCCCACTTCCACAATTTTCGGATTTTACATATATCTATCTTATCTTTCATCTAGGTTTCGCTACCCCATTCTTGAACATAGAAGTTCAGTAGACTGTGAAAACACGCATTGTGGGACCCCCACTTCTGGCTTATGAGAGATACATCTAATATGAAAAATATATAAAAATACGGATTGCCTATTGGGAAACTATAATCTTGTGGTAAACAAACTTCTCAACACAAGAGTTTCTTTCTCTAGCTTACAAGGAAGCCTCAAGTTTATCTGTGAACAGAATCGGCGTCCGCCAAAAGTGAGCTACCCTACACATTCCTCCCCAGGAGGCAAGCTGACATTTCCCAGTGTCTTCATCCGAGACAGAGGCAATCACTTCTGTTCTCCACGCCTACGGAACAGCTCTAAAAGACCGAAATGTCAAGCAGACAGTCGCACTCTACACCAACGATGGCGTAATAATGCCCCCCCACTTTAGCGCCAGCGCAGGCACGGAAGCTCTCACAGAAACCTATGAGCGAATCTTTAACAGCATTCAACTCACCATCACCTTTGGTATCGACGAGATTGTTGTGATGTCGCCAGAGTGGGCTTTTGCAAGGACAACAGCAGAGGGTACAAAGACTATGCTGCAGACCCAAACATCAGAGCCTCATTCCAACCAAGAGCTGTTCATTCTGAAGAAGGTGGACGGGAGCTGGAAAATAGCGCGATATGCTTTTTCTACAATGAAACCACTTGTGCAGGATGGTATTCGGCGGAGCTGAGCGAGATGTCCACCAGTCAGAGGCTCAGAGATAGTGATTAGACCTGATCGGAAGTCCTCAATAAATATGTTTATCACCGTATCACACATCCATTGGCCAGTTCGTTGTGGTGAACGTTTCCAATAAACAAAACATTCAGAGATTATCTCCGGGAATGACAAGGCTTGCGAGGTTCCGCAGCTAACTTCTTGGTGTCGTTTCATCCCATTCTTGGCAGTGTCAGAGTCATCCGCGTATACATCCCTGCATCACATCCCCAAAACACAAGAATCGGGATATTTTAAGTTTGCCGATACAAAAACACTCTAACAAATACGACATGTAACAATAGGCGTATTTCTCACGTCATTCTTCAGCGGTGAATAATCAATCAGCCCATGCCTTGAACTTTCAGCTACCGGCCAAGCGTGCCCAAATCGGACCGGACCGAGAAGCTCCGCAGAACAATTCTTCCGTGGAGCGCTTACACCGATGGAATAATATTCCCCGAAGCTCTTGGAGGCACTAGTTCCAGTGCCTACTGAAACTCAAACCCAAAATTAAAGGAGTACACCAAATGCCGAGGCAGCCGCAAACTATAAGATCAACACAATGTCTTTTGTTTCAAACATGATGATCTTTAACAAACCTCATAAACTCTATCGATAATGTGGAAGCTTCTCGTCAGCGGCTTCATCGCCGTCGCGTCCCTCAGCGGCGTAAACGCTGCTTATCCTAACCCTGGCCCCGTCACCGGCAATACCCGTGTCCATGATCCTACGGTTGTCAAGACTCCTAGCGGTGGATACTTGTTGGCTCATACAGGAGACAACGTTGCGCTCAAGACATCTTCTGATCGAACAGCTTGGAAGGATGCAGGTGCCGTTTTCCCCAATGGTGCGCCTTGGACTACGCAGTATACAAAGGGCGACAAGAACCTCTGGGCACCTGATATCTCGTACCATAACGGCCAGTACTACCTGTACTACTCCGCCTCTTCATTCGGGAAGCGCACCTCTGCTATTTTCCTTGCCACTAGCAAGACCGGTGCCTCAGGATCATGGACCAACCAAGGCGTCGTCGTCGAATCCAACGACAACAACGATTATAACGCCATCGACGGCAATCTCTTCGTCGACTCCGATGGAAAATGGTGGCTCTCCTTCGGCTCCTTCTGGTCCGGCATAAAATTAATCCAACTCGACCCCAAGACCGGCAAGCGCACCGGAACAAGCATGTACTCCCTCGCCAAGCGCGACGCCTCCGTCGAAGGCGCCGTCGAAGCACCCTTCATCACCAAGCGCGGAAGCACATACTACCTCTGGGTGTCGTTCGACAAGTGCTGCCAGGGCGCTGCGAGCACGTATCGTGTTATGGTTGGACGGTCGAACAGCATTACTGGGCCTTATGTTGATAAGGCTGGTAAGCAGATGATGTCTGGTGGAGGAACAGAGATTATGGCTAGTCATGGGTCGATTCATGGACCGGGACATAATGCTGTTTTCACTGATACTGATGCGGATGTTCTTGTTTATCATTATTATGATAATGCTGGTACTGCGCTTTTGGGTATTAACTTGCTCAAGTATGATAATGGCTGGCCTGTTGCTTACTAGAGGCGTATCCTTGACCTCGAAGATGGGAATATTTGGCCTGTTTGGGTGGTGAGCTGGGACCTCTTTGTACATGCATTGCATCTTGTAAATACTTCAACTTCGATATATATACTGTATGGCTGTCTGCCACGAATAACATATGAATCTACAGTAATTCAAGTTCTCTTGTAACAGTGTACGCTTCTACGTATCAATTATCTTGATAAGTATATAATACAGTACCGGTAGCATTGGCAATGCTGACGACATTGCTTCAGATTCCATGCAATGGGCGCTTCTCCAGCAAGTTTCCCAGAGCTCCCCGGACGCTCCTCCAACACTAGAGATGAACAGGAACCAAGCCGAGCGATCGTCCCACCTCGTGACCAAAACGTGGTTTAGTCGCCCCACGGTCTCGGCAGGTAGCATTGGAGTTTTATACGAGGTCAGTTAATTACCCAATGACTCGAGCGCTTAACCACCCCGCAACGCCGATCCCCCAGAGTCAATGCGGGGGAAACATCTTGACTTTGCGCACGAATAGAATTACAGCAATGAATGGTTTACCCCGTGGAGAAGAATGTTCGGTCCGTGACGGGCCGGAGAACTGGTAATAGGGTAATAGTTCCAGGAAATGGTGACGCTTGGCGATCTTGGTGATGATATATATAGACCGTGTAAGTCGCCATTCGCAGTGATGTAGCCAACAGAGAAACAGACCTTGCAAATCTGAGATCAGCATCCCCATCATGCGTCTTCTATCTTTGCCCAGCCATCTCCTCGTGGCTTTCCTAACCCTCAAAGAGGCTTCATCCCTCGCCCTCACAAAACGCGACAGCCCCGTCCTTCCCGGTCTCTGGGCTGACCCCAACATCGCCATCGTCAACAAAACATATTACATCTACCCTACCACTGACGGCTTCGAAGGCTGGGGTGGCAACGTATTCTACTGGTGGAAATCATCAGATCTCGTATCATGGACAAAGAGCGAGAAGCCGTTCCTCACTCTCGATGGTGCGAATGGCAACGTTCCTTGGGCTACTGGTAATGCCTGGGCTCCTGCGTTTGCTGCTCGTGGGGGCAAGTATTACTTCTATCATAGTGGGAATAATCCCTCTGTGAAGGATGGTCATAAGAGTATTGGTGCGGCGGTGGCTGATCATCCTGAGGGACCGTGGAAGGCGCAGGATAAGCCGATGATCAAGGGAACTTCTGATGAAGAAATTGTCAGCAATCAGGCTATTGATCCAGCTGCTTTTGAAGATCCCGAGACTGGGAAGTGGTACATTTACTGGGGAAACGGTGTCCCTATTGTCGCAGAGTTAAACGACGACATGGTTTCTCTCAAAGCAGGCTGGCACAAAATCTCAGGTCTTGAGAACTTTCGCGAAGGCCTTTTCGTCAACTATCGCGATGGGACATACCACCTAACATACTCTATCGACGACACTGGCTCAGAGAACTATCGCGTTGGGTACGCTACGGCCGATAACCCCCTTGGACCATGGACTTATCGCGGTGTTCTTCTGGAGAAGGATGAATCAAAGGGTATTCTTGGTACGGGACATAATTCTGTTATCAACATTCCTGGAACGGATGAGTGGTATATCGCGTATCATCGATTCCATATTCCAGACGGCGGTGGTTATAGAAGGGAGACTACGATTGATAAGTTGCCTATTGACAAGGATAAGGGGTTGTTTGCAAAGGTTACGCCGACGTTGGAGAGTGTTGATCCTAGACCTCTGTAGGTAAAATAGCCGACAATTTATTCATTTATGTGTTATATTGTTTCGGTGAATGGTGGAAATCCACATGGACATGACAGTACTACCAACCCATTTCGACATTCAGTTATCAAATCGTCCAGGTCCTTGTTTGCTCTCACATCGTAAAGACTTGATCTTCCCCGAAAGCCTGATTGTCCATCCCCGCCAGAGCTCTTCGCGACCGCCAACCACGTGAACTCGTCAGTATCAATCCCGACCTTTTCGGAATGAGCAAGAGTCTTGTCCGCCCACTCCTCGCAAAATTGATCCTGCTCATCTAGCAGAAAGTTTAACTTATACTTTGATCTGAAGTATTGAGGATAATTATATAAGTTTATGATATTCTATGATATTTTAAGATAAACTTAGTGGGCTCTTGGGGTAGTTTAGTACGGCCCCTCACCTTGTAGTATAAAGTCCTTTACCTGTTGACTCATGCCGCGGGGCGGGGCGAGCCAACTAAGCAAGCTTAGTTGGGCCCAAAACGGTGGGACGGCACAAAAGGGTGGGACAACTGAAGGGCCCGGTTTTTGGTGCTCTTTAGGGCATTTTCAGTTCTTCAACACTCTCATCAGGTCAAAAAAAGTGAAAATTGTTGGCATTATGAAATGAAGCTTCTTGTGATGATATATTTGCTATTGACTGTGTATGACCGGGCGAAATGACTGCCGCGGCGCCCAAACGGCTTCTTGATTGAGAACGACTTCTCATGCATTTCTCACCTAATTGAGGGGGGTTCTTGTTCATCGTAAAGTGCCTGAGTGGCCTCCAAGGCTTCGGCTTCCTCTATTATGCGATTTATGAAGGCATCATCATATCGGGCGTGGCGTTGAGGCGGGCATGGTGTTGAGGGTATCGTTGAAAGGGGGGACTCGCGGTCGGGTAGGCAGGGCGGCGATGAGGGCATCTCGAGATCTTCTTCATCAGATAGATCGATATCTTCATCCTCATCCTCATCGGCCGGCGGTTGTGTGAGCGTAAAATCGACGGTATCATCACTGCAGAGAAGGCGTGATAAATTTGCTAACGAGAGGGGCTTATCTGCAAAGCGTGCTTTGCGAATAGCCTCACGGGCTTCCGGGGCAAGCTGGGTATCGATTATAAAGAAATCCTCCTTTTCATTTAATTGAGAAGTCATCTCAGCTCGTGAGGAGTCATATGAGGCATATTCAACATCCTTCCCGGTATGTTCAAGCCACTGTTTAAACTGTAACCTCTTCTCAATGCCGTTGACGATAACCTCCTTCTTCTTCCGCCACTCATCTTTTATCTCTCGCATCTGCCGTATCGCAAAAGATCGAAGATTCCGAAGTTGTGAGCGCTGCTGCGCCTTATCTCCTGCTTTTACAAACTCAGTATGTTGTTCTCGAAGCTCCTCCAAGCTCATATTGTGAATATAATCTCCTACCGGTCGTGCTCGCTTGCCGCGCTTTCTTTGGTGATATCTCTTCTCGATACGCGCTCGGCGATCTTCAACATGATTCCTCACGATATTCTCAAGCACAATAGCTTCATTGACGATCTTCCGGACCGATTCTAGTCCCCTAAGCGTTGGGGAGCTCAGAATATCGTGATAGCGGTTGCCGACATCTCTTGCTGTATCAGAGGCCAGAGGAAAGCGATTTTCCTGCGGTAAAAGCGAAGATAACGCCGGATCAATAGCCTTACGAGTCTTCAGCTTCTTCTTTAAAAGATAGCTAACTGCAGGCACCTCAGTGGGCGGGAAAATTCCTGACTTTTCGAAGCCTGTGATGATGTGGGCCGGCGTGAAGCCTTCATCAAAGATCTCCTGAGATAACGAGGATTAGTATGTGAAAAGCGGGGTATTTGAGAGAAGGTTGAAGCTGATTACACATACCTTGAAGGAGCCGGCAAAGTCACGGCGGTTGAAGCTCAAATTTCCCTTCCGCAAAGCATCTCGCAGCCTTTTTTGGTGTGCATTCTTTAACCACTGAAAAACACCAAGATCCATCGGTTGAAGTATGTGAGTTGAATGAGGAAGAAGGTAAGCAACGAGAATATTAAATTTTATACAGTATTCTCGAAAGGCGAAAGAGCCGTGACCGGAGAAGCCGTCGATAACGAGCAACCGCCACACGAGATCCTCTTCAGCCTTTCCTTCCGTGCCGGGAGGCCTGTCATATGAAGCGGCAGCATTAGAAGAGCTTTTTAGGTGCTCGTTACACCCAAACCACGCTTCAAAATCCAGCTGACGATGTTGAACCGCTGCAGATTTCTCCCAAGACTTCCGGTTGAAGTCTCTCGCCCACTCGAGCGTTATATCGCTATTCGAGAATGCCGTATCTGACTGTGCAAACCGCATCTCGAGATCTCCTTCTATATTCGCCCACTCGAGCGTTGGAAAGGCTTTGAAGATAAGCCACGGCGGAGTGGTTTCTCCAGCGGCGTTGCCCGTACCGATCACGGTACAAGTCTCTCGATCATTAGGGGAATATACCTCTGTTGCGGTCTTCTTCTTAGTACGTACAACGAGGCATTGTATCCGCTCTCGCAGTATTCCGACTCTAATACCTGCTTGATCAGCATTCCAAATTTCCGAGGCGCCGATTCTGTATCTCGTGATAACCTCATTGAGCCGCTTGAACCACTGCTTCGTCTCCTCCACGCCGGCTTCCTCATACTCATAGCGCGCTGCTTCCTTCGCCTCCAATATCGAGGTATCAAGCTCAGGATGATCATCACGGAAGCGCTTGTACCACATCTTCCCGACCGGCTCGGTGTCAGGATCACGGCGGCTTCTTATGGTGTTGACTGCATCCACAATCTCGCCTTTGGAAGCCGGAAGACCGGACTTCTGCATCCAAATAATGAAGCACACGATAGCCTCATCTTCATCATCCGAAAGAAGTCGCGGCCGGCCGATATTTGGCTAAATAACGAGCTCATAATCAAGGGTATTCGCATCTTCAAGCCGCTTGATGATCCGAGCAATAGACGACTTCTTAGAGCCGGGATATCGTCGTTCAGCATCGCGGAGAGAGAGAGCCTTCTTTGGCCCGTTAGAAGCATCACGAGATAAGCCCTTTTGGAGTCGTTGGCGTGAAAGAACAACTGCCTGAGCAGCTTGGAGGTTAGGATCTGATGGCATAATGCACTTGGACAAAATTAGTACTTTTTTCACTAATTGGCGTCCAGATTTGAGTGGAAATCACATACAAAATCGATGAAATTCGCGACAACCGGCTGTGAGGGGTTGTCCCACCCTTTTGTGCCGTCCCACCGTTTTGGGCCCAACTAAGCTTGCTTAGTTGGCTCGCCCCGCCCCGCGGCATGAGTCAACAGGTAATACAATTATGCACAAGATAAAATAAAACAGATAAATTTTTAAAATAAAATAGCATACTGTACTTGTAGGGCGAGCATACGATTGAAAATTCGTTGAGAAAAATTGAATATGTAACTTCCTTGAGGTAACACTACTGAACTCCAGTCACAATCGTTTAACATCCGTCTTCTCAGAGGACAAGCCGAATGAACTTATTGGCTAAGATATGCCTCAATAAGGCCCATCGTACTCGTGCTGTTCCTATGGACCTTGACAACCTTGAATTTAGAATCTGCTTCCCTAAGCAACTTCTCAAAATCTCCCCTAGTCCGTTCCTTTGATCCTGCGACTACAAACATACACATATCACACTGTCTCGATAAATGTTCCTGATACTTTGAAACCTCATTCAGTTCTGGCAAGACTTCCTCGTTGATGAGAAGAGGAGTACCAGGTTTGCATTTCTCCAATGCTGGGACGAGGGCCCGAAGGATCTTGATGCAGTCTTCATCTCTCCAGTTATGAAGACACTGACGCATGAAGAACGCACTTGCGTCGGCGATGGGTTGGTCCTTGAAGAAGTCGTGTTGCATAAACGAGACTCTCTCTGCAATCTCAGATGGCAAATTTGCTTTTCCATCTTCCAGAGCTTCAACGCTGGAGTCTTGAACGATAAAGGTCAGATTCGGGAACACAGCCGCTAGGTCCATAGAAACATGTCCACTCGCACCTCCAACATCGACAACCTTCCCAGGAGCTTCAAGCTTAGCCCACTGGAAACCATCGCGAAGTGCAGAGATTGAGCGATCCATTTGAGTCAACGCAGCCATAGCCTTTGCGAAATTGAGGCCTTTCTCAGGGTTCTCGGCGTAGAATTGATACGGCGGTGTGCCATGGCGCGTAGAAAACGGCGAATCAGCATCGGCAGATCCATTCTGATCATTTTGAACGAATTCAGCGGCGTCGGACGCTGCTTTGAGCATTTCATCAAATTGCATCCAGAGTATAGCTTCCATGTCGCTGTCTCTTGCGATGAGCGCTGAGCTTGCAGTGTGAGTGAACACATCTGGCTCGATTTCCTCGAAAACGCGTTGGGTTGCAAGATGCTTGATCACTCTACGGCAGCGATCTTGATCGATTCCAGCTTTGGATGCCAGCTCTGAAATACTGATCTTGCCACCGAGGGGGACATGTCTGAAAATGCCGAAATGAAGCGCAACCTGGTATGCTGCAAGAGTGTAGTGACTCATGAAAAAGGAGCGGTATTCATTTGCTGGGCCGTTGACCAGCCGGAGGAGGTCTTGTGCTGCATCGTTGAGTTGGATCCTGGTGGAGTGAATATCGGCATCGCCTTGAATAGCCTTGCTGTTCTGATCAAAGGAAGGTTCCTGCTGCTTGGTGGCCTGTAGGTGTTGCACGATAGTCTCAGTAGCTTGCTGAACAGTCTGCGCTAGGTGCAGAAGGTTTGAGTGGTTTGTTGATCCCATTTCCCAAGAGATATATCGTGGTTTCTCAATGGGTTTTCTGCTAAGATTGCAAGTAGAGACTGGCTTTCAAAAAAACTGATACCGGCTCTGACCATGCAAAGAGTTTAATATCCGTTTCTCCCCCATCAGCTATATATACCTATTCAATCAAGTTGTTGTCCTCATTACGCTTTTGGCAGATAATGTTGCTGACCACCTAATGTCAGAGCCTTATTCACGGTGTGATAAAAAGATACCGAACGTGCATATCAACAACCCATTTACATGTATTCATGCAGCCACATCACCATGTTTACTGCACAATCTCTCCGGTCTTCGGGTCCCGAACATAAGCGGAAAGTTCATCACCCAATTGAGTTTACACACACTTCTTTCGGCGCATTAATAATCAGTATTAGTATGCATAAGATCTACACATCTACCGTTCGATTGGCTGACATGCAACGGCCTTATCGAAAATCGCCGGTAGCTCAGCCACAGTGACAGTCTTGCTCGCGAACATCGCGCTCTTGTCAAACGCGAGAAACCCTGTACCCTCGTAGCACCCAACATACTCCGCGTCAATCTCATTTCCCTTTATGATGCCGAGATCAACCCAGAGGAGAATATCACCGCCTTGCATTGGGCCGCCGGGGCCGTATGCTGACATGAAGTTACGTCGCAGCTTGACGTGGCCTTTATCCCATCTTCCCATGTGCTCCATCTTGGAAAGGTCGGTCCAGTAGAGGATCTGGGCCTGTCGGATGTAGTCAAGGCCTGGAAATATGCCACCATTGTGCGTACCATTGGATTCTGTACCGTTTGTTGCTCCAAGGGACTTCTCCCCTGCAAATGCGTGGCATGCCCTTGCTGATACCATTCCTTTCTCTGGCCCTGACGTAACGACATTAGTAACCCACTGTTTCGTAAGACTATAGAAGTTTTCGTCCCAGTACTCGCGCTCTTTTTCCTTCATAGCGCTGTAGTCCTGCCCTTCAATAACGATGCAGAGGTTGTCCGGGAACTTGGCGATCTGGACCCTTCCAGCACGAATCTTATCCACTGTGAACTTGGTTGGTTGCAAAGTGGTCAAAGGAGAGCTAAAGGTATCCCCGTCAAAATCAGGTATCATACGAGAACGATACGCTCCCCAATACCCGGTCTTCTCAGTAAGAGGCGTAAGTTCTCCACAGTGACCAAAGCCTACTGGATCTTTGCCGGTCGATTCATGCATAGATCTGGTGGCTGGGAGACAGATTGTTTCTCTCCAGAATCCAGCGTCATCTGGAAGTGACTCCCAAAAGCTTTTCGTAGAGTCGCTTTCCCACCATGACTTGAAGCTTTGAGGTGAGTTCCAGTAGGTCATCCAGACCCTGGAGGGGATATTATTCTGTTCTAAGCGCTCAACAGGGACATAAGCATGCTTGATAAGATTATCGAACGTTTCTATAAGCTCCAGCTTATTGGTGCTTGGAGTATCAGCATGGTACTGGCATCCGAAGATAGAGAGGGCAAAGTGATGCGAAGAGGAAAAGCGCGAGCGAAGCATGTTGACGGAGAGTCGATAATAAGCAGTAATATAATCGCAAATAGGTTATACAAGCAAGGTAAGGGATACCATTAAATTTATATACTACGACTCATAACAGTGCTTCACTGGCAAATGATACTATCCGTTTCACTGCAAGTGTGCCTTCACAGTCCGGATAACAAAATCCCAGGTTTTTGAAAGAAGACCACAGTCCCGGAAATTAAATATCCCAATGCTGATCACCCAAATTCAAGATCGTGGGGAAGCCGTGGATACTTGATATCCGGATAAGATATCCTACGCTAACGTGGCTCTGGAGCGGCGACCATTCTGAAAGGGTTAGCTTCTTGAAATAAAGAGCAGTCTAAGGCCACGTGAAGGATGCCAGTGTGTCATCAACATTCACTGTCTGGTGATTGGGTCAGTAAATGTGAGATCGCATCTAGTGATGTCAATGGGGGCATGAGGTATGTGTAATGAATTCTTGCTATGGTATCATGTGTCCCGGGATGTCATTATAATATTCAGACCTTCGAAGACGAAGTTTTAGGAAAAGGCTATTATAATTCGAATCTATTCTAATTAACTATTTGCATGACCTCCAGGCTAGTCTTCAAAAGTCTACACGCGGCATGTTCTATTTTATGGTATTATCTGTCTTAATTTCTTTACTGGCCCTTACCAAGCAGCACCAGATTAGCTACGTTCATAATAGCAATGATCAGCCATATTACAACTGCAATAGCCGTGGTATACCATGCATTTCGCATTTTCACGTCATCTAGGTCATTCCTCTGTCCCGTCATCAACGTTGGTTGTCCTTCAACATGCAGTCGCGCAGGACCGGATCTAACAGTCATGAACTTATTCCTGCTCGTGAAGTAAATAAGAGGCGCTGTAACAAAGGGAAGAACGATACTCAATGCCACCTGCGAACCATTGAGAGCAGCGTTCAGCCCAGACCGACCCACTGCGCCAGCGATAATGATACTTGGCGTGATGCTAATGCTTCTTGTCATCAACCGTCGTAGCCAGGGACGCATCTTGACATTAAGAGCGCCTTCACTGACCATCTGACCGGCGATAGTACAGACAATACCCGCTGTGATACCAGATAACAGCAACGCCAGTGCAAACAATATTCCTGCTGCGGGAGAGATTGATGATGAGAGTAAATCGTGAATGCTGAAGATATCGGCATCAACGGCATCTGGGTTCTTGTATAACGACGCACCTGCAACGATCAAGATGGCTGAGTTGACGAAGAGGGCAAAGGTAAACAGCGCGATAGCAAGTTCGGCGATGGAGGTCTTGAGTGAGGACTGGATAGCTTCAAGTGACGGGATGTAGTAGGTCTTTTCGGATACTTGATTTCCAGATGTACTGCTTGGGGACGGGCTGGGAGGCACAAGCCCTCGTTTAACATCATACTCTCGTAGACGAGGCTGGACGATACCGGAGCCTAGATAGAGACTATGTGGCATGACCGTCGCACCCAGGATACCGCATGCCTGGTACAACCTAATCTGGTCAGAATACAAATGCTGCATAAATTGCGGTTGGGGACTCACCCTTGCTGCTCAACGATGCTCTTAGATGGCAAATAGCCCTTGAACACCTCTCCAACCGAAGTGTTCTGTATCAAGGACAACTGAATACAGAAGCATATGACAACTCCCATAACCAGGCACAGAATAAAGTACTCGAATATTCTCAGACCTCTCATGGATTTATCAGGGTTGTAGAAGAGTAGAATGACCATTACATCTGCGATGGAGATGGCGCATCCTGCGACGAGAGGGACTTTGGGGAAGAGAAGGTTGAGTGCGATTGCAAAGCCGATCACCTAATAAGTCAAGTTCAGTGAAAAGGACCAGAATATCAGTGGTGGCAGAACTGGCATACCTCTGCGATATCCGTCGCAATAATGGCGATTTCTGCAAATATGTAGAGTATGATGTTAAGCCATCTCGGCAGAAACGCTCGACAAGCTTCAGCTAGGTTAAATCCACTGACGGTACCAAGCTTGATAGCGAGACTTTGGAGAAATATGGCAAAGAGGTTGGATAAGAGGACAATGAAGAGTAACTTGAAGCGGTAAGAGGCACCAGCAGCAATGTCTGTTGAGTAATTTCCAGGATCGACTAGCAGAGCATTTGTAAGCCACGGTCATACAATGAAGATGGGTATATAATAAGGAAGACCTACTATAAGCGACAGCGATCATGAAACCTGGACCGATGAAGGATAAGAATTTGATCAACGTCTTCTTGCATCGTTTGAGACGTAATAGCCATGCGCCAGGATCTCTTCTAGGCGTCGGAGAACATTGCGACTCTGTAGGTAAGGTTACAGGGCCATTTACTTGAGTTTGGCTCCTCTCTACCCTTTGCTCATCCTGGTTGGCTGAGGACATGATGGTGGCCTTGGCGTTCTTGGTATTGGGCTAGGAATGGGTTTCTCAGGAGTGAAAAATGGAAACTACGCTATACTAGAATGGGATCACGTGTCGTCGTGAGACAATACGAGGCGACGCGACTTTAGTGAGTTTACCCCTGCCAAGGAGATGGAAACCACGATAAATGTTCTCAATTGAGATCTGGAGGCGATGTCAATTACGATGCAGTAGTACCCAACAAAGAATCACTGCATACTGGGCTCATCAGCCAGGGTTGGTCTTCTGAAGAAATACCACATTTATTCTAGTCCGAAACATGCATTGTCCTTCCTGGGTTCCATCTTGGCCCTGGAGAGGAGATGCAGCGTAACTAAATTCGGGGTATTGACTTGTCACTATAAAAACGACCTACAGCTTGGAGATGTATCATGGATTGGGGGAGGCGGAGAGGATAAATACTTTTCCGATTCACTGAAGACAGATTCACAAGCGAGTCGGCTGTGCGGATACGGTTCACTAGGACATCCGTATCCGAACAGTGCGGATAAGTCAGCGGGGTACTGCTGTAACCTCTTGCCCATTGAATTCACGCAGCATCAACTTGGAATAATATTTTGCTTTTTACCCATTCTCTGAATCACTGCAGGAAGTTCTTCCAAAATTCAGCTCGCAGCCCTGGACTAAGACTTGCTCGGAACAATGACGTCACAACTCTGGTCCTCAACTCCATGGGTCGATTCTGGCGATACCTGGCATAAGCTTCGTGTTCCATACGTACAAGATGCAACGTATCTACATACTCTTGATATATGGCAACCAAAATCTCTCCAGGGGTTTTCGCCCCAAACAGCGGATTCGTTGCCTCGTGGGAAAGGCCCTTGGGTCATCTATATCCACGGCGGGGCATGGCGAGACCCGCTCGTCGACTCCTCGTCCTTCGAAGCTACTGCCCTCAAACTGCTGAGCGACAAAAGCACGTCAATCGCAGGAGTCGCATCGATCAATTATCCTCTTTCAAGTCATCCAAATCATCCTACACATCCCGCACCACCTCGCGATCCTTCGGAAGGTGTTGATGTTGCTCGGCAAGCTAGACACCCTGATCACATAATCGCTCTGCTCACGGCTATCTCATTTATTCAAAATGAACTTGGGGTAGCACACGAGTATGTACTGTCTGGCCACAGTTGCGGCGCCACCATGGCTTTCCAGACAGTCATGAACCCCGATCGCTGGTTGGGTACTGCAAAGAAGATTACGGTTCCTACAGTGCAGAAGCCCAGCGTCATAGCTCCTCTAAACGGGCTATACGATCTCGCTGCCTTCATAAACGATCCACCAGAATCTCACAAACAACTAAAATCACTGTATACCGACTTCACGAAAAATGCATTTGGAGACGACGAGGCGGTTTGGAAGGCCATCTGCCCTACGAGTGTTGCAGACTGGAAGACAGAGTGGCCTGAAGGCAAGGTCGTCGTTATTGCTCAGAGTAAAGAAGACGGCCTTGTTCCGTATGCTCAGACTGAGCTTATGAAGGATCACCTGAGAAAGACGTCAACGCTTGAAGTTGTTGAGATGAAAGCTAGTGGTGACCATAACGATCTGTGGAAGCAAGCCGATGAGATTGTAAATATTATAAAGCGCGCGATTGGATATTTACCTAAGCCATGATATCTTGAGGACATAGACAATTACAAGCCCGTTTAGGTTAAATGAGCAAGGTTCACATTGATCAAATCTATCAAACATTGAATAACCTCATATTTGGCAGTTGGCTACCATCTCTCCACGGATCCAACACTGCTTGTACTTCTTGATCATTGAGATCGTGTTTTCTTAGGTGTTTGCAACCGCTTGTTATATCTTGACGCTATTTACCAACTCATGTCTATTGAAATCTCAAACAAGTAATGCGTCTCAAATTTCATGCTTGCTTCTAGTAAGAGTTGATGCAATAACCGCTGCGCCAACACCACTTCCGGGAGACAGCATAAACTCCACATCATCCTTGCCAGTATCTGAAAGCTTCTCCCAACCAAGGATCTCACCCAGGGCTTTTGACAATTCTCTCTTGAAATGGGGATGCTTCTCAAACAAAGATCCTTCAACGCCGACGTGGCATGTCTTGAGGTTTCTCTTCATGCATATCGCTGCGACGCCTGTTGATGAAAGACGCGCTGCGCGGGTTGTTATAAGTGTCGCCACGTTTCTCATGAACTCGAGCTCCTGCAGGTTTGGAGATACTCCGAGCTTTGAGACAGATAGGTCGTGCGATGTCTTGAAGTCTTTCGACGTGTCCCTAGACCCATAGTTAGTGTCAGCGCCTTAATGTGAGAATTGTTGACATACTCTTCAATCGCCGACAGAAACGACGAATCCATAAAATACGGCTCCTGCATCTTCTCCAAACTCTGTCCCTCCCAAAACGTCTCATCCCTCCTCTTAACATCAAGCATAATCAACCGAAACAACTCTCCAAGATACAAACCCGCAACCATCTTCTCAAACGCCTGCTGCCGCTTCCTCGGTGATGCATCATCAATAGCGATATCAAAAGATGTGAATGGCAAAACAACATGCTCATTGTCAAAAGCGCCCCATTCGCAATTAATCGCCATGAGAGCCTCGGCGGGAAGGCCTTCCATGTCGAGCTTGGGGATGGATTGGCATCTTTCGAAGTAGGCGCCGTTGCATCCTGTGCCGAAAACGCAGCCGATGGCTGTTTCGGAGTTGATGTATGCTGAGGCCATCATTGTGGCGGTTGTGTCGTTTGTTACGACGCGGACTTTGAGAGGGAGTTTCTGTGAATATGTCAGCCTCTGGCACGCGTTGAAGAATAGGAAAATTCGTACCCTTTTCGCGATAGCGTGTCTCAATGAAGCCGCTGCATCACGACCCTCACAATCAGCAACATTAAATCCCTTCGTCCACCTCTGAAGAATTCCCTCATCGATAGTCCTCTGCGTCGTAGGAAATGAGAAAATAAAACTTAAATCCGTGTTTGTTCCAGTTTCAAAGTCAGCTGTTTTGAGAAATTCCTCGAGATGTCCAGCGACAAAGTCCCAGAGCTTCTCGGCATCTCCAGTCTTTAATTCTTTGGGAAGTTTGTGCGTGACTTGGTCGACTTTAAAGCCGGATTTCTCCTCGGACAGTTCGACGGAGAATACTCTGAGGTTTGTGCCGCCTAGGTCTAGGACGAGATATTTTCCTATTTCGTTGCCGGTTGGTTGTTGCATTACCCATGTTGGGTTCATTGGCTGGTGCTAATTAGCTGCTGGGCTCAAGGTGACAAATTTTAAGACTCACGATGCTGCCACCGTTTACACTCAGCCCTGTAATCATCTTAGCTTCCATCAATCATGTACCCACCGTGAGCCATACCTTTATCTAACTCATCAATGAAATGGTTGGTGATATGCTTCAACTTTGCGGTATCAACCGTAAAGTCTCGCTCAAGCTCTTGGAGATATGTTTTGAGGTTCGCCATTATTACGTCACTAAAAATTTAGATAGTAATATCATTAAAAAAGATCAAACATCGGGACAAGGTTTCCCATAAGCTTATATACCATTATCTTTCGCCTGATCAATCGATCGAAACACCGGGGTCGGACCGGAGCAAATACAGTTGTCTGACATTCACATCCAACAGTGACCTCGTGATGACGCTAGATCCACTTTGGGATTCAGAAGTTTTCTGTAACTTGCTTTATCTTCTCTAGACGCTTCGTTGTGGTTCCAAGGTCCCGGTCCGATGGCTCCGGTACAAAACCTCCGGTTATCTTGATACCCTAGACCATTAGCTTATGATCTCATCAGAAGTAAAAATCATGCCGGGACATCCTTGCTAGTGAACCCGCTTCGGCAAAATCGTGATTGGTTAGTCTTGTGAAGATTCTTAATTGTAAGGACTGTATTGTTGATAATGACTGTGTTTTGCCTCTCATTGATTTCATCTTTTGTTTCAACATTCTGACCAAGTTATACCCAAATTCCCGATAAAAATAGCTTGCTCAAAGGGTGATCAGTGGAGCTTCGACATACAAATCATTGAACCTCTTATCCAGAAGCTTAGGAAGCTTAGCCGATCCAGATAGCGTTTTTCCCCACCCAAAAATGTCAGACCAAGAATCGACAAAAGTCTGTTGCACGTCATTTCCTCCATCATGACCCTCGTTCCACTCTGGCGAAAATCACTTGATATGGACATCGTCCCATTGCTCGGCGTCATCCTTTAGTTCACTGGGATTCCAGGCATCTTTGGGTGATTCTGTCTCAGGGAAATGTTTCTTCGCATCCGGTGCTCTCTCGCCCTGGGCAAGGATGTTGAAGGCTTTCAAAGTATCTCTGGACATAATAGCTGGTGGGTCTTGCATGAGAACGCCCATCATAAGGTTCTTGCTACCAGCGTTATTGTCGAGTAAATCGTCGACATTGTTACCCTGACTGCTCTTGGAAGGATCTTGACTCTCATCATCTGTTTCCATCTCGTTAGCAAACTGTCCATGTGTACTGACGCTCGACTTACACTTGGACCCAAAGACCAGTTGGAACCTGTTTATACACCTGAGTCATACCCCATTTCGCATGAGCGACACCATCTTGAAGGATCTCAATCTTCATCTCTGACTTGCTCATGGCCTCTTTGAGGTGCATCGGCCGAGCGAAGATCAGAGGACCTTCGGATGAGATTGGGTTGACTGTTTTGCCATTCTCGTCGACTAGCTTGACATCTTGGGCTGCCATCTTGCATCCAACGACGAACGAGAATGATCCTCCGCGAACGACCCAATCCCCATTCTGAGGTCGATCAGTAGAAGAACAATTATTCCACAAGCCAGAAGTGACTAGGAATGTGTGTCCTTGGTTAGGATACTGGGGAATAATGTCCTTTTCGTCTTCAGCGATCAAACCTCGTTCTTCATCAGCCGCAAGAGTCTCTTTCTGTTGACTGCTTGCCTGCAGTACCAGGTGATAGAACTCCAAGATATCAACCGCCTGCACTTCTTTCTTATCAGTGCCAAAGTTAATGTCGAACTTAGCCACCTTGATATCGATATGCACCCGACCAGCAAGCGGCGGTCCCACATATACAGATCCGCTCCGATCTCAACAGAGATATGCGTGTGTATAAACAGGAAATCGATGTCGAATTGAACGCCGACACAAATACCTGAACTAGATGTGAAGTAGAAAGGCTCGTAGTTGATAAGGAAGTTGGTAAAAGCCTCATACTAAGCCTTCATAGGGCCAGCGCTAAAAGCTGCATGCAGTCTTCCGCCGTCTATATAGACCTTTGGTGTGATCGCCAAATACCCCTCCCCAGACAAGCTCAAGTGACTTTCGAGGGACCAAATGATGCCTAAGCGTGGTGAATTCGGCCATCCATCGAGAATTCTGAAAGCTTGACAATAACCACCAAGGGTGAAGACGAAATCGCCAACGAGAGAGTTATCAGCATGCGTAGCATCAAACCAATAATACAGCGCAAAGCCACCCGTGAGATGGCAGTTTGGGTCCAAATGAACGACTTTGGCGACAATTGACCTTCCACTTTCATGGTTCCGTAGTCAAAGTCAACCGTAACATCGATACCAAGTTCAACATGAGCAAACTTGATAGGCGACTTGGCATTGGGAATGTCAACGAGAGCAACGGCGTATATACCAAGTTTGACAGACTGGCCAAACATGACGACCATGGCAGCACCGAGAGAGATCATCTGGAAGGCATCGAACTTCATACCTGCAGCTGCCTAGTATGTATCATTTCGCGGCGTGAACCACCCCACAGCTTCAGACCTGGGATCTGTAAGCTTCTCGAGCGTCTTGAGTCCGTCGCCCGCAGTACCGCTGAGCTGAGATTGATCAATGAATGGAAACTCAGTGATTTCCACCACCTTGGGAACGCGAATCTCCGACTTGTATCCAAAACCACCGTAACACCGGAGATTTCTGCAAACTCAAGCGTTCTATCTTTGACTGATCGAGGGATGTGAGCTTTAGATTGATGGTAAAGCCAAGGAGGGAAAAGCCGATGGACCAATTTCAAATGTTGCGTCAAAGTCGATGCGGAGGATTTGGTTTGTGTATTTGAAGGACATGTTGTTAATTGAGAGGGCACCAGCTCTCTTCTTGAAAGGCGCTTATGCATTACCTCCCTCAGAGTCCTCTGTGGGTGGCTTCTCTTCTTCCACCTCACTTGTCTTTTGCCGTCAACGGCATGCAATGCTTTAGATTCTCAATATCCAGACAGGTAAGACCAGGTTCTCGTTTCGGGTTCTTGTTCGTGTTGTCTTGGATCCACATAAACTACATCTCTTCAAATGGCTGCGTGAGATTTTCTACCAGAGAAATGTCGATGGCCGGTACAGCCATCAAAGACGCCTTGAAGAAGCGCTTTGAGGAGACCTTCAACTCCCAGTCAAGTTGGTGGAGTTTAACAAGGCAAGCTTTATGTCTCCCAGAGTGAGAGTCGCAATGAACTGGAAAGAACCGTTCTTCCTAGCACTTGATGTTTGCTTCTCCAGGGCCTTTTTATCGGCCTCCTTATCTGGCTCCTCATTGATGACATTCTCCTTGACTTCGATGTGGATTGCCCTGTTCTTCTCATTGCAAAAAGCCATGTTATCGAGGAAGCCAGGGAGCTTTAGACTATCGTCGCCTAGAATACCCTTAATGACGTCTGAGATACTGGCCTTTTTCTTAGCCGACTTCAAATCTGCCATAGCAGGGTTACCTGCACCGGTCTTGGTCGTACAAAACTTTGCCTCAACCTCAATGTCGAAAGAAAAGCTCTTCAGCTTGGTGTTTTGTCCTTTGCTATCACAACTGAGCCCAATCCGGACTTGGCGGGGTTAAATCTAGCTCTGCTCAAATATATCCTTGTCCCCAAGGAAGTCACTGATGAACTTCAAGGCTAGACTTGGAACCAAGCCCATAAGCCATGATAAGTTGCCTCCAGAGTCGTCTTTGGTTCTGAGTTGGACGGTGATGTTGTAGCTTCCTTGTTGGAAACTGACAGAAGCGATGACTGGCACTTTAGATGTCTCTTTTGGTTCGTTGGTGCATTTTGTATGGAATATGACGCTGCCCTGAGCTATGGGCTGATTGCCATCATCAGTGTCAGCGAGAACAACTGCCTTCTTGCAGATGACATCAAGATTATCGAACGTGAATCCAGTCAGAGCGGGTGTCATTGCCTTATTGAATGTGTTGACATCAGCGTTATCGAGACTAAATTGTAGACGAATACTTGTCTGCAAAGGTCTTGAAGGGCGGATCCAAAGGCCGTTCCGTTTTCCAGCTGCTGAGGCGTCAAGAGGCTCCGATTGGACTACAAGTGTAGTTCTCCAATCTGCAACGAGCGTAGGTGGTTTGCTGGAAGCTTCTGAGAAATCGAAGAGCTGCTTAACTGTAGAATGGAGGCCTTGTTTGGTTTTATTTGGATCCAATCTGAAATGTGTTTTGCCGTCAGATTCCAGGCCTGGTGTTGGAATTCGAGAAAGCAATCCTGGGCTTGAAATGAGGGACGGGAAAGAGAACTTCAGAGCGATCTCCCTGGAGCTGAACGTTATGTCCCACGGTGATTTATACTGAAAGCTGAACGCATCAATCACCCATGGCCCCTTGTTAGTCTCAGGATTTGGCTTCAGTGTAAGATTAAACACACCCTGACAATCCAGATGGCTCATCCAAGTTGCCAACCCATCGCTATTGTCGAGTGAAATGTATGGCGTTGAGGGTGATGCAATTGCCAGTCGATTGGTAAGCTGACAAGTTGGGTATATTTATCGGAAGATAGTTTACTGTCGATCCTAAATACCAAGACTACAGCAGGCCTGAAGAGAAGTGGCAGCAGGTCACTCTACTTCCAAGCCAAGAGAAAAGCTGGTTCACATGGAGCACTATTCAAAAGCCACTTGTTGATTGAAAGGATGAAGGTGATCCAGATGCTGATCTATGTATCCTTCGTCTTCCATCCTTTGTTGAGAAACAGATGGACCTACTCAACCGTGACATGGGGTCCTTCCAAGATGAAGAAGGGAAACCAAGATTACCTTCGTGACAAGACTCCAAACTCTGCCCTTCTTGCCATGCAACTCAATGATCCTAATTATCAACTCGCTGCCTCTTTGGACGAGAAGAAAGGATCGGGACAGGAGACAGCTTCGCCTCCACCGTTTAGTCTCACGAGTGCAGCGACTGGATCAGTCCAAGAGCTTCGTAGCTTACTGTTTATGACGGCAACCACAGTTCCCAGAGTCCTAGAACCTGATGACGATGCTGATCCATCATATGCGGATCCCATCGTGTCCCCTTCGGGCCGCAAACTCTTGGGATTCAACTACCAAGGAGTGGGATCACGATGAGAGCTTTGTGGCGAGGTCTCGTACACTTCGATATCACCACCCTCCTCATCATCGAGCACCGATCACAGAGCACCCCCATGACGCTACGAGGTCGCGGCTGCCACACAGCTTTCCCATTGAGCAGCTCACTGCTACAAGGAGCCAGGGAGCGTCTCAAGACAGCACGTTGATGAGAACAGAAAGTATTGGCCCCCCGATCTTCGCGTCTAGCTGGTCCTCCTGTGTACAAGTGCAACGTATACTCCCTCCAGCAAAATTTCATCATCCAAAGCAAAGATTGCATTTCCCATGACATTGTCTTCTCAGTCCTCGTTTCGCATAACGAGTACAGCAGCTACCAACTTACTGAGTTCGACATAGCGATTGAACTTGGTACATCGGATGAGGAGAACTGCATCATGGAAACTTACGTGGGTCCTGGTGCTAGCATGTTGAGCAATCTTCGCTTCAATGTACTCATGTCTTTTACCACAATGTCTGTTACGGAGAGGAAGTGTTTGTTGTCAAGGGTTATTCCTCGAAGTCATAAGGGATGGATCAGAATGCAAGATGTTCAGGAGATGAGCTTTACACTGACTCTGGCTCAGCTTAACAACTTTGGAATGAATAGGAGGTTTTCTTTCTATACGTCTGCGTATTGCAAGTTTGATCACGAAGATGATCCCATCACTCATTACTTTGAGGATTCGATGACGAGGGGTTAAGAGGGATAATGTCATCCAGTCACTTCAGTAACCGCTTTTGGTCGGATGGCAAACCTCACGATCCGTGGAACACTCGCAACTTCACCGGCTTTGACAAGGGCTATGATAACATTCCCTCGAACTTTTTAATTGCGATGACCTCTGCTTTTCGTATGATGAGCGTTCGCGCTTTAGTCCCTCTTCTGGGGTTCATACTGTCTCCGAATGACACAACGACTGTTCCTCCCGACGGCGTGTTTTACGAAGATGTTACTAGTATCGGTAAAGAAAAGTTTCAAGAGAGACTATCGCAGTTATTCAATACTTTGTTCCTCGCCGGTATCGAGCCATCCGTCATTGCAGGTACTATGCCAGTAACAGAAAAAGGACAATACTTTGCTACATCAACACATACCGCAGAGACGAGAATAACAGAGAAGATCCTTGTATGCAACAAGGCGTGGTTTGCAACCATGCTAGTCATCTGTCTTATTGTCTTGGTTATATCTCTCTCTGGGGCAGGTCTTCGAGCTATGACACTGGTACCAGATGTTTTGGGAACATTGTCAATCATCACGTTGGATAATCGTTGCGAGAAGGATTTGCAGAAGGCATCGATGCTTGATGGCCTTGAGCGCTCCCGTTTACTCAAGAATGTGAGCATCAAGCTGGGAAATGTGAAGCAGGATAGCCCTTCAGGCCGTATTGGTTTCACAGCACCAGCGAATGATGAGGATGTAGTTCAACTACAGAAAAATGGCTTATACGATTAGATGATTTTTATATTAACTCACGTTCACGCCTTTGATTACTATGATCATATAAACACACACAGAGACTGGGATATAAATACGTCTTTGCCTTCCACAAGCACTAATACATATGCAGTGACTGTGAAGATATGGTATAATATGTGAATGGTGACTCAAGTATGTTATTTGATATTGAGTTACATAGAGAAAGCCAGACTTCTTACTGTACACATCAACACCTATGCCATGCCGAGTGCAACTACCTCTTCTTCGCATACCAAGAACACGACCTTATTCGCGGTTATCCATGTTGATAGCAGCACCACTACTTGCTTAAGTATCCAACGTCCATGCAATATGAACGAGTTCGCGTGCCAATACAAATCAAGTAGTAAACACAGAATTTCAGGGGCGTTGGGGATAGACACTTCAACCAAACAACCACCTAGCGGTCCAATACTGGACCACCCAGACACCGAAAAGCAGGCAAATAATAAAGAAAAGAAAGAAATAGAGGCCAATCGTTACTGTGTCCTCCAGATGAACGCGCAGCATCGTTCCAACACGCCAGTGGTAGTAGTAGCCGTGGCCGGTCTCGTCTCGATCGGCAAACTGATGATAGGGCTGACATCCAGAGGCGATTCGGAAAATCATGTTTCGAAGGTTATTGTGAGAAGTCACACCTCGATAGATGCGGCGCGCACGGTGGTATGTATCGATCACCAAGAAAGCCAAGATAGCGACAAGAAAGACAGCGGCACCGAAGACTGCATGTGCCTTCGACTTATTTATTGTATTAGATGCCAGAATAGTAGAAAGTATAACAGACTTACGCCAAGACGGGACTGAAGATTGTTAGACATGACAGAGAAGTATGTAATAATTCGAGTTAGCCTTTTTAAAGCAAGAGACCTGTGTTGGCAGTCGTCTCAAAGGGTCAAGAAAATTTGATATGAATTCTGAGCAGAGCTGAAAGTTGCAACAACTTAAGTTGAATTTCACGTATTTTGTATCCAAGTTCCATCAACTGCCCGGTTGCTTAGCTGAGTCGACCTGATTATGTCTATTAGTCCTCAGCGTTGATTCGTCAAAACGAAAAGGGCATTTAGCATCGATCCAATCATCATCAAACAGATCAAGGCCTGCAGCAGGATGGAGCCGGAACATCCTAAACTGCAATCTCAATTGGTCTCGATTTTGAGGCCTCCTCTCCTTTCAACCACCAGGCTCTCGTGCCCGTCTCCATCACCACCTTGTCTTACCCAAGACATCATCGAGCCACAACGACCCAGCCCTTCTAAGATAATTTCTTGCTGCACACGCAACAATATGGGGCGGAAACCGAAGACCCCCGAGACAGAATGGGAGGAACGGAAACAAGATATCGAGCGAATCTATATGACGGAGCAACGGAGCCTCAAAACCCTAAGCGAGGGGATGGCTAGCCTATGCGGATTCATTGCGTCGTACGTTTTACCCCGAAACAGAATTGACCGATCTGCGCCTCACTATAAGTAGAGATAAAGAATATCGTCGCCATTTCAAGAAATGGGGATGGATAAAGAACAATCTTGATCAAGCCCCGAGTTTGAACATCAATCACAATCCTCAACAAGATCGAAAGAGGGTCGCCCAAGCTCTTCCACCACAGGCGATCAAGCAAACATCAAGCTCACAGGTTTTCCAATGTCGACAGGCTCCTGAATTTAGATGGCATGCCGACATCGAAAGAGAGCTCTGGAGAATCAAAGCCGCTACAGACACTATTATCTATGGCTCATTTGGATCTGGGAAGGAGAGGTGGATAGCAGACAAAGTCTCTCTTATTGCCCCTTCAAGTCACTTGGACAACTCACAGCAGTGGATACATCTCGAATCTCAATGTTCTGCTATCGTTGCCCTTGCAGAGACAGGCATTCATGCTCAAGTTCGAGGGTCCCTTGAACAACTATTTCAAACAGTTGAGAGACTGAAGAGCACAATTAAGCCCAACTCCTTCATACCCCAGCTAGTCTGCATATGGAGGGTTTGCCTTAACCTTTTCAAAGCACGCTTGCCTCTACCTCGTCTCACATCGGCTGATGGCCTTCGAGTCCTTCTGTCAATCAATCCTCTTGCACCCAGATTCATACAAAAGTTGGAAGATCATCTAACTTCAACATTTGGTAAAAGAAACCCCATTTGCGAAATCATGGCCGCTCTCCTGGCAATCTTCAGACATACACCCGACAAGTTCAAATTAGCACTGGAATGTGGATATTTTATGACAATCAAAGGGTTCGAGGGTATAGTGGGAAATTATCATCCTGTGGTTCTGAGAATGTGGTCGCACTATAGCCGAGTCTGGGGACGGAATGTGTTCTATGACGTTGACAAAATAGATGAGGCCTTCCAGCATATCAACTGGCAACTTCACGAGTCACTCGTTCAAGACGTACCGGAATCGATACCCATCTTACTGAGCTTCACAGAGATGAGCTTTGCAAAAGAAAGTGCCAAGTTAGGAAATCTCAGCCAATATTACGCCCTGATGCCATATTCATCTAGACCTACCCGCTTGGAAGACTTTGCTTTGGAGCTCAGACAAAGAGCGATGGTAATCTTGCAGAACTTTGGTGGTCTGAGCGATGGAGCCATCCTCGATGCGTTTGTTTTTTCTACTGATCTTCTGGCTTTGCGACTATTCGTCAGGCTGAATCCTGACTTTAGCCTCGAGATTCTCAACGAGGCGATCCAGTTGTTGCAACAAGGCGGAACCGAGTGTCTTATATGGGCTTCCAAGTTCTCGAAGGATCGCTTAAAACTCCTTGAGACAAAGGAAAAGGCCGATGACTTTTATGCCGAAAAAGTCCGAATGACGAGCATCAGGAGTAAACTTCCAACTGTGAAGCCAGAACTTGCTAAGCCAGCTGGTTCTGTCAGCACAGAGAGAACAAGATTTCTTCGAGCTCGACGCCGGAAGGGGACGGATAAAATGGTAGAGTATCTTCAGTCTATGCTAGATGGCTTTTTTCAATCTTCACAAGACAACTCAGAGGAATAATAACACATGTTTTTCAAAATTACCATAACTATATACGTCCTCTCATGGAAGCTAAATAAGCATACTTCTGATTAGCATCCACGGCTCATATGTTCAAACTTTCTTTAGGGTATTCAATCAAATTATAATTAGGAATTAGTTTTGCCGTTCCACTTTAGCGATTCGTCTCATCCTTGTTGCCTGGAGTTACGCTTCTCAACTCCTCTTTTATAACTTCCCCTGTTGTAACATGACACCTTTTTGAAATCCTCAGTTTGTGGCTCTCTTCAATTATTATCATATCTACATATCCCCAAATCTTGCCCGACTAACTATGTCACATTCAAGACCTCCTCAATTTTCGCGTGAGGTCTGGATACACCTACGATCCCCACACCAGCTGAGGTCCTAGCTAGAAGTGCCCTCCAACATCACTCGATAGTTGAGGGCTCTAGAATGCGTCGATTAGTTGTAAGTAAGGATCCTGGTATTATTGTGAAGTTCGGCGAGAGGGTGCCTATCGCTGAGGGGCAGTGCCTTTGGGCTATTTGCCAATTTTTACCTGAAGTCCCTGTTCCTGAGATTTATAGTTGAGCCCAGGAGGACAATATCACATTCTTGTACACATACCTGGGCGTTTGAGTTAACTCATGAGTTTCGACCCCCCCTAACTCACTCATATGAGTTTTGATCTGATCATGACTCACTCATGAGTCAACACACATAATTTCGTCATGTGACATCGCCCACTTCTTCGATGCATCATTAGTCGTGAGAAGGTACTGTAATGAATCTACTGAGTGTTATGGCGAATCGTCAAAAATCGCCACGCTACTCTGTATCACTCATTTCTATATCTACATCGTTATTGTGACTGTCTGGGTTGCAGACTAGTCCTAGTCTACCGCCCTGACTTGCTATAATATGCCCAGTCTGCATCCAGTTGCCGAGACTCTCAACTTCCTCTATCCGCTTGCATATTATCGATAGCCGGTCCTATAAAGCAGTCCTATATACGCCTAAGAAGGTCCTTTCAGGCTCTGCTAACTAAGGGTTTATTAAGAGTATATCAATGGCTACATAGCTAAGGCGTGGGAGCTGCTATGTTATTTAGTGCAACAACACTACTCTAGAGGTTTGCAATTAATCTTAATAGCGGGAGCATTGATGAATGCATCTAGGTTATTATTGTCTGTTAACACAGCCGTCTTAACCTGTAGTAAAAGCTGTAGCTGCGAAGGTGGCTTCCCTGGCGCGACTGTGTTATCCTCTGGAGGGGTTATAATGTCTCCATCTATATCATTGATGCTATTGCTAATATTGTATTCCTCCTCCTATACCTTTCAGATACTTGCAATTGCTAGATCAATCTATGCACTCTTCTAGTTCTTATCTAAGTATGCTTTCTAATAGCGTAGATTGAGAAGAAGAGTAGCGATGTAAACGGGAGCCTTTTTAGATATAGTGTAGCATTTATTGAGTATAAGCTATCTAATTTTAATAGAATGAAGCATGCGACTATCATGGAATTCCGGGGTCGAGTAGTATATCTAATAGATTAGCGACTTACCTCCCTTGAAGAGAGGTAGTCATCAGGTACCTTCGCTTTTTTAAAGTGGCTAAGTAAACTATCTATTAGCCATAGTATATTGCAAATGCTTGCTTACTGCCTTCTGTTATTAGCATTGCCTTAGTAAAAGGCTAAAGAAAAGCATGTGTTTTTAATAATATATCCCAGTTAGTGCCCATTAGAAGATTAGTGAGGCTAATGTCCTTGTTCTGATCTACTATAAACTAGACGATCTATACCTTCTTATTGAGGGTAATACTAATGGTTTTATACCATAAGGACTACCGCGTTGTGTTGTTGGTGCCGAGGTTGTGATTCACAGCTTCGGGCCAGTTATCGCTGTAGATCGGGGAGTTTCGAAGCCAGACTGCAAGATAGTGGAGCTTCCGGAGAGCAACAATACCTTCCTATCTATTAAATTTTACTGTACGAGCATTCTGTTCCTGGTTTATAGTCTCTACTGTCTCTCATGGCTCTCTTCTAGTTCTTAATTTACTGTAACATCGAATACAGGAGGCGCACTCTCACCGAGGGCAGCAGAGAAAGTTTCTACAGGCTATGCACCTACAACATCGCCGGCGGTATAAAGGGCAGCTTTAAGCGCATAAGGAGGAAGGCTTAAAGGGAAAGGTTAACAATATAATTAAAATATCAGATAGTAATAGTAAATAGGGTTAAAAATAATTTAATTGAAACTTAGCAGAGATAAGAGAAAAGTTATAATATAGCCCTTTACTTACTTTTTACTTATAAAAAAAACTTTTTAAATAATACTTTTAAATAAGTATTATTAGAAGTTATATTATTTTTAATTATTAATAAAAAAGCTAAAAAGCAAAATAGCCTCTTATAAAATTAAAAGTAAAAAGAAAGTTTTTATAAAAACCTTAGTAATTATATATGTAATTTATTTATCTTGCCCCCTTGCTTATTTATTAATCTTATATTTAGAACATATATATTAGACTCTTTGTAATTAAACCGAGAGCGGCCTAGAAACAGACTTTTCCCATAGCTCCTCTATAAATTCACGATTAGCATTCCCCATAGGCCAAGCTACCCTCCTTAGCGTCCCTTTTGCTTGTGACCAAGTCGAGATACCCAAAGTCGTTGCCTGCTGCTTCAAAGCCTCTTGGAAGAATTGTCTGGCTGATAACATCCCTCTATCTTGATCATTGTCCTTGAGGGCGCGCAAAGAGGCTATAAGCCCGAGCAATGTCTGCCATAGCATAAACGCCTCGTTCTTTGGTGTGTCCGCCGAGGTAAGGATCTTGGCGACATCGTGTTGCAGCAACGTAACAGCGTATTTATGTATGCGCTTGTCAACATACTCCAATGCTCCGAGAACATCTTGCATGTAGAAGACTGAGGCGATGGTCATTCCGCACCAGGGTCCGACGAATGACGATGGGGTAATGTCAGGACTTTCCCCCTTCTTTCCTGGAACAGAAATGGATTGAATATGTGCCATGACATATTCTCCCAATACCCTCGACGCAGGGCCTCTCCGCCAGAAACCTTCGAACTTTCCTTCTGCTGTTTCTATCCCTGTGTCTTTAAACATATGATCCTGCGCAGCCGTAAAATCCCGTAGAGAGTTAATGATGACTTGTCCGTCTGCATTGTTGAGCCGTGCTCCTTGGGGCAAGGGGCTGAAGAAGAACGGGAATAAACGAATAGCTTGGAGTTTCAGGCCGAGATTCTCCATGGCTTCACTCATGTGCCATGTATGTGATAGTTTGAGAAGGCTCCGGCCAGGTATAGCGTCAAGACTGCTGGCATGTCCTCCAGTTCGGCATATGCCGCTAAGTAAACTTTTGAGGCCTGTAATGTAGACATAAGACCTATGACAAGTTATTAGATATAAGAACGATGTATCGACATGGATTGATTATGCGCCTCACATGACGAAATAACGATTAGCTAGTTCTCTGTCAGTGGAACAGCAATCAGATGTAGTCGGATCACTTTTATCAGGTCGGGCTGTTTCGATCAGCGCCAGAATGCCACTTATATGAGTCTCAGCAGCAACAAGCTCTCCATGACAGGCCTGGAAAACGCAATAAGCTAAGTAATTCTAGGGAAGGTAAAGTAGGGCGAATCACCTCTGTGAAAGCCAACGTTGCCATTTCTCTAATAATCGCAGCTTCAAGTTTGTAGTCTCCTGATGCGATCCAACGATTGATGACACGCATGACCTCGATTTTATGATATAAGAATGTGGACTCAAACGTGGACAGGTCGCCGAATTGGAATGAGAAATGCATCCCGGCCATGAGGATGGCGCTTCGCAGTGCGCAAGGGTTGTCTATCATACGCGCAAGACTATCTTGGTGAGTGTGATAGACAAGAAGATCGGCAGGAATACGAACTATTCTGTTCCGGGTATCTTTGGTGTCATCTTTGGTGTCCGACTCGATTCAAACACTATCCAAAGTCAGCATCTCCATGGGTATCTGCTCATCACGACTGACAATATTGGAATAACTCATGAGATCTAAGTGGCATGGCAACAGCCAACTTGTTAAACCCCGTATCATGGTTCAAACAGCTCAATCGAAGAGGAACACTTGTCTTCTTCATACAAGCCATCTCCTTGGACGTCTGCTCAACTTCCCAAGGCGTTTGATCCCACGGATGAGCTTCCTTCTGCTGGGCCCTTCGTTCCCTCAGCGGGATCTTCGGAGGTGCATATATACAAGTCCTCTGACCCTTGACACAGTTGTAACTACCATTTCCCCATATTAGTAAACAGATCTCTCAGCTTATAGTGGGGGCCATCACCATTGCGGTCGCTGCTCGTCACATCGTTTTCGGCGGGTCCGGCAATTGGAACAGCCTGTTCGACTGCGCGTGTGGAACTGCCGCACTCTCGAGTCTGTTTCTGGCGTCTTTGAGGTTTCTTTTTCTGAACTTGAAGACATTTCTCGGGATTATTGAAGAGATAAGATCATGACAGTTGAATCAGCCTGACAGGGCTTCGGTGATGGAGACAAGGTGGCGCGTCAGCACTAACCCTGTCTTTCACCTGATTACTCAGCTCTCCAGAAGAGCCAATTGGAAAATTTACGAAATAATTAGAGTTTCTGGGCAGCGGGTAGCGTTGGAGGTACTGACTCGCGGGAAGCTAACCTAGACCATGGAATTGGGAATCACGACTCAATGCCATTCAGATTACTCAATACGACACCTCACTCAGTTGGTCATCGATAAAGTTGTATAAAGAAGTATTATAACAAAATTGTCTTTCAGCTATCCGTATCACATCTGCTGATTGTTACATATATTGTACTGAATGTTATGCTTTTAATAGAGACACGATTTGCCTGTAGCTAAGTGTTGGCCTCTATTTTAACCATTGCTAGGCTTGACTTTGTAAACAGCATTCTCAACAGCAACAGAGCCATCTTCATCGATAAACCACCGGAGCTCACTGACGAAAGCAGACCGCTCTACCCATTTTAGGTCAGGATGGCTTGTCTCAATGATGGGAGACCCCAACCATTCATTCTCTCCAAACTCAAGAGTTCGTGCCTTTGGTCCCCCGGTGAAGACCTCCATCCACTTTTCATCAATCTGTAGAACGCCCTTGAAGTGGATGTAAATACCATGGCCCTCCTTCGATCGGAATTGAACTCGGACATCGAGATGTCCAGTATTTGTGTCAGGATCACGCTGATCAATGGTTAGCATGAGTCTTTGGTGTATGAAGAGGGCATATACCAAAATCCAATCGGCGCCGCCGGGGAGAAGTTCTGCCTCAAAACCACTACCTTTGATGTGGCCGTGCGTCAAGAAGGCGATGATGCGATGATTATTGCCCTTGGCTTCTGGGATGACGAGGGCTTTGTCTGGGGATGTATACATCCTCACTGTGAAAACGTGTTCGAGTGAAGGTGTCATGGTAACGGCTTGTGATGCTAGTAACCCGGGTTCTCTGTGTGATCTGTGGTGCGAGAGATGCTCCTCTATGTTTGCAAGTAATGAGATTTAAGTGAACTATCTCGCAAGATGTTGTATCTGTGGCGCATGTTACCTTCTTATAGAGGCTATAAACAGGGAGGTCTTGACTACACCTGGGGCTCATGATTGATCAATGGAAATTGCTTATATTCTCTAAACTCATCTCATAATACGTACCTGTTCCTCCCAGTCCGTACGAGCGGGTGACTTAGTAATTGCCTCTCGTTGTTCTCGTTGTGGACAAGAGGGAGCAATAATGGTCTTTAGTCATCTCCACTTCGCTGCATCTGGCCAATGAACCGTGGTTTGAGATGTAAGCGTGAAGGTTACAGAGACGGCTCGGTCACTAAGCACCTGCGTGTAATCAGCAAACAGCGTGCCAATGTTTCCCGAGTAGTATGCAGTATGCAGACAACCGCGATTTATATCGTAAGGATTCCGCTCGTTCAAGTGACACTAGCACTGGTTCTTGTCTATCCGCGAAGTGGCATAAATTATTTACTTTAATAAGATAAGCCAAGTTATCTTATTGATCTGTGGAGAATTGTCAGGCAGCCTATTACATCGATCGCACCATACAGGGTGTACAATGGGAGCCAGCAAACGCGATAACGAACCACGAGATGTCAGTAATAAACACGAAGCGAAGGAAGTACGAAACATGCGGAGAAAATGCCCAGTAGGAAGATTCAATTCCAGTGATCGAAACTCACTAAACATGGCCATATTGATGTTGCATCGACAGTGTATACATATCAGTAATCAGCTCCGAGAACAATGTGAAGTCAGCCCGTCTTGTCGGCTTACACGTACACAATCACCGCTATTGCTGTGATTGCAACATTCCCTCGGCATTCGCGAAATATCGCGATTTCAAAGCAGATATGGCCTGTTCAAGATAATGCACGTTAGTAATTCATTAATTGTTGATCAAAGCAAAAAGACAGTCAAGGTGTATATATGTATGTAGTAATTGTCAATAAACACAATGAAGCCATCAAAACACTGCATCATAAGATAACAACTACACTTGAACGTTTCAATACATCTTCACCTGTTCGCTTAGGCTATTAAGAATCCAATCAACAATAATTCACAAATTTACGCTCAAACATAATGACCTCACAAACCTCTAAGCTCTTCAAACCAATCAAGGTTGGCGCCCTTGATTTACAGCATCGGATCGTCCTTGCACCCTTGACTCGTGGTCGTGCCGATGCACTTGGTGTTCCCGCTAGCTACGCCGCGGATTATTATTCCCAGCGCGCTACACGTACGTTTTCACTGTCGCTCTACCGCTAAAAAAGCTAACACTTATTGGTTGATGGCCAGCTGGCGGTTTGTTGATCACAGAAGGAACTTTCATCTCGCTTGAAGGATCTGGGCGACCATTCTCACCAGGAATCTATTCTAAAGAACAAATTAAGGCTTGGAAGCATGTCACTGATGCAGTTCATGCCAAAGGAGCCTTTATCCTCTGTCAGCTATGGGCTCTTGGGTAAGCTAGTCCCCAGTTTTGGCTGTCCTTCTCTCTACTAACATCTCACGAGACGCATTGCCGAACCTGACCTTGTGCCAGCTGTTCTCAGTCCAGGCACACAACCTTTTTTCGAGGACGCTGATGTCACACGAAATATCCCGAACAAGTTCACCGTCATGAGCGAAGCTGATATCGATAACTTTGTGGAATACTACCGACAAGCGGCTTTGAATGCTATGGAGGCTGGTTTCGATGGTATTGAGATTCACGGAGCCAATGGATATGTAGGTAATCGCATGCTTAAGTCATAAAGAGATGGCTAATCTACGATGTATAGCTTATTGATCAGTTCGTGAGTATCTGCTGTCCTTTAGGAAGTGGAATATGCCTGACTATACCGTAGCTTCAATCAACCAGCAACGACAGAACAGACCAATACGGCGGCAGCGTCGAGAACCGCATCCGTTTCCCCCTCCGCGTGGTCAACGCAGTCAGCGATGCCATCGGTCCAGAACGGGTCGGCGTCCGCATGTCACCATTCACCCGCTTTCAAGGCATGCGAGAAGCCGAACCACTCTCGCTCTTCGTTCCTTGGGCACAAGCTATTGTAGACGCTCAACCCCGCATTGCGTACATTCACGCCATTGAGCCTCGCGCCGATGGTTCGGTAGATACACCTGAGCATTTACGAAAGGTTGAAGATAATTTGGCGCCTATTAGAAAGGTCGCTACCCGTGCTGGTGTGCAGTTCATCGTTGCGGGGGGATATACGCCTGAGAAGGCGTTGCAGCATACTAGCGAGACAGACGATCTCGTGGCCTTTGGCCGTCACTTCATCCGTTAGTGTCCGTTCATTCACGTCCCGCTTCTAGTTGCTAACATTTCTGGTGCAGCCAACCCTGATCTCCCTGCTCGAATCAAGAATGATTGGTCGCTTACCAAATACGATCGCTCGGTCTTCTACGAGGTGAACGGAGTAGGATACATCGAGTAAGTCATGCCATGATCCTGCATTCCTTTAGTTTGCTCTGTACTGATACAGTGCTTTTAGCTACACAGTGTACAATGCAGACACAGCTGCGGCTTGAAGATAGCAGCGGGATACGCAGCAAACCTTTATGAGTAAAAGATAGATCACGATAGAATTTTCTCCGTCTTTCCAATAAAACCAGAATTAGCGTCTTATCTCTTAAATCTCTATTGTGGATTGGCACGTTTTGACATCACTCTGCACAGTGTCTTTCACCTGCAACGATTGTGACTCGTTTCACAGTGAAGCGTCACATGCCTCCCTCACGCTTTGGCTCTCTTCCCTGTAACCATTTTGATTTATTGATGAAAAGAAGAGGCCATTTCTGTTTTGTCTGCGACTACTTGCACATAATCTCTTTTATGAAGACGCAAGCCTCAGCAGACAAGCCTATAGTCACCAAGACGGACTCGCCGCAAAGTACATAATATGATGTCTAGAGAAAACACTTCCTAGAGTTCTTAGGGTAGTTTGCTGCCAATTCTGTGTCTACCATCATGCTCATGCCATATGCTGCCTTCTAGCGTCGGCTGACTTCCCGAGGTATGATAACAAAGAGAAAGAAAATGTGACGAAAAGAATCAGTAATTGTTCGTGTCACTCTCGCCAGTTGGTCATGCATGTCACTATGGCCAGCTAATACCACTAATCTGGTGGCGCACGAAGTGTAATCCTAAATGCGGGACGGTGACCTTCGTGAGTAAGCACTCCGACTCTCAGTGACATCACAAACAAGACCCCTCAAGCCAGCATAAAAAGACAATATCAGCGTAACCTTTGTAAAAGATTACCAAGCATTCTTTCCCCAGAAACATAATCTCCAACCTTATCAAACTCGATCAAAATGTCAACTCAGCAAAGTGCCAAGACGCAATATGTCAAGGCACCTAACGGTGTCGCATTTGCATACCGCCAAATCGGCAATGCATCCGGTATCCCACTTTTACTTTTGACACACTTCCGAGGTACCATGGATAAGTGGGATCCTCTCATCGTAAACAGCCTCGCCAAGAACCGTCGTGTTATCACAGTCGATTATGCCGGTGTTGGTCTCAGCACCGGTGAAGTAGCCACTTCAATCCGACAATCCGCCGCCGATATAACACAGTTCATCGAACTCATAGGAGGAACGGAAATTGATCTTCTGGGATTTAGTATTGGAGGCTACGTCGCTCAGATGGTAGCCCTCAACGCAGATCCAAGCAAGGTCAAAGTCCGCAAGTTGATCCTGGCAGGAACAGGAACCAGCTACGGGCCTGAACTTGTTTATTCTCAGAACAAAGACGTCGGTTCTGTTGCTGGGGTCAAGGATGTTGACATCAATGTGTTCAAGACACTTTTCTTTCCTAAGAATGCTGAGGGTGACGCTGCAGCTGAAGCTTGGTGGTCGAGAATCCATGAACGGAACGCATCTACGAGTGGTGAGGAGGCATCTCTTTGGCTGAGCAGTGGATATAGAGATGGTGGAAAAGGACTTATGGGACAAGTTACGCAGGGCCATGATTTTACAGAGAGTCGGGAGAAGAGCAAGGGAGAAGATGGCGCTTATGATCGATTACTTGATCTCAAGACCCCAGTGTTGATCGCAAATGGAAGCGTGAGTGACCTTTCCTGCTCTTTCAATCAAGGCTATATGCTAACAGATATGTTTTTGACAGAACGACTATATGATCCCCACGCCCAACAGCTACCTTATCTACAACAAGGTCCCCAACGGGCAGCTCATTTTGTACCCCGATAGCGGACACGGCTTTCTCTTCCAGTACGCTCCGACCTTCGTCAAACATGTCGAGACTTTCCTCGAGGGCTAGTAAACAGAGGCTATCATTCTCCCTGGTTGAGCAGTGGAAGTTGGTGATAGGTTGCACAGGAGATCAGGAAAGAAAATAGAGATATTTATTGAACTACCACCGTCATTTTCCCATTATTTTTCGATCTCATTCTTGCGTCGCTTGTTTCCATTCATATCGCCATAAATACACCAGCACCACATCATTCGATTTGATCCTCCCAATGCTAGTCTTCCTGGATGATGGACATCTTTAACGACTTACGGATGTCCACAGGCCGAACGGCGGGTGTTCTCCCGAGACACACAGTTGAGTTGACAAGACCTAACGAGACTAGTTAGCTTTCCGTATTGACCAAGTGCGTTCCCGTTTTCTTACACATGATCAGTCGCTCAACGTCGATCTTGACCTTCGTCTCACGTCTAATAGGCGTCTTCCACTGCTCCCCAGGTCCTTTACCCTTTGGCGGTGGCGGCATCGCTCCCATCGCCATACCCATCAAACCAGCGGGACAAGAAAACGAAGCAGGTTCATCGCTTAGAATATCTTCCTCCACGAAGTTGCCGTTACCTGGAATATCGGGAGGCGTAGTAGGTTCAGAACTCGTCTCCGAGTCTGATGATCTCTCAAACATACCCATGTCAATATGAGCTGTTACAAAGTCTTTCCCTGATGGAATAGTAACGCCGTAGCCGCGGAGGCAAATCTCGATCTCATCTGAGTCGAAGAAATCTCCGTCATATTCTGGATCAATAATTCGTAGTTGAGGGTTCAATCGTAGATCTCGGATCTGTTCGAGAGATGGACCGAAAGGTCCCATGGAGAAACCTGACATCTCTGATGGTCTGTATGCCTCATGCTCCAAAGACCTATTCCCAATAGGTAGGTCACAGCTACCATAGCCCTGATCAGGAAAGAATGTCCCAGCACCACCAACATTAGTAAACGGAAACCTCCAATTATTAAGCGTAGTCTCCCTCGATTTGCGCAACGCCTCACCCAACCGACTACTTATCTCCTCCCTCGTCTCAAAGTGCATACAGAACCCAAAGACCTTGCGATACCACGTAGGAGGCGCATGTCTCATGGACGCTAGAAGGAAAGCGGCTTCTTGAGAAGCTCTATGGTACCGTCGGCCAAAGGTTAGTTCTTGAGCTGCATAGGATCGAGGGTTGGGGAGTGTAGAGTCCCACGTTGATCCGGGGAGTTGGTAGGTCATGTCGTAGAAGGGTGTTTGGGTGGTGGGGGGCTGGAAATAGGAGGTTGCATCAAAGGAATGAGGTGTCGAATCGGAGTTGGGGTCGGAGCTGGATCTTGGATGGGAGAGCATGGGGTCGATGGGGTTGGTGGTGTAGTCTAACTGTCTGGTGACATCCATCATAGGAAAGTCGAGATCTTGGGCTTGGGGGATGGGAGGCGTGAAATCAGCTGAGACGCCAGCTGGAAGATCGTCGAGGAGATCATTCTGATCCCCATCTTGGACGTCAGGTCTCTCATTCTCATCTACCTCTCGAGCGTTGGACAACAAACTGAGAGTAGACTGCTTAATGTGTTCAATGATTTGTGGATTATTCTTGACAGTATCCTGCTCAAGAATCACAGAGGTGAAGTTAACAAACTCTCTTCCCATGTCTTCCTTGGACCTCTCGAGCTCTTCGACTTTCTGCTTCAGAACATCGATAGCCGACTCCTTACGCTGGCGATATGCTCGCTGAGCCATACGGTTTTGCATCCTTCGGCGCTAATACAACCAGTTAGAACAGCACTTGACATTTATCACTAATCATCCCGAGATGTCAAGTCACGGTGTACTCACGATTGTCACAGATCCACCCTCCGGAACTTCTAGTGGCCTTCTTCCCCTTTTGGGGCCAGAACCCGTGTCTCCCGCGTCAAGCGGCAATACAGAGATAGTATCCATTCTCGATGTAGAAGGACTCATAGCTTAATAAGAATACCCTGACAAGATGGTAGATGTGTGCTATGACGCAGGCGCAATGGAGAAGCTGATCGGCGGGAGATATATTTTACCCAGCCATCTAGACGGGAAACTCGTCTTTGCGGCATTACGGCCCGTAGAGAGATTTTGGTGGCTCAACAGTGATTTCAGCTGAGAGGGAAACCAATCAGCGGCTGAAGTGGTACTGACTAAGTGATTTCACATTGGACTATTTGACCCGCATCTCCACCAAGACGCCGACATATAGCATAGACGCCGGCATTGGCTTGCAGCTGAGGCCGACAAAGAATCCGATACCCATTATGAACGGGTTGCTTATCTTTCAAATCTTCTGACGTTGCAATCTTGATAGATATACCATACATGCTTCTTTTTAAACCCCGGTATCGCTGTGTATGCGGAATCTAATCATGTTTCCTGACGCAGGAGAGAATTTGGGTTGGACCCCAAGAGTCTCACGTCAGATTTTGGGTTGAATCTGGTATGGCGACATACCGGTCAAATGTGGCTTCTCGTGTTCAAGACACCGGCGTCTCGCTTTCGTTGCACGATAGCGGTGCGGGCGTTGTTACACCACGGTTGCAGCGGCTCTCACCATCTGTGTTGGATTCTACGGCGACAGGTCCCGGCAGCGAGGCTACTGCAATATTGCTATTATTTTGCTCGGCATTGCTGGTTTTGCTATGCTCATAGCGACGTCTAGCCCGACAGTGCAGTACGTCGGTGTCTTCCTCGGCGCAGCAGGCATTTACCCTACGGTCCCTAACACTCTTTCCTGGTTAAATAATAACACTGAGGGGTCGTTAAAGCGTGCCTTTGTGCTGGGAGTAGTGGTGGGCTGGGTCAATTTAAATGGCATGGTGTCGTCAAACATCTACTTGCTTCGCGAAAAGCCCCGTTACTATACGAAACATGCGGTTGTCTTTGGTTATCTGGTGGTTTTCTTGCTTGGTGGATCTATTATAATGCATCTGGGACTTCGCAAGATAAACAAAGATCGCAGCCTTGGCAAGATGGACGCCAAGTGGGACAGTTTGTCAGATGAACAGAAGTTGGTTGAAGGTGACCTGCGACCTGACTTCAAATACACTCTATAGATCTACTAGTTAGTCTTAAATTACATAGTTAATATAAACCTAATTAGACCTAGGGTGTATCAAGAGGCCTGCTTATGAAGAAAATAATATCACTATATTATAACTAGGTTTATCATAGTATTTTTAAACTACCTGGTGCGTAGAAAAGGGATCCTCAGAGTCGCTAGACAAACTATGTCTCTGTTCGTCTTTTCCTTGTATTACCATACGGTTTGTCACCGGACCATGTCCCGGCTGTGGTCGGCCTCTCTTTTGGTCGACATCGGTATGCACGACAATTGTGGACTCTAAGGGACGGAGCTGATCCTTACTCTCAGATGAATGAAGCGTCCTGGGCAGATTGTGCATTTCATGGCTCCGAGAGGTACCTGTTTGGCGAGCCGTGACATTGTTCCTCGAATTTTCATGTCTTGCATAAGAGGATTGGTTATAGCTAGAACCGCGCTCATGACCTGATAGCAGAGGCCGGAGAGTTGGAACGCAAGCGCAGATAATACCACAGCACAACTCGCTGACTGACCAAGACGCTGATTCGACATTATGCCATGTGATATCCGTGCCAATGTTAAGGAACTTGATACGAACGAGTGAGATAAGACACGTGCTATTTCGTGTTAGTCGTAAAAGACGAGCTCAGATTGGTATAAGAAACTCACAAAATTCCGAGGCAAAAGACAGACATAAGAATCCACTTTTGTCGCCGGCCGAGCTTCAGACTGCGAAGAACGGGGATCGGGAGGGCCATGATCAAGATATCGGTCAAAATATTACCCGCCGCGCCGACATAGAATGAAGATTTGTTGAGAATACAGGTGCCCTTGATCGTGACATCCCAGAAAGATGCAATAGGCACGCACATAAATGTATTCAGAAAGATTTGAGAAAGACTCCAGCAAGTGACGAGGACGACGGATGCGATATATGTCTTCTTGTACTGTCGCACAGGTATTACACGGTAGTACTGGAGGAGAAATATTGTCTTGATGACGGCTAAGGCGAGGTTGTAGACGACGGTTGAGAAGTAAAACAGCTGGATTGTTTTAGCTAAATTGCTAATTGGGTGTTAGTAAAGCCTACCCTTAAGAAATTACTGATCTGTTGGCCAGAAAGTGTAGATATATGAGAGCCAAGACCATTTCTAACGTCTGTAGCATATTAGTAAACTGTTTAAAAAAAGTTACTTTAATAGGGTTACTTTACTTGCTCCGATAATAGAAGCGTCAGCGATCGTCAACAACTGTTTGTCATTAGTAAGAAGATTTCTCAGTATTGAATGTGATACCCACGCAAGCAAGGATCGCACATGCGTCATCGACGCCAAAGTTTCTCAGCATGATGGTCCGGGCGTACACTCGCAGGGATACCACGATAAGAGAAATTGACGACAGAGTCGCCATAACACCTATGGCGACCGCACTTCTGGACTCGGAGGCATAATCTGAAGCAGCCATAGCCATAGACGTCTTGTGTGAAGGAGTGACGACAAGTTCAAAATGGGGTATTCACCGGGCTGTAGAGCAGCGACTTGCGAGAGATTTAAATCAGAAGAGGATACAGCCGACGCGAGAAAGTGGCTACAGGGCTAATGAGTCGAGAATCAAGCCAGAGGTCAGATTATCAAATTGGGGGCTGCTTGCTTTACGCCAGTTCGTCCCAAGTTACAAACGATCGGAACGCGCTGCCGTCAGCTAGAGCGATCGGTAGCCGGAAACAGCCATGTGGCTTTGAGAGTAGAGCGATAAGGTTCATTAGCCAGGGAGCAAGTGGCTGTTAGGCTTACGAGCAGCGAATCAAGATGGAGAGCAGGTCGTCTCACAATTTCAATTATGGGCCTAAATCCAAGTTACTGGATTTCCTGAGTCATGGACGATCAGAACGCACAGACGCTAGTGCGGGGAAGAAAACCGCGAATTCGAGACCTGCGGAATTAGTGTGAAATCCCAGAGTTAGCTGTTTCTTGCCCACGAGGAGGCGTTATCTACAGCAATTAGGCGCTAGAATCAACATGACAGGGAGGGAGATAAGGTTTAGTAGTTCAGGAGAAAGGCCGTGCGCTGAGCCACTACATGATACAAGTAACATCCACAACTTCGCCATTGCTACTTGTTTCAATGGTTCCGGAGGCCGGCCAGCTGCAGTATCTCTGCTTGGTTTGTTAACACACGACGTATGCTTGGGTGTGATCACGGAACGGTTCTTGGTGTAATGAAATAACCTGGAAACGGTCTATGCTGACTAAGGCTAGCCTTAAAAAGCGGAGGAAATATTACATTAAGCGCCAGCAGGTTATAGGTTAATACCTAGAAGTAATAAAATACTAATACTTAATATTTTTTTTAATATTTATTTTTTAAACTAGGAATTTAATAGAAGAATTTAAGTAAGCTTTAAAAATTAGAAATAATATAGAATTAAATATTAAAAGTTAATATAATAAAAAATTAAAAAAATATAAATTTTAAATATAAATAAGGCAGGGTTTTTTATATTAATTAAGGTATAATAGTTTTTGATTATTAATATTATAATACTACTAAATCTTATAATAATTAAAATTTAAAATACTAAAAGTAACTTAATAAGAAGGCTACTAAAGAATAAAAGCAAGATTAATAAATTAATATAAATAGAACAGCTTTCGGCAGAACTATTTTAATTTTATTATAGAAGTAAAGAGGGAAGTAGGCTGTCCCATTACAAGAAGACAAGTCTAGTTAGGCATTTCCAGAACAGCCCTATATCTCATCTTGTTCTGCTCAACCAGTTCAAAGACCTCCTTGATAGTTGAGGCACCCTCATGCTTGAAGATCTGAACCATAGGCTTGATACCATGACGTCCTGAAAACTCAAGCATCTCATCGTGGATATTACGCGATCCAACCAAGCTTGAAAAGACATGATACCCTTGGAAGAACATTGCTCCGGCACTGTGAGATGGTCAATATCAGTCATATTCGATGGGCAGGTGAGTTAACATACGGTAAGCTTAGAGGTCCGTGGACCGGGGCTGCAAGTGGGACGATGGTTCCATCTCGCGCGAGGAACTCCTTCGTCATGACCCTGTAGAATTATTGTTAGTCGAAGCCTTTCTAAGTAGTACCAAAGTACTTACTTATCCCAGTCAGGGTACCTGGTACCACAAATTACAAGAACATCAATCGGTGCCGTAGCTGTATCAAACATGTTCTCGATAAGATGGAACTCCTTGGCGCCCAGCTGTCGCGCCTCAGCCTCCTTGTTAGCGCTTGTGCTGTAGATAACAACATCGGCACCCATCTTGTCCGCATACTGAATAGCGAGATGGCCAAGACCACCAATGCCGAGAATGCCGACGCGTTTCTCAGGTGTCACTGTAGCCTTGAGAGCAGTGTACACTGTTGCGCCGGCACATTGGAGCGGTGCAGCATGTTCGCTGGCAAGGCTGTCGGGGATCTTGTGAAGATATGTCTCCTTGCCGATGTAATAAGTTCCAAAGGTTCCATTGTCGAAGTCACCTTCACCGAAAATGACACGCTCATAGCAGTAAATATCTCGCCCAGATAGACAATACTTGCAATGGCCGCACGAATCTCGATGGAATCCGCCACCTGCCCGATCACCAACTTTGAATTGTGTAACGAGCGAGCCAACGGACTCGACAACACCAATTCCCTCGTGGCCAAGAGCTACAGGGGCTCCCAACTGGCAGAGAACGATGTCTGAGTGGCACACGCCGCTGTGGGTCAGACGGACGAGGATATCGTGAGGGCCAAGTTCTGGTAGCTTGACGGAGGAGGGAGAGAAGCCGCCGTTACCATCGCCTGCGCGATAGATCGTATGTCCTGTAGGGGACATTTTGGTTGGTGAAAAGGGGATATCAGATTTGGAGTCTTTGGTGTAGATGCTCCAGGATTTGAGAGGACTGGCACTCTACGAGAGAGGGTGGTGTTACAAGATATAGTCCGGATTGTTCGAGCTTGATATTAACATGCTTATTGTGATTTATAATAATTAAGGTTTTATCTGGGACTGAGACTGATGCCTCTGTATGTTTGTTCGGAATGTCATTCTACACGATTACTATCTAATTATTGCCTTGCTCAATTCTCATTGCATCTCCCTCGGGCATTTCTGTCATCGGCAGGGGTTACTAATCGTTCCCGGCCTTCGCATGGGAGACCAGCCAATGATATCACGGAGACGGCTGTATTACTAAAACTAAGTCACCGGCTTCAGCAACTGCATTCCAACGTGTTTCCGCCAGGATTCAATTTCTACAGCAGCAAACCAAACCAATAACCAAAACTTTCCATTATCCTCGATATCATACTAATTTCCAACATAATATACTAGAAATACAAGACAGAGACAACAGAAATACGACGGGGAGCCGGAAAGCTATTCTAAAAATCCCGACTAGCGTCGTAAGCCATCACGCCCGGTGGGGTGAAGATGCAGGTGTCTTGATTAGGTCAGGAGAGGTGAGGTAATACAGACAAGGGTGTGATCACTAAGCAGGCCGCAGAATGCAACGGGACAGTGAAGCTATCACGAAAGATAATAGGCATAAACATATATTAAAAGAGATGAGTAGACATGTTGCAAGTCAGTATCGCAATTCCATCTTCATTTTACTCAACACGAACAGAGCTGAAGTCTTCCCATTCTCGAGTCTTCAACATGTCTTCTCCTTTCAAGAACATCCTCATTGTCGGAGCCACTGGCTCAATTGGCTCCATCATGTTAGACGCCCTAGTCAAAGAGCCTTCCTTTACTGTCTCCGCCCTCCAACGCTCATCGTCAAAGGGCAAACTCCCATTAAACGTGCGAGCCATTACAATTGATGATTCATACCCAACCGAAGCTCTCATCTCCGCTTTCACTGGTCAAGACGCAATTATCAACTGTATGACTTCTTTAGCTGTCGCTGATCAACTTCGCTTCGTTGATGCTGCTGTCGCTGCTAAAGTGAAGCGCTATGTTGCTTCTGAGTACGGTCTCAACAACAACAAACCTGAGGCAAGAGCCTTGAACTCAGTCTTTCGCGAGAAGGGTGAAGTGCAAGATTACCTTCGCTCCAAGGAATCCACTGGTCTAGAGTGGATGGCCATCGCTTGCGGAATGTGGATCAAGTGGAGTGCCCTACACGACTTTCTGGGCATGCACATTAAGGAGAAGAAGTTTGTCAAATGGGATGATGGAGAAGGCTGGTTCAGCAGTACTACCGAAGCCAACACAGTTCTTGCAATGGTCAATGCCCTGACTAAGAAATGGGAAGAGACTAAGAACAGAATCGTTTGGTTGAGTGACTTTGCTATCACTCAGAACATGCTTCTTGGAGCCATCGAGCGTGTCAGCGGGGAGAAATTCACTGTTGAGAAGGTTGACAGTGAGAAGCTTATCAAGGAGAAGCAGGCTGCTGTTGCTGCTGGGGATCATTACGCTATTTATGCCTTGATTGAGACGGGATTTGTGATGGGTAGATTTGGAGGACATCTCGAGAAGGAGGGAGAGATCATGAATGACTTGCTGGGTCTGCCGAGGCAGGACTTTGAGGAGGTTGTGCGTGTTGCTTTGAAGGCTGTTGAAGAGTCATGATCTAATCCATGGAGCTTCGCTTATCTACTACCCTTGAACACTAGAGTGCTCTGGATTATGTGAGATTTATTCTTTCTCTTGTAGATAAACGAGAGTTGAATACTTGCCTTTCAACTTCCAGCCGTGATTTATGATCAATGATTAATGTAATCTTTTAGATTCTACGCCAGACAACTTTTAACACTGCTCTGCTGCAATTTCTAAGTGACAAACCATATGCAATTAAACTCGTGGTACATGCATCGGGAACTTGCCAAGACTATCACGGCATTCCTTCCATAATCAACATCCACCTTTAGGACCCCATGTAATACTGAACTCATGTTGTTCGCCTACTTCTCCGTTATCGTGACTAGCCTCTTCCAGCCAGATGCATGCTTATAGAGCGTTTAGTCAGCGGCTAGCTGCGTCTCCAGATAAAAGTTCCATGCTCAGCCGTAAAGCTACTGCTGAGGTTAAATGTGAACAACCGCCGCTGTCATTGCCCCCATCATGTTCGTCGCTTCAAAAGTATATAATATTTCCCACAGCGTCCCTTCGAAGCTATGGTAAAGGACGTCACAAGAATTTCAACCTCCATCTACGTCGCCGACGATGTGGTCGATTCTGACAACGCTGATCTGGCTTTGAAGGTTCTACGTGATGTAGAAGCTGAGGATCTGGTTATCGATGATGAAACGGCCAGGCAGCTCCTCAAGAAGATCGATCGCCACATGATGCCAGTAAGTTCGCCCAAGTTATAGGAAGTCTTCGCTGATCTTTATGTCCAAGGTTCTCTGCGTTGTCTACGGACTCAACTTTCTCGACAAAACGACCTTGACCTATGCATCCATCATGGGCTTGACAGCCCCTCATTCTGAAGGTGGTATTGGTCTTCACGGTCAGCAATATAGCTGGCTTGCCAGGTATCCTCGATTACAACACCCTTTACTACTCTAGCTGATAGTCCTAGCATTTTCTACTTTGGTTATCTCATTGGCGAGTGGCCTACAACTGTGAGTCGATCCTCCATTGGTCTACTCCTTACTAACCAGGTCCGTAGAGGCTATTGCAATACTTCCCACTCGGCAAATACCTAGCGTTCAACATTATCGCCTGGGGCTCGATACTATGTTGCTTCCCCGCCGCAACCAGCTTCGGCGGCGCCCTCGCTCTTCGTTTCTTGCTCGGCCTTCTCGAGTCATCAGTAACACCCGGCTTTGCCCTTCTTACATCCCAGTGGTACACGGCAACTGAGCAAGGCTTGCGGGTCAACCTTTGGTTCAGCTTCAATGGAGTCGCTCAGATATTTGGGGGGATAGTGGCATATGGCATCAGCAAGAGCACAAAGACATATGAGCCTGCCATTCAACCCTGGAAGATCATCTTCCTCGTTTGTGGGTTGATTACAGTTTTCTTTGGTCTGTTCTTTCTCTGGATCATGCCTGATAATCAGACCAATGCTCGGTGGCTTTCACCTCAGGACCGACTTCTATGTATCCAGCGCATTAAGGCGAATCAGCAAGGTATCGGCAACCGTCAGTGGAAGAGATGTCAGGCCCTCGAGGCAGTCACAGATCCACTCGCTTGGTCCTTTGTGGTCTACTCCCTGTTCTCCATGATCCCGAATGGAGGCATGACGAACTTCTTCTCACCGCTAATTAGCTCCTTTGGATATACTCCTGAGCAAGCGTTACTCTATGGAGCACCAGGCGGAGCTGTCCAGATTGTAAGCTTGCTTCTTTCCGGTTATTTGGGAGATCGGTATCATAATCGTCTTCTCGTCAGCTCCATTGGCCTTCTCATCGCCATTATCGGAATGAGCTTGATCGCATTTCTCCCGGAAGACATGAAAGTCGGAAGGTTGGCTGGGTTTTATTTAAACCAAACCGCCATCTGTCCTTTTGTCGCCCTCCTGTCTCTTATTTCCACCAATGTCGCAGGGTATACCAAAAAGACCACCGTCGCTTCTATGTACCTGATAGCATACTGCGTAGGCAACATCATTGGACCCCAGACATTTCGAGGCTCGAGCTGGAAGCCTGCTGAGTTTACGTTCATTGGTTGTTACGTGATTTGCTTCTTTGACGTGCTACTTGTTCGTTGGTATTGCCTGAGGTTAAATCGCGCCAAGGTCTTGAATGGTTCAGAGGAGGGGGCAGGGGGAAATAGGCAGTAAGTTAAACATTGCAGCTACTTATTGGAAAAGTCCTAATGCATTGACACAGGTGGCTTGACTTGACTGATCGCGAGAACCCGGACTTCCGGTATCGAGTGTAAGATGCAGACATTGGAGCATAGGGGGACGGCTGGAAATGACATTGGAGATACGGCACTGTTCCAAAACAGAAAGGTATGCTGCTATAGACTACTACTTTGCAAAAGCTTCTCGTGGGGCTAGTGAGGCTGTATAAATATGCCCGGCTCATCCCATGACAATAGCCCAACGTCAAAGTATCTTGAGTTCATAAAATCATCATCCAGCATTAGATCAAGTTCGTCGTACATCTGCGGCATGAGCGAGCTCATTTCATCAGGCTGGCCTACAGTATGAGGATCCATGTCAATGTAATCCGACTGCGGCGGCTCCATTCTTCCATCTGAGAACAGGGTCGATCTATTCAGCTGGTCTTCTATCCATGAACGGCCTGAGCCAGAGAGATTCTCAGGCATGGCCCCAGATGACAAGTCGGGATCGATTTGTGACAGGTCGGCTTTCAGTCGTGCTAGAATGGCGGAGAGAAGATGGGCCTGGGCTGAGACAGCATTGCTTCTGGGATCAAAGGTACGCGACTCAGAGTTACCCATTGACTTGGCTGCGACGACGTATGCAGTTGTGACTTGGGTCAAGGTATTGACAGCTTCGTTCTTCGAAATTAGTGACTCATCAACATCCTGTCTTAATAGCTTGGGTATCATCATCGATGAATACGCGATCATGAGATGAGCTGTATCCCAGAGGTAGTAGATGATGTCTAACTCTCCCATCTCAATGCCCTGTCGAAGGACACTCAATGCACTGCAGTAACAGATTTGAGTCGTGTGGGTGATGAGATCGTTCAGTGCTTCTCGACTTTCGGAGATAAGCATTCTATGTAGAAAGACTGAATTGAAGTAGAGACGCATGTAATCTCGAAAGAGGTAGATCAGGGGTGTTTGGAAAAGCTCCGGGTTGGGAACTAGATAATGTTAGGTACCATTCTCCAAACTCTTGAGGTGCTTGCAATCTTACAAGTAGCGAACGTAGCCCGCCAGTAATCTCCCCACGCAGCAATCTTATTGTTGAAATCATCCATATCCTTCTGGAAAGTCTCGAAATCGATGGATGATTGGGAAGTACCGGAGTCAACACGAGTTTTCATCATGCTCTCGTAAACATTGCGAGCGATTACTGTCAGCTCGTGACCACCAACTGCCTTGCCATCTCCAAGTGGGTATGTCCACTCTGTCAGTGCCATCCACTGTCTGGAAGCTACATGCTCGAGAACGACGGTTGTTGATAGAGGTCGGTCTGTAAAATAGCTCGATCTGATGACTGTAAGATGATGCTCTGTCTGTGTGGCCAACAGGTTTGATCATGGACTCACGTTCTATCGATGTTACCCAGAGCCAGCCATACGCGATCCTTATCCCTCCTCTGCCGCACTTGAAGTTCTGAGTCCTGAAGTCCCTGGGCGTCGTACGACACGCTTCGACGTGTCATGTTCCATTCCGCAGAAGCTGCCATCCGGAGTGCAAATCCGATCAAGGTGTAGCCTCTGGTATCATTCGCATCTTTCCAGTGATACATACATATTATGGCCCAGATGTTCTCAATTGCTGAGTCACAGGCGAGTAAAGCTTGGCCGAGGAGAAATTCAGCGTGGTCTCGTATGGGTCTGTGAGACTCTGGCTGAAAGATGCGTGATGATATTGTGAGAATCATTGTGACTAGGAGACTTGATCTGGATCTTGTGTATGAGAACGTGTAGAGATTTGGGTCGAGGAGTCCAACGAGGCAGTTGAAGTGCTTAAAGAACCTGCACAAATCAGCGAGCGAACCCCTTGCAAGTCATGGTATACACACCCTTCATACAGATTCTGTGCAGATGGTCGACTGATGAGTCCCATATCAACAGGATCATGCTTTCTCGGTAAGTACACTGCGTCTGGCAAGCTTTGCTGCAGCAAGTCTGGAGGACCCCTGGGCTCTCCTTCAACTGATCGATCTGGGTTCAACGCAGCACCTAGTGACAAACCCCGCGTGTCCTGAGAGTTGGTGACAAATGAAGCAGGGGTAAAAGGCGATTGATCTGATCTAGAAGACGCAGAGACAGACTCAGGTGCTCGATTCTGATATGAACTCCCCCGGTTTGGTAGATCAGGGGCTTGAAAGGTTTGAGTATCCCAGGACTGCTGCGAACCTGACTCCCCAGCAGCTGATCCCCCCTCAAAAGTCTCTTCTAAAGGACGTGCTCGATCTTCTCTATAGAGAATGTTAACTACGTGATTTCACCGTACACATTTCACTCACCTTCTCCCTGACATATCTCTCCTCCAGAGGCCCCTGCGGTGTGACTCAAAAACACACTGCCTCCCCAGTCTTTGACACCGATCACAAACAACAGATGCCGGATTCGAAGTCACACACTTCATTTTCGCCCGTCGACATGGCGTACAAGCCACGCCGTGAGGTCTAACACCACGTCAGTTTCCCCATCTTAAACCCTCCAAGTACCACTTACCGTCGTTGCGTTTGCTGTATCGTCTGATCGGCCATAGCCAAAAAAGATCTCAAAAAATCGTATATCCTCAAAGCGAATTTTCGTATTGACATATGCTGACAAGTCGATATTAAAGGCATCCAAGCCTCTTTCGGGAGAACAACGGCTTGCGGCATATTGCGGCCATTGCGGGCCATTGTGCATTGCGCTAAGCCCTGCTATGCTCAGCTAAGCAGCATTTCTTCGCTGATTAGTGAACAACAACCGCTGAAAGTTATGCAATCGGCCGTTTTTCCTCCAGCGAACTGGTTTGCGATTATTCCTCGCGACGTCATTATGTACGCCTGCCATGGTTTTGAGATTAAGGATGTGCTGAGGGGATCGCGATCGTGGGTATTGGATTTGTCAGTTGTCAAGGCAGATGCATTCGCAACACCATTGCAGAAGCGCATTCGGGCAACTTATTGAATCATGCCGGGGCCATGTTATTTGTTTTGAGTCGCTGGGTCTTGGCAGTCGAGTCATTGTGAATGCTGCCATGGAAGGTGAACAAATCATGGTAACATCAGTAATCGACCGCCGTGGAAGGCAAAGTGAACGAAGAGGAAATTGTTTAGCTGTGCAGACGCACTCTTTTTGATGCAGAGACAGTTCTTCATTCATAACCATTCCGCCTTTCTCTTGACACATTGGACAAGGGTGATCTACCAATTACAAATTTGTTAGTGCGTACCAGCAGGATTTATTGGTTGACTGGTCTTGGCCGGCCGGTGTCTTGCGCTCGGTCTCCACCAAGACGCCGATAACAGGGGCCAGGCTTTATCTTATCAGCTATCATTTATCTTATCGTGATCCTTATCCTTGAATCGATCTCTTGTGGGTAAGTCGAGAGCGTATGTGCTGGACTTACGAGATAGGTATTACAGCTACACAAGTAAACTCAGTTTAAAGAGGTAATCACTTGACTGGGATGTGCATGTAACTTGAATCATGCTGTGACTGCAAAAGAGGACTTGCCTCGCGAGATAGAGACCTTGCAAATAGGTCTTAAAATATTGCTTTTTGGGTACCCATGGGTGTCACCGATACTTTCTGTTCCATATGAGGCTAGGGCCAAAAGGAAGTCTTGTTACAAAAGAAATTACCCATGGGCACCCAATTTTATGCCCTACTTGCAAAATGCAAGACTGTGATTGTGACGAGGCTATTAAAGTTCGTTGCTATCAAACTTTCTTCTCTAGGTGAATAAAATACTCTTTATTAATAATGAGTCTTTAGACTTCAATTGAGAGGGTATTAACTCAAGTACGCAAGAGATTGATACCAATATAAATGTAAAAAATAGCCAAATGTTCCGGAAACTGTATACTTACCCTATATCGAATATTATTCTAAAGATAGACCTGCACTAATGAGATAACAGCTTAGTTTCGATCTCCCCACATTAATTGGTAATCATCTCGCAGAAAGTTGCTCACAATTGAGATTAAGTATTGCCGGCATATTGCCGACTGCATCCTGTCCGTGGCTGCTTACTCGACTCGACGTTGGTAAGCGAGTGATGCATGAGTCCTTTGCGGATGATATTCTTACTCCAACACGACCCCAGAAGGAATTATCGCAGGAAACTTTTCGCGAGCCACATTGCATCACATCTCCCATCATGCCATCTCTGGGATGCGGAACCTGTCGAGGTTCGTCCCGCCTAACCCCCCTGTAATCTACGCTACTAACAGAACCGATAGCTCGTAAAGTACGCTGTGACCAAACCTATCCGACATGCAATCGATGCATCAAAGCAGGGCGGCACTGCAAAGGCTACGACATGCAATTGTCTTGGCCGCGTCGGGATGATACCCGACGGGCTATGGTTGGTCCTAGACCGCGCCTCAAGGGGAGACAGTTCGAGCACCGATTGGTGAATACTACCTTTACGGATATCAAGCTCCACGATCTAGTATCTACATCAGATAAGACTTATGGAGTACACATGCTGGGACTGGTTGAGGTTCCCCTTGGTCCTTCTGATGCAAGTCCTCTTGAGGCATCTGGACCGCTATCATTGATCAAAGGGCCGGCGGTGGGACCCATAGCACGACTCAGTCCAACCGACCAGAGATCGTTTCAGTACTGTAAGTTTAACCACCTGGTGAACACCTGCATGCCCCTTGTGCATAGCTTTCACTTACCCCAGCCAGTCGTACAGACAGCCTCTTACTCCATCACGTCCTTCGGCCATAATGCTCCAAGAGTCCGGGAACTGCTCATCCGGATAGCTCTATCGGACTTTTCACCTTCATCAACTGCAGTTCTCAAATCTGCTTTAGCACTCACATCCTTCCATCGTGATAAGCCACTTCAAGCAACAGCCCAGTATAAAATAGCCGCCCTGAGAAAATTAGCAGAGTCAACACAGGGGCATATCAGCGTGACAGATTCAGCATGTCATATCGCAGCTGGTATGATACTAAGCACGCTAGAGGTACGGGCCGCACCCTTTGGTAGAAGTGACACACTAACTGCTACGTTAGATCCAGCAAAACTCCATGAAGTCAAGCCATTGGCTGTGGTATGCTTGTGGCGCTACCAAGATCGTCAAGACTGCTGGGCTAGATGTAGATGACCTGGACCACGATACGGCTGCTCTTGTGGGCTGGGTACACTACTATAATACCTTATCTAGGTTCAGTCTACGTCATTGGCAGCCACATGTCACTCTTGATCCTGGTGAGGCTGCTGATTCGTTTCATCCAGTTGTATGCGGTAACGGACAGGTATGTAGCCCCACTATCGAACGGAGCCCGCTGACGGCAACCCTTGAAGCCTGAAAGTCTCACAGGAGCACCGCATGAGATATTATATCTTCTGTCAGAGGTATTCAACGCTGTGACAGTACCTTCTGACCCACGCTACGAAACGAAGGCTCATAGAAGCCATCTTGAAATACTAGATTGGAAACTACGCAACCTTGAGAAAACAGCCCAGGACACCAACGTTTCTGCTAACGCGACGCATTCAGCATTTAATCTAGTCGTCGAGCTGTATCGTCTATCCACTTTGATCTATCTCAGACGAGCTTCCGCAGGAATTCTCCCATTAGATCAAAAATTCACCATATGGGTCGGACAAGCATTCGAGTTACTTGAACAACTACCTGCCTGCCAATGGCCATTTCCTCTGCTCATCTTTGGCTGTGAGGCACAAGGCGATAAACAAAGGATGGTCATCTTGGATGTCATGGAGAGGACGACCGAAAACATGCAGTATCGAAATATCGCTACAGTCAAAAGGGTCATCGAAACAGTATGGGTACAAAAGGATTTGTATGCTGAAGATATGAATTATGTTAGGAAGCTGGGTGTTATTCTGAGCTCGACTCATAAGTCGGTACCAGCGTTTATATAGACTTGAAAGGAAAGGACTGTTTGATACCAGATGTCTAGATTGGCAGAAACTCATGCATCTTATGCGATCACCGTTAGGTATAACGAACTCTTAACAAATCTGTGAATTGTTACTAAAAGATTGACTACCATTAAGGCTTGGAGTTTTGGAGCCGTGAATCCAGCGTCATTGATTCTCACGAGCATGGTTGGATATACTATGCTGACACGACTAGAAATCTTCCCAAGCTCGCAAAGAGTTGTAGGCAGAGTGGAGTGAATAAGACTTCAAAACAGATTTATAATGAACTCTGAGCCACATTTGCCCTTCAAATGCTCGTAATAACTGTGAAGCCCACGATAAATGCGACTTGGGTGCATGCGGCTCACACTAAGCCTTTAGTGCAGGGCAACTTTTTGCGAGGGCCCCACTATAAACCTCCACCAACTCGCTGACCAAGTGGCGTATCGCGGGCAGGGCCACATGAATTACAAAGCATCAAAAGTTGCCAGAACATTTCATGAATGAAACTGTAACTGGAAAATGATATATATATGGCCGTAACCCTCACTATTGATCTGACATTCCATACCAAGCACAAATAGGTATCACTCAACAATACATCACTTTAACCCATCTAACCTCAAACCAACATCACAATGCCGTCTTATCTCATCACCGGAACATCCCGAGGCCTCGGTGTAATTCTCTCAGATTCAATCTCCCGATTACAACACTAACACCTCATAGTTCGAGTTCGTTCGGCAGTTGTCTTCTGACTCAAACAATACCGTCATTGGTTTTGTCCGCAACAAAAAGGCAACTGAGGAGAAGATTCAGCGCGAATTACCTGGACGATCCAACATTCACACCATCCAAGGCGAGATCCAAAACCTGGAATCCGTAAAGGTATGTGACCACCCTGTCTCCTCACAAATCATCACTCTGAGACAAGGAGCAGAACTTGGTGAATGAGGTTGCCAAGATCACCGGTGGTAGCCTTGACTACATCATCGCCAACGCTGCACTTCAATCCGAATGGTCAGCCCATAACCCCATCGGCGTTCTGTAAGTCCATTCACACATATGCTTTGTATCACCCAGTTGCTAACATCTCAGGGGCGAGGAACCAGAAAGACTTGAGGAAGACATGCTCGAGTCCTTCAAGATCAACACCCTCGGGAATATCCACCTGTTCAACCTAGCCCTGCCACTCATCCGCAAGGGCCAAGCCAAGAAAATCATCGCCATCTCATCGGGCATGACCGATCCGGACTTTATTACAAACTTCTCCATCACTGATGGAGCCCCTTACACAATCAGCAAGGGCGCACTGAACATCGCCATTGCCAAGTTTGATGCCCAGTATAGGAAGGAGGGTATCTTGTTTATGGCTATCTCTCCTGGTCTTGTTGCCACCCAGGACACGTCCAACTGTAAGTCCCTCATGTCTTCTGCCCACCTGCGCCACATGCTATGTATTTGCCTTTCTGGTGGTTTCTTTCAACTCCTTGACCTTGTGTATATGATTGGTAGCATCACATGCTGATAAACAACAGACACCGAAGAACAGCTTCAGGGAGTTCGCGACATGGTGGCTGCTTTCAAAGGCTACGCCCCTCACTGGGAAGGGGCAATTTCTCCTGAAGAGTCTGCTACCGCAGTTCTCTCTGTCATCAATAAGGCCAGCATTGAGGCTGGTAATGGAGGTTCTTTTGTGTCCCACTACGGGAACAAGCAGTGGCTTTAAATCCGGAACCTGTTATCTTGGTGGATATCGAAGGTTAAAAAGGATGATGCCACAGTGATCGGAACTTTGGAGCAGCTATATCTTTAGGTATCTTTTTATAATAGGATCTGTTTCATCCAATCATCATATCAGGCTATTAATCCGTCATTATAATATCTGTAATAAGAGTCATGTCAAATAACCATTAAAGCTAAGAACTTGACTAGTGCCTCTGTCGGCATGCAGTGGCTAATTCGTCGATGAGAAACCATGAAACAGGTCTGTATATACCTGAGTCGCTGTCCAGAGGTCCCATTTTGTACAAGTCTTTGTTTTTAAGAAGAAAGTCCAGGATCTCTCGCAGTGTATTACCACTACCACGCCTAGAATGAACTTTGCCCTTAGGTATTTGTCCCTCCCATAGGATATGCTTTTGAGGCGACCAGTTCATGGAATTCATAGAACTTCCTGAGCTATGGTCAAGGCGTTTCTCAAGCTCGCTGCTGAGGCTCTGCGGTGACCATGTACTGAATCCTCTGCCCAGAAACAGGCGTAGTATCGGAATATCTACGTGTTTTATGGAGTATAGCAGGAATCTCATCCCTGTAGGCCAGGCTAGAAGGCTGAGATCGACTTCGGCACGAAGGATAATTTCTCGAGCAGCAGGCCATCGCATGTTGATCACTGCCACTTCCCAAGCATGTGAAATCGGATTAGCTATGAGAGAATGCATGGAGGAGATCCTGAAACAGTGATCCAGGATGCATTGTAACAAAGAAAGGCGTTCTTTGAAATTGATGTTGATCTCAGCGCCGTTGAGCTGGATGGTCCTTTCGTTCTCGCAAGCTAAGACCATACGGCGGATAGCTGTGCTGTTTTCCTTGTCCGTCAGGTCCATCATTGGTCCAGCATGAAGCAGTGCCCTGGCAGTAGGAATCACTTGGGTATTGGGCGTGAACCTCATGAGGGACATCTGAGATATGAGAGCGTGCAAAGGAGTAGCGCCAGTATTGTCCTGATCATTAGCGCTTGCCCCTGACCTAATGAGTCTCTCGACTAGCTTTTCCTTGAACAAACGAGCAGCAGAATGCAATATTGTCATGCCGCGTTTGTCACGAACTGCCAAGTTCATCCGACTTATGAGAGAAGCAAAGCCCGGCAAGGAAACCACATTCTCTTCCCACAACGCAAGGGCATGAGTTGGCGTAGAACCGTAGCTATCCATTCCCGAAGTTGAGGCTCCACGAGATAGCAAAAGCTTAGCGACCCCAAACACATATGTCCAGTCCTGTCGCGGAGTCTGTAAGAACAGAGTATGGATGGGTGATCGTTGCTGATTATCAGTCGCATTGATAGAGGCGCCGTAGTCCATCAGGCATTGAATCAAGGTCGTATCAGTATTCCGTACAGCAAGGTGAATTGCAGTGGTACCGTCCAGAAGCTTCCGGTGAACATCTGCTCCCATACGAATGAGAGTGACTGTATCGTCAAAGGATTGGTTCCTCACTGCGCAATGAAAAGAAGACTCTCCGAAGCTGTCGACTTCATCAGGTATCAGACCCAGCTCGAAGACCTTAGATAGGGGCATCATGCGCGAGAAGCCTGAGTCAATCATATGCCATACAACACCCCTCCCATCCCCATCGACTTGGTGTAAATGCCGGCTACTGAGAAGAAGCGAGGCAAAAAGACTGTCGTTGTGATAGCGAATCGCAGACAACAAAGCACGGAAGCCCACGGCCGGTGAAGTGTCCGGAAATAAGAGCTCACCGAACTCAATGTACGTGACCGCCCGTTTTGGCGTAACGTTTCCTTTGCAGGCTATTTCGAGCAATGACTGTATAAGCTCTTCGTGTTCCTCATTCCCGAGAAAAGAGAGTATATGTGACTGGCTGATGTTGTCAACAGAACGGTGTAAGTCTCTAGCAATTTCTAGCCCGTCATGCGTGAGGATGGTTCTCAATCCAGCAGAGAAGTATTTAGCAAACCTCAACTTTTGGCTTTCTGTATTGGAGCCGACAAGTTTCCAAATGGCCCCAGCCAAAGCCAACACCATCTGTGACCGCCTGATATCGTCATTATCACTCTCCATGACCCATAGTTCCAAGAAGGATCTCACACAAAGTTGTGAGAAAAGACAGTTTTCAGGTACTAATGCCTTGCTAACGAGCTCATCATGCCATTCTGGCCGATTCAGACACGACTCCCAAAGAGACGAGAAGATATCAGCTCGATGATATGAAATAGCGTTCTGCAGTGGACTTTCGGAACGGACAAGAGGAGATGCTTCACGTTCCGGGCCGCACGAGAGGGGGTCCGCTCCAACTCTGAGCAGTGCTTCCACAGATGCTAACGAACCAGCGAGAACGGCAAATCCTAGCGGGGTACCCGTTAAGGAGAATGGTAGCTGCTGATCGAGAGTCTGGGGTTCGGAGCAATAGGCCTCTAGCAGCGGGCCTCCAGAGTCAATATGCATTGGCAACAAGATCTTCAATGCGTGTTGTAATGTCTCGTCATCCTTATCAAACATAAAGAGATAGTGAAGAGGAGTAAGACCAGAGCTCTCACATGAGAATAGGTCTTTTTTGCGCGATGCCAAGGAGATGAGCCCCTCGAGATCACCAAGTTGACAGGCCAGAATGAGTGAGCTATCAATATCGTCTTGTTGGTACCGAGCCGGCTGATTGCTACAGGTGCTGACGGTCCTATCTGACCACAAGGAGGGGCTTATCTGCGGCGAATGGTTCTCAAGCTTATTTAGACCATACGGTGATAGGAATTGAGACGGCGAGTCCCTTAGATATTTTGGAGACGCCCAAACACCTAGTTCAGTAAATATGGAACCACGGGGATCGCAGGCAGGAGTAATAGTCTCAAGCTTATCGAGGCCTTGGTATCGGTATTGCAGAATTAGGAGAAGCATTTGGGCCGGAAGACAGGTAGATGAGCTAGCCATTCTTATGTATTGCATAGCAATGGGAAAGTCACGCTCTGTTCCAAATCTGTTAAAGAAGGCTAGAGAAACCTGTAATGCGGCTCTGTTTGATACGTCGGATTCGGAAAGCGCAGTTCGTTTTGCGTCTAGTAGCATTTGTTCTTTCACACGGAACGGTATCTGACTAGCCACTGTTGGTATGAAATTCTAGATTCGTTAGAATGTTCAATCTCGTAATGTATGCAATCGCTGTCAGGTATATACCTCATACGACCAGCCCCCCTCTGAGAAGTTAGCTGTGATATCAAGCGAGTCCTTGGTACTGCTCCACTCATTCCATCTACCAGGCACTCATAAGTCAACTGACATGAAGGAGAGTGTGAATGTTACATACGATAGATGGAGCCCTCCACCAAATATAAAGGGAAGTTTCGAGAGATCATGTTGTCTCTTGGAAGGGTCCACCTGCAGGGTCATCCTGAGGATACCTTTTATTATTGTTTTTTGCAATGGACGAAACTCCTGACGAGAAGAGAGATTATCAATTGACTTTGCTGCTGCTTCGGAAAGGTAAGGACATAGGCTGAACGACCGTTTCCACTCGTTAGAAGACTTCGTTTCTCCCTCAGCTGTCTGGGACCAGACCTTCAGGGAGGTGATTTCTGGTAGATGAAAATATTTACTACCATCCCAGACGACCTCTAAGCATAAAAGCCCGAGAGCCCAGACGTCGCAGCGCAGAAACTCGACTGTTTTGAGACTTGAACCATCATGGAGCTCGGGAGCCAGATACCTAGAGTGAAATGCGTGACCGCTCAGTAAAAGTGACAAGTTCCACATCCATAGCCCCTTACCAAAAAGTGCCCCGATAGCTTTGAACTGCACCATCTCCTTGCTCGTTTCTGAAAAGGCATGCATGCCCGAAGTCTGACTGCTCACTCATCAGCGCCTCATATTGTAGCGTCATATACAGGTAATCAAGAGAGGATTATTTACCAGCTTCGCGGTCACATCGGTCTCATAGGTCCCCGCACCCTCTATTGTGCGGTTGGGGAAGACCAGCACGTTCTCAAGTTTCAAGTCGCCATGAGCGACACCAGCCCAATGTAACCTGTTCAAGCCACACGCGACCTGACTGCAAAGAGCCAGTTTGGATTTCATGGGAATTGTTCCGCCCCGCAAGTAATCGCGCAGCGTTCCACAAGCAGCGTAGTCAGTTACGATGAACGGTATGGTGTCTCCTTGCCGCAACCCCCAGCCATAGCCCAGAAGTGTCAGTATGTTCTCGTGCTGGGCAAGGGGAGGGTGACACATGACCTCAATGTCTTTCAAAACACAGTCCACTCGGTCCTGGTGGGCGTCGTGGTTGCTAGCATCCTGGGCTAGTTTAATTTGTTTGACGGCAACTGCCTCATTCGTCCCAACATCGGTGTATCGAAAGACTGTGTACGATGCACCCTCACCGGCCTTTTGAGGATTTCGGAGTGACGAAGCTGCGCAGAGTCGAACGTTAAGAGGCTGGATGGCCCGGAGAAGGTCTTGTAGAGATCGGACTTTGGCCCCACCGGGTCTGGAAAACCCAACAGAACAAGACACCAGAGTCCGAGGTTGTGGACGGGAAGACCAGACTGAAAAGGACTGGACGTTCATGAGCAAAGGTACTTGGTGCCATGCGTTGCCTCACAGAGAGAAAAGGCTACTTTACCGGACCAGTCATTGAGGCGGAAAACAGCGTTGTCTGCTGTCCCTGGTGACTCTCAGCTGTACCCTGAAAATACGATTTATGGTCGACGGAGGAAAATGGAACCACAAACAGAGCGACCAAACCATTGAAGAAATCTTTGCAGCCTGATTTGCCTTGATTTTCTTGGTTTTTCTTGTCCACCTTCTGCATACGAATATCTTGGTCGCAGGGCAGGACAAATGCATTGGCAGCTTTCGCCCATGCTTCAGTCAGGGCGGCTATGGCAGTATCCCTACAGGTCCCACTCAACCCTCCCCTCCCATTGAGAGTCTTGGCTTGTCCAATTAGAAGTACAAGATTCACGTCGGCTGCAAAAAGATCAAGGTAAGCCTGGCGTGCTGACCACCAAGGTCATCCTTGCAGCCAATCAAGATCAATAAAGAGGGTTACACAACATTTGCCCGACCGTGGTCGGCAAGTGGTCCTCTTTTATTTGCTGACGTGTGCGATGTCGCTGTTTTGGTGCTGGCGATGTCTCTGCCTTGTTGCCAGTGCTGCCTAAGAGGTGTCCGTATCATCTTGCAGGAAAGAGGGGCAAAGAATGCATACTGATTCGTTACTGAAGGGGCAGAATTCGCAATGGACCCGTGTCTGACGAATTGTACCTTAGCTGCGCGGTCTAGGACAGTACTGATGAACAAGCAAAAGGTAGCCAGCCAGGCGAACCAAATTGCTCGCCAATCCTTTTCGTGCGGCTCTGGTCCTAAGAATTTCCCTCAAATTAATTAATGGCCTTTAAACTTTTGTTATAGAGCATTAAAAGCTTTCCAACATTAATTTCCAATGGCAGATGCCATCGGAATTGCGGGATTGGCGATCGCCGTTTTCGATCAGCTTCTAAAGCTTGGAGAGAGGACTGCGCAAACAATCCAGGACATCCGGACATTTGCTGAGGTACTGGCTACGGAGCATCTCGGGTGCATCGAGTCACAAACGCTGACAGGATATTCTCAAGGACTTGAAGCACGTATCAGAGACGATCAGAAGAGAGCATGGCATCACCAAGGCTCTGAAGTATTTGTTGTTTGAAAAGTCCCCAGTAATTCCTCCGTTATCATCAATCACAAGGACTTGAGCTAACCCGTTGTAGAGGTATGGAGGGCAGATGCTGTTTGAACAGTATGGCGAAGAGGTTCAGACGACCATATTGAGCGTGGTAGAGGAACTCCTTGACACGCTGGAGAGCGCCTCGAAACTACTCGATCGCCATTGCGGCTCGGAACAACCGTGGTTCTCAAGAGATCGTTGCTTTATGGTTTCTCGCTCACCCAGCCCTTCGACTTTCACATTAACTGTTGACAATGCGTCCCAGTCTGGGTCACTAGTGACTGAGAGGAGTTCTAGCACTACGTCCTTGGCAAGGAAATTAAGATGGTCTTTGTCTGACAAAAGACGCGCTAAGGACATCATAGACCGTTACGCAGATCGGAACAACAACTTGTACCGCATTGTGCAGCTCAATAGCTTTGCATCTGGGATCGGGGTTAACTTGCAACACCTAGAGAATATGCAGCACAATCAAGCAGCAAAACAGCTTGGATTTGACGAAACCGCGGGTCTACAGCTGCTTGCTAAAGCGGCTATGGTTGGCATGGCAGACAACTTCGAGATCAGTGACAGTTTCACTTCCGGGTGGACAGACATAACACCTATAGAGGACAGATTTTTCACGTTCAACAAAAGTGGCAAATCGTATCTGCAGGATACTTGCGAGTACAAGGTGAATAGCAGTGAGATTGATCATCAAACAAGGTCACGGTTAAATGGCCTGGTCTCACTACTCCAGCAGCCCAAGGGCCAAGTCTTCCGAATTCCGAAATGCATCGGGTGGAGATTTCTGCCATCATCTCGAGATATAGCCTTCATTTTTGAATCACCAGGTGCAGCGGGAACGCAACCACGAAGTCTATTGCGCCTCTTTGAAGATCCCAGTATGAAACCGTCGCTGCAAGACAAGTTCAACTTGGCACACAGTCTTGCTAAGAGCATATCGCAACTTCAAATGGTCCAGTGGGTCCACGAGAGTTTTCGAAGCGAGAATATTCTGTTTTATATTCCGTCTCCGCCGCAGAATGACCAGAAAAATGATCGAAGCGAAGTTGTGATCCCGCTGGACCAGCCATGGGTCCTAGGATTTGATTTCAGTCGGCCCGAGAGCTTTTTCTCACATGGTTTCCCCGACACGAATCCTGACAGGGACATCTATCGACACCCAAACAGACAGGGCCGACCGACAATGACATTTAGCAAGTGGCATGATATATACTCCTTGGGTGTTGTCTTGCTAGAGATAGGTTCGTAACAGCTGATTATCATGCTAAGTCATTTACGTGAAGAAACTGACACTAGAATACAGGTTTTTGGGAGCCAGCCATCCAACAACAGCATCCCCGCGATCTTTTCCGAGCGATGAGAGAACCTGAGAACATCAGAGAGCGACTTGTCAAGGTAGCTCGGAGAAGGCTTCCCGCGAAAGTGGGCGGCAGATATAGCGAGTTGGTTGTGGCCTGCTTGACTGGTGATTTTGGGGTGGAAGATGACACTAAGGAGGACATCCAACTCCAACAAGCATTTAGAACCCAGGTTATCTCGGTACTAGCCCAAATAGTCCAAAGCATCTAGTGCTTATGATGTCTTTACAAACAATACTTTATAAGTTAAAATACATAAAGTACAGCGTGTACGCATTGTTTCTTGGTAGAAGAGAGGGGAGCTGTTTCTAAAGTCCGAGCTTTGAAGCTTGGCACTGACGTGAACACGCGATCAGTGTCCACGGCAGCTCGCAACCCAACCCGAAAACGAAATCATTTGGACTACCTGGAGTAGGCTGGGGACAGCAATGGGATAAACTCTGTCGAGCTGTCTTTAGGTCAACTGCCGCCTGAATCTTGCAAGTGATGTCCTCTCCCTTTGCCAGCAGTATACTTATATGCCCCAGAAATGGGCATAAAAAGAAGCAAGAGTTGTTGGAGGTAAAATGAAAGACTCAGCGACTCAACAGCTCTGAGTCAGTGCCAAGATGGCCCAGATTGTGCATTGCGTAGTTAGCAAAGGCCAAGTGGAACCGCACCCAAGTTGGATACACAGGGGTAATGCAATCAACGATAACAAAAGCTAAGGTACGCTCTTATAAGTAACGAATATGAACCTAAACGGATTGCGGGTAGTCAGCAAATCTCTTCTGTCTCCTCTATCTGAACATAATGTTTGCGAACTATGATTAGCTGGGCAAACGGGCTAACACGGGCATAAGCAACGGGTCTACGTGGATCAATGTCTCAAGGGTTATCTTCAACCCGAACGACACGGTCAGATGATGATCGTTGATCGTGGTGGGGGGCTGCTGGTGAAACAGAGGATTTCTTTCCGTATTTCCGAGGTAGCGGATGCCTCCAAGGCAGATTTTGGGCCACGCTTCATATACTGGCCACCACGACTTTCATAATTACAGCCTCAAGCTGTGCTTTTTGTCTAAGATGCTATGATTATTTTTATAGTTGGTGAAGACTTGAATGATAGAAGTCGAAGTGACTACGATAAGCAGTCATCAGGTATGCCGATAGTGCCTAGAGCTCCAGTGACGATTATGTGACAGGCATTGCACATCTATAGAGCTTACAATCAGGCGACGATGGTATCTAATCTCATGCAGAAAATCAATAGACGTGTTACGATTGTGGCTCTGACTACTCCGCAGCACAACAGGCAACCGGTACCAGGGTCTGTATTGCCAATTCAACCGACACAATCTCATCAAGAGCGATAATTCTCGCATGAAATTTCAGGTTTGTGTCCCTTAGACCAGTCAGACCACGAGTCCGCTCCTCTCGAGCTGCCAAAAAGAGAATCGTCTGTGGAGAATAGTGGAGGTTTGCTGTCACCTCAAAGTTTAATCTTCAGCCTGACAGGGAGGGACTGATTCAGCCACCAGCGCTAGGGAGATCGGCTTTCTAGGTCGCCTGGTACACAGTTGAGAGGGACAGCGGTAAGTAGAAACTGTACGTTTCAGATGGGACACGCTAAGGCGGTGACAGATTGCTAATTATTATCAGATCATCTTATTTGATGTCATGCTATGCAAGACGACATAAAAACTAAATGATGCAAAGAAGCAGATACAAAAGCATATAATATCATACCTACCTACGTAGTTCCGCGCCGGATTTTGTATTCAACCAGCAGCCTTCACAAGCTAACCAGTCCGCCAAGATGCCAGACGGCACCGAGAACCCGAAAAGTTTGTAACGTCGCCCGTTTCTAGCCCTTCACGCTGTTACTAAAACCTCTTAGAAAACACAACAGATCTGAGTATCGAGGCTAATAAGGCATCCAAGGCATATCTAAGTTATTTGCAGGATGAAGTTCAGAGACTGAAAGATGAAGAAGGTCGGGATCAGTGGATGTTAGAGCTCGTGGAACGGAATGAGCTTCTGGAGAAGGAAATACAGCGAATGGCGGAACAAATCAAGGAGTCGAGCCCTGGGAAGGAACAGGAAGCTAAGAAATAAGTGTCTTTATTAGATAGAGCTACTCATGGTTTTTGCTTGTACTTTTGCTTATAAGTTATTGCTATTGTGATTATCTTTTGGAAATTAGTCTCTCAATATAAGTATAAAAAGGTGACAATCTGCAACATTGAGACTGAAGAACGTAACAATAATCTCAAGCATTAGTTTGCAACAAGAAATTCAAGAGTCTCTCCTTCTCAACCTCAACAACCGTAAGTCTGGATTCAACTATGCGGATAACCGCCTTCCTAACTGACTTACGGGCAATAAGTTGCTAATCTCCCTGGCACATCAAGTAAACATGAACATCGAACCTACAGCCCACGGCTTCATCCGAAACGCAATCAATGCCCTCCTGATAGTAGAAGCCTGTCTTCAAGGAGAGTCCTTCCACATTCCGAGAACACTACGTCCTGAAGAAGCTAGATCTGCTGTCTACGATGGTACAATCTCCGTTTACGAGGTCGAATCCTCCGGGATCGACGAATGGCACGATCATCATCAATCGTATCATGAGTTTCGACTTGGCGATTTCACTGTTTTCTGTGAAGCACACATGGGACCAACATACCAAATGGGACGCTTGATCAAACAGAGCATGGTTCTGCACTGGGACGGTGTTCGACACCATGTCATCTCCTATTTCCAGGTAGGAACTTTGCAAAGAGCTGTTTCTGAAGGCACAGAGGCGCCGTTGGACTTGGACCAAATTATAATACCAGATGGGCTACTTGAAGAGCAACGCCATATTCGCCATAGTGTGGCGTACAGGCCTTGGCTTGGTTGGAGGGCTGAGCACTGGACTCTCCAGAATGGATTATTCGCGCAGAGACCAGACTCCGAGTCCTGTCGAGAATGAAAGTAAAACACCCTCATCTATCAAAACTGTGGATATGTCGAAAAAAGAACCTGATAGTCCCTCGAATAAGAGTTTAGATAGAGTCAAACAAGTCGTTCCGAGGTTCTCTAGAACGCAAATCATCGCTCCAGACCTAGAACACAAAGGAGGACCACCAGCACTTGAGAGACTCAGACACTGGCGTTCAGCCGAAGCAACACCCGGTGCCTCATGGTGATGACATGCAGCTCCAACCCTTGGGATATCAGGCCTTCATCCCAGATCAATCCTCCAGTAGAACAGCGCAAGTGACCCAATGCTCCCTACCGGCTCTCATCAATCACCTTGCAGACTGCGAGCTTGAGTCTATCAGAGAGCAGTTTGCCTCGGCGTCCTTCACAACATGGGAACTCTTCTGTACACTAGAAGAGCTATTAGCCGCTCTGACTAAACACTCCATAGCCTAGAAGGTAGAAACGCCTCAGAGAAAGACCGTCCAGTTTCAAGTTTGCTATGCTCTCAGAGTTTGGCTGGAGTCCCATTGAATACCCAGCACAGACCGGTGCATCCTACTATCCCTGGACTCCTTTCTGAGATGCGAGGACCACAACAATCTACCAACGTCGTCGGCGTTTTTGCTTCAGATTTTCAGCAGTATCGGCACTTCACAGCAGGATCATATATCCGACTCTCCTTCACCACCCAGCATCAAACGGAACACAGCATGTCGACACGGAAGCAACATGACCATGGAGATGGCAGACAGCTTCTTCACATGCCGTAGTGACCAGCTGTTCACTGTACACATATGTCACGACTATCTCGCTTGTCAGATCACTGCTAAGCAGATGCAAGCAGTCTGTGCCATTCAGTCGAGAGAGCTTCTTGGCGGCAGGTGGACGGTTCAGGATTCAACAGACGCCCCCAACGTGGCGGCTATGTATCAGCCTACCAACGGAATTTCCAGCTGGGTCAAGGAGAGCGTCGTCACAGAAGCTGAGCCCAAGAGCCGAGGTTATGTTATAGAGAAATGGATCCTTATCGCACAGCATCTTTTCCAGCTGAACAACTTTGATGGACTTGTGGCTGTTATCTCAGATCTCGATGATACTTCAGTGTTCAGGCTTCATCAGTCTTGTGATACTGTATCAATACAGGCCAAGGAGTCAATCCGCTCCCTCCGGCGGATCGTTGACCTATCTCAGAACCACAAGACGCTTCGACCGTTGATCTCGAGTTCCTCGGCTTCTCGCCTTCCTTCCCAGGTTCATATCTGAGCAAACCCGTCTCTACTCAGGAGAGAATGAAAGAAAATGCTCTACATGAAGGAAAAACGTCCTCAAGTTGTGATAAGAAGCTTGTAAATTGGAAAAAGTATACTCATATAGCATCAATCATGAAGGTGCTAATAGGCCCTATGGCTGAGAGCTTATCATCACCACATAGAACTTAGTGCTAACAGGCAGTCAACGACCCTTTAATATTACTCCTAATATAGAACCCCAAGACTGGATGTAGAAGAGGATCTCGGAGTTTTGGTGTAGGGGCCAGAGTTATCTTGAGGAGATGTACTACCAGCGGACCAAATTCCTCGTGCCAGGAATACCAGCCCGGAAGAGTCGACCATTTTTGCATTCCCTTTTCAGGCTTGAAAGTCTAGTAGAGAATATGCAGTGTCAATATAAGGGATTGTATATTGGAAAGTGGACTGACAGTGATTCTATGTATGATGTCTTTTCCTACGCGGTGCTCAGGGTCACTGCTTTAATCTACTTCAGCAGAATGAGTCATTGATTCAGGCAGTCAAGATGACTTAAAGTGCGCCAAGGCATTTTATTGATCAAGTAAACAGTAATATCATTCAAGCTATGTAAGATCTATAGATAACTGTAGTCGCTGTTATACCGCGGCTATGTCCACTATGTAATGAATGCTTTGAAGAAGAAATTTTATCCGGTCACCAAAGAAGAGCCACCAAGTGGTAGCTCCCTCCCCACTAGCTCAACGTGCAGTGGTGATAGCGCGTATACAGTGACAAATGAAGGCATTAAATAATTAAGGAGTGTCGTGTAGCGTCATGATCCGTCATAGCCTGGCCAGAGGCAACGCCTGTCACTTGGGACCAATGCCAGAAGTGACGAGGTCAGAGGTAAGAACATGAACCTCTAAGGCTGTCTGCTTGAGATATACAGATGTCTTAAGCCTTGTAGTCCTTGCCCTCCTTGTGGCCACCACCGCCATAGCCGGGCTTGTGGTGGGTAGGATAGGGGTGCTTGGTAACAGTCTTGGTGACAGTCTCGGTCTTGTACTTGGTGATAGCAGGCTTCCACTTGTACTTGGTAACCGTGTCGGTCTCGGTCTTTGTCTTTGTGACGGGAGGCTTCCACTTGGTGATAGTGTCGGTCTCGGTCTTGGTGACATACTTGGTGACGGGAGGCTTCCACTTGGTGATAGTGTCGGTCTCGGTCTTGGTGACGTACTTTGTCACGGGGGGCTTCCACTTTGTGACATATTCGGTCTTGGTGATGGGAGGCTTCCACTTGTACTTGGTGACGGTCTCGGTCTTGGTGATCGGGGGCTTGTAGATGGGCTTGGTGACGGTGTGAGTGACTGTTGCGGTCACCGTCTTGGTCTTGGGGGGAGGGTAGTAGTCTCCGTTGGGGTTGGGACTGGCGAAGACCAGAGGGACTGAGAGGAGAGGAGCGATGAAGGTTGAGAACTTCATATTGGCGGATGGAGCGAAGGTATGATGGAGATGTGATGTTCTTGAAAGAGTGGTTAGGAGGGTTGAGCCAGTGGTTGAGTCTGAGTGAGTCTCTTGGAATGAGGGGATCACAAGTCCTCTTTATACAAGTTGTCTACATACAAGTCATCATCCACCGGAACTCCCATTGCCCCTCTTCTCTCTACATGTTGCTCAATGACTACATATTGCGAGATGCACATGCTCAATCGTATCATCGCTCAAGTTGGCCTCATCTTCTCACTAACACCGCCAACCTCCCAACCTCAATCCCGCTCGGCCGAATATTGAAAGCTGCTCTTGTTGAGTTGTTCAATATTTTCACCTTCACCTACCAATCACAACAATCATCATCAGCCATAAGCTCGTATCTGCCGGTCAGCTCGTGTTTATGCAGCCATTAACAAGTATTAATGCAGGTCGACAGCCTTTATCGATGCAGACAGGAATATGGTTAATCTCATCCGTTGTGGCGATTTTATACAAGTCAGCTTACCGGTTAACCGTTGTACTTGGTGGGTTGCTTCGCATATCAGGCTATCTTATCAGAGCGTCTCATTCGACGAGTGTAGAAACAAGCTCTGTACTATTTTAGCAGTCTAAACTAATTGGCGATATCGGGGGTTTGAACTGACGTGAACTGCACAACCGATTGCGTGATCGATACGCTTGGACATCGTATCTACAATCGTGAAACCGTCGTTTGACTGTTAGTATGCGTGGAATTACCGTTTTCGCCGTTTTGCTGGGGATTTACAGGTACCGGGTCTTAACACGGAAGTGGTGGCTACACAAGGTTACACTCTGAGAGCCAAGAATAACAACAGCCCATTACCGGGACAGCTGAATTCATCACCCGTGACCCACACACTCTCCGAGTCCATCCCCTGTCATATTATTTTCCGAGACATAACTGCAGAGCTTTCCACTTAGAGTTATTGACAAAATCTTGTTTTGATAGCGTTACCTCCAAGGATCCAACTTCACCTCCATCCCAGCCTTACGTGAGTGTCAGAATCAACAAAAGGCCTTCACAGTCCAGGCATTGTAACACGTTGACCGGTCCTGTTGGGCTTACTCTGCATCTGCAAGCTTCAGGTCAAGCCCCGCGTTCCAAGAAAACTCCCGCCAATAGACTATGACTGCTGACAACCTGTTATATGGAGATAGAGGGGAAATTATAGGTCGTTGTCAGATTGCGCAATCGCAGGGGTGTATTGATTGGTCCGTGTCGACAAGGTACCTGAGCCTACTGATGACTGATCAGGGCGATCAGAGAAAAGTCGATGACGCTAAAACGTAGCATCATTAACGTTTGTTAGTGATGGTTGCAATTATGCATTGAACTAAGTCAGACATGATTCATAGAAGGTGCCGGATATAACCCTTCGCTTTGAGCTAACAACACATGAGAGGAGTAATGTCGTGAGAAACGTTCACTATCATTGTATCGTGAGGTTACCATCTGCGTGAGATGCTACTGGGCTTACTTTGGGCAGCCTTGCTGGCAATAATGGCGTCGGCTGCATCAATAGCCTTGACGTTGTGTGATAAATGTGATTGAGATATCAATTGGCTCGCAGTGGAGTCCCATTGAAGCATTCATTGGTATGACCAAGTTTCGTGATCAACAGAGGCGTTGTCGGCTGCATAAAATTGAAATGAACTGATGTGTTCACCTGGTGGCTGCCTTGGCAACCTGCAGCCTTCTTTTAAAACTGGTTCTTTATTTTCAGCTCTTGATAAGAAAGCTTCAACATGGCGTTTTGTCAATCTTGCGAGATAACGCTAATTCTTGCATCAATTGAACTTGCAAGTAATGATTCGACGATAGATGGCAACGGATCCATAGTCAGATGCCAACCAGCATATTCGTTGTTCATGAGTAGCGATGTCCATGCAGAATTTCAAATGTGTATCGATAAGATGATATGACCGGAATCTGTGACTAAGAGGTTGGCAGGCTTCAGCCCAAGCGACGTAGCATTGCATCTTCCCTATACCTAGTACTTCACAGTGGTATGCTTCCTGCAGTGAGAGGAGAGGATGTGTATTACATTGGGCACTGGGTTGGCTATTACACTTACCATCACAGAATTGTGTTATAATAAGCTCTGAGATGGTTCGAGAGTGGCGGGACTAACAAAAATGTGAGCTGGCCCCGGTGGTAAGAACTATTATTTCTTGTAAGCGTCATTGATGAGATTGTCTGACTGAGGTTCCCCTCATGTACTTGGATGTAATAGAAGTCGCGAGCATACCAAGTAATCTCTTTAAGAGCTTCGCTTCAGATAGACATCTTAGTTGGATGCGGAAGGCTCAGCATTGCAGATAGAATGAAACCCATCTGATAGATGTTGACTTTCGCCGAGAAAACAGAGCCGTCGTGATCCTTGCCGCTTGGCGCATCAGATCACAACTCAGGTCACCCAACCACCAATGGTCAGCCAATCAAGCTGCATGAACGTTCCGAGCTCCCCGTAGGCTCTGTTCAGGTCTTGTTGTCTCCTGTTTGCAGTGCTTGTCTTCTCTTCCAGTTACCCCAGTGGGTTGAGTCACATGATTTGTATACATATTGCCAGGAGCACATTCGTAAGTGCGTAGAGAATATGGGAAAATCAAATAAATATCTATTACAACGGCAATCCAGATCTCCAATCAAGTGGCGATACTTTTTCCATGCTCAATATTACCGTGCTCTTGCCAATCGCACTTTTACAACTCATTGTCTATACAACTTAATGAAGCTTTCCCAATCCTGGTGTATCTGTCCCTCGTGCTGCGCAGTTTAATCATTTTGACCCCTCAAATCCCATTCGTGATCCGGAGACAACAGACAGTTCCGTGTAAGAGCTTTCAGCATCTTTGAAATTGTTAGCTTTATTATTCACGTTGTCCCTTCAGATATCCTACCAAGTTTGGGGGTCTGGTCTGCAAACCACGGGAAGAAGTATCCAGGATGTAGAATAGTCTGCGCCAAAGTCGCGATCACAATCATGCTTGATCCCACGTCATTAGCAGTTCGTTTTTACCATAGTATAGAGGATGCGGCAGTACTCACACTGACTCAAAGATGATAAAAGGAATCTCCTCCCTCATTAGCTTATTTCCCCAGCCACCTCTCATCTCCGCAATGCGGTAAACGCAACGGATATAAATCGCCATAAATGCAGTCGCAAGTCCGCCCAAGAACAGTCGAAATCGAAGGGTGCGCCAGGCCTGTAACGAATTTCCTTCAAGAGGGTTCGTGGTGAGAGCTCGCATTCGCCTGACGCAGAACAAAGTTGCCAGGATCGCAAAGATCGACAGTGTCACCACCTGAAAGGCAATACCCGCCATCATGATATTATTGCCCATGTTGATCGTGTCTTTGTCCTTAAAATCCGCGGTCGCAGTAATACCTCCACCAGCAGCTTGTAAAACCAACGATACAACATCTGCAGTGATGAAGATGATTGTGTACCACTTTGGTTTCAAAACAGACCACTTGGCACCAAAAAGAGCAACAATGTGCTTGAGCATGAGATATATAGCTGCACTGTTGAATGCAGGACCAATAATGAGACAGCAGATTTGAGCTTGGAAGGGTATGGCGTCGAATGGTCGAAAGTACATCCCAACGCGTCCTATGTAGCCCAAGGCTTGGGCTAAGCAGCCTAGGGTAAGGACAATTGCATAAGCGCGGATGCGAAAGCGAATGCCAAGGAAAATGTTGGCGAAAAAAGCGATTCCGAATATCACGGCTAAGAAAATGTTGCCGCCGAGATTGGGACGATAGCCGTAGGTGGTATCTTCGATTCGGCACTCTTTGGAGATGTGAACGCAAATTGGTGGATCCGAAGCCATTGTGATGTTCGGTATTGGGGACTTGTCTGCACACGAGTGAAAAAATTAAGAAATAGATGCATCTAAGGCTCTAGTTCCTACTTATTATACAATCTTTGATCTTGCATTTTTCTCTCCTTTTGCGAAAAATCATCACATCTCGGTGTTTGACACGAATTGTCTAAGTATAGCTCCCATCTCTGATTGGTCAAAAGACCGAGCTCCGACGACAAAAGCAATCTCATCATGACCTGAGGATCTGAAACGCGTCACCAAAATTAAGCATACGATAAAAGATTACGTCCCCTCCACAGGTATAATATTATTAGTTCTTGTTCCAATTGGCCAATGGTTTCAGGCACCAGATTAAAGCACAATCCTTCAACTCGGTCTTTGTCTCAGCCTCTTTCAGCATCGTAAGCCGGGGTAATTATAATTGGACGGTTGTCAGCTTTGCCCCATTAATTGCTCGGTCTTTGAGTTTGCGCTAGCATCGTTTTAGCGATCACGACTCCCTGTCAGCCTCGTGGCGATGGGGGCTGATTTGCTGACGGTTTTATAATCTTCGGTCTTTGCATTTCAGTTTCTCGGTCTTCGGCTGTACACGCGCGCCAAGATGGTAATCTCAACGACAGATGCGACTAAAACGAAGAGGACGAGGACGAATGTAAGGCAGTCCAAGTTTGGCTGCTTTACTTGCAAGTATGACACGTGTGTCCTTGATCACTTTTTCAATGCTGACTCGTCCAGGGCCCGGCGAATCAAGTGCGATGAAGCCAAGCCAGCTTGTCAACGGTGCTTGACTTCAAAACGAGAATGCCAAGGCTATCCCCGAGGCGCATATCCAGACTCGGATAAAACTGCATCGACGACTATATCACTTGTATCCGCGTCTTCTTCACCCTCAGACTCCCCCGCGTCACCATCACCATCAGCAACAACCGTCTCAACCTTGAGATCCCTCGCCTTCAATCCATATTCTCTCTCAAATCCTTTCGTCGACCTCGGATGTACAGTCTTGGTGCAAAGTCCCCGTCGTGCGAGAAACGACATCGAACAAACTTTCTGGTCCCGCACCGTCCCGCAATTATCCCAATCCATCCCCTCAGTACGCGCCGCCATCGAAGCATTTGGCACATCTTATAGCGAATATGTTCTCAGAGGCTCATCTGCGAGACCTGGTTTCGAAACTACAAAGCGATATTCACAGGCCTTGAGACTGGTGCAGCAAGACCTTGCCACCTTGCCGAATGGTCCCATACCATGTGTTGTTGCCTGCCTATTTCTTGGGTTTGTCGAGGCTATACAGCAGAGACTCAACAAAGCACTGGTGCATCTCCAGGGAACATTCTCACTAATGATGTCTCTGACTGATAAACAACTTCTTGCAGAGGTGGATACCAATAGCCTTGTATTGCTCTTGAAGAAGCTTGACCTGCATGTCGCCACATACGCTGTATCCCATCCCCCAAATCTTCCCATGAAACCATTCGTCATGGGTGATGTGCTTAGCTCTTACCCACCAGATGGCTCTCTGTTCAAGATTTTGCACTCAAACTACCATTTCACAGCAAAGGCATTTCCATACAAATACACCAGTCGCCGATCTATCCCACCCGAACTGCTTATTGAACAGGGCCGACAGCTTGCGAATTTGAAGCAATGGCTATCACTTAACGAGCTTCCATCGGCTTCAGATACCGAATCACACGAATCACTGGTCGTTCTTCGCTCCCAATGCCTTGCTGCGTTGATCAACACGGCCATCATTCTCGACCCAAGAGAGACAAGCTATGACTGCTACGGCCCCGAGTTTCAAGAAATTATCACATCCATCGAAACCCTGCTACTGAGTAAAAGCCTCGATGGTGCATCGAGATATAACGGGACGGACACGCTGCCGTCTTTCGTTCCGGAAATGGGCATAATACATCCCTTGTATTTCACAGCAAAGAAATACAGAAGCCCATTCTGGCGTCGAAAAGCTTTAAGCCTCATACTAAAAAGTGGCAAGGAAGGTCCATGGTGCGCTGAGACGGAAGGTTCCCTGATAGCAGCCATCATCAACGCCGAAGAAGGAACTTTCAATCTGGAATCGCTGCATATGGAAAAGATACTAGATAAAAGTCCAGCTAGTATACCAGAGGAGAGGAGATTCAGCGCCGTCTGGGCAAGTGATCCTGAAGGCGAGAATGGGGAGTGCACGCAGTATACTAGGAAGAGATATACCAGGGTCATGATGTATAGATGTAGAGACATAGAAGGGCTTTTGAGAGATGACAAAGGGCCAAGGGAAATTCCATGGCTTGACCCTGAGATGTGTGTGGTTGATTCTGAGTGGTGGATTGGACGGGATGAGCCATTGGATGTGATCCTTTCGATTGGGGGACGGTCAACATGAAATGGCGAGAGAATTTAGAGACCACTTTATCAATATTCCGTAGGCAGAGGGTTAAAAAACAACGAATGTGTATTAGTATCTATTGCAGAGATCGAAATCCCATGGTCGGGGGTAGCTGACAAGTAGATGGGTACCCGACTAGGTAGTTGTTACATACTGAACCAGCACATAAAGCCGTTTGACAAGTACAGGCCCAAACCAATCTTGCAATGCTATGCCTTTTGTCCCTTTACTCCTTGGTACAAGTCTCCTCCTTCTCATTCAGATTAGTAATAACAGAAGCCTCACAAAAGACAAAACCAGCAGCCTCGAGGAACACCGCAGCACCAGCGGTGAGAACATCAACAGCCACAGCAGCCGTACCACAGGCGAAGACTTCCGCCACGGCAGTAGTAGTAGCAGCGAGACGGCATCACTGACAAGCCTCACTGCAGTTCCCTTCATCGATCAGAACTCTTCCACGGCCCTGGCCGCCTTCGATTGCTTTGGCCGCGTCTTCGCGGGCTTGCTGAAGAGCTTGTTCGTTGGCAGCATTCTGACGTTTTGTGAGGCCGGTGGGGAGAGTGCCGGCCCATGCGGAGGCGGCGAAGATGGTGCTAATGATGATTGAGGCCTTCAATTTGAGTTGCTGGTGATGTCAGTATGTAGAAGAGGTACATGGGTATTGTACAAGTCGCACGTACTTGGATGAGATAAAGGACAAGGCCAGCTTGTTATGAGAAGAATAGAATGTTGAGCAAGGAGTAAGAGTGTGGATGTTGTGGTGATGATAAGAAGTTGAGGACCTGGTGATAGACGGATGCTCTATTTTATATGTGAGTTGGGTTGATACTGTCAGATCAGGTAACGTCATCATAGCGATGAACCTAGGAAGGACACATAGCTCTCTGACTCCAAGAACAGAAACAAAGCTGTTCCACCATCGTCTAGACACCAAACCAATGTGGCATGAGGATTTGCCATATTTCCTCTCTCCAATGATCCTTCTAGGTCAAGCATGACATTCTTGGACATTCTAGGTAATCTCAAGAACCGGCTGCTTCTTCACCGAGCTGATACTCTATGAACCTTACTACGGGACAAAATTGTCGAAGGTTTGTTACAGATCTGTCGACTATATCGAACAAATAGAGTAATTCAATGGTGCATGAACTTTTGACAGCGGTTTTATTGGCCTAATTGGGCTGATACAGCTTAAGCTTACAATTATGCATCGATATGAAACGAACGGAAGTTGGGCCGATGTCATCTCATTTAAACTCTAAATAACGAAGTTTAGTCATAACACCACTCACTATTCCTTCACATTTGCCAAGACTGGTTTCGGGGATCTTGGTAAACTACCCCTCAAGTTCACGATGGATCACGAGGACGACTCAGAGGTTCACAAGTAACGAGAAGGGCTTTACCAAGATACAAGTATGCTATAGAATAGATTAACATACGCGCTAGACTTCCAGTGAACTTATTGAATAGTGAAACTATATATTGCTACTACAAAAGTTTGAGTCTGGGTCTTATCGGAAGAAAGCGACGTATAGGAATTTAATCATCAAATGTCATAGAATTTTTCATTGATTTATATATTCCTACATAGACCTCTTTCTTTTACTCCTGTTTGAATCAGGAACTTGAGATATGTCGTCCTGTCTTCAACTCGAAGGTGGCCAGGCCCTGGTCACCAAATAGAGTTTTTCTGAGGCGAACATGACACGGTCTCGGATTTTATGTCGCCCCGAACCTATAGCATAGAATGAGTTTCAGGACAATTTAGCCTCTGTATGGTTTGCGAAATGATTTCTCTTTTAGGAATGTAATATTGTCTTTTTCTAGAGTCTCTTCAGAATCATGCCATATCTCCGTTAGTCAAGTTCAGCTCAAATTTGTGTCGATGTGAAACTGCATAGAGGATTGGCTTTAACTGACTTGTGCGGATGGTTTCAGAGATTCAAAGGCTCCTTGATTGGAGTTAAACCTTGATGACTGTCTTGGGCATATTAGATAATGAACTAAGCATTGGTACGCTTCTCAGTTCAAATTGACTATAAGAGTTGCTTCGTTCCTCGACTAGAATACCTGAATAGCATCATCACCAACCATCTCTTCTTCCACCTTTCTACAGACCAACCTTTCTCCTTTTCAGGTTATAACCTCTACTCAAGGTAAACACCCAAAACACTCGACTTATCTGATAAAGTCTAACGCAATGGCAGTCCCTTTCGCAACAGTTAAGCAGGTCTTAGCAACATCATCAAAATGAAGTTCTTCGTCATCGCCCTTCTATCTTCCGTCAGGTAAACCTCCCCCTTCCCCCATCTACCTCTATTCTCTAATACTGACATGTCCCGAATATAGCACCGTCATGGCTATTGACTGTTTCTGCGTCACCACTGACGATGACGTTGCCGCTGGTCGACAGCCCCAGCGCAAGTTCAACCTCAGTGGTCGCTGTGAGGAACTCGGAGGGAGAGCCGATATCGAGTCACGCACTTGTGAACTACTCCCGGAGGCTAGTGCCTTCACTGAAGCGGATTGCAGCATTGACTCAGGCGACCGAGTCCTTGTTCCTAATTGCTTTGCGTCTGTTCTCTAAAGCCTAGGAGAAGGAGTTGGGAACAAGAGGTCTACTCGGAGGTTTCAATAGTTATTGCTAGGAACAGATATCTAAATAAAAGGCCACTTGACAGGAATAACTGAGAACCCGTATCGGGCTCGAAGCCTCTACTTCTTCCAAAACAACAATCGTGTACCCTTCTTGGGCACCCTGATTAACCAATATGCCATCAACGCTGCAACAACATCGAATACAATGAACGCCCACATCAGGCCAAAGTTTCTCCATCTCTCACTGTATCGAATACTCAGAGTTCCAAGGTATGTATCCGTCGATGCAATCGGACAGTAAAGGCACGTCTGGTTCGATCCCGGATTGGAAAGAGAGCCTCCGACAGCTTGAACGAATTGTCCCACATACTCGCCACAAGTGAGGTTCGCTGGCGTCTGGAACTGGAGAAATTCGATTTCCGAGCATGTAACTTCTTGCTTACCAACACCATCAGAAATTATGGCGCCGATGAGGTAGGTCATAGGCGAGACGCGGTACATGAAGGCCCAGAATCCAGGAAGACCCGAGTATGGGACAAGGACACTATCGGCCATGATTAGCTGAGGAGATCTATCATTGCAAAGTGCAACTTACCCGGAGAATACAAGAGTCATCATGAATAGCAACAGCGCAAAAGTCGCTCCAACCTCAGCAGTCGGCGCGCCAGCAACACACATATGCGCAAACGTCCCCTCATACACCATGAAAACCCACGTTAACAGAAACATAAGCGCGCCCCTCTCATGCTGCGTATCCGTAACACGACCATTGTCATACATACCAACAAGAAAGTAAAACGGGAAGTACACCGCCAACGACGCCACAGAGTTCCAGAGCATCTCGATGACTGTGTTGGCGAGGATGAGGTTGTACCAAGCGTATGTCTTTGAGGATCTTTCACGTCCTTCGTAGAGTGTTCGCTGGGTGACGAAGCCGGGCATCGTTTGGTAGATTAGGAATGCGAAGATCACGAGGAGCATGAAAATTGAGAAGAGTTGGTTTTGGAGACCTTGGAGGGATAGTGGAGAGTTTTGGAAGGAGAGGCCGATGAAGAGGCTCTGAGAGAGGTTAGCAATTGTTCGAGAATGGTGAATGGCTGGCTTACGGTTATGAGGCAGAGTGAGAGCTTGGAGTAGATGTATGTCGGTGTTCGCCAGTATTGCTCGGCAACGCGCTTGGTACAGACCAAGAACTGTTGAGAGAGTGAAGCAGCATAAGCCGTGTCCTGAGTATCTGACTCGTGGCGGTCAACGTGTTTCGTCTGAGTGAGAGTATCAAGTTCTTTCTGAACACTGACAAACTCGGAACTTCCCTTCCAAGTCTCAGCCCAGTCACGATCCGTATGAGCACCCGGTGCAGCACCAATGACATGGAGCATCCACTCTGCAGGATTCTCTTCAGGACGGCACGCAACAGCATCATACCTCTCAAAGTATCCCGTCAAAGCAGTAGCATTCTCGCCGATATCACCAAAGTAAACAGTCTTGCCACCTTTCGCTAGGAGTAACAGACGGTCGAACTGCTGAAATATGATGCCGGAAGGTTGGTGAATGGTACAGAGGATAGCTAACCCATGGTCTGCGAGCTTCTTGAGAAGTGAGACGATTGCCCATGCTGTTTGACTATCGAGGCCGGAGGTTGGTTCGTCGAGAAAGATGAGGGCTTCGGGTTTGGCGACGAGCTCGATGCCGATGGAGAGGCGTTTCCGTTGCTCCACATTGAGACCTGAACCGTCAGTCAACAACATTCATTGCGTAATAATTGGAGAAAATACCTTTACCAGGCACTCCGATAACTGCATCTGCATAGAGACTCATCTCTAGCAGACCAATGATCTCTTCAACATAGCCGATCTTGTCTTTCATTGGAATGGAAGATGGTTGTCTGAGAACAGCACTGAATCGAAGAGCCTCTCTGACAGTAGATGTCTCAAGGTGAATATCCTGCTGCTGCACGTATCCAGTGGTTCTCTGGAATGACTTGCTGCGTGGTAGTCCATTGACAAGTATGTCGCCCGTGATGACTCCCATGGTGACGCGATCAGCTAACACGTCGAGAAGCGTCGTCTTGCCGGCTCCGGTGGCGCCCTGTAATCGTTAGCTCGTGTTACTGGCAGTTAGAAGTGACTTACCATCAGAGCAGTTAGCTTCCCTGGTTGGACCCAACCGTTGACGCTTGAAAGGATCCGTCGCGTCTCGCCCTTGACTTTAATATCATAACAGAGGTTCCTCCAGCAGAATGTAGAAGTTCTTGGTGGCTTTTCAGTCGCTAGATGGTTTTCGTCACCATTCACTGCTCGCTGGGGCTGGAATTCGTGCTTGACGGCTTCTTCATCTGTGGTCTCCGGGCGATGAGACTTCTGAGCTTTGCGAAATACGAGGATCTCACCCTTCGAAGCTTCAGATGAGAAGTACTCTGCCGAAAAGAGGTACGTGAAGGTGAAGAAGACAATGAATGCGATAAGGATGCCGTAGTTCCTGAAAGATTAGCTAGGTCTGTAAAACAAGTATCATAACGTACCTCCAAAGATGCGAGTAGTAGTACTTGTAAACAGTCCCAATGAAGAAATCCCCATCGATGGCATCCCGACCTGGCAGAGCACCAGCAACAGAACAGGTCCGCTGCGTCGGCTGAATGTCTTCATACCCAGGACCAGAGGGTATCATCACCTGACATCCGAACGACCGACCCGAGAACTCATTTGCGACCAAAGACTCGTAAGCGTAAGCAATGGGATTGACATAGTTGATCCACCTGAGCCAGCCCTTCATACTGCGGATAGGCAGGACGAATCCAGCGTAGATTACCAAACCGATGATAAAGATGGCAGCAGGAACGAGTGCTTGATGAACTGTCTTTGAGGACTGGGCGATGGTGCGAAGAATCATTGACATTGTCATGGTTGTTGTGAAACCGAAGAGAAGGAAGATGAAGAATGATGAGGCATCGCGGCGGAGGTTCGCCATGAAATAGAGCGGGATGTTGAAGGCCAGAGTTGAGATGATCTTAGATGGTAAATCGCAGACGATGGAGGAGACAGACTCAGAAAGAGGTCGATACAAGGCATATCTGGCATGCTTCTCGACGATTGGTCGTTGGCTATAGAGGGCGAGGATCTATCCGAAGTCAGTAAGCTTAAACTTCTATGTGTTGAAATGACAAACCTCCAAAGCGCTACTGAGACCGTTGAACAGAATCGCGAAAAATAGGATTGAAGCTCGCCGGTTCATTCCCTCAGCTGTGCTAGGTAGATCAAAGTAAACACTCCCAAGAACAAGAGACATGAAAAAGTTGCCCAGGACAGTGACTATGAAGAATGTCTTGTCACCAAGAAGCCTCTTAATACCTCGCCCGATACATAACTGAATCTGCATCGGAATGGAAATGGTGAAAGGGCTCTTGTCGGACCTAGAAGATCAGTCAGCTAATATAACCCGTAGTTTTCTTGATGGGTTACGTACGTGAACCTGGCCTTCTGCGCCCTCCTAATCCCCCTCAAGGTCTCAATTTGCTTCCCATCAAGAGGATACTGAATCTCAAACGCAGCGATATCACTTAGAAGTAAAGCTCTGTGTTGACTCATTCTCCACTCATCAGCGAACTCTTCGGGACTGCGAGGGACTCTGTTCTCAAAACCAGGTCGGATGATGCGTTCGTCGGGGTTTGTGAGGGACGTTAAGAAGTCGGCGGTTGTTTGGCGGGGAGGACATTCGAAGCCCATGGCGGTAAAGTATTTCGTCGCTTCGTTCGTTGGGCCGAAGAAGATCTGGAGGCCTTCGTAGAGGAGGAGGACTTTATCGAATTCCTAAAAAGATCATTAGTAGTTAGGAGAAGCAGGAGTTGGGGGCATACTTGCGTCGTATGCTGCCTGGCTAGCCTGATACATAGCAACAACCGCACTAGCACCACCAAGCTTCGTCCCAAGCCTCAACTTCTTCACAAACTCCAACGCCGTCGCACTATCCAACCCTCTCGTACTATTATCCCAACACTGAATAGCGCTCTGATTCAAAATCGCTTCAGCAATACTAACCCTCTTTCTCTCGCCGCCACTAACGCCTCTAACAAAGTCATCTCCGACCTTCGTGTTAAGAGTGTTGGAGATACCAAACATGGCCATGACTGCATCTCTCATGTGTTCGGCGTAGACGTGGCGTGAGATGTTGGCGACGATGTGTTGGGGCGTGCGGGCGAGGGCGGCGAAGAGGAGGGTGTCGCCAACGGTTAGTTGGGGGAAGTGGATGTCTGTTTCGGCTTGGTAGATTACTTCTCCTCGGAAGTTTCTGTGCATTACGTCCCAGGGAATACCTGGAGGGTTAGATGGTGTAGAGAGGAGGGTAGAGGGAGGTACCTTGGTAGTTGAACTCGGATGAGTCGTCGAGGTGTAAACCGTGGGTATGTCCAGCGATCGTCTTGAGCAGCGTAGAAACGCCACTGTACCAGTGTTAGATAAGAACTCAAATGGTCAGTGAGTTCGATAACATACCTTCCTGGACGACCCAGGACAAGAAGCAGCTCTCCACTCTTCACCAACCCATCAAACTCTGAAATAATCTTGATCTTTTGCTTCCTCTTCGCAAACCAATCAAGCGCAGCAAGAGGACTTCTCCAGATAACATTGAAAACATCCTTCTGATACTCCGTCGGATCGCTAAACCCATGCACACTAAGATTTCGCCAAGATACACCAGCTGTATATCGCGGATGCTTACTTGGGTCTTTCGAGAAAGCGTGAAGCAAGGCCTTAACCCATGATTCAGGCTCGAAGTCTGGGGATTTAGGGTCCAGGCGGGAGTCTTGGGTGAGGAAGGGATTGATGTTGGTTGAGAGCGCGGAGAATGTACGAGTGTGAGAGAATGTTCGGGCGAGTTGTAACACGGGCTCGGCGATGTCGTCGACGGTTGTCTCGGCCTCTGTGTCTTGAGGCGTAGAGGGAGGCGTACGCTCATGCATTTTGAAGTATTCAAGGATGATTATTTGATCAAAAGAGTGAACTGTGTCTGTTTGCGCAGTGCATTGGAAAAGAAGTTGCCATCATGGTTCATATAAGAAAGTTTACGGAGTCCGCTATAAACGGCGTCATAGTGAGCCCACATTGTTGTAATTTCCGAAACACTACTCCATCCAATCCAATCCATACTCTATGCGTCATATGCGTAAAGATATCTCAACGCCGTTCAAAAGATATCCTTCCGATTCTGCCATCAAGTCTTCACGTGCAACTCCGTTTGGATCCCGGCACTAGCCCAAGCCAGGCATCATCAGTCCCACTTCTATGTGTCACTAAACCGAACAAGGAATCTCGGTGCCGAAACTTCAGCCTCATCTGATCCCTTAACTTCCTCAACGCCGTCTGTCTTCTCCGTTGTTGCTTCTTTCACTTTTGCATCGCTATCGGACTCTTCCAAAATGCCGCAGACTCCGCCTCTTTCCGAACGTCGACTCCGAAGTACTCTTACCTCTAAAGCGTGCGATTCTTGCAAGGCTAGGAAGATCCGTTGTTCCGGTTTGTTATTCTGGATATGGGATAGAGTTATGAGGCTGATTTAGCAGGTTACCCTCCGCCGTGCCAGAGTTGTAGTGTATGTGGATATGGGCTGCTGCAGAGTGGTACTGATTATGACGTGCATAGATTCGAGGTGCGACCTGTCGATTCGGGACGCGCAAAATACCACTCAGAAAGAATGGTACGTTATATCATCCATCTTGAGCTTTAATCGTTCTGATGTATAATTAGTCAACCGCAACTTACTACTCATTACCACTGAGGCATCTCCAAGCATCAAAGTGAACGAAGTCAGCCCTGCTGTCCAGAAGCTTCCTGTATGTCTCAATGAATTCTTTCTTCAGCCTAGGAAGCTAATCCAACTAGGATCTGAAACAAGATATCGTTTATCAGCCTATACAGAATGATCTCTTTGTAGATCGCATCTTGTTTGGGTCATCATCAACAGATGTCCCGAATGCCGATGAACGCTTCTCTTTGAAGGTGAGTAGATACATATCCTCTAATCAGTCAACTAGGCTAACTTCTTCATAGGGCATTGGTCTCTTGAGTACGTCGATAATATTCATATTCACTATCTATAAGATGGCTTATTACTTCCAGGCGGTACTCATAGCGTCACCTTCTTCTCCGACAGCAGACTTGAGACGCTGTCTGCCAAACTTCAAAACAACAAAGTCAACGACCTCATTCGACGAATGTCCTCAGTCATCAATAACAGAGCCAAAGTCACGAGCAGTACCTCGCCTGAACATTTGCCTGAGCTGTGTCTTCCGTCCCTGGATCCTGCATACGCATCAAAATGCATAACGAGTAGGTCATTTGTGTTTATGTGACATGGATGAGATTGACCAGTCTGAACTCAGCATACTACGAACAAGTCCATCCACTATTTCCTCACCTCGATCGCGAGACCTTCGATTCCACCATCGCAAGCCCCAACCTCAGCACCATCCTCCTCAACGATCCCGCTTTCTCCGCCTTGTATCACTCTGTACTCGCCCTTGGCAGTCTACACGACGGTGGCGGCAGTTTCGAGCCTGGGAAGGGAAAAGCGTGGGAATTGCTCTCCGTCGCATTAGCCCGTGTTCCGAACCTCCCTAGAGCCAAGAACTCGCTAGTCGCTCTTCAGGCTATAACAACAGTTGCTGTATATTGTCTAGGCGTGCCGTGTATATCCATTGAACATAAAATCATGACGGAAATGGCTCGGATGGCTCAGGATCTGGCGCCTGTACTTTGTAAAGGACCTGGTGCCAAGACGTTCTACAGGGTGTTTTGGGTTGTTTACGTGATAGAGAAGATCATGAGCTTCCACTTTGGCCGCCCTTCGGTAGGTTATTTCATGATGCTCCTGGTTCTCTAGCTCACTTTCACAGGCCATCATCGACGCTAATATCATTGTGCCTATGCCTTACATACCCGAGTCTCACCTTGGAGCCCTAAATTGGACAACCATACTCGCTCAACAGGCCCGTCTTTTGTCACGAGCGATGAATACCCTGTTCTGCCCCGGTGTCTGCCATAGGGGATCGCAGTACTTTCTGATGACCATTGATCAACTTCTTGAAGACCTTGAACAGTGGAGAGCATCTATCGCTGATGAATTTCGCCCGGGATATCCGTCGCAGTTCAATTTGCTCCGTAGGCCTTTGCACGGTACAGTTGGGATTTGGATCAACTATCTCTACTACAGCCTTAAACTCATTTTGCTCCGGAGCAGGCTACAGATTGACAGCTGTCAGGGCAGCGAACTGAGCAAGACAAGTCATAGTGATCCGCTCATAGAGGTTTCTCGGTCCGTACTCGAGATTGTTACATATGTTGACGTCGAGCCATCAACACCACTATGGTCGGTTCCACCAATAAGCATAACCGCCCAAGATACTAACCAATTTTCAGGATCATTGCAGCTATCCCATTGTGCGCTCTCTTCGTTCTTTTTGATCACGTTATCAGCCACCCCAAGTCTCCAGACACAAGAAGCAACCTCGCCCTACTTAATATTGCAGGAGGCCATTTTAGCCGAATCGAGTTTGCATCTGGAGGCACATTGCCTGGCTCGCTCATCAGTGAATTTACATACATTGCACGCGAGTATATCAACCAGTGTGATAATCTGGAGTCGCTCAAGGGAGGTCAAAGCATGCTTCATACGGAAAATCACGATACTTCATTGGATGAGTCTTGCACCTCTGGAGCAAATCCGGGAACAAGCCAAAGTCTCGAGCAAGATGTAGGTCAATATCCCAGCGCCTTCTCTTCCGGCTCTAACGATTACAGTTTGAGATGGCTCAAGCTACAGTCCTAAACTCTACATCGCTGATGGATCCTATCTATGCTCCAATTGAAACTCTATGGGACGGTGGAAGTGATCCATTATATGGTATAGACGTGATGAACCTTTTTAATAGTATTATGTAAGAGGTATCTGCGAAGGTATATAGAGCTAAACCAGAGAGCCAGGTAATTAGAGATTAGATAACAGAAGAGCCCAGGCTGGCACCAGGGAACTTGTCCTTGATTCCATCCTCGAAGTCCTGTCCACCAACAGTCAGGTCCTTAAAGGCTGGGCAAGCTAGATTCAAGAGAGTAGATCCGATAGCGTCGGTGATGAGTTCGAGAGGAGCTGCGATGATAGAGAAGATAGTTGAAAGAGAGTTTGGCGCAACGGTCTTGACGATCTCGAAGATAAAGCAAAGCAGGTTGTTGCCCTCGAGAAGCTTGGTGAGGTTGAGCACTCCGCCGGTGATGTTTGTTACGTCGACGCCTGCGTAGCTGTTGACCTCTCCCATGTTGCCTCCGATGCTGTACTTGTTAGCATGTGCTTTGTATCTACGTAGGTACAATTACCTTCCGAGCTCAGGGTACTTCGCGATTAAGGCAAGAAGATCCAAGTTGAGACTAATGAGACCATAGTCAACTGATCTACGATACCAATTCTCTGGGATTCTCTCCCAGCCGCGCTTGTAGACAAGCTTTCCGTCTTTCTCATGAACAGCGAAGAAGCTCTTCAGGGTTTCTCGGTCTATCTGCCATTAGCAAGTTGATCGTAGATCCCATAGTAGCCTACTCACCCATGATATCCTCAGTGCTTCCAACAGTGTGGTTCGAAAGCAACCGACAAGCAAAGAAGTATCCCGCATTTCGCGCAATCATACCCGTGAAGGGTCCATAGTAAAAGTTAGGATTAGTAGCAACTGTCTCATGGAATCGGATCTTGGCTCGTTTGGCAATAGCGTCAAAGTCATAAGTACCCTCATCGGAAGCCATATCGTAGAGCGACTGAAACAGGTCCATGTCCATGGTAGACGCATCTCCAGTGACATACAAGTCATCCCGTGTGTTGGATGAATCACCTTCGATGATGTTGTGTGATCCGTTCAGACCTCGCGGTGTTCCCAACAGTCCGATGAGGTTACCAAGAATATTCTGTGCGCCACTGGCGGTGCTGCCGATGGAGAAGCCTGGGTTGAGAGATAGAGGGTTTCCGACAAAAACAGTGCCCATGGTTGCCAAGATAGTTGCCAAGTCCACTCCCATTCCGTAAACCTGGTTGATAGCACCCGCTACCTCGACGAGGCTTGTAACTCCCTTGCGACTGATATATCCATGGTTCGCCAGCGCATTGAGACCAGGACAAGGACCTCGCTGGTCACCCTTCTCAAAGTTCGGTGGGATGAATTTGTGCTCGCCAGTTACTTTGATAGGCTTGCTGGCGAGATCAAGCGAAAGTCTCTTATCATGGCTTCGAACTGCTTCTTCCACTTTACCTGAAAGTCTTGCAGAAACAACCTTTCCGACAGGACCCTCGAGGTATGATGGAAAGCCATACACGCCGAGGCAGAGAAAAAATGAAAGAAAGTAATGCCACTGCATGATGAGTAGCTAGGTAGTAAAAGAGTGTAACAAAAAGAGTGTGAAGAAACAAAAATGCCGAGAGGGTTGGAAAAACATACGATATGTTTGGCTAGTTAGCTTATTCCTCGCTAGTCTCTACCCCATTACGCAACCATATTCGCGCCCGTCAAGATTGAGATCTTCTTCCCCTCCTGACAAGCTGCATGCATAATAAACGACCGCCCGCCTTAGCTGGACCACGGAACCGGGACAAGCATGCCGGTAGGTGGAAAACCCTGCTGGAGTCATTAGGGTCTAGACGATCAGTCACTTTCGGTAATTGTTTGAAACATCACTTAAGTCGAATTGGGGAAGCAGCGCCGTTGAAGAAGGACTTTGCCTAAAGGGCGTTGGTTGTTTCACGTTTTCTGGCTTGAGTTCCCCGATGTGACGCTGGTTTATGAATGGGGAAAGGTTTTGTGAAGTGCCGATTGTGATTGAAAGCTAAATAACGCATGATATTTTAGCATTCATTCTCTCAGATGGTCTATGCAAAGTGCTCAAGCCTTTCAGTCTGAGCGAAGTACGAGTCAGTCAGCGCAAACTGTCTGACAGCTGTCGTGACGTCTGCGGGTCGATTCTCAATATGATCCAAATCGCTGGGAATCATCCAAGCGAACTTGGCATTTTCCCGGCGGAAAGGAACCAGTGGACCTTGCCCAATCAGTCACTTTTACGTCGCAAGGGTAGACCTTCTAGGCAACACAAGGATACCCTACCCCCACCAAATTATCGCTCTGTTGATCGCCAAGCATCCCCTGTTCAAAAAAGCAAAGCCCGTTTGGATGGGGCTATCATTGTGACATTCCAGAGCAAGTTTCTGTCATTTGAACTATTCGCTGCGTCGTATATTTGGCGTGTTTAGATTGCCGACCAGCGTTTTACTAGCTTGCGAGCTCTCATATGGAGTAGAGTATCATCGGTTCCAGCAACATAATCCAGGCAACATTGATAAGAGAACCGGCTCTTTGGCTCAGTGATGATCATTGTTTATACAGCAAACAAGGATATCCTGTACCGAAACATTTTTCAACGCTTTTAACATGTCTTTTTTCCTCTACTGCAGGTCGATGTTTTAAGCTGATTTGAAAGGGACCAATCCACCCGGCGTTCCCGACAGGTTTTCTTCTTTTGTTCTTTCCTCTTGCACTCCCAACTGCCCATACCTTTTATGGTCTTTTGATCCGGCGGCAATGAAGGTCCTTGGTTCACTGGCACTAGTGCTGGCTTTATTTCAGCTTGGTGTATCGGCCGCCGCGGCGCCCGAAGAGCCTCCAACTTGTGGTGTAGGTGAAGCTTTTCTACCATCGAGATATGGCTAACTCGTCGGTAGGCGATCTGTATTCAGACAGAGGCTATCAAGTCACCTTGTGGTCTGAACGTTACGTGTATTTGTACAAATGTTGAGCTTAATGAGAAGATCTCAGCTTGTGTTGCGGCTAACTGTACGGTGAGGGAGAGTTTATGTGAGTCTCGTGCCCTCTGTTACTGGTAATAGCTGACTTTTTGCAGTGGTTCAAAGTTACTCCAAGCATACGTGTGGCGCACCATCTCGCGATCGTACAACGCTGGTATGGGTTATTGGTATCGTCTTTCTTATTCTCGGCCTCATAGGCTTCGGTCTGCGTGTAATGGCTAGAGTGTTTGTTGTTAAGCAAACATGGGGAGCCGACGATTGGGTCATGCTTTTTGCGGTGGTATGTATAACTCTCTGCCTCTTCAACGCCAGCAGCTCACCTTTGCATAGGCTCTCATGGTACCACTCAATGCTTTGTCTGTACAGAGTAAGTCCATACTTGTCGATTGCCTCGATCCGCTGCTAATCAATTGCCAGTCTCACGCGTTGGACTGGGTAAAGACATATGGAACGTTCATCCCGATGATATCACCGACTTTCTTTATGTGAGTCCCATCATTCTTCATGATATTCACCATAATACTGACAGACCAAGCTGTTCTTCTGGGACGAACTTCTCTACCTCGGAGCCCTTCCCGTCACCAAGATCTCCATCCTTCTCTTCTATCTCAAAGTCTTTCCTGGCAAAAACATTCGAATGGCATGCTGGATCTTTATCGGTCTGAACGTCGCATACTTCATAACCTTTGAGCTCATTTCCATTTTCCAATGCAGACCAATCGAGGGCGCTTGGAGAGCATGGGACAAGGAGTTCAAGGCGAAGTGCAACAACATCAATCTACAGGGCTGGTTTGCTGCCATTCTTAACATCTTTCTTGATGTTGGGACGATGTGTATACCGTTGAAGGAACTCTATGGACTGTCGATGTCGCTTAAGAAGAAGATACAGCTCATGCTCATGTTTAGCGTCGGTATCTTGTAAGTCTCTCTCCCCAATACCTTTCACTCTGCTAACATGATCAGCGTCACCATTGTCAGCGCCGTCCGTCTTCGATCACTAGCAAGCTACGCAACCACCAGCAACGTAACCCGTAAGCCTCCCCAATCCTTTATATTTCCCCTCTAACAATTTTACAGAGGACTACGTTGAAATCGGGTACTGGAGCACAATCGAAGTCCCCGTCGGCATAATCTGCACCTGCATGCCCGCCATCCGCGCCCTCTTCGGCATAATCTTCCCCAAAGTCTTCGCCTCCACGAACCGCAGCAAGAGCAGCTACGCCAACATCTCCAAGGAGTCAAAACCGACCTCTGACAGAAAGGGCATGAACACGCCGCAGATCACCATCGAGACGGAGATCTCTACTAGGTACTCGCGCCACCATGATGATTCTTCGGTAATTGAACTCACGCACGTGGGGAGGGAACAGGGACACGAGGAGAGTGCATGGACGGATAGGAGGCCGGTTGTTCCGTCTGAGCCTGTGTGATGTCGATCATCATGTCATTTGATGACCTTGAAAAGTTAGCTAGTGCCTGTTTTTTTAGTTAGAGTATTTAGAAGAGTTGAGATTTCTTTGTCGTTGATTATGTTATGCACTAGTAAACACCATCTAAACCAAAGAGGTTGTTAGGCAAATTTTATTGTTGAGGCTTATACGTTTGTAGACATGATCGTCCGGGGTAATGTTTCACTAGTTGACACCGTCGCACAGACGGAAAGCATCCCCGTATTCTCTAGCTCAACGGTCAGCCCTGCTGTAATGAAAATAGCGATATGGAGATGTTCTAGATTGCGAACATCAACATCCGCGGCTCGGGCAGATCCTCAAAGTCTATGAGGTGCTCTACCAGAAGTCTATTATTTTTGGCATTCTCTCATTTCAGTTACAGGCTCCAGGTCTAAGACAATTGTGTCATCAGTTTCACTTGTCAAGATGACAGGTGGAATCTCCGTTGTCATGGTAAGCCTAGCCGATGCTACACTGACAACCTTGCCCTGCCGCTACCATGAGTCACGGCATTTCGAGTTCCCGTTCCCTTCTACCCAACTCCACCGCGATTACTACTGTAACACGCGAGTAAGACCTCACGCCTTGTCAGTTCATTAGTCCAGGGGCCACAAACCCAACGTCTCCACGTCGAGTTACTTCGCCTACCTTTTTCCGGGCATCAAAAGGATTCCGTCAATCTACTCTATCGATGCGCACTGAATCCTTCGCCCGTTCTTGATAAGCGGAATCGATTAGACCTCCAAATTCCGCTTTCGTATCGACGTTTCCATCCGGCTGTGAAAGGCCGAAAGCGTTCTTCTGTTCTGGAATACCTCCTGGCGATCGTTTTGCAGGCGGGGTTTGGTAGTATTCTGGGCGGCAGGGGAGGCTTCGCGGACCTGGTTTTCTCCTCTTTATTATCTATCTGGCAGGCACGGCATTTGGAATTCTGTTTCATGCTCTAGAAAGCCGTCCATTCATTCTATTCATACTTTTTTGGTCTTCTGAGTGCTTGGCGCTGAGTAGCCAAGATGCGTTTGTCGTTCGTTATTACTTGCATTTCTGTTCTGGCTGATTCAGCCTCTGCGTTGTAGGGTCCCCCATCCTGCTGACATTGCATCTCACTCACATTAGCAGTTCTGTACCATGGAGTTCTTCTCCCAAGGAGCATAATCCTTTTATCGGCAAACGCGATACCGCCGTTGAATATGATTATGTAGTCGTCGGTTCCGGCGCTGGTGGAGGCCCTGTCGCCGCCAACCTTGCCGTCGCTGGCTTCAAAGTCCTTCTTATCGACGCCGGCGGCGACTCTGGTGATGATTGGGTTGAGAAGGTTCCAGCCTTGCATCTCATGTCAACTGAGTTTGAGGATACACGATGGAACTACTTCGTCAATCACTACCCTGACCCCAAGCAACAAAAGAAGGACTCCAAGATGGTCTACCAAAAGCCCGACGGTAGCTATTACGTTGGACTCACCCCGCCTAAGGATGCGAAGCCTTTGGGTGTTCTTTATCCTCGTGCTGGTACCCTCGGTGGATGCACACGCCACAATGCCCTCATCACCATCGCCGCTCATGATAGTGATTGGTCTTATATCGCCAGCCTTACTGGTGATGACTCTTGGAACCCTGACAACATGCGATCTTACTTTGAGAAGCTGGAAAAGAACATGTATCTCCCCAGCAGCATCATCGGCCACGGTTTCAACGGCTGGCTGGGTACTTCTCTGACCTCGCTGTCCTTGGTAGTCGAAGATCAGAAGCTTCTGTCTTTAATCATCTCCGCTGCTTCAGCTATGGGCAAGGGCCTTCTAGGTTTCGTGTTGAACACTGTCGCTGGACTTGGACAGGTCTTGCTTCGCGATCTCAATGCCCCAGGTCAAACCAGCAAGACTGGACTTTATCAAGTTCCGCTGTCGATGGCTGACTCTGTTCGTGGTGGCCCTCGAGACTTTATCCTCAATACCGCCAAGGCTGTTAACAAGGATGGATCTCGCAAGTACCATCTCGACATCAAGCTCAACACTCTTGTAAGTTCCTGTGCCCATACACCCTATCACTGCTCACATAGCTACAGGTCACCAAGATCAACTTCGACAAGAGTGGTTCCAAGCCTCGTGCCGTCGGCGTCAACTACATGCAAGGCGCAAGCCTCTACCGCGCCGATCCCCGCTCCGGATCAGCCAAGCCCACCGGTACTGGCAGCGTCAAAGCCAAGCGCGAAGTCATCATCTCAGCTGGTTCTTTCAACACTCCTCAGCTCCTCAAGCTCAGTGGTATTGGACCCAAGAAGGAACTTGACTCTTTCAAGATTCCTGTTCTGGTTGATCTCCCTGGTGTTGGAACCAACATGCAGGATCGGTATGAGAATACCGTTATTGGCAAGACCAATAGTGATTTTGTCATCACGTCCAAGTGTACTTTCCTTGAGACTCTGCCGGATCCTTGTCTTGAGCAATACAAGAAGGGTCTTGGTCCTATTACTAAGGGCGTGTATGCTACCAACGGTATCGCCATCGCCATTGTCCTCAAATCCTCTGTCGCTGAAGATGAGCCTGATCTTCTTATCTCTGGTGCCCCAGCCAAGTTCAAGGGATACTTCCCTGGCTATGCCGCCGACTCACTCGCCGATGCCGAGCACTGGGCCTGGATCATTCTCAAGGCCCACAGCCGCAACAATGCCGGCACTGTCACCTTGAAGTCAACTGACCCACGCGACATGCCCATCATCAACTTCAACTACTTCGACACCGGCGTCAACGCAAACGGAGAAGGCGATAAGGATCTTCAAGCCACCTACGAAGGCTTCGAGTTTGCTCGCAAGGCATTTGACGACTTGATTCCCCTTGACGGCGAGTTCCCCGAAGTCTGGCCCGGAAGCCAGACGAACAATGAGAAGAAGGCGAAGCAGTTCCTCAAGGATGAGGCATGGGGTCATCACGCTTCGTGCACTGCTGCTATTGGCGCTGATGATGATCCCATGGCTGTGTTGGACTCTGAGTTCAAGGTTAGAGGTACTGAGGGTCTACGCGTTGTTGATGCTAGTGTTTTCCCCAAGATTCCTGGTTTCTATATTGCTCTGCCTTTGTATATCGTTGCTGAGAAGGCTAGCGATGTTATTATCAAGGCGGCGAAGAGCTCTTAATCCTTGTTGGCGCACTTCGGCAGAAGACCTAATTTACACAGCAAGCGCGTCACTTTTCACAGGAGCTGTATAATCGTGCTCACATGGCGATCAGTTCAAACACGTATTTAATTCTTAAATAATAAGTATATAAAAGTCTTTGCACTATACCACTTCATTACGATCATAGGGCGATGAGACATCAGCGACTTTTTTATCTAGGTACTCATAAGCATATGATGAGTTTAAGTAAATCTGAAAAGCGTTTAGGATCTATTTAGTCAACATTAGGAGATGATACATCAATTATTTGTACAATTACAATTTCCCAATCCATTCTCCCAAAGTTCCAAGCAATTCCTCGTCAATATTCTGCCTCGATGATTACTTATGTAATTGGCAGCTTCCCAGAAGAAGCACTGAAGAACCTCACACAAGGCCCAACGTACCCTTTCGTAGAAACCTTATTATCTTCCTCACTGCACTGTTGCTCAGGAGGCTCCAGAGTTCTCAAAGCCCAATAGTCCTGCCACTTCTGAGACCGTCTTCGGCTGCGCTCAAGGTCTGGCGCAAGAAACACCTTATCCTGAAATGCCTTTTCCATTTGGTCAAACTCATTCAGAGTCGGGAAGTGGTTGTTGTGCATCGGATACAGCCTATCGTCGTCAAAGAGACCCCAAGCTCGTTGCCGATAAATATGAAGTTGGAATCCATGCAATCTCTTCAAATGTGGAGACCGTTTATGTATAACTGTTCCAAATCGGTCCATACTGACTTCGTCGTATTCAGGTTCCTCATCTGATTGTTCCAGGCCTCGATGCTCTGCCTGTGGTCGATTGTAACTGCGAAGTTCCCTATCGGCGAGGCTTTCGGGGAGTAGGACACGCCATGCAACGCCGAAACGAAAAGACAATGTCTCTAACCATGCTTTAAGAATAGGCTCGCGTCCCGTTGCTTCGTTCATGAACAATAGTATTTGCGACAAGCAGTCCAAGCCGACACAAGGAAGGTCACTGGCCAGACATCGCCCGTATATCTCCATGTCTTCCTCATATGCTGCAGCGCTGAAGTAAGTGTTGTCAGGGAAAAGTAATCCATATCGAGAAGATTCCGGGATGTTTGTATCAGACGACTGCCCTGTCTTGGGAGGCTGAGGTATATCAGGTAACCAGGAGTCTTGGCAATGTGCGAACAAAGCTCCATATACACCTCGATAGTATTCATGAACTGACGTCATCATCGTCAAATCAGAATCTTCAGACATTGCTATTAGCTGCTTTTCCATCGTATATGTTTCTTCAGGACTCCTTTTCCGCGGATAAAAAATCTTACAAAGCAGCTCATATCTCGCAAAAGCGCGTAAGAACCGATATCGTTCGGTACCCGTCAGGCTCATGAACCTGACGACCTTGGTCTCCAATCTCTGCCCCTTGAAGTAGCTTCCGTTACCATTGATTATGTCTGGAATACCAAGGTAAGCTCTTGGAGGATAAACGCTTGTTGCTTTTGAGGCATAATCCTCGATGAAGGTGATCATGCGGGAGAATAAACGCCAGAGTGTCTCAAGCTGGTCGTGTTTCAAGGTGCCTGGCAGCTCCATGGTTTGCCACATTTTCGTCTCTTGGTACTTTCTGGCCGAAGCTTTATCTGAGATGTAGACGATTCCCAGGGCATCTCGAAGGAGGTTACCAGATGTGTCTTCATGTAAAATGTCATTCATAATGCGGCTGAGGACACTTTTCTTGTAAGCAACGAAATGCCACAGCATAGAGGGTGAGGCTTGAATTACCTTCTTGATGCTTATTTCCGACTGAAGATGAACGAATATCTCAGTCTGGATGAGTGAAGGGAGTTTTGAGAATAGATCCATTGTTGATGTCTGGGAAGTTGAATGAAAAGCTGAGTGGCGAGGTTGGGTGTTGAGGTCGTGAAGGGGGTAGAGTCTGAAAGGGATAGAATGAGAGAACGACGGCTTATATAGTCAGAGAAACTGTCAGCTGGACAAGCTTTTGGATAGGCCTACTCACCTTCTTGCGTATACTTTCGTGGGGGAAGCCAAATCAGAGTTTACCAAGGTTTCATACGACGGGCTTTCGGAGAATGGTACGCTTCAATTCTTATACTCCAGGCAGCTGCAATTGAGGTTGCTGATTGAGTCATCATAAAAGCTTATTATTATGTTTAAATTAGGAGACTTATCTTTATTAAGGCTATATGCATATTGGCTTCCAAAAGCTTGAGTTACTAGGGATTGTTTTAGTGTATTAGCTTGATATATCTCGTTGAGATATCATAAGCTTTAACTATTAATCAACACGGGTACCAACCATAGGACTCCTGCTTTCAAACTGTAATATTCAATCCTTCGCTAAAGGAGGCTGAAGGATATAATAAACTTAATACTTCGATCACAGGCGACAGAAAGGCTAAAAGCTTAACAGAAGCTTACAAGGTTCTCAGATAAGTTGACTTTAGCATGATAAGTTCTGTGTGGTGATTATAAGCTCTCAACCACAGGTCTCAACTACAAATAACACATCTTGCTCACGATTTAGATATTATACCACAATGCCTGACCAACTGCTACAGCATAAATGCTGATAAGATAAAAACCTAGATTATGACTCTTTTTCCTACCTTCAGCTTCATCTCAAACATTTTCCTTGTTAATATCGCGACGCGACCTGTATCATTCACTTCAACCTCTAGCAAACTTCTAGCCAGCACAACCAGCATATTTCATTTACCACAATACTTCATCATGTCAGAAAGACAAATTGCAAAGGTGATTTCAATATCCAGTTCACTATAACACATACTAAATTTATGGTGAACAGATCGGTATGGTGGGCATGGGCAGCATGGGCAGCATGGGCTCCATGATGTCCCTTCTCTTCGCTGCAAAGTCTACTACTATGATATCAGTAGGTCACTAAACTCACCCATAAAGTTCAAGGACTAACTGAATCCAAGCGAGTACAATATGAAGGCAGCAGAGAAAATGGTCAAGGACGTCAACGAAGAAACACAAGTCTTTCCACAACACAGCTATCAACAACTCTGCAAAGAGATTTACTCGGAGAACCACCCCAGAATCATCATCTTTAGTATCCCCCACGAATATCCCGGTGATGAGTGCGTCAAGGCTCTTCGACCGTACATGACCAAGGGAGATATTGTTCTTGGCTGTTCAAACGAATACTATGTCAATACGGAACGTCGACAAGCGGACCTTGAAAATGATTGGATCTTTTATGTCGGCTGTGGTGTCTCAGGTGGTTATCAGAGCGCACGAGCCGGCCCGTCAATGTCGCCAGGCGGCGACCCCCAAGCCCTCGAAATCATCATGCCGCTTCTCAGAACAGTCGCAGCAAAGGATCGCGATGGCAAACCATGTACCAGCCCAAATGCCACGGCTAGTTGGCAGGAACATCCATGTGCCTGGCTGTTGCTCTATAACCACATTTGCACAATCATAAAAAGGCAGGTATAATGAACGAATCTTGTTTATCTCCACCACCAGACACACACCAAATTTCTTTCATCCAGCATCATCAATCACCGAGACCGTTAATTGATAATTTTCATCTCATTCAATTAATACTATCAAAAACCACTATCAACATTCATCTGGTCTCAGGCATTACGCTTTATTAAATCGTCTTTTAATATGTCTTTCCTCGAATCAAACTCCCAGCTCCACCTTCAAGCAATTGGCTTTCCCATGGCCATAGAAACGTCGCATAAAGCCCCAATTTGCCGTGCCCAAGACCTTTTGGTTGACAAGATCCCACATTGCACGGCTGAGGAGTTTCGGGCGGTCTGGCACTCTGAATTGCCCACATATCCTAAAGATCGGACAAGCAAGAAAGGATGGAAATGGCCTAGCAGAGTCCAGCTGCAATATGACAAGTACAAACTCTGGGAGAGCCTCCGAAATGAAGCAGCGCAAGTCTTCTGGAGGGAGCTCAGGCTTGCCTTTGGCCGTAAAGCGCCAAGACAATAGGATTTGTTTTTCCCCTGGCTTTGTGCCATACTACAAAAACCAGTGGCAACATTTCACAAAGTCCGACAAATGGCAGACTCGGCCAAAGAGATCTCAGATATCTCGCTGCTGTATGATTCCACTGAATAGCAGATATGCAATTAACTAACAAGTTTCTAGTCACTTCAAAGAACGCAATAGGCACCTCGAGATGTATCCGTTTGCGTACGATACTCTTGAGAAGCGTCGATTGCACGAAGGCTATACACTTGACGCACAATAGGAAGCTATGAATTGGGAACTTACCTCTCAAATATTGCATAACAGGAAAGGGGAGCTTATGATGGGTGTTTGAGGAGAGTTAGCCTGTGAAAAGGCGAATATCGTCAGTGCGCATTTGTTTAAGTGTACTTCGGCAGAATTCGATCAGCGCGCTGCTGATGCTGAGGCTTCTGGGCGTCGTGTTCAGCCTTCGGCGATGAAAGTTGCTCCAAGAGATGATTCTATCGAGGATCTTCGACAGGCGACGTACTTCTGTCTGTTGTTGTGTTTCACGCAAGGTCTACAGATCATTCGAGAGATGGACCAACAGCGACAATGGCACATCAACTATCAAGAGCTTCTTCATGTCTGGAGCGCTGGATCAATCATTCAAGCTGGCGGTATTATGGACCTACTTCACAAAGTCTACAGCGAATCACCCGGTCAAAAGAACAACCTCCTATCCAACAGTACGCTCGAGAACCAACTGACCAACCTTCTGCCTTCAATGAAGCGATGCATCATCGCAGCGTTGGAGTCCGACATGGTGATCCCAGCCATGAGTCAGAGTTTGGAATACTACAAGTATTCAACCTTGGTTGATCTGCCCACTCAATTAGCAGAAGCAGAACTGGATTACTTTGGCAACCACAAGTTCCATCTAAAGGAAGAACACAGAGGTGAACCAAGCAAGGGAAAGCACCACTTCGAATGGAAGCCAGCGAAAGGAGAACCCGACAGGTTTCGGCTGTGAAGATCCTAGAATAGTCTCCGAATAGTCTCCGTAATACAATAAGCAATTACATTTCAACATCTCGGCTCGGAAATATCATCTCGTCTTCGCGTTTAGAACCAAACAATCCCGAGAAAGTTTTGCTGACGTCTCGGGCCGCGATCGGCATTCCCGTGCCGATGAGGTTATTCACAGATTATTCCCGGAAAAGTGCAAATCCCATCACTATCCACTAACAGCTAACGATATCAGGAACAGCGAAAAGTTCTCCACACGACTCGAACAGGAAACGAATCATGACGTACTAAAACGGTCATTTTACCCTGTTGACCGAAATTCGTCGCCACCTGATGCATTTGCATAAGAAATTGAGTTTTCCAATTGCTCGGCGTTAGTACTAGTCGCCGAATCTGGCACCGATCATTTCTAATAAAAATACACGACATTCCTCCCTATCACCATCTTTTTAAACAAGTTTAGTTCATTCATTTTATGGATTAATCATGGAGAAAGTCGAAACTTCACATTCAGATCATAACGATCGACGAGAATCTCACACTTCTCATACCGACGAAGAATCCTCAATATCGTCTTCTTCACACCATAACCATGAAAATGACGACATTTCTCGAACGTACTCCCTCGGTGACACTGAATGGCAGAGTATTCGTGCCCCGACAAATGGAATGAGCATGACGAGGACTGTTTCGAGGAGGGAATCTGTTTTATCGAGGATTAGATCACGGCCTATTCCGCAGTTTACGCATCCTCTTGCGCATGTGAAAACTACAGAGGATCAGCTTGTTGATTTTGAGGGACCTGATGATCCGTACAGACCCATGAATTGGCCTAACAAGAAGAAGATTCTTACGACGATGCTTTACGGTCTAGTTACAATGTCAGCGACTTGGGCGTCTTCGTCGTATTCTTCCGGCACAGCACAAGTAGCGTCCCACTTCCACGTCGGAACGCAAGTCGCAACTCTCGGCACAACACTCTTCCTCGTGGGATTCGGAATAGGGCCTTTGCTTTGGGCGCCGTTGAGTGAAGTCTACGGAAGACGACAGGCAGTGCTTATTCCGATGTTTATAGCGATATGCTTCAGTTTCGGAAGTGCAGTCGCGAAAGACTTTCAGACGTTGATGATTACGAGGTTCTTTTGTGCGTTCTTTGCTTCGGCGCCTGTAACGAATACGGGTGGTGTTTTGGGGGATTTGTTTTTGCCGTCGGAGAGGGGGATTGCTATGGCGGGGTATGCTATGGCTGTTGTTGGAGGTCCAGTTCTCGGTAAGTCTCATCACATGAAATGCTTTTGGTTACTTGTGGCTAATGGTTTTAGGTCCTATTGTATCAGCTGCTGTTGTGCAGGAACCGAGTTTGGGTTGGAGATGGACTGAGTACCTTACTGGTATTGTTCAGATCATCTTTTTAACTCTGGCTGTTATCTTTGTTGATGAGAGTTATCCACCTAAACTTCTCATTTACAAAGCTCGAAGACTACGTCATGAAACGGGTAATTGGGCTCTTCACGCGAAATTCGAAGAATGGGATGTTAGCATCCAAGAGCTTGCGCGAAAGTTCTTGGTCAGGCCCGTTCAGCTCCTCATGACGCCTATTTGCTTCCTCGTTGCTTTATATGCCAGTTTCTGCTACGGTATTCTCTACATGCAACTTGGCGCTATTCCCATCATCTTCAGAGAGATCAGGGGCTGGGGCATTCTGGTATCTTCACTACCTTTCATCTGCATTCTCCTCGGAGCCATTCTCGGATGCGGAGCAAACGTGTATAACCAGCTGCTCTACAACAAAGCGTACCACGCAGCTGGAAACCGAGCTGTCCCCGAAAAACGCCTTCCTCCTATGATGATTGGCTCCGTCATCTTCAGCGGTGGCCAATTCCTCATCGGATGGACTGCAGAGAAGGATATTCACTGGGTGGTTCCCTGCATTGGTCTCGTCTTGTTGGGAACAGGTTTCTTTACTATCTTCCAGGCAGCGCTGAACTACTTGGTCGATACGTTTACTATGTACGCGGCATCAGCTGTTGCGGCTAACACGTTCCTACGATCTTGCTTTGCAGCTGCTTTCCCACTGGTCGTTGGACCTTTGTATCACAACATTGGTGTTGGACCTGGGTCTAGTATCACTGGTGGTTTTGCAGCGTTGTTGATTCCTGTTCCGTTTGTGTTTTATATTTATGGCAAGAGGATTAGAGCTAGATCGAAATGGTCAAAGGCTTCGGTTTATGACTAAAGAAACATCTTTAACTAGAGGGGTTATAAAAGATTGCCAAAATAAATGTATAGATAGTCTAAAGATTGCAATAATACCCAAACAATATGTTAAACTCCATGCTCGTCTATGTTATGCCTATTTATTCCCGACCTGCTTGTTCCATAACTCCTTATACCTTCCGTCTATTGAGATCAATTCCGCATGTGTTCCAGACTCAACAACCTTTCCGTTGTGAATAACCAGGATCTTGTCTGCACTAACAATAGTAGAAAGTCGATGGGCAATGACGAATGTCGACCTCGCACGCTTCAACTCGTCCAGAGCACCCTGGATACTTGACTCAGTATTCGTGTCAACCGCACTTGTCGCTTCATCAAGGATGAGAATTGGAGGGTTCTTCAAGAAGACTCGAGCGATGGCGAGTCTCTGAATCTCTCCTCCTGATAGCTTGACTCCTTGCTCTCCGACCTCCGTGTTATATCCATCGACAAAGGTTAGAATCTTGTCGTGAATAGCTGCTGCTCGACAAGCGGTGTAAATCTCCTCGTCGGTGGCAGAGGGTCGAGCGTAGCGCATGTTCTCAAGAATCGATGCGTTGAAGAGAAGTGGATCTTGAGGAACTACACCGAGAGCATTTCTCAGGGAGCTGAGAGTGATGTCCCGAATGTCATAGCCATCAATCGTAATAGATCCTTCATCAATATCGTAGAAACGAAGTAGCAACTTCATGATAGACGACTTGCCAGCTCCTGTCTCTCCAACCAAAGCGACAGTTTGTCCAGGCTCGACTGACAGCGACAAGTCATGGATAGTTGGCTTTCTGGGATCGTAAGAGAAGCAAACATCATGGAATGCAACGCGCCCCTCGACCTTCTCCAGATCCTTAGCACCCTCCTTGTCGGTAATAGTCGGCTTCGTCTGAAGCAGATAGAGCAAACGCTCAGCATCGACTAAATCTGACATGAGCTGCCTGTAGCTATGAGACAGGAACTTCAACGGCCAGACCAAGTACTCCCAATACTGAATAAAGAATACAAAATCACCAGGCGATGAATCACCCTGCCAAACGTCATAAATAACAAGACTCGCCAGTGTGAAGAAAGTGCAAGGAATAAGAGCGTTCAGTAGTCCCTGAATATAAGCATCCCTCTTCTCATAGTTCAGACCAGCAGACAATTGCTTATTGACAGCAGATCCAAAGCGATACTTCTCATAGTTGAACATGTTGAAGTACGTAACGGTTTGCCAGCCTTGAACAGCCTGATGCATAACACGAACTTCCTCCCTCTTCGACTTTGTCGACTCTCGTCTATTATCGAGATTCCAACCTGTAGCTTTGACTTCGAACGTGACGAAGAGGACTGATCCAACGGCCATAGCGAGAGCAACGTAGCTATTGAACTTCCAGTATAGAAAGACAAAAGCGATAGCCAAATCGACGACGGTTGGGAGAATTTCGATGATAAGCATGTCAAGCACATTCGTTAATGCTTCACCCTGTTCGATAGCCTTCATAACCTCCGCCGAGTCACGCTCAGAGTGAAATTCCATAGGCAGCGAAAGAACGTGGTTGAAAGCTGCATTCGTGAGAGATCGGTATGAGAACTGCTTAATCGGGATCTTGGCCATAGACTCGATAAGTCCGACGACAACGTCGTGTGAGGTAAGACTCATGATAAGCCAGATGAACAAAGCATGGAAGGGGTTCTGCTTGGCGAGGAGTTGATCTGCCACGATACCTAGTTGACGAGGAACCAGGATGTTGAAGACTCGAGTGGCCAGGATACAAAAGAGGGAGATCAGGATGCAGAGTTGGACTTTGCGATCTTTCTTTGGGATCAAGAAGGGGAGGAAGATGGAAAAGTCGGAGAGGTAACCTAACCAACCTCCCTTCTCTTTGAGCTTCTTGGCTCGTTGTCGTTTGATGTCGATTACATCTTCGTCGGATTCACTGCCTGACATGTACTCATCGTCATCGAATTCGGTGCTTGAAGATGTTTCAGTTCCGTAGCTTGGGCATGCTCTGCCGTTTACATGACCGTTTGATTGGAGGAAGGGTTGTGATTCCTCTGCTTCTGAATCGGGGGTGTAGTATCTACCACTGTTGGAGAGATGGTAGACTGTGAGAAAAAGAAGGGGTAGGAGTCTGAATGTCTGTGAGGCGAGTTGCACGACATGATAGACATCATTCCGGCTGTTGATGGCAGAAAATATTTGCAACGGAATCTCAAATGCAAGAGTAATAAGCGATGTTCCGAGGACCAATAACCGTGGCGCATGGCGATGACTCCAAACAAACGCCCATAGCGACAGCAGCACGACAAGATGTATCGTCTCAGGCTCTTTACTCTGCTGACTCTCTTGCACAAACGTCGTTACACCCTCAGCTAAATACCCCAGAATCAAAAGTCCAATAGCAAGACGATTATAATTCCGCGAGGCAGTCTTTCCAGTGGTACGAGCAGCATTAACAATAGTGACAACCGAAACAAAAACTACAGCTACTAACGAGCAGCTGTAGTGAAGGATATTCGAGACCTGGAGGATTGACGGCATTTTCACAAGCCGGGGCAGGCAAAAAGTAACAAGAATAGTGTAATTCATTTTACAACTAAAAACCGTCTGATCAAATCTTATATACCCATTCTTCAGCCCTACGTGTAACTCTGGCATGAAAAAGCCAAGGTCGCCTGCGGTCATTTGAGGCGCATATATTCGACGTAGCCAATCGGCGTGGATATGAGTCAATGGCACAGCGGGCCTCGCCACCAAAATCAACCTCTTTAGAGTAATATGTTTCGACGTGTTGATTGGCTTTGGCGTATCCTACTGTGGGGTCCCAATCGGCTTATACGGAAGGGTAACATACGGGAGGATGATTATGCTTATTATTGGTTTTGTATGACTTTGTATTGAGTCATGATGATTCCACTATTGAGGCTCGTGCTGTTTAATAGGTGAAGATTGGTGTTCTGTGGGATGGATGAGATGAGGTTGATTCCGGTGCCGAGAAGGATGGGCATTACGGCGATTTCGACGGTATCCACCATATGAGCTTCTAGGCATTCGGATGCGAGCTGACCACCACCCATAAGCCAGATATCCTTTCCGTCATGCGTTTTGAGGCATCTGATGTAACCAAGGACGTTTTCTTGTATGACTGTGATATTGGGAAAAAGGTCCTGGTTCATGGTTCGACTGGCTACTATGACAGATTCCTTGGGTCGTTTTGATAGTGGATTGTCAGTGCCGAAAGATTGCATGACTTCGTAGGTCTTGCGGCCCATGACGAAAAAGTCGAATTCGGCATACAGCGCGTCAAAGTCGATGGTGGGATCTTCGATTATCCAGGTTGTTGAACCGTCGGGCGATGCGATATACCCGTCGAGGCTTGCTGCAACGTTGTAACGAAGTCGCGGCATGTCGAGTTAATTGACAAGATTGAGATTGAAGTGAGATGAGGGTCTGTGCGATATGCGGGATGGCTGAAGATGTATTCGGTCGGGTGAATAATCTCGCCGATTACTGGCTATACTGTCTGACTCGAAATGCTTGGCATTCTGCAAACTTATCGTCTGACTGTTGGCCACCATCTAATTTCCCGATCTCTTTATGCCAGTCTGTGTCGCAACCAATAACTCCTCTCTCAAAAGCCAAATCAGAGGAAACATTGTTCCCGGCCCAAGCAAACATCCCAGCATAACAGAAGCGCAAGCAGCCCGAATCCATGAGATACTGCAGACTCCAACATTCTCAAGCTCTTTAAAGTGGTACGCCAACCAGAGAAATCCAGCTGCGTAACAGCATATGTAATCGAATTGTATGACAGTTCGAAGTCCGAGGATTGGGTCTTGTGGCGTGGTGAGGAAATGCTGCGGAATAAAGACGCCGATGATGGTAGAGTCCATGTCGAGAATGGTATACCACCAAGTTGCCGTGCTTATGATACTGATAACCCCGATTGTGAATCGAATGGCGTTAAGCTCTTGCTTCCGTGTTTTTGACGTCTGCTCCTTCGGCTGAGGAATCATCTTAGACAACACGAACATGATGACGGATCCCCAGATAGGAAACAGTTGCCAAATCCAGTTCCACCAATTTCTTGCTTCGAGAGAAGAGTGAAAGAAGGATGGAAAGTGCGTGATATAATACCCCAGCACAATAGTAGGCAAAAGAGCCATACAAGGCGCTACACCAGGACGGTACAGACTCGGTGTTGTAAGTTTGTGAGCAGGCGTAAATATGTAGAACAGGAAGAAGAAGATAGGTGCAAGACAGCCAATTCCAAACATCTGAGACAGAAATAAGAAAACAACAGGGCTAGCGAGAGTGAGTAAAAGCTCTTTCTATGAGGGAGGTACTTACTACTTGATCACAGGAAACGTATTCCCCGGCCTATATCCCTCAATCATCACAACAGCATACATCCCCGCAAAATCCGTCAAAAACACCAACAACTGCCAATACGCCTCCTCATCGGTAAAGAACTGCAAATGCGCAAAGGCAATAGTTACTACAGCGAAAATATCATCCAAAATAGGTACACCGTAAAAGTTCTTGATGATGGGTACGCTCACGTCTTGTGATATGAAGATGGAGGTTTGCAGGGTTTCTTCGATTATGGGGCCGATGGGCTTTGCCATTGCGAAGGCGCGGGACATAATGGCTGTTATGAAGAGGAAGGGTAGGGCGTGGATGGCGCGCCTGAGGCGGCTGTCTGAGAGCGAGGTGTGCAGTGTCATGGTGATTGGGAGTGTGTGATGTGAGTGAAGCGAAGTGATCGTGAGATGAGGGAAATAAGGTGGGTTGAGGTTAGATTGACCCTTGTAGTCGGCCCACCAACCCGAAGGATGCGAATCCTGCAACCAATCTTGACAAAAATCCCCGAGAAGTAGCTTGCCTCTATACAACTAGTTCATTCTATGTACATTTGGCTGCTTACGGTTGAACTTCATGGTTCGTCAGGCTTCCTAGCTCGATTGTACTGTAAAGAGACAACTACTCAGGAGAAGCTCCTGACTCATTGGTAATGCTATGAAGCAGCGCTCTATGAATAATAATACACGCTTGCTATGAATGGTCTCAAGAGAGAACCGCGCTAATAACCAACGCCGCTGCCATGACATATCCCAGCACAGATTGACTCATCAACCTCACAGCATGATCTTCTTCATCACCCTTTGAGTCCGTCAAGTTATTCCCACTGCCTTTATAACCTCCCTTCTCACTACCAGACTTATCGCCCTTATCCTTATCATCATCTCCCTGCTTCGTAGAATTCCTCTCACCCGTAAAGTTTCCCTTCAAACTCATCCCAAAATTCGCAGCAGTAAACGTAGCATTGCCCCTTGACATCCACGTCTCTGTTCCAAACTCAATGATTCCTAACCATGGATCTTTCGGTAGATCATCTGCGTCGATGTGTTTGTGTGCTTGTTCGAGGATGTACTGAAATAACGGGTAGAAATCCTCATCGAAGGATAATACGTCACTATTATCCTTCGTAACAGCAGTAAAGACGTGTGTTCCTCCTGAGTTTCGGCCATAGAATAATGAGCTGCAGCAGTCAGTGTCTGTAGTGTAGGATGAGTGGTGAACTTACAACTCTGTCTCCCCCAGCGTCACATTCGACAAGATACTATTATTCTGCCTCCCAAGCCACCACGGATCCCCCACCCTTCCCAACCAAACCATAAATTCCACAGCAGCAACCTGCGGATAAAGCGTTCTATTCCTATCATCATCCAGAAAGAAATCCCACGCTGCATTCGCCTGAACGCCCTCCCCCGCTAACTCTGCTTTATTCTTCGCCCAAACATCATTGCTAAAGTCATCCGGTATTTGCTTAGGACTGCCGGGTGTGTAGATCCAGTCTGTTGATAAGCGGATTGACTCTAGATCGCTGATGCGTATGGGAAGATTCGGGTTGTTGAAGCGCACATAGGGAAAGGAGTGTACGTCTTGGATGTCTTTGGGCCAGTCCCACGTTGCGGAGAAAGAGGGTGTGCTGTTGTCGACTTTGAGGCATACAAAGCCGTTCTTAGGACTCTTTTTGTTCCATGCGTTTGGGTAGTCTGCAAGTATCAGCGATGTTTCCATAGCCTCAGGGTGAGATTGAACGTACATGAAAGTGAGTCATTTAGTTCACCGAACCTCTGATTTCCGCACATCCTCTTGACGTCTTCCTTCCCTAAGACTCCAGCTAATAAAATCGCATAGCTTACACCTGTCGTTACTTTCATCGTGAGGCCTCAATGTTGCAGAGAAAAAAGACAAGGGTTCCATGCAGTGTTACAGTAGACGATCTAAACTTTAGGGGCTAGGCTGTTGGGGCGACAACCAGCTCAGCCTCAATTGACGGTTCGGGTTGACGGCAATAAAATTGACTTCAGAGACATCTATAATTGTGAAAAAGATAGTTTTGATATACGAGAGGCGTTACGATGGTATGGGCGCTTACGTGGCAGATTTTAGGTGTGAAAAGTCACGACGTCATGGGGTTTTTGAGATCGACGCGTTGTGGAACCATGTAAGGGCCTGTAGATCATTTTACGCGTCGAATCTCGCGATGATGGTAGAAGTTGCATAAAATGTGCATAATTGTCTAGATGTGTCGGAACCAAACGCAAGCCCAAGTCGTCACCACCATGATCTCCCACTGTCGTCCGAATCGTCCAGTTATGCCACTTCCAGCAAATGTCAGATCACCAATCTTGTTTAGTCCCAAAGACCTATGAGTTTTAAAAATAGCAACGATTTCCTCGTCGTCACCCTTGACCAATTTCCATCCCCAGCCTGATCCTTCTTGTCCCTGTACTTGTTTCCCACGCGTTGAACGCCATTCGAATCGTTCAACGCGATCACCAAGTTGCATAGCGAACCAGTACCCTTCCTTTAATTTATTTATAGTAGTGCATCGTAGTAATTCCTCACGCGTGTCTTCGCCATCTGTCAATGCAGGGAGATTGATGCGGAAGTCGTGCTTCCACTTGGGATTTCTTCTAGCGGTCGCGAGGACGGGGCATCCTGCATCTGGGCCGTCGTAGACAATCACGTCGTAGCACCCTTTTGGCGGGACGTGAACGGCGAAAGCGCGCTCAGAGGCTGGATCAGTCAGAATGCATCGGAGGGTGAGCGATGTGCGTTTTGTGATCGAGGCTGAGAAATTGTGAGGGATGCCTTGGGCTGCCGTCTCTTGTGAGATGTGGGGAGTGAGCGTTGAGGCTTTCGATGAAGCGTTACCCATTCTGTCTTGCTTGGCTTGGTACTGCCTGACAGTTTAACGCGTTGACATGGTAATTAATATGCTATGAAGCTGTCGTGGGTCGTCTTTATTGAAACTCATTTGCTGCAACAACCACGAAATCTTCAAGCACCCGCGTCTAAGTACAGCAACAATTTGTCCTTACCATCTCACCATATTATATGAGTCATTTTCTGTATGCCATTAATTTGATCAGGCCACAGGCTCGCGCTGAATACCATTTCTGTATCTCGGTGTTCAGCTTCAGGGTAAGCCGTGGCTAGTGCTGTGGCCGTGCAAATGTGGCTGTTGTCCAGTCAACTCCACCTTGCCATTTCAGGTCATCAGTGATCCCCACGTATTCAAGCATTACAACATCGAAGCCGAACCACCAAAATGTCAACGCAGGAGCAATCGACGCTTCATTCTCCCTGCACGATTGTCTAGATCTTCAGAAATGACTGTTGATATCATCTCGTGGCTGCGCCAGGTCGACGATACTGCATACTCTCCCCGCGAGCTCGACCCAGCGAAACCACCAAAAGCGGTACGATCAAAGACTCGAAAGCGACAGCGCAGTTACAGCTCGACCAGTTCAGATCATATACCACTCCCCAAACCTGCTGCGAATACATTTACACATCCGACACCTCCTCCAGACTCTCCAACATCCTCAGCAGCCGAAATGGCACCGACTAAGAAACGAAAGACTACCAAAGGCGCAGTCCCGAGCCCAAGTCCGAACGATGCACAATTCGACGATGAAGGCGAACAAGAAAAGACTCCCAGGCCTCTACGAAGCGTCCATCTTCCCAGTGATACATCGTCAATGTCCTCAACGAGTGGTCGGTCTGGTGCTTCATCGCCTCGAAAGCAATTAGCAGCCATGGCGTTATCCTCCCACGGCGTGGAAACGCGCGCCATGTCTGATCCATCAGGTTTACCACCAACATTAGCAGATATGCGAACGAAGCTACTACAATTCGGTCGAGGACGAGGAATACTCGGGGAGAACGGTCTTGAGAGTATACGGGATGAGACAGCGGCGAGGGCACTGCATCCGGATATGGCTGCTATTTACGAGGATAAAGAATTCTGCTGCTCTGCGCGTCGCGATGAATTAGGGTTGACGCCGAGTCCAGAGGATGTGGTGTATATTCTTGAATGCGCGGGTGATTGTCTTCGTATGGGGAGGTCTGAAGCGGCGTGGAATCATGAGGTTCACTTCCCGTTGCTGTGTTTGGCGCTTCGGAATCGATCAAAGGGTGCGTTTCAACGTCTTGTCAATGTGACATCTTGGTAAGTTCACAGCAATCCCTCTTCTGACCTCTCTTCTAACCGTGCCAGTTCATCTGCGTCTATCATCCCCGACTACCGCATTCGCTTCGCGCCCGATAAAAAGATCGACTTCTGCGTCTATCTCGATCCTCACTACGACCCCAACGATACAAACATCGCCAGCACCGTCGACACCGTTCGCGCCCGTCTTCCAGGGCTGTCAATCAACCCAACCGACGACCTGTCGCTATTGAGCAATCCGATTGCCATTCCCATCGAGACTAAGCGTCCCGGCGAAGGCTTGGACACTGCCAATCTTCAAGTCGCGACATTTTTAACAGCACATTTGACACTTCTACAACGACTTGTTGATGCTGGTGCTTCTGTGCCTGTTGAAGCTGGGGAGAAAGTTCCCTCGGTTGATGATCTGGGCTTTTTGCCTGGATTGATCGTGCAGGGGAATACGTGGAACTTTATCGCAGCTAGCCGTCAAGATTCTCGAATCGTAAGTTTACCTCGCGTCATTATTCTGGAGGTGTGTTAATTGTTCAAGGTGATCTGGTCTGAAACCTCACTCGGTTCGACGGGCGACATATTCGGCATCTACCAAATCATCGCATCGTTACAATTGTTGCGACAATGGATTAACGCTACATACTGGCCATGGCTACGACGAGTTACGCGAAGAGCTGCTACAGCTGCTCAATTACGCGATGGCCCTGCTGGATGATGATGTCTCAAGATGATACAGTAAGAAACTCAAAATCACTGGAGGCCCTAGAGCTTGGACCCCGCGCGGATACAGCCGGACGCCAATTAGATCACTCGGGACGATTTTAGATCATGCCGAAGCATTGCGGCGTTGAAGGGCACTACTCAGATAGAGCTGGCTTGAAGGTTGAGGCATGCCGTTGAGTCCAGACCCAACTTCCTTCACCGTCATTCCATGACGACCACTGTGTACCGGGATAGTGGGCACGCTGCGCTTGGACGTTATGAACGGTACGGGAGGATCCCCGCCTTGCAGCAAGTCACAGCCCGCTGCCCACTTGGGGTTTTAGAAACATCAAGACTCACCAGCATATGGCAGCTGGGATGTCAGAAATACACAGACACAACTCAAGAAAATACACATTAGTATTGGCTCTCTTATTTTTAACACCATCATTTGGGTTTCTATTGCTTTGATGCCGCTAGACAGCTCCCCTCTCGTCCAGGAATGCAAATATGGTAAACCCGTGATAATTCCTCAACTTCACGACTGAAGTGGGAACCCTCCCCAGCCACGCCATCCCCACGAGGTATTAGCAAGCTGTGGCAATCCCCTCAAACTCCGGCAAAGACGGCATCTCCAGTTACCACGTAGAACCGTCGTCAATGCCAGCTGAAACCCCATACCTTTCACAACGACATAACCCCATCGTAGCCATGATTACGTCTTCCAGTGGAGTTCAAGCGCGCCGCTTATCCGAGCTTGCACGGCATCGATTGCCGAAGTAGCCCTTGTGTTATGAGCCGTGAGATCCGATGAGCTTGACATCAGCCACTACTGGCTCGCACACCGTCATGGCTTGAAACTTGCTAGAGGCAGCCCGCTTGTTTCCAAGTTTAGAATAGAATAGAGTGTCCTGGTCTAGGTAGAAGACCCCTGGACCCCTCAAGGTATAAAGTTTGAGCTTTTCTGTGTGCATCAATTCTTATTCAAACATCTTACATCTTATCACTTATCCAATATCATCATATACATCATTCAAAATGGGTTGGTTTGACAGTAAGTTCTCCTGGTTAGTATATGCCAGATCCTCACTGATTGACTTGTTAGACAACACCGAGGTCGTTGAGAACTTCAACGAGTACAACCAAAACTCCGAGTCTCGAGAGCATCACGCTAAGCTCTCCCACGAAATCATCGGTGGTGCCGCTGCCTACGAAGCTGCCAAGGCATACGAGGAGCATGTAGCCAGGAACGGTAAGCTCAACTCACCTTCTCATTGAAAGTTGTTACTAATAGTTTACCAGGAAAGCCTGACAGCCATGCCCAGGCCAAGGAGTTCATTGCCGGAGCTGTTGGTGCATTTGTTGACAGGGAGTTCGAGACCAAGGGTCTTGACTTCTTTGATAGGGAGGAGGCTAAGCGTCACGGCGAACGTAAGGCGCATAGGGAGCTTGAGCAGCAGTACTAGATCTGTATTAGGGTTCCTTGGTAGTAATTAAATATGACGAATGATGAACCATACATGAACCAATGTTCAATGTCGCCCTGTGAGATTTGAGATATATATGGTTAGTTCTCTGACAGGATTAGTAATTGCAACTATAATTTCTCTCTTCATATTCTGCCTCCAAGACTTTATAATCTCTAGTTCAACAAATACTACTGCCTTAATGCTTAGTCGTTGCACCAACCACCTTCAGGTTCTTGTCAGCTATTTTTATTTATAAAGCTACATCACCCTCGAAAGCTATTGTCTGATTAAGGTAATACGCTTAGTCGGTGATGGCAGATCCCTGACTAACTTATTATATATCGCCTCTTAGACTGACTGCCTGAACAAGTCGAAGTTTCTCCCGTTCACAACACGGGATACAGATAAAATTGATAATGGTAGTTCCGATATTTAGTTACACTGCGTCCCTGGGAGACCTCAATTATTGATGTCCCAGCCATTCTTCTCAGCAAGGGCTGTCTGCGCAGCTTTCCGACCGATTTCCTTAGCACTCTCCGCATCAATAAAATCCAAGCCTCGAGTCTCGATTTCTCGATACACACCGGCGCTTATAAATCCAAAAATGAGCTCGTTTGCAAACTCCTTATCATCTGGCTCGCCTATAAAACTGTTAGTGGGAAGAGATTTCTTATTAAAAAAGGCCCGAATTATGCTCACCAACTTTCTCGCAGTGTTCCTCATAAGCCTGGGCAGCTCCATAGGCAGCAGAATCGCCGATAAGTTGGTTTGACCAGTTGGCTTCGTGAGGACGTTCGTTTACTTCCTCGTAGGCGGCATATTGGACAGTGTTGTCTGGAAGACTAGTTAGGTGGGTACCATGGAAGAGGGAGGAGGATATTTACCGTCGAACAACAAAGACATTTTGTAGGTTGTTTAGAGTGTAGATTAATGTGATACATATGTGTTGGGAAATATCACGCAGGGAAAGCTCGAACTTTATAATTCGGGGGTCCGAGGATAATCTAAACTGGATTGATTATCATTAGAGTTGCACTCTAATGATCAACACCAATTCAAGGCAAGGGATCTTGGGATCTGCATACCAAATAGAGGTAATTTTCCAAGCGCAGACGCCCAGCCAATCCAACCCTTTCAGCAGTGTTTTCAGCTGCGCCCAGTTTATCGGCAGTCGTCATATCTGTGCGTTGGCGCTTCCAAGTCTCAGTCTGCAAGACCTTCCAAGGCTTTAACTCGCCTATTCACGAGCTATATAGATGAGATAAGCACAAGGCATAACTGTTAAATAGTTAGGCTTCATGCTTATCCGATTCTGCTATTTGTTACCCACTTAGGCTTATGCTGCATGATATGTTGAACCTAGTTACATAGATCCATTGTTAGTTAGTCCCTAATATAAGAAATTGCGGCCCTTCTGTTCTCAATTATTATTGCTGTAAATTTACCGTAGGATAAACAGTAGTTATCGTTCCCGTCGCCTTATTTGTCACTCTTTCTCTTTTCTCGCTTCCTTGGTAGCCAATGTGTTTATACTTTCTTTCTCTTCCTCTTCCTCTTCCGCCGACTCAGACTTGGATTGTTTCTCCAATCGTGAACTCTCAGCTTGAGGCTAACCGTCCCAAAGGGGACATGATGCGCCTGGGAGATCGAGGGGTTGTATGTCTCATGGCCCAAAGTAATTATTGTAACTTTGTCTGCGGCTGAGTGTGAAAGCATCTGGTGACAATTCAACTATGTGTAACTACAACAAGAACTATGACTAAAAGCTCATGTAAAAATTGGTTAATTTTGTAAACCAGTATTTCTGTATCCATTTACATTTATTGAATTCTAGATACTGGTGAGTACCAAGCCAGCTATGACCTCTGCCACTTTCTCTGGTACCTCTAGAAGGGCCAGATGCCCAACTTCTTCCAACACAATTAATCGTGCGCCGGGGATGTTACCCGAGACTTCTGTCTTAACACGAGCCACAGGTTCCACTTGATCTTTGTCACCCGCAATAATAACCGTTGGCACCGAGATACTCCTGGCCAGCTCCAGAATATCTTCATTCATAGCATATCGTGGCCATGCAGCTTTAGCAGACGCATTGCCCTTCAACATGTCCTCCACAATTCCATGAACTGTCTCGTTAGGCAAGGCTTTCGCTGTAAGAACATTTCTTACAACAAACTCAGCGTTCTGAGCGTTATCGTAGGCACAGATTTGCTGATCACGCATCTCCTGGCTCAGTACGAGAGGTGTTGGGGGCGCAGGGCAAAGCAGGACTAGACCTGTAAGCCCATCAACAAGTCTTCGTCCAGCAATGGCTTGAGCCACCTTTGCGCCCATTGAATGGCCGACTATGACATAATTCTGAAGGGCAAGCTTCTTGATGACATGCTCGACATCCTGAGTAAGTTTGAGGATAGAGTATTCGGTCTCGTCAGCAGGGCCAGTAGAGTTGCCCCATCCCCGACAGTCGATTCGGATAGTTGGGAAGATCGGTGCAATTAAATCATTGACGGGAGACCATGTCTTGGAAGATCCTCCCCAGAAATGGAGAAAGATAATGGTTGGATAGTTTTGGGATTGTACACGAGGAGATGATTGCTCGATATGAAGGTGAGTATCATGGAGCTGGATAAGCTTGGTGGTGGATACAAATGACATGTTTGCTCAATGATTATTAGAGTCTGGCTTTAGGTTTAGAGACGAATTGATAATATTTCTGTTGTTACAAGCACACGGTTAACTGTCATTTTAAATAGTTTGGATTATGGAGGAATGAAGTCATAATATAACCGACATGGCTCGGATATATCAGAGTCTATTAGTCAGTATTCGCACTTCCGTGAGGGTTAGGCAACTATTTCCTGCAGATAACGTTAATGATTTGATTTTCATTACAGGTAATATTAGACAGGCTCAAAGTTCTAACAAGCACTGCTGAAGAGAGTTTCATACAGTTCAAGGTAGACATGACAACCGCGATCAACTGATAAGATAACACCGACCGATAACGATAAGCACGGTTAACGCGTCAACGCGCTCCCTTCAAACCAAGTCACGCAACTCCAATTCCAGCCATTGACTCATTGAACCACAATTGGCTGTTGCGTCGGCCCATTTCACGCCAAGTCACGAGTTACCGTGTTCGACTCGTGGTCCCATCATTCGACCCGATATACTAATTAACGCGTGAAGAGCGTGTTTCTGGGAACATGGCCAGGGCTTTTGGGGCAAAAAGTGTTGCCATTCTGAGTCGTTTCGTCAGTATCACACCAGTTTTCGGTGAATTGACGGTGGATTGATGGTAAAGACGCGTTAAATGTAAACAAATTGTAGGGTATTAAATAAATGATTGAACCGCGAGATAAATTTACAGGTCGATCTTGCATATCGCGTCAAGATCGCATATATTTTTATGCACCTTGAACTGCACTTCTAATTGCTCAACTACTCAAACCCAGACTTCAACCATGTCCTCCAACATTGGCCTCGTCGATGAGTATCTCGCCAAAGGAACATGGAAGACCGCCGAGAATGCCAACTCAACCTACTCCCACCAAGGTCTCATGCAATACGTCTCCAACCAAATCATCTCTCAATACTGGCTCGAAAAGATTTACACCGACGAAATCCGACGATATGACCACGAGAACCGTTTCCATATCCATGACCTCGGCTTTCTAAGCGCGTATTGCTCTGGCTGGAGCATCGAGGATATTCTCCTCCAAGGCTTTGGTGGCGTTGAGAATAAGATCCAGTGTCGGCCTGCTAAGCATCTTAACACTGCTCTTAATCAGATCGTCAATTTTCTGTTTACACTGCAAGGTGAACTCGCTGGAGCTCAGGCTTTGTCTAGCTTTGACACGTACCTTGCACCATTTATCCGCAGCGATAACCTGTCTTACACCGATGTCTTCAAATACGTCCAAAGCTTCGTTTACTCCCTCAACGTCCCGACCCGAAGCGGTTTCCAAGCCCCATTCACGAACCTCTCACTCGATCTCATCTGCCCAAAACGATTGGGTGATCAATGCGTCATCATCGGGGGCGAGTTACGAACCGATTGGGTATACAGTGACTTTCAGGAAGAGATGGATATACTCAACAAAGCGTTTGCTGAAGTCATGATGCAAGGTGATGGAAACGGAAACATCTTCTCTTTTCCTATCCCGACTTACAACGTGTCTGACGGAATTGACTGGGAATCACCTCGGTGGCAATCGATCTGGGAAATGACGGCAAAATATGGTGTTCCTTATTTTGCCAACTTCATCAACAGTGATCTCGACCCTGAAGACTTTCGGTCCATGTGTTGTCGATTGAGACTTGACCTTAGCAAGCTTCACTGCAGAGTTGGAGGCCAGTATGGCGCAAGTCCCTTGACTGGCTCCATTGGAGTTGTCACGATCAATCTGCCAAACCTTGCTTACCGATCGAATGGCTCGAAGGAGATGTTCATGGCAGAATTGACCAACACGCTTAGAGTGGCCAAAGAGTCTTTGGAGATCAAGCGAAAGCTTGTCGATGAGAACTCGACTCTGTATCCTTATGCTGCACACTACCTGTCAGCTACGAAGCACCGCACTGGATCATACTGGACCAATCACTTCAGCACCATTGGAGTCAACGGCATGAACGAGGCACTCGTCGATCTTCTCGGCGAAGGTATCGGCGAGCGAAAAGACTTTGCTCTCGAAATCTTGGAGTTCATCAAAGACCAACTGCAAGAGTTCCAGAAGGAAACAGGTAATCTCTACAACCTCGAAGCCAGCCCTGCAGAGAGCACATGCTACAAATTCGCCAAGCGAGACAAAGAACTCTTCCCTGATAAAGAGATTCCCACATACTACACCAACTCCACGATGCTCCCTGTCGACACGACGGAGGATCTCTTCGAGGCTATGGATCATCAGGAAGCACTTCAGTGTTCTTACACTGGTGGCACTGTCTTTCACGCTTTTCTTGGTGAACAGTTACCAAGTTGGAAACTGGCTAGAGACCTGATCAAAACTCTCACTGCGCGCTTCCGCATTCCGTACATCACGCTTACTCCAACGTTCAGTATTTGTCCGACTCACGGATACCGAGCAGGCGAACAACCAGAGTGCACGGCCTGTGGTGAACTCACTCTTGTTTACTCACGCATCGTGGGATACTTCCGACCTACGAGAGATTGGAATCGGGGCAAGTCGAAGGAATTTGTGCAACGAAAGGTTTATAAGTATGAAACGGGACTTGAGGGCTTGAATGGTGACAACAAGCTTCAAGACTTGGAGGAACAAGTCGCGGCGATTCAAGATTTACCTGTGGCAGGATACATCAAGAGTACTCTGAGTGACTACCCGGGCAAGATGCAGGCTTCCATCATGTTCACCTCCCGATGCAACCTCGCCTGTCCTTGGTGCCACAACGGTCCACTTGTCCAAGGTGAGTGTGACGATGTGACCATTGTAGACGTCTTCCGTCACATCACATCAACGTCACACAAGTCACTCGTTGTTTCAGGCGGTGAACCCACCATCCACAAAGGTCTCCTCCCATTCCTCAGAATCCTCAAGACCGCTGGAGTCAGCGTCAAGCTCGACTCAAACGGCACATCCCCCGACATCCTCAAGCAAATATTTTCCGAGAATCTCGTCGACTTTGTCGCGATGGACATCAAATGTGCTCTGGAGAACTACAAGCGCGTCACAGGCCGAAAGGTCAAGCCCAGGCTTCTTGAAGCTAGCATCGACCTTATTAAGAACAGTGGAGTACCGTATGAGTTCCGAACAACGGTTGTACCGGAGTTAGTCGATGTGGAGGACTTGTTTGAGGCGAAGAGGTTGTCGGGGAAGAAGCTGACGATGCAGAGGTTTAGAAATGGGGAGACGTTGTTGGATGAGAAGTTTAGGACGTTTCAGGAGCATACGGATGAGGAGTTTGATAAGTTGGTGAGCCAGGTTGCGTAATTGGGTTGCTTTGCTTTTTACAGTTAGGTTATGTCTTGTATGAGTAGAAACGTCAATTAGTGATAGAAGTGTGAAGTGCAGTGCATTTACTTTTGTTCCTCACTCGCTCTTGTCCTATTAAAACCTCTGTTCCAATGTCGTGTCTCCTCAATTTCGATCTTCTCTTGTTTACCGTCTGTTCTCCCAGAAGCACAGCATTATTACTTCTTCACAGCAGATATCATCAGAAACATGGGCGATTCCCGAACCCCGTACCTTCCAAAACTCGCAAGAATATCCTGCGGTGTGCACCACTCATCGAAACCCTTGATCTCAAACCCATTGTTCAAAAGTACATTGATATAAGCCGCGGTAGCCCTGTGCTGCTTCTCCATATTTCCGCTTAGCCAGTGAATCTGTCGTGTACCTTCATCAGGGTAATAGCTCAGTGACCAATATGTATTACCAGTCTTGTCATCAACTATGCAGTCTTGATGATAAGTGGAAGTGAAGATAGGATGCTCGACGGAAAAGACAAAGTTTCCTCCTGGGACAAGGACTTGGTGCACTTGCTTGACAAGCTCTTCAAGATTGACCAAGTAGTGAAGAACCAGAGAGCTATGAGCTAGGTCGAACTTATTCTTCATATCCTCCCCAAAGGAGACCTGGTCTAGGTTGGCAAATTCGTAGGAAATGTCTCCATGGTTCGTCTTCTCCTCCGCTAGAGCCAGCATGTTGTGAGAGTTGCCAAGGCCTTGAGAAGACTTTGCTCCTTGACCCACAACCCAACGGGAGAACCATCCCATTCCACATCCCAGATAAAGGACGTTGAGACCATCTAGCTTTGGAAGAAGAGCTCGATATTGTGGCCACTCCGGTGCGCCATCTAACCCTTTCACGGACCGATCCATGGCAGAGTACTCTGCGAAGAAGTCTTTGTTGTCGTAAACCTCCGTCATTCTGATACTTGTTCGGGACTTGAAATCATGGTCTTTCTCTGACACGAAGAGAGGGGGCTGTTAACTACTTCGGCTCACAGTCCTGCAAGCCTTTTGTCAGCATAACAGATACCAAGTGACGCAACAAGCGCTGATGGCCACGTCACCCTTGAGTCTTCCCATTCTGTTTGCGTTGTTTCTGTTATTTAATGGTGTCGTCTTTGAAATGTTTGTCCCCCCGTTAAGCGTCACGTTGTAATATAATTGTTATTTGCCCGACCTTGTGCTATAGTTCTGTATAAAGCTGCGGGGTTAAAACTCTTCAGTGTAACAGTTAGTGGTCCTTCATTCCGTTAGGCTATCCTTGAGTGGCAAGAATGAGTGTCAAATGCATCGAGGGAGCGGGGGCGCTGTAGATACCAACCATATTACAATGCAAAGTAATAACCAACTTTAATCATAACAGGGCTAATGTCTCCAAATTCGTTCCTTTACCAGACTAAAACCCAATGAATGCATTCTTCCCTCCACTGAGAGGTAAACTAATCAACCCAGCCTTCTTCCGGAACATATCCATCCACTGAGGATTATCAGCCCAAGTAGAATCCCAGGAATTATCAGGCCCATAGATAATCTCACTCATCTTCCTTTGTATCTGGCGATCTGATGGTACATGGCCTTGCGAAATCTCAGTAGATACATACTGTAACAACAGCCTCTGTACCTCTTGGTGAGAGTGAGGAACCTCTGACTCTTTCAGGTTTTGACCAGGACTTGCTTCATTCGTGCTAAACGGACTCAAAGCGCACGTATCGATACGGTGATCTACCCGTGAAGCCGAGAATGGCTCCATGGTCCGTCGCTGATCGCCAATCAAGAAAGCAGGCATGTCATTCTCCACGAGCTCTTCGATCTGCTGGTCGAAACCGCGGTCACCTTTCCATTCTCTCATGTCTGCCCCAGCACGAAAATGCACAGCAAGATGTTTCTGCCTTTCCGTCCAAGTGCCCAGTTGTGAATCGCAAAACCCACATCTGGATCTTACATCATCTATTGACGATAGCCAGCTCTTCATGGAGTCGTTGAAGTTGCAGCCTTGGTGGAATAGGCGAAGATGTTGTCGTAAGTGGTCTTTGCGGTGAAATAGCCGTGCGGAGTCGGGTTGAGCGGCACATGCTGAGTAGTTATGGAGTTCTGGATGGTTTGTCGAGGGATTAGGACAGTTACAGAAGATGCAATATGCGTAACCGTCTGGATGATGTATTATTGGGCCAAATCTTGAACATCTGGGTCAAGTCAGTTATCAATAGATATGAATGGCTTGGTTTTGACTCACTTCCACTGCTCAAGGGTTAAGTGCATGGTTGTCTCATGCCTTTGCCAGTCATGCTTTGTTTTGAAGGCATCTGTACAAAAGGTGCATTGGTATCGTCGTTTTGTTGTCTCCCTCTCCCGTGCGGTGTTCACATTCTGGCGTGTCTGCCTTCGTCTTCTTCGTAGCCGAGAAGCTGATGCAATAGACGAAGTGAGTGAATCTACAGACCCCACGGAGGAATCCGATGGTGCTCCATAGTACCCACTCGACGATAGCCACGAGACATCTTCAGCGAGAGGGTCACTTGATAAGAGGTCTCCAGAAGCTACGCAATTGATCGGGTCAAGTGTGTCAGCGGGCAAATGATGCGACCCTGGCTGGGACGTGCTGTCTTTGGATAGAACACTTGCATCAGCAACATCGGCCGCGGCTTTCACCTTACCACTAACAGGGTCATTGAGACCGGGATTGATGTCCCAGGCATCATCGTGATGGTGTAGCCACGAGAGCCAGTCGTTCTCGTCAAGTAACGTATCGCCTCGTGGAGAGCCTGGCGCGCTCATTTCTGATCCAATTTGCACAAGGAGAGTTTGGGCCAATGTGTGAGGAGGGGATCGGCATATCGGAGCTGTCAACCGAGCTTATCGCTGGCGTTGTCACAGGGCGCAAAACTAGCTTACGCCCTTCAAGACGACCCACTTCTGCAAGTAAGGGAGCCGAGCGACATGAAAGGGTAACGGATGGCGATGGTGTTCAGTATTTATACACGTTGCAAGAGGCAGTAAAGCAATAGTTGGATGCAAATCTCTGTCACTATCTCATTTGCCATGTCTGCACATAATTCCAACCACTTAAACGGCACAAATGCCTCCAAGAACACCGTGAAGGGACAACTGGATGCATCCAAGCTAAAACTCGACTTGACATCAACACTGAAACCTGTCCCCAAGCCCGGGTCCGCCGAGTTATGGGAACAGAATGTCGCTACAGATCACATGGTTACCTGTCGCTGGACGGTACAGAACGGCTGGGAAGACCCGGTTATCAAGGCCTTCGGCGACTTGACTATTTCGCCTCTTGCATCTTGCCTTCATTATGCCACTCAGTGCTTCGAGGGGATGAAAGTTTACCGTGGTTTCGATAACCGCGTTAGGCTCTTCAGACCGGATCGAAATGCAAAGCGTTTGGTCACGAGTGCAGAGAGAGTTTCACTACCGGCTTTTGATCCAGAGCAGCTCGTCGAGTTGATCAAAGCGTTGGTCCGCGTTGATGCGAAAAGTTGGTGTTTCATCGTCTGATCAAAATTTGGAAAAGTTAGCTTACAAGAGTTAATAGGATGGCTACCAGAGCCCGGCAGTTTTCGATATATCAGACCAGCATTAATCGGAACTGGTCGCCAACTGGGTATCCAAATCCCCAAAGAAGCCATCTTGATGGTCACGATGGTCTGCTGGCCCGACTTCTCCACCGAGTCTCCTCCGGGTGTTGAACCACGATCGGATTTGCGTCTTATCACATCGAGGAACGACACCATTAGAGCGTGGCCAGGTGGTTTCGGTTACGCCAAGGTCGGTGCGAACTATGGCCCTAGTTTCGCATCTCATTGCGAAGCACAACAAGCCGGTTACGACCAGGTACTGTGGCTCCTTGGCGAGGAAGGCCAAGTTACCGAGGCTGGTGCTAGTAACTTCTTTGCAGTCATTCGAGACGAGAAGACTTCCAAGCCGGTACTACTGACGGCGCCATTGACGGATCGAGTCATTCTAGATGGTGTCACCAGAAGGTCTGTTCTGGACCTGGTTGAAAGCCGACTGCCCGATGAACTGGAAGTCAAGGAGGCAAAGTTCACTATAAAGGAACTCGAGAAGGCCTGGAGGAACGGTTTACTTCAAGAGGCATTCGTGTCTGGCACTGCTGTGAGTAACCCCAATCGACCCAAGGAGGCAATTAACTTATCGTTGCAGTTTTTCATTAAGAATGTATCAACCATTCGGGCTGGTGATTTTAACATCGACCTGCCACAGAAGCAGGACGACAACAGTGCATTTGGCCCGCGGATAAAGAGTTGGCTGAAGGATATTATGTATGGAGCTGAGAATCATGAATGGGGTGTTATTGTCGAATAAGAAAACCACAGAATAGATGTTGTGTAGAACGAATATGAAACTTGGATTGCATATTGCTTGTGCTGTTGTTTATCGGACATTCTAACTACCGAGAAATCTGATGTTCTACCTCTCTCCGTTCCACAAAATCCCTCGTAATGCAGACGATGTGGGGCTGGCAAGGCCTCAAATCCTTAAAGTCTCGCGCTGCTCCTCTTTCTTATTTATCTTACGCTGAAACCGTAAAGCTGTGACTACGACCAACGTCTAAATGGATAAACCCACCTTGGCGTCTTTAGGTTAGTGATCTTATTGCACGCATTCAAGTCTTAGGCTTGTCCCATTTTCTTGTTTATAGAAATAGCCAGGCCAACCTGATCTACCTAGCTGAAGAAACAGTTTGATGGCTAATAAAAGTCGACTTAGGTGTTTTGGGTCGATATTACTCGGCCCGGCATACTTTAGGACAGTACCGGTCAGTATGTGTAACGGCAACGTACAGCATTTCGCTCCCAAATGTTTCATTGTTGGATGGACTTGACAATGCGCTGGAGCATGCTCTCCAAGCCACGATTCGACAACATGCAGGTTTGCGTTACGGCATTTCTGATGAGAAAGAAGCTGGCATTCCACTGTTCAGGCAAACCTACACATTCGACCGGCAGGATGTTTTGGAGGTCATTGACAGTCAACATGCCAACTGCAACGCTGGAAAGTCCGGTAATATGACGGATGAGGTTCCATCAAGACTACTCGAAAAAGGCCATTCAGAGCTGTGGCCTGGACACAAGCCAGCCTGGAAGGTTGTTGTGAAGCATATAGACAACTGCAAGTCTAGTCCCTCTCAGAGGCTGGATATCGCCTTCTTTGCACACCACGCTATTGCAGATGGATTAAGCGGTATTGCCTTCCACGCATCCTTCATGAGAAATCTCGAAATCGAGACACTCGTGCCTGCACAGTGGCCCCTGGAGTTGAACGAGGTTAAAGATCCTCCGCCTACAATCGAAGAACGCGTCGATTGCCTCTCGTGTGACTGCACCATCTGCAGAACTCTCAACGCATCTGATGAGGTGGTTTGGGGAGGAGGTTCCATATGTGCAACACCAACGGTCAACTACGAATCTCGTGTTCGAATAGTGACAGTCCCGGCGACACCATTTTCTAACCTCCTTAGAAAGTGCAGGCAGGCCAACGTCACAGTCACCGGGCTCCTTCACGCATTTATATGCACTTCGCTCAACAACTCTATCGGGGAATATGTTCCTGGATTCCGATCCGTTACACCTTTTTCAGCACGACGACATACTGGAGCTTCTGACGCGGATATAGTCAATCACATCTCGTATTTGACCTGCTATGTATCTCACGAAGACATGCAGAAGATCAAACAATGCCCACGCGGTTCTGCCATTCAAGAGCAGCATATTATAGACCTTGCACGCCGTTTCTCCACCGAAGTCGCGACTAAAGTCAAAGAGTTCCCTCACGGTAGTATGGCCACGAAACTCGACCAAGTCCAAGATATCTTACTGGAATGCCAAAGCCAAGGCGGGACACAAAGACGATATACATATGAGTTGTCGAATCTTGGTTCAGTCTCAAGCATATCTCCGCCGGAAGACAGTGGGATCAAGCTTGAAAGACTGGTCTTTACTCAGTGCGGTTTTGTTACTGGTCCCGCGTTAGGCTTCAACTGTGTTAGCACCAGAGGAGGAGACTTTACTATCAGCATTACTTGGCAAAGGGATATTGTTGAAGAATTCATCGTGGAAGATGTTGCGCAAGAGCTAGAAACTCGGCTTGGAGGATTCAATTAAACCCTTGCATATTTTATTTGTTGTACTGCCATCTTCCGACTTCATTGACTTCAATATGACCATGAGAGCGACACTGGTGATGCGCAATCCTGAACTGAGTGCTTTCCTCAATCTCGCAAGACAACCCCGACGTGTCTTGTGATTTGACTTGTACGAGGGGAGCTAGTTGTTGTTGTGGGGAACATAAACTCAGGCGGAGATAGTCTGAAGGGCGTATTTTCAGGCGTAAATTGAACGCCTCACGCTAAGCCTCGATGTAAAATAGCTTGGCCGAGGGCGTGAGCCCGGGCGCATGCTGTCCTCTCCGATATTCGCAAGTGACAAGGCGTATAACTTTGGGCGTAGGGCGTTATACGTATATCATAAACATGAAGTTAAGCGACTGCTGTGTCGTGGCTCAGATCACGACAGCATGGCGCCTGAAACGAAATCGGAATCCGTAATGGAGTGGATTGTCCTTATCCCCGACAACAAAGGCTCATTAGAGACACGTATGAGAGTAAGAGAGTAAGTGATCCCATTATATCTTCATGATCTCTTTTAAAAATATAAATGCTTTTTAGAACACATATCAAGGATATGCTTCGGCATATCGACTCTGGTTTATTCCAAATGGGTGGGGGCACTTTGGCCGGAGACACCGTTAACGGAAGCGCCATCATTGCCCGTGCGAAATCCGAGGCAGACGTAATAGCTGTCCTTAAAAATGATGTCTACGCCAGAAGCGGGGTTTGGGACCTAGAAAACATTAAGTTTATTCCTGTATGTACACTGGTTGCAGAACGACCTTTGGTTAACGTGAGGCATAGTTTAAGTGCGTGTATAGACGCGAGCATATTGATAATGCTGTCATGGGCGCTGGATGGAAGTTCTGAAGTGGGGTTGCTGGCTCTAGATTATTAATTCAACGCACTTATATAAAGGCGATGCCCACTGTGTCTCACTGAACCCCAACATCCGCCAGTCGACCTCAATTATGGAGTCAATTGCCGTTCTCCAGAAAGGGAAAGGCCTCGTCCAAGGGAATATCACCCTACCTCCTCTCAAAGAACATCAAGTCTATGTCAGGGTCGAATATGCAGCCTTCAATCCAACTGATCGTATGTTCGACCGTCAACCGTTGAAGTCTCGTAATGCTGATTTGGAAAGGCCTTGCTCTTGACGTCAACGCCTTTGGAGATGATGCAGTGCTAGGCTGCGACTTCGCTGGTAAAGTGGTGGATGTCCATTCGACCGTGACTAAATTGAAGCCTGGCGATAAAATTGCTGGCTTTGTCTGGGGAGGTAAGTCTAAAAAGCCCGCGGAGTTACGAAGATTAGAAAATTCACCTGCAATCTAACTTAGGGGAGATCAAAGGCTTAGGAGCCTACTCGTGAGTGTCTGCTTTATACTCATTATCTTATAAAGCTAATCGCAACTTTTAGCATGTACACAATCGCTGATGAGCGACTATCCTTTAAAATACCTGGAAACATCAATCCAGCTGAGGCTTCGTCAGTACCTTTGGCAGCTAATACAGCATGGCTTGCTCTCTTCTCTGACGATTGCCTTGCACTTAATCTTAACAAGAAAGCAAAGAAAACCTCCTTGCTGATCTGGGGAGGCAACAGTATGTATTCAGATCAGTACTAAATGAGAGGAAAGATGCTGAGCGTTTAATAGCAACCGTGGGTTACTTCGCCATTCAGCTCGCCAAGCTTCACAATATCGAAGTCGCTACAACCTGCAGCCCTCGAAACTTCGATAAAATGCGACAAGCAGGCGCAACTCATGTATTCGACTACAATGATGAGCAGGTTGTATCTAAAATAACATCAGCACTGCCAACCCTACAGCACGTGTTTGACACTGTTGGGAACGAAACCTCCTCAGCGACTGCGGCTAGATCCATCAGTCAACCGGAAGGCGTACTGTGTACTGTCAGACCAGGGAAAGCGAATACACAGGACGTTCCATCTCATATCAAAGTAACGGATGTCTTCGTCTTTACCGCTTTTCCTACGGAGCATAGTTATCGTGGCAAGGCGCATTGGCCTGTAAGTACCATCTGTATCTGTTTAACTCTTGCCTGAGACTATCCTAACTTGGATAGGTGAAAATGAACGATCATAAACTTAGTGCTGATTTTCATAGTCAGCTAGAGACTTTGCTTGGGAATGGGTCTTTACTACCAGCTTCTATCCGTATTATTGGACAGCTTAGCCCCTCTACAGTCGATCAAGCCATGGATCTAAACCGCCAGGGCTCTATCTCGGGTGAAAAGGTTGTCTTTGAAGGCTTTCCTTAGGTTTTCAGATAGCAGTGATTACAAGTAAAAGACATGTTGTATTTCTCGAACTCTTAGTCGAGATACCCAACTTCTAAATGAATGTTCAGGACTAACCATTTAAAACCGTTTGGGGTCTTTGTTGATGCCTCTATAAGAAGCTTAAGAAGTCTCCTTGAAGTCAAATTCTCGTCCTCAAAGTCCCCCTCCATAACTCTTCTCATCATAGCACATTCTCTTAACTTAGAGATCCGTTGCCCTTGACCCATATACCGCACTTAACATAGTAAACAAAGAAAGAAACATAGAATCCAATTGCCAGTCCTTGAAAGCCATCTGCAGAGCATCCCTAAGGCACTACCAACATGAGCATTGCAGCGACATAACCATCAGGGCAAGCCCACAAGCGGTCAGGACCGCAAAAAGTGAGAGACGTATCCGCGTTACCATAACCGCTTAGATCATTCCGTGCCGCGACTTTGCCATTTGTATCAAGCTGGAATACTCTGCCCTTACATCCAAATACGGCTGAGTGTCCGATTGCCAAAACACTCGTGACATTGAATCCGGAGCCAGGGAGGCTAGTGAGATAAGAGGTCTCCAGGGTATTAGCATCCATGCAGATACCGTAGCCATTGCATCCGGCATAAAGGCGATTGGAAGGCTTGTCAAGTGCAAGGTTGACTTGGGTGCGGCCAGCAGATTCACCGAAGTTTTGCTTCTTGAGGACGGCCCCGTCAATTGCGCTCAATTGATAAACCCAGCCACTATCAGCAGCGTATACAACGTCGCTGCCACAGACAATTGAAGTCGGCTCAGGACCGCCTTTGTTGGAGACTCGCTGGGCCCATCGGGTAGAAGATAGATCAGGCAACTCGTAGGCACGTATGAAGCCCGAAGTACCAGCAACAAGGACCCCAGAATCCGGAGAAATGTCGAACCTGATATCATATCCACCCTGGGTGATGCTCTGTCGGCTGATGTGAGCGCCGTTCAAAGTCCAGGCATGCATGGTGCCCGCTGAGCCGGTATAAACCCGATCGTTGGTGAGCAAGATCCGAATTTTTCCATTCCAATCTGGCACTTCCTTGTACCATCCGATTTCGAGTGACATAGGGTGGAGGGACACAAGATATCCACCCGTCGCAATGAGGAGAAGCGACCTATCTTCAGAGATCGCGACCGATACGTCTCCGAACCCATAACCCTTGAGTCCCTGCTCCGCTTGCACGTCACCTTTCTGTCTGTCAAGGCGAAATACACGGCCCTTATGTCCAACATAAAGGAATTTGTCGGTTGCAACCGTATTGACTGTCTGCGTGCCTGAAGGCGAGAAGTACCAGAGGATAGGAAGATAATCTTCGACGCCCATTACTTTCTCTACATGCAGATCGCCACCCATGACCTTCTCATTGTCGACGCCATCGGTGAGATCTGCTGATACTGCGTCTGTGGTTATGACTGACGCAGGTTTGATAGTGTCTGGGGATAGAGCATCAGGCCCAGAAGGGGCAGAATCTTGGGGGCCATGGTTGATTGGGACTGTAGTGATGGCAGACATTATCTTTGAACAGGATGAGGTTTAAATATGTTAGAATAAGTGGTTGTGTTACTGGCCAGGTTATCGAGAGGTGGATGAGTACTATTCGAGAGCTCTTCGGATGATTTATATAGTTTTTAAGCATACGAGGTAATACTGATAACGTGGAGAAGGCCGATTGAGCTTGGGTGCCTCGATTGTGGCTAGCTGAATTCAAACGAGGTCAGGCACACGGCAGGGCTCAGGTCGCCATGCCAAGACAGCTCTGGAGGAATACATAAAAAATAACATTTATATCACATACCTCTTTAACGAAAGTGGCTGGCTAATCTTAAAAGTTGGATCAGATGGCATGATCTATGACGTCCAGCACTTATGGAACGAGTACTTCAAGCTTGTTTTCGGCTTCTCAGCTAGCCACCCTCTTGCCACCGTTTCTCGCTTAGGTATGTTCCTACTTACGGGACAACTCCTGTGAGTCAACGATAGGGTATCTCGGTGGTATAAGTCTCATTCTCGGGTCACCACCAAGCTCACTTGTCATGGTTGGTTTGCCATCACCTCAGGGTTCATGGACAACGCTACTTTTAGTTAGACTGTCCAGGAAGACGAGTGTGGACTCCTCGTTTAGTGCCCATAGATATGATGAGTTCTCCAATATTGGCTCTAATACTGATGCTAAGAGATGCAAGACGTTGATTCTCGGTGACCCCGTGACTGAGCTAGCCGGCAATGGAAAGTCTGAGATCCCGTGGTAGTTCTTTGATATCCTCCTGAGGGCGTGATGATGGTAAATATAATCAGATAGTACAAGAAATCGACTCATAGTATGTTACTGTCATCTGCAGCCACAGAAACCCGTCACAGTTTTGAGCGGCCGAGATTTCCATTCCTATAGTGTGATTTTTGAACGCCCAGGTATTCCTTAAAGCTCATAAGCGGAGGGTGCTGGCTCGAAATCTCTGCAACAACCTTCTTTAAAGACCCCTTTAAGTGGTAATTCAACTGAGCATGCATCATGAACATTGAACTTCCCCGCCCCAAGCGCTAAGAAAACAGGGAGATCTCCAATGACACGCCATCCATCTTGACTTTCTATCAACTAGGAGTACTATATCACGGAGGTACATCATCAAATGGTATTAAGGCCTCCGGATACCTACAACAATTATCGAGGGTAACTATCGTCAATCAGCTAACTGTGGCGCATTTTAGTTCAATATTTGCAACAAATATTGAAGCGAAACCCCGCAGTATGTATGGGAATCACATTCCATCACAAGACATACAGCACTGCTGAAATATTAAGCTAGACCCTGTTTGGATTTTCAGCTCAGACTATGTTGCAACAATACTGTCAGTCCATTTTATAAACTCACGAAGCGAGCTATAATGTGTGGTATGAAGGGTGAACTTTCAGGCGACCCTCTCTGCTCTATACCACATAGCTGAGTCTCTTGTACAGCCTGTTCCATCTGGACATTTCAAGTCATATCTCCTACTCCCCATACAGGATGACATCAACTACAGATGAGGATTTCCACGTGGAAGACTTTGAAAATTCATGTCAGATACTGATTCGAAATCTGTCGAATCAAGCCCTCATGCTGGAAGATTCTCACATCGATTTCGGCGAATGGCCACTGCGCCAGCCCACGAATGTCATCGAAGGAGGGAAAGAAGAAATCATTTATCTTCAAAGCCCTCGTTAGTTACTCTATTTGCGTCAATTCTTCTGTTCTCTGCTTACAGGTTCTAGCTCTCAGCGAATCCAAGGGTCGAGTAAAATATGAGGTTCAACTTAATGACAAGTTGGAGAACTTCATCCTCGAATTCCATTGTCCTTCTCGTCTCTTCAGCAGGAATTACCTCCACGTGATCTCCTGTTCTAGCGGAATCTCAGTAGACGTGAGAGATTTGAACGAAGGAGGTAGTCCACTCAGAGGTACGTATCCATCTGCTGTTTTCCTGCCTATTGGCTGATATAAACAGGAAAGGTTGATGTCCAGGTCAAGTTGGCCCCCGCGCATAAGGAAACAGTATCGAGCGACAAATACTCTTTAACTATGCGGGGTGCTCTAGATATTGATCAACAGAGCCTGGGAACAAATTCTCATAAAGGTTTAATTAGGGTCAACTATGATTTCGGCCTCAAAGTACCTTTGCCCACAGACAAATGGGATAAGCGTCCTATTCATGAAAGCATAGCAATCGCTGCTTTCATCCGGTCAAAGATGCCCTTTCCTAAGGGGACTTTTTACAATAACATCAATGATAAACAGTGGGAGTTCTTCCGAGGTATCATCTGGAATGATGACCCCTCATGTCTATTGTTTATCAATGACACTAACGACAATCGTCATTTTGGGCTCCGGTTCGATTGGTCTAAAGCCTATCTTGGATTTGGTGATGACCGCAGCATGACTGTGCGATCTCATCGCGGCGATTTGCAATTTCTTCATGCAATGGGCAGGTTTGACGGTGATACTGCCCAAGATACCTGCTCACGCATCCTGCAGTGGATGGAAGTCATGTACAAACTCGCCTGTGGCAATCAAGGCATATGTGCCGACGACTCTTTAGAGAAGCACTTCCCGGACTACTTCGACAGTCAGTCTACTCCTCCACAAAATGCTTCCTTGCGAGACCTTCTTATCGCAAGTACGCCGAGCTATCAGCGAGTCAACGTGCAGGCTCGTGCACTTGGAAGCTGCCTGCACATCATTTCAGATTCCTTTTCCCTAGGTCATACACAACGACGACTGAGAAATCCGCAGGACTTGATAGACCGTGATAGCGAAAGATACATACAATTTAGGCCCGGTGTATATGGAGACTGGGGTCCAATTCTTTGCTTTCATAACTTTGACAAGCAGAACTTCTGGAGACACCACCATTATGATACGCGCCGGAAGAGCGAAGACCCTATCCCTAAGTATATCGAAACGTTTGATGACATTGTCGGAGCTCGAAATGCTATTGAAGCTTCGATGAAGCTTATCAACCTCTTTGCCGACAAGGTCTCCTGGGAACGGGTTGTTTATGCCTTCCTTAAAGATGAAGTCTTTAAGTTAGACAAAGATGTCAAACCATCTAACCATTTTGTGGATGAAGAGCTGATTTCCTTTGTGCATCAAGATGGATATAAAAATGCCGAATATGATTATGAGGCTGGGATGCAGCGGAAGTTAGATAGCCTTAACGGAGGTTCGCGCCGTCAATCTATTTGGTGGCGACAGATTGAGACACCCAGTGGATGGCCATTAATAGCTTTTGGGATCTTTGCTATCTTGGCTCTTGTACTGTTTTATTTCCTTGGATTTAACTAGATTGTTGACGCTTCTTATGGTTGTTGGCTTTGCCAAACAAGTTGGCAAGTATCATGTGTTCATTGTCTTTAATAACCATGATAAAAACCGTCAGTTTAGATAAATCATCGCAGCTTTGTGCTGAAATACGAAGCAGGCAGTACATCTTCTTTTACGTGGCCCTGAACCTTGCATGACTGGCCAGAGTATGTGGTAATTGCAGTCCAGCGCTTCCAATTGACGATTGAGGTCAGCTTTGTCTTTGTCCCTTGCACTTTACGTTGTACACAGTACGCGCAGCTTTGGGGTCAACCTGAACATCGGGAGACTCCGCAGGCTTGGGGATGTCTGTGATTGTTACTTCTGTCTATTTAATTGAGGAATTCTCGAGAGAAGGGGCCTAAATACGATCTCAAGATCCAATGGCGTGCTTCAATGCTACATAAACATTGTCTCCACTTGGCCAAGAGAAACAAAGGTCCCTCGTTTACGTACGTCACAGCCACTTAATCATCATCCCAAGAAACAACAAGCCATGGCAAATATTCCAACTCTTGGCACTTCTGTAAAAGAACCTCTTGGTCCCAACCATCAGGCTATTTCCCAAGAAAATCATCTCTTGATAAGCACTCAAAATACCCAGCAGCGGGGTCGAGATAAAGGCTGTTTACAGATCGGGAAGTTGGTATTATGCATATTCTTAGTGTTTTCTTGGCATGTTGCATTCAAGCTTGCAGTCAATTACCGACCTTCCCGATTCAAGGCTGATCTTCACGGACTAGTTTCCAAAGTTTGATGATTACTCCGTGATAGAGATATTTGCGGGGCGGATCACGCAAGATTGTTGAAGAATTAAAGGAACTTGTGTTAATGAGTGAGGGGTTTGAGTATTCATTCTGGGCATTTTCCGGATATAAAAGACGAAAGTTCCTTGCTCTTCACTCCTACTGTTGAAGGATACGTTAAGCCATCCATCATGAAGTTGACTACAGCGACTGCTCTCTTGGCTCTTTCGCCTTTGACAGAGGCTACCAAGCCGCCAGTGAGCTCAAAGAAGCTCCAAAAGCTCATCACTGAGAAGGGGTACGCAGTACAACCTCACATAAGATCTATCCCACTGACCGTCTAGGTTGATGCACAACTTGAAGAAACTCAATGCCATCGCCTACGCCAATGGAGGAAACCGTGCATTCGGTCTTCCAGGATATGCCGCCTCAGTAGACTTCATCTACCACGAAATCTCCAAACTAAAGGGCTTCAAGACATGGAAGCAGGACTTCCCCGCCAACTTCACGCAAACTCTCGCAGCTGAGGTTACTGTCGATGATGAATCGTTCAGAACTATCGCTTTGACTTATACACCCAGTACTCCTGAGGAGGGCGTAACAGCTGAGCTTGTTCATGGTCCGGAAGGTGAAGCTGCATGTGATGCCGCAAACTATGAAGGTCTAGGTGTCAAAGGAAAGGTTGTCCTCGTTGAACGTGGTCTTTGCCCTGACGGTACCACTTTTGCTGGCAAGGTTAAGCCAGCTGCTGCTGCCGGTGCCCAGGTCGTTGTTCTTTATAACTCGGATGAGACTAAGCTTACAGCTGGTACTCTATCTGCACCTAACCCAAAGGAGTACGTGCCCGCTGGACTTATCGACCAAGACCCTGGGCAGGCTCTCAAGGCTAGACTTGATGCTGGAGAAAAGCTCGAGGTGTTTGTCAAGATCATTCAAACTATCGAAGAGCGCATCACCCAGAACGTCTTTGCCGAAACCAAGGGTGGCGATGGCGAAAATGTCGTCATGCTCGGCGCTCATCTCGACTCCGTGCAGGCAGGACCTGGTATCAATGATGATGGATCAGGAACAACTCTGATCCTCGAAACGGCAAAGGGTCTACAGCACTTTTCCACCAAGCTCAAAATCCGCTTTGGATGGTGGGGCGCCGAGGAGAACGGCCTTGTTGGATCTCGCTACTACGTCAACAACCTAAAGACCGCTGACGTTGATAACCTCCTGGCTTATCTCAACTTCGACATGGTATCTCGTGGCTTCTTTGGTGTTTTTGACGGAACTGGTGAGAACAAGGGCCCCGGTGGACCTCCTGGCTCGGAAGTCATTGAGGATCTGTTCCGAGAGTTCTTTGAGAAAGAAAAGATCGAAGTTACACCCGTTGGTCTCACCGGTGGAACAGACTACGTTCCCTTCCTCCAGGTCATCAAAAAGCCAGTTGGCGGTCTCTTCACTGGAACTGGTCTTGAGCAGGATGCTTGCTATCACCAGGCTTGCGATAACATTACTAACCCTGTTCCTGAGACTCTGCACATCAATGCTAAAGCGGCTGCACATGTTTTGAGTAAGCTTGCTATCGATGGTGTTAAGCTTATTCCCAAGACACCGTCTAACACGACAGTTGGGTCGATCAAGAGAGTCAGAGATGCTGCTTCGTTACATATGCATGATGTCACTGGCTTCGAGGGCAAGATCTGTGATCACGATATTATCTAGCAGACAAAAGCAAATCAACAATAGTTTTAAATAATATCAGCAGTACATATAATGGGCTATTCCCTTTGCATAGAATTGTTCTCTTGTGATGCAGTAATTCTACAAGTGTTTCCAGCAATTAGGCGTTTAATAACACGATGCCCATCGAAGGTTCTAATAGTCGATTTATAGCCATCATGGGGGCTTATAAACAGCTCCACGAACAGTATCTCACTTATGTTCACATCACGCGATTGTATTGGACACCGCTTCTTATCTGACGTAAAGCTACTTTAAATCTACTATTGCTAGGGCCTGCCCCAGAATACGTAGCTACATTGCCTTGGAACAAGCCTAGATGGCTAAAGACCCTGGTCAGTTAATCACAGGCCGCTCGGGGTCTATGGCAATATCATCTAATCGTCTCATCCACTCCTCTACCGCAGAGGGCGCATCATCATTAGTCCAATCCATTTGAGACATCAACCCGCCCACTCGCGCCCAGCTTTCTGGATTGATATATTCACCTTCCTCCGAACCCCAAGTATCCTCGCTCTCGCAAATCTCCCATATCACTCCGGCTCCTTCCGCGCTTCTGATCTCTTGTCCTGTGAGCTGTCTTGAGTTAAGCTCTGCACAGACATGTTGCATCTTTGGGACCCAAATATCTCGAAGAAACGAAGCCAGATCGGGATAGTTTTCGCATCCTACCTCAAAGTTTGAGACGAGCTCTTCTAGTATCTGTGGCTGGGCTGCATCCTCCTCGTGAAACTCGCGAACCTCTTCTCCATCCAGGAGAGTCTCCGAGCCCTCGTTTGCCAACTCACAACAGGTATGGCATAGGTCCAAGGCGGAAAACGTTAGGTATCGTAATATGGCGCGGTATATCCAGCGATCGCCAAGTCCGCCATCTTTGCATCTTGGTAGTAAGCTCTCAAGGATCTCTGATGCCCTTAGAGCGTACCTCTCGAGAGACCTGACACTCTGGCCAGAAGTTAGGCGCCAGTCTAATCCTTCTAAGAATTTCACCAACGGTGTGCAGCCTTGCGCAGAACACCGACATTGACATCCATCGACGATGACCGGCGAAGAAACGACTTCCGCGACCTCCCGTGGTAATGCCCTACATACATGGTGATTCCGTCTCGTCGACATCCCTAGCAAAGCCATAAGGTAATGTGCCCATGTTGCTTTCTGAACAACCCCCGGCGCAAAATTCGCTGGGACAACCGTCGCAATATCTGCACCACGATGAATCATCCAGCAGACATACATTGGGAACGATGCATGCCCAAAGGTATCACCATTTCCAGGAAAAGTCCTATACACTATAGCCAGTATAATGTGGAAGAAGACGTCGGTGAAAGCCGTTCTAGCATCAAAACCCAACGATATTGCATATTCAGCAACATCTCTATCGTATATATATGCATATATAGATTCTGAGCACCCTAACCACTTAGCCACGTCATCCTCTGGGCAAAACAGGAGCTGAACTGGTATATGGCAACGCTTTGCGAGATAGTGCTGTACCCTGGCAGTATTTCGGTCCAATGTTTGCCCTCTGCATAACCCTAGATCCTGTATTTCTGCAGCGGAAAGCTTGGAAATAGCTAGGAGTTCAAGGCCCCTCCTCCTTTTTGCGAGATGACCAAGAACAACTATCTTCGTATGCTGGCATGTATGGTCGAACCGCTCATGTATGAAGGTGTTCAGAAGCACTGAATTGGATTCGAGAAGAAGATCTATAATCCTGGATTGATTGCAGGTTTGCCGGTGACTTTCCTCTGATCGTTCACGGAGACGGCACGCAATGTCAGCCGCCATATCAATCGGGTACTGCTGTTCGTTGTCTGTAGTGTTGAGGATCTCGGTATTAGCCGCTAGTATCACAGCTAACATGATGGGAAAGCTTCTGGTTTGAATGGCAATGTGGACTGGCGATTGTCCACAGTAATTGACGTCATTTATATAGGAGGGGTACCTTTCCAATAAATGGTGAACTTCCTCTTCATCCTCTTTGATAATCGCCATGTGAAGCGGGTTGAATCCCAGATCTATTGGCCTTTTAGCAAACATTTTCCAACTCTTCCTTCACGACCCGCTGTGATGACACTTACTCTCTGCAATCTCTGGGAAGTTCTGAAAAGCTTTCCTCTGACTCTGTTGAGTATATCTGAGATACAAGGCATGGTAATCTTGTCCTGTCGGCATATCACAGCACGCTAACAGCGCCGCTATTGTCTCGTGAGCCGTGCCAGCTTCAGACAGCCAGCTAGAGTTTGCAACTCTTATAAAGAAGGGGACTCTAGCAGTACCATTGGTCAATATTGAGAAGTGGAACGGAGGTGTTCAAGGAAAACGTACTTTACTCGGGAGCTGTTTGTGATCAGGACCTTAGTAGTAGCAAACGATCTTAATACATAAGAAATAACATCTGCCGGCATCATGAGCTCGCCAAGTAACTGTAGGAAGGTATCGTCAGTCTATAAGCTGTTAGGAATTAGTCCAAATTACTCACATCTAGTTGCCAAGCAAGGAGGTCCAGTATAGACTCGCCATGACTGTTTACATCTCTTGGGGAGGCTTGTTTGTTGCGATAAGACAGCGTGAGCCGCCGGATACATGATTCCGCAATGATAGAAAAGTCTTCATTGCGTAATCCAGGTGTCCGTTCATTCATAAGCCGGATTAACATTTGAGCGATTCTGAAAGATAGGGAGGAGTTCTCATCGACAGTCGTAGTATAATTTATACTTTGAGATATGCTGAATCCACCAGCGCCAGCTTTGAGGGAAAATGATAGTCGAATGGTGCTACTTAAAAGCTTGAAAATAGCAGGTATATGAACCCCAACTGTTCGCCTCTTTTCATCGGCTATTGGGATTATTCTTGACAGCTGACATTCTGGTGCATGGAAGATGGTCTTCTGGACCTCCACTTCATAGAACAGGAGTCCTAAGCGGCGTCCCTGGCGTCGGAAGCCTTGTCGTGTTGCACAACTACAGAGTTGATAGGACGTGGCATTTACACTGCTTGTCAATTTAGCCCGCCGAGATGCAGCCGTTACAGGACTGGTCTTTGAGCTTTGTGATAGATTGGAAACAACGTCGCATAATCGCCGTAGATCTTGTGGGTATTGTAGAAGCTGCGCAATTCGAGAGCCTGGACTTTCCGTTTTGCGCAAATGTGTCAGGATCTCATCAATACTCGAATCAAGAGGTTTCGGCATGCGTTGAGAGATAAGCTGAATCTCTTGGTGAGACTTTGTCAGAGTCTGGCTCGCCTGCTTCAGGGCTATAGCCTGCTCGATCATACCTCTGGCAGTGTTCTCCGTTGTTTTATGCATTTTGTGAGCGGTCTTTTGTAGACCAACGATGGTAGTACAGGTATTGTTGGAGATAGCCCTGAGGCGCAGTAGTGATTTAGCTCTAGGCTTTTACTCAAGGATGCTGACTTACAACTGCAAAGCCAGCGTGGCCATATTAAGCACATTGTTGGTTGAGTTTAATCTTTCCTGAAGCCTGGTAATGTTCTTCCTCTTGAAGGGGTACCTGAATTTGCGTAAAGAACTCTTCGCTTGTTTAGTGCGATCAGTGGGATCCACGAGGGGCCCTATCAATTCCTGAAGAAGCGCCTCTAAACCCTTGAGCTCGGTTTCGCAGGAGGACTTGCACTGTTCAACGGCATGTCTAGCCACGGTATAGTCGCTGCCGATCACATTAATAGTCTCCTGAATTGATCTTAGATAATCCCGCAGTGTCTTCGCATATTGTTTTGCATGTTGGAGATCTTCGTCGCGCCCCTTGACGGCATCTAGGTATTCTGAAATCCCAGTGTATAGCTGAAGGCCAAGAGAAACGATTCCGACAGCTGTGCCGGTTATGCCAATTGGCTCTGCCATCTCGTAGTTGGTGCTGCAGGGCCGGAAAGGAATGGTGATGAGGGATGGATTGATAGAGGGAGAAACGTCAATGCGCGTGGTGAGAGTGGAAGTTATCGAGAAGATAACAAGATGGGAAAATGCCAAGCCGGTGATGACATGGCTGAAATGAATTGCGCCCCATGTAAATGGCCGCCTATGGACCACCCATCACCCATGCAAGTGAGACCTGCAGATAGGCGAAGCCTTGTTTTCAACCCCCCAGTTACTTGCACCAATAAGGCAGAAACACATATTGTCCCGCCTGGGCAAGTCAAGCTGGGGCCTGAATAATACTGTAAAAACAGCGAATTCATCTTAGTTGGTATCACACTTAAAGCCGAAGGAACATCATTTGTTTGCCCTCTGATAATTGCTTATATATCATCATTGTGCTATTCTGTAGTGAAATATAAATATTCTCTTCAGGATCTAGTCACCGTATACAATCCTGTTCGCGGATAAAACAATGAGCATGTACAGCAAATGCTCAATCCTTCTTCAATCAGCACTTCTAGAAGGAGCCCAAAATGTATTATCTTCAAATTCTGCTGGCCGAGTGTCAGCTGAAGTGGCTCTGCTAGGGTTGCGGTTCAGCTGATTCTCGTATCTCGAGGAATGGTGAATGTTGGCTGGAGTAGGGGCGCTGACAGAGAACTCGAAACCTTCTGAGTTATCATTAGAGCCTTGCTCCATAAAGGCATTGGGGAGAGAGCAGTTCCCGGACAGCCACGAGCTCATAGAAGCATCATTGGCATCCAGGTCACTGTACATAGATTCCTGGCCTGGACCAAAGCTGTTGACTGAACCAGTGCCACTGAACAGAGAAAGCGATAGGGTATCAAAAGCCTGTTGGTTGGGGAATGGCAAATGCGCAGGGATTGGACGATATCTGGGAGTAGATGAATTAACCGGAGGTGCTTCTGAAAGGGCTTCTAAATTGGCTGTCCTCCTCTGTGCTTCAGTAGGCAAGGAATATTCGACAGAAGGGTTCAATGCTGTTTGGCCACTACCCTGTATCGCTACAGGCCGCATAGGTAGCTCGTCAGGAAGGCTTGGTGGTGCATTCTCGGGCCTGGTTGATGTCCTTGGCCAAGGGTCGAGAATTTTAGCTAACTGCTCAAAAACCTCCCTGCCCATGTCGTTGGAGTTTCTCCAGACCTCCTGTCTGAACTCTTCACTGCGAAGTCTCTCAGCAACCCTAATACGACACTCGGTCTCGGTTGTCTCGTGATCTGCATCTTATCAGCGAGGTTATCGAAACAGACAAGGCCACGAAACCACTTACAAGGGCTTGGCAAGTCGGTCGTCCAATCGGGAAACACTGTGTTGAAGGTCTTCTCCCAGTGGTGAACCGGCGTCTCGAACTGCTTGGGCTTGAGAGACTTCAACGTGTCGCTTTGATTCGTGTCAAAACCGTCCTCATAGTTGATAGCGACTCTCGTGGGCTCACAAGCCACTATCAATATCTGGTGATCCTGAATTTCAGTTTCCGGAAAGATCGACTTGCATCTCCCGCATCGAGTTAACTTATGACATCCTAGAAAATGTTTCTTAAATAAATGTTCCCTGTCAAGTGTAAGTGACAAAATGCCAATGCCTATTCTGCGTTCACCAGGATTTACTTACTTTAATCGATGCATATTTGGGAATCCGAAATTGGAACATGCACCCCCAAACCTGTTTGGGCATCTTTTGTTGTATGGGCATGCAAACCTTAGTTCAAAAGTATGCCGGGATTGCTTTTGTGGTGGCGGGGCCATGCTCTGCTCATCATTTTCGTCTATATTCTCAGTTGCGTCTCGACCGCGTTTCTTTGAACCCTGGCTACCGCGTTTTCTGCCCTTTCTGGAGTCGTTCGAGTCAGCGTTTGTCGCAGAAGATGAAGAACCACCAGACCCATGACAACAGAGCCCAAGCCCGAATGCAAACAAAACGCGTTGTACCCAGGCTGGAAGGTTGCGAGGTGGGAGGTCTTTGAGCTTTTCGAAGGATGTCTTGGGAATTGTGGAGAGTAGTCGTGCTAGAGTTGCCCTTTTACCTGCTGCGATAGCATGGTGAAGAGGGTTCCAACCCAAATCGTCAGCCGTCAAAGCATTGGCTCCGTAGGAGACAAGCAGAGTGATCATCGATGCCCTACCGAGTGATGCTGCCCGAGACAAAGCTGTCTGAGTGGTGATAGTGGGCTCGCCGTTCATAACTGGCCTTTCCTTGAGAAGCTGCTGCGCCACTCTCTTGTTGCCGCAACGGACGGCCAGCTGCAGTGGCGAGGTGTCATTTGAAGTGTAGTCAACTTCAGCCCCAGAATCAAGAAGAAGCTCCACAACCTCTGAATGACCATACGCTGCAGCCCATCCAAGCGGCGTTATACCGTATAAGCTGTCTCGGTCGTTATAACTCTCGCCCAATGATATGTACCGTTGACATGACGCAACATGGCCTACGGCGCAGCACAAAAGAAGTGGACTCGAGGTTCTGTACTGTTTTGTTTCCCATGACATGTCGATGGTATACCTGTGCGTCAAACGGGGCCAAACCTTGTGGCTAGAAGCAAAACCTTCATGCAACGCAAGCGTGTTCTCCAGGAAAGCGTTTTGTGAAAGGTCTGACAAAAGCTCTGAGCAAGATGATCCTAGCTCAAGTGCCTTTCTCAGGTGTGACATCCAGCTCTCCAGAGCATATGATGAGATTTCCCAGGTATCAGAATACGAGTCTGTGTAGCCTTTCCGGCGAGAACGTGTCTCTGAGAGGATAATCTGGCAGCAAGACCGTGCAAGAGCCTCGTGTCCTCGGAGTTCCAAGGTGTTGGTGTGAAAGGATAATGGCTCGTATGCCATCAGGAAGTCCAAAACGCTTTGGTGAGTGAAACTAACAACAGACTGTCTCGGGGCAGTAATGGGAGATTGGACTGCAATGAAGCCTCTACATGGGGAAGTAATTCTCTGTGCGCATTTACACGCTGATAGTGCGCCCAGAGTTTGGCGGCTGTGAGGACAAAGATCATAGCCTTCAACCTTTTCGAATGCCATTACATTCATCAGCTCAGGAACAGTCAAAGGACGTGTCGCAAAGGCGACCCATTGGAAAATATGTCGAACTACATCTCGACTCTTCTCGCTGGATTCGATGTGGGCGATGATCAGGGAATACAAATCCTCGAGGCCCCTGGGGAAGTCAATGTGGCCGAGTCGACCTTTTCCTTGGGCCTCCGACTGATCAAGCCAGATTTCGAGATTGGAAAGGACTAGATGAACATATAAAAACATCCCATCTGAAGCCTCAATCAAGCTCTGTATCAGGTCTCGCTGTATACTAGAGTCCTTGCAGTCGACTGATGAGACTCTTGATTTGGTGTAATATGTGATATCGGCGGTGTTGAGATCCTCCAAGATTATGGTTTGTGTGTCGATGCTAGGGCACCCGGGACTTGATCGCGATGAAGCACATATCCGGATAGATGGGATGGCAAGAATATCGAGAATAACCGAATTGACTGAAAGCTCCTCGGTAGCCTCGTCCAAGGCATCCAGAAAGATCACAAAATGTGAGTTATCTTGGGTAGCCTGTAGGAACGACTCCTGCAAATAGGAAATCAACTCAGGGTCACCCCACTGCCAATTGGTGCCATAATCACCGTGCGTTTCTGTTCGTATAGCATAGGTATCTCGCATTCCATAGAGTTGGTAGCTGGGGCGCGTGACGAGCAGTTGAAATATTAAAGACCGAAGCATGGCGTTTATAGAGGTGTGGCTAGGGTAGTTGAACTGGAAAAAGAGGAGAGATGTAGGTTCTCGGAACGTCACAGTCTGATATATATATCGCAAGAGTGTTGACTTGCCACTTCCTGGTTTACCTTTAATCCACAAAAGACCTGACGGGTGTTCAAGCCAAGATTCGAAGGCGTGGTGGTCAAAGATCCAGGAACAAGTCCCTTTCATTGCAGCTGAGAGGCGCTCACTGTTGTCGACGTGGAGAGACCGAAGCAGTCCTAAGAAGTATGAGTGACACTGCTCTCCTCTCACTGAAAACAAGAACCTACCAGAGATATCAGGATCCATTTGTTGGAAAGAGGCCTCGGATGTCATGGTATGTAGACCATGGTAAAAGCTCTGTAACACCGTAGAGACGGCTTTATACGTAGAGCTAAGAGGGTCGGAGAAGTTCCAGGTGCTCTAGAATGAAGATTGGCCACTAAACGAAACAAAACTAACTTGGCATACATACCCAGTGATTAGCGTGAAGACCGATGTGCTTTTGACCCTCAACGTGGACATCCTCACAGTTGACAATCTAATTCAACACACTCAGTATCTATCAAAGTTTCGCAGTTATATATATACTTACAGGGCCAAAACCTTCTGGAGTACCAGGTGAACTCAGCTCTTCAAAGAATGAAACAGGCCTGAATCCAAGGCGGGACCAAATAAGACTGTTGAATCGTCGAAGAAGGCTTTTGACTGAAGCAACTGTGTCCATGTTGATGCCTTGTGAGTCGTGACTTCGGTGGTGCTGCATGAAGTTCAATTGATGGAATAGCCTCGCATCGGCGGTTGAGTGAGGCGTCCCAACGAAGATAATACCTAGAATCGATCGATGAATTGCCTGGTCTTTATCAGATCCATTCAAAGATGCCAGAAGTGCTTCTTTGACAATGAAGCCCCCAGAACCGTGGCACACGAGAATAGTTCGCTTGCGGCCCTATAGTAATTAATAGGCATAGCCCTAAGCACGAGAATTGAAGTACCTGGTTGTTGGACCAATTGTATGAGTATCCCGTTTCTGTCTTGATTGTTAGCTATCAGTCCGTGGGCGACGTCCATTGTTAGTGCATAAGAAGGGTGCTTAATTGCCTTTACTATCAAGCGCTGTGCGTAGGGTTTCAGCTGCCTTGGGGATACTGTCCACGTCGTCCAAAATGTTACCACTGTGAGAGAATGTATACGCTGTTGTCGCTTGCGGGAGCTCGAAGGGCGAGTTGATGGGCTTTAGTCCCACCACTTTGTTCTCGTCGTATCCTCCACCAACCCTAGTGCAAGGGGAATTCAGACCATGGATGAAGATGATTCTAATTGGAAGATCAGCGGCTGTTTCTTCAACATCCGGCTTCGGATTATAGCTCCCAGCTTGAGGGTAAATTGTCATTGACATGGCGCAATTATGATGTTTGGGGTAAGAGAAACGTACAGGATACAGGAGGGAAAAGGCAGAATTTGCTGTGACAAGCCGCCTTTCTTGAACAATATGACACTTGATCATAAATAACGACTCGATCTATCTAACTCAGCTGGCCTCTAGAGCGAGAGCCTCATTTTCACCCGCAACCCGGCAAGACAACAATGGTGGCCCAATCAAAATGTCTAAACAAAAGGTTTCAGGTATCAGCGTCACCCTTCCCCAAGGTGATTCGCTGGCAAACTGCATGCAAGGCATTGTTTGCCGCCACAATTGACGTAGCGTTTGTACTTTTGAGTAAGAAAATGCGCCTAATAACATAATTTCGCATGGCGCATTTGCGAAGGCCCAAGCGCACATGCATCTCACCAATCAGCCTGATATTCTGCCCACCATCTTGGCCTGAGCCCGCCTCACCGAGTCCATACATACGCCATGCTTAACATTTTGCGTCTGGTTGATTTGCGCATCAAAAACTGTGTCCTATTGCTGCCTAGATTTCCAGGCACTTTATGTTTGCCTTATGGTGGCCTTCAATGATTATCAGATGTGAGTGTCTTCCGGTAACTCTTGAATTCAAGGCACTCGTCTCTCATACGGACCTCGTATTTCATAGCTGGAGAGATAGATGCCTCTTTGACAAAACCAGTGACTAGTGCAATTCACCCTGAATCCGAGCCCGCTTACCCATCAACAAGTGACATGAAATACACCCTATCATAATCCCTCGAGCTGCACAAACGCATAGGTAAAGGCGACATCTTCTGTGATATACGAGCGAAGAAACTCATCCTTGAAGCAAGCTGACAAGTCCTCGAGAAATGTTGGCTCTGCAAGAACCCCTGATCGTAAGGCAGATTCATCAAGGTGTCTTTTCCTGGGGTAGGCGCCCATCTCATCCGTCAAGAATCGAGAGCATGCTGCAGTTGTGAAGCCAGTAATCCCAGCAGCATACCTGACTCTGGCTGCCATATCAGCAGCGTCCTTATCCAAGACGGCTGAAGACCATGAAGGGTGCATGATTGGGACTGCTACGTGAGATTTGACGACCCATTTTCCTTGTTCGGCATTGATGGAAGACAGTATCTCTTCCATTGAACGGGAGTAGAGCGGTAAGCGTACTGTGAAGGAGGGATCGAGATGATAGGTACTTGCGAGGCGATGAATACTAGCCTGCAGACAAGCGACTGCAGGACCAGCCCCGATTTGGCCATGGCAGGGAATGCAAAGCGTCAAGGTGCCACTGTGTCGAATCTCTCTGTGACGAGCCGATAAAAACGACACAAGGTCTTTATGAACGTACTCAGCCAGGTCTGAAGTCTCAAATGAAGACGGTATGTGCTGCAGCCAGTGAAGTGCTGTGAAGGAGAACCCTGCATCGACGAAGCCATCAGGCAGCACCTGTCCAAAAAAGGACTTGGGAACTATCAGAGGACTAATTGACAGTTTGCCATCTTTTGAAAGGAATGACCAGTTTGTATCAATGGTTCTTGAAAGGCTGGAAAAGTCGTTGAATGGGGTGTCGTTGAATACCAGAGTTGCAGATGCAAGACCGGGCAAGTTGGAGAGATAGTTGGAAAGAAGGCGGATCCTAAGTAAAATTAGCCTCTCTATATCTTATGACGGAGGTCGTATTGGAGGCGGGTAGTGACGCACGTATTCTTGCCCTCAGAGGAACCATAATCAGCGAGAGTGGTGGTTTTCCCTGTGAGACATGTAAGTAACTTTAACTCCATCCAAAGACCAACATAATGGAACAAAGCGTTAAAAGTACAAGACATGTCTAAAGGACACTGAACTTGACGAACCTTTAGATTCAAGAGTCTCAAGAAGTGATAATGCCTTATCAATGGCCAGGCCTTGGAGGGTACAACTTTCATTGTAGTACCCTCCGCCTTGCATGGACATGTTCTTGGACTTCATACTGTTGTGACTGGAGATGTTCTACAGTATCACGGCGAGGTTCGTGGAAACACTTCATTAAATACGACGTGGGCAAAGAGGTAGGCCCTGATAATCTTCCATTTGCATCAATTTTATAGACTCTTGGCTCCCACATGCCGAATTCGGCGCCATGAGGTCCAAGGGCACATCTCGTGTCATGCCTATCAAGCCACGAAGGGATCAGAAGGGATAGTTTACGTCTGAGCGTTAACTAAATGACAACTAACTGCTCCAAATGCAAATGGTTCTACACCTAGTGTAGGCAGTTACGTCAACACGCCAAGAGGGTTAATATTGCGATACGGTTCGGTTCCTGAGTTACAGGGCGTATTGAAACTTGAGTACTAACCAAGAGCCATGTCTTGTCTTGACGGGATTGGAAGGGAAAATTCATGCCCGTGCGTCAACTAATAAATAACTGACTTCCCTGAGTCTAGACGGCTCTCCAGCTAGCGTGGTGAGTTACGTCAACACGCCAAGACGAGTAGATCTTGCAATACGGTTCGTTAGCAAGACTGATTATTGGAGCTTAATTACTTTGACCAGGGGTGGAAGGAGAAAACACCGACCTCGAGATCTGCGATTTAGGGTTATAGTGGGTTAGGTATCGACTAGCATTTGTCAATCCAGCTCTAAAATAGCCCGCCACTGCGTTACGCTACTTACCGAGACGAGTGATCCCCTGAACCTTAATTTTTCAACGATTCTTAATAACTATCACCAGTGTTGAAACGAGGACCGGGAACTCGGGATCTGCGATTTCGGGTGACAGTGGGTTAGGTCCGTTTTATCTCGGCTAGCATGTTGTCAATCCAGCCCTAAAATAGTCTGCCACTGCATTACACGACTTACCTAGACAAGCCATCCCCTGAACTTTAATTATCCAACGCACGAAGCCAACTCAAGTCAAAAACTCACTAGGAGGCTTGTCATATCTGAAGAGGGATAGTTTACAGGAACCGTCTCAGATAACAAGTCATAGTTCTGCCGGTGGCTCCATGAAGATTTATCAAATCTCAGTAGACTCCGGTTGTTCAGAATCTTTCTGTACACAGGTTAAGTGCGAACGAATGGTCCGCCATTCGGGATTCGGATTCCGAAGTTGATATATAGTGATTGCCATACGCAGACTGGGCAAGTGGCTTATCATTACCACTTGATGTGAATAATACTTTCTCATTATATTCTTGTGAATAGTCTAATAGCCACTGCCTGGAAATGGCCCTTCGAGATACTGATCAGCTTTCTGGCAATGGTCACCATATGACTACCTCCTCCGAACAACACCACAATGCCCCTAGAAGCACCAAACCCTTTGAAGCTTCACATACTCCACACACACATGCCTCTCAATCCTGCGACATCTGGAAAAAGGTTCAAAGTATCAAGGACTGCGGTTTTGTTCTTCTAGATGGATACGAACTTGACGTCGCTTCGGTCATTGCGGTTGCCAAGTAAGTTGCTAACAATGCTACCTATAATCAATCTAAAACGATGATATATACAAATGCAATGCCTACGTAGCCAAGACAGGCGATATTGCAAACGCTATGAATAAAGGTGTTGTACTACTCGAAGAGCACCTCACCAAGGGCTACTTTGTCTACGGTAAGGCACTGATGCTCCAAGTACGAACTACATAGTCTGACTGGATATTAGGTGTCAATACCGGTTTCGGCGGAAGTGCTGATACTCGTACAAAAGACCTCCCCGCTCTGCAGTCGGCACTGCTACAACTCAACCAGGCAGGCATCTTGACTGATGAAGACACATTCGGTAATGGACTCAATAGCATGCCAGTCACTTGGGTTCGAGCTGCCATGTTGATTCGCTGCAATACCTTGCTTCGAGGCCACTCAGGCGTGCGTCTGGAACTCGTACAAGCCCTCCTTCTCCTGCCCCGGAAGGGAATGACATCTATTGTCCCCCTACGGGGATCTATCTCGGCATCTGGCGATTTGATCCCGCTGTCATATATCGCTGGGATGCTCGAAGGGAACCCTGACATCCGAGTCTACACGCCGACCTCTGTTGTATCGGCTGACAAGGCTCTTGAGCTCGCTGGACTGGAACCAATTACTCTTGGACCCAAGGAAGGCCTCGGGCTGGTCAATGGCACAGCTCCTTCAGCTGCCCTGGGCTGCCTGGCAGTACATGAGGCAAACAAACTCTTGCTACTCGCACAGGGCGTCGTGGCTATGTCATGTGAGGCTTTACTCGGAAAGGCCGAGAACTATCATCCTTTCATTTCTTCTGTTTGCCCTCACCCTGGGCAAGTGGAATGTTCTGCAACCATATTGCATTTCCTTGATGGATCTTCACTTGTTCAAAGCCTCAAGGAGGAGGACAAGTTTAAACCGGGTCTTGCCCAGGATAGATATGCCTTACGAGGAGCGCCTCAATGGCTAGGTCCTCAGGTTGAGGATTTGTGCTCTGTCCTGTCTCAGATCACCGTGGAACTAAACTCCACTTCTGATAACCCCATCAACGATATTAAATCCGGCGAGGTCTACTCAGGCGCCAACTTCATCTCCTGTTCAGTTGCCAACGGGATGGAAAAGACACGCCTTGCTCTTCAGATAGTCGGCAAACTTCTGTTCAGTCTCTCTTCCGAATTGATCAATCCTTCAATGAACAGAGGTCTTCCTCCAAATCTCGTCGTTGATGACCCCAGTTTATCTTTCACCATGAAGGGTATTGATATCAGCATGGCTGCTTATCTGTCGGAGCTTGGATATCTCGCCAACCGTGTTACTCCCCATGTCCAGTCTGCAGAAATGCATAACCAGTCAATCAACTCTCTTGCCTTGATCTCGGGAAGATATACTCTTCAAGCTGCTGATGTAGTTACACAAATGTGCGCTGCTCACCTCTTTACGGTTTGTCAGGCTTTGGACTTGCGGGTGCTCTACATGACGTACCTCAAAGCGCTCAGAAGCAAGTTGGTCTCTATAGTGCAGCCGTTACTCAATGGAGTCGACGGCCAGGCGGCGAAAGAGATTTATGAGAGTCTTCATCAGGCTATCATAAAATCGTGGAATGCCTCAGCGTCCTTCGATCTTCAAGAACGATGCAGGATCCTGTCCAAGGAAACACTACCAGTCCTCCGTGATCATCCCGAAGAGCATGAAATGCATCTTGTATCAACACGGCCACTCCAGAGAGATTTGGAGACTTTAGCTTATTCAACATTTATCCAGAGACGGACTGAGCTCTTTACCCAGCCTACTACGAAGCAATTCCTGGGCCGTGCTTCTCTGAGATTATACTCTTTTGTGAGAGAAGAGCTTGGAGTCCCTTTCCATCAAGGCCTGGTTGAGCATCCTGGCAGACGCAGCAGCAGCACCATCAACGGATGAGATAAAAGGACTATTGGGTCCTGGGTTTCGATTATATACACTGCCCTGACTGACGATCAGGTTTGGGGTCCTTTGATTGAGACCCTTGTGAGTAAGAAAACTTGAGACCTAGAAGTCAGGTGCTAAGTGTAACCGGTCTAAGGGCTGATCATGTTATACTAAACTTACCTATGTGTTTTCGTCGCTTGGAGTAAAGGTTCTAAGCCCTCTTACATCCCCTAGCAAAGTCACAAACCTTTTCGTAGATGGGACCTTTGGATTGCAGCAGTTTACCTGTACATCATTGTTTATCCGCATTTTATAGGATCTCAACTTTTATGCCATATAAAGTAATTACAATTTGAGCTATAGACTGACATAACTACTTACATTAAAAGAAACATATCTTAAACCGGGGTCGCTTCGCCTGTCCCGTTTTGTGCATGGATTCCACTCGCTCCAGTGATACTCTTTACCGGGTGATCGCCGTTTGTCCCATTAGCTCCATTCACTGACTGATCCTTCTTCTTTGCCTTTTCTCTCAGGACCTTCTTTAGCACCTTGCCACTCTGACCACGGGGAAGCTCCTCAATAAAACGGATCTGCTTGCGCAGCCAATGTGTTTCATCAAGTTGGGCCTTGATGCTTTCATCCAACTTCAAGATGAGCTCCTTCTGCTCTTGTATGGTCATATCCTGCTTGGTTGGGACGACAAAGGCAAGGGGCCGTTCACCTGCTTCATCGTCTACAACACCAATTACTGCTGCGTCAGAAATACCAGGCTGCACTCGGAGTAGCTCTTCGATCTCAGCGGGGTTGACTTGTAGGCCCTGGATACTCGTTAGCGATGAGATATTGGAAGATTGAAGGACGCTTACCTTGACTTTGATCATATCTTTGAGTCTATCCACCAGATATAAATGATCATCACCGTGAGGACTCCTTCGGAAGAAGCCAATATCTCCAGTGGGCAACCAGCCATCAATAGTAAACTTGGCTCTCATAGCATCATCCTCACCTAGGTAGCCTGGGATCATGGCCGCTGACTTAAGATATAGCTCTCCAGCAGTATCATACGTGGTGATCTCTTGTCCATCTTGATCGATAAGACGGCCCTGGTTGGACGGGAACAGACAACCGCTCGAACCAGGCATGATGTCAGCAGCGCGAGTGAACGTCACAATGGAAACACATTCAGTCAGACCTATTGATCGAAAGTCAGTGAGAATTGGAAATTGGAGGCAATGGGTAGGTTTTCTTACCGTATCCGACTAGAAGACTCCAGCTAGGCATCAAGGCCTTCATCTTCTTCGTAACGCTATCACTGCATGCTGCAGCACCAAGAACAACATCTTGAACGGAAGATAGGTCGAAGATCTCGAACAGTACTGGGTTTGCGGCAAGAGCTGCAATGACGGGAGGAACCTTGGATCATCAGTAACATTTTCTGCCACAAGGACCAAAATGACATACCAGGTACAGACGAGAGATGCGGTGCTCTTGGATCGATTTGAGAACCAACTGCATGTTGAAGTTCGGGTGGAGAACAGCTGAGTCGCCTCTTGCAAACATAGCGTGGGTAGTGACGAGACCGTAGCCGTGGTTGAGCGGCAGGACGCCAAGGCCGATATCAGGGTGTTTGTACCCAGCTGAGCTCTCAAAGACGGCTGCTTGGATGACATTGGCGATCAAGTTGGCATGCGTGATTTTGGCGAGTTTCTACAGACGTAAGCATATGAAATCGTCATTGAGATGAGTGCCTCACCTGAGGTCCTGAAGTTCCACTTGTAGTCAGGTAGAAGGAAATCGTGGTGTGGGCATCCTTGGGTTGGAGTTGCTCGAGCTCAGGAAGCTCACTGCCCTCTTTGTAAAGCTGTGGTACGCATTTGATCTCTCCTCCAAAGTTTGGCAATTGAGTGTTGCTCGTGTTGATGGAGAAGATCTTTCGTGGTGCGACAGGCAGACGGTTCAAGACCTCCTTACAAGAGGGTAACAGCTCTTCACATGTGATGAGGATGTCACACTTGGCCTTGGTCATGTGCGATGAAATCTCAACAGGTGAAGTCGTTGGCTGAAGAAGGAGACAAATTCCACCGATGCGATGAATTGCCCAGCAAACAACGAGAAAGTCAAGCTACAAAGTGATCAGCACAATGTACCCATGGGAATATTAAAGTACATACCGAATTGACAGCCAAAACACCAATGACCTTGTCTTCAGCAGTGCCCTGGTTAGGCGACCACTTCAGCTCATTGCACAAGGCCTTGGCCAGAGCATTGACCTTTTCTCGGACTTCCTTGAGGGTATACTTTTTACCCGTCAAGCCACAGATGAAAGGTGAGCGAACACTACCAGTGGCACGTCGGCTCTCGAGTGCCCATTCAGCGACATTAGCAGTTGGGGAAATCTGGGTGGTGATGTCAGGGACCCATGAGGGAGGTTGAAAGACCATCTTGACCCAAGGTTCAGCGTATGTAACAAATCACTGGGTTGTCCGTTGTGTCGGTATCAACAGGTGGAGAAAGTCGTTTCAGATGAGTTCAACCAACGGAGTGCCCTGATAAATAGACGGAGACAGTGGATGAAGTCGGATAACAGATGAAGACCGAAGAACAATGCTCCATCGACTAGAGCCATGTCCAATTATAATAATAACATCGTGCCATGCAAATGCCCTTGTGTAACACCAATCTCAATGGTAAGCTTGGGATCGCGGGGTCGAAGGATTACAGGATTGCAGGATCAAAAGCCACCAGAGTCAAGGATTAGGGAGCAGAAGTCCAACACCAATTCAACAACACCAATTAATAACGTTTCGCCGCACTTTATCTTACTTGGATTCTCCTGCATCAAGCCGCTAATATCTCGGGCAGGCAAGAGATAATAAACACCCCATTTTCTGCAATGCTGATAGCATGTGAATTTAGAGATCAGATCCTGTAATCCTCTGATCCTGGGACACTGTTAGAGCCTCAGCAATCGTAAGCACTGCATGCAATTGGCCTCACCAGCTTATATAGACTATTGCCTACTATCCAATACTCTTGGGTGCACTCTGGCTAATTCTGACCCAAACACTGCGGTGCCACCCCTCCATAATGTTCTCCCCATCACCCCAAACCCTCGGCATTGTCGTTGCTGTCTTTGTGCTAGGCGCTCTTCTCATCCGCCGCACCCTCCTCCCCAAGCCCATCCCCGGCATCGTCTACCGCGAAGCCAACGCCAAAAAGATCCTCGGCAACGCCTGGGAACTCTTACAATGGAAGAAGAAGCACGGCGAAATGTTTGGCTACCTCGCCAATCTCGCCGTCGAACTCAATGAGCCCGTCTTTCAGATCTTTGTACACCCGCTCGGCAAGCCATGGGTTATCGTGGCAGATAATCGCGAGGCTTTTGATATCTTGTCGAGACGCACACCGAAGGAGTTTGATCGTTCTAGATTCTTGAGGAGTTTGTTCATGCCGCTTGTGCCGGAGTTTCACTTCCATATGCCAACTGGCGATCGGTGGAAAGCCCATCGGAAGCTTGTTGCCGATACCATGTCTCCTGCGTTCTTGGGCGGTGTCGCTGGACCGCAGATGTGGAAGTCGACTATGAAACTCATTGATCTTTGGCGAGTTAAAGAGAGATTGGCTAAAGGTCGTCCGTTTTCTGTCTCGACGGATATTCGCAAGGCTGCGTTCGAGATCATATGGGCTGCTACCTTTGGCTTTGACTCAGGCTCGACAAATGCCCAGACTGAGCTACTCGAGACACTGCCTGAATTCACCAACCTCGGCGATATGGACCACGAAGTCGAATTTCCCGTTGCACCGGACCCTCCCGTGTTCAAAGCCGGCCTTGCACTCAACGACGCCATGAACATTGGTGTACAATCGCTTGTACCTGGGTTGCATTTGTGGTTGGCATACAACCTAATGCCGTCGCTCCGGGCAGCCCGAAACCTCAAAGAAGCCGTTATCCAAGACGAAATTAAAAAGGCCATCAATAAATTCTCTAACCAGACTGATCTCAATTGGGAGGACCAAGGCAATCTGAAGCGACACATGAAAAGTGCAGTCGACATTGTCATCGCCCGAGAGATTGACAGCGCGCGGAAAGAAGGCCGTACACCCGAGTTGATGAGTCGTACCGTCCAAGATGAACTGTTTAGTTTCATGCTTGCTGGAAACGAGATCTTCACTTTGACGGCGTGGACTCTCAAGTTTCTCACTACGCACCAAGATGTTCAGAAGAAGGTCCGCGATGAACTCAGGGAACAATGCGGTGCTGCTGTTGAGAGGGGCGACGCGCCCACTGTTTCGGAGATCATGTCTGCTCGACTTCCCTACTTTGAGGCTATGATTGAGGAGTCTACGCGATGTGGTTCAGTTACTCAAACGAATATTCGCACGACGATGCAGGATGTTAATATTCTGGGTCACATGGTTCCGAAGCACACTGAGATATTGATGTTGAACAATGGACCTGGAAGTTTTATGCCGTCATTGTCCGTTGACGAGAAGAAGAGATCGGAAAGTTCGAAGGGAACAGCTGGTAAGATTGGACAGTGGGATGTCAAGGGAATGAGAGACTTTGATCCGGAGAGATGGCTCGTCAAGGATGAAGAGGGTCGGTTGACGTTTAATCCCTCTGCTGGACCACGACATTCTTTCGGTGCTGGTCCCAGGGCGTGTTTCGGTAAGTTGACTGCACTGATGCACTGTAATTCAGTTACTGATTATCGAATAGGTCGTAAGTGGGCTGCGCTGGAGGTCAAGATCATGATTGCGCTTATTGTTTGGCATTTCAATCTGGAGCCGACGCCAAAGCCATTGTCGAGCTTCAAACCGTTCCCTGGTGTTGCGCATAGGCCGGAGATGATCTACTTGCGTTTATCGACAGTTTAGGAGGATGAATTGGTAGATTAGAGTAGATAATACTACGAAAGGACATTGGAGCTCGTCGTAATTACAATCATGTTAGTGGTTACTGTGAATACCTCGGTGCAATTGTCACCCTTGGCCAATGGTGCTAGCGGGGTCTAACCACCGCATGATGGTATTACAGTAGGCTGGGTCCCTGTTTTTCAGCGTCCTTCATACGGGGACACTTGACAGTGGAATCCTAAGTCATACTGTCCTATAATCACATTGCATTCATCATAAGAGCAACCAAATAGAATTATGCAAGTTTCGCTTCTTACGCTACAGTATTGAAATGTGCTCTAGGTTGTTTTTGGAATATCATATGTGAGCCTGCCTTCTGGATTGACTGCTGTAAAGTCAAGTTCGTTGTCTGCAGCGGCTTACAAGCTCACCACGATCCTGATCCTGCAATCCCGACGTCGGATCCTCCCGAACTTACAGGCCTTGCTCACAACTTATAGTGAGTGCATGCCCCCGCAGGCGGAACTCAATTGCGCCGCTGATCCTCAGAAATTGTAAGACAATATGACAGTTGAGCACCACGACATTCTTCCGCCCGGCGAGTCACTTGCACGTCAGTATCACGTCCTTTTGCCTTGATCGTTTCTGTGAACCTGAAATTCAATAACCAAGCAAGTTGAGAGTCATCATGGCGTTCGGTCTTGGAAAGTTGAAGACTTTGGGGCTTTCAGTCCTGATCTTTGCCATGTTGGTCGCTGGATTTGACAAGACAGAGGATACCAAAAACCGCTTCCAGCTTCACGTTACGGGCACGCGAATATTGGGGTTGCTGATTGTCATATTTGTCGTGTCAAACTTCAAGTCGATGCCATTTGTTTGGACAGTGAGTCATTCGTCTCTCTACTCGAGCCAGCACTGATAACCTAGTAGCTTCGAGTTCTTTATACAATTTCGTACCACACTGTCCTCCGCAAATCGCCCCAATTGGGCCCCAAAGCGCTCTTCAAGCCTGTCATCGCGACTACTTCTACGTCCCTGATCGAAGTCGATTATTACCTTCACAAGTCCAATTCGACATACTTCGCCGACCTTGACGTGGCGCGTGCACATTTGATCGCGTACCTGTTTCGCCGTGGCTTCGGTCGACTGTCCAATAACATTGAGCTCGGAATTGTTCTCGATCCAAGGACTGGTAAAGCGATGAGCGGCCGACTGGGTATCAATCTAGGTGCTGTTGAAACATGCTTCCGGCGTGAAATTACAGCGTTTAAACAGGTCGAGATGTGGAGTTATGTCTTGACTTGGGATCGCAAGTGGTTGTACATTGTCACGCATTTCGTACCAAAGGGTACAGTGCTTCCGACAGAGTGGCTCGATCCACGGTTTGCAAGAACACCGACCCGGCCGCTCCTCAAAGAGTCTGGCGATTTGGCCAAGAAGATTTACGCCACTGCTTTGAGTAAGTACGTGTTCAAGCTGAAACGCCTTACAGTGCCGCCATCAACTGTGCTGGAGGAGGCTGGTCTGTTGCCAACCCGACCTGGAGGATGGGCAATTGGCGAGCAGGACCTAGAGTCAGTGGAGGAGGATATTCCGGGTGCTGGTATGAGGAAAGATGGCGAATGGGATTGGAGACGGGTTGAGGCTCAAAGACGTAGGGGAATTGAGTTGATTAGCAAGCCAAACCATCTCGATTTGATCCATGATGGCTTTGATGGCGGTAGTGATGGAGCCATTGGAAGGTTTAGCCCTGGTTAGCATACTTGGCTTTTTAACACATTGGCCCTTTTACATTGTTGAAGTAGTCACAGAACAATAGACCAGCGATTGCTATTTTAATTGTCAAAGATAAGGCCAATGCCGTTGTGTGACCTGCAGACATTCATTAAGTCCTTGCCATTGTCCGTAGTGGATGGTTGCACCTAGGATTACAGTGGGCTCAGCATGATCCATCTTCTGTATATAATAAACCAGTTGTCCCAATACGAGGCGAAGAGGCGAGGGGCCCTTCAGTACAACATAGCAGCAGTTTAAAGCGTTGTCAAGTAGGTAAAGAGAGGATAAAGAAAGAAATTTTCTATGAAAGTCCAGCCAATTTACTCTGTAAATACAAGAAACAGCACCAAAGCCAACTCCAAACTCCAACAAACAATACTCCACAAACACTAACAATAGGAAATTCTTTCGTTGTCAATCTCAAGCCTCAATCCCCTTCAAAACTTCACAAAGGTCCTCCAACAAACCCTCGACCACCTCTGAACCAATAACCTCCTCCGAGTATCCCGCCACAATACTCATCTCACTACCCTTTGGCTCAACCGTAACCCAAACATCCGTTACGTTAGGCGGTACAACAGTATAGTCAACACTACACTCAGCGCCATGCATGCCAAAGCTCTTTTGTGCCTCCGGCAGGTTTTGGTACTGAAGAATAGACGAGAATCGAGGCACGTTTGTGGAAGAAGGCCAGTTTGTGCACTGGCGGAAGATGGTCTCCCAGCCGAGATGTTCGTGTGGCAACGCTGAGATGTGCTGTTGGTGGACTTGTTGAAGAATGGTAGCTGGGGATTGAGCCGTGTTGACGCGGATGGGGATGAGGTTGACGCATGGGCCGTTGACCTTTTCGATATCGTCGATTGGTAGGGAGCGACCGGAAACAAGGTGTGCGAAGACAACGTTGGATGTTCCAGTTGCTTTGGCGAGGACCATTGCCCAGGCAGCTTTGAGACAAGATGACACCGTGAGGCCTGATCCTTCAACCTTGGGAGATGGCGCTGTCTTGACGATATAAGAGCCTGTCAGAGCATTTCTCGTCTGCGAAGCTCCCGGTAGACTCGTCATACTCGAACCCTTCAACAAATCACCCCAGAACTTCATCGCGGGCTGAGTATCAATCGCCCTCAGTGAGTCAATGTAATACGACATCTGTCGCGGCGCCTCATGAACCTCAACATCCGGTTCACCCCACGCCTGAAGCTGCTGGAAGAAAATCGGCAGCGACATGCCATCGTACTGCGCGTGGGAGAGTCTAATCACAAGACTGTCCTTGTGCTCGCCCTGCACGAACCACGCCTTGAACGGAGGCTCGTGAAGTTCAAGATGGTTCTTCTGGTCTTCTTCTACGAGCGATTTGCAGAAGTCGGACAGGTCGGTGGAAGCGATGTGTTCTTGGAAGGAAACGATGAAGTTGTTGAGGATGGCTTGGTAGGATTTACCAGCGTGGTGGGCGAAGACTGTTCGGAGAATTTCGTTCTTGTCGACTGTGGTTTGGAGTGCTGTGTGGACGCGTTCCTTGTCGACTTTTTGGTTGTATGTGATTGTCGCGTGCATGAGCCATCGACCTTGTGTGTGTTGGTGAAGTACGAGGGACTGAAATTCGGTTGTTTCGAGGATCTTTTCGACGTTGAAGGTGCTGGGTAGCGTAGCTTTGATGGTCTCTTGTGTTGCTTTGTCGACTCCTTCAACATGATGGCTTGTTGTCTCATGCGAGTGTGTAGCTTGTTCGAGATTGTTTGCAAGGTCTCTCAAGACAGGGCTCTGGAAGATCTGAGCTACAGTCATTTTAAGTTCAACTGCTCTTGCAGCCGCGACGAGCTGAATAGCAGCAAGCGAGTCACCGTTGAGATGGAAGAAGTTGTCGCTTGCGCCGATTGACGGCGCAGGTCTTCTGAGCACTTGACTCCAGAGCTCCTGGAGCTTCTTCTCCATGTCTGTTGCGACAGGGACCAATTGAGCGCCTGTCGTAAGACGATAATCCTCCAATTTGTTGTCATCCATATCCTCCAACACTGCACCAATCGCCCGACGGTCAAGCTTGCCTGATGAGTTCACCGGCAACTTACCCATGGGAATAAAGAAATCGGGAATCATGTACTGAGGTAGCACCTCAGCGAGCTTGATGCGAATTTGTTCCGACGCCTTCTGTAGCGTTTCCGAAGGAGCCAATACACCATCTCCTTCGTCTCCGACTTCCACCGCTACTGCAATTGTAGACCTATCCTCCCGCTTGACGAAGACAGCCGCCGCTGATCTGATATCTTCGGATGACTGTACCACTGAGTACTCAATCTCTCCCAATTCAATTCGCTGACCACGAATCTTGACCTGTGTATCCCGACGACCCAGGTTGGTGTACGTTCCATCGTCATTCTGTCGAACCAAGTCGCCTGTACGGTACATGCGATGTCCGCTGCCCAAGCCGTAACGTGCTGTAAAGCCGGGGTCTGTGATGAATGCGCCATCTGTTTTGGCCACGTCGTTCAAGTAGCCCTGCGACACCTGGGGACCTTCAATAAGCAACTCGCCCGGGGCGCCAATTGGGCAGAGTTTGTTGTAGTCATCTGGATCAACAAGCCACAGGCGACAGCTGGGTAGAGGAGTGCCGAGGACGTTGGCTTGCTTCCTGTCGCTGAATGGAGTCGCTGACACAATGGCGTAGATAGAACATTCGGTCGGGCCGTAACCGCCGAGGATATCCGCGTGGTGATCCATCCATAGGTCAAGAACTGACGGCTTGACGGGTTCACCGAGCAAGACCACCGTGTTGATGTTGGGCAGCTGAGATGGCTTGAGAAGCTCAGCGACCGTAGGTGTGATAGACAGGAAGTTGACTGCTCTGTCGATGATGAAATGCTGCAGGTCGCTCATCCTCTCCTCCTCGGAGGGCACGCAGACACATCCTCCAGCGGACAGCGTGGTGAAGATCTCCTGGATCGCAGCATCGAAGGTATGCGCGGCAAATTGAAGCACCCGAGAGGTTGTGCTCAGACCAAAGACCTTCTTCTGACTGTCCAGACTAGACGAGATACCGGTATGAGTAAGGACCACGCCCTTTGGTGTACCGGTACTGCCTGAAGTGTACACAATCCAAGCTGGTTGATTGACATTGATCTCAGTAACGCGAGTGTACCATCGATCCGGTATACCCACGTCACTAACAATCACCCGCTTACGCAGCGACTCATCAACAGTAAACAAGTCCAAGTTCAAACCAGCCAATCGCTCAGTCTGCTTCTGATCAGCCAGCACAACACCGACCTTGGCATCATCAACAATGAGCTTGATACGTCCAAGAGGAAGTTGTACACCCAGAGGAACAACAACACCGCCGGCGCGCAAGATGGCCAGCATGGAAATGGCAGCCCATTGAGACTTGTTCATGCAGACGCCCACACTGGTGCCGTGACGGACGCCGAGACTGACGAGATGGTCGGAGAGTTTGCCGGAGAGTTGCTTTAGCTGTTTGTAGGTGAGTGTGCCATCCCATGCGCTTATGGCTGTTGCATCGGGTTGGTGGGATACCATGTCGAGGATGAGGTCGTGTACGCAGCGCTCGACGCTAGCGATGGGACCACTGTTGACGGACAGGACGTGATCCAGGTCTTGGGGACTCAGTGTGTCCATGTCGGAAATTTTGGTGGTTTCAGTGGCATTCTCAGCTTGCTCCAATTGACTGGCGATATGAGCGAAAGACTGCAACATGCGCTGCATCTGGGCTGTTGAAACGACTGCATCGTCGAATCGAGCTTCAATTGAGATGCCCTTTGAACCGATGCTGCACTCCACTGTAAGTGCATAGTCATCGAATTGCTCTGACATGTCATGTCGTTGAACAAGACCAGGGAACTCAACCGATGCCTCTTCGCTATCGGCAGCAGGTTGAACAACAAAGAGATGCTGCATATCAAGAGCTGCGGCAGCATCGGGTACAAGTTCTGCAATGCGCTGGAGACCAGTATGTTCGAATGGTATCATGTCTGTTGCCTGCTGCTGAACCTCTTGAAGAAACGCGCGAGCGGTGGTAGATGAACTGACGCAAACCCTCACAGGAACAGTGGTGATAGTAGGCGCCAGCATATCAGTGATGCCATGCACAGGCGCATTCCGCCCAGAAAGCGTCACCGCAAAAACAACATCATTGCTACCAGAATACTGCGCAACCATAAGCGCCCAAGCCGCACGAAGCAAATTCGACAGCGAAACCTCGGACTTTCCTTGTCGAACAAAGTCAAGACTATGCACAAGTTTCTGTCGCGGCTGAGGCTGGTATCGCACAGAAGGTAGAGCAGGGAATGCAGTTGGGTTACCCTGAAGCTGCTCACGCCAGTACGTCGCTGCTGTGGTAGTGTCGGCTTGGCCGAGATAGGCGATGAAAGGCGTGTATGGTGCTGATACTGGTGTTGCTTCGTGCCAGTACATGCTGGACACTTGGCGGTACATCATGGTTAAGCTCCAGCCGTCGTAAACGCTGTGATGGGCGGTCCAGGCGAGGAGACGCTCGCCGTTGTTGGACTCGATGAGACCGAAGCGCATGAGAGGTTTGCCTTCTGTCATGCTCAATGAACTATCGTGGTCGATGTACTCTTCAAGTGAAGACGCAGTGTGCCATTCAAGTGGTTCATTCACAACAACTTGCACTGAACCAGAGGTAAGACCCAACAGGATACGGGTTCGCAAAACAGGTGCCGCTTCGGCCATCTTCTGCCAAGCAGCCTGGAGTCGCGACACGTTGATCTCATCACTCAAAGAGAAGATTCTTCGACTGATATAAGCGGTAGGTTGACGAACAGTCGTAAGAAGCAATCCCTCTTGAAGTGGTGTGCAAGGATAGACATCCTCAATCTGCTCCGCCATGACACCGCATCGCTCCGCAATCTCGGCACGAAGACCCACTTCTTTCCCGGCACCGTGTTCGGGCCAGAGAGAAAATGGCGCCGGGGTTGACTCTAGCGATGATTGGCCGTTTCCATCGGCCATTCGGGAGTCCAGAACGGTTGCGAGTTCAGAGAGGCGAGGATGTTCAAAGACATCGGCTACGCGGAGGAGCATGTTTGTGCTGCGGGATGCTTCAACGAGGCGCATCGCGGTGATTGAGTCGCCGCCGAGATGGAAGAAGCTGTCTTTGGCTCCGACAGTATTGACAGGTCTTCCGAGAACGCTGGCCCAGAGCTGTTGGAGTTGTCGTTCGGTCTCGGTAGATACGTCTGCCTTGGCTGCTGCGTTGGGACGGTATACATCCAGCTCTTCTGGCTTCATACCCTTCAAGAACAAGTCAATCGCTCGGCGATCCAACTTGCCTGAGGAATTTAGAGGTAAGCGCGACATGGGAATGAAGATCTCCGGAACCATGTATCGTGGAAGAACAGAAATGAGATGTCCTCGAACCTCCTCAAATGACTCTCGCATGGCGATGGTAGGCTCCAGTAAATCAGCCTGCGACAAGCCCTGCAAGTTATTATCCACAGCGCTATTCTCCCCACCATCAGCAATCTCCAGCGCTACAGCCAGCACTGAAGATTGACCGACAGGGCCATCGAGCAACATAACAGCAGCTTGTGAGATCTCAGGTGCTGAGCGCACGACCCAGTATTCAATCTCACCAAATTCAACACGTTGACCACGGATCTTGATCTGTGTGTCTCTTCGGCCTAGCGTGGTATACGAACCATCGCTGTTTTGTCGGACGAGATCGCCTGTTCTATACATCCTTCTTCCAGGCTGAAGACCATGATGCTTGGTAAAGTCAGGGTCAATAAGGAAGGATTTAGCTGTCTTGACCTCGTCGCCGAGATAGCCTCGTGCTAAGAGTGGCCCCTCGATGAGTAACTCGCCGGGTGCTCCAATGGGTACAAGACGGTTGAAGTCCTTTGGATCGACGACCCAGAAGCAGCTGGCTAGTGGGATACCCAGCACGGGAACTTGGCTGATGTGCTTCATGGGTCGCGGGGAAACTGTGGCGTAGATACTGCATTCTGAGGGCGCGTATGACTCCAACACGATGGCTTGATCTTTCCATAAGTCCATGACTGCTGGCTTGACGGGCTCTCCCATGAGGATGACTGTTTTGACGAGAGGGAGCTGCGCGGGGTCTAACAGGCCTGCGACTGTCGAGGTGAGAGACAAGAAGTTGACTTCTGCTTTGGCGATGAACGACTGCAAGTGATTGATGCGCTCGTCTTCAGAGGGAATACAGGTACATCCGCCTTGGCAGAGCGTTGTGAAGACTTCTTGAATGGTGACATCGAAGGTATGCGACGCGAATTGAAGAACCCTTGATCCATCTCGTACACCGAACGCGTCGCCGTGTGAGCGGATACTAGAGCACAGAGCTGAATGCTGAAGAACGACTCCCTTGGGTGTTCCTGTACTTCCGGACGTGTAGACTACCCAAGCGGCGTTGTCGGTGTTCACGGTAGAGCAGACAGCTGTGCTGGGCTTGAGGGTGTCTTGAAGTGCAGTGTCGACTTTGATCAGACGAGGGCCAGTGCCTGCAAGACGCTCAACCTGTTTGTCGTCGACAAGGATGATAGGTGCCTTGGTGTCAGTGATGATAGTCTGCACCCGAGGCAACGGCTGCTGCACGCCCATGGGCAACACAACACCACCTGCCTTGAGCACAGCCAACATCGCGACAACGGCCCATCTTGACTTATCCATACATATACCAACCATGATCTCTGGACCTACACCGAGATCCATGAGATAACCAGCTAGATTGCCAGCGGCGGCTTCCAAGTCTCGGAAAGTCATGGCACCGTCCCATGCATAGACAGCCATCTCCTCTGGTCGACGGAGGTAAACCTCGTGGAATAAAGCGTGGATGGTTGAAGCAACGGGTGCCGGGACGTCTCTGTTCTTAGCGACGATAGCGTGCTTCTCTTCCGTTGGTACGAGGTCGAGACCGGCGAGGGTGGAGGTCGTATGTTGGCTGAGGACTTGGATGACATGCTTGAGCTGGTTGAGGAGACGCTGGGCGACTTCGTGGCTGGCGACACCGGGGATGTATTGAAGAACGAGATCGAGAGTCTGGTCGTTTTCGAGAATGCTTAGGTTGAAGTCGTACTCTGTTGATTCATCGGCTGACGCGCGTTCAAGTTTGATGGAGTTGTTCTCTGTCGCACCGTCCATGTTTAGCGCGCGGGTGTATGAAACGGTAGTGTTGAACAGCGTCTGCTGTTGCGTTCCTTGAAGAGAATGCTGAATTGACGCCAAAGAAGCACGCTGATGATCAAAGCCTTTGAAGAACCGATCTTGAATCTGTCGGATGACATCAACAGTCGTGGCGTTGTAGTCCAATTGTACATAGCAGATCATCATATTGATCATAGGCCCAACGAGCCTCTCAACACCATCGATAGGAATGTCGCGACCGCTAGAAAGATATCCAAAGCAAATCTGGTTCAACTCCACACGTGAAGCTAACACCAGCGCCCAAGCTAATTGAGCTACGTTTGCGGCGGTGACGTTGTAGTTGCGACACATGTCGCGAAGGACAGAGATGTCGGGGATGTGAGCTGTGACAGCATGGCCTGTTTCCATCTCTGAGGTATCGTGTTGTTGCTGGCCGAGTTGGAGATGGCATGGCTCTGCAGTCTCGAGAAGGTCTTTCCAGTACTGGAGATCTTCTTGTTCGGAGTGACGGTGTTGCTCGAGGAAGGAGACGTAGCTGCTGTAATCGGAGTTGTGCGACAGAGAGATTGATGTCTTGGTGGGGGATAGTGACTCGTATGCCTGGAGTAAGTCGTTCACGAGAAGCTGGACGGAAGAAGCGTCGACAAGCGCGTGGCTGATCTCGAAGTGGCCGAATACATGACCATCGACGGTAGGGATGATGAGGAAGCGGTGCGAGGGGTGGCCGACGGGATCGTGAAGGAGGGCGTGGTGCTTGATGAATCGCTGAACTTCCTCGTCGCTGGAACATGGCTCAATGATCTGGATATCTACGTCAAGCGCCTTGAGAACTACTTGGTAGAAGCGATCGTGATGCGACAAAGCGCCAGTGAAGATGGTTCGCATGATTGAGTGCTGTCCAACGACTTGACGCCAGGCATTTGCAAGTCGTGAAATGTCAACTGGTGATGATGGATCTGAAGGGAGAATGCGACAGGTCTGCTTCAAGCGGTATCGTGAAGGCGCTCTCAATTGACTGAGAAGAATGCCCTGCTGAATTGGTGAACAAGGAAGAACGTTCTCAACATTTGCCCAAGAGATGGAACCTGGCATGAGACAGTACTGGTACAGCGTGTTGAGATCGTCGTTGGTTAATTGAGCGAGAGGGAAGTCACTGATAGTACACATCGGCTCAGCAACGACCAACTCTTGAACACCCTGCGTAATAGCCTGCGCGTACTCCCTAAGCCAACCGCGGATAGCTTGACTCTTGGGACTTTGTCGTGGATAGCCAACCATGAGATGAGTCTTTCCCACATCATCAATTGAGACTTCAACGCTGAGAGCAGCATGTTGTCGGACTTTACCACCAACAGAAGCATTTAGTTGTCCAACGGACTGATGCAGCTTGTCAAGAGTGAGAAGACCATCTGAGCGCTGAAGTTGCTGGAATTGGCCGTGGTAATTGAAGAGTACTTCAATAGGTCCTGAGCGATGGGCTGCAAAGTCGAGTACTTCACGGCCAGAGCTGAATTTGCGAAGATCCTTGACTTGTCGCAGAGTGGAGATGAAGTTGGTGTCGTCTTGGCTGATGTTGAGAGGCGTGACGGTTGTGAACCAACCCACTGTGTCGGAGAGGTCGTAACTAACGTCGAGAGCTTGAGTGTCGCGACCGTGGCCTTCGATGAAGATTGATGGACCGGAGCGATCGGTGAAAGAGTGGCGGAAGGAGGTTGACAGGGCGGCGAGGAGGATGTCTGCGACCCCTGAGCGTAGGGGCTCGTTGGCTGGGCCGAGAAGTTGGGAAGTGACCTGCTCGTCCAATTGAACACTCTCAAAGATCTGGTCTTCTGTGATGTACTCGCCCGGCTGGAGACCCCAGTAAGACCACGATGCCGTGTTCTCAGCGTCGGTGACGGACTCAATTAATTGGGTCTGCTGCAGCAAGGCATTGCTCCACGTCGGGAATGGAAGAGACTGCGAAGTGACCATAGAACCACTTTGAAGAATCTGCTCCAAGTCCTTGGCGATGATTCGCCACGACATCAGGTCAATGGCAAGATGGTGTGCAGTCAAGAAAAGAAGCTGGCGATCTGGGGTCTGGGTGAACTCGGCCGCAAAGACAGGGCCATGTTCCAGGTCGAGGGTGCTCTGTGACTCAAGCATGATGGCTTGCACGGCGGTATCATCGACGGCGTTGTGAGACTTGAGCCTGTATGATCCGGGGACGTGCTTCTCAATTCGCTGCTGGTACCCTTGGTCTTGAGAGATGAAACGAGAGCGGAGCATGGCGTGCTTTGTCACAACAGCATCAATAGCCTTAGCGACAGACTCCTCGCTGATGCTTCCCTCTGATTGAAGACGGAAGCAAACGCTCTGATTGAACCGGCAAGATCCTTCTGACTTCAATCCAGCCGGCGCAATATCTTCAAAGAACATCTTCTGAGCAGGCGATAGTTCAAATGGTCCGTCTGGGATCTCAGCAGAGAAGACTTCGCCATCACTAGCCTTGACGCGTGTTGCAAGGTCGGAAATAGCTGGACTCTGAAGAATGTCGCGAACGGTGATGGCGAGACCAATCTCACGGCACGCAGAGACGACTTGCATTGCGGTGATGGAATCACCACCAAGAGACATGAAAGAACGTCTGTAGCTAACATTCGGGACGTTGAGAACAGAGCTCCAGATCTCGCGGAGCTTCTGTTCCGTGGGTGTGACGTTGAGATTCGCTTCTTCAGCGGCGTGTTCAAGCTCAGAATAGGAAGCAAGCTCTGTTGGGCTGAGACTGTTGATCCACTCCGTGACAGCTCGGCGATCAGCTTTGCCGGAGGAGTTGATGGGTAGGGTAGTCATTGGGATCCAAAGACGAGGAATCATGTAATCAGGAATATGCTGAGAGAGATACATCTGAATCTCGGAGGCGAGGAGCAGAGCAGCTGTTGTGTCGATCCCGTCGCGACCTGCGATGCCGTTGTACGCTGTCTCATCGTGCGCAGCCTTGTCATCGTGAGGGACGCTGAAAGCTGTGACGAGTTGACCATCGCTGGATCCACTGGTCGTAAAGACGACACAACCGCGAATGCCAGATGAATGTCGCGAGATGTGATACTCGATCTCACCGACTTCGACTCGCTTGCCACGAATCTTGATCTGTTGATCGCGTCTGCCCAGGTTGGAGTATGTTCCATCGTCGTTTTGACGCACCAAGTCACCGGCGCGATACATGCGGCGACCACTGGACTCAAGACCAAGGTCGGCAAGGAAGGCAGGGTCGGTGATGAAGGAATTGGCAGTCTTGGTGGCGTCATTGAGATACTCGCGTGCGAGATGAGGACCTTCAATGAGGAGTTCACCTGGTACACCAACGGGGCACATCTTGTTGAAGTCGCGATAGTCCACAACCCAGAAGCGGCAAGACTCTAATGGTGTACCCAAGATCATAGCTTGACGACGGTCTGTCATTGGTTCGGGGGAGATGGCGCTCTGGATACTGCACTCAGAAGGTCCGTACGCATCCAAGCACGCTGCCTGTGGCATCCAAAGATCCAAGACAGAAGGTTTGACAGGCTCGCCGATGAGAATGAGGGTCTTGACAAGGGGCATCTTAGACGGCGACAAAAGACCAGCGACTGTTGAAGTGAGCGAAACGAAGTTGACATCCATAGACACGATGCATCCCTCCAGGTCATTGAGACGTTCCTCCTCTGATGGAATGCACACACAACCTCCGTAGTAAAGAGTCGTAAACGTCTCTTGGATAGTAACGTCAAAAGTGTACGCCGCAAACTGCAATACCCGAGAAGAAGGAACAAGGCTGAACGCTGCACCATGCGATCGCATGCTAGTACACAACGCATAGTGCTGCAACACAACACCCTTAGGCACACCAGTGCTTCCAGAAGTGTAAACCACCCAAGCTGCATTGTCAGGCTGCACGGCAGGGTTTGAGAACCCGAATTCAGCGGGGATGAGACCATCCATGAAATGTCGGTTGACTTCAATGAGCTCTGAGTCAACACCTGCAAGACGAGCTTTCTGCTTGCCGTCAACGAGGATAACAGAAGCTTTTGTATCGTTCAAGATAGTCTGAAGTCGAGAAAGAGGCTGTTGGACTCCAAGGGGAAGAACGACACCGCCGGCTTTGAGGACTGCGAGCATTGACATGGCCGCCCAGATGGACTTATCCATGCAGATACCGACCATCACTTCTGGCCCGACGTTGAGGTTCGTCATGAAGTGCTTGGCTAAAGTACTAGCGGCTAGGTCGAGTTCGTGGTAGGTCATCGATCCGTCCCATGCTTGGAGGGCGAGAGCGTTGGGTTGGCGGTTGGACATTTCTTGGACGAGGAGATGGACACAAGAGTCTAGAGACTTTGGGACCTCGCGGTTAATGGCGGTGATGGCTTTCTTGTCTTCAGCTGGGACGAGATCTAGATGGCCGAGTAGAGAGGTCGTGTCGCTGGTGCTAAGAACCTGTACAACATGCTTGAGGTGATTGAGAAGACGCTGAGCAGTCTTTGTTGAAACGACGCCGGTGAGATACTGCAAAGTAATGTCGATACCGCTCTCAGTCTCCAACATACTGAGATTGAAGTCATACTCGGTCGACTCATCAGCCGCAATCCTCTCCAAGCGAATAGACTGAATATTGCGCGCACCACCACTCAGGTTCGGAGCTCGAACGTAAGACACAGTCGTATTGAACAGAGACTGCTGTGAACTTGACAAAGAATGCTGAATAGTAGCCAAAGACACGCGCTGGTGCTCAAAGCTATCGAGGAAGCGATCCTGTATATCCTTCATCGCATCAATGCAGCTTTGAGAATAGTCAAGCGCAATATTACAGACGATCATATTGATCATCGGTCCAACGAGGGTTTCTGCCCCGTCGATAGGAATGTCTCGGCCGCTGGAGAGATAGCCGAAGCAGACCTCATCGAGTTGTGTGCGGGAGGAGAGAACGAGAGCCCAGGCCAGTTGGAGGACGTTGGCTGGGGTGATGTCGTTGGATTGGCAGAGTTTCTGGAGGGTGGTCATGTCTTGCATTGCGGTGGAAACGGAATGGTCTTGGGCGACTTCAGAGGAAGACAGGTCTTCGCCGAGTTGGAGTTGGCAGGGTTCAACGGTGGCAAGACGCTTCTCCCAGTAGCGCAGATCATCTTCCTCAGAACCTTGCTCTAGGAAAGAGATGTAGGTACCATAGTCAGAGCCGGAAATATCCGACGATCCCTCGTAGGCTTGGAGGAGTGTGTTGACGAGAAGTTGAACAGATGATGCGTCAACTAATGCATGGCTGATCTCGAAATGACCGTAGACATGACCATCTTCTGTTGAGATGACCAAGAAGCGATGTGATGGTCGACCAAGATGATCCTCCATAAGCGCATGACTGGCAATGCACTCTTGAACCTCTGTCTCTGTAGCGCAAGTAATGAAGCGAATGTCTGGCTCAACGGACTTGAGAACAACTTGGTAGAACCTATCGTTGAAGGGAACCATGGTGAAGATGGTGCGCATGATGGAGTGATTGCTGACGACTTGTCGCCACGCATCGCCGAGTCTCTTCACATCAACACTCTGCGAGTCTGTTGGTAGGACGCGGCATGTCTGTCTCAGTCGGTATGTTGTCGGCGATTTGAGCTGACTGATGAAAATACCCTGCTGTGTAGAAGAACAAGGCAGGATATCCTCAACAGCATCCCAGGAAATGTTAGTCGGTTCCAGAATGTGCTTCTTCAACGAAACAAGGTCGGTGTTGTTTAAATGCGAGAGTGGATAATCGCTCGCTGTGGCGGTTCGTTCTGTAGACATTAGTTCACTTACCGCAGAGGTAATAACCTCTCCATATCGCTGTAACCATTGTCGAACATCATCGCCCTTGGGGGTACGACGACTAAAACCTACACTGATGTTGACACGCCCCGCATCGACGGATACTTCGATTGTGATGGCGGCTTGTTGTCGTACTTTGTCGCCAATGGAAGTTTCAGAAGAATGGAGCTTGTGAATACTGAGAAGACCATCTGCGCGATCGAGTTGTTGGAATTGACCGTGGTAGTTGAAGAGGATCTCAATGAGGTTCTGGGGAGATTTGCTGGCGGTGGAAGAGGACTTGTACTGGGCTGCGAACTCAAGGGCAGTGTTATCGGCGTTGAGTTTGCGGAAGTCTTTGACTTGTTGGAGAATGGAGATGAAGCCAGTTCTGGTTGTGTCTGTGACCTTGAGAGGTGTGACGGTGGTAAACCAGCCAACGGTCTCGGAGACATCACCGCCTGCATCTCGTCCGTGACCTTCAACGTGGATTGTCGGGGCTGATCGGTCGGTAAAGACATCCGCGAAAGACTGGTGCAGAGCAGCGAGAAGAATGTCTGTGACACCAGTTTGCAGCGACTCATTGGCAGGGCCTAGCAATTGAGCGCTAACGTCTTGATCAATAGCCAGAGTCTCAACGACCTGGTCTTCGCGCACAAAAGAACCAGGTTCAAGACTCCAGTACGACCAAGAGTCAACATCGCTCTCCTCTGCAGCAGCAACAGTCTTGACTTGGTTCATAAGCGCCTTGGACCAAGTAGGGAAAGGCAGCGACAACGAAGGCTGCAATGTCTCAAAGCGCAGGAAATGCTCAAGATCGGCCGCAAGAATTCTCCAAGACATGAGATCAATGACAAGATGATGCGCAGTCAAATTGATCAATTGACCATCCTCCATCTCGAAGACATCAACAGCGAAAACAGGTCCATACTCAAGATCCAACGAACCTTGTGAATGACGGATGATATCCTCTGTCACAGCATCATCGCTGACCTTGTGCGTCTGGAAACGATAAGATCCCATGATCTGCTTCTCCACGCGCTGCTGCCAGCCTTGACTACTGTCTTGATCAGTCTGGAAGCGGGCGCGAAGCATAGCGTGCTTGGTGACGATTGCTTCAATCGCTCGAGCAACAGTGTTGGACGCGACGTTTTGAGAAATGCGGAAGCAGACGCTTTGATTGAAGCGATGGGGCCCATCGGCTCGGAGACCTGAGGGAGCGATGTCTTGGAAGAACATCTTTTGCGCGGGTGAAAGATCAAAAGGCTCATCGGGGATCTCAATGGGGAGTTGCTCGTCGCCAATGTTGCCGCTCGCCTCTTTGACGCGCAGTGCAAGTTCAGAAATGGCAGGGCTTTGAAGGATTTGTCGCACAGTTACGATCAAGCCTTGTTTGCGACAGGCTGAAACGACCTGCATCGCTGTGATGGAGTCGCCGCCGAGAGAGAGGAATGAGCGACGGTAGCTGATGTGATTGATGGGCTTGTTCAGAACACTGCTCCAGATCTCTCGGAGCTGTCGCTCTGTGGAAGTCACCTGAAGACCATCTTCGACTTGATGCTCCAGGTCAGAATAAGATGACAGGTCGAGATTCTTGATCCATTCGGAAATGCGACGTCGATCAGCCTTGCCGGATGAATTTATGGGCAAGCTCGCCATGGGGATCCAGAGTCGAGGAATCATGTAATCTGGAACGTACTGCGACAGATAGAGCTGGACTTCGGAAGCGACAAGCATGGCAGCTGGTTTGTCAACGGCATTCTCCCCATCCAACGCTGCACCGCTGTACGCAGCACCATCGCTGGGAAGACTGAACGCAGCAACAAGCTGACCATGGACGTACAGAACAACAGCCTGAATGCAAGAAGGATGGCGAGTGATGTGATACTCAATCTCATCAACCTCAACCCTCTGTCCACGGATCTTGATCTGCGTATCCTGTCGCCCAAGCGTCGTATAAGACCCATCATCATTCTGTCTCACCAAATCACCAGTCCTGTACATCCGACGATTCCTTCCAAGATCATACTTGGCCACAAACTCCGGATCAACAATAAACGACTTGTTCGTCTTGGCCTCATCGTTCAAATACCCCCTCGCAAGAAGCGGCCCTTCGATGAGAAGTTCTCCCGGCGCGCCAATCGGACAAAGACGATTGTAATTCTTGGGGTCAACGACCCAAAAACAACTCGCCAGCGGGACGCCGAGAACAGAGACCTGAGAGATGTGCTTCATAGGCTGGGGGGATACAGTAGCGTAGATACTGCACTCAGATGGGGCGTAGGATTCAAGAACAGAGGCTTGGTCTTTCCAGAGATCGAGAACGGCGGGTTTGACGGGCTCGCCCATGAGGATTACAGTCTTGATTAACGGAAGTTGAGATGGATCCAGAAGGCCGGCGACAGTGGAAGTTAGCGAGAGGAAGTCCACTTTGGCGGAGGAAATAAAGGATTGGAGATGGTTAACGCGATCATCTTCTGAGGGCACGCAGACGCAGCCTCCCATACACAACGTCGTAAAGATCTCTTGGATCGTCACGTCAAACGTATGAGAAGCGAATTGCAAAACGCGCGCGCCCCTGACGCCAAATGCAGTTCCGTGGGATGTAATGCTGGTGCAGAGGGCGGAGTGTTGGAGAACCACGCCTTTTGGAGCACCCGTGCTACCCGACGTGTAGACGACCCAAGCTGCGTTGTCTGTAGAAACAGTTGTACAAGCGGAACGAGAGGCGGAGGGTAGGGCTTGGAAGAGGGCTTCGTTGACTTGGATGAGTTGTTGAGGGCCGAGATCCTTGAGGCGCTCGAGTTGAGCGTTGTCGACGAGGATGATGGGCGCTTTGGTGTCGGAGAGGATTGTTTGGAGGCGAGAGAGTGGCTGGTCTGCTCCGAGGGGGAGAACGATTCCGCCAGACTTTAGAACAGCAAGCATAGAAACAGCCGCCCACCGCGACTTGTCCATACAAATGCCCACCATAACCTCCGGTCCAATCTGCAGCTTCATCAGGTGTTCTGCAAGACTACTAGCCGCAGCATCGAGTTCTCGATACGTCATGGTTCCGTCCCATGCATGCACTGCCATGGCATCGGGCTGAAGGTCTGTCACCTCTTGAACCAGCGTGTGTATGCATGAGGCGACGGGTTGTCGGCCTTCTCCATTGACGTCGCGCAGATGTTGGGCGTTTTTGGAGGAGATACCGTCGAAGGAATTGACTTTTGCTGATGGGTTGGCCATTATGAAGCGGATTGCTTCGAGGAAGCAGGTTAGCATCTTGGCGGCGTCTGCTTGGTTGGTTGTTGATGTCCAGATGTCGTAGTCAACGGCGATGCCGCCTTCGCCAATCTCGACATTGATAGAGTGATCATACTGTCGTACGTTAGTATGTTATTTCTGAATAAGGTGTAAGGTAGGTACTTACATCTGTAGGGCTAACGCCTCGCAAAAAGCTCATCTCAAGCTCCTTGTGTCCGGTAGATTTCGGCTTCCACTCCTTTCGGAAGGAAAGAATCGAGTTACCCCATTTGTGGCTCGTAGGAAGCTTAGCTCCCTTCGCCATAAGAGGAACCTTGTCGTGTGCCATTCCTCTGAAGACATCGTCTGTCACTGTCTTGAGCATGTCCAAGACCGTAGGGTCGTCTTTAAACTTCACCCGCAGTAGCAAACTGCTGATGAAGAGACCGATTGCTCCATCAATACCAGGCAGATCAGTCTGTCTACCAGAATTGACGTAGGAAAAGGTGACGTCGTCTTTCATGGCGAAGAGACGAAGAACAATGCTCCAAGCAACTTGACAAACACTCACGAGCGTAACACCGTAAGCGTCACAGAAGCGACGAGCTTCGTCAGCAGGAATGTCAACCCGGTCTTGGAGAGTGTGAAGACCAGCCCTTGGCTTGTTGCCCACGCCTGCGAGATACGTCTCTTCAGCATCACGTAGGTAATTCTGCCAATAATCTGCAATGCGCTCAACATCTTGAAAACTCTCCTCCTCCATGCGCACAAAGTCTGTGTAAGGCATGGCTTTTGTGTCAGGGAGTTGGTTCTCGTATGCTGCGCAGAGGTCGTAGAGAAGAACATCTGCGGATCGACCGTCGATGACGGCGTGGGAGACTTCAAGTCTCAAGATGAGTTCTGAAGGGGAGGCGGCGTAGATGTACATGTGGTGAGGTACACTTCCGCTTTCAAATGTGTTAAGCATGCCATCGGCCTTGACTTGGGTTTCGTCTTGGAGGATGGTGACTTTGGGGTGGACTTCTGTCCAGACAACTTGGTCAAACGTTGACTGACGAGTCTCACTCTCCAGAAACGTCGTTCGAAGACTTGAGTGACGAGCAACAATGCGGGGCCAAGCATTCGCAATATGTGAAGCGGTCAAAGAGTCTGGTACACTCGATTTGATCCTGAGAATAAAGCGACATTGATACGCAGCTGGGTTCACAGCCTGACTGATAAGAATTCGATTCTGCATTGACGAGCAGGGACCGATACTCTCAATCTGTCTCGCAGGATCTTGAGCCAAATGCTTCAATCTCGCATCGGGAATAGTATCAGTGCTATCAGAACCCGAAGCAGAAGCAGCATCGTCAGAGCTCGATGAAGAAGTGCTTGTATCGCTGTTCCCGATGCGGTCGTTGAGGATGAGATTATGTGGGTTGCTCTCATGCTTGGAGATGATGCGTTCAACAAGTTCAGCAAGTGTCTTACACTGCACTGTATCCACGATGTCGATGTGAATACCGCGCAGACGACATTTACTCAGGAACTGAACGGCTGAGAGGGAATCTCCACCTTGGACGAGGAATGATTGGTCGAGGCTCAATTCCTCAGTGCTGATGTGCAGCGCATTGGCGAGTTCAAGGTGCAGGATATCCTGCAGAGCGTCGTTCTGAGCCATGTTATGCTGCGGTAGTCCAAAGAGAGTTGAGAAAAGGGTATTTCGGGTATAATGATTGCGTTTACGAAAATTACATTGCTTGAGATCTTGTTTAACTATATGATGCTGTATCGAAGCATGTTTTGCTTAGGTAATGGGTGTTTTAGGTCGGGCATTTTGGGTGTGACGCTGAGGGGGGCTGACAGGATCAGGATCAGGATCAGGATCGGTGCTATCTGCAGGATTGTCCCATGCGGCGCAAAGAGGCACCATAAGCAAAGCAGTCAGCATAACACAGCACAGTAAGAGGAACTTTGGTAGGATTAGGTTTATTGGGATAAGTGATTAAATGGTAGGAGATAAGATCGAAAATGGAAATATGATCTGCTTGAAGGCTTGGGGGTAAGCGGGAGGGAATATGGCTCAAATGCCGCAATGGAGCCCTGTGAAATGTTCATGAAAGTTCAGGAAGTGCTATGGTCGGAACATAACTCTTTTGGGATACAGCTCTCATCAGGGTAATAACACATTTTTGCATTCTTAATTCTGTAGAAAGTTTATGATGAGAGTGTGCGAGTCTGCTGCTCGAAATGATATCTCGATATCAACGGAGTCTCGGTCGTGTCCAGCGCACCGTTGGCGGACTGAAAGGCCCAACGGCATGAGATTAAATCACCTCAGAATGGAATAGTATCGCTTCTGTTCTGCTTAAATCAGTACCTGATTCGTCATAATCTGCAATTATGACCATTGATCTTCTCGCTCATTCTCGTAGCTAAGCCCCGCGGGTTAGTTTCACATGCAATCACGTATTCAGCGGCGTGCACGTATTATTCCCATCCCATCACGCCATCAAATAGTGCTTCTCTCAAGTATTTAAATGCTGGGCGTCCTCAGATTAAGAATAAAGATCTTATCGTGGCGTTTTAGTCTTCCAGGGCATCTAACTTTTCTTTCGGTCGCATCGTGCCATCAGAGTCTATGCAAGTCATTAATTTGACTTTACTTATGCGAATGAATTAATTAACAAACTCAATCTTGCGCAGTATCAAGGCTACCAAAGTATGCTATTCCCGGAGATCGCGAGGTTGAGACGACGGAAATGCAGGAGGCAGGAGGGCCTCAACCAAGATTTATCTGGAAGTTGAGAAACTCCAGGTAGCGAAAGATACTCTGTAGTGATTACAGGAGCTCTGAAATGGAGGAAATGAGAGAATTGCCCGAAGCGGAGAAACAATCACTGCATCTAGCCCACGGAAAACGTTGATGAAGGAACAACTGATATTATTGACTACTCAATGATTCAGGCGGTTTTGCGGACATTATGTCTTCGCTGCAGCTGCAGAAGAGATGGCAATCCATTATGTGGGCAGGGAACACCGATAAAAAAACACGATACTGCGCTGCAAGATATATCCACTTCCGACAGCATAACATGCATTTTGCATTTCTATCAGAACTCCAAATGGCCTTGAATCGTGCACATGCACAGGTATTACCACGGCGAGTGTCTACAGATCGTTCTGCGGGGTCTGCCACAACTCATTCATTGTGCAGTGGGCAGCAGAGTTACGTCCTGTGCGGAGTCATGAGTCGCTACTTGCATCGCCAAGTAAAGGGTAATACCTCAAATATGCCATAACTATACTGAAAAGAAAACACCGATCTAGCCTCAAGCAAACTGTGCACCCGCTATTGTGTCAACGACCTCAGCGCTCTATTCGGTCGCACCCTTCCATTAGAATGTCGTCGAATCCTGTTACAGCTCTGATTCTGAATGTGATGATTCCTCGCCGTAGTACGACTAAAGATGGCACCGCACATATTACACGGATAAGAAGGCCGCTGGCTAGACTTCTCCTTTTGGTGCCGCTTCAGGTTGCTCAGCGTCGTAAACAACTGGCCGTTACACCCGTGGTCCCAACACCTGAGATCTTGTGTGTCCCTCTGCTGTGTCCCTGCAGTAGTGGTGTTGGCTCGCTTGGATCGGGGGCTGCTGCGTTGATCGTCGTCGGCGCGCATGTTGGTCGTGTTGGCTGATTGGGCCATCTCCGTCAATGGGGAGATGGGGTAGGAATTGTCACTGCCACTATAAGATCCTGTTGGTTAGAAATGTTTTGGCGTCGGAACCAACGTGCATCTTGGCTTACTTCGCATCGTGATCGAATGAGAAGAAATCATCAAATGTATCATCGCATAATAGAGGCAGTCGGTTTGAGAACACATCATCTGTTAAATCTGTCGAGAAATTGAAGTCGTCGGACGTGAAATCGATGGCTAAAAATAAGATAATTAGTTGATCTGTCTTGGAGGTGAAGCTATATGCGACCGCGGGGTTATAGACGGATTTGTTCTGGTACGCACCACTAATATCCGGGTGACGATTAGGTTCAGCACTGTCATTGGGGTGATCAAAGTCCACCGGGGGAAGAAGTGACTGGACACCCGCCATCCAGTCAGCAACGATTGGCCTGCCTCTGGCATTATTTGATGGAGGAAACATTGTTCTGTTGGTTCGAGGAAACAAGGCTGAAAGGATAGATAGTGTGTCTGAACGAAAATATCACAAAAGGTCAGACAGGAATATCGCGATAATCATTTGGTCTGCTCCGCGCGAACTCTGTTTATAACGTACTCATCGTATGATGTGTAACAGCATGGCACAGATTTGGGGGCACTTGATTGATAGCTGCCTACGTCGAGCATCTACATACTCGGCCGTCACATTGTTTCTGTAAAGGGCCTGATCGCCAAGCCGGGTTCCATCCGGTAGGTGTCAGATTCACTGATTATTCTGCAGAATGGATACATGCCTCGCCTGTCAAACGCAGCATATAGCCCTTTCGGCATGTAGTGAGCGTTGTATCGATCAAACTAAAGTTCAAATACGCGAAACCTTGGCCCCCATGAAAAGATACCTACAGAACAGAACTCGCATGCATGGGATGAGATGAGGTGTCCTATTAGCTCGACCCCGGGCCTCAATGGGATTTGCAGGGAAGCATATGCGTCTTTGTCTTGCCATTATGCACAGCAAGGTTCAGCGGTTAGGGAATGAGATAATACAACCTGCCTCTTGTGGGTAAAATAACGAGCAAGCTCCCCTTGTCTTCCCCGACCTTGCTAAAGTTGCGCGTCATTTGGTCTCCGGCAATTCGTACAAACCTGTGGAGTCCAAACAGTGGGAACGAGTCAGACAGGCGGAGCAGAGCCGGGGATTATATGGCCAATAAGGTTACGCGGCTCTTATATTTAGTGAGCATTTCTTGGCCACGGAGCCTCGCTGTTCCAGAATAGCTCAGGTATGACAATATGTTGAGGTACTTTGTTTTCAGTCAGCAAACAAGAAAAGAACTGGAACATGCATACACGCACTGCTTAATAAGGCTTACTGCCTCCCCGATTTAGATTGGCTCTTAGTAGGAGCTGAGCCCTAGCCCAGCCCGTCCCAGGGCATAACTCCTACCGGCCCTGCGGTCATCATCCCCCCCATACCAACCAGAATGCACGCACGTACGCTGATGGATGTCACACCTAGTGAAACAACAGAGTGGTATCCGGATATCGCGTGGCACCTTGATTGGCTTTCTATTCACGGCACGCAACCCTTGGAAACAAGACAGGGCGGTATGTCTCATCACAGAAGGATACATGCAAGCCCACCCCACGATATCCCACTGCGGCGTGTCCCGAGTCTATACTGCAAGGGGACTAATGATTCGGGACCGATGCATCAGAAATACCACCGATAGGTTCATCGCGAGTTAAATCTTTTTAGTGCGAAAAGGGAAGACTATCCAAACGGCACGGCACGGCACGATAGGAGATTATTGATTTGAGATGTATGGATGCACGGCATATACAGTCAAATCCCGTAATCCTTCAATCCTCAATCCTGTATTCCAGCAATCCAAGAATCCCACACAATTAACATTTGTGTCGCTATTGTTTGTCCGATTTGAGGATAATTCCATGTCAAACATGTCTGCGTGATGGACTGAAGAAGATAGATGAGAGACGTTACAGCTACAAAAATGTGTTCTTGATCAACCATTATTATAACCACAATTCATCGGTCCATCGGCATCACTGACCGCCACACCAACTAAAACAACCCAAGCCAAACCATGATTCGCGAACTACAAGGCGTAGTCTCCCTACCCTCATGGGACATGCCCATGTCGCATATGAAAACCCATTGGCTACCCTACGCAATCAAAATCTCAAGATCTATCCCACCACCGTCTTTAGTAATCGTCCTACTGGCAGCTGCATTATCTCCGGTGAGTTAAAAGGAAAAAGAAAAAAACTCCACTTTAACGGCGGCTAACCTGCAATAGGTAATTGGCTATGTTGTCTACTACGCCTTCTTCCATCCTCTCGCCAAGTACCCCGGTCCCTTCTGGGGAAAGTTTACAGGGCTCCGTGCAGCTTACCATGCCTGGATTGGAGATGTACATATTGATATGTGGAAATGTCATGAGAAATATGGTTCGTGTACCCAAGGTTTCATCTATTCTGCAGTAAGAGAGATGCTTACGTTCTGCACCAGGCCCCTATGTTCGCTACTCACCAAATTACCTCCTCATGAACACGACTCAGGCATACAAAGGTTATTTCCTTCGCCTCTGTTCCCAAAGTTTATAATCTGATGCTATATTTAGACGTCTACGGCCATAACAAGAACGTGCGCAAGAGCCTTGCTTATCTGGCCATGGTCCATAAAACTCCTAGTACATTCACCCTGATGGATCGGCACGAGCATGCATGGAAAAAGCGGATCTTGAGCCAGAAGCTATCGGATTCAGCCATCCGATCCTTCGAGCCCAAGATCACGGGCATGATTGATCGTTTCTGCGAATACGTCTGCCCTGTGTCAGCGGGAAAAGAAAACACCGTATCGAAGCCCTTCAACATGTCAGAAATGTGTAAGCTCAAACTCCATTGGCCGCCCTTTTTCCTTAAATGCGCTACACCCATTCATGGTCCCCGCTGACAGCACATGCTGTGTTACATAGGCGATTATCTTTTCTTCGACCTTGTAACTTCCATTGTCTTTGGTGAGAACTTCGATTTGATCCGGAGTCCGTGGTACCGTCATATTCCGCCTGCACTTGCTCGATCGAATGAGCGTATAAGCGTCATTGTGCAGTGGCCATATGTTGTGTGGCGTCGTATGGACAAGGTCCTCTTCCGCAACTCCGTCGCTGGACGGAAGGATTTCCTACGATTTGCTCACAACTTGGTCACCGAGAGAGTGCAACGTGGGTCAGGGGATGATGTTTTGTCTGGCTTACTGGATGCTGCAGATCCAACTACAGGAAACAAACTGACCCAGGATGAAATTGTTGCCGAAAGTATTCTTATGCTCGTAGCAGGTGAGTGAACCCTTCCATCAAGATCATAAGCTCAACTAACATCAATAGGCTCTGACACTTCATCAACCCTTTTGGCGTCTCTGTTCTTCTATCTTACTAGAAACCCCGACAAGAAAGATAGGCTTACCCGTGAAGTCCGCTCCAAATTTTCAACTCGAGAAGAGATCTGTCTCGGTCCAACCCTCAACTCCTGTCGCTTCCTCTATGCGTGTATCATGGAATGCTTACGCCTAACGCCCCCAGTTGCAGCAGCACCGTTCCGCGAGGTCCTCAAGGGCGGTATGATCGTTGACGGTCACTACGTTCCTGAGGGCACCAACGTTGGAACCGGCATCTTCAGTCTCCAACATAGCCAGGAGTACTTTCACAATCCTTTTGAGTTCATGCCTGAGAGATGGCTATCAGAGGGAAAGCATACTGGACCTCATAACCCAGACGCTCACGTTCCATTCTCCATCGGACCTCGTGTCTGTCTTGGAAGGGCACTTGCTCACGCCGAACTTAGTCTTGCTATGGCTATCATCTGTTGGAAGATGGATTTCAACGTGGTCGAGAGCATGAAGGATATTGGAGCTGGCAATGAGAAAGCCGAGTACGGTAGACATCGGCCAGGGGAGTTTCAGTTGTATGACCATATTACATGTGCACGAAATGGGCCAATGGTTGAGTTTAGAGAGAGGTCGTTCTGAAGTTATGGAGATAAATCAAACATGAATATCCGTATCAGCCGCAACCCCTGTATTACGATCATCCGAAGCCCTTGCTAGTTCAATTGATAGTTCTGACGTTCCGTCGGAGCCCTAAAGCCGTTGAGAATCTTAGTGACGAATGCAAGTCATTGAATTATAAACAGGGTTCCAGTCACTGTAGCTCCGCTATACACACTAGCGAAGAGAGTTCAAACGAATCTCAATATATGTACTATCAAAATCTACACCGACACCTCGACCTTGATCACTCCAATGATTCCATGTGATGTTATCAACCTCTTTCATTGGGCACAATCAGTCGGATATGGTTGGCGGTAATGTTCAACCGGATCATCGGGCTCTCGGGCTTTACGCTGACGAAAATTGCAGGGATTGCATCTAAGGACCGCCAGCGCGGCCGCTGTAATCCCAGTAGTTATCGCCCTGAGCCCTGCATGTCCCGATGACGCAGTAGTAACCGCCACCACGGTTAGACTCGTTTGGTGAGTACATGACAAACGGATCTCCAGTCGAGTCCCAACCTCCACCAACCGCACAAGAGTCTCTCTCCTTGTTTTGAACGGTATCTATTGGTCAATTAGTCGATGTGCTTCTTTGTGGGGCCTGCATGCGAAAATCCTTGTATACTTACAAGCGGTATGAGCAGTGTTGTACCAGACGCAAACATCTTCACCAGGGCCTCCAGTACAAGTGTAGGTGTTTCCAGTGTTCCAGCTCTCGGAGACTGAGAAGCCTCCGCTGATCCAGCTCACAGGGGTGAGGGTAGCAGTCCATCCGATAGTGTACGAGACGGATTGAGAGTTGCCAACACTGCATGACTGGGCAGTTCCACAGTTTACAACTTCCTGCAAGTTGAGCCTCATCAGTGATAGTTCAAAGCATTGAGTTTCCGACGGGACTAGCTTACCGAAAGCTGCTTATGGAAATAATTCTGGTGGGGATCGCCTAAACCATCCAGGTCAGTAAACTTAGTCATGGATTACCATATACAGAAGTGAGAGCTTACCATCGCCAACTAGGGAAGTCCTTGTCAAGACTGAACAAGCCGGGGGGTCATTGATAGGGTTAGCCTCGCGCTTTGCCATGCCCGATGCTGAACCCTTGGAAGTCAAGAACCGAAGCGCACTTTTAGCCTCTTCCTTGTCATGGCAGTTCTCTTCGATCTTTGCCTTGTTGGGCTTCCAGCTAAGTCCAGAGCACTCGACAACGGTTGCTTCAGCGCTAAACTTCTTCGTGCAGATCGGGCCTCCCGAGAACTCTGCCTTGGAGTGGACGAGGTACTTCTTGGCGCCGACAGTAAAGTTTCCAAAGCCGTTCTCATCGACATCTGTAAAGTCAATACTGCTGGGAGCGTCAGGGATGAAACTCGAGCAGCTCTGGGCCAATAGGGTTGAGCCGTCGTATACGCTAAGTGCGGTTTGACTGGATGCTTTGGCATGTTGCCATACAATCTGTACATCTGCACTTACAGCGGATGCTGTTAGTGCTACTGCAACGGGAAGTGAACGCATGGTGATAGAGTTTGAAGTGTAATATGAATGATTGAAGGAAGTTGATTCTGATGCTTGTTGATTTCCATCTTGGCAAAGGATATTTCTCTCTTTATATAGCCAGACTACAGTGAGATCTCTTCGGAGCTGGACACCATATCAAGCAGGATCAGCATTGATTTCTGGTTTCCTTGATGCTGAACATCAGCCATCATTGCAATGATCCTTCTTGTCGCTTAGATAACCAAGGCTGAGCGATCCAGCGATCCATCATCAACGTTATGACGATAGTGGAGAGCCGGATGTACAAGCCACCAAAGGGTCCAACCCAACTACAACAGCCTTGGCAGTTCGACTGCCGATCGGACTCTTTGTAGCTCCAAGCTAAATCCTCCAGTTTCACCATGTCACCGCGATATTCGGCTGCCTAGACTTATACTACCCGATTGAGGCAACTTACTCGATGACGTTGATGGCGATCTTGATCGTCAAATGTTAGTGAGCCCATAAATGGAAAAGGCGGCATGGCACAGCACTCAGCCTTGTGAAGGACAGACACACAGAGCGACCCGTGCGCTGAGACACCCGATCCTTTGGTGGGACTCGGCCCGGCTACACGGCATGTTTAGTGCGTCCGCGGAATCGAGTGAGTGAGATGTTGTTCCGCGCGACATCATAAGTGATGACAAGGAAGACGGAGACGCCGTAAAGGATTCTGCGAAATAGTAGTATTGATACAACTGTGCATGACTTGCGTTGCCATGCAAGGAATCAATATAGGTTGTATACTCATCTATTAAAGTTTCCACGTGTGACAGCTGACGTTTCGATGGAACGCTGGGTTATCTCCCCTTTCTGATAATAGTTCCACCGACTCCCGGGACAGCGTATCGGCTCCAACAGCGCCGTCGTAGTGGATCTGTCTGTGGATAAACACTTACAACACATCAACCTCCACGGACCCGAATGTCCGACTACACGTACGTTTGTACCGTGCCTCGGTGGTTTAAACTTTAATGTCCCGAAAATACTTGGCATTCACTTGAATGCATTGATCTAAACGGAAAAAGAAGGTGATACAGATCTTGTCGACATGGTTATGGACGAAGGATGAGACCTGCATAAAGAATACTGGTGCCTGTTACCTCATGTCGCGAAGGGGCCAATCATGTTGCGAGCAGCACGTGAGTTGTCAACAAGGTAATGAATGATTCACGGTTTATGCATGAACACCAAACCAACCTTGGGTCAGGGCGCTTAAATCAAATTGAAGGATCAAGTCTATAGGTGATTAATGATAGAATGACTCGAAGTTGGGAGAGGTCGGGTGAGATTTCGTAAGGCTTGACTCAGGTTAAAAGTTAAGAAAGGAAGCATGCAATGTATGTAGAGAATCCGTGGGACTTGAGTTTAAAGAATTATGTGGTAAAATCATGAAAGAAACTGGAGAACTACCCTGAACCAGCTTAATATGAGAATTCGTCGTCGTTTGTGGATCCCTCGCGATTGCTTTCAAGTGGTCAGTGCTATGTATATATCCGTAAAGCCGCGCTATGTCTAAGCCAGCCACTGGGGTAAGGGCTATAAGAATCAAGCTAAACCGATAGAGCAGATTATTACTTGTGTATCCACATGTCAGACTGAATTTCATGAGTTACAAACAGCATATCCTCGCTGCCAGTTATCGAGATAATAATACGTGAGAAGCAAATCTTGGCAAAAGAAATGTAATCATCACGGGTTGTCGTATTCAAGTCAGAAAATAGGGCTGACAGTCATGACAAATCCGCGAATCAGATCGTCAACCCCGCTGCCGGTCAAATGATTCACCGACAATTTTAAACTGCTGTCAGTACTCAACTGTCTTCACCCAGCTTATAGCCACCATGATAAACAGAAAGATTCCTCTGGCATCTTACCTCTTCACACGCCTCAGGCAGGCAGGCACGAGACGCGTGTATGGCGTCCCAGGCGACTTCACCCTCCGAGCTCTCGACCATCTCCCACGTTCAGGATTGAAGTTCGTCGGATGCTGCAATGAGTTGAATGCCGGATATGCAGCAGATGGCTATGCAAGAGCTCAACGCCATCGAAAGGGATCTGGTATTGGAGCATTGATAACGACCTACGGCGTTGGTGAGCTTAGTGCGGCTAATGCCGTTGCTGGAAGCTATGCGGAGCATTTGCCCGTTGTTCATATTGTCGGAACTCCTTCGCGACGCGCAAGACAAGTCTCAGGTTCATCTGTGGGCGGGAAGAAATCGCACTTGCATATACACCATACGATGGCTGACTCCAGGATTGGAGTTTACCGCGAGATTGCGGAGAAGTTTACTGTAGCGCAGCTTGATCTTGCTGAGACGACGCCGGAGGAGGTGCCGGCTCAGATAGATAGGGTTTTATCGCAGGCACTACACCATAGCCGGCCGGTCTATATAGAGATGCCGTCAGATGTTGTCGAGACGGGAATATCGTCAGAGAAGCTGGAGCATCCGATAGACCCGATTCCCGACACAGTTCGCAACCTCGACGCTAGCAAAACGGCACAAGATCTATTACAGAAACTCTACGCCTCTCAGCGACCTCTCATTATAGTTGATCGAGCTGACGGCGCAGAGACGATCAGAAAAGAGATCAACGAATTCGTTCAAAGATCAGGCATTCCTACAGTGTCTTTACCGTCAGGTGCCAGCATGGTTGACAACTCGCTGCCAAACTACTTCGGCGTTTACTCAGGCTCTATCGGAACGGTCGACCTTACATCAGCTGTCAAGTCAGCAGACCTTGTCCTGGCTTTTGGATGTCAATTCTCCGATACACAAACACTCGGTTGGGCTGTATTACCGGATCGAGATGTTATGACTCTCATTGGCAGGAACCATATTGAAGACGAGCTGGTTGACGTCCAAGAGGTTCTCAAGGAGATGGCTCAGAAGCTTGATAGTACCAGGCTGCCGATCAAACATACATCCTCATGGGAAGACTTTCGACTTCAACCGCAGTTCGAGGTGCATCCCAAGGCGTATATCATCCAAGATGAATTCTATATTCACCTGAACAAACACCTGCAGCCCAACGACACAGTCTTGCTCGGTAATGCAACACCCATCATAGGAGGCCGCGATCTGGTTCTTCCACCATCTTCTCAGCTGATCGCATCTGGGATGTGGTTTTCCATCGGTCATATGCTCCCTGCTGCTCTCGGAGTTGCTCAAGCAAAGGCAGTTATGAGATCAAGAGGCCGCACGATTCTTCTTGACGGAGATGGGAGCTTCCAAATGACGGCCCAAGAACTCAGCACTATTATCCACAAGCGTGTCAACATGATTATCTTCATCATCAATAACAGCGGGTATACATATGAGAGATATATCCATGGGATGGACGAGGCGTACAACGACGTGGCGCCTTGGAATTATAGTGCAGCCCCTCAGCTTTTTGGAGATGCACCAGAAGGATATCCGATTCACTCTTGTAAAGTGAGTAATATGGAGGAATTAGACACAGTTCTTAATTCTGAGGGCTTTATAAAGGGCTTGGGCCTGACTCTTGTTGATGTTGAGATGGATATGTATGACATCTCTGAGAAGGCCAAGATTCTATTTGAGTTGGCTGGAAAGCAGCTGTAATAGAGCATCTAGAGATATCCATTTGGAGATATGTACTTCCTTGGAAAAAATGATTGTCTTCTGAAAGCACTCCCCTTAGCGATGAGGCAGACCTGTTATATTTTCAACACAGAGATAACATCACTTCTCCAGACCTTTTTAATTAGAGATTGGAGGTGACTGACTAATAATTATATTCTTAAATTACGCGTTAAACAAGAAGCCAAATATATATACAAAACTATAGGTTTTCTAATAAAGATACAACTAGAAGTAAAACATTTCAATCTCCAATTTAACCCAGTAGCTCGCTAATATCTCGCTTCGAGTTCCTCTTGATACCGCACTTGTTCAAGCAAGCATCAATACCAAGGGCAATATTCGCAGGAATATGCGGGCGGAAAGACTCAATATCTTTTCCATCAATGGTCTGTACACCGCCCAGAGTTGCCTTAACAACATCACCATTAAGGGAGAAGAAGTTCTGGGCGATCTGGTTCACACCAGGATCAGCATTATCGAATGCAGCAACAAACACAGCATCTTCGCAATCAGGGTTGAATTCTTGATGAATAGCGCCCTGGGGAAAGACAGCCATCTGGAAGGTATCCATCGTGTTGGCGATAGGTTTCACGCCATTCTCAACAACAAAGTTTGTAACAAGACGACCTTTGACAACAATGTTAAGCTCCGTTGCTCGGTTGTGAACGTGTGCTGTATTCATCCCACAGGGCCCAAGGAAGGCGACTGTCATGGAGGCTCCATTTCCGATAAGAGCAGGCATGGTCAGAGCAGTAGCTGACACAGATTTGCCACCTTTGCCAGAAGCCTCTCCGGCCCCGGTACCAGCCTTGAAGTCAAAGACATAATCGCCAGGCTGGTTCAAAAGCTTGACGCGCTCGGCCTGAGTAGGGGCAGTAATAATCTTGGAGATGAGGTCTCGGTCCCCACTTCTTGTGTTGATAGGCACGATAGGAGGCAGCATGTCATCGATACTGTCACCTCGAGGCTGATGGGAAGACAGCTGAGCAGCCCGGGGAGCGGCGAGGGCAGAGCCGGCAAGAAGAAGGATTGATAAAAATTGCATTTTGACGGATTTGTGTTGTGATTTAGAGATATATAGGAATGGAATGAAGATATTAAGTGCAGCAAGTCTTAGATGCTGTTGAGACAGAGTTAGAGAAGTGCTTGGTAATGATAATATTTCCTATTTGCGGTGCTATACTCGTCCTTATAAACATATTTTCTCATCTTCTGAGAATCTACTATTTGCTTATTAGTGGCGGTATACGTATTTTGAGCAATCACTTGGCCAGATGTCAGGGGTACTGCATTAGTTTTCAACTTTTCATATGGTTGCCGATGACAAGGCTGGACACAGCCGCACTTGATTAAAAACGGCTCGGGTACTAACCAATTAACATATTCGTTCAGGCTGACAGATTACTCAGCCTCCGCCGAAAGGATTTCTTTATATGGGCCTGAGGCTTTTTAAAATAGGAGCCAACTCGCTTAAAGCTTGCTGTTTTCCTAGTGCTCATTTACATGCCCTAACTAGGCTAAAATGGCCAGCATGCAACTCCTTATGCATAGATATAAGGATTATAGTTATTATTAGGGCTCACAGTCAGCTTACTCCGGACGATACTAGCTGTAAAATGATTGGCCATCTGAGGAGGCGGTGTCGGTGAGGCATCAACTGCGGCTGACAGGATCGTGTTGCATGGCAATTTTGCAAAAGTACTTTTGACGCTGAGTCCCGCTTGACTAGATCACGATATAAGATGACGGCCACGCGAAGATAAATCTGTTTGAAGGAACCAAACCAAGCTTACACCAAAGACCCAATATTCAGCATGGACCTCAGTGCACCCTCTGGCTACGAGTCATACTCCAACCGGCTCGACCCTCACGACGAAGTCGACAACGGATATGCTGAAAAGAGCCCGCGTCCGGTTTCTGATAAACAGGGGCTCCTCAAGCAGCGCCATGCGCCGCAGAACAAGAGCGTGAGTATCTTTGATACCACCAGGCTGGCCCTGCGCGTCCTCATCCTTCTACTTGACCTCAGCATCCTGAGTCTGCTAGTTCATGGAGTCAGCGTTTGGAAGACGACGCACAACTCTGTGGACAGGAACGAGGACGGCTGGGTGAGAACCCGATGGGCTTCGGTCAAAATGCTGTCGACGTGGTTAATGCTAGCAATCGCAGCATTTGCATCCTTTGTCCAGGCGGTAGCTCTAGTGACGCGCCTCAGCTTTGTAAGTTCTGGGCCAGACGAGTCATACTTGATTTGAAGACGGTCTAACAAGAAGATAGTTCCGCTCAATGCGCGACGGCTTGGTACATACCAGCGCCGTCCTGGCCAGCTCTGGTGTTGTTATCGCAGGCTGGATAGCCGCAACTGTTTACTTCATCGTCGATAAGGAAGTGCTTCGAAACAACCACTGGGACCTTTGGTCTTGGTCATGCCGGAACAACTCGCGACAGAGCTATATTCCCTGGGCGGGTCTATGCACAGAACTGGCAAGTTAAGCCTCCATCTAATGCACATTTTCTGCATATTAACCATTGCTTTTATAGTCTTATACCTTCATTACAGGTCTAGTTGTTATAGTATTAGAGATTGTTAGCTTGGTTCTTTTTATTATTTTATCAAGAGGGATAAACATTTTAGGAAAGTATAATAGGGCTAGCTTAGGTTAGTTTTATAAGCGGCCATTTTTAATAACAGCAAGCAATAATAGTAGTATAAGTTCAACCGTGGTGTCGAGGTCGGTGAGTAACGCCTCGGCAATGCCGAGCAGTATATCGAACGCGAGTGCGATGTCCGTAGGGAGAGGCCTTTCGACTGATTCCAAGTGCCATGGGACGAACTCGGTATTTCGACGATGTATAGGCGCAATAGGTAGGCGTTCACATTCTCCACAAGGTATCCATGCCTTTATCGATTTCCTTTGGTACGTCGCGAAGACTCCGACTAGTCCTTCCGCCCAACGGCTTTTTACTGATTGTCCGTCGACCGTTGCATTATCGTCCTGGCATCTCTGTTTCCTTCGAGATGGAGTCTTCGCTTTCGCCAAAGGCTTGGCAATGATGGACTGTCAGGACATTTTATTCACGGGAGATTGACAAAGAGCCGGAAGCTGCGGAAGTCGCCAAGAGAGCGCAGTGCGTGGCCTCGCTAGAAGCCACGGGCTTGAACCCTGGAGTCCAGGTTGATGAAGCACTAGCGCTGAAGTTTAAGTTATTAGGAAACCCTATCTAAGTCCCGAGGTGATTGCCGAGCCAGTTCATGATCGGTGAAGAATGAAAGTTACGATCTGAAAGCTACCAGTGTACCAAGATGTTCAACTGACAAGTGGAATAAATCTATCTGCATATCGAAGACATTCCTGTCACTATTACCCCAAGGAATTTTATAGCTCTAACCAGCAAAATGATGTTGTTGTCGCTCTCAATCATAAACCTCTCCTTTGCACCCTTCTTCAAAAAGAATGATATACTCTCCAGATCAGGCCTTGTCCTTGCCAAAGTTGTCAGCAGCATCATTCGCCTCCATGATAGCCTGTCTCGCACCAGCCCAAGGTTTCCTCCCGCGACCAGTGTCAAACAGCCTCAAAACATGGGCTGATAAGATACCCGTCATGAGCTTGTTGTACAGTTCTCTATCCTCCCACCACAGCTTCCAGCATCTCCCGTTCGTCCAATTTCCCAGATGGTCGTAAAGACCTGTCCCAGCCACGTCATTTAACCATCGGTCAAATCCCTTGTGACCAATGACACCAGTAAACTTGACATCGCCGCCTTTGCTCAACTTGACAATATTATCAATGAAGGCATCGGCGTCTTTGTTCATTTCTGCAGGAGAGGGCATCGGATGCTTGTCACCCCAGAGTTGAGCCAAAGCCATGGTCATCAAATCATAAAGCTGCCAGGCTGGTCGCTTTGCCAGTGTTGTTCCAAGGAAAGCCAACTGGTGAGGACACTGGATGGACATGAAGCCTCGGTACAACCGGGCGACTCGTCTGTCAGCTGTGTAGTGAGGCTGAAGCTTGGCGAACGAGCTAGGCGATAGATCAACGTTGTAGGGGTCGTATTCTTTGGGGATGAATGAAGCCAAGTCCGGTGACAGCCCAGTACAGAAGAGTATCAGATCAACGTCGGTGGCTTCACTGCCGTCAACGAACTTGACCGACTTGGGACCATTGATCTCTGCAATGCCTGGAGCGCTTCGTAGTCTGCCTCATGTCAGTATGGGTTTTTCTGCATGATAAATCTTGTGTACGAACCTTCCACTGAGGAGATAACCTGCCAGATCGTCGCTGACAGTCGGTATCATGTGTTTCGGCCCAGGCATCTTTCGCCCATCTGTAAAAGCAGGGTGCGATGACAGGCCGGGAAAGTTGTCTTGCTGAATCTTCTTCAACTCGCTAAAGAAAATGATGGACATGAGCCATGCATTCACCTCTTGAAGAAAGAAGATCAATTGAAGCAGTCGGAATGAAAGCGTAAACTCGAGAACCTTGTTGTCTTTGGTGATCCGAGGTAAAATGAGAACCTTTTGTCGATGAGATACAATCAGTTTATTCGCACCAGCCCTGTGAAAGCCAGAGATGGAATCCGCTGCAGTACTTCCAAGACCAACGACAAGGACATTCTTGCCCTTGTACTTGGCAGGATTCTTGAAAGCTTGAGAATGGAGTACTTCACCCTTGAAGCCTTCAATACCCTTGACGTTGGGGATTGATGGCTTGCTGAAAGATCCTGTGGCGAGGATCAGTCGTTCAAATGTCTCTTCCTGGATCTCAGCATCGGGTTTGCTGGTCGAGCGATATGAGAGACGCCACATCTTGGAGGCTTCATCGCGGGAGACACCAACGACTTCTGTGCCGAATTTGATGTGATGAATGAGCTTGAACTCTTTGGCGTATGATTGGAAGTACTCTTCAATCTGTTCGCCAGTTGGATACATTGGATATGCTGTGAAAAGTTGGCGAGAAACTAGGAAGTGAGCGGAGAAGAGGACGACTTACATTCTGGCATGGGAAAGTCGGTCATGACGCCCTGGAACCGTCAGTACCTCTGCCAGTCGTCAATCACCGGGAGGGACGCACCGTGAGCTTTGACGTGTTGGTAATTGTCCCAGGCAATACACATGTCTGTGTAGGGTCAGACGTGATATGCCATAGACCGCCGACGTATTCATTGCGTTCAAAAGTGGTCACGTCGAAGCCCTCCTCAGCAAAATTCTTGGTCGCGATCAAGCCCAAGGGACCAGCTCCCACGATCGCGACCCTCTTTCGCAAGCCATCTGAGCCAAGGTTCATCATTGCGCAATTATCGGAGATGGAGGTCACCTGTATAAAGAAGCTGACCAAAACGATCAAAAGGAGTTTCCTTAGGCTGACATACAACATTACAATATTCTATATATACCAAAGTACTTCGGGATGCGAATTGGCCAATTCATCCGCACAGGGAGAACTCTCAGTGTGAGGACACTAAAGATGACAACCAGCAGGGGAAACAATGGCTTGGCTGCGTCAGCAAGCGCCTGGAAGTTGGTTTTCTCAGGTCATTCTAGGGATCGGGCAGCAGTTGGTCCGCTATTTTATTAGCGAACAGACAATCCACCAATCCTAAATCCTGCAGGTTGTTCCCCAAATCCCGTAATCCCGCAATCCTAATCCTGTCATCCCTCAGCAGATGCCAGTCAGCGCTGCGTGTCGCACAGACATTACGCATAGCAGTGGATGAGCCACTGAGTTCCCTGTAGCACTGTAACTTTACACAGGTCGGAGCATTCTCAGTGCATCAGGCCACTACAATGGCTGCTGGAAGGCACTGAGACAAGGCCTGTAGCAGGATCTGCTGCCACTCAATTCAGTTCAGAGGAGAGTATCATGGAGGTTTTCAAGGAGGAATATTTACAGATGACGAAACTCGTCTCGTGTGTGATCTTAAGTGACATAGTCGTACAGAATGCGTGCAGTCTCACTTACACTCCCCTTCCGAAACGCAACGCGCGCCGTCCATCTTCCTTGCTGAACTCCCCAAACCTGCTCATTCTGCCACGGCTCAGCACTGGGCCCCGCACTCTTGATGCTAATACGAACAACCTTTGATGTCTTCGCATCGTAGCCCTCCCAGCCTTGTTTGAGAAACTCAGCGACCTCCCCAATAGTATTAGGTTCCGTCATTACTTCCTCAATCGTGCACATCCAGATGCGACTCTTTGTCTTGCCAATCATGGGCTCGTCTTTTTCCTGCTCAACGCCATCCATCACCCGCACGTCAGTGTTGTCCGTCTGAAAGCCAACGGCTCGTAGAGGTGCAGCGCCAATGATACCGAGGCCCATGACGGAAGATGTAAGCTTGAAGCGGAACTTTGAGGATGCATCGCTTGGATCAACGGGTTCCACGGTGATGTGAATCTTGATCTTGGCTATGCTTATGACTTTGCGGATAGCATAGGGCACGCCTTGCTGCAATCAAGTATTTAGCAATGATCTAGGCTTGCACAAGAAAAAGAAATATCTCGGGTTCGGTGTACTGGACATTGGACGGAAGTTTGACTGAAGATGGGTTTCTTACCAGGGCTTGAATTGGGTCTTGAGAATCGCTTTCTTGGTTGTTCTTGTAGTCATTAGTCTCGGTTTCATTCCTCAGAGTGAGTCTGAGCAAGTGTTCAAACGAACCTGCATGAACACCGCATCGAAGTTTGGCAGAGCCAGGTCTGTTGGGACTGCCATGATGTTTGTTGTTGCAACTGGATGAGAAACTTCGTAGAAAGCTGTGACGGGAATTTGATTCCGACTAGCAGGAGTATTTTATCACAAGCAGGATTGATCCCACAGACTTGGTTTGCTCCGAGACATTTACAATATGTTGTGTAGCTCGGGGAGATTATACCCCGATTAGCTTGATGGCTTGCAGCTTACTTGCAGCCTCAATGTCGATGAACTGCATGGACGAATTGCGCGAGAAAATGGAGTCTCAAAAACTGGAAACATGATTCAAACTTGTGTATTTCAGTGTCATCATATTTAGAAAGAGTAATTGGTTTCATTGAATGTGAATCATGATTTGATCACCACTATATTCGTAGCTACAGGATCTTTCATGGAACAAATCCCAATGACTGAATGCAGTGGCTCCAAATTAATCAATGTATTACCTGTCTCTAGCTGTCAACCTAGCCATTGCCTCGTTTCGATATCTGATGTAGAAGTCGTCGAGGTTTCCGTCTCAACGACAGTCGTACTACTAGACCATCCACCGTTTGCCTCGAGCGATGATGTTCCCGGATAACGCGTTTCTGGTTCCTCATTTTGGCCTTCCATTGCCCTCTCAGCCATCGACGCTTGCTTGACGATATTCGGTATCTTGGAGAAGTCGAGTTGCGCTTCCGACGTGATGGCGATAAAGTTCTGTTCCGATTCCAAGAGTCCCTTTGATAGAATCCAACTCTTCATCCCGGCAACAGCCAGTGCACCTTCTGTGTCAACAAGTTGTCTCGTGTCTTCATATATGCTCTTTGTTGCTATCAAGACTTCGTTGATAGTGACTTGGACTATGTCATCCATCACATCGCTGCAAATTCGAGCAACTTTGGGGCAGATGTTCCTCGACAACAGATGCTCTTCCAGCGTTATCTGTCCTTTTCTGCGTATTAGCTCGGGGATCTCTGTTGAGCCGTGAAGCTCGACCCCAATGACTTTAATGTTAGGAGTGATGCGCTCAAGGTAGATGCCCACACCTGCTATCAAAGCTCCGCATGAAATCGGGCAGAAGACCGCTTGGACCTGAGAAGGAATCGTCTGCTGTATTATCTCCAGTCCGATCGTGCCATGTCCTGCAATTATGTGCTCATCTCCGGGCTCAGGAATGAGGGTCATATCATGAAGTGACTTTAATCGTAAACACTCCTCGTTCACAGCATCGGCACTATGTCCGTGTAACGTCACAGTACTCCCCAGACGAGTTAGTTCCTTGATCTTGGCTTTTGAGGTGTGCTCTGGTAGAACAACTATCGATGGGATTCGAAGCTTGCTTGCTGAGTATGCTACAGCTAGAGAATGGGCTGTGAAGTTTTAGATACGGACTTGTCTCCTTCGGGGTTCGACTTACACGCAGAAGACGTAATCACGCCTTTCCACCTCTGCTCCTTATGCAGGTTGGCAATCCTGTTATATATCCCTCTTAGCCTGTAGGAGTATCCAGGTTGCATATCTTCCCGCTTCAACATTATGTTGCATCCCAGTTCCTCACTGAGACCGCTTGCCTTAGTCAAGGGGGTAGGTTTGGCCACCTCATGTACTCTGGATGTAAGGATAAGCTGCAAATACTATGACTGAATTAGCCTTTCTGCGCATACCAAGATTCGGGTGCAATCGAAATCATACGTCGGTTAAGTCTCGCGAGTAGTTGCATTTCGTCGAAGTGGAAGACAAGTCCATAAGAGTCGACTGCCAGCTGTTGATATCATCATGCTTGGGCGACCGGCTCAGCGAAGTGTGTTTCTCAACATGTGAGATATGTAAGTTTGACCTTTGGAACATCTCGTCGAAGAGGGAATGGTATGGCCCGGGGATATGCTACACTGTCATGTGCGAGGGCTCAGTTGTGAGGTCGATTATATAATCCTACAGAATGAATTCCGGCGTAACAAAAGTGCGGCTTCGGCGTAAATTAAATTTACAACCTTAACCCTTCGCTCCTTGGTGCTGTTTCGTAACAAAGAGGCTTATAGACAGTTATAAATCGGCATCCTATCAGATCTGGTATCTCAGCACGTCACATTGCCATTTTGCTGCGTTCAACATCTTGTCATTACACACGATCTATTGAGTAACTATGTGGGATACAATAAAGGTGGTGAATTTGCAAGTGAAGCTGCGGGCGGCGGTCTTCTGTCACTCGGGGATCCTTGAACGTAATGCAGGATCAGATGGAGTAACTTTGCGCCGGTGATCAGGCTGACTGCATAGTCTTGGCAGATCATCCTGCGTTAGCTAGATCGCGCTTCTGGTCTAGCAGATCTACCGTACCGGGGTGGCATGCATTTCACCTTCAATCAGTATGCATGTTGTAAGTAATTTTCCAGGTAAGTAAAAATGCCAATAACGTATATAGAGTTTCAAGTAGCACCAATCATGACCTTTAAATGAAGCAAACAGACCTTTGAGGTCTAAAAATTGGCTTGATCGTGATAAGAGCCAACTAAAGTAACTTCATTCATACATATATGAGTAACAGAGATACAAGTTAGACAGCCAGTCTGTCACTTCATGAGCCCGAGCTTTATAAAGATCACCTGTGTACTCAGAGGAAATTCCCAATGCCTTCTACTCGGCCGAAATATCTTGATCAACCAATTAGTGGCGTTCTCATTATTAATTCAGGCGTATAGGTACTGCCAAAGCTGTTGGGAAAGTGACCCTTGATAAGCAGCATCTTAAACACTTGATGCGACGTATGAGGAATTCGGCTTCAGAGTACTCAGGCAACGTAAATAGCCTGCTCACATTACTCAAGAACCGTCCTTGGAAATATAAAGGATATTACTCATGCTATGTCATGTTCTCGTTACTAGCTTCACAAAAACTAATTGCATAAGGGAACGTGCGGCATTGTCGAAACGCTGCCTATGTTATATGCATATAGTTCTCATTAATACTTTAAAGTTATCCTAAGTCATTCTTGTCTCTTTTTTTGGGGAGGATTCTCTCACAGGACTTTGGTGCTCCTTCCAGTGCAGACCCATATGTAATGTAACACATGAACGCTCGCCAGAATCGCATCTTGATATTGCTTGCAGCACACCATCAAAAACCAACGTGCTTCATCTGGAGCAAAAGAAGAGGTATATCAATAATAGTTTTGAGCGTTAGTGGGATATATTAATGGTTTATTCAGTAATGCCTGATATCCTGTTACTGGAGTTGGAACGCTGCGTTGCAGACTTGTTTGTGACTGAATGTGTATTAGAGCAGCCAATATTGATTTAGACACTCAACTTATACTAGTTTAGGGTGGCTTATATGTGTAAGCCCTCGCATTCACATTCACTTCTTATTGAGTTGTTCCAGTGTGCAGATTTGACCTGTCCACTGAAGTGCTTAATAAAGTTGCGAAAGTTTGGGGTCTTGAAGATGTCAATGGACTTCCTATCCATGAAGAAGCTAAGACAGCCGTTGGTGCAGTTAATACAATAACTATCTAATTGCAACCGGTAATGGTCCATGCCGAGTCATAGCTTTCGGACTATTTACAGGCCATAAGTATATAATGGTTACTTTTAAGACGGCTTTTAGTATTGACAGTTCATAGAAAGGAAGTTACTTATTCTAGGGTTTCAGTTTAAACAGTTTCAAAGGTACGGAATACATATGACCATTGTACGAGGTAACAAGTTAAAGATAAATCAATTACATATTGCTCGGTGGAGATCCCACGCTGGCCCCAGGGTAGCTACCAACGCCCAGGGTGTATTTAAGAACCTGACAAGAAAGAAAAATAGATTACAATAAGTCTTATATGGGCGCAAGAATAAATCCATCGAGCATCGAGAAGTTATATGTGTATAATGGAAAGTGCCCTCCTAGAGATGGCGGAGAGAGGTCATAAATCCAGTCTTCCTTTTGAAGCAAAGCCCACTTGGGAGGAGTCGGGTGTCGGTCACGTGACAACAATCAAACAATTACATTGAAGCGAACAGCATTGGAGATGGCGAGGCGACGAGATAACAAACGACATGAGAATCTTGCGCCACAGTTCATCCATCTCCTAGCTATAATCGCTGTAGTATTTGCAACCCTCCTCAGACGTCGGGGCTGAAAAAGAACCGATTCAAGATCAACAAATCTTTGTGTTGGTGCGTTCGGTGTTTTGTTTGCGCCCGAGGCCACAGAGCAAACTTGGGAGAAAACAACGGGTATTAATACCAGTCATTCATTATGTGACGGATTTGAAACTAATTAATGTGATAAACTCTAAAGTGCGGGCCAGAGCTAACGAGCCGTTTGTCAGTTGAGGGCACTAAGCTAAACTTGACGGGGCTAGCACTTTGATGATCTGTGAGAGAACGAGGCAAACAAACAAGGGTGCTCCTCAGCCGTCTCGGTACCCAACACAGCCAACGTCGGGGAACAAATTTTTCTTTCTTTTACATAGAAGAGCAACATGACCCCATCCAGCGTAAGTTTTCCGACCCGTGTCTTGTGTTGTGTTGGCTCTGCCGTACGGTTTAACTCGACGACGTCAGAACTGCATGCCTTTCCTGCATCAAGCAGGTCTGGCTACCGACAAAGTTATTTTATCCCATTTATTTACTTTACTTCCTCGAATCGACACCATCTGTCAAACTAAAATAATTTAGCAACAAGAGACGAACGAAAAAAACACCAAGCTGTTAGGCTTCGGCGCGGCCCGCGCTTTATTACCAACGAAAATGGCTCACTCGATGGACAACAATGGACACGACTCGAGCTCGACTCGAAGCGGTGGTGCTGGCGGGGGGTCCACGGAGTTTCTACAGTCGTCAGCCATGGCAAGGCCCCCTGCACAAACGACTCTCACCGCCTCATCGTCGTCGAACTACGCCTCTAGCGTGTCTAGTGACAGCCAGATTCAGACAGGGGGTCTCCCCGGGACACCTGTTACCCGACGCTCAGGCGGATGGGACCGGCAAACGCTCTCCCCGGCGGCGGCTGCAAGGGAAGACCATGTCGTTAAGACGAACAGTATAGAGGACTCTTCTGATTCTTCGGATGAGTTTGTTACGAGTTACAAGCCTATGGAACGGTAAGTCTCACAATCAGTTGAGGTAGCGGTTGGTTGATTGGTTGGTTGGTTCCATTGGTTGCTCTCATGCTAATGTGTCTCAGTGGGTCACGCTCCAAACGGTTCTTCCAAGCTTTCGTCGCCAAATTCACCAAATCCTCTGTTCGTTCGTTTTCCCCCTCCCCTGCTTCGCATCAGCATCCGAGAATTAACCAAACGATAACGAACAGGGTACGGTTTGGTGCCGAATAGCCAGGTATGTTGCAATCATACGTTGTGATAACGATATGGGACTCGCATACTAATACGCTTTTGGTTTAGCAAGAACAAGACAGAAATGGTATGATGCGATGACCTCGGTACTCTTTAACCCGCGGCTTTACTGATAAGATTGCGCTTAGTCATTCAACATACCGTTATCATCAATATCTTCAAGGGACTTCACTTATCACCGATAACATCAAGACCGAAGCGGGTGCTTGATGTCGGCACTGGACCTGGAACATGGGCACTGGTAAGTTTTTTTAGGGATCCCATGATCTCAACTTTTGCTGACATTGATGCTGTAGGAATTTGGCAAGTCTTTTAGGCTTTATGCCTTTTTGTGTTACTGAAGCTAACACCTTGGCAGCCACGAAATACCCTTCCTGTTCTGTTCTAGGCGTCGATATTGAACCAGTCCACCCACCTTATACAAAATCTAACTGCAGCTTCAAAACATTCGATATTACACACGATTGGGACTTTTCCAATGGCGGCAACTTCGACTTTATTCACATTCGACAACTGGGCGATATTGGAGACAAAAAGAAGTTAGTCCAAGCGGCATTCGATAATCTGAGGCCGGGAGGATGGGTCGAGTTCACAGAATGGATCGCGATCCTACAATCACCAAATCACTCATTAAACGGCACAGCATTCCGGAAATGGAACGATTTATTAGAGCAAGGAATGCGCAATTTTGGCACGACGCTGAAATACCCTGAAAAGTTCAAACCATTACTACAGGAAGCCGGGTTTGAGCGTATCATCGAGACGAGACACGGAGCGCCGACAAATGCATGTTATCCCGGGAAGAAGTTACAACGCATAGGGCATCTAATGACTCAGAATTGGTTGTTTATCATTGAGCCGTTGACGATGCCTGTTTTTACGCAAGCTTTGGGTTGGTCGCCGGAGCAGGTCAAGAAGTTTCTGGTGGATGTGAAGAAAGAAATTGGGAATACGAAATACCATTCCTTTATGACATTGTAAGTACTAAACTTCTCATATTTCCAAGGAATCCAGCTGACCAACGACTCAGAATAACGATTTGTGCCCAAAAGCCGTCAGCTGGTTCATCCACACCATCAAATTCCGCGCCAGCTTCAGTCTCGGCGTCAGAGTCAACTTCTATGTCGGAATCCTCTTTCCCACGATAACGGTGGGTGTCGTGTTGGGCCGTGGAATATGGAGTCTCTAGACTAGACCCGTAAATGGGATTGCATTACATGCTTTTGGAGTTATATCGCATATTTTGGGCTTTGGGAGCGTAAGCTGGGAGGGACTCGGGCGTGATTGAGATGGAAGAGATATCCTCTACAAAGAACTTTAAATATAGAGAAGTACAACTATGCGGAAAGCATGATGATCTTGGAAGAAAGGAGTGTATTTAATTGATATATCTCATATATCGTGAGGCCATACCTAACAACAAAGGAAAACGCACACAAGGAAACAGGGAAAGACAAGCAATACCCCAATCTATAATAAACTGCAACCCCCAGAAAGACATTATATTCATCCGACAATCATTCTTGAAACCCTAGCCGACAGATCCTGAATACTATATGGGTTCGTCAAATCATTAATAGGCAAATCGATTTGGAACGCATATCGCGCCCAAGATCGAACCTCAATAGCAATAAGCGAATCCATTCCATACTGGATCGCTGATCTTGAAGGCTGTATATCGCCAACCTTGATCGAAAGTACTTGTGCTAGCTTCGCAACAAGAGCAGTGCAAACGAAGGGCTGTAAAGCTGCCTCTTTGCCTTCAGGCGCATCACCCAACCGGCCCAGAGTGTTTCGGAAGGCCTTGACTGCTGTTTGGACTGCACTCTCTCCGCTATCAGCATCAGAGTCAAGAGCAGCATTGTCAGCGGCACGAGATCGCAATAGACCAAACTTTGCGTCCTGAGCCCAAGATTGGTACTCGGCTGTGGCTTTGTCGATCATGCCAAAGCTGAGAACAATCTGGCTCTGGACAAAGCCATCGTAGGTGGAGTTTATGGTGGTGGGATTCTTGGGTAAACCAGTTGCCATGGCTCCCTCGACAACACGTAGAACATCGCGCACAGTAATGGGCCTGAGGCCACGAGACAAGAGGGAAGCCTGAATCTCAGGACGCTCACTGATGTTGCCGACGTCCTCGACAAATCCGAGATCAACAGATGAGGCTGGAAGTCCAAGACTTTGACGGTATCTGGCAAAGGTGTCGAGGAAAGTACTGCTTGCGGCGTAGTTGGACTGACCCTCGTTACCCAAGACTCCACAGCCTGAGCTGAGCATGACGAAGAAGTCCAGATCTTGGGAGAGAAGAGAGTTATGGAGGTTTAGCGAGCCATTGACCTTGGGACCGAAGACTGCATCAAAGTCTTCTAGAGTGATATCCTCAAAGAAGCAGTCCTGACCAAAGTTAGATAGGTAACCATGCAAGATCATTGAGTAAACTTACGCTAAGTCTCAACGCTGAGTGAATAACTCCACCAACAGGAGTATCGATGGAAGCAACGAGACGCTCAACGGCTTCGGAGTCACCGACATCGCAAACTTCGACTCTAGCATTGCATCCGTATGATGAAAGTTGCTGGAGAAGGTCACCAGACTCAGAGGCCCTCGCCACCGAACTGGTGGCCAGGATCAGGTGTCGAGCGCCATAGCTGGCCATCCATACAGAAATGGCGCGGCCTAGACCACCGAGACCACCTGTGATGATGTAGGTTTTGTGGGGGTTGAAACGAGAAGTCTTAGGTCGTGTCTAGATCACGATTAGATGCAGCCCTGTGGCTAAGAGGTTGAAAACACTCACCTTGATCAATTGCTGATCGTCGACATTCGTTAGTGATACGACCTGCTTTTGCTGAGTACCTTGTACAAGTAACGAGAAGGCTGACTGTAGAGAGCTAAGTTCAGCCACTGAAACCGATATGTCGACATCGATCTCCCGCTTCTCAACTAAGTCAATCGCCTGGTCAAGCAAGCTAATGTGAAAGTCAGCATTGAAAGTGTCTGCATGAATAGACTAAGTCACTTACCTTCCGAGGTCCTGTTTGCTCTCCTGATACGCATCCGTCAGATCAACAGAAGCAAACATGACATTCTTGTTAGGCGCAAGATAAACCTCATCGCCAGAAGCTTCACCAGACCCAATCTCAATATAAGTTCCACGGTTAGCGACCAAATGAGCAAAGTCTGCGTATTGACCAGACTTAGTGTTCAATACGAGCTTGTATGCTTGGAAAGTCGTGGAGCGGGAAACGCTAGAGCGGCTGGTGTTGGTGGGGTTCACGAAGATCTTGGAAGAATGGAGGCCGAGTCTGGTGAGGAGGGGCTTGTTGGTTGCGTCACTGATGGCAGCGTAGACATCGAGCTTTAGGGCTGTTGCGGTCTTGATGAGTGCGATGCCTTGGGTTGATGTTGCGTTGATGATGAGGATTTTCTACTCCTATGTTAATAACGCTGGCTGTTCGGGTGAACATGGTACATACCTGTCCTGTTGATACTCTCGCTGGTGTTGTCAAAGCGTACAAAGCAGTGACGAAGCTTGTAGGAATAGCAGCCGCATCCTATCCCAAAGTTAGCCATGCGTCATCACTGCAATGTCAGAGTTCTTCTCACCTCGAATGAAAGCCAGTCGGGTATTTTTCTACAACAATCTGAAGGTGCTAGGTACTGTGTTCTGAAAGTCCCTTGACCAATAACAGCAACACGATCTCCTGGGCTGAATGATGTGACATTGGCGCCGCATCTAGTGACAACTCCAGAACACTCACGACCGAATTCCGTTGCTGGGAGAGATCCTTGGGCGATGAGTCCGTCCTGTTACGATGTTAGATCAACCATTGAGGAAGAAGACAGATGTACTTACCCGTTCATCAAGTCCAACAGCTTTAACCTCGACAAGAAGATGCCCATCTGGGATAGCTGAGTATGCGTCATCTTGCGCCATGGTCAGACTCTCCAAGATTCCTACTTCTCCCATGACCAAGTGATGAGGAGCTTTCATCACCTCAGTTGAAGGAGCCTCCATCTTCCGAGCAGGACCATAGGCATTTTCCAGAGGAGCATCATTAACAAGTCGGCATGTCCAGAGCTGCCCGTCCTTCTCTGCAATCTCGTAGTCCAATCTGGAGATTGGGTCATCATGTGAGTAATGCGCCCGTTCCAAGGCGTGGTAGATGATGTTTGCTGTGACATCACCATCGCTGCTCAAGTCAAGAGTGTACAACTGAAGTTGACTATTTTCGCCGCGGAGGGTTCGAGCGAAACCAGTTACAAGACCTCCTGTTGTGTTTTGGGGATCGAGATATACCTTGCGAGTAACCCAGATGCATTTGATAGGCTTGGTGAGCCATGACTTCAATGCGGCCAACTGCTCTGGTTGAAGAGAAGCAAGGAAACTTCCTTCAGCCTCGTCAACAAGGATAAGCCATTCACCGGACCATTCTCGTGAGGCAAGGTCTTCAAGGGTACTAGAGGTTGTAGAAACACCACGCGTGCCGAGATACTTTTGGAAGTGATCTCGGGTGGATAAACCGCTACCGACTCCAGCAATATGTACCTTCTCCTCAGAAAGCGGCTTGGGCGGAGTGTACTCGGCTGGCTTTGCTCTAGCCATCATAACGATGGTGCTTGAGAGTTGGTTAGTGTCGCTCTTGTCGTGTTTGGCTTCGATCTCAGAAACGCCGTCGAAATCGGCAGCCAGCTCGTCGCGCCATTCATCGAGAGTAAGACCAGGTCCAGAACGGCCGGGAGATCGAGGGCGTAGCCACCAGCCAGTCAAAGGTCCCTATATAAGAGTTAGCAATGATATGTAAATGATTACGCGTTGATCTTACCCAGAGGAAGTTGGCTGAAGTCAGGTCTGCAGGTTCAAATGTTAGCTAAAACCTCAAGTGAGATGAGTGATGTTACTTGCCCTCTGACAGCTCTCCAACCAAGAGGTATCCATCATCGCGCAATAGAGATCGGATATTCTTCATGGCGAACTTCAAATCGGCAGTAGCGTGTAGAACCTAACGTAGAATTATCAGCATGTGCAGGGACTTTGACAGCATCTGACACTTACGTTGGCTGCAACGACGAGATCATACTTCTCAGTAAACCCCTGCTCAGTAATATCTTTCTCGACATCAAGAGTCTTGAACTCAATTCTATCCCACTGAGCAAACTTCTTCTTAGCCTTGTCGAAGAAACCAGCTGAAATGTCAGTGAAAGTAAAAGACTGGTAAGCATTCTTCCCTCCAGCCTTGGAGAAGCCACGTAGCAACTCAGTAGTTGCACCACCAGTTCCAGCACCAATCTCCAAGATCTTCATGTTGGGATTCTTGTGCGCCAAGAGCTCAGCGACAGAAAGGAGTTTCTGGTTCATGCTAGTTGTGAAGATACTCTCTTCGTAGAAACGGTAGAGTAAATCGTTCTCGAGCCAGACTGCTAGTGCTTCGACTTCACCGCGGAAGATCCTTGACATGTTGATGGCTAGCTGAGATACGATTGATGCATCGACGGTTTGAGAGATTCCAGAGTTGGCGACGACATTCATGATGGCGTCTTGGACTGTTGCAAAGCCGTTCTGCTGCTTGTGGCGGGCTGCTAGGCGGTCTTTGTGCAGCTCGGCTTGGTCAAGGAACCATGAATGGTAGCTTAGTAGGTGAGGAGCCAAGTCTTTGCCCTTTTCAATACCGTTCTCAACAATAAGTGGTATAAGCTCCTTGACCAAGTTCTCAAGGTTAACGAGCTTCTTCTCTGCGGGGAGACTCTTGATCTGGATAGAGTTCAGCATGGGGTCATTGCTCGAAATATCGCCAATGTCAGGCTTCCATGCAAGTCTCAACCAAGGGAGAGTAGTGTTGTCGTCACTCGTAGCCCTGTCCATCTGAAGACCTTCAACAACAAAGAAAGGTCTCGATAGCGAATCATAACACTCAACACTACCTTGGATCCTGCTAAAGCCGACAGGCGATGTGTTGGTAGTGCAAGACGCGACGTCCGTGTTCTCAGCAGGCATGCGGATCGAGATTCTCTTCATCTTGGACGGGAGGAGAAGCGTGTCAATCTCCTGGAAGTAGCCCGAGCGATTCGCCAATGCAGGGGTTTGAAGAGCTGCATCCATCATCGCCGGGTGCAGGAGATATCGCTGGCCGGGAACGGGAGACTGAGCAGTCGATTTCATGTCGATCTTGGCCGAGCAAGCTGAGAGACTTGGGCGAACGCGAACTTCATTGAGAAGTTGGAACTTGGGACCGTAGCCGTAGCCAACTCGCTCAAGAGTCTTGTAGTAGCTTTTTAATGGGACCTTGAGGGGCATGTGGTGCCAAGAGGTCCTGCGGCGAAGGGCAACATTGTCTTTGCTTGCTGGAATATAGTCAGCTTAGATCATTAACTATTTGACGTGTACCACTTACTTTCGAGGACTGCGGCTCTTCCATGACAGTGACGGATATCGACATCGCCTCGCAGTGAGGAAATAGTGAAGTCATACCATGTCTCCTCGGATCTGGCATTATCGTTATCCGGGATGAGTGTGAGGAAGAGATCGATGGGTGATTCGTCAGGAAGAATGATGGAGTTGGAAAAGACAAAGTCTTGAAGCTCGAATGAATGATTCGCCCAGTCAATCTCCTTGCTCTCTTCCTGCACTTGCATCATAGCCTCAACCACCATTGCGATGCCGGTAGTGAAGGAAAATGTCACAATACCGTTGACCTGCTACACGTTAGTCTTGCCCTGATGCGGGTGTAGTCTCTTCACTTACCTGATGGTCAACAAGCCAAGGCGCATCTTCTATAGACACCTTGTTCCTCCATGTTGGAGCTGAAGGATTCACTCCTCTGCAGCGAGATCCCAGAATCTCATGTCGCGGCGATTTCCTGAAACGCCATTCCTGACTGTTTCGCGGCTCGGTCCAAGGTGTCGAGGAATAGTCCCAGGCATAAGCGGGAAGGTTGTCTTGGACATGATTGGGGAGGCGCCCAGTCTTGCCCGTGATCTTGTTGACTTGATCCAAGTCTAACTGCTTCCCATTGAGCACAAAGTCTCCAGCGAGGTTCATCAGCTGTTGGCTTGAGTCTGCGTTTCGGAGCATCGTGGCGAAGAAGGGGAGTTGGGGTGAATCGGGCAGCGACTTGACGATCTCAGATGTTGGACGAGAGAGTAGAGAATGAGGTCCAAGTTCAACACAAAGATCAAACTTACGGTCTGATGAAGTCAAAGCCAGCGTGACTGCATCAGTGTAAAGAACAGGAGAGACGAGGTTCGCTCCCCAGTAATCAGCGTCAACCTCGGTCCCCTTCAGCTCAAGGCCAGTGACGGATGAGTACATGGGGACTCTCCCAGTCTTGGGCTGTATGGCACCCTTGAGCTGACCGACGTACTCATCCACCACAGTCTTCATGGCGCGAGTATGGTAAGCTCGAGTCACAGCAACAGCTCTGGAGACAATGCCATGAGTGCTAAGCTCGGCAGCCACATTCTTGACTCCCTCAGCAGAACCCGCAAGAGTAAGATTTTGAGGACCGTTGAAGCAAGCGATTTGCACATCGTGTCGCTCCAATGAATCTTGAAGCTCCTTAGCCTTGGGTGCGCTCCTGGTGGCCAACATAGCACCTGATGGGGCGTTCTCACACGCTATGCCTCGGTAGTAAGCCACTGTAATGGCCTCCTTGGCCGTGAGGGCGCCGCAAGCGTATGAAGCGGCTGTCTCTCCACCTGAATGGCCAACGACACCGTCTGGAAGCACACCCCAGCTTGAGAGAACGTCTGTCAGTGCGATCTGGACCGCCATGGAGAGAGGATGGGCAAGGGCAGGTGAGTCAATCTCTTCTTGAGAGAGCTCAGCAGTAAGCTTATCTGAAAGAGGGTCAGTAACCATCAAGTCGAGATGTATTGTATCTGGACGTACCTATCAACGACCAAGTTGGTGTCTTGGATGACTGAAGTTCTCGCACGACCTCCTCCAGATTGTACAAGGTATTGCGCGCAACAGGGAATGCATTGAGGAGACGTTTACCCATTTGTGACCACATAGCTCCTTGGCCTGTGAAAGTGAACAGAACTCGAGGTGAATCGCCACTTGTCGGTCCTGTACCAGACTTGAGTGCGTTGGTTTCCAGCTGCTGGATGAGGCCGTCAACAGACTGCGCAACAGCGAACGACTTCCATGGCCGAATATGGATCTGACTTCGAGCGTTCAACGCTTTGACAAGAGGACTAGTTAGGCTCTTGCACTCTTCGTGTGTCTTGAGGAACTCGAGGAGATTCTGTTCGTTTGTTTCACGAGAGGAGCGAGAAGCGCCAGATGTGAAGAGAAGGAAGAATGGGTCGTTGGTCTTCTCCCCGTCTTCATGATGGCCATTAACCCCATTGACACCATTGGCAGACCCATTTGTCAGTTGAGGCGGCTCATAGAACTCAACGACAGCATGGGCAGTCGATCCACCGATACCAAGGGAGTTGACGCTTGCTCGGCGGATGGACTTTGATGGCCAGGGCTGGGGAGCTGTTGGAACACGAACTCTCCATCCGTCAAAGTCGACTAGGAAAATAATTAGTTGGGTCCGAAACAGGTGTAGCTAGTAGATGGGACTTTACTCTTGGGGTTGGGTGTCTTGTAATTTGTGTTGGGAGGGATCTCGCCCTTTTCCAGGGCCAAGACTACCTTGATCAAACTGCTCAAACCGCTAGCAGCTTCTGAGTGCCCAACGTTTGGTTTTGTCTATTCACGTTAGTTTGCATTCTTCGCCATCAGAAGTAGACATGTTCACTCACGGAACCAACCCAAAGTGCGTCTTGGGTTTTGTGGCTCTCAGAAAAGACTGAACCAACGGCTCCCAACTCTATGCAATCACCAACAGGTGTCCCTGTTCCATGGCACTCAAAGTATCCAGTCTCACTGAAATCATTGATTCCTGCTTGGGCATAAGCTTGTAGGATGGTATCTGCTTGAGCTCGTCCAGAAGGTTCCGTGATTGCTGGAGTAGCTCCGGAGCTAAACCTGTTAGTGCATCAATCTTGTTTGGGGAGTGAGTAAACTTACCTGTTAGATGAAGTGCCCCTGATGACCGCTCGAATACTGTCTCCATCTCTGATTGCATCGCTAAGTCTCTTGACGTAGACGGCATTGGTTCCTTCACCACGTCCATATCCATTGGCGCTGGCATCGAATGTCTTGCACTGACCATCCGCAGCAATAGCGCCCAGACGCGTCAAGGACAATGCATAATCAGGGCTCAGGAAAAGATTAGATGCACCAATGACAGCACCGTCACACTCCCCAGCCTGCAGTGCTTGGCAAGCAAGATGAAGGGCCACCAGGGCACCCGAACAGGCTGTATCGATGGTAACACTGCATGAAGCGTCAGCACTGTAATCGCTCGATTTGGGAAATAACAACATGCCTGGGTCCACCGAGGTCGAGTGCATGACTGATGCGGTTTGCAAGCATAGTTCGTGTTGTTCCAATAGCGATGAATGTTGGAAGATATTCGGGGTCTTGCATGAGCATGTCGTGATAATCACTCACAAACATGGCACAATAGCAGCCAATCTTGGACTTTGAGATTGTTTCCATGGAGATATTGGCTGACTCAAGGCACTCATAGACAACCTCGAGCAACTGTTTCTGCTGAGGATCCATGGCTGTAGCAGTGTCTTTGCTGATGCCAAAGAACTTGTGATCAAACTGCTTGATGTCCCTCTTGACGAAGTGAGCACCCCTAAAGGCCTGAGCTCCCTTCTGATTAGGGTCCATAGATAGAAAGTTCTCAGCATTGAATCGATCTTTGGGTATTGCTGTGGCGGATGAACGGCCTGCTCGGACATGATCCCACAAGTCTAGTGGCTTATCGATTCCGCCTGGGAGACGACATGCCATGCTCACAATGGCAATTGGCTCTCGCCATTGTGGAATCTGGGAAGGCATTGCAAAAACAAAAGTCAAACAAACTGGGTATACTGATAGATTCGTTCCAACGTCTTGTAACTCTGGGGGAAAATTACATGAGAAAGTATGGATTGTTCATGACACCACCAGAAAGGGCACATACATATGAGTACGGCCAGAGACTGGACATGATACGCTCGCTCGGTAATCACCACATGAGAACGACCCGTCCAGTTTCCTGGTTCATTGTCTCCACTACAGCCCGCTAGGGTCCGAAGTGTTGGTTGTTAGTTCCATGAGCTACTGCCTAGCCGTTGTCGTAATATCAATCACGGGTGGCGCGCGATCTAGCTGTCACAGGTATAGTTGAGTTGCTTTACTTGGGAAATATCGCACTTTGGATGCAAGAAAAGTCCTTAAGTGTTTTCTGCGCCTCTTTTGAAGATCTGACCTGTTTCTGGAATGGTTATTACGGGGTATGATATGACGCTTGCAGTAGCCCCAACATAGCGGGTCTGAATCCTTTTAGATATGGAGACAAAGTACCCCGTTCTAGGCAAAAGGAAGAGGAAAAAAAAAAAAACTTAAACGAGATACAAATAACATCTTGGAGACCTTGCTCATGCCAGTTTTCTGTTATATAATGGCTCTGTTATGCTGGAAATAATTCTCTATAAATCAACCTGTCAACTCTTAGTCCGGCGCTAAGTTGATATCCTTGCGGGCCGTCGTGTAAAAATGCGACATCGACCCAGAGATACGGCGCGTCCCTAGCTCACCGGGGCGAATAACCCTTACCTTCCTTCATCTCTACTCTAACCGTCGCTTGATCATCGTTACGCGTGGGGATGGATGGGATGAGTGATTTAAGATAACGTGTGACAGCAAACATGTATATCTCTGTTGGTTACCCTCTGATTTTTCAAAAGGCTATTTGCTTCACCGTTTTCTTCGCCAAGACCGGTAGTTAGTACTGTGCCTCAAGAATACATTGACTCTGCAAGTTTAACACACGAAAATGGCACCAGCCGTTCAAGAACCAGCCGCGTGGTAAACCAACCTTTACGGTTCATGCTGCAGATGATGGGCTGGCTGTCAGTGCGTGATAAAACCCCCCTGTTCCAACCCGACCAATACAGTAACGCCACGCAACGTCCATCGGGAAAACCGTATGCAGGTTGGTTGCTAGCTTGAACTTCGGCATATTGCTTGTGTTCCTTCATTCTGCATATGCATTCGCATGTTTGGGCAACCCGGAGATAATTCCAGTTATGTACAGTAACTATAATATCACCACGACAAACATAAAACCGAAAGCTCTGACCAGTGAGTGACAAAGTAGATCCAGTTATTGAGGGGTAAGGTAAGCAGCAAACATCAGCAAATCCGACGCTAGTTATGCGTGGACTTTGGGAGGAACCCATTACCAACTGCGCTAATGCAATTGCAGGCTGTGTAGCGCCATGGTCTAATCTGGGTATATCATTGGAGTTGCAAGGACCCGAGGCATTTCGAGGGACGGTAGTGATCTGACTGAACGGCACAGCCGGATGAGCAATCAGTTTTGATGCCTACGGCCAACAGAAGCTACGCAAGCGTGGCGGCGGTGAAGTGGAAGCTTCGGGAGTCTATGGGAAGATTGTCGCCTGAGATTGCTAACAATTAGATAGATATAAACCACAAAGAGAGGCAAGGGCTATCTCGCTAGCCTGACATCTGACTACTCTGTGATGATTTGCAAGAAAAGACAGAGCACGCTTTGATGGTGGTTATATATTGGGGCTTTTATGACCAGTCCAAGACTGGGATGGATACGAAAACACATGATAGAACAAGAGAAATGCATAAGAAAATCTAATTATAACTGACTACTCTACGCTCCCAAGGTCAGGCATCATGATGACAAAGGCGCCTGCAGCGTTGCATAATCTTACCCTCGAGGTCAAAGCTCGCCAGCTGAGTACAGCTGTGCAAAGCGCGAGTCTGGCTGACGTAGTAATTCTTTGGGATCACCTTGCTCAACAACCTTGCCATCATCCAATACAAGAACTATATCAAACTCAACGATTGTTGCGACCTGATGCGTGACACAAAGGACAGTACTATCAGGGAACGTGTCAAATACCGTCTGGCGCAGTTGTGTTTGGATGTCATTATCGACGCTGATAACATTAGTAGTGAACTTCAAGTAGTGTCACGTGTGCAACTTACTGGCTTGTAGGCTCATCCATCAAGACAATCTTTCCTTTCTTGAGGCACGCTAATGTCATGGCGAACAGCTGGCGTTCTCCATGGGAGAAAGTGTCGCTTGATACAATCATATCTAGACCGCCTCCTTGCTCGATGGTCTGCCAGAGGCCAGTCTTCTTCAAGCCTTGGATAATCTCTTGCTCGTCTGAAATGCTGAAGAGCTTTGCATACTCTCGAACACTCACTGAGAGAATGAGAGACTCTTGCGGAAGAACAACGAAGCGGGACCGCACTTCATCCTTGGCTAGGGCTGATATGTCAACGTCGTCAACCGATATGAGACCTGAAGTGACCTGTACAAGGCCCAGTAGTGAGTTGACCAGAGTGCTTTTACCGCTGTTGGACATTTGAGTTAGCATCCATGGCTGTTTAGTTGAATATGCGCATGCAAGGGAATATACCTTCCTGTGCGGCCGCAAATGGCCATTTTCGAACCTGGCTTGATGTCCAGCGTGAGATTCGAAATAGTCGGAGGTAACGAGGTCCTAAATCGCATGTTAGTTCAAGATCTTCAGGATGACTACCAATACTCACGAGTGAGTCAGTGTGACTTGGTTGAAGCGAATCTCGCCCCTTGATGGCCACTCTGCCGCTGGCTTCGTATCAGAATCATGTTCCGACTGTGTATCTTGCGTGAAATCCCTGATACGAGCAACTGCACCTAGGGTAATCTCTAGTGAAGTCCAGAAGAATACAACACCCTTGACTGATTGTCCAAGTCCTACGATGCTAAACAGCGCAAGACCAAGACTGCCGCCACTGGTGTTCCTGAGGACAACAGCGATGCAGATAACGACCAGCGCCAGAGTCGCCACAAACAAGTCTACTGAAAGGTTGAGCGTAACCTGCGCAGACTGTAAGAAGTGGAATGGCACTTGCGATCGTTCGAGGACCTCAATGCCTCTTCGCAAGTACCATGATGCCCAGCCATATGCACGAACAGTAGCGAGCCCATCAAGAGATTCAAGAAGAAGGGATAAGACGGGTGACCTTGCCTCAATATCCATGACACGAAGTCTTCGAGATGTACGAAGATAAAACTCATGAAAGAATCCAATGACAATGGCGATAGCCAGAATTGCAAAGCCAGCGTAATGGGACTGGATCGTGACAACAATGCACTGCGCGATAAGCATCAACAAGTTCATCGTGGCACCAACAAAAGCTAGTGGTAGCTCCATATCTGTGATCTGCAGGTCCTGGCTGAACCTAGAGGCCGATGTGATTAGCGAGCGTCTGTGTATCAAGCTTGTAGCTATCGTACCTGTTCAGCGTGACTCCACTGTCTGTCTGGGAGAAGAAATCCATTCTGGCACTACGCCACCGTTAGCAACCGTGAAAAGAACCTGGATCGAGGAGCTGACATACTTTAGTGTGGTCGAGAGAATAAGATTGTGAAATAAGGCTGCAGTCCGAACTGCAATGCGTAGAAAGAGCCAGACACATGCTGAAGCGAGAGCCACCCAGGCCATCGAACCAACTCCGAAGAAGACACCGTAGAATGAGGGAAGTGTATCGATTTGATCCTGAAGACTCTTCTCTGTCCAGAGTCCGAGCCAGATTTCTATCAATAGTTAGTCACCAGTAACAGGGCTTGCAAGAGAGTCAGTGGCTTACGTGGAAATGTGACACCTATCACGAATAGCATGCAGAGGAATAGAAAGACGGCAAAGTCCATCCAGCCAATGACTCCAAAATACCACTTATACACAGCCCAATCGCCGTTGGCACCTTTCTTGAAGGCGACGTCGTTGGTGATTGCGGTATTGGGCAGTTCGTCGGAATCTTGAGCTCTAGGTTCTCGTGCCGTGGAAGCGCGATCTGATACTTGCAATACATCATGCTCAAGTTGTTCAATGTGCGGCGCAATTTCAGCATATGTTCCTTGTCGAACAACACGGCCGTCGGCATCAATGAGGATGATGTAACTAGCGAAGGGAAGGTATCTTGCTGTCCGTGTTATTAGTAATTGAAAGGTTCAAAGATGCGGCGAACTTACGTGAGCTTGTGGCAAGGATAGTCGTGGTGGGAGCGCTGCTGAGAAGACCTCGGGGTGCGAATATCTCACCAAGGATATGACGCTCGGTGTTGGTGTCGAGGCCTACAAGACAATCGTCAAGAAGAACAAGAGTAGCCTTGGAGTAAATGGCACGAGCCAGCGCCTTCGGTTGAGATCAGCACACATACTGAACCATATTTCGGGAGCTTACTCACAATTCGAACTTTCTGTCCTCCACTAACAGACTGTCCATTCAAACCACACAAATGTTTGTCCCCATCTGTCAAATCCTCAATGTCCTGATCTAGAGCACACGCATGAAGCGCCATGCGATAACGCTCTTCATAGAAAGGCAGAGCACCGACGATGTTCTCCTTGATGCTGATATTGGCGATCCAGGGTGTCTGATCACAAAAGGCAACTTGTGAGTCGTCGACAGACACGGTTCCAGAAGATGGTGCAAGGTCACCCAGCACGACACGCAGCAGTGTTGACTTTCCACTACCTGTAGGTCCAGCGATAACAGTCAATCCATGAGCTGGTACATCAAACGTGGCATCCTTGATAACTGCTTCACCGTCTTCGGTCCACTTTGCGCTAACATTTTGTAACTTGACAGCCACGTCGGTGAGGACCTTCTTCTCGCTCGTACTACGAACAGAGCTCTCGTCTGTACTGATGCTAGCATCTCTGATGGATTTCCGAGGGTCTGTCCAAGTATGCTGGTTGAGAAAACTCTCAATACGTTGGAGTGAACCGAGGCCTACCATGATAGCCATAACATGGGAAGTGCAGTCTTGGATACTTGAGCTGACGATGTTGAAGAGTGTCATGACTTGGAAGGCTGTTTGTGCGCTGAGGATCTGACCTGATGACTTGTCCGACACGGCGTTGTGCACACTGAGACCTAGCGCAGGAAGCATGGTAAGAGAGGTGAAAGCTATATTGATGATCAGCATGTGGTCAAAACGAGGATTAGATAACTCACACAAGGTCACCAGTGCAATGAGCTGAAGTCGGAATCTCTTTGACAGCCTGATCTCCGATTGTCTTTCGCCTTCAAGCATGGTCTTTATCGCTGGCGAGGCGCCCATCTGCTTGATGCTCTTAATACCCTTCAAGACCTGTACTGTCTTGTGAAGTCGCTTTTCGATAGCTTGCATCCAGTTCTTCTGGAATCTACTGGCGCGTCCAGACCAATACCCGCCAAGCAGCAAGGACCCTGTCTATTGTTAGCTCTCCGCCATAACAGTGGTATATTGACTCACCTCCGATGAGACCCAAAGTGACCAAAGCTGCAAGGCCCAGCTGTGCTTCGATCAACCAGAGTCCAATCGCAACAGATACAAAGCTCGCCCAAGCATCGTGTATCTTTCGAACCCCGAGCTGTACCCGCTCGACATCGGCAGTCATCATTGTTGTACTCGAGTCTCCTGTGTCCACGACTCGATCTAGAAGCAGTGACTGTTGGTAGATCCGCATAGATAGATCGGCACGGACGACAGTGGTAGCTCGAACAGCACTTTGCTCGTACAGCGAAGAAACGAACTAATGGTTGTTGTTAGTACCATGCCTGCTCTGGCCAGACGGAGGGACCTTACTGCAATACCATAGTAGACAATAGCATATGCCGCAATGAGTCCATCGCCTCTCTCCTTTGAGCTGTCGGTCTTTGGTTTCGAGATGTAGTCAATCGCTCGACGGACAAGGAATGGTTGGGCAAAGGTCAAGGCGAGGTAACATAAGCGGGGGAATATGGGGGCCAGAAACTCGGTGATGTGAGAGTAGAAGATCTCTTTCGCAAGTTTGATCGGTGCCTGCTTTGTCTTCGGTCCTAGAAATTGTCAGTCAACCTATACAAGTTGAAGCATAGTCAGCGGAAACATGCCTTTTTCGGTCGGCCTCAACTCGGCATTTTGCAATTTGGTGTCAAGCTTGGAGAGATGCTCAGTTTGCAATGGTGTGCGGTATCCAGCCCAGAAAATCGGCATCATTCGTAGCATAAGCGCTCGTTCAACGATACCGTTGCTTTCTTCAGGTGCGTCGCATAGCTCATGTCTGTTTGCCAAAGAGCATTTCCATAAAACCTCCGTCACCAGGGCGCAAACCTTGGTGCTTGCTAGCACCATGACAGCAATGGCAGGGTCTCTTCCATCCAACATGCGCCAAAGGGTTCGGGCTCGAGCGGCGTCCATGGGAATAGTCGATAAGAGATATAGTACCAAGATGGATGAGGTGCGTACCGCGCGCTGGTGCTCCAGAAAGGATAGACATGCTAGTATCGCGGAGCCGAGTATGCCAATACTTCCCGCGGCAATACTGGCTCTGGTTCGGGTTTCATCTCGGATCGAGAGAAGGGCGACGAGACTCGTTTGCGATCCAAGTACTAATGTCCATGCGATCTTGAGTTCATCATGTTAGATCACAATCACTCTTTTATTGCGCATAGAAGGATCGACGGAAGAGAAATTAGAACATACCAACTTCAACGGCAATATGAAACAACCCTTGAATATCACCGGCTTTCTCCAAAGTCGCGTAATTCGAAAGACAGAAATACAAATAGCAACACAAAGAGGAATAATACAAAGAATCGTCTCTTCAAACAACAAAGTGAAGTCGAAATTAGACCCGCATTCCTTGACGATGGGTCCAAAGGTGTCCTCGACATGGAGGAGACAATTGGGAGGCGGCATTCTTCGGAATTCGGATTTTGATTCGATCAGAAACAAAAGAATGATCAACCCTCTGCAAAAATCAAGGGACGATCAGAGATCTAATCGAATGGCTTGTTGGTAGAATGGGCTACCATTCCAATTGAAGGATCAGGATCAGGAGCTGGGGTGTCGCTCGGAGGAATAATCAGCCCGATCGGATGGTAGGAACAACGAACTTTAATACGGGATCTGCTGACCTACGGTGCCTTTTGTACAACGTGAAAAGCCGCTTACTTAAATTAACAGTCTTTGAAGATGACCTGCATAGTTAAAGGATCTTTTCAAAATGATATACTTTCAAGTTGAAGGATTATCTTGGGCCTGACTAGCGGCTCGATGATTATCCTGGTGATGATGATCCCTTCCGGAATACGAGACTGATAGCCGGACATGGAGTAAAGAGGAGTTCTTACAGGTTTTGGGACGCTATCTGGCAACGTGTAGCTTGAGGGAATTGGTCATTCAGGCCTTTGGACGTATAAAGGATTTGGTCATAGCTCCCAAGACTGGCATTGACAGGACACACGGATACAAACAAGGAAGCTGGGACTGTCTAAGAGCTACATGTTACTTCAACAGCAGAATATAGTTAAGTCTAATATCTAACAGCAATAGAGCCAATGGTAGAGTTGCTTGTTGGGTTAGTGACAAGTGAATCCTTACTGTTGAATGTTTTTACCATTCGCGGTAACTGTTGCTTCCCTTGTATATCTTTAGGTTTTGAAACTACAAGACAAAACTGGGTTTATCTTTCGGAAAGGTTAGAAGTAATATTGTCTTCCTTTAATTAATTCATTGTTCTTTATGTTTATGCTCACATCCCCTCAGTTGATGTTTCCCAAGTCGAAAGTGATAAGATAAGATACGGTTGACAGGATAAGATAAGATAGGATTTAACACGGGGGTGGCAAACCCTACGTCGCCTCTCAATTATTGTGGCGTTACTCAGCTGTTCACCAACCCCTCGAGAGCATCGCATCAGTCGAGTTTTACTCACGATTCAACAATCATCAAAAACGACAATGGATACTCCATCGTCAATAAGCCTCAGACCAATCCTCCCTCGTCCAACAACAATACCAGACGCGACTCCATTACCAAGATCAACCAGCGACTTGGCAATACCCCGCAAAACCAAGGTCATCTCTGCTTGCCAAGCCTGCAAGCTGAAAAAGATAAAATGCGATGGTGATCGACCTGAATGTGGGCCTTGTATATCAAAAGGTCGAGATTGCGAGTATCCTGTTCAAGCGAACCGTTCAGAAATTCTCATACGGCAACAGCAAGCTTTACAAGAGAATGTTGAGTCATTCGCGGCCCTGTATCGGTATTTGCAAGAACGGCCTGCCAACGAAGCCAATAGTCTTTTTGAACGAATTCGCGATGGTTTCGGTATTGAAGCCGCCCTTGAGTTTGTGAAAAGTGAGGGCAGTAGTTCTGCTTTAGCTGGTGACGATCCGCCGAGTGCGAGAGTGAAATTGAGTCAGCAGATTCACGACTGCAATCTACTCTTTGAGAACGAGCTTTTATCAACCGAGACTTCTGAGGTTGCTGTTCAAGCTTTGCGCGATGGCGTGGATTGTTATTTCTTGTACCTGGGTACCATTTTTCCCATTTACACGCGAAGGGAAGCTGATTCCATCATTGACACTTTTCTTGCGAGTCAAGAAGCAAAAGCAGATCAGATCATCAGCAGGAAGATTGCATATGGAGAGCTACTAGCAATCTGTGCCCTGGGCTTCCAATATGATCGTCAGACTTTGCCAAATGGCAATGCATCTATTTGCACGCCATTTTATCAGAAAGCTCGGTTGTTTCTTGATTATGCCGTGGAGAAGGCTCCTCTGCGCGCAATGAAGATATGCTGCTGCTTGGGAATATACAATGTCATCGCCAAGTCATCATTGGCAATATCTTATACAGGTTGGTCTGCCATGTTCTTGTTGATATCTTACTACTAACCGAGTATCCTTGTAGATTGGGGTATTCTTCTAGGATCCTCAAGCGGACTAGGTGTTGGGAAGAGGCCCCCCGGTCTTTCAGAACAGGACTTTAACGGATATATCAAGACTTTTACTGCACTCACCACAGTACGAAGTTGGGTAACGGCTACGCTTGGGCATATCCCTAGCCCAGAGGTTTCCAGGTGTATTCATGTAAGTTGACTCCCGCGCGCATGAAGTGCTTCCTTGCTGATGGTCTGCCTGTCAGGAAACAAGGGAGCAGATAGACAATACCGGCGCTCTTGACTCCGCGGCAGAGGACCCTGTTATCGGCATACTTCAGCAGAAGATGGCTCAAATCACAGTCCTCAAAGCCAACATCCTCCGAACAGTAGCATGTTTCAGGGTTTTATCACCAGCTACACTGAGACAGATGCACCAAGATCTCGAGTTATGGCGATCCAGTCTGCCTGTCTACATGCGTCTCGAGGCTTTGGTCCATCCGCCAGAGATTTCTGCTGACCAGCGTCGGGTCACGTTCTACATGCACCTCTTTTACATGTCTGCTCTCATTCTCAAGACCAGGGCCCTGCTTGCTACTCGGAAGGATATAGCGGCATGTACCTGGGATCCGGAAGCCATCGCTGCTATCTTCGAGGGTATACAGGGAGCCCGCGGTTCAGCTCGGCTTTTGGCGCAGATTTACGAGGAGAAAGCCGTGGTGAAGAACTGCTGGTTAACTATGTAAGACGCCATCTCCTACATCTCATACTTTAGACCTTGAACCAAGCTAACGTAATATCAGATATCAATCCTACGTCACCTTCCTGATGCTGAACTTCACTGCGATCAAAAGCTTCCTTGTTGGTGGCACCGCGGCATTTAGGCAGCAAGACGTCATCCTTTCAAGCACGTGTATCGATATTCTTGCATTATGTGCCACTAAGGACAGGATAGCGTGCTCCTTTTACACTCGACTAACGAAATACCGGGATACAATAAAAGAGCAACTAGCAGAATACCCAGAAAACACACCAGAGGATTCTTTCTCGTACGAGGATGGGTCATTCGATGACGACTCATATCTATTTATCGAGTCAAGTGGCAATACCAAACTTCATCAGTTGATGTATGAACTACGGGAGTTGCTGTGCTATCCCTTGACACTTCTCAAGGGAAGTTCGGAGGCTAACATGCCGTACCCTACTATTGTTGAAGCATCTGTTAACGCCGACATCAACTTTGCCCATCACCTCGCCTCACCGTTCAATATGGCTGAAGATGAGGTCCCGATTGGCTTGTTCCCACCTGAGGATAGTCTCAAGGAGAGTCAAAACCGTAGAACCGAGACCGAGGGCTACGTAAGTGGCTCTGTGCCTTTTGGATGGGACGTTTCAGCCTGGAGAGGAGACCCAGGAGTTGGGGACTCGAATATTTCTTAAGCTATCAAACCATAATGCTTTCTTGCTCCACCTTTGTATTCACGTCATTGTTTCACAATGATGTTCTGCAAAGTATCTATCACAGTCTGAATCTCCTCACCTAATAATAGTTAGCAGTGCAAACGTCACATTTCCGCGGGACTTACGAGTATTATAGTGTGCCATGCTGACTCGAACAACGCCATCAGTAGTATCCAGATCGAGAACTTCCTTCACCAGGCGATGGGAGTAAAAGTGGCCATGCTTCAACCCGAGATTCGAGTTTGCTTCAATAGCTGCTATGACACTTCGAGAGTTCCAGCCGTCGATGGTGAAGCTAACAATAGGCAGCCGCTTGCTGGGGTCCGAACTCGGTTCTCCGTAAATCGTGGCGTCTTCTCGTTTGGTCAGATAATCGAGGAGCAAGGTCTGAATCTCCGTCTCTTGTTGAATACTCTTCTCCCAGCTTTCAGCAAGTAAGTGGTCGACCACAACAGATATACTCGCTATCAACTCGTAGCTCCCAGCGGAAAATCCAGCCTTGTCCGACAGACTGTCAGCCGGGTTGAAGTAGTGACCCAAAGGACGAAGCTGTTTCTGAGCCTCGCGACTGCCGTAGAGCATTGCAATGTGAGGGCCAAAGACTTTATACCACGAGAGGCAGTAGAAGTCAACTCCAAGATCCTTGACGTCAAGGGGTCGGTGAGGGGCATAAGCTACTCCATCGACACAAACAAAAACATTCGGGTACTCATGAGCAGCTGCAGAGATGGCCCTGATGTCGTGGATTGATCCAAGCAGGTTGGTACAGTGAGTCAAGGCAAGGAATCTCGTCCTGTCGGATAAGAGCGTTTTTAGACTCTCAGCTGTGAGCTTGGGGTTGTTGCCTTGACCTTCTGGGGTCCACCATTTGATGTTGAGTCCTTGTCGCTCAGCTAGGTCTAGCCATGGTGCGATGTTTGCTTCGTGGTCGAGAGTTGATACGATGATCTCGTCGCCTTGAGCAAAGGTGAGGGCCAGTGCGAGGTTGCGCAGCAGTTGGGTTGAAGAAGCACCGTAGACTAGTTTCTCCGTAAGTTGCATGTCCTGTAATCGCCGTGCAGGATGTTTAGAGTACCAATTTCATCAGGCAGTGCATTGATGTATCGTGCAGCTGCTTCGTAGCCTTTGTCCACTTTTGTCGCCGAGAGTTTGCCTACGCCATACGAGGCGCCCAACTGCACATTTGAGGTAATGAGGTAGTCTCGTATCCTGTAACAGGAGTCAGGACAGATTTAGCTTCGCTACTATCGCAGCACAACCCACGAGTCAGCTGCGGCCCCCAGAATTTGACTTCCACCCGCGTTGTCGAGAAAGACTTGGTCTTGCTGAAGAGCTGGGAACTTTGCCCGAAGCGCCTTGATGTCAAGCTGTGATTGAGACATCTTCAGATTGATGCGACGGTACTCTCCTTCAGAGCACAATTGTAATTGAGGCCAGGTTGAAGCTTTGGGAAGATAAGATGGAGCGGGGTAGACTATCTCGGCCCCGGTAATTATGATGCAATTATTCGGAGGAAATAATGCAAGCAAAAGAGGAAGGTAAGACAAAAGAAGCAGCTAGTATCAATAAAGAATATTAAAAATGCAAAATGCAGCTGTTCGGTAGAGAGACAGCCAACGGGAAGCCATAAGAATGCAACACCTTCAGCTGCAAAAAAGCCCAGAGATCAACCACATTATGAAAGGTTTCAGAGTATGGTACCATGATACTCCTTGTAATTTCACAAATAGAAATAAGCTGAAGTCAAACACATCATGCACAAAGCGAAAGCAAAAGGAATTAGGCATTGAGCTGTATCCTCGCTGAGCTACCCATCGTCTCACCGGTGAAGTCGGCTTCAAACAAATGACAGTGAGACATTGATCGCACAGTCAATCAGTGGAAGCTTTTCGAGCCTCGTATCACAGCATGTTGCTGCGTCTCATCATTCTCGGTAAGTAGCTACCACGTTCACTGTGAACAAAGCATCACTATCCCAGAGGTAGATTCACGGGCCACTTGGTGTCTTGATTCAGCTCCCTTGGCCCTGTGAATGCGAATCTCTTGACTGCAATGTAGATATAAGCTCGAGTTTTGAACGGGGGAATGGGAACCTCAGATCAACCATCTTCACACAACCCGAACAAAACCAACGAGAACATCACGACTACCTTTTACCAGCTTTTCACCACGCTAGAACCAGCAGATTAAACAGCTCCTCTGCAAATCAATCTCAATCACTTCCATTGTGCCATTGGCCAGTAAACATTCACAAAGCAACTAAGGTATAAATTAAAGCGATTACAAAGTAAGTCCCAACACCTACATACTCCAAGTCAACCAAACCCAGCCCATATAACACCTTTAAACACTAGCTAACCTACAGAGTCTCCGTTCAAGATGTGTCAATGGACAAAACGAATCGTCAAGTGCAAAAAGTGCGGGTATGAACTTGACGCAGAAAACTCTCATGCAAAATGTGAGAGCATGGTGAAAAAGGGGAAGTGCAGCGGAGAGAAGCCAGAAATAAAATATGAATCGGAGAGGGATACGGATGCCTGCCCCGAATGCACAAAGCCTAAACCTTATGCTGCAACTGCAGCTTGAACCAGGATGGCAAGGACCAGTAGGGGGAAGCTTTTGCGTCGTATGGTAGCTTAGCCCAGGCAGCAAAGAGTCCAAGCACTACAGCTACATCATCACATGAGAAAGATAGCTGTACCAAATATAACGTGATGCATCACTAAACTGAGATAAGCGCCTAGACAAGCTTCCAGCCACATGACTTAATCGTAGATATGCCCAAGTTGTCAAAAGGTATAATTGCCATGATTGGTCCGCTTAGCTACTAGTCAGCCAAGCTACCTTATTATATAAGGCGACTGGCACCTCCTCCTTTTACCATAGATATCAAGGTTCTTTAAACCCTCTATTATGTGCCCCTCTGCTGTGCGTGCCACACAAGTACAAGTCAGGGATGTTCAGCTCTCCAAGACAGGGATATGGAATTCCAGCATTTACAGACCTTAAATAGCTGCACAAAGGTCAGCGTGACGCAGTGTGACCTTTTTCTAAGTAACAACCCTGAATAGCATTTCAGATGCGTAGGTATATGTCACATAGCCTGAAAGGACTCACAGATCTCTGGGCTTGTGATTATCGCCTCGTTCCTTGCTGTGGATGGTAAGACATGATTTCCTCCATGGCATGCCTGCGTTATTCACCTCCTTGGCGTACGATGACTGATTCAGTACCTGATGATGCGGATTCTCTTTGCCAAGGCAATCGTTCACGACGACCACTGATGTGATAACATGTGTACTTAAGGTAGACTACAGATCCGACATTATGGCTACCACATTCTCCCCAAATCACCTTCCAAGCAACGTGATACTCGCACTACTCTACAACTCCACTGAGCAACCCTTCTGACAGCAAACATGTGCACATCTAACGTCAAAATCTCCAAGTGCAAAACATGTTACCGAGAAATTAAGAGGAAACCCGGCAGAACTAAACATTGCAAGGGCTGTAAGGACGGGACTGGTTGCACAGGGATGAATCGCCCAGAGACCTATCGGTGGCGCAACAAGAGACATTGCAGTCATTGCGCCGACTACCACGAGAGCTGTGACCCTGGAGGATATTTGCTCGTATGCTTGTTTGGCATTTGTGCTGGATGTTAAAGCTTCTATTTATCCTCAAGTTTACATGATCAACCGCATAACCTTATCACGGTGAATCATAAGATAAAGTTTCCCTTCTCACATGTCTTATTCAAGAGCCTCCTTGGCGCAAGATGACTGATTCAGTACATTGAAATGGTGATTCGCTATGTCTAAAGCAACATTCTCACACATTCACACGGCCATTGGCGGGGCGGTTTGAGTACTTAAGAGAACCATGGACCTAGCACTACGGTCTCTTCATTCTCCCAAGACATCAATTTCCAAGCAACCCAACACTCACACTACTACACACTCCACTAGACTATACTTCCAACAGCAAACATGTGCACAGTTGACGTCGAGGTCAAGAAGTGCGGGACTTGCTTCTATGTGATTAGGAAGACACACGCCGCGCCTAAGCCTTGCAAGAGCTACAAGGATGGGAAAGGATGTAGCGGGATGAGTTACCCAGAGACTTACAAGTGGCTGAAAAAGAGCCACTGCCCTGAATTCAAGAAGAAGGATAAGAAGTAAAAGGAAACAGGTTGGCGGATCGAACCAAGGGGTAGGATACTGCGCGTTGGCTCTCAGCCAGCAGAATAAATACCGTTATTGAACCACATCTGGATTATCTATGCGAAAGTCGCTGTGTCGTAATGTAACAGATCTCCAAGTAACACCACTGAAGACTACCATCCACAACCCCTCTTTCGGCATAACCCCTCTTTCGGCAAGCAAAATAAAAAAAGCTTCACCAAAACTCATCAACTTCACTTACACAAATATTGGCCAAAATAAATAGCTACTTGGAGGACAATGCCTTTGCTGATTATAGAAATGATTGGAGTTAACGATTGTAGCCCTCTAAGGCTGTGCGGGGTACGCGATGTATGCATACCGTGATATGGAAATAGTGTTAATTCGATCATCAAGTTCTTCACCGCTCTTTTCTGTGTTTTTTGGCCTTTATCTGCGACAACATATGAAAATGCCTAGGTCAAGACTTCGATGGAAATACACAGAGGAAGATATGGCAGAGGCCATATTGGATGTTACTGATAATGGTTTTTCACCTCCTCAAGCCGCTCAGAGACGGGGAGTGCCTCGGAGCACTCTAATCGACAGACTTAACGGCCGCGGGGCCGTGAAAGAGCAGGTCCACCCTTATCGACGCTTGTCCAAGAGCCAAGAGGATAGGCTCGCTTTCTGGATACTCCGTCAGGAGTCTTTGGGCTATGCTCCGTCCCACAGTCAGATCCGCGCTTGCGTCATGGGCCTGCTGAGACAGCAGGGCGAACATCCCGACTTAGGACGCAACTGGGTGAACAAGTTTATCAATCGCCGTGCAGACCTAAAGACCAAGATGGGCAGACGTCAAGAAGCCAAGAGGTTCGACTCTTTCACACCTAGAGCGGTTCATTGGTACTTTGATATCAGGGAGGGCCAATATGGTTGGATCAAGCCTGAAAACACCGTCAACGTTGATGAGGGGGGTATTATGACTGGTTTCGGCAAGCATTCACCTCTATTCCCTGTCAATGCTTGAGTTTTGGCCGACTAACCCTCTGGGTTCAGGTCTAGATAGCCTGGTCGTTGGAAGCGCGGACCCGAAGCGCAAGGCGTTTCTCAAGGGACCACAAACTCGGAATTGGACTTCATTCATCGAAGCTATCACCGCTGACGGCCGCGCTTTAGTTCCTGGCATAATATTCAAGGGGAAACAACTCCAGAAACAGTGGTTTCTTGATGAGTTCAAGCAGATAGCAGACTGGTATTATATAACATCGCCCAACGGGTGGACTGATGACCACATAGGCATTGAATGGCTTGAAAGAGTTTATCTGCCCCAGACTACGCCTGCCGACGACTCTGATGCGAGACTGATCATTTTAGATGGTCATGGAAGCCATGCAACAGTATGTTCACTATTTTCCCCACCTCAAGATCAGTGCTGAGTGATGGAAGGATGAATGGATGGCCACGTGCTTTTTGAACAACGTTTATTGCTGCTATCTACCAGCACACTGCTCTCATGGACTCCAGCCACTGGACAATGGAGTATTTAATGCGTCGAAGGCTGCATATCGACGAGAGTTGGAAAAGTTCGCTTCGTTGACTGATTCCGCTCCAATGGACAAGGTCAATTTCATCAGGGCCTACGCCAAGGCTCGCCGAGTTGGAATGACCAAGAAGAACATACTGTCTGGCTGGAGGGTCACTGGGAACTGGCCAATTTCACGTGCGAAAGCGTTACGGCACCCTGAAATCCAACAAGATGGGCCAAACGGCAACCCAAGAGTGACTCCTGAACCCAGGCCTTATCTTGGCTCGGACGATACGCCACAGACGAGCCGTCAAATTCGTGACCTTGGGTTGAACAAAACACCAAAGACGCGGAGACGGTATAACGTGATAGCCAAGGGCTTTGAAGCTCAACAGCAGACAGTAGCGGCGCATACGCAGAGGATTGCCAGCCTAGAGGAAGAATTGGCTCGGCTGAAAAGAGGGAAGAAGAGGAAGGCGGTGCCGAATCCTAACAAACGTTTTATGACTCTTGGAGAGACTCTAGCTAGTAAAGAGTGCATACCAGAAGGGGCGACTCGTTATATGCCTGTTGGGGTGGAATTTGTCTCTTCAAGCGAGCAAGAGTCAGAATCGGAGGCTGGTTCTGTCATCGAAGTCAGAGAGGAAAACATACCCCACCAACCACCCAGGCGGTCGCGGCGGGTGGCGAAAAAAACCAGAGTACAATAGATAAACCCTATTTATGATTTATGAAACGAAAAATTTCACGGATTTCTATCAATTCGGTCAAGTTCTGTGTAAGTGAAGTTGTTGATTTTTGGTGGTGGCTTTTTTATTTTGCTTGCCGAAAGAGGGGTTATGCCGAAAGAGGGGTTGTGGATGGTATTTCAGGTGTTGCAGACATGCACCACATAACCTGAGCCGACTCTCAAGTCTCTTCAGTTGTGAATAGCTCATGTGAGAAAGCTTAGACCGCTACTTGTGCTGAATAAACAATTCTTCAGCGCGAGACAGTTGGATCAATACCGAGAAGTGCATCTCACAAGTGTGCAGAAAGAAGCACCTCATACATTCACCACGACACTGCTGGCAGGGCAGTCAAGGTATTTAGAGGAAGAGCACCACTCCGAGCCACCACTTTCCCATGCCATCAGTTCCCCAATACCTGGTTATTTAGGCCATTATCGAGCTCAAGCTCAAAAGTCTCTTAACGTGTACCGTTCCGGGGACATTGCAAAACCTGCGGCAACGAAATCACGAGAACAATGCATGTTCAGTCATGCCAGAGATATCTAGAACGAGGGCCCGCTGCCTGCAACAAGGTAAAACATAAATTGACAGCTGGCAGATTTACCAGTGCAGCCATTGCAGGAAGGAGAAAGAGGAGGACAAATGTATTATTTGCAAGCCTCGAAGCTCAACCCCGTAGTTATCAGTCTCGTAAGGGGAAGATATATGGAAGTGAATAAGTGAGGAAGATGCTGGTTATTAGCTACACTGATGCAGTGACTCACTAATACAACCCGATTTCAAGTGTCACGTTGAGACGTTTGGCCATTTGCTTAGAACTGCGGTAAGACGAATATAATTAGTGACTGTATCCGATATCTCGACAGGAAGATTGAGGGAATGAATGAGAAGCATATTGAGATCGAATGGAAATATATCAGATGACGCTTATATCTCTGTTCTAAGATGTGTTCATCAACGATTCACTGACAGATGAGGGCTATAAATTATATCACCAGAACTTCAATTTCTCTGCCCTAAACTTCAAAAATTATACCCTTCCTAGCAACATTACAGTCTGAAACAAGCCCCATGCTGTAACCGGTCAAATTATACCTAGTGCAGCAATCTTCACCCGAGATGTGCACCACCAAACGAGACGTCATCAAGTGCCGCGTCTGCTTCTACGTTCTGACAACAACTCACCAGCCTACGATAATGTGCGAGGGCTATAAGAAGGATGGTCGCTGTACCGGGGTTCATTACCCGACTTCGGTGGAGTATACGAACAATGACCGATGTCCAACTTGTATGGCGAATAAGAAGAAGGAGAAGAAATAAGTTCATGTATATAGTAAAGCTTTATATCTCTTGGGGTAGATAAAAGCAAGCTATTGTTTTTCCTTTAGGAGTGGAGAAATACAATATGTTACACGGGTGACATACTCTTGTCTATATATTTAATGAATACATCTAACTAGTACAAAACATTTGCAGTGAGCCCAGAGACTTTCTCCTCAGTCTATATCCTTGATCCTATGTAACTGTCTTTTGAGTGACAGGCTAAACCTTTGCCATCAACTTCTTGCTGATTCTCAACCGTAAGATAACAGTCAGAACAGTAGCAATAGCTGACATCGAGCCAGCGTAGAACATGGCAGGTCTATATGCACCCAGTCCCTCATCTGCACCTCCATGTGCTTGAAGAAGGAATCCAGCAATGGGAGACCCCTGCAAGTGTTAGACCGGCTTTATCATCGATCAAGGGGAGTGATATGTGGACTTACGAAAAGATAACCAGCTACCCAGCCAACAATCACCATGCCCATAGCTGTTGATACTCTGGCAGATCCAAAGACGTTTCCAACAACAGTTGGCATCGAGGAGAAGAATCCGCCATTCATCAAACCATTGAGCACTGCGAAAACCGCCAAGGGCGCGAGTGTCGTCGATGCAGGCCAGAGGGCAAGCATAGTGAGTGAATTGCCGAGGAAGAAGGCTGCAAGTGTATTCAACGGCCCGAAAGTATCGCAGAGATATCCACTGATGATTCGACCAACGGCAGACGCAAAACTGAAGCCTGCAACAAGTCCAGCGCCAGTGCTTGTACTCAGACCCATCGATCGAGAGTACAGAGGAAGGAAATAAGGTGGAACGAGAAGAGGGAAGATACCAATGCCAGCAGCAAAGAAGAGAATAGCAAAGTTGAGTTGTCGGAAGAGTCTCCAGTCAACGATTCCGGTCTTTGCCAACGGCGTCCTCTCCTTGATCAGAAGGGCAGCTGGAAGTCCCGAAACAGCAATCAGGATACCAGTGATGCGAAAAGCCCACTCAACGCTGTGCTTCTCAATAAGCGAGTTGGTAGCGATGCTCATAATTGCACCGCCAAAGCCACCACCAGCATAGACGATACCGTTGGCCAATCCCCTCTTCTTCATAAAGTACTGCGCCGGAGCGAGGGAGAAAGACATGAAGCAACCAGCCATACCAAGGCCGAGAGGAATACCGGGGAGAAAGATCAATCCAACGAGGTGATCTGTGACGAAGCTCGCACCAATGAGAGAAAGAGCCATGAGAATGATTCCAACGGAGCTGAGTTTGCGTGTCCCGAATGTCCGTAGCATTCTTGACACGATTACTCCGACCGTAGCCATCAAAGCTGGTGATAACGAGCCACAGAAGGATAAAGCCAGAGGAGATCCGACGTTTCGTTCAACGAGGGCATTTTGATACACACCCCAGACGTAGCTGAGTCCGATAACCCACCATGCGACGACGGCGCAGGCACCGATTACAACCCAGCCGTGGCCACCGTCGGGGACAGTGCTATCAGCGATACGTGAGGCTTCAAGTGCTGGGTCATCAGACTCTGGATGGCTTGTTGAGGCATTTTCTGCGAGACCTGCTCTTGTCGGACGAAGAGTCGAGGTGGTGTTGGCTTCGTAGGTTGTGCCGTTGCCGTAGGCTTCAAGCTGAACGGATGTAGTCGTCGACATGATGTCGTCGCAGCCAAGGTATTTCAGTGTTTGGCGGAGCTATGATACCATGCGCCCTTTTCTCGATCTGATGATGTAGGAAGATATTTGGAAAGAAAGGAAGTCTGGTCGCCACGAAGATACTTATCCTTAATGTCAATTGAAGGGCGCGTGTTACATCATCAGTCGCGCCCAGAATTGCCAAGACCGCCAGAATACCTTAAATTGATCGCGTTTCCAGAAACGGGTCTGCAAAAATATTGTCTTTTTATTCTTGTCACTTGGTAATACAGAGTTACTCGTGAATGTAGCTACAGTGAGTGAGTGCGAGCACCAATTACTGCATCTTCAACTAGTCAATTGAAGCTGGTTTTGGTGCCTGGAATGAGGCGTCAAAACAAAGGCGTGGGGTCATTCATTAATTGGCTCATCTACGTATCTCACCCTTTCGCTAGTGATGCGAGATAGGCTCTTTAGCATCACCCTTTCGCTCTAAAATGCTATACTTATGCCTTGGAGCAAGCGGGGAATTTTGGCTATTGATGTGGCCATTACATATTTAATAAATTGGATCTTCCTAATTCCCTGCGCGTCCTGGCAGCATTCTAAAAAGAAATGTCAAAAAATGGCTGACATAAAGATCTCACTTATTATGGTGACGCTGGATACTCGCGTCAGACGTATCTTGTCCAGAGGGTACTGTACCCTTCACGAGTGGGTGGTAAGCGGCGCCTCTTCCCGTGCCGCAGAAGGGCGAGGAGAAAGCAGAAGGTGTTCGGGAATCCTCTTTCTCTGCCAGGCCAATCATCCGTATCAGGAGGACGTGAAAGGTGCTACGTATTTCATCGCGGTACGGCTAATGCATGCCACAGTGCCGGTGAATCTGATTGTCAGACGTGACGTTAGATTCAATTGCGTATTAGACGTTTAAACACTTAAATAATATAAAAGGTTAAGGATATAAACAAAACCTTAATCATTTACATAGAAGTTAATAATACGCCATTCTATATTATATATATAAGGGATAAACTAATTGCCCTTCTTAATGCCTGATACAATCCCTTACAATGGAAAGTCGGTTATCTTGATGTCTTAGATTCATGTCTTGGAACCCCCTCTTTGGTGCAGTATAAAGAGATCTGCTGTTCCTCCTTGGAGTCAATCCATTTCAACTTCTTAATACATAAGACAGTCTCGACAGCTCCAGATAATACCTTGCTTAGAGGTAATTTAACATGGCAACCGTTGAAAGTCCAACTTCGAGGAAGCATCCAGAACATGATCGTCTCATAAGTCTACCATCCGGCGGTTCTGCTCAAGCTCTGATTCCCTTGACACAATTGTACAACCCACCATCCCCGCACAAAGTCCACCCAAGAGCAGATTGGGTCATCGAGCAAGTTCGGCAATGGCTGTATCCGCATCTCGAGCAACTCGGCGCCGAGAAACTCATCAAGGGCATCGTCAACGAGACGGCGTCCATGTGCGCCTATCTCTACCCGAACGCTGACGACGAAGGAATCTTTCTTGCCACGGGTTTCATGACCGTTCAATTTGTCAACGACGACGTCTTCGACAGCGCTGCCATTCTTAAAGCGATTCAGGCGACTCCGACGGGACAACGTCTGGCCAGGGACCTCCAGAAGCTACGCGACACTCCACGGCGGCTGGCAGACGGTATCATATGCGCTGCGCGTATAATGCAGGATCCCCTCGCTTATAAACAGTGCCGCGGGATGATGTCGGACTTGGAGACAGATCCGTTTCTTTTGGGAGCTATCCACGAGCTTTCCATGCGCATGCATATCCGCGGTCGTCGGATTAGCGAGAAGCGCTTCGAGATATGGCTGGGCAAGTTCTGCGCAGCCATGAAGGACTTTGGCAAGTCTCATACTCTGATCTACAACGAGGCCAAGAACATGACCGTTGAAGAATACGCGGATCACAAATTACGGAACTCGGGGATGATTTACACGGTTCTCTTCGTGGAGCTAGCTATGGGTACTTTTCTCTCCGATGAACATAACGCTGTTCCGCGGATCCGTCAGATGCAGCAGCATTGCGAGAAAATTGGCTCATTACTCAATGAGATCTTCTCATTTGAGAAAGAGACATTTTCCGAGGATACGAATAATCTGCTGGCCGTGCTGATGCATACGGAGAAGATTAGTCTATACGAGGCAGCGCGACGAGTCGCTGCGATGTCGCAAAGACACGCCCAAGAGGTGAAGCGCATTCAGATTGAGATCGAAGCCAGTTATAAAGATAACAACGAAGAAGAGACTGGTCTTAGATCATACGTGGCGGACATGGACTTGTTTGGTGCAGCGTGTTGGTTCTGGCAACTTCAGGGCACGAAGCGATACTTCTCCAAGACGTCGCCATTCGTTGAACTGCGATTGGCAGACGTGAATTCGAAGGCAGAAGGTGAAGAAGCCCATTGAGATTGGCATTGTATGGCATATGACCTCCATCTCATTAAATGACATTCCGTTCAACACCGAGATGGCTACCATTATATTACAAGATACTATATGGCTTTTAAGAAGTCTCTGTTTCCTTTTTGGCCTAAAGCCTTTACTATAAAATTTCTAAGAGTAGGTTTTAACACCTAAAGTGAGTTATGAAAATAAAGGCATAGGGTTATTATCTTATAAATATAACTTAAAGAATTTTAATACCCCTCCTCTTAGAAGTAGCATTATACCAATTCTCAGAGGCAGTCATTATACCAATTCGTTCAAATTCTATATTATCATCCGTTTTCGCCCGTAACACCAGACCCCAAGACCTCTGCTTTAAGCGAATTTCCGAGAAACCTAGCTGTAGACAGGTCACTTCTGCGGCTTGGTCTCCTCTTCTGTGATACAAGTCAATATCAAGGCTGACGATAAGTTCCATATCGTTGTCACATTCAAAACCAGTGCGTAGCGTCCATTGGACTTGGTTTTGCCCAGCGAGGAGATTAGAAGCGACGAGAACAGCATCTACAGCGTAGCCCGAAATAACCAATCCATAGTTGCGAGCTGCTCTGGTTGGGTCGATAGTCCATGACTCCGGCGGGGTCCTGAGAATTGTAGCTTTCGAGACGAATCCAGATAACGGGGATAGCCTCTCGTATAACCATGTTCCTTCAATCGACGCCCAAGACCAGCTTGGAAAGTGACTATTACGAGAATGTCCCCTATCACGTTTAGACCACAGCAGAGAATTCTCCAACGTTGACGACCAGAGTCCCAAGATATAATTGCCTAGTAGCGGAGAGTTCTTATTCTGGCTGTTGTTGATCTGCTTCGCCAGCCCCATGATTGCGTTCAGTTTATCGGTGCCAAAGGTCAAGTGACGAATGAGGTACATCTCAATGAGATCGTGCCAGTATACTCCAAGATCAGTGCCGTTGGCCAAGGCATGGTAGTGCGAAACACGAAATGGTTGGATGGATTTTTCCGGTCTGCCATTCCATATGTCAGGAGGCATACCGCATTCGCACCACAGCTCGGAGGAGCACTCCCAAACAAGCTCTTCTGGTCCAAGATGCAGTATTCTCACTGGCATCAGCCTCTCTTGGAATGCCCATGCACGGGAGAATAGGGGCATAGACAACGGCGGGTTCTTTTCGAATCGTATGCTCTTCATGCTGACATGGACAGGAATCTTTGTAACCTTAACTTTTGTTGAGCCATCTGCTATGCTGAGAACTATAGGCTGGCTGGTAGATCTGGGAAAACACGTGGCAGTCGTATCAGGTACGGTATCGGCTGCAACAGTCAACAATGCGTTGCCGTAATAATTTGCCATGTTAGGCCCTTCTATCGTCCAATCCGCCATATTGTCTTGGATGATACAAAGTGCATCGATCCATACGTATTGCACTTGAAGAAGGCGTGCAATCTGTACCACATCTTGGAATAAGACTGGCAAGGCACTCCAGGCAATCCCCTTCTTGTGGCTTTCCAAGTTGCAACGGAGGGTCCGCAGTGGAAGAGAGCTACCCCAGCAGTAACTCAGAGCTATATATGGCTTTGGCACGGTAATTATGTCTCGCAAGGCAACGTCTAACGTGTTCTCGCCCAGATTTATATCGATCAAGCGCGTGGGGACTCTTTGCTGATTATCAGGAGGTTTGCATGTGTTGTGACTGGATTCACATAAGGACATCCACAACCGTATCTGGTCAATGTTTATAGTTGGTGATGCTCTACTCACAAGGTCGCTCTTGTTTGTTTCGGCGATAGTACTTGGTAACGTGCGAACTTGCCTACCTCCTTGAGGAACATGCGGTAGTGCTAGCGGGTTGTTGAGTTCCACTACGCAAGAAGGTAACCGAGCTATTACATTACAGTCAGTATTGTATTAGTTCCTTTATCTGTTACACGGTAGAGGCCATTACTGGAAGTGGCACGTCCGAAGATGGAGAAGAAAGAAAACAGAAAAGGAAACTTACCATTAGCAGGCAGCCAGTAAAAGTCAAACCATTCTCGGGGAACGCCACGAACGACATCGCTGGCTATACGCGCAATGCCAATCCTCAGCCACTGAGCGCTGTTCTCGTGAAGAGTAAAGCCAAAGGCCGTCGTGTCGTTCCATGAGCCAAATCCAGGAAACATACGGGATACACCATCCCAAATTAGTTGACAAGAGACACATCCAGACTCTCCACAAAGGCGAACTTCTGACAAAGACGGCTGCTCCGGAAGGGTTATAGTAGACAGTGGGTGCGCCAATAACCTTTGGAAAACACTGCAGGATGAGCTGATGAGTCTTGTTAGAAGCCGTCATCATTGTGTCTGTCATCCAGCCATGGCTTATGTACGGTATATTACTGATCGTGGGGGACAAGTAGAAGATTCTCACGCAGTATCAGACTGATCTTAACTGCCTAAAAAGCACGTGAAGTTAGGCAGCCATTTGGTATGATGTGGCAGCAGCTGATTGATCAGTTTTACCACTCGAATTTAATAAAGTAGGACTCTACTTCAATTTAAAGTTTCTATCTTATATTTAATTACATTGACTAAAAAGCATCATACTGCCGACGAAGCAATTAACCTCAATACCCTGAAGAGACTCGCCTAGCAATGCCTGAAAATACCTGTCCTGATTACCGTCTTGCGCATGTTACAGTTATAGATTTTCTGCGAGAATTATTTCCAAATGTCCCTGCCGCGGATTTCCAGCTCCAGGTAAATAGTTATCCTGAAGTGATGTTATATGTCGCTGCCCTTGCAAATTGTTATTATAATACTATTAAATAGACTATAAATAGCGAATATGTATTTAAAGCACCTCGATTACTTACTAGAGTAAGAATCTTTACTATGTTAAAGTAAAAAAGACTGACTTTATATTATAGAAAGAATGGGACTTACTTTATACTCAGCGAGATTAATCATGTTAAATTAGCTACTAGCTAGATATAGATAAGGCACCCTAGTGAATGATAACTCAGCTTTATTCTTCCTTTCTAATATGCTTCTCTGACACGTCACCATTCGTTGAGCTGCGACTGGTGGGCGCGAATCTAGAAGCAGAAGCTGAAAAGGCTGATTAAAATTGCCTGCTTCTCGCTCAAATGACATTATATTCTACACCAAAATTGACTACTATCATTGTATAAATACTCCATAAGTGGTTAGGGTCAATCCGTCCCACTTTCGCTTCTGTTTGACCCAGAGCGTTCGCTGCAAAAATCCTCGAAGCAGGTTTCGTTGTTTGGAGTGAGTCGTCAAAATAAAGGCGCGGGAGCGTCATCTCACTTATCTCACCCTCCATTTCACTCAAATGTCATCATATTCTCCATCACATTGGCCACCATCTGGGTATAAATTGGAAACCTTGATGAATGTCAACTCTCCTTTATTTCCCATTCCATTGCGCTCAATCCATATCACGTTTCCCTTCACTTGAACACTTCAACACTCAAACTCACTCAAATCTCATAATGACCTCATCACAAAACGACCCTACAGCTTTGACTCGAAGCTTTCACTACAAAACTTCAGCACACAGCTATGATGTGAAATGGGGTTCATTGGGTGATCCCAAATCTCCCCCTCTCATATTTGTTCACGGAACTCCCTGGTCATCTCGCGTCTGGGTCCCTTTCGCCCTCTCACTGTCACGTCAATTCCACGTGTATCTCTTCGACAGACCTGGTTTCGGCGACACGCCTGCAGAGAAAAAGTTAGATCCAACAAAGACCAGCTCAAACGCGATTGAAGAGTATGATAGTAACCTCGCGCGACAAGCAGAGGTGTTTGCTGCGCTCTTCAAATCCTGGCAAACAGACTGGACTCACGAAAAGGCTCACGTCGTAGCCCATGATAATGCCGGTCTTGTCAGTTTGCGAGGATATCTCCTCCATGACTTGCCATATGCAAGCCTGTGCCTCATCGACGTTGTCGCGATTGGACCATTCGGTCAGCCTCTCTTCAAAGTCATCGCTGAGAATCCCCAGCTCTTTGAGCAACTCCCCAATACAGCTTTTGAGGGAATTTTAGAGAGTTATATCAGCGATGCGGCATATTACGAATTGCCAAAGGAGACAATGCAGATGCTCAAAGAGCCTTGGCTTCGGGAAGGTGGAAAACGAGGCTTCATTCGCGAACTGTGCCAAGCCAACTCCAGGTCCACGGAGGAAGTGGAGGCGAGATATGGAGAGGTTGGGCCGAAGCTACCAATCAAGATTATCTGGGGAGCTGATGATAAGTGGCTCCCAGTCGAAGTCGCGCACAGATTGGGGAACTCGCTCAAGGCTAAGGAGGTTATCGTTATCGATAAGGCTGGTCATCTCAGCATGATTGACCAGGGAGCACGTATTGGAGTTGAGCTGGGCTTGTGGCTTAGTGCTGCTCCGAGCAGATAATAATGGAGACTAGCTTCACTATGTTATAATGAAGAGGATAATGTATTTCCATCTCTTATTGAGAGTATTCTAGTTATTCTTATTGAGCTGGTGTGAGGTTGTTATAAAGTGACTTGTTGTGTTCTGCATCTGGAAGAAGGACAACAATACTCAACGTCAAGAAATGGTTACAATCTCCAATAATTAGTATAACGCCATATAGAAATAAGACAGAGTGAATATAAAGCATAATGATATTTCCGTGGCAGCATTATTTCCTGTACATTGTGAACTTGATGTCGTCTCCCCCTCATCGTGATTTCTAGAACACTACCCTATACCAACTGACTCAGCGGCCTTGGCAAGATTAGGTTTAGCATCTGCTATTTTTACTGCAAGGGCGCTCCAAGTCTCGGGCTCTCGGACATTGATCGAAGGTAACCGAAACCATGTGTCGCACACGATCTGTGCTACGTAAATCTCGCACTACTCAAACAAGGCTACGGCTCCATACAACAGTCACAAAAGCTTCAAAGTGGGATTTATCGTATTGCAATAAAAGAACGAGCTCGCGAGCCATCATCCATGCTTGCCCCTTGTTCATCGTTGCAATTGTGTATCCGAAACAAACCTTACTTACGAGCTGACAGGAGGATTCATTCTGTGCCTGACTAAATGAACAGAGTCCACCAGGATCGTCAGGGCAAAGTCGATGATGCTATCAGGATGCCTCGACTCCATCAAATCATCTCAGCTCTACGGTTTGAACATGCCGATAACACGGCCCAACTCATCCGATCTACATGCTGGCATCAAGGAATCAGCTGAATTGTTCCCCATAAACAGTGACGAGTTACCCACCGGTTAATTACGCGTCAGAGCACCCGTCTCCACCGACAAGGATTGCGTTACGCAACGGTACCCAGTATTAACGGGTCAATCTTCATCTCCCCCCCTTTCGATTGCCTTATCAGTAACAGAAATGGTCAAACCAACATAGGCTCTAGCTGAAAAAAAGTTTTGCCAGGCGCAGCAGATAACACTGTCGCGTTCTGGGGTTTTATATACCCACCAGAGCCTACCATTCTCTCCCACTTACCTAAAGTTTGCTTGCGCATCTTTATTTTATTTTCGTTTTTCTCGTGGTAGGCCAACGTTGCATTCTTTTTAAAAAGTCACTCGTTCTTTGTTGCTACCTGCTACGACTTTCGCTCGTTTTAATATTAATTTATTTATTTTACTTTTCTTTACCCGCCCCACGATGTATTATTCCGCGTGGTCCAAGATCGCCCTTGCGGGTCTTTTTGCTTCGGCCACTGCTCAGACCTACAGCGAGTGCAACCCTATGAAGAAGTGTAGGTGAATAGTATCCGCTTTGTTTCTTAGCATGCACTGATTATATGCCAGCATGTGATCCTAACAAAGGTCTTGCTTCTTCATCATACTCGGTCGATTTCACGAAAGGTGCTGATGAGGACAATTGGGAGGGAACTGGCCATGGCACTGTCAAGTATACTTCTGATGGTGCTGAGTTCACTGTTGCTAAGCAGGGCGATTCACCCACCATTCAGAGCAAGTGGTACATGTTCTTCGGTCGCATGGAGGTTCACTTGAAGGCTGCGCCCGGAACTGGTATCGTCTCATCTGTTGTTCTTCTTTCCGACGTTCTCGACGAGGTCGACTGGGAGTGGCTTGGAGGTAAAGACGGAGACGTTCAGACCAATTACTACGGCAAAGGAAACGATGCAGCCGATACTCGAAGCGCTACTTTCCCAGTCACCAACGCCCAAGAGGAGTTCCACAACTATACCATTCACTGGACCAAGGATTCTTGCGAGTGGTACATCAACAACGTCGCTGTTCGTTCCCTCAAGTACGCCGATGCGCTTGGAGGAGAGAACTACCCTCAGACTCCCATGCGCGTCAAGCTTGGTATCTGGGCTGGTGGCGACCCTGACAACGCTGAAGGAACTATTGAATGGGCTGGTGGAGAGACTGATTACGCTGGGGCTCCTTACACCATGACTGTCCAGAAGATCATGATTGAGAATCTCAACCCCGCTGATAGCTACACCTACAGCGACGAGACAGGTTCCTACAAGAGCATTAAATTCGATGAGAAGGACAGTGGTAGTGCCGACGATGAGGAGTCATCAACTGCTTCCGAAACCGCCTCAAAGACATCTTCCAAGACATCCTCTTCTGAGTCGACTTTCACCACCAAGGCCACTACTGAGACTGACTCCGAGGCCTCGACAACAGCATCATCCGACGACTCTGCCGAGACTAAAAGTACTGATTTCAAGAACAACAAGGCGGAGACAACTAGCGCTGATGCAACTTCGTCCGAGAGCAGTGCTTCAGCTTCGGCTACTGATGGTTCAACTAACAGCGCTGCTGGAAACTGGCCCAAGATGTGGTTGGCTCTTGGAGCAACTTTTGCTGCTATGGTCATGATGTAAACCTGAGACTTTATTGTATATAGAGTGGCCAAGTTCTGTGCGAATTGGCTTGCGTTAAGTCTTGTCGTAAATACATACTTTGACTCTACATTGCTCTTGTGACGAATGTCGTTGACGCGTTTGTAGAACCAAACCTGCTCATTCTGTTCTGCCTCAATGATGCCATATCTACTCCGTAGCAAATGCGACATGACTTTGTGCGCCATATCAATGAGCTTGACGCCTGGCTACCAACGCATAGAGGCGCCATTAGCGGCCACTTCCTGAGCAGATACGTTAATTACAAACGCCTAGATCGAACTGAACGTACACTCGAGTGAGATAATTGGCGATCTCTAAAATACAGAACTCAATCATGACCCTATTTTGTAGCCAGTAAATAAACCATCCATTGCTTCAACTACATAACTACTTGCTGGCCATAAGGTTAAACTTTAGGTTGCTAACACAGGTGATGAGGACACGATGCATCCATTGCTTCATATCTCGAGTACACTTTCCATCTTGTTGCTGCCGGCCTTCGAGTATTATAAAGTCATGTGCACATTTCTGATAGCATTGGAAATGCAAGTTCAGATCAGGGCTCGAAAACTGAACCCTTTCCTTCAAAGTGACCACCTGGTCCCGAAAGACTTCATGCGCTCCAACAGTCACGTAAAGCTGGCTTAAGACAGATGCCATTCGACTAAACAGGACTTGTCCCTGTCTAGTGGAAATGCTGAGCTAGTAGGCAACGGTCATCACTATACCAGCATATAATAGACGTAGAGCTTGCTTGAGCTTCTCCCACTTTGAGAATGGAAGAGTCATGGCTTGTGGAAATATGGAATTACAGAGATTGGCCGAGTTAACGGTTAAATACGCTTCCAGCCTCAGGTTTCAGCTGTAAGTTGAAATGGCATCACTGTGTTGAGGAACATGGTCTAGTATTTGTTACACTCCAGGCATCTCAAACTGAGGAAATCCCCGTGGGGTACTGGGGCCCCAGAATCCTGACCTCGGCATGAGCTTGGTTTTGACTTGATCATCTTTAGTTAACGGGCCTTACGGAATGGAAGCTCGAGTTGCCCCAACTAACATCAAGCCTAATTACGGAATCGTGCCGTCGGCAATAACGGAAGCACTCCGCATTTACTCTGGCTTTTAATTATTGACTTGGAGCCTGTAAATCTGAACAGGCGGTCTATTCGTCGACGCTTTGGGACTAGCTTCCGAAGATCTGTGGAGGGAATTGGTATCTAACAGGAGCTGAATTACTTGAAAACATCATGGTCATGATCCTGGAAATGGCTTCAATCCGGTACAAATATCAACGTGGCTGTTAATTAAAACGAAGGTGGATGAGAGCAACTGAGTTGTCGCATTTCCTTACAGAATTCCCTGACATTTTATCTGGGAAAATAGCATTTATACTTAACCATGCGAGGACGGGTCTATTCCGGCTCTTGCAGATCCAGGTACTTCGGAATGCGGAATGACTCCAGCCATAAACTAACTATATTAGTGTCTAATAAACACGAATAATGAGGGGTAAACCTGGGGTTAGCCTTTACCCCAGATTGGCATGTGATGTAGCCTGGTCACCGAGGAGCTTAAAGATGTTTGTCGCCTTTCCTGGGGCTTGTAAGTGTCAGACCTTCGCATTTCATCCATCCTAGAGGCAGAGTAACACACATACTCCCCACAATGACGAACCGTACTACCATTGGCCTCGCAAAAGGTCCCAGCTCAGGGCCTCTGACAGACGCACAATGGCAGGTTTTGATGGCTATTATGGACACTGTCATTGCGCCTTGTCCTGAAAGCACGATAACTGCTGGCCAAACAAATACTCTACTCCAGAATTGTGATGAATCTACACTCAAGGCCTTTCTTGACGAAACGCCTTCCAAAATGCCACTGTTCCAAGAAATCCTGAAGCGTCTGTTGGCCAATCTCCATGCCGATAAATTGTCTGCGATTGGCACAATATGCTCCCTTCTCGGGTAAGTCAACTCTACTTCTAACTTGCCTGCAACATGGTTTGTTAATATTGTGATATGATAGGAATCGAGCTGGTGTCCTCCCTCTCACTGGGTACTTCACATTATTTTGTGATCTGTCTATCCAAGATCGGACGTTAGTGCTGAATTCTTGGCGAACGAGCTCTCTAGCTACCTTGCGTGTACTCTTCAAACAACTCTCGATCATTGGCAAGCATGTCTATCTCCGATCAAGTTCCCTTTTCAACCAAGTCGTTGGCTTCCCATCCACTCCAGTTGGATGGCATCCAGTCGAATCGTACCCCTTCGAGTTCATGCAGTTCAACAACTCGGATACGCATGTTCAACTCGATACAGATGTTGTTATTGTGGGCTCAGGATGTGGTGCAGGAGTCGTCGCAAGAACTATTGCCATGGCAGGCTATCGTGTCTTGGTCGTGGATAAAGGACATCACTTCGAAACCTCCTCGCTGCCCCTTGATCAAAGTGCAGGATATTTCCACCTTTTCGAACAGGGAGGCTTAGTATCTTCTGAAGATGGATCTATCTCTACACTTGCAGGGTCATGCTTTGGTGGAGGCGGAACAGTCAACTGGAGTGCTTGCCTACAGCTCCAGAACACAGTGCGTGATGAATGGGCAGACGACAAGGGTCTTGGCTTCTTCAAATCAGCCAAGTTCCAAGACCATCTTGACTCGGTCTGTGAGCGCATGGGCGTCAGCAACGAGCCTATCAATCACAATCACGGCAACTCTGTTTTGCTGGAGGGTGGGCGCAGACTTGGGTACAGCGCTAAGCAGGTACCCCAGAACACGGGTCATGGCGAGCATCAGGACGGATACTGCTCTATGGGTTGCTGGATGGGTCAGAAGCAAGGCCCAGTGAATGGTTGGTTACCAGATGCAGCCAAGTGCGGAGCAAAGTTCATATTAGGCTTTCACGTTGACAAGGTTCTTTTCCAAAATAAGAGTGGTAAGAAAGTCGCATATGGCGTGACTGGCACTTGGAGACCAAGAGACGGCTCGGATACTTCCACCAGATTGATAACAATCAAGGCCAAGAAGGTTGTAGTTTCAGCTGGCAGTCTGTGTAGTCCCATCATCTTGAAGAACAGTGGGCTCAATGTAAACAACAGAGGCTCTCTTTTGACTGCTGAATTGCGATTTGCTAATACGCCAGTGTAGAACAAGCATATTGGTCGCAACCTCCATTTACATCCAACATCATTTGTGTCAGCAATCTTTGAACAGGAGACACGGCCATGGGAAGGTATGTCACTGCTTTCTTGAATTCATTACTCTAGCAGCGTTCACTTATTAACACATGGTAGGCGGAATTCTCACCTCCGTGGTATCGAGCTTCGACAACCTTGACGGACATGGCCATGGCGTGAGGCTTGAGCGCCCCGCGATGCTGGTAAGTCTCTCCAGTATTTGCAACAACAAACTTTCAAAGCAAAACTGACCCAGTGATAGCCTTCCATGTGTCTTACATGGCTAAACTGGATATCAGGGCCTGACTATAAAGCTCTCATATCCAAGTACAGGCACATGGAAGCGTACATTGCTATTACTCGAGATCGTGACAGCGGCCACGTCACAGCAGACCCTATAAATGGCACACCTCGTTTGGTTTATACTCCCTCCAAATTCGACGCGAGTTCCAATTTGAAAGGCATGCTTGCCTTGGCAAAGATCCTCTATACCCAAGGTGCCTTGGAGATACACCCTGTCCTGCCCGGTCTTGAACCATTTATACGTGAGCAAGAGAGTTTGTCGAATGGTGCCCACAGCCCCTCAGAGGCCACAGATCTGAAGTTTTCGCAGTGGCTGAAGAAAATGGAAGTTCATGGGAACAAGACACCAGATACACCTTATGGCTCTGCTCATCAGATGAGCACGTGTCGAATGAGCACCAGAGAAGCCGATGGAGTTGTGGATGAGTTTGGAAGGGTTTGGGGCTGTGAGAATTTGATTGTTGCAGATGCAAGTGTCTTTCCTAGTGCGAGTGGTGTTAACCCGATGGTCACTACCATGGCGATCTGTGAACACATTGGCTTGGCCATGTCAAAAGAGTTGGCTCGGGATACTCGGGAGCGCCCTAGGTTGTAGTTAACCGATATCTTTACGTGAGATACTTGCTGTCTAATGGTACATAGCGTTAGTTCTGCTCAGAAATACAATGCTGAATCTTACTATCATGAATGCATTGCAGAAAGTGAACAATCACGAACAACGAAGTTGGCCATTTGTAACAGCAACTATGTATCTATTTCTCTAGAACTACCCCCCCAAATTCGCTGCCTCCCAATATGGGAAGCCCATCGTATCAGAGTCAAACGGGAAAGATGTAGTTAAAGCATCTTGGAGAGATAAATCTCCCTCCAGGAGTGTATCCAATAATTCATGCACTGGGTTCTGTTCTGGGTGTTCATTTGAACCATGGTCTTCCACCTCGCGACGTTAGTTCCAGTAAAGGTTTAAGCAAGTCTTCCACTGACCTTCTTGCCTCATCGCGATAGTCTGGTGCATCTTCAAGAGTAGATCGAAGGATTTTCGAATAGACAGGCTAAAGGAAGAGAGCGCCTCAAGAACTTCGTGGCATTTCTCCCATGACTCTACCACTCCTGCCTGATCTAAAGTAGCCCACAGCGAGGGGCATAGACGGCATGTCATGAGCACAAGGCTAGCGGTGCAGGCATCTACAGCGTCGGTTAGCCAATGCGTACAGGTGAAGAAGGCATAATTACATAGACTATTCCACCACCAAGCTTCAGTTGTGTCTGTACGGAAGGTATCATGAACTAGATTGATTAGTCGAATCGCAGAATTTACGCATGTTCTGGCTCCGTCTCGCTTGAACGATGAATGCAAGCCTTCATCCGCATCTTCTGAGGCATCAGAAGCTAGCAGTTGAGTTAAGATTGGCCGATAAAGCATGACACGTAGGTATATAAAGCTAATGTGAGTCAGTAAGTGCATTTCATTTAAAGCTTCATAGTACCAGAGATCTTACCGTGCGTGGAGCACATTTCTTTGAATGGCGAGGATCTTAGCATCCTCCGGCAAGATGGACTCCATAGTCAGGGGTTTGTTCCACGAGAGAGAGCTGGGAACACTCAGCTCGAAGGTTTGAAGCCGCCTATGCAGCTCAACGAAGATATCCATGCTCTGACAGGCGGTGTCCATATGAGAAATAAGACTCTGGCCGTCGTCAGGGACCCTGCATTGCCAGGGCTTGTACACCTTTGATAGCATGCTATCCAGGATGATACTCAAACGAACAGATTCATTCTGAAATTGCAGCTTGGTCTGTGCAGTGCTCTCTACACTGTGGACATCAAAGGCCATACTCTCCGGTACAACAAGCGTAGAGAGATTGGTGATCATTGTCGGCCGTCCAAATGTCATACTCACCAGCCTGTAATTATTAGAACATGAAGTAACAGGGTCTTTTGGTCCTTACGTATCCAAAACAATACATCCATGCCATGTCCGGCGCCGAATTCGCCATATCCGTGACTCTTGCTGATCGTACCGCGGTATGCTATGAAGTCCAAGACCTTGGGCCACCCGGCAGGCCATACCGACAGCATTCCAACAGCGATCTGGGAATGGGGTGCCCTGTAAGACGAGAGCTATCAGGAGAAGAGTTTGGACAACACTCAAGTCGTTCAAATCTAGCAAATCGAGGCCAATGTTCTGCTTGGATCGACTGAAGAAGACTTCGTAGGCAGTAGTTTTCGCCATAGTAGAAAGATCTGAGAAGATACATCCGAGCGCAAAGATGGCATTGAGTGAAGAATGAAATGCAATTGTAGTGGGATCTTCCCCCAGGCCCAGATGTCGATGTTCATCTAAAATTGAGGTTCGTCCACTTGGTAGCCACAGCGACTCATAGGCATGCTCGAAAGCATCTTTGTCGAAGATGGGATAGAGGTAGTAGGCCCGTTGAAAGTATCTCTCTTTGAGGTGATCTGCTAGGGGCCGTGGTGGAAGGACGAACCTTTCCATGCCGTAATAGAGAGATGGGGGCTGTGAAGTGGCGGCTTGGGGGTTTCTGGATGCCTGACGAGCCAAAAGGGGATTCGAAGTTCCGCAAGCCTCATTCAAGAAAGAAGCAGCAGAAGACGAACCGTAGAAAGCCTGGCTCGTGTCGCGACATTGCGCAATGCCCTCTTCGGATGTAGTTGTTCCCATAGCAGTGACTCGCCTTGCATTGGTAGAACTCTCGATACTTTCATTTGCAGCTGATGACAAAGGTGTGAGTATTTGGCCCTGTGATATTCCCATGACGGCAGCCTCTAGCTCGGCTTGACTTTGTGTATAGACCTGCCTGTTATCGTGTAGACTTTGGAGAGTGTCAGGGTCTATACCATGTGCTGAACAAGCCTGCTCCAGTTGGCGAATACGGTCGTGGAGAGATTTTGTGTAGCTACAACACTTGGTCAGTCAACTTTGAGATGGATCCTGAGCTCGTTTATCTAAGTCCTGCTACTTACTTGTCGCTACATGCTGTCCGCGCATTCCCGACCTGGTAGATGCACTGCTCAATACCTAACGACCGACGCCGACATGTTGAGCAGAGTGGCTTGATCCCGTCGCAACGAGCCTTGCGTTCCCGGCAAGGTTCGCAGGCCAGCGTCACCTTGCGACGGCGTTGGCGTGGTTGCTGCTCTGGCATCTTGGATGGGTACGTTTCGGGTAGATACAGGGCTCACTGATAACGTAGATGACCAAGTCCACGATACATGCAGTGTTTTGCCTGATCCAAAAATTGGCTCCCACACGGACAGATGAGGGGCAAAAGCCATCCTTCCTAGCGCTCCGACAATCCTAGCCCCTTATTACTTAAGGTAGAGTATTAAAGCATAAAGTAAATAAGATTGTTATCATTTTAAGTTAAGAACTATAAAACAATTAATAAGACTTATACACTATTTTAATATCTATAGAGTTACTATATATTTTTTTAAAGATATATTTACCTTTATTAACTGGTTTCTTAATAGAAAACGCCTATATCTCAGTACCTTTGTTATAGAAAGTAGTCCCGGGACTGTCCCGCGCCAGTGGGCCTTAGCAACGGAACACTTCCGACTGCGGGGGGGAGGGGAAACCAGGTGCCGAGGCCGATTTCTATACACATCCTCGGAAAACTTTTCCCCCTGTTAGTCCCAAGTTGACCATCAGTCACCTGTACGCCCAGAAAGGTAAATAGTTTCAGAGGAGCATGGACGTCAAAAAACATGCTAATATCGGAGATTGGTCATTATCATATACTGAACCTCACGCTAACCTTCCTCATGTAATTAATAGCGTATGGGTTAGCGGCTTGAACCCGTGAATGCCGGCCGGAACCTGGAGGTGCCGGCTTGAACCCGTTCACTATCGGTATGAGGCAACAAACAGATGTGGGCCTAGCATCATGCGGCGGCATGGTCAATGGCGGACCAAATGTTCCCTTGCAGGCGGCGTTACAGCGTGTGATTGCGAATCCCAGTTTGAGTTGCTATGCTAAAACCCGGCGATAACTGGTCCTGTTCTGGTCTTTTTCGGTAGCGTTCCGATTACATGGCTCAGAGTTTACACGTCATACACTTTTCAGGACGCTGCGCCGCTCCAAAATCTGTATCAACAACATAAAGGATAAGTTGAAGACGAAAGGTGCTGCTCAATTAAGGAATGCAGCTGCTGGTGTTCTAGTTGGTCAATTTCCAGCACGAGACACCTCGATAAAATGATTAGTCAAATCACGCATTATCTCCCTCACGCCTTTGGGAAGACGCCGGCCGCGTCCTTACTTGCTCTTCTACCATTTCTCGCCATCCTTTTGCTTGTCGTTGTTGCAAAATACTTCGAGCCTGTAGGCAAACGAAGGCTAAGAGATGGCAGCAAATCGCATCTACCTCCTGGACCGCCTGGATTACCAATCATTGGAAGCTTGCATAAGTTGAAGGAGGCCAGGGGTGACCCTGATCACAAATTTGTAGGTTTCCTCTTATCGAACACCTAAATGCCATGTCGGCTGAGTCCACTGCAGCTCCGTGAACTTGCCACCTATGGCGAAATGACGACAGTCCACGTTGGCTCTAAAACCTGGATCTTCCTGAATTCCAGCCGGGTTGTCTCAGAAATCATTGCAAAGCGAGGAAGTGCGACGAATACAAGGTCTCCAATGCCTATATCGAGTGGGATTGTAAGCCACGACGGCAGATCTCTGATTTTGCCCCAGGAGGCTTGGATGGAGCGACGACGTGTCATGCATAGCCTTCTAAACGGTACATCTTTAAAGCAGTATGGGGAATGGCAGGAGCTTGAAAGTACTCAGATGATGGCCGAGTATTTGTTCAAACCCCAGCTATGGTATAAACATCATTATCGATATGCTAACTCAGTTATCCATCGGATTGCACTTGGAGAGCGCCTGGGCAAATCAACCCAAGAACTAGCAGACCTACAAAACTGCGTCACCTTCTTCGTCGGAAGTATTGGATCTAGCGTAATCGATTGGTTCCCAGATCTCGCCCGATTGCCCAAGTTTCTTCAAATCTGGCGATCTCACTGGGAAGCCCTGGGCGAATGGAACCATAACGTCTATCGGTCGTGGTGGGACCCTGTGAGAAAGCAAGTCGAGAATGGCTCTGCACCTCCATCCTTCGTACGAGACGTACTTCTTAACAAAGAAACAAGATACAAGGGCAATGATCAGGATTGCATGTATCTTGCTATGCAGCTGATAGAGGCTGGAAGCGATACCACCCGAGAAGCACTCAATATCATGATAATGGCAATGTTGGAGTATCCAGAGCCCTTCCGCAAGGCAAGAGCCGATGTCGATAGCTTATGCGGCGTTGGAGAACAGGCACGCTTACCCGTTCTTTCCGACATGGACGATCTGCGTTTTATCTGCGCGATTGCTAAGGAAGTACTACGCTGGCGTCCGATCTTCATTCTTACGCCAGATCACGTTGCATCGCAAGATATCGAGTTCGAAGGATACAGGTTCCCGGCTGGCACTGGCTTTACCATTAACGAAGTTCCAGTTGGCAACGAGTGTGAGAAGCCGGAAGCGTTCTATCCAGAAAGATGGATGAATGGCCACGAGACGGACATCAGCCATGGGCTCTGGCAATTTGGAGGTGGACGGCGGATCTGCGTTGGCTACCGCCTGGCGCAGAGGAGTCTATTTCTTAATATTGCAAGGCTTGTTCAATGCGTTGACTTCAAGCCGGTCAGTCTATAACTCGCAAAATTCCTAATCTTCATTGCTAATGATGCGCAGGATGGGCCATACAATGCGAAGATTCTTAACCTAGAGTCTGTAGATGAGCCATTTCCAGTCAAACCCACCATCCGTAGCCAGGCTTACGGGGCTCTTATTATCAAAGAAGCCACCGAGGCTGGTGTCCTGGAGGACGCAGGCATGGACCAGGAGTAAGTATGGCATGATCGTCTTCATACACCCTTCTAGCTCTTTGATTAGACTAGAGTAGCCTGCGGCGCCCAAAGTCATGTATTACCCGTCTTATACGAAATGACGGTCGAGTTTGAGTAGATACACGTTAGAATGCATATATGTGGTAGTTTCAAAATTGAGAGCCATATGTACAGAAGCTGCGAGACCAACGTCTTTGCTGAGAACTGAGCTTGAACCAGCGTTAGTACGTCACCTGAACCCCGTCCTTGGGACACCTACTCTTAAGACGGCCGGGGAATACATTGCCTTCCACATAACTAATTTCAGTTGTCATAAAATAGCGCCTCTACATCGCTTTTTATGGTGTGTTTAGAGGTTTGCTTTTCGACCAACAGGATTTATAAGGCAGCGGGATATCACAAGCTGCTCATTAATGGATTGGACTGCGAAATGATCCACTCCTCTAACAGGCCCTCGGGAAACCATAGCTCTGGATGATGAGTGTTTCTGTTAAACTATTCAATTTTGTAACTGGAGCTAGCGAGAATGTAAGGTCCCAAGAGGTCATCATGCGCTTGTCGTCAGCAGACCTGGACGAACCAATTTGCGGGAGAAGATAAGAAGGCAAGTCAGCAAAAGCCGATGTCTTCTAGGAATATCCTTCGCATGAGTGATTCATCAAGGCGCTCACCTCGGGCCGAATGATTCCAAAATCCGATATCACGTCTGTTCCTACTCCGCCGCGGCTTGTGAACATCCCATATATAATCTTTGGTCATCCGTAAGGATGACGTCGTACGATTGGCTTTCAGGTCACCTGCTCCATGTTCCTATGTCGTGAAAGAATGTTGATCTAGTGCTGATCGAGTGCTGAATGATCGTTAAACATGGGCACTTAGATTAGCCAGTCGTTCCAGCCTGCTGCCAGAAATTGCTGAACCATCTTCGACCAAGCTAAAAAGATAACTGCAAGACCTATGTCATGAGAACATTTCCATACAGCCCACAAAGCACAAAAGAATGAAGGCCCCGCTTTGCCGCCGTACGGGAACATTCGCAGCTCTTGCATCTAGAAACTCCTCAAAACGGATAGCCACGGGACTCACCCGTGCTCTTCGGAAACATCCCGACGCAAGAGCTGTGATCTCTGCTACCTCGGCAAGGCGCAAAATCTCTACTGCAGCAAAGGACTTCAACTCTAAGAAGTAGTTGGCCAAGTCACCCAATCGTCATGGGAGCTGAGATACTTCACATGGTTTGGATTCTGCAAGTGCAACAACTATAAGAAAGAGGTCCTCAGGCTCAAGCTTTACCACGGCCAGACCTTTCCAATCATCACAGTCTTCGGACCCCATGAAAGTTCCTTCAGTATGACTACAGCAAAAGAAAGCGAACGGAATTACAGCCAATTTGCATGCATTGGTTCTGGCTTTTCGGCCATTGCGCTGGGCGCGACACTTAAACGATGGTACGGCATTGCCGACATACGGTTCTTTGAACGGCACAGTGAACTGGGTGGAACATGGTTCACAAATACGTACCCAGGTATGGCTCAAAGGCTGCGAAACGGACCCTGGATGAACTTCTGAGCTGACTTCATAGGCGCTGCTTGCGATGTGCCAAGTGCACTCTACAGCTTCTCCTTCGAGCCCAACCCAAACTGGTCTCGGATTTTGCCCTCTCAAGATGAACTTTGGAAGTATCTGAAAGGAGTCGCTGACAAGTACGGGCTACCGCCAAAGATGACTTTCGGTGTTAATGTCGAAAAATGCGAATGGGTCGAGCGCAAAAAGCGATGGGTATTACATATTCATCACTCCAAGACGGGCCACGTCTTTCATCACGAATGCAAATTCCTCTTTGCAGGGGCTGGCCAGCTTGTTACACCTCGAGAGATTGATATCCCCGGCTCTGAAAACTTCAAAGGTCCTATCTTCCACTCTTCTAAATGGAGGAACGATGTTGATATCGTGGGTAAGAAGATTATTGTCATTGGCAATGGTTGTACCGCTGCCCAGATTGTCCCATCTATTGTTGATAAGGCAAAACATCTGACCCAAATGATCCGTGCTAAGCACTGGATCCTGCCACCCATCGATGGAGTGTACACTGATGCTATACGACTGCTTTTTAAGTATATACCAGGCAGCATGTCGATACAACGACTCATCATCTTTTTGGCGGCTGAGAATGAGTTGAGGGGGTTTCCCATGACTCCATCTGGTGCCAGGTTTCGCCAGAAACGCCGCGCTCAGGCTGAGGACTACATGAAGAAGCATGCTCCCGCTAAATATCACGAAATCTTAATTCCGGATTTCGAGGTCGGTTGCAAGAGGCGGATCTTTGACTCTGGCTACCTTGATTCTCTTCATTCTAAGAATCTAACCCTAACCAACGAATCTGCCTTGAAGATTATCGAGGGTGGAATTGAGACGGACCGTGGTTTCATAGAAGCTGATGTCATTGTGTTGGCAAATGGCTATGTCACCAACACATTCCTTGGAGGCATTGAGATTGTTGGACGGAAGGGAACGTTAACCCAGCACTGGGAGTCATTTGGTGGAGCTGAGGCCTACAACTGCTCCGCTATGAGTGGATTCCCCAACTTCTTCATTCTATTGGGTAAGTACCTGGCGTGGCTTTCATTGCAAGTCAATGGTCCTGGCTAACTGGGTGATTAGGCCCTAATGCTGCAACGGGCCACACTTCGGCTATCATGGCTGCCGAAAACAGTATTAATTACGCGTTGCGAATACTCAAGCCCGTGGTTAACAGCCCAGAAGGAGTCGTCGAGCTTGATGACGACGCCGAAAAGCGTTATGTCGACCGGATCCAAAATGACCTCGCCAAGACTGTGTGGAACTCTGGGTGTCAAAGCTGGTACATTCAAACCAACACGCAGGCGAACCGCACATGGAATGCCATGAGTTACCCATACTCTCAGGCATATTTTTGGTATAGGAGCTTATTCCCCGTTTGGGGTGATTGGAAAATTACTGTAAGTCAATGTCCTAGAACAGGTCCAGGTCACCTGCCCTTATCCTGATTCATACTGAAGCTAAGATCCGTGGGCCAGGGTGGTAAAATCAACACTAAATCGTCTTTCTTCGCGCAACTCATCCGGACTGTGTTTCTTATCACCGGCGGCTCGTTCCTATTTGTCTCTTTCTACCTGTTGTGGAGGTATCAAGGAGATATCAAAAGGTACGGGCCGATGCTCTTGAAGGACCTTCTACATATTTAGTATGAGAAACAGGGTCTCTCTACTACCATTTTTAGCTGAGCTTCTTTTTATTGCACCATCGACCCAGAAACTAGCCATTTGCGGTCTTTACATGTAAAGCTTCTTAGTTATTTCCGTCCATCCTATTGCCTTACTGACAATTTAGATACTTGCCTTCTAAGTATTAAATCTTTAACTATGACTTCACCAGTCCTTGGGCGCTTTAACATTTATAGCTACTTATAGGCTTGAGATTTCTTAGCGTTTCATAATGTTCCAGCTTAGCTTATAAATTGTTGCAAAAGCTGGATATATAAATAAACTTATGCAAGGTATATAAAGCTTGAGGTATTCACTCTACAACCGTCATTGCAGGGGCAAAATGAGATGGAAATGGGAGCAGATATCTGGGGCCTGGTCAATGGATTGCTTACGACCTTCGTGCACTAACGGTAAACAGGGGAGGGAGCAACTTTGCTCAGAGGCTTAACTGGACTGTGGTGACAACACTAAAATCATGCCGCTTATTGTGATTTGGATGGAGCCATTGCGTATTGCTTACTAACGCACGGTTGAAAACAAAAGGGGTAGCAAAGCAACATCTCCCTATTCTAAACCTGTTTACAGACAAAATGTTTACCGTTCTTACTAGGGGCTTGACTGGAACATAAACTTACCCTATGCAGCAATTTAAAAATAGTAAATCATGTACTTAGCTTTTTGCCAGACTTCCCAATCTTAATATATAAGTACCTACCTCTTCATGTTATAGAGATGGATACGTAGACATGAAATAGTTTAAGTAAATAATTTATTTATACATTGAAAAGAAGTATAATAGAGCATCTTAGTGTCTGCTTAATAGCACGCCTAGACAGACTAATACGTCTTAAGTATATTTCTGTCCCTGAGCATGCTTATTCAGAAGCTTTAGTGAATTCCGTCGCAATGCCTCAGGAGCAACCTTGTTCCCCCTCGAATTTGTCTTAACATATTTGTGATACTCTAGTAAAACAGCATCTATTCCATATTGAGGCACATAAGGAAAGTCAGATCCAAATAGGATCTTATCCGGACTAGCAAAATCCATCAAACCATCCAGCTGGGCGGCACTGGTGCTAAGAGCAATATCGTAATAAAAGCGAGCAAAATCCTCCTTAGCTTGTCCAAGACCGACCTTAGCTAGCTTTGCAATACTAGGAATACCTAGCGCATTAATGGCTCGGCTGCCGACGAAGGGAATAGCTCCACCAGCATGGGAGAGGATAATATTGATATCAGGGCAAGCTCGAAAGGTGCCTGTCATAACCAGATCCGTGGCCGCACGGGTGGTCGCAAGAGGGTAGTCGACAATAGGCTGTGGGATGCCTGGGCCAATTAGGTGAGGCTCGACCTCTAATACTGATGGGTGTAGAAACACAAGTGCCTTGTATTTCTGCAGTCTGGCCCAAATAGGTGCGAATTCAGGATCACCAAGGAGCTTTCCTCCGTAGCTTGTAAAAGCAATGACACCGTTACAGAGCTTTTGTTCTCTGTACAAGTAATCGAGCTCCGTCAAGGTGCCATTAACGTCCTGAAAGTCGGGAAGAGCTCCAAAGAACCCGATTTTACCCTTATGCTTGCGCGTGGAGACGTAGGTGCCGAGATCCTCATTCAGTTTGCGGGCAAGTTTTCTCGCAGCTTCACCTGTCCCAGCGATCGAGACACCGGGCGATGATACAGACAAGATTCCTGGAAAATATCGTGTAAGCCTGGTTCCGCATGGTTAGGCTTGTCTTTGCGCTTACCGAGAGATGTCCCAATCGAGTTCATGGACTTGATGGCCGCGTCCAGACTCCATTCCGGTGTGGGATACCCCGAAGGATCGCCCCCGGCGGCTGCAAGAGCATCTACGTACGCCGGTGGCAGAGCATGGATGTGGGTGTCGATTCTTTGGGAAAAGACAAACGACACCAAGACGAGTAGGCCATTGAGAACGGAGCGAAATAGGTTCATATTGACAGAAAGATAGTTAAAAAACTTATAGTCCCAGAATTAGAGTGAGGAATATGAAGTATTGTTGGATGGAAGTCCGCATTTTATCTTGGCAAAGACTTGAGCGGCGCTATGTCATGACAGGCAAGTAATTAAACGGGCTGAACTCTGTAATTCCAGCCCCTATCCATGCACTGGTTTACGGAGGTCAAGAGTGGCGATTCGCGGCTAAGATCTAGTTCGCTGACGGCATCGGCCCGAGGCCTCGCTAATGTCGCGGCAAACCTGATGTAGTTGGCGGAACTGTCCCGATGTGCGAGAAAGTAAGAGAGTTGTTGAATGGAACGCCTCCGCGAGTTGGTAGCATTACAATATCTGCAGAGCCCGGACCACCGCCAATGACCCGGTTTTCGACACATGGCGAAATCAACTTGCCCTTTTGGTGTGCCTGTCTCATCGGATGTGCACTATGCTTTGCTGCGCAGGTTTTAATCATGTTCAGGCCTTGTTTCAGAGACGAAACATTGAGAATAGAAAAACTATCCCTGCCATTGTGATGCACATTCACTCGATCAGCCCTGTTACTAGCTTGCCCTATAGCCTTTCTATCCCGATGATCAAAAAGCACTAATACATTCACTCAATTCTGTTGGCTGTAATGCCTAGTTCGATGTTGTGACAAGTCTCGCTAAATGTACTGCTCGTGAAATTCCTCAGACTATCTGCTGCGGAGAGAGTCTACTCTAACTGATAATCGTACACGAACCGGGCTTGAGCCTTTTGACCACCTTTCGAGGTGACTGCAACGCGCATACAATACCGTCTCTCACCCTCAACCAGTTGAAAGCCCCAGATCTGAGTAGCAGTCCAGCCATTTTCTTGGCTTACAGCATGACAGAACACGAAGCCGTTACCTTCCCCTTCTACAAGCCACCCCTCCTTCAAAACAGCATCTTCTATACCCTCTAGGGCCACCCAACGGGCCTGTGCTTTGACTGTGCCAAAAAGCCAGTCATAATGATTGCGGAATTCGTTATCGAGATATCGAATCTCCTTGGTGCTCTTCAAACCTGAAGCTGTCTGAGTGGACTCAATGCAGGTGACTTCGCCGGTAGTCGAGCTCGTAGGAAAGTGTTCATACTGCTTAATGTTCAGGTGAATAGCTGCAAGGCTGACGCCTTTGCGAGTAAGGTACCCGATGCCTTGTGCTCGAAGGATTGGTTCAGGACTGTCGGACAAGTCCTTGTTCTAGTATTGAATATATATCAGTATGAGAGCAGATAAACTGAGCTGGCATGCCTTACCATGACCCAGTTCCCATTAAGGTCTTTACTGTTTTTGGCTTGAGGAGCCGCCATGACCGCCTTTCGGATTTTGCTTATGACCGTTTGCGTATTGTGGATTTATTTCTCAAGTAAGAACCAAACTGGCTTGCTTTAATTGTTTTACGTACGTCTGCTAGTTTGGATTAGACTGCCTTTGAACCCTAGGTTCACTCGCATTACTCGGAAGCAAGGGATGTATGGCTAACTTGCTGGCGGTTTGTTTCCGTGAGCAAGTTTCATGCTGAACCGGAGGAGACCCGCCTCCCGTCGGAACCACGGAAGGACAATGGCCCTGAATTGACAGGGCACTTGAAACGGAATCCATGAGATGCTGGGGTCCTCGCGTGTCTTCCCGAGCACATAGAGCAGAACAAAAGATCGATAACCATCTGGTGATTTAGGCAACTTTGGATACACAATCCCACGCTGTTGTTCGTGATGCCTCATCGATTTTCTAAATTGGAGAAGCTTGGGCTGGCTCTCCGTCTAACATGCATAGGTATAATTTGGCCTGCCAATTTATGAGACTATTGATTGCCCACTGACCTTTCTCTCCTCGCAGCACCCTGGCAGATATTTGCTTCCGTATTACGCTCCCTATTGATTGCCTGGACTAGAGGCATCCCGGCACGTTTGTTTCTTGTTTGTGCAGTCATTAAGGTAGTTCTAGAAACTTTCTCTCCCCGGCAGATTCAATACTTGTCTCTTTCGACTAAAGAGGCATACAAGTCATGGATACGGCGAAGAATCGCCAAGGCCAAGAAACTAGGAGACCCAACGGATGCCCCAAGACTTCGCTATGACTGGCAGCCTCTAGATGACGGGCATTCGTCGCTACTTTGGATTGGTAATCGGCGTGAAGCAAAGAAGGTCGTTCTGTTTCTTCACGGTGGAGGTTACATTTGCCCGCTCCTGCCTGGCCATTTAGAATGGTGTTGGCGGGCGTATGTTGCTGCTGGCATTGAGATGAAAACCGAAGTCGCGGTGGCAGTGCTCGAATACACACTCTGTCCTGAGGCAAGATACCCGGTACAACTCCGCCAGGCTGCGAGCGCCCTGGCCTATCTTTTATCTCAAAAATTTCGACCTCAAGATATTGTTATTGGAGGGGACTCTGCGGGAGCAAATCTGACAGCACAATTGCTATGTCATCTGATTGAGCCCCATCCCACAGTCCGAGAAGTTATATTGTCCGAGCCATTGCTAGGGGCATTCCTTGTTTCACCATGGGTCACGCGCTGCACCAACGATGCTTCATTCACGGAAAATACTTGGATTGATATGCTTTCAAACCCTACTGTAAACAAATCCACGAGGGAGTTGCTGGGGCCTGGTATCGACGACACGCACCGCACGTCAGCCAGTCTCGCATTTCCTCTTGATAGGGATAAGTCTTGCCTAGAAGGCATGACATCTATCCTGAAGCGAATTTACGTCAGTGTGGGAGCCCATGAGGTCTTGAGAGACCAGGGCATTGCCCTTGTGCGTGAGATCCGTTATTTGAATCCCAAGCTGAATGTGCATTTCGATATGCAGACCAGGCAAGCACATGACTTCATCTTACTTGAGGGTCAGGAAGAACGAGATGGAGAGTGCATACAGCGTATGAAGGGGTGGACGAAAGATTTGCTAGCTATGAGAATTCAACAAGGGCCGGAGTGAATGTAGGAGCGGTTTTGGTAGTCGTTGGCTAGTATTTCAACATCAAATATTATAATAGCAAGGCAGACCGTGAGTCAAAGCGTGTCAATCGACCCCCCTCTTGCTCATAACGTGATGATTCTTCCACCCAAGGACGCAAAGTACAAGCACAGAGAAGTAAAGCTGATGGCAATGATCACTTTGATGATATATTGGGAAAATGAACACATAAGACCATGGTATTGTCAGTTGGCAGGGCTCAAGAAAAATAGAAACACATATTACAAGCCTGCCAGGGTCCCCTTGTTGGCAAGGCGCTACAGCGTAAGACATGAGATTGCGAGTGGAATGTCTCATGGCATTCCAAATCTGACCTTTCTCTGGGCTCTCTTAACATGCCCAGAGTTCCAAGTCACATGGGAAAGAACAAATTGAGTACAGTTAACGTAGAGCCTCCCAGGATCGGATTGAATCTGGAAAGTGCTCATATACGGTGTGAGGATAGGATTGATGACATCCAGCGCAAAATAAACCCTGTTCTCGCCGCCGTGGTGTCAGAGGTGCGGCCGTCCACTCCGTTCGGGTTGCTTCATATTTAGACGCGAGCTGCAGTGAGCATTTATGAGCTACCAAGCGGAAAAAGTAAATTGAGAAACTCGCCCCCGCAGCACGACTGCAACCTTCCGTACCGCCAATTACATAGTTCCCAGTGTTGTTTCAGTGTTCCCTCCCTCCCAGTGACGTGGTTACCTCCGAAGAAATTATCACTTATGTAGCCGTTTGGCATAACGGTTATATCGGCCTCAGTAAGTCTGATCCCAAGCTTAATTTAACCTTACGAAAAACGATGTCTATAGCGCGGATACTCGTAGTGTTGAGATTCTTAGAATACAGATCTTTGAGGTACCTGGCCAGAGATGATTTTCCGCGTATATCCCACTTCAACATCCCACTTCAACATCCCACTTCAACATCCCACTTCAACATCTGGGATCAACATATCATGATATTTAGAAAGGATTCTGCTTCTGATATTTTCTCCGCCAACTCACCGCCCTGTAAACAAGCAGGATCCGAGGATCAAGGGACGGGATGGCTCCGAAATGCCCTCGCCAGCTCTGGCCAGCCGAGAAAGGGCACGTCCCCATCGACGACCGTGGACCCGGTTTTTCCATGCCACAGTCCTCCTCCATACTGTTGCCGCTTAAGTGTATTGCATTCCAGATAGACGACTCCTCTAAACCTCAACACTTTTGCTTCTAAGGCTTCGCTATTTAGTGAACGCAGGTGCAAATAGGAGATCATGGACTAACTGAAATAATTGCGTTGCCATTCAATCATGTTTTGTCGAATTGACAGAATGGCTACATTGACACCGCCTAAAGCTGAAGTAATGCTCCTGTCTTTGGGTCCAGTTTCTGTCTTCCTTTGAAATCAACCCGGGTACTGCCAGTTCCTTTCCTTGCTAAGAGCCACAGCCATTCCGGCCCGCCCTTCTATTCCCCAAATGTCAGTATGGTTTCACTCAACTTGAGCAATCAACCTACCAAAATCGCGATGTAACGCATGATACCGGGCATGAAAATTGTTTTACCATAGCCACTCCACAATGTTTTCGCAATCTCCTCGCTGACGGACTCAACATGCAACAGTGGGAATAAGAAATTAGACTGATTCGTCTCTCCTTTGAACAAAGGAGTGCGGGTGAAGCCGAGAACTACTAGTGACAGTCTGACGCGTTCAGATTCCTTCAGCTCAAGTTGCAGAGCCTAACATGGTGAGATCATGAACAAGACCGCCATACAGTGTATCGGAAACTCACCTCATGCAAGGCTATTAACCCAGCCTTGGTAGCGGCGTAGTCGGCCACTTTAGCAGGCGGGAGAAACGCACTCATCGAGCTGATATTGATTATATGGCCGTGATTTCGACGCACCATATCTGGCCCAAACTCCTTGACTAGCAAGAATGGTGCGGTGAGGTTTGTCCGCATAGTAGCCTCTACATCCGCATACGAACCATCGCAGACAGTAGCACCTCGACAAATACCGGCGTTGTTAACGAGAACTGTAGGGTGACCGACTTCAGCTCGAATCTCTTCACAGATGAGGCGGATCTGGGAGCTGTCACTGAGGTCGCATTGGTAGTACTTTGTGTAGGCCCCTTCAAGTGGTTCCCAGGTCAATGGGACATAATCGATGATGACGACCTTGGTGTTTGGATTCCGAGCATGCAATTGCCGTGCAAGATGGGCTCCAATTCCACTGCTACCTCCAGTGATGACAACAATTTCGTTATTCCAGTCCCATCCTAGGTCGGTGGTCCAGTTGTTGTTGTATCGCGTGTTCAGAAAGTCAGTCAAATGCAAAAGAAGGCTAAAAGCAGTTAGGTAGTAGATGTATGGTCGAAGTGCGTCTGATTTGTGACTCCAGTATGAATGAATCGGATCGTGGAATGATGCACCGTATGAGCTTATGGCCAACAAAATGGTTATGGCAGGATTCAGGATGATGCATCGGACTAATTTGGCCACGAAGTCAATCGTGAACCCCTCTTTTGGGAGCGATAACATTGTGAAGTAGCGCGATATAAAGATGAAAATTGCAAGTCTGTGAATAACTTGAGTCATGACCACTAAAACGAAGGATTTATTTATCCATTTATAGACGTCATTCGTATGGGAACTACGGCATCTCAACAGTCGGAACTGCTCCGCCTCCCGATGCCCCCCACGTTGTAACACTGGCCAGATTCTTATCATTGTGGAGCAGGGGCAACTATCCAGAGATAAGAAACTAATTAACGCCAGGATACCGTCTAGGGATGACTGCCAAGCTCAGGTGAGAACCCCCTGTTTGCTTGCCTTTTCCAATGATTTGCTCTTTCTTCACCTTTGCCACGGTTTCGGCTTAACGGATTTCTGGCCACTCCTGCTGCTGCTGCTAAACCACCGCATAATGCTGTTCTGGCCGCCGATAACTAAAACAAGTCCATAGCCATCCATGCACCCTTCCCTGGGTCACGGTACGCTCCTGAACTCTGTTTATTGGGCAGAGGTCCTTCCGCCGACCACCTGGAGCACGGATGGATCCCCAGCAACTGAGTGCTTCGCCCAAGATGTTGATATGGCTTTCGAATCTCCAGAAACCCTGCCGGCCGATCCCTCGCAATTGGGGACAAACATACCATATGATCAGGTCAGCAGCGATGATAATTCCAGTGAAACCAACCTGCAACCGAGCTATGCTCTCGCCTCAGAGGGCGTCGATGCTGAGACAATCAGGGTCTTGTCTCCAGCGGGAGATAGGAGTCCATAGGACTGCTCTCCCTGCAGCAGCAACAACAGCACCCCCAGGCGCGCCCCCGGGTCCTGCTTCCCGTTAACGCGAATCGTGTCTGAGACGTGGCCGTCCACCATATGATATTCGGTCGCCGTGCGCTGTGTCATCGGGGCCGCATGGTCGATGGCGGACTTTGCTCCTCGCGCCGCACACTCGACGCATGCGCGGGAGGTCCGGGCTCTCTGTGGTCTCTGCCTTGACAGAGCCGACAGCCTCCTGCTCCCGTCAGTCTTAACAATTTCATTCATCAACCTCATCTTCATTGAGTTAGTGTCAGCAGGCTAAGACAGGATAATTCTACATCAATCGAACTATCTCTGAGACCAGTGCTGTAAGAGTCAATAATGTTAGAATCTGGGTGCAGGGGTGCCCTGCACGCAACTAACTACCTATTCCCTACACAATTTTCCCTACACAACTTATTGATTGATTGATTGATTAATTCATAGACTGTCCCAGCCGCCCTTGTGGCAGCCATGCAGCGTACAACACAGATACAGGTGGTTCTCTTGCGTCCTGGAAGTTGCTCACCTGCAGGAATTGTCCCGCGTGTCAAAACAGGCTATTCCTGCAGAGTTTTGCTATCCCGTCTGTTCTGTGTCTATGCTCGTGTCGGGCCTTTCCTGGCCTTCCTCATCTTCTGCATGACAAATTTCACTCGTCTACGCTGTGTATTGGAGATGAATTCGCATCGCGGGGTGGGTGTTCAAGACTAAGGTGAAAGTGTATAATCTAACCTCCAAAGGCGTAAATGAGTATCTGCCGGCGGAGCTCTGGCGGGAGATGTTGAAAGAAGCACCTATCAATCAGCTGTGGCGGCAAGGGAGGGTCGCGCGAGCGTTGGCCTTCGACGGCGGCGTTAGCCGTGGGGTGGCCTGGCCCCGCAGTACATTGAGCTTTGCACACCAGCTTCGAATTTCTTGATCTTAGGGGAGGGGCACAGAAAACGAAGCCACGACAACGAATTAGACGCAAAAACCGCAGATTGTATCTCATTTTCGTTAAAACACCGTGAGACTACTCAGTTACCCTCATTCTCCTCGTCTGCTCTTCATTCGGCTGATTGAACTGCTAGACAGAAATCAGTACTCGAACTTACATCTAACCTGACCATGTTCAGAAACCAACACTGAGCAACTGCGGCGAGGGTCTCCAGCGATATAACGTTTCTCTCCTCTCGGTTCCTCTCGGCCGCGTCAAGGGCAATGCGGCGGCATTTGACATCCTAGCCCGACAAACGTGCGCTGCGACGGCGCGGGCCACTGAACATCAGATCGCCGCACTCGTGGATGACGTTGGTGGATTCTTTCCAAGGACATTAGGGACAAAAACACGCATGCATCGATAATATCGCGACTCAATATAGCCAAAGGGGAGGCCCTCTTCGGAATAAGATGGGATTAAATCACTACCAACGCCCCTGACACCAAGCGGAGCGCTCACTCCTCTGGCTTCTTGCCCCATATGAAATAGGTGGGAACATAGAGGTGAATGGCAGGGTTATTAAGGTCGTTCTTCACCCTGGCCATGAGGACCTGGATCTCCGTCTGATCCCATCCAAGCACACGGGAGAAGATGCCAGGTGTGTACGAGTCGATGAGTTGATGTTCCTGGATGATCGAGTGCCTGCCGATCTCCTTCAGAGTCGGGTCTTTCGGCCAGCTACCGAACGGAATCTGGGTGTTATTGAGCATCGGGTTCCAAGAAATCAGACACCGCGTACGTCGCGTAAATTGGGGACAAACCTTGCGAATCTCCTGCTTGACCTCGACGAATCCGGCGGCCTGCATCTTGTCTAGCCACTGGGGCACTGAGTCAAGGGGCTTACCGAACTTGGCCGCGCCCTCGCAGATGTTGGTCATCCAGTACTGAGCGTCCTTGGCCAGCTTGCCCGTATCGTCGTCGGAGAGGAAACGAGGATACACTGCTTGCATCTCCAGATAACCACCAGGGGCCAAGTGCTCGAAAGCTCGGCTGAAGAGCTTCCCATCATCGGCAACGCATCCTCCGAGCTCACGGGCGTGGATGTAGTCAAACCGCTTGCGGTAGACCCAATCCTGTTCAAAATCATCGACCTCGAATGTGCAGTTGGGTGGTGTCCTGCTTCCGTGAGCGATGCTGGACCAAAACGTACAGTGCGGGAATGCCGTACCACTTGGGCTGAATGGGGCTCAGATCAGTGCCGATGACTTCGGCGGAGGGGTATTGGCTACACGTCAGGTGTCAGGAGCTATTCACCATCAAGGGTTCCATGAAAGAGTCTGACTCTGCAAAGTCCATGGCCCAGATGCCGGTGCCGGTGCCCAGGTCAAGGACGCGCTGCGGGTTATCACCAATCGGGGCGAGGTGGAGCTCTCCACCAAGGAGAAGACCGTAGATGTGGTGTGCCAGGTCCATGCGGTCCTGCTCCTCGTCGTCGTTGGGCTTCCATGTACAAACGCAGATTAGCTGCCGCGATGGCTATCTGGCGCTCAAGCATACGGCGCCGGTATTGTGTTGGTAGAGAGCTTACCACTAGATATGCGCCCTCCCGGAAAGCATGATAACGGCGGCCGTTCTATGCTTCGCGTTAGGGTTGGTTCAGACTCGGAGAGAATCAGGTTCAATCTTCCCGACACGAACCTCATACCTATATGGGTCAGTGGTGATCAGTCAGGGAACTCCTCGATGGGTAGCCGGATCTGCGGATGGACATACTTGTAGCGAAAAACACTGGAGTTGATCGACGAGACGAAGCTGGCGGATCCTTCGCTGGGAGTTTTGTTAGGCATGTATCAGCACACTCTGTCGGGGCCAGACTCACGAAACAGCATAGGCACTGTCGTCTTCAAGGTCCTAAAGAAGGTAGTTGGTCATTCTCAGCGATTAGAGACCGATAAATACTCGCTTGAGGAAGTACTCACGTCGTCGACCTGTAGGTCCGCTAACGCTGGGTTGTTCTGGGTCGTGGTGGACTGGGTCGGCAGGGGCTGGGCCTGAGCCGGAACCAACTGCGGAGTAATAGGTTGTTCCTGGGCCATTCTTTTGTGGACGGCAGCGTGCAGCAAGAACCAAAGCAGAGGGGGAAAGTGCAAATATTCAATGACAAGAGCCTGGATGTTATATTATACCTGGGTCTCCTCGCTAGAAGCACAGGCGTGCTCGCTCCTTCTGTAATAGGATCAGACCACTTTCCACGTCTTGCAGGCTTTCAGCTTCCGGTCGTGGGCTAGCGCCAACTGGCTTGGGGGACGGACATTAGCGGCCAGGCGGGGCACGAATGAGCATTCGGCTTCCCCTTGTTTGTCCCCAAACATGCAGCGAACACAACCAACAGGGCTGACCAGCGAACCCGACCGGTCCGGTTTTCCCTCGACGAGTCATTCCATGGAACGGCTTCGATACAACAAAAGAAGGGGAACAAGTCTCTGCCGGCAAGTCATTCGCCTCAGGGACAGTTTTGTCTCCCGGTCAGTTAAGTGCGAACTTGCCAACGAATAAGTCGCTGGCCTGGTAAGTATAGTGCTGATAATAGTGCAGCTATTAATATAGCGCCAGTAAAACCCCACTGTTTATCGTAGGCGAGCGTCTCATCCTATGCGAGTTGCAACAAGGGTAAGCTGGAGCGAGCGTTTCGGATCTGGCTAAGCGGGGTTATATCACAGGTCGCTAACGATTGCAATCTCAGATCACGTTTGGCACTTTCGTCGTCTGTCGCCCAGCTAAAACGATCATTATCGCCCTCTTTCATCGTGCTGTATTGCATCGAATGCGCAATCTGCAAGAAAAAGGGAAGAGTGGGAGAGAAAAATTCCCCTGGGGGATGCGAAAGAGCGACCTTGTCTTTCGAGGAGGGGCAGTCAAAGGACAGTCAAAGGGAACCGGCCCCGCTGAGTAGCCCCACAAAAAGCTCTTTGTGACGTGGAGGTGCTCCGCTGCTTACGGTTGAGTTGCATAGCTTTTGGATCCTTTGACAGATGAGGTTGCATCACATCATCTCCAGAAAGACTGGGGAATGTAACTTCATCGGTTCGCGACAACTATCCCTAAACTATGACGCTAGGAGCGGGCCGGACGCTGGTCTGATGGAGGCATTGAAATGGCACTTTAACTTTGGAGTTAAACTTTTTAACACGAAGATTCTATGGTTATGTATTTAGAAAGCTATATGTATTTTGCAGCGATCTATCCTCATCCCTTACTATCCAATCTATCGAGTGCATGAAGAGCCCGCAAGAATAACTATAATAATAGGTCTAAGCTTTTCCTTGCCCTAGGGTCGCAGGAATTATAAGATCTTCCAGTAAATTAGCCTTATAGGTGAGAGTCTCTATAGGGGTCTAGGAGATATGATTGGTGGTGAGCCTAGCCGTGATAAGGATAATCGATCATCATGAGCCAACGAAATATGCCTAGCAGGCCGTGCTTTTGACATTTCCCTGCTCAATGTCAAGTGCCTAAGATTTCTTTTCCTTCCTAATATACCAAAGCCGATCTACTAATAGGCGCTATTACAGAGGTTTATTATACTCCTGGCTTTTACTTTATTATTATTGCATTTTATTTACTTAGCTATCCTATCCTAGACTTAATTGCAGATACTTGTATCTTTTTCTTGTTTAGAAATACGTTTTCTTGGAGTGCCTTGCCGAATGAAGCCCGTTACTTCCCAGCCTAACGTTTGTCCGATCTTATCGGCCGATTGAGCGGCAATTTGACTATGTCAGCCATATCACCCCAGCCACGCCGCCCAAGCGATCGTCGTGGCTTCGAGATAGCCATCATTTACGCTCTAACTCTCAAGGCTAATGCTATCGAAGCCTTGTTCGATTACTACTAGGATAATAACAGTCTGCCTTTTAATAAAGAGCCAGGTAACCCTAATGCCTATTCTATAGGCATTTTGAAGGTGAAGAGCAATAATAAAGAAAAGACTGCAAAAGACGATATCTTCTAATACTCTTAACAATAAGCTAAGTGTAGATAGCTAGTTAGGTTTAATTAAGATAGAGTCTTTATTATAAGATAGAGAATTAAATAATTAGTTTAATAATATTAAATATAAAGGAAAAGAACATAAAATTATATATATAAAAGAAAATATAAAAAGCTAAAGTTTTTAAGGAAATCTATTTTTTTATATTTATTATTATAATTAAGTTTTAGTAATTATAAATAAGATTTTTTACCTTATAACAATTATATATAATTAGTAAAAAATATAAGGTATATATAACTTAATTATAGAGGTTGTAATATTACTCTCCTTAGTCTTCTTATCTTTTAAAGACTTCTTCTTAGCAGGTTTCTTAACCATCTTTAGGCTAGCTAATAATCTTTTTTATTATTTAAACTACTTAAGATTTTAAAGGTACCTAAAAACTCGAAAAACCACAGTTAAAATCTCATCACTTTCTTTCAAAGAGAGGTCGAGTTCTCCAAGGGCGGCCCAATATCAAAGCCCGCTGCCTCTAGCTCGGGCTTGCAGAATGCCCAGTTTTGCTTAAGAGCAGGAAAATGAGTCCAGGACCAGGGACGTCGCCAGTCGTGGCTGGCAAGGGTATCCTGTTATGGTTGTCCCTTACTGTGCTGGCTGAGAAAATTTGTTATCCGGGTCGATATACTGGTAGTATCTGAAGGTCTATCAAAGCTTGAACTTTCTCGCTTATCAGCTACTTGTTTGTAGTACCAAGCCCCGTAACTCCTTTCATAAATAGGACGGCCTGAATAGAAAGATTCTTTGGCCCTTCGAAAGTCATCTCTATGTTCCAGAATGATGATATGACAGTCCTTCAAAAAATGTTCTACTTGACATATAAACAGAGCCTATAGACCCAGAATCTCATCGCCGTTCCCAGACGCAGCATTCACAACTCTGACAAGCCATATAAAACGAGCAACTGCAAAATCTCCTGTCTCTTGTCCTTGAACTCGGAGTCTCTCTCTTATAAGAGCTAGTGCGTCATCTAGCTGACCCAGCGAGCCAAATACACTGGCACGATACCATACGGCTGCATCAGTTATGTCACCCGTCGATCCTTGGCTTTTGAATGCTTGGTCGATAAACGAGTCCAGCAGGGAGCCAGCCTCTGCCATATACCCAAAGTCGAACAGAATGGATGCAAGGCTTGTCTTAGTCGATAACCAAGCATCGCCGTCTCCAATCTTCTCCTGTATTTCTGTCACTAACTCTCTCACTTTGTCACCGCTGTCAGGCTGGAAGAACCGAATAATGTCCAACTTGGCTTGCAAAGTTCGACTGTGGTTCGTGCCTACAACCTCCTCCATCTTCTTCGAGACACCGTCCCATGTCGGCAACAATACATCTATGGGGTGGTCGTAGGTTTTAAGAAAGTTTGTGACATGCGTGAGAAGCCCGAACTTGCTATTGACTGCCAGTCCACTACTCAGTTCCATATCATCTTCGTTTATCACAGCTTTGACATGTGGCATGAGTTGTTGCATATCGATCCACTTGTCGGCGTTTGGTATGGGAAATGTGTAACACATAACAACCATGGCTTTGCCTGCCATTTCTCTCGCTGTATGGTCGTTGCTTTTCATCTGGCTTCGCAGTACAACATGTACTAGCCGATACAATGTCACGGCTCCCTCGTCACGACCTTTGGTTAAAGTAGAGTACTTCTTCCTCTCTTCGTCTTTGAGAATAGTAGTTTCATCTTCAGGTGGTCTGTCTGGAATCAGGCTTCGAGCTTGTCTCAAACGTTGTAAGTCCTAGGATACTGGCTCCTTTTATTTGTCCAAATATGCAGTACCTTGCGTCAAGGCTAATGGTAGGTGTTCGAGTTCCTCTGCTAGCTCTTCCAGGTCTACGTCGTCATAGTCAACTGAAGGGAGCTTTTTTCGCATCAACTTGATGCAGTCAATTTTTGTCATCTCATTGACCATGAAGATTTTGTCCGGGTCTGCTAAGATCCCCACTGTCTTTTGGCAGCGTGTTGTGAAGAGTATAAATCCATGGCCAGAACTCGGAAAATAGTCTTGGATCATCAGCGGAGCTGTGTCTAGGTCCTTAGTCTCACAGTACACATTGAAATCATTAACGTTGTCAACTACCATCACCCAAGACCGTTGCTGTTCTTGATTTTTGAACCATTCCTTGATCTTTTGAAGCATATCAGTTGCGACAGCTGTGGGTTGTACACGTCACATCCTGGAATCATGCAGCAACGGGCCATCTTGGCGTATGATTCAACAAAGCGCCCAATGCTGTCGCCATGTATTCAGAATATTGAGTTGCCATGATTCTCATGCACTTCATCAACCCCTTGCGTTGCTATTTGCGTTTTCCTATCGTCTTTATGCCAGTTACTGTCGTTTAACTTGGATCAATTCGTTTACCCTATGCCTCCAATTCCCCAGATAGCTGCCCGTTTGTGGCATCTCTCTGTAGAGGCCTCCAGTAACACATTGGGCGTCTTCGAAATCTGTGGAGCCAGAAACCTCATCCATAGGCGCCGGGTCCAATAGCTGCACATGAGGTTTTGAAATCACATTTTCCGGTCAAAATGAGCAAGTTTAGCTCTTCTATTACCTCCCCGGAGGTCACTTAATGTGATAATTGATAGAGTATTAGCATAATATATAAGATTTACTTATAAACTGTATGTCATGCCCGATGATCTCTTTAGTCTTTTTTTTAACTTTGAAAGATTTTATTCTCTAATCAACAATCTGTTAAGAGTCTTAGAATTGACATTACACATCCCGACATATTATCATAGCTAAGAGGCAGTTTCGGGATCTATTATTTGTAGTTAAAGCTTCATGTCAGTCACCGCATAGCTTCAAGTAACCACCATGGTTCCTGTTCTTAGAAGCCAGATTAGGTGCGCTGCAGCTACACTATTGATGCGGGAGGCTGACCAGGTGGGGTAAGTGGTCGAATGTCAGAACGACACCCGTTGCTCTAACTAACGTTGGCCATCGAGGGGCTGTATTGACCGGAACAGTTAGTACCATGAAAGGCCAGAGCTTAATATTCTTACATGCCCCCTTAGCATTTACTACTCGGGTTTAAGCAACTGGACCAATTTGTACCTGGTGAACTCGCTAAAATCTCGGCTCTCCCTTCTGCGATGATTTTGTGATGGAGGGTACTCAACCAGTCATCATCCTTTCAAGTTCTTGAGGCCATCCACGTCACGTTAGTGGACATAAACATATACCTTACAATTATTGCGAAGACCCTCACTCAGTCTCAGATACTGTTACATCTCAACTTTTGAGATCGTTCGGACGTAGCAAGTTCGTCACAAGTGAGCGAGTTCCGTATAGAAAGAAGCTCCAGGATGGGTGATGGCATGGGAAGTTCCCTTGTTGATATTTGTGCGCAATATGAGGGGTCGAAAATCACGATGCAGTTGGTTAATATTTCAAAAGCCAAGGCGCTACACCAGACGTCTTTGGAATTTCTCAAGGAACTCAAGTATCTATATTTTACAACTTTATCACATCGTGATATCAATCACAACACTAGAAGCTTACCGCAGCTGACTCTAACGCTCGCAGCTATTAATGCATTCAGGCAGCGATAATACATTGCTCTCTCATATACTTGGAAGCTATCTTTAGAAGAAATTAATATTCCTAGTAGTAGTTATCTGGTTGAAGATATCTATTCCGGCAATATGGCACTGTTATCCGTAAGGAATACGGGTTTTAGTTATATGCAGCATTATATAAATTATATATCTACAGAGTATCTATAAATTAATAAATATTATATCTAGTAAGAGGAAGGGGAAGCTAAAAAAAAATAGGCATATATGCAATAAATCAGGTTTATAGCTTAAGCCATTACCTAGTAATATTACTATTACAGACTATAAAAACCTCGGATTAGCTATAGTTACTTATTAGAATTTTCTCTAAGGATTTTGTAGTATGGGGGTATAATAAATACTAGTTATTAAAATCGATAACTTTAGGAAGGGCTTAGTAAGTAATTAAACTTCTAAACTATATTACTTTGATAGGTAGTTCTCTAGAGGATAGACTTACTAGGAGAACTATTAGGCTGGTTTAAAGATAAGCTTTCTTATTACCTATTCTGTATTTATTATAGATAAAAAGCTATCCTACTATTTTGGTTCTTTAGATAGAGAGCTTTGCATTAATTCTATGAAGTTTTATAAGTAAGCAATAAAGCTTTATTTAGCTTATAAAAGTTATTAACCATAACTATATTACTAGGAACATATCATCTCAAGAGCCGGAAGATAGAAAATTCTACTTCATTCGGATAACAGTGATGATTATAGTGCTAAAGACGATGATTCGGCCCCAGTATCAATGTCCCCTACTATTATAGAGGATATATCAAACCGTGAGCTTGGCAGGGAGTGGGATTAACTCGCTATTATCGCCAATTGTTGCCAGTACGTTAACCGCTTGGATAGCAACAAGTTGCAAGACAAGCACAGCCTTAGCTTGTCTATACTTGCACTTTGTCTAGTGAATAGGGAAATCCTTTCCAACCACCCCAGGGATGACATGGACAACAACTCGGCAAGAATCATCCACATTACAAAATTCTTACATCTACACTTCTTCGATGGGCTGAGATCCCCGAAGAATACAGGAAAACTTACCTTTAATAAAGGCTGTCGATTTTCGAATGTCATCCTCATTCAACAAGGCGTGAAGACGGAAGGCTACCTCTGGCGCTTGGAAGATGAGATTTCAACCATTAGCTATGGCGGAAGGAGAAGGCAATACCAGCGAAGACAGCGGCCACTTAAATGGCTAGCCGACCGACTTGCCTATACTCATCCGCTTCTATCCATAAGGCTAAGTGACATTCTCAATCTCGATGAACCAGCGACACCTTCGCAAGAATGGCAGATGAGTATAATTGATATTATAGAAGAAGCTATAGAGCAGGAGAAGAAGCTTTATACGGCAACCTTGCTTGGCCCTGGGCGTTTAAGCGTTGCCATCTTCGTCATGGAGCCTGGACATAGTGATACCGAAAGCGATGAAACAGGCGTGAGCAGTGAGATAGGCTCTGAAAGGAGCCTTGAGTATGAGCAAGACTTTCCACCCATTTCTCTTGGCGCACAAGCAGATGATGCTGAGCCGTTAGTTCTTGACGAAGGATACGCATTTACTTCCATTAATCGTAACCAACAAGGTCAGCAGGGTTTCAAGTAAAATGATCTCAACAAGCAGGTATCTCTCGAAGTTGATTGCTATTTTGGGAAGAGTGATCGATGGATCCCTCGAGTTTATACGAGGCGTTGGATTCATGGCTTGTGCTTTTTCCATAGTTATTCTCCGCGTCCGGTCATATTTCCTTGGCCGGCTGCGTTGCAAGGCCTTTAACGGTTCAAATCATTGTTTTTAAGAAGAGGTTTACGGGTGCCTGTGGTCCTCAGTTGTCTCCTTCCCTAGACAAGGTACTAGAACAATAATAATGCAGTTCTGGCACTCTCGGAAGCCTTGTTGAAGATTCATATCGGCTTATTGGTGGGGTCGCTGACTCTGCCCTATCATAGGATCCGTGTCTATCCCCTTATCTAATCACGATTGAACAAACTGAACTTGCTGACACTGCGCAAGAAGCCACAATCATCAGTAAGTCATATCTCGTCAAAGACCTCCTACGTTGCTGCTGAGCGTCTGCCGTACCTTACCATATGGTGCTGGTTCCACATACTGATCTAATGATAAATTCCAGGTTTTTGTTTAGATATAAACTGTAAACAAGACAAGTTCTGTGCTATCACTCCAGTTCAACTTCTCCTTGTGCATCGGGTTTGCTGATGGCTGGGAATTGTCGAATTTGGCGCACTCTAGATATCCATAACTAGAAAAGGTCAGTCTACCCAGGCTAACACTGAAACAGTACATTTGAATCAGTTGTCAGGCTTTTACTTTTCCATTTCTGCAGCTGAGCTCCCCAAGCAAAGGTAAAAGCAGCAGAAAAGAAGATCCTTTTATAGTTCTAGTAAAACATTGTCAACTGCGAAATCTCACTTATATCTTGTGAAATCCTTCTCCATGTAATCAGGAAATACGCTGAGAATGTCACAACATCCATCTAGGGACACCGATTTGTCCCGATGCAACTACAAGGGCAACGATTAACAACAAGCAGGCCTCTTAGCACAGGACCGCTACACTACCACCTCAAGAGATATTTCGAGACAAATCCAAAGCGCCTTCCTCGTCTTCCTTTCATTTGGTCTTGTCTTTCAAGTGCTGTGCCTCAGTGGCATTCTTTGGTTGGCCTTCCATGGACAAGTGCTAGTACCCATGCAAGACTCGCGATTGACAAGCATTGTCATCTCTGCTGGTAGTAAACTTGCCACTAACATCATGGGCATCAGCTATTTCCGATCTTGTGGACGGGCGACCTGTCAATACGCGAAGGTTGATCTCCATGTGCAAGACGTTCATGTCACAGGAACAATATCAAAATTTCTGCGTCTTACCCTGGTCTTTCAGGTTCCATATTCTCATAGGAGCTATGACGCTGGCGGCAATGGTTGCGACGTCTTCGTCTTTAGATACGATACCTTTGCAACGTCCGGATGGGTAACGGCACTCGTCTCGGACGTTGCGTTTACATGTCCTGCAGAGAAGGTAACCGATACGAATGTCTTCATCTGCGGCCAGGGCGGTTCGAATGCCTACATCCTCACAAACACCTCAGTACACGCTTGGGATTACATTGGAGAAGTGAACACAGGAGGTCAGAAAGCAGTGGCCGAGTTCGGGGACTTTGGAAACAAAGACAGTTGGGGCTAACGTCACCCTTGCGGCACTACCTCCGGGTTGTTTTCCTAGAGGCATGAACAACTTCCGTAGATGGCCATGTGTGTGACTTGTGACAAGCGAGAGATACCAGTGGATTTCAGCGGAATTGGGCACGAGACCAACACAACCGTCTACCTAGATAACAAGACTGCCGCTATTCTCGATATTGGAAACATGCCTCAGCGGGGATCCATTGTGCACATATTTCCACGAGTCAGAGAGTCAGAACTCTTTAGTTGTCTTGGCGAGTACGATGTTATCATGCTAGGCAGGGACGAGTAAGCCGGATCCAGTATGAATACTTGTTGAAGTCTCTCGAGAGAATATTCTGGGGCTTTGTTCCAAGAGAGGGCAGTGTTTTAGTGCACCAAGTCAGTAAGAAGTTATGGGGCTCTCTAGACAACATATTGAGAGCAGGTCGCACCATAGTAGGTTCACGTTGCTGGGATACGGCCACTAATTGTTCACCAGGATTCACAGCAAGTTGTGTGGTCCTCGACCGAAACGCAACATCCTATGCCTTAGAAAATTGTTAGAAAATCCGGGGATCCCCCTTCCATTTAACATTTAAATTATTAATCTAAATGTCTTAGATTTAAAGTTTAAAGTCTTAAATAAAATTATCTAGAGATATAAACCTAAGAAGAACTCGTATTTTAATAATAAATAATTAAATTTTATAAAAATATTTTTTTTTACCTAATACTACTGCATAATATTAACAACAGGAAGACCTACTATAGCTGCTAGAGTATGTAGCCGAGGCTCCTTATAATCTGATGTAGAAGGTAGTTTAGTTACTCCGTGACTAAACTGGTTGACTTTTGTCTATTAGTTAGCTTTTTACCTTCTGGAAGCTCTTACGTTAGGTATGAAATAGTATCAATTTCTTGTTGTATTAAACTTTTTATACCCCTTATTATTAAATACTGGTAAAGATAAGGCCTGCTAATTAGAAGACCGAGCTAATGGTTAGAGAGCTGTCTCAGCACTGTAATAACCCCTCAGATAGGAGAAGAGGTGGCAGAAGAAGGAACCTTTCATTTCATAGCACACGAATACACTGATTCGGGATAAATGGACCGAACACGCAAACTGTCTGACAATAATCAGCCCTCGGAGTAACTATCAACCGGCTTATGCCTCTTTAGAGTAAAAACTAAGCAGGAAATAAAACATCGCCTTAGTTTAGGTTATGGACCCCTGCTCCCTAGCGCGAGGCACTTTCGGGTGACCCGCCGAGCTGAAAAATGCATATTTTCAAGGGTCCCTTAACTTCAAGCCGTCTGCGAACCCTGATAACGCCTCATGACATTATCTCATCACACTTATGACCTGTTTTACTTGCATGTCGCACACTTAGGCCGCTTTAACAAAGTCGATAGAATTTATAACCCATTTCAGCAAATATTATAAGCGTTGGCTTTTCTTTTGGCAAATCCTTTAGTTCCAAAATGGCTTTAATTTCACGGATGACCTGTACTTGCTGAAACGGTCGGTCAAGCCACGATTCTAAAAGCAGATGAAGGGCAGCCTACGATTGCTTTAGGTCATGCTTAGAGACCTTAGTTAGTCCTAGTACGGTAGAGTCTAAAATCAAGCATCTTCTGATCTGCATAGGCCCCACTGACCAACATGTAAGCAAATTTAAGCGTATTGCTCGAGCCTTAATGGCGATCTTTCAGCCAAGGCAGAATTTTCATCATTACAAAGATCAAACGAGCCAGGCGAATATTGACCATTCGTTAGAAGTATAAAGTCCCTGGTACCTCGCCGACTAAGTTGAGCAACGAAGTCTTGTTCTGCTATCTCTCTTATTTGCGTCGAGTTATGCTGGATTCGTCTCTCTATTTCTCTCATTCACTCAACAACATGGCACGTTTTCTCTTCTTTCTCGCCATTTTAGGGCTTACAACGGCGAACCTGACTGGCTTCTCTGGCCGAAAGGGCACATTAAACCGCGACTTCGCAGGCATAGGCAGCATCTCGTTGGCTTTACCCGCCTCCTGCTCTTCTTCCGAGACCGACTGCGGCGGATCCTGCATTGCTGGCTCAGGAGAATGCTGCTCTGCGAGCGAAGGGTCTTACTGCGAATCGGGAAAATACTGTACTGACGATGGATGCTGCCCTAAGGGCGAAATCTGCACTGGAGAGGCAGCTGGTTGCGGCACCGGTAAACAGCTTTGCGGCAAATATTGCATCCCAAATAGCGCTGTTTGTTGCAGCGATGGCAGCTATTGCAATAGCGGGGAAACCTGCACCAGCGACGGATTCTGCTCCAAGGGCAAGGGCAGCGGCAGTAACGACAATAACGACAAACCTACCGAGACAGACGACAACGACAGTCCCACCAAGACAGACAATGATAACGACGATCCCACAGAGACATTCCAACCGCAACCAACAATTACCTCTGCAAGTGGAGACAGCGATCAGGGAAACACGCTTTGCAAGCGTAAGGGTCGAAGTGGAGGCGGTAATGGCGATAATGGTGACAGTGGTGACGATGACGGCTGCAGCGGTAATGGTGCTGGGTCGACGCTTGCGCCGAGTTTCGCAAGTGTCCTATTGGCAGTCTTTGTTTTAATGCTGTAATTAATACGGATGGTTTACTTAAGAGTAGTATCTATATCTTAAATAATAATAATCCTTGACAGTGTAATGCATACCCAGCTCCTAATTCCTCTAAGTTCCAAGCTGGTATAAACAGACTTACCTATCCTAATATGCTATCTTAATATTATATTTGCTATCCTGCTATATTAGAGATATTATATACTAAATATTAAATAAAGCTAAGCTTTCTTACCCTAATATTTAGATAGATATTAAGATATATTATATATTTTACTTTATTAAATTTTATCTTATTATCTAACTATTATAATTAAGGTTTTAAATAAGTAAATTAATTTATATTAAGTTTATACTTATAAGTTTATAAGGTAAAAACTAAGTATAATAAAGTATAATAGTAAATTTATATATATATATTTTTATTAAAATAAGTATTAATTAAAGGTATAATAAAATTTAATAAAGCTTAATTTAATTTATTATATAATAAGCTAGTTATATCTTTACCTCCTCTTTTAGTTTTTACTTTTATTATTATTATTTTAATATTTATCTTTATATTTATTATTATCCTTACTTTTACCCTTAGCTTTTCTTTCTTTACTATTAAAAAATCTACTATTATAATTACTTAAAATCTTATCTCTTTTAATATAACAGTTAGGTTTTTCTAAAGAGGTAAACTAGTTTATATTAGATTTATGTTTATAAAGTGCATAAGGCATAATACTAAGTATTATAAAGTATTATATTTCTTAATAATTAAGTAATATATATTAAGCTTATTAATATAAAAATACTTTATTAATAGCTAATAAGCTAAGTTTTATAAAAGTATTAATAAATATATTCTTATATACTAAAGGTAGCCTAATAGCTTAATAAGGAATAATAGTAATCTAAAGGTTAAATCTCTAAGGATTATTAGTAATTTATAGTAATCTAGTCTTAAAGCATTATAATTTAAGTAATTTAAATAAAAGAGGATTATTACTAGGAGAAGTGATCTTTCTATAATAGGTAGAAATTATAAGGGCTATATAATATAGCTATATAGGTTATAATATAATCTCTCCCTTTTATTAGGTCTTGCCTTTAAGACCTATATATCTCCCTATTCTTATATTAGGCTTTAGTAAGTGCTAACTCTCTTTCTTTATTATTTTCTTAATATACCTTACTAATTATTATATTATATAATCTTTAGTTAAAATCTTATAAGACTTTAAAATGTATTTATTTAGTAAATTTAATTATAAAATTTAGTTTTAATATTATACCTTATTCCTTTTATAAGGCTAAAGGCCTTTATTATAAAATAATTAAGTATTCTTTTTATTATTCTAAATATACTTAATAAGGTTATTTTTATAATGCTTCTAGTATTACAATTGCCTATTATATATTATTTCCCTTATTATTATTGCCTTTTGCTAATTATTTTTCCTTTTAGTTCTTTATTTAAATTGCAAGTCTGATTATTTAAAGTAGGCAGAAGAGGAAGCTAAGGAAAAGCTTTTTAAGGCCTAATAAGAGGTTAATAAGGCTATTATAAAATTATCTTATATTTATTATTAAAAGTATCTATTATATAAGTAAGGTATTTAGTTTATTATTAATAATATAAATTCTTTTATAGGTAATATTATTACTTAAGAGGAAGATATAGCAGTTCTAAATATTTAGTCTCTTAGTAGTGCTAATATTATTAACTAAAACCTAATTTTTAATCCTTTACTTTTTAAGGTTATTAATAGAAATTCTTTAGGAGTTGCTAGGCATTAGCAAGGTATCTTATTAGTTCCTATATATTTTTACTTTTTAAGTAATTTTTCTATTTAATTAGATATATCTTTTATTTATTAATTCTTTATATATTTCTAATTTCTTTTACTTTATATACCTCTAGTCCTGTAATTTATTATAGTTTATTACTAGTTTTTATATATATTATATTTATAGCTAATTTAAGTATTAAGATATAGTAAATTAAGTAATATCTAATATTTAAGGGTAAATCTAGTTTATATTAATTTTCCCCTATCTTTTATTTAATCTTAACTAGTCTTAAGTATTTATAGTCTAGTTTATAATTTAGTTAATTTATTTTAATGTTTTTAGTAAATAAGTAAACTATATCCTCTTTTATAAAGGTTAATCCTTTTAACCTTTTAAGATTATAATATCTCTATATCCTTTTCTTAATAAATTCTAGCTTAGTCTTAAGTTTATTATATATTTCTCTTAGCTTATTACTTATAATAATTACTATTAGGTTTATATTTTTAAGCTCCTAAGTATTATAATATATATTAGGTATAAATCTGATATTTATATTAAATAGTATAAGTTTTATACTTTTATTATAGGCAGTATTATAGGCTAGCTAAGCGCTTAGTAGCTTCTTAACCTAGTTATCTTATTTATAGTTAATATAATACTAAAGGTATTATTTTAGTACTTAATTTATTTATTTTATTTAACTATTTACTTATAGTTTAAAAGCTATTATAAGTTAGTAATTAACTCTTATAAGTATTATAAGTAATTACTAGAATTTAGAAGTAAATATTAGTTCTTTATTAAATAAAATCTCTTTTAGTAGTCCTTATTTTCTTACTACCTTATTATAAAAGATATAGGCTATAACTTCTATATTTATTGCCTCTCTATAAGGTAAGTAGATTAAGAATTTTATAAGTTTATTTATAATAACTATAATACTATTATAGTAAATTCTAGTTAAAGGATTTTCTAATAATAGTAATTTAGTTATAAAATCTATTATAATTAAGCTTTATAGTTATTTTATAACTTCTATTAGTTATAGTATTTTATAAAGTCTATATTATTATGCTTTTATTTTAGTATAAATATTGCATTATTTAATAACCTTTTTTATTACTTTTTATATTATCTTATAGCCTTATTATAGTAATTATTTTAAGATTTTAGTAACTCCTTAATATTTATATAATAAGTATATATAAAATTCTTAAATAAACTCTTATAGCTCTCTTAGGATTTCTCTAGTTACTTCTATCTATATCTATCTTAATATTACTATCTTCTAGGTAAATTAATATTCTCCTTTATTATTCTTTTCTAGTACTTATTCTCTTACTTTAATAGTGCTAGTATTATAATCTAATTATTAGCTAATTATATCTGCTTTACTATTCTTTAATCCCTTTTAGTAAATAATTATAAAGTTAAATTTATATAGGAATTTTATATAATATAGTTATTATCTATTAAGTTTATAAGTTATAGTAAAGTATAAAATGTTTTAGTAGTTAATATAGACCTTAACTTTATACTTACTTCTTATTAAATAGTATTTAAATTCTCTAAAATAATTAACTATTACTAGAAATTCTTTATTATAAATTAGGTAGTTAAGCTTTACTTTATATAGTTTATATAAATAAAAAGTAATAAAATATAGCTTTCTTTCCTTATCTCTTTAACTAATTTATCTTCTTAATATAAAGTCTAATATATCTATTTCTAGCTTAATTTCTTTTTTAGGATTAAATATTATTAAGACTGGTTTATTAAGGATTACTCCTTTAAGTTACTTAAATGCTTTTTAAGCTTTATTATTTTAGTTAAAGGATTTTTCCTTCTTAATTAGTTCTATTAATAGAATTATAATTTTACTAAATCCTTTAATAAACCTTTAGTAATAATTAGTAAAGCCTAAAAAGGCTTATATTTCTTTAATATTAATAAGTACTTTCTATTCTGCTATTATTAAGATTTTCTTTCTCTTTATTTAGATTTCTCTAGGTATAATAGTATATCTTAAAAAGTCTACTTTTATAATATAAAAGTAACTCTTTTCTAATTTAACTAATAGCTTAGTATCTTATAATGCTTTTAAGACCTTATAGATATATTCCTTATATTCTTCTTTATTATTTAAGAAAATTAGGATATTATTAAGGTAGTATATTATAAAGATATTAAGGTATTATTAAAGTATGCTATTAATTATCTACTAAAACATTATAAGTATATTAGTAAGACTAAAGGGCATTATTAAATATTTAAATAGTCTAAATTTAGTTTTAAATACTATTTTCTATTTATTTCCTTCCTTAATATAAATAAGGTTATATACTTCTTTAAGGTCTAGAGCTATAAAGATCTTTTTACCTTATAATTAATCCTTAAGTTTTATTATAAGTAAAAGTAGGGTTTAATCCTTAGTAATATATATATTAACTAGTTAATAATCTATAACTAGTTAGTCCTTTTTATTCTTCTTTAATATAAAGAATATTATTAATATTACTAATAAACTTAATTCTTTAATATAACCTTTCCTTAGTATCTTATTAATATATTTTTATTAAACTTATAGTTCTCTCTAATTAAGTAAATATAGCTTTTAAAATAGTAGTCTTTTATTTATAAGGTTGATTTTATAGTCTTATTTATTATATTTAGGGACTCTTATTTCTAGTTTTTCTTAAAATAATTTATTATATATTTAATATTTTTTTAAAATATTCTTAAGTTAGTCCTAGCTTAATATTATAGTTTTATTCTTCTATAAATCTTATTATTTAAGGATGCCTAGGATTTCTAATTTTTATCTTTAGCCTATCTTATACTTATATTATACTTCTCTTAAAGGTAGTAAAGTCTTTGCTTTATATTAGTTTATACTTATCCTCTTAGTTATAGATTAAGATCTCTTATTACTCCTTATAATTATTTTATTATTACTATTAGGATTATTAGGAAATATAACTTAGCTAGTCTTCTAGTTAATATATAGGTTTTATTATTTAAGCTAGCTTATTTTAAGGATAATATCTATCTCCTCTCCTAAAGGAATAATATTAAAGCTTATTTCTTAATTTTTCCCTTTAATAAAGACCTTAAGGTAATTAATCTCTTAATTTATTATACTATTATTATAATTAAAAAGTTACCTTTTTATATTAATAAGTTAATATAATAATTACTTCTTTTTCTATAATAATCCTAGCTTTATAACTATTTTTAAGTTAATAAAGTTCTTTTTTATTTTATTATTAATTTATATATTTAGCTATTTCCCCTTAATTTAAGCTTATAGTACTAGGCAATTAGGTTTATTATTTTATATAGCTCTTAAAGTACTTATTAGTTTAAGTCTTTCTTATCCTTATTTATTACTCTTTTATAGCTCTATTATTATAGAAGGTATATTATTTTTCCTAAACTAGTTTAGTAAAGTAACTTATATTTTTTATTATTATAGCTAACTCCCTTTTAATAGTTTTTAATATATTCTTCTTCCTTTATAAAGTTATTTATAAACTCTTTATTATATAAATACTATTAAAAATGTTTTTCTAGTTTTATATCTTATTTATCTAGAGAAATTCCTTATCTGGATTATTTATTATTAATTAGAACTTAATTAAGTCCTTCCTTAAGGTTAATAGGCTTAAAGAGGTATCTCTTTTTTATAGTTTTGGCTTTATTCTTCTTATCTTAAAGATATTCCTCTAGTTATTTATATACCTTTTAAATAAACTCTCTTTCTTTTCCTTTTTTATATTTCCCTAAGTTAATAAGTTTAAATCTCCCTTTACCTTCTTCTTTCTTATAGTCTTCTATAGCTAGATCTTCGAATTTTCTTTCTGCTTCTTTAATTATTCTTATTATCTATAGGGTTTCCTAATAGAAGTTTCTATTTCTTAATAGTATATTAAATATCCTTCTATTTCCGTTTTCTAGTAAGGGTTATTATTAAGTATGCTAGAAATTATAATAAGGAAGTAATTATTATCTTCCTTATTTTATCTATATTCCTTATACTAATAATATTTATAAGATAGCTATAATAATTTATTATATCCTAAGTAGGTTAGAAATGTTTTTATAATGTCCTTAATATTGAATTTTAGCTCCTTATAATAAGGGTTTATAGTATTTATTATATAATAGGCCTAAATATATAAGCTCTCGAGCTTATTAATGTTACTGTATTCTCTAGCTCCTTATAGGTATCTATCTTCTATTAAGGTATATATCTTGCTATTATAGTTATTAAATAGTAGTTTATAAGGTTACTTTTACTTATTTTTAATTTATTTATCTTCCTTATAGAGGTATTATATGGCATTTTATACTGCCCTTCCTTTATATCCTATACTTTAAGAGTATTATTAATAATATATATAAACCTTATCTCTTACTTTATATTCCTTTTTAATTATTTTTTCCTTTTTTAAATAGTTATTTAGATTAAGATAGTATTAATTATCTTAAATACTTTAGGTTATTTTCCTATATTAAAGGTAATTCTTATTCCTTATAGGTTCTTTAAGTATCCCTTAATTTCCTACTTAGAGGGTCTTTTTTCCCTTATTATCCTAAAGATCTCGGTTTATTTTATCTTCTTATATCTCTTTTCTTCCTTTCTCTTAAGGTAATAAGTATAGTCCTTTTCTTTTTCTTATTATTAGTTTTTTAAGTTCTTTTACTATTCTCTTTAATATTTATTTACCTTTATTTTATATAGTATTAGGATTTAGGGTATATTTCCTACTTAAGTATCTTCTTCTATTAGGAATTCTTCTTATAGTTCTTAAATTAAACTATTTAAGTATAAGTATTATTTATATTTTAGTATAATGCCTTTATATAAAGCTATTATATTATATAGGCTTTATATTATTCCTAATACTTAGGTTTATATAATAATTTAGGGTTTTTATTTATTAATTACTGCTAGTATTTACTTACCTTAATTAGGGTTTTTAGGCTTCCTTAATTAAAGATATTTATTAATAATATATTTAAACTAATTATAATTATAATATTTAACCTTAAATATATTATAAGGTCTTTTATTATTATTATATTATATTACTTTAAGTATTATAAGTCTTAGTTTAGTTTTATATTATATATTAATATATCTCTTTCTTCCTTAATTAGTATTTTATTATCTATTAGTATTTTACTAAGGGTTATATATCCCTTTATATCTTTTAGCTTGCTTTTCTTAGTATTACTTATATTATTAATTATTAATTTCTATAGTAATATTTACTAGTTTATTTAAGTTCTTTAATTTAGGTTTAATATTTACTATTATATCCTTAACTTCTAACTTTAATCTTAAATATACCTGCACTATATAAGCTTCTTTACCCTAGTTTAGCTTAGCTACTTAATAGCAATATTTAGCTAAGTAGTCTGCAGTAAATCCTCTCTATTTAAGCTATTATATTTTTATTTTTATAGTATGTTTTTTATCTATTACTTTAAAGGCGTTTTTAAGCTTTAATTTAAAGTTTTTATATTTCTTATAGATATATTTTATTATTTTTTATTATTCTTTATATAGTTTGCTAATATAATCTTAAATAATAAGTTTTATTAATTATAGTGCTTTATCTTTAAGGAATCTTATATTATATTAAACTTTTAGCTTATTAATAATAAACTAAATAAGGTAGTATATCTAGTAGCTTTAAAGGCTAATAAGGAATCCTTAAAGCTTATTAATATTATTATTAAATAGTTTAAGTTAATAAGGTTAAAGGATTTTTTTAAAGTCCTTTTTAGTTATTATAAAGGCTATAATATATTTAATATACTCCTTATAGAGTTTTTAATTATTTTCTACTTCTTTTCTAAGTACCTTTATAATCTTAATAAGGTTAGCTACTTTCTTTTTTAAGTTCTTAATTTTATTTTTAGCTATATTAAAGTTATTTTTTATATTCTCTAAAAGGTTATTATATTACTAGCTAAGCTATTTAAGTCTATATTTAAGTTTTATAACTTCCCTTTTATAAATACTTAAATAAGTAAGGGTAATATCTTCTTTATTTTTATTATTAATTTCTATAAGAATATCTACCAGGTTAGGGGGTATCTCTTATTATAGGTAATACTAGGCATATCTTAAGTTAGAAAACTAAATTAAAGTAATAAGTACTATTATATAGGTATTACTTAGTATTATATAATATAGTCTAAATAAGAGCTATTAATATATAATAATTAGGTTTTTTTAAAAAAGTAAACTAGTTTATATTAAATTTATATTTATAAAGTATATAAGGTATAATACTAAGTATTATAAAGTATTATATTTCTTAATAATTAAGTAATATATATTAGGCTTATTAATATAAAAATACTTTATTAATAGCTAGTAAGCTAAGTTTTATAAAAGTATTAATAAATATATTCTTATATACTAAAGGTAGCCTAATAGCTTAGTAAAGAATAATAATAATCTAAAAGTTAGATCTTTAAGGATTATTAGTAATCTATAGTAATCTAGTCTTAGAGTATTATAATTTAAGTAATTTAAATAAAAGAGGATTATTATTAAGAGAAGTAATCCTTCTGTAATAAGTAGAAATTATAGGGGCTATATAATATAGCTATATAAGTTATAATATTTAAGCTCTTTTATAATATTATATAATAAGTTCTATTACTTATTTATAAAGTAAATAGCCTATTATTTAAATACTTCCTTATACCTAATATAATATACTATTTAATAAAAGCTTAAATAATAATAACTAATTAACTTATATTTATATATTTACATCCCCTTACCTTTATAGCTAAATAATATATTAGCTTGGCTTATTAATATAATATTAATAAGCTATTATAATATTTTAATTAATATATTATTAAATTACTAATAGTAGTACTTTTAAATAGAAAGTATTAATCCTTTATATAAGTTAGTATATACTAGTTATTATTTCTAGTAAAAATAAAGTCTTTTTATAATACTTCTTTAACTATATATTAGTTTTCTTATTACTATTGCAGTTACATATCTGTTAGCTCCACATACTCTATCTCAGTTTATTATATCTTCTCTACAATGGGCGTGTTATTTACAGCTATCACTTCCATGTCCCGTCTAGCCTGTACAAGGGGACTCATAACTCAGATCCAACCCAAACTGTACAACGGTTAATGCATCTAAAGTCAATCTTCAGCTACCTACCTACTCTCATGCTGAGAATCTCTTATCGCGACAGTTTGAGAGACCGGACACAAACAGCAGAACGACTAAATATTCAGACTTAAATAACAATCGGGGACTAACGGAAATTCCTACACCTGCTAGCCCATCATCTACCTTTATAGAGCTACCAAGCCCTTCAACAGATTCGACCAACCAGTCACTGTGTCCGAGGTTTCTCTTTGGAGACTCAAAGAGTAGCACGGATATGTGCCTATTGCTGAGGAGCTCGAAGGGCTTCTCAAGCCTAACACGAAGGTATAATTAACACAGATGAGGATGCGCTGGGGTCACGGCCTAACTTACTGACCAGATGATCGTCATCAACAACCCCAACAACCCCACCGGTGCTCCAATCCTTCGGTCTTGCCTTGACGCAATTGTCGACTTTACTCTATTACAATTGCCAAAGGGAAAGATTAAATCTGTGTCTAGGCCGACTAATTAAAACTAGGAAAAAGATTAGGTAGTTAAATTTATTAAATAATATAGATTCTACCTAAACTATTTACTAACATATGTAAAGCTTAACCTTAACCCTTAATCTTAGGTGTCCCTAATTATAGATGTCTCTATACTCTTCAGCCCACAGTATTTAATACCAATCACTTCTTAGCAGCTTCCGCATTCTCACTTTGCATTAGACGCTGTGTAGCAGTCTCAGTAGTATGGAATCTCCAAGCCTTGATCTTACGCTCAAAGAGTTCGTCAAGCTCGGCAGGTGATCGCCTAGAAACGAATCAGTTTTCGTCAGGACTTAAAGGTATTCAACGTGACTCACCGAGCAGTCTCGGGGACCAAGAGCCATGTACCAATGACCCATGGTAAACCAACGCCAGCATAGAAAAAGCCAGTTTTGAGCTTCCAATCCCACTTATTGGCATTGACCATATACGGCGTAAGAACAGACATAACGAGGCCACTGATGGAGTTGGCAGAGGCTGCGAAGCCAGACGTATAGGGTCGAAGTCGTTGCGAGGATATTTCACCAATGTAGCCCCAGCCCGCAGCTCCATTGGCCGAGATACCAATGTCTAGAGAAACACAAGTTAGCTTATGATGATTGGTGATGATAGACCATGAAGGGCTCACTCCAGAAGCACGCAAACAAAACAAACACATAGGTGCTTGCATTACTTTGGGGAGCAACTCCTATAATACCAACGATCAGGCAAGAGATCCACATCAAGGACGTTGCGCAGCAGGCCATGCGGCGACGACCGAATCTATCGACTCCAAAGACAGCTAGGATAACGACGATTATCTGCAGAGACGTAGTGATGGCTTTGATCTTGAAGGGGTCGGCCAGGCCAGCCTGCTGGAAGAAGTATGTACCAAAGCTGCCAAAGAGGGCAAGACCTAGGAACTGCTGCGCAACAATGGTCCACATGGCGGTGATGGTACGGCGGCCGTCGATGCCCTTGAAGATAGCCAGCCAGCTTTCGTTTCGTTGCTCGGCCGCCAAAGCCTTTTCGTGCTCGACATTCAGGGCGAGGAGTTCATAGTGGCGATCGACATCAAAGTCCTTGACTCCACGGTAGAGAAACCTAATACTCTTCTTGGCCCTCTCTTCTTTTCCGACAGTAACACACCAGGAAGGCGATTCGGGAAGCAAGACGTAGATGATGGCCATGACTCCGATGTGTCCCCACTGGGTATATACAGGTGTAAGCCAGTTGAAGGGATCGTTCTTGTTCAGTCTCTGGAGAGCCACATGGGTACAGAAGGAACCCAGAGTCCACCAAAAGCTGTAAAGCATCAACATGCCGCCACGAATCCTAGTTGGGCTGACTTCTGTAATGTAACCCAGCAGCGTAGCCTGGAGGCAACCTACGCCAGTACCAGCAAGCATCTTGGCACCAAACCAGACCGGCCAGCTTCGCGCAAGGGATTCAGCCAAGACGCTGCTCATGAGGATGATCCAGAGAGTATACATGGCAATCTTGCGACCGAATCGTGCAACTACAAAGGAGATTCCGATCTGACCGAGGACCTGGCCCACGTTCTGGCCAGCACTCCAAGTAGCGATGATATTGGATGCGAGGAATTTCTCGCCCTCTTCGTTGACCGCTGTGGCAAATTGCTGGACAAAGCCTTTGTTGGCAATAATGCTTGCTTGCATACTAAAGTCACATCAGTCAAGTGCTATGATAGTAGAGTAGGTATGATACATACGCAATTTGGTAACCATCGGCTCCAGCGCTAAAGGCAGAGAGCAGGCAGACGAGTGATGCCATCTTGAAGGTTCGAACAGTCTCCCAGAATGTCAGATTCTCATAACCTGAGAGGGCCTGACCCTGTGCGACGGCCTCAGCAGCAAGGTCATCATGCTTGAGTGCAGTTTCAACATGATCGTGAGAATCAACCCGGGCAGGATTGTCGATAGGCGTCTTGGAGTCGCTGGGAGCAGCCATAGTGATTTTGAGTCACTGCTTTTGGTCAAAAGAGACAAGAGGAAGAAGATAGTTGGATTGATCCAAAGCTGATGCCGTACTCGAGGTCATTTCATATAAGAATCCATTGCTGTGTAATTGTAGTACGTGCCTCGATTTGCGATCCTCGCTCCCCACGGGGTCAACGAGACCAACAAGCGAGAAGCCGCGTATTCAACGTTTAGCGCACTTATACCCCGCAGTCTCGTCGCCTGGGGTACATGGTCAGGGGTTGTAATTGGACAATTTCCATGGCCCCATGATGCTGCATCGCCGAAGAGTTTTCCGACAAAGTTTTCCGACGACTTGTTGAATCCATGTGTTAGCAGAATCTGACCATTTTGAGGGTTTTGCGTCAAAGAGATTGGCTGGACGTTTTTGAATTGAGTTGATAGCTCGGGAACAGACGCTAGCTCAGAAGATCACGCGATCTAACTTAGCAACTCTTGTGAAAGGAAAGTCTGGACTGAATCGAATTCCGACAAGTTTTCCCCCATAAGCTTTGAGGTAGCATATGGCAACAACCATGTCGTGCAGAACGCCACGAATGGTCGATTCGGCAAGGCTCAAGGTCTTGGACTGGATCGTGGACTGTTGCGGCAACGCACTTGACTTGAACCGTAATTATCAAGACAATTTTTAGTCACGTCGGCGGCCGTCGAAGGTTTAAAATGTCACGTATATTTTATTATAGTTTAGCGATATACGGTCAACGGAGCTCCCCGAAAGCAGACGATCAGGTAGCAATGCAGTCACATTCAAAGTTACGATCTAAGATGGCACCTGAAGAGTGCTTGTGTGTTGTCAATGTGGAAAGAATGTGCTCCGCTACCGATCGCAACAAACTCCATATACCATTCGGAACTAAGGTCATGCCAATATAATCGATGGTCTTTATACTTCTACTCTATTCTATTGTGAAGGGGTCCAAATATGTAAATATATCTATGTCAATTCTTATAGCCCTGTCTTCTTCGTTGGAAAGTCTCACGTAGGTATGTTGCCGAGTTCTTGGGCGTGCGTGTCAAGCCATTTTCAAAGTTGACATGAACAATACCGAATTTTGGCTGATATCCGGCCGACCATTCTAAGAAGATATCTTAGTTAGCATAGCTCGCAAATAATTGATAAAAGAGAGGTATACCAAAATTATCCATGAGCGTCCACACGTAGTAACCCTTGACGTAGATGCCATCGTCGTATATAGCTCGTGATATTGCATCCAGGTATAGACCGAAATACCTTTCGCGAAACTTGTCGTCAATTGCTAACTCGAGATCTTGCTCTCCAGGGCATGGGCATCCGTTTTCCGTGATGATAATAGGAAGATGGTATCGATTCCACACCCAGTTCAACAACTTGCGGAAGCCATTGGGTGCGACACGAAGCCATTGAAACTGTGAAACAGGGCCTATTTCCTGGCCTGCTTCATTCACAGCTCCCTCCTCGATGTTGCCTGTCCAGTCGTCTTCGGAGGGAGGATCGGGGAGAGCACGGGCGAATTTTGTCGAGTAGTGGTTCATGCCATAAAATGCATTCAAAGAAGCTGTCTCGCGGAGAAGGTCGCGCTCTTCAATGCTGAAATGGGGTAGTCTGTCGCCCAGATAGTTTCGCATCGAGGCGGGATAATCTTGTCCTAGGAAGATTGGGTCGCCAAACCACCCAATATAGAACTCAAGTCTTCGTTGCGCCGCATCAATGTCGGCTCGTTTATTGGAATATGGCTCATAGAAATGGCTGTTCAGCACGATAGAGATCTCTCCCTGTTGCGCAGGCTGGAACTCCTTTACATAGAGCTGAACAGCAACAGCATGCGAGATAACCAGCGTATGACCGACACGCCACGGCTCATTCTTTGTATCGAAACCATCTCCTGCACAATGTCCCGGGGCAAGTGTTCCGTTGACATGACCAAAGATGGAGATGATATATGGCTCGTTATACGTGACCCACTTCTTGATTCGGTCACCAAAGCGCTCAAAACATAATCGTGCGTAGTTAGAAAAATCGGCAGTGAACTCTTCAGTATTAAGAAAAGCCTTGTAACGATCGTAAAGAGCCTGTGGCGCATCCCAATGATATAATGTCACCACGGGCTCAATCCCGCGTGCCAACAATCGGTCAATGAGATCGTTGTAGAAAGCTATTCCCTTCTCATTTATGGGATCGTTGCGGCCTCCAAGGGGAATAATACGTGTCCAAGATAGAGAGAAACGATAAACGTCGACGCCGCAGGCTTCCATGAGGTCAATGTCCTCGGATACTCGATTATAGTGGTCGCAGGCTATATCGCCGGTTGTCCCGTTTGTTCGCGAGGGCTCTAGATGCGTGTACGTGTCCCAGATGGACTGGCCTTTTCCATCTTGGTTTGAGCCACCTTCGACTTGATATGCTGAAGTAGCAGTACCCCAGCGGAAGTCTTTGGGTAGTGGGAGCTCTTGAACGGTCAAATCGTGGGTCGTGCCTGAGCTGGTGACCAAGTCACCAGCCTGAAACATAGAAGCCTCTTTGGACATTGTAATTGGATGGTAAGAAGGTGAAGAATCTGTGAGAAGAAACGATGTTGACTAGGAGTAGTTTTAAACAGCCCTAAGCGAAGAAGCTTTTTTCTGTCATGGCTTCTATCTTCACAAGCCCCGCCCCCAAGATGCCAGTAGAATGTCAATTGCCTCGCTTGAGCAGCCGGATTCGAAAGAAACCCCACATGGTTGGTGCTTTATCTATTGTAGCAATTGTTGATAAAGTTTTGGACGCCATGGGGTATATAGAATCCGCGTCGGAGAACCTGGCGGATCTCGAAATGGTTAAGGTACTCCCCCACATAAAGTCGTTAGTGCACCACTTTATTCAAGTCTTCGTCGGAAAACTCGTCGGATTACGATGGATGCCAAGACCTTTGGCTCATCTCATCATATGAGCAGTCTAAAATGCGAGTAACTACGAGTAATTCACTTCAAACCATGTCACACGCAGACCGCCGTTATCCGAGGTTCAATGTCAGGATTGTTGGCATGTTACTCTATACTCTATACTCTTTACAGTATTCCGTAAGTTCTAGATGCGCCTCATGATACTTTGGACCCATTCAATACAATGCCCTGCGAGCCAATTTGATTTGCGTTCTACCTAGCGGGAAGTTCTTGAATTTGGTTATCTCAGATGAAGACTTATCCTCCTGTATAAATATACCGAAAAAGGGCCCTGTGAAGTATCGTGCGAATAAATCCTTATCAGCTACAACCCCTAGCTCCTGAGTCTGAGCTGAGACCTGGCCTTCGACTGCTCCAAGAGGGTTAAACGAGAAGCTGTAGCCCTCGTTCGATGAGCGTACCCCAACTGGATGGTGGACGCCTTGTAGTAGATCTGATGATTAGTAACCTTGATGAAATTTGTAGCATTGTTGGCAACTTTGAACTCGAGACACTTCTTGGAATAGTTCCATGCCAGGTACACATATCTAAAAGGGCCGAGACATGATGTCAATCCAGCAACCATTGCCTGGTCAGTGTTGGTGTTGTACTGAAATCCAAGAATACTGTAGCCAAAGCAATGATATCTGGCTGTTGTCGGCCATAAAAGGTCGATATTCTGTGGGAAGCATTAAGCCCGACCTCTCCGGGTTTCAGCAAGACCATCTCGTCCTCTTCGTGTACAGAGACCGCATAATAAGCATTCTGTCGACCCCCAATGTGAACCATACACTTGGGCTTGCTTGTTCGCCGAGGAAGATCGGGACCCCCCAGATATTTAGCTTGAGGAGATAGGGCTGGTTGCTTGATTTTGGGCCATCTTCCCTCTGGCCAATTCGCCGATGTAAGAAAGGTTTCTCGACCTAGCGGCCACTCTCTGTTGGTGCTGACACTGTGATCTCCTAGGGCAACGAACCACCAGTCGCCGTCGCGATAATGGACCAGCTCACCACGACCTAGTCCCTGGATAAGATAAAATTAAGCTTTTAAAAATTATATAAAATAGACTTTTAAGTAAAAAGTAAAGAATTAATATACTTATTTATTTAACACATTTATTATTTAATTTTATTTATAATATTAAACTACCCTATTTATGCTAATATTAAATAAAAAGCGGGGTTAAACCTGAAATGAGGTAAAAAAGAATCAAGGCAACTCCGCACCTTTTAACCTACAGCAAATGGCCAATTAATGTTATATCGATGAGACCGTTATCAGCGTGTGTAGCATGCCGGTACGCATTGCTCTCCATTTCTCCAAGAATTTAATCTCATATTAAACACTCTAGTGATCGGCGGAAAAAGTGCGATCGGTCTCGACCAGGTCTAAGTTGCAATTTCTGCATCAAGCGAGGCCTCGACTGTGTTGGAGTCATAGATGACCCTGTCCCCGACACTTTGGAAAGACATTACGAGCCACTTGGAAATCAGACAGAGGATGGTCGGCCTCGTCGTATCTCGTCACTAGTTGTACCTGATGCCGCTCTAGCCGAGGAGTTGGCGAGTCTCTATTTTCGGTACATGCACATCACGTTTCACAATATCTTCCATCGCGCAACGTTTATAGCTCAGGTAAAGGACTCTTCTATCCCAAAGATTTTGTTCTTTGGTGTTGCAGGTCTGTCTGCGCGCTACTCGACGCATCCCATCTTTGCGTCCATTACGCCGTGGGACAGAGGACGGCCGTATCGGGATGAAAGTAAGAGATTGCTCGACCTGGAGGATACTTCATTGATCAGTATCCAAGCTTGCATGCTACTAGCAGCAAATGCTTCTGTTGAGGGAGATTCTAGGACCGAGTCGGTATATCTCGCGATTGCTTCTCGCATGGCCACGCTGTTAGACCTTCCAAACTTACCAACCGAGTCTCTTCTGGAGCAGGAAATCAATCGAAGAGGTAACTTGAGCTTACTCTGAACCGAAAGTGAGGCGCTTACACTGTTATCTAGTGTGGTGGTCTCTCATTACAACCGAGACATGGGCAACCGCAACTCAATCTCTGCCCAGGTTTATCAAACCACGAAACACCATCCCGTTACCCATGGATGAGCGTCAATTTGCTTCGTTGAGCTACGACATACCAGCGACGCCGCCTGACTCGTCACTTTGCGTATCACCTACTTGCAACTTCGATCCTCAATCTTTGGTCGCCCAGATGATCCGGCTTAACCTCTTACTTTACGATATCATTCTCTTTCTCAACTCCCGAATAGTGGATGAACAGGAAGAACATTCGACGAGCGGAGAATTCGATCATCAACTTCGCCATGCCCTTGATGAGTGGGCCAACAACCTACCCCCGAGACTTCGTTATTCTGAGGACAACGTGATGTACTGGGCTGATGAGGGCTTCGGTGCTATTTTTATAACACTGCACATCAACTATAATCACGCCGGCCAACTCTTGTTTTACCAACACCTTCACTATGCTCAAGAACAGGATCAAGGCGACGATTCTACGCAAGGGTTTGCCCAGCGTTGTAAACAGCACGCAACAAACTTGTGCGACCTCATCTACGAAGCGAAGCGGCGATCAGACACGGTCGTTCTGTATCCGCTTGCTGGGCATATTCTATGCCTGGCTTCTACAGTTCAAATCCATACACTGCTCTTTGGAACCGACGATGACGAGATCCTCGCTGCCAAGACGCGGTTAGAAAGAAACTTTGAGATGATTTCATCAATGAACAACTATTGGCCTATGAACCATATGTCGATCAGCCGGCTACAGCATTTCCATAATGCCTGTCTTCGGAGCAAGGATAACTCATTTCACTTAGATGCTTGGATGCTTCGATTCCTATTGGGTTTTACCCAGGACATTAAGGACAGGGATGCAATTTGGACGTATGGACATCGGGCGCTGAATGAGTTTAACCCACTGAGGAATCTCTTGGATATTTAATCCAACTTGAACTGGGGCCCATTTATTGCCTGTGCAAAGGAACCGACTCTATTTAACCTAGGTTCCACTAGCAGGTTGCACGTACTTGATCCCATCAAGCACCGTTGTCAATGTTCCGTTCGTCTCTAGGAGGTTAATCATGACATCTATCTCTACTTCAAATCCATCTCGACTTGTGACTTTAGTCCCTTTCACTACTCCAGTTTGCGTGATATTGGAGAACCATTCCACTCGGTCTTTCCAGACATTGGGAAGTAACTTCCACTTGGTAACCTTTTCATATCCGTCGATGATGTAGCCTCTTTGATCGGAATAGTTGCTATAAGAAGCCGAGATAGTTTGAATGGCGCCAGTTTCGGGGTCCTCAATGAAGGCAACCTCAGCAACGCCTGACAGCTGACCTTGTAGTGTATAGTTGCCGGCTGGGATCTTGTATTGCGTTGGTGTTTTACTACCAGCGGGAAAAGCTTTTGCCCAGGGGATAAAATCGGGAGCTTTGAAGACTGGTGCTGGCTTTGAAGGCTTGAGAGAGGTACGACGAGCAAGCATGATCCGGTAATTGCGTCCTCCTTGGGCAGTAGAAACTGGGCATGGAAGAGGATTGGCACCGCCGCAAGAGGGAGAAACCACAAGAGCTTGCCAGTATACAATCATTGTGCTGTCAGGAGACAAGGCTGGATCAGCTCTGCCATTCCAGTTAGGATCATTGACGCTTCCATCGCTTCCGTCGCCGTCCGCATTGACCTGCTGACCGAAATAGTCTCCATTATCTCCATTGCGACCGATGAGGATTGGCTGAAAGAATCTTCGTGGTCCATTATTGCGCGTTGACGAAGCGATGGCCACAACGAGGTAATCGATAATAGGAGGGATCCATCTCATACCAGACATAAACATCTGCCGACCTACAACACGCGTGTCCATAGCAACGATCCATTGATCATCCTGGGACATGGTAATTGGGTCAGTATAGTCGGGATGACTGGTGAGGCGACGGATAGCCCCAGTTGTAAGGTGGACGGCCATGACATCGATGTTATTGGCTTCCACGGGAGATCCGATGTAGAGAATCTCATCGCCCGAGCCACTGAAACCACGAAGTTCACCGGGTGTGATTGCATCATGGTTGATGATTAATTCATCGCCTTCGACGTACATGGGTGGTTTGCCATCTTTATCAACGAGAATGTTCACATCAACCAAGTCGTATCGAGGAACAAGAGGCTCCCCAACCTTTGGGTCGGCGTTAAACTCCAGACGGCCAAAGTAAGTAAACTGGCCTCCAGTAGCAGTGAAGGAGCTCCAGCCCATGTGTTCATCGTCAGGATGAAGTCGCATCTCTCGAGGAGAGCCACCTTTTCCAGTCCCATCGGCGGACACAGTCCAGTGAATGGGATAGATGTGAGTATTGTTCGGAGTACATTCATCGCTGGCCAACGGCTTTCCACCACAGGAGACAATGTTATGACCCCACAGCGCCTTATCACCGCTTCGAAAGACATGAGGATAATCTTTCTGGGGATCGACCCAAGGAGCATTCTTTGACGGAACACCACAGGTGATACACCTCCACGGATCACCGTTGGGGAAGCTGGTACCATCCGTGGTAATAAGGATCAGCTGTTCGCCATCGTAGACGCTCGCTGGGTCTGGAGCTGCCGGGGCACCAATGAAGTCAACATTGACCACAATGTGCTTCCCATCGGGTGTGAAGTCTCCTGATTGGAACTCTTGCTCTGCTCCAGCATCTACACCGATGCAACCGGTACCCCGGGGATTGATCTTGGAGGTACAAGCACCTGTAGCATTGCTTGAAACCACAGGAGGCAAAGGGAGCTCGACAACCTCGATGGGCTCCGGATTGGGGGGTTCTGGAAAATGAGGCGAGTATTGTCCTGAAACAGTGGGTGCCAACAGAGTAGCACCCAATGCCATGAGGGGAATTGGGAGAATCGGCATATCTCAAGAGTGTTGAGTGCAATCAATGCGAATCAAGGTGATGCTTTATTGACTTGAACAGTAGGATTCAACTCCAGAGAAAGGGCTTCTGAGTCACTGACTTTATAGTCGCTGGCTTGCCTAGAATCTCAATCATCTTTGTATCCTCGGATAATATCTGAGTTACGAGTATTCTTCATATGCATTTACAGTAGGCGACAATATGTTTGGATATTGGGCGTGTAACTTTCGGAGTAGTCTAACCGAACGAAGCAGCTAGGGGGTATATTTCAGCTTAGCCCATCGATGAGTATCATACTAATTGGTGAGCTTGAGCATTTTTCCTAACATCGAGGCAGGCTGAAGATAAAAGCAGCTAGACAGGGGTATCAGTATCTTGGATGGTATTCAACTTTTCGCAGACAATCTGGGGAAGCATCGCACCGCTAAGACCTGGGATTTCATCGGCCCCCACTGTACCACAAGCTGAACCTGGAGGAAATCCCAGGTCTTAGCGGCGCGATGCTTCCCCAGATTGTCCCCTCCCGTGGGGAATGGACAAAATGGGGGGAGTGCGGTGTTTACAAAACCATGTTGGGAGAGCTAAGGAAAGCTAACAACAAATACTCAACGTCGGAAATGCTGTCGGAATATTTGAAGAGGCAGACAGGCCCTTGTAACTAGTGAGCGTGACGTGTGGAGTAAGATGGAGGGGATCCGAGTTTATAAGCGAAGCCGCGTACCGCTTGAAGCCTCATTGGCCCGTGTGCTGTGCTGTTACAATTCACTCAGGTCGGGCATACATCAATGAGCAGTTATAGTGGGTACAAAAAATTCACGCGTGATCACAGTCGCTCTAGTTAGAGGTGGAGTTTTACGATGGGTTTCCCGACGATGCTGGATAATGGATGCAGACGGATGTAAAGATGACATATTGAAGGGAGGTGAATCCAAGATTTTGCTGCTCAACCACGAATTCGTTGTCCGGGATAAACTAGAGCGAAACGGACTATACTCGCCAGCTTCGTATTCGGAAGACGACAATTTGTTTGAAGACATTCACAGGCTGTCCGACATGTTGCCCGTGACTGATGTTCGCTTCGAACATTATCACCCTCCTGATGCTCTTGGAGTTCAAGACTCCACGCCACGCATTTCTTGGAAGATCGCACCCTACGATACTTGCGGCATACAAAGTGGCTACGAGGTCGAGTTGACCAAGTACGGTCCTGGCCAAGAGGTCCAGGACGTATCGATTGCAGGTCAACACTCCCAGGAAAACATCCTGACTCAATGGCCATTCAAAGAGCCTCTTCGGTCTCGTATGCATGTATCAATTCGTGTTCGAGTTTGGGACAAGCAGGAGAAGAAAAGTCCCTGGAGCGAGCCTGTCCATCTTGAAGTAGGACTATTGCATCGTTCAGATTGGACCTGTGAACGTATCGCCGCCCCGTGGGCTCCAGAAACGACAGATCCTGGCCCTGAGGACTTGTTCCGCAGGCAATTTGTTCTTCGCAACACGCCCGTTAAAGCGCGACTCTATATCACTGCCCAAGGAGTCTATGAAGCTGAGATCAATGGGCAACGCGTCGGCGATTATTTACTCGCTCCAGGATGGACATCTTATGATGGGCGACTCCAGTTTCAGACTTATGATGTTATTTCGCACCTAGTCAACGGTTCAAATTGTATCGGAATAAGAGTTGCAGAAGGATGGTTCTGTGGCCGTATTGGTTTTGAGGGCGGACATAGAAACATATGGGGTCCTCATACTGCTCTTCTAGCGCAGTTGGAAGTCACTTACGCCGATGGGCAGACTTGCAAAATAGAGAGCGATGGCTCGTGGAAAGTTATACAAGGCCCAACTCGCCTGGCGGAGATATATGACGGGGAAAAATATGACATGATGATGGAGGTGCCAAATTGGTCATCGGTGATGGATCAAGAAAGTCTGAAAGGTTGGACAGATGTACAGACGCTTACATTCCCACCTGTATCTACTCAACTCGTGTCAGGTTTCGCAGAACCAGTGCGTCGGATCGAAATCATAAATCCTGTCAAAGAGATTACAACATTGAGTGGGAAAAGGGTCCTAGACTTCGGTCAAAATCTCGTCGGATATTTGCGTCTATCAGGCATCAAAGGATCCAGTGGACACAAGATTACCCTTCAACATGCCGAAGTTATGGAGAATGGAGAGCTTGGTATTCGACCCCTGAGAATATGCCAAGCAAAGGATGAGATCACACTAAAACATTCACAGACAGAGCTATGTTGGGAACCAAGATTCACTTTTCATGGATTTCGGTACGCCCAGATTGATAATTGGCCAGGTCCCTTTGATCTATCCTGTGTCGAAGCTGTCGTGTGCCACACTGACATGAAACCCGCTGGCCACTTCTCATGCTCGGACCCGCTACTGAATCAACTGTATCGGAATATCGTTTGGGGCATGAGAGGGAATTTCCTTTCGGTACCAACTGATTGTCCTCAGAGAGATGAACGACTGGGCTGGACTGGAGATCTGTCTCTCTTTGGCCCTACAGCATGTCTCATCTATGACTGCTTTGGCATATTAAAGAATTGGCTGATCGATCTTGCACACGATCAAGATGTTCTTGGTGGTGTTCCCCCAATGGTCAGTCCAAATGCCACTCTCCCAGATCCCATCTGGTGTAGAAGAGTGCCATGCGCCATTTGGCACGATGTCACGATTATAGCACCATGGATTCTTTATCAAGAGAGTGGAGATGAGAGCATCTTGGCTCAGCAGTATGACAGTATGACAAAGTGGATGAAGGTGCTCCCTCGAATGAAGTCTGGACTATGGGATCCCAAACCCTTTCAACTCGGGGTAAGTTCTTCAAAAGACTTGTCGCAGTCTGCAATGCTGATGGTTAGAATAGGACTGGCTTGATCCAGCAGCGCCGCCGGACCAGCCATGGAAAGGCGCAACAGACGCCAAAATGGTGTCAAATATGTTCTTGCTACAAAGCTTAGATCTCATGAGCAAAGTCTGTGGCGTGCTGGGACAGAAAGATGAACAAAGGAAATTCAAGGAGGACTACCAGGCCACACGAGTTGAGTTCCAGCAAGAATACGTCACACCTCGAGGACGCCTTACCTCAGATTCACAAGCTGCATATGCACTAGCTATTTGTCTTGACCTCCTCGACCCAACGCAAAGAGTACGAGCTGGAGATCGTCTCGTGGAGCTTGTGCGCAAGAACGAGTTTAAAGTCGGCACGGGATTTGCCGCCACGCCATTCCTATGTGAGGCCCTTGCATCTACTGGTCACGTCCAAGTCGCATATGCGATGCTGCTTGAGCAGGGCTGTCCATCATGGCTATACCCAGTAACTATGGGTGCAACTACAGTCTGGGAGAGGTGGGACAGCATGCTACCTGACGGTTCTATCAACCCAGGAGAAATGACCTCATTTAACCACTATGCCTTTGGCGCTATAGCAAAGTTCATGTATGAACGAGTTGCCGGGCTGCAGAGACTTGAGCCTGGATGGAGGAGACTTCGGATTTCTCCCGCCATTGGCGCTACCTTTTCTCGAGCTTCTGCGTCACATGTTTCTCCTCAGGGCACAATTTCTCTGGAGTGGGAAACTCAGGTTGTTGACGGGAATCAAGAGGAATTTGTTATCAAAGCTAGAGTTCCGCCAAATACTGTCGCCGAGATTATTCTTCCTGGCTTGGAAAGGGAAGAAGTAAAGGAGGTCAAGTCTGGTGAATGGACTTTTAGATCGCTCTTTAAAAGAGAGTATGAGTGGCCTGTCTTGCCGCTGCCACCTAAGTCATAGTTGCAAGTCGGTATCGGGTTAATACACTTGTGTTCAAGCCATCACGAGGTTCATAGCTATCTAGGGTTGATCGAGTTACTTTGCTTCCATGATTTTCTGGATATACCTTTGTCACTATTCTGCGTGTAGTAAACTGATCATAAAACTACCAGTAGGTAACTTTAGTAACCTTTAATCGATCTTCATTCAAGTCCAAGATCGAAGCATGCTCTATGTTAAGCATATCACCATCCCTAATTTCTTCACAACCATTACACTTAAGAAAGATCACTAGTAGTAAATAACAAATTTATTTGATGAAAAACAACTGCGGGTACTGGTATAACTAGCCAGGCTACTTGGATGTCTTTGCAGGACCATCGAACTATATTGTCAAATTTAGTATGCGTAGAAGAGCCTCTCCTCATTGTTTGAAGCCCGAATCTTGCGATTCTCGCGGATAAGCATCCATCTAAGAACCCAAGCCAAGACAGCCGAGGCAGCTGAAAACGCAGCACTGCTGGACATGGCAACAGGATACATCGGCTCGTCGGAACTCGGCCAAAGATACTTGAAAATGTCAGTCACAGCCCAATGTCGAGGATTTATGAACTCACGGGAGTGTAAATAGGACCAAGCGTGGCAACCGTGTTTGCTAGAGCGAGAGATATAGCTTTCTTCTCTCGAGTCTGACCGCATGTGCTGGCGACCCAACCAAGGATAACACTGTTACAGGCATATACGCCGCTGGCAAAGACACACATTGCGAAATAACGCGCACCAGTATTATGAACCGTGCAGGCTAAGATGAAGCCAACTACAGCCATGATTTTGGCAACGGTGATGTGCCAAGTTCTTTCGTTCATACGGCCTATTGAATGTTAGATGACCCTCGGGAAGCTTCGTAGCAGGGAACTCACCAGAGTTTGCAGCCCATGCAATACATACGATACCTGACACGATATACGGGGGGCAGGTCAGAGCAAGTGTAGTATTGCGATCGAAGCCAAGCGTTCCTACAATAGTAGGGAAAAAGTTCTTGAAGTTGCTGGCAGCCATGTGAAAGTGTTGCATGAAGACGAGGACCCAAAGACGGGGGTCCTTACAGGCATCAACAAGTCCAGCAAAAGTCGTCGTGTTGGTTCGGATCTGAACAGTATCCGCAGCAATTCGCTCATGGGCCAGTATCCTCTCCTCTTCTGTAAGCCAGCGAGTATTGCTAGGTTCATCTGGCAAGACAAAGGCTGAAGCAAGGGAGATAACAAAAGTGATGATTCCTTGAAGGATAAAGAGCCATCTCCATCCAGCCAGACCTGCAACACCGCTCATCTCAAACACGCCAATAGCTATGAGTCCTGCAAATGCAGTCCCGCAGATATTGGCAGTGAAGAGGATAGAGATACGAGTTGCTATCTCCTTCTTGGTATAGAAGATCGAGAGGACGTATAGAGCGCCGGGATAGAAAGGGGCTTCGGTTACGCCCAGGAAGAATCGTGTGAGTACAAGCCCTTTGAAGCCATGGCAGATCGCAGTAAGTGTGCTCACAACGGCCCAGAGAGCCATGGCACCAGACATGTAAAGGGAAGGTCGGATTCGAGTCATGAGCATGTCTAAAAGGGTGGATTAGCCGAAGAAGAAGAGTGTAACAACAGTGCTCGACTTACTAGACGGGATTTGACCAAGGATGTATCCTACAAACAAGATCGAGACGCATGTCTGATACTCCGTAGAGGTCAAGTTGAGCTCCTTCTCCAATCCGTCCAATCGTGCTACGGTAATTGCATTGCGATCAAGGTAGTTGAACCAGTACATAATCCACAAAATCGGAAGAATGATCCAATCCAGCTTTCTCACAAGCTTGATTTCAGCTGGATCGATCTTCTTGTGTGTACCAGTTTCATCAACCGCCGAGAAGATGTGAGTGTCATGCTTCTCAAGATGGTCAGAATGTCCCTTTTCTTCAACACCAAGGGCTTCGGCGTGATTCTTGTCCTGGGCATTGGACATGTTGCAAAGAGATGGAGAGAAGTGATTGAGAAGATAGTACTTGGGGTTTGATGATCCTCGCTGGAATTGACAAATGGGTTGCCATTGATATAGATACTCGTCCGACTCCTGAATTGTGGCGACGAGTTGCCTTGCTTGGATTACCACTGCCCTGGTTACCCCAGATTACCCCGCATTAGAAATCGCACTATTTTTTGGTTGGGATTAAAAGTAGGATGGCGGCTCTGGAAACAAGGTTCAGCCGTAGCGTTGTAGTGGCTACCTGGCTGTTGGACGCCTTTTGCTGGTCAACTCGGCTAAGCATCTTGGTAAATTATGTCACTACTACTACCTGAATTGCCTTCATGAGAGCTCAAATGTTCGAATTGCGATGACCTATAGACACAACTTCTTCGGCAGTATATACCCAGCCGGTGCTTCAGAGTCGCAGCATATGCTGTTTCATCAAGTCACGATCATTGTAAAAGGATTCACGGATCGCAACATCGGTTAATCTTTTCCATTTGGCTGTCTTGGCCAGCCACGCCTTGCAGCCCCTGCACACCGGATACAGGCGGATGTCTCCGGACCGTCGTGGCAACCGGAAACTAAGGATCTGGAACGTCGGCGGACATTCATGAATGACAGGCCTGAAGCCATGCGAGATCATTGAATGCTGTCGCAACCCTACTGAAGCGTATGAGCCAACCTTGAGCGCTGGAAAAGCACACAAGGATAGTCAAGGGACACCAATCGGCAGAAACATGTGCAAATGTCTATGTTAATATTGTAGCTAAGCGAAGCCGGTCTCGCCCTGCACCAGCTCAGGTAAACTCCACAAGAAGTTCAAAGCGTCAACATCCAATCCTAAAGCAACTTGATCACACCCTTCACCAAAAGGAGCTATGCTCGAATCAAATGGAAGAGATACCCATGTATCCCCCATATCAAAGTTCATCATCGCCCCATCGTCTCCAAGCTGTTGAGAATCCAGACCAGACAAGAACGAGTTTGGACCAACAATACCAGTCTCCGCTTGAGTCACATTCCTTGGAATTGAAGCCCGCCCGCTGTGGTTACCAGAACCTAGACCTCTGGACTGGGTGAGATGGGCTCGAAATTGTGCAGTATGCTTCTCAATGAGATCCGCATATCTCAATGCAAAGTCCATATCATCCGCAGGGCACCGCTTAAGCGTTGATGTGCATTGATCTAAAGTATACAAAGCGTCGTTCACGTCTGTATGGGTGGAGCCAACGCTGAGAGCCTTGAGCAGAAATACAGATGAACTAATGACGCTAATCTTGACACGAGCTGGGGCGTAAGGGAGATGGCTCTTGAAATTACTCATTGTTGCGATTTGTAAAACCCTTTTGGTGTCAGAGATGACGTCTTGTAAGAATTTGGCGTCTTTCGGGGTTATGAATGCTGATAATGCTTCGTCAGGGTTCGTGCTGGCGGCTGTGAAGCCGGCGGAGGAGGCTCTTGCTACTACAGCTTGTATGGAGATGGCACCTGTACATGCTTTGAGGTGATGGAACTCGACCGACAGGGTATCTCTGAGAGGTGAGGCGATGTCTTGCGACTAAGTTAGCCGAGAAACACTTCTGACGCTAGATATGGATTACCTTGGCTCATGGCGTCAAACTTCTCCTGCCATTTTGACAGAGATAAAGAAAAGTGTTCAAGGAGATCCACATAGTGATCTCCGAGTACTTGTGTTTGAAGATGGGTTGCCGAATGAAAGAACATCGAAGATGCTGTACGCGACAGTTGGGTAAGCTCTAAACTGAGGTCCATATAAGATATCCAGGACTGGTCAATTGGTTCACTCGTATCTGGCATGGACAGGCGAGATGCAATTACAGATATGCCCTCTGGAAATACAGAAGGATAGCCAAGTCTAGTGGCGGTCTGCGTCAAATAATTGTAGAGGAGCTTTTGAGCTCGACGGCCACGAAGTACTTCACCATTGGTAGCCTGGCTTGCGTCGCTGTAATGGCCCGAGAAGATCCCAAGTTCGTAGGCAAGATTATTAGCCATACCGAGAAGCATCCATGACATTCTGTTCGCCCTCTTAGCTGGTTCAAAGACATCTTCTCGCCAACGAATAAGAGGAACTTCGTTGTTGATATGCTTCCGATTGACTCGATCATACCCAGGTGTTACGAGAAGACCATCCCAGCCATCTGTCTCTGGAGGTAAATGTAGTGCACGAGGGTGCCAATCGGATATCAAGACTAGACTCTCTATTGTGCCGATTGTTCTTGTTTGGGATGTTGATGTTTTCTCTTGTCCTAGCACAATGCGTCGGATAAGGACTTCACAATGATTCCAAAGACGCTGGTGAACGTAGTGGCTTCTAGAAGTACCGCCTGCACCTGGTAGTGTGAAGAATCGAGATGCTATCATGAGGAGTGTGCAGCATAGCATGGCTTCCCTATAAACGAGATGTTCGTGAGATGCATGGCTGCGGAATTGATCAAGCACTACAGGGGATAGTGGAGCAAGCTTTTCGAAGAAACTACTGTAGTTAGTGTGAGAGTCGAAGATATAGAGCAGCAGTAGACTCACAGGTCGATGTAGGTGACAGCCTCTTGGGCCGTAAACCAGCCCTGACGGACGAAGCGACATTTGTCCCACATATCCAGACAAGCATCATCTGGTTCTGAAAGGGCTGTGATGGTAAATCCGACTCCATTAGATCCACCCGATACGACTTTGGGGCCATCAGACGGAACATTAGTCACTGAAGGATGCCCTTGAGATGGTGCTGAACCAGCAATGCTATGCTGTCCTGCAGCGCTTGACAGAAAGTCCAGGGCATCATTAGTTCCAGTGACTATCGTCGACTGCACCCGATTGTACAGTGGATGATTCGTGTTATTTGGCGACGAATTAAAGCCAAGATCTTCCGAGGGGGAGGGATTCGCCGCCTGAAGGTTTTGAGATGCGGGCGCAGCGTCCACGGCATTGCCACGAGTCCATTTCGGGGCATCGCGATGCTTGGGGGCCCTGGGTCGGCGATCAAACCGACACTCGCGATGTTCCCTGGCACATTTAGCGCAGGGAGGGTTGTCTTTGATGATGCACCTTGATTTACGGGCTCGGCACGAGACGCATGCGACATAGCTGCGCTTGAACTGTCGGGTACTGCTGGAATGATCCGGACTCTCCATTGCGGATGGATGGTCTGTGAGAGAGTGGAAGTGATATGCCCAGAAAAATGCAGAAATTCTCGGTATAGAACCGGGGTCGATAATCGTTGATGGTCTGGGTTGTGAAGTGGCTGGCGAGGGGATGATCATTCCGGGGCCGGTAGTATCCGTGTCGGTCCGTCTGTATCCGGCTTAGTCCGGTAGTTCCACTGACAGCCCTAGACGTGACAGCCCACGACGCAACAATGACTATTCGTAGGCCTGTTGCCTCCATAGCTAAGGTGGACTTGTCAGACCTAAATACATGTAGCAATTCCACACAGTAATGACCAGGACTGCCGAGTCGGCACCGATCATCGGCCATCTCGACAAAACACCTCGTTGAGGGGAGGGGGGGAAATTGGGTATAAAGTCAATAACAGTTTGATCAATCAAGAGGAAAAAGAAGGCACCAACAAACAGAAGAAGAAACAAACATACAGCTCAACAACTTCAACTTCACTACTCGCATATCAGTAAACTGGCCACCATGTCCAAGTCCATCGTCAACAACAACCCCTACCCTTTCCATTTCGAGGCAAGCCAGTATCCAGCTGTCAAGTCCAATGGAAAGGGAGTCACTGTTGATTACGCCAACTGTAGGGGGGCAAGACCTTCCCTGCAAACATCCAGACTCAGAGCCATGGTGCAAGAGGCGCACGGGGATCCCTCTAAGATTCTCGCCAATGTCTGCAGCTACGACGCCTTGAGTTCTCGTCTGTGCGAGGAGGCTGGTTTTCCTATAGTGTTTCTTGCTGGGTATGCTATGGCGTCTGCATTTGGACTCCCTGATACTGGGTACATTGCTTTCGGGGAGGTTGTCAACAAGGTCCAAGAGGTTGCCAGGGAGGTTAATGTTCCTATTCTGGTAGACGGTGATACTGGTTATGGAAGCCCAATGAATGTTCGCCGAACGGTCCAGGGGTATGTAATGGTCCAACGCCAAAGCGAAAAGAGATAGCAACTGACTCGATCAACAGATTTGCGCAGGCTGGAGCTGCTGGGATCATGATCGAGGACCAATCGTGGCCAAAGCGTACGTCAAGACACCCTCATGACAAGAAAACTCGTGCTAACCTTGAGTGGCCAGGCTGCGGTCACACCGCTGGAAAAAGCGTAGTTTCCCGCAGTGAAGCCTACGCTCGCTGGCAAGCCGCCGTCGACGCTAGGAACGAGGGTCAGGACATTTGGATCCTCGCCCGGACAGACAGTCTGATTCACGGATACGACGAGGCACTAACCAGGGCACGTAAAGCCATTGAGATCGGGGTTGACGCGGTTTTTGTCGAAGCCCTCCCTGATCGCGAATCCATGGCACGTCTTCGTCAGGATCTGGACTTCCCGGTTATTGCCAATATCATTGAGGGTGGCAAAACACAGAACCTCTCTGCAAAGGATCTTGCTGAGCTTGGCTATAGCATTGTCTGTTATCCTTGGACTCTTGTTGCTGCTAAGCTTAAGAGTATACGGGAGACATTGGAAAATATCAAGGGTTCTATGACGGTTGGGAAGCCTCCTGTTGTTCTTTCGTATGAAGAGGTTTGTGAGGGCGTTGGTTTTAACAAGTACTTCGAGATTGAGGAGAGGTATCAATATGAGGGAAGGGCTAATGGAGCCAATGGCCACCAGTGGAAGGATTAGACAATGGCTTTGAAGACACTACCGTCTTAAATTCAGTAGAGACAGCCCGACTCAATCGAAAGAGAGTACCAGTTATTCTAAGTGATCTAAGTCAATGGAGCATCCATCTTTTGGCATAATTAGTTACGTGAATACATGTCATGATAATACAAACAACAGATATCGATGTTTCTTGGATACCCCTGTTATTGACCTTTCTGCTTAGCGATGGTGAAGGCGACTCAAACATTGTCACCAGCCTCAATCACTTGTCGCCTCCATCAAATAAAGTCTGGCTCTTAGTGGCACATATCTTGCCCCGCGACACTCGTTCCACTACAAGAAACGTTTCTGCCGATCACCGATCATGAGACTGAGCCGTGATGTTGCTGATCGGGGCCGTCGTGGTGTAGCATACAAAATGGCGCTAAGACCGGGTAAGGGCGGACCGTCATGCATACAACCAAGTGAGGGGGATGGCAAAGGTCAGCATCACTTCGACCTGGGCTTATTCTGGAATCCTGTATCCTCGGTTGATCTTCCGATGTCGGAAGCTTCTTCGTCTCGTCGTATTGCCTCTCGGGCTATTTAATTGCGAGTCTTGTGATGTTGAATGATCTGTCCAACCAAGCAACTCTAAGCCATCAACATGCCTCTAATCAAAGATCAATTATCATTCCGAATAGCACTCCTACCAGGAGATGCGCACGGCTCGCAACTAGCATCGTGCGTTGAACAAGTACTACATCTTATCGAACACATTCGTCCAGATGTTGCATTCCAAATATCCAGACACGATTTCGGAGGCGTGGCGTTAGCAACTGGGGACCGAAGCGCCCTGCCAACCTCCACACTAGAAGCGTGCCGCCAATCTGATGCTACCATTGTATGCGCCTGCGGTGATTCAAAGTATGGCATTGAGCCTGAAAAGGGATTGCTGGCACTCCGACAAGAACTTGGACTCTTCGCCAACATCAGACCCGTCAAATTTCCATCGGATTCGCTTATACAACTCAGCTCTTATAGGCCAGAGTCAGTCGAAGGTCTTGACATCACATTCTTCCGAGACCTGACGAGTGGTACTTACTATGGAGGAAAAAAAGAAGCTGGAGATGGTTGTGAAGCATACGACACCACCAGCTACTCTCGTTCAACCATTGAGAGATTGGCAAGGCTAGCTGGCACATATGCTATGCAATTCAACCCACCAAAGCGAGTTCACTCTGTTGACAAGGCCAATGTCATGGCGACTTCCCGATTATGGAGATCTGTTGTCACAGATGTCTTCAGCAACGAGATCCCTCAGGTTCAGCTAGACCATGTTCTGGTTGACAATGCATCTATGGTCTTATCATCAAACCCCCAAAACCTGAACGGAATCATCCTGACGGAAAACATGTTCGGCGATATCCTGTCAGATCAGGCTAGTGGCATACTCAAGTCGTCAGATATTCTGGCATCAGCAGCTGTGTCCACCATCTATGGTAAAGGCAAGGCACCTGGTGTCTTTGAACCATTCAATCTCAAACCAAGAGGTAGCGAGGTGAATCCGCTTGGTATCGTCCAAGCAGTCGCGTTAATGCTTGAGCTTTCTCTGGGTCTGAAACCTGAAGCTACGGCCTTATCAAAAGCTATCCGACGAACTCTTGATCCTATCGACCAAGTCGGATCCGACACAAGGACGACTGACCTGGGTGGTACGGCATCACCGAAGGAGTTCATGGATACTCTTTTACACAACTTTGACTACTATTTAGAGGCTCTGAACTCAGCCGATGCTGCAAGTTTCCCGGCAGTTAAGTCGTCGCCTCTATCAGCACAAGGCATCACAAACGTCCGACGTATGGGAGTCATTGAGAAGATCTTAACACACGCCGGTATAGGTCTGACCAAGCCATATGTCGAGACGGGAGATATGATCTGCGTCAAGGTCGATTGGACACTCACATCCGAGCTTCTTTGGGGTGGCATGGAGAAGACTTACAACCAGATGGGAAGACCTCGCCCATTCCGCAACGATCGTCTCTGGCTCGCAGTAGACCATACAGTTGACCCTCGCACAAACCATCAACCTCGTCAAAAAGGTCTCATCGCCAAAGCGGAGCGTTTCAGACGAGAGGCCAAGATCATCGACTTTCTTCCCGCCAACACGAGTATCATGCACACTGACTTCACTCGTGAACGTGCTCAGCCTGGTCGTGTTGTTGTTGGAAGCGACTCACATACCTGTTCAGCGGGGAGCATGGGGTCTTTCGCTGTTGGCTTTGGGGCAGCTGACGTCGTCATGCCCATGGTCACTGGTGAAACCTGGTTTCGCGTGCCTGAGGTTTGCAGGATCAACTTCGTGGGAAAACTTCCTTTTGGAGTTGGTGGCAAAGATGTCATTCTTCATATACTGGGCCTATTCAAACGCAACACTATTGCGTTTCAGCGAGCTGTTGAGTATGGCGGTCCTGGTCTGATGGAGTTATCTATGGACGCGCGTTTCGCCATTGCCAATATGACAACCGAGTTTGGCGGCATGGGTACTTGCTTTGAGGCTGACGAAGAGACTTCGGCATGGATCGCACGTCGAAAGCTTCCTGAGCACCGAGAAGGTGGTCTTTTCTTCCGTGCAGACCCAGACGCTCGATATGTCGATGTGAAGACTATCGATCTCTCAGAAGTCCGCTTAACGATGGCGCTGCATCCGAACCCGGATGATGTTGTCTCAATTCATGAAAGGGCCGGTATGAAGCTCGACGGATGCTTCATTGGTGCCTGCACAACAACCGAAGAGGACCTCATTGTTGGCGCTCTGGTACTTGAGGCTGGGCTGTATGCAGGTATGCGACCATCTCGCCATGGAAAACGCCGCGTCACGCCTGGAAGTCTGATTATCATCAAGAACCTTGACAAACATGGCTTGCTGGATATTTACAGACAGGCTGGCTTTGAGGTCGGTGCACCTGGCTGTTCCTACTGTGTTGGAATTAACGACGTTGATGTCGCTGGAGAAGGAGAAGTTTGGCTGTCCTCTCAAAACCGCAACTTCAGAAACAGAATGGGTAAGGGAAGTTTCGGCAACATTACTTGCGCAGCTGCTGTGGCTGCCTCAAGCTTTGACATGGCTGTCACGGATCCCAAGTTCTTGCTTGATCAGCTAGATAGCGCAAAGCTCGAGAGACTTGTCAGTGGAGGTAGATCTAGTGGACGTCAACCAGGATTGAAGATTAGCGAGCCGAGGCCTGAGATATCATCGAACTCCGTACCCATCCTCTTCAACAGCAGCGACTCTGCAGTTGGACCAACTACTACGAGGACCATTCGATCTAAGGTACAACGATTTGGAGAGAATGTTGATACGTAAGTCAACCCAGGTCCCAATGTGAATAACCTTGACTGACAATGACAGTGATGCGATCATCCCTGCTGAATTCATGCCGGGTGTTGACAATGCTGATCTCGGAAGCCATTGCTTTCAGTACTTCCGCCCAGAGTTCAGGGACAAGGCCAAGAATGGTTCAACTGTCATGTAAGTCTCTTGCAACTCTTTTGTTTGACAAACGCTAATATGACAAAGAGTTGCCGAACATGGATTTGGCAGTGGATCTTCACGTGAAGACGCTGTGAGGGCCCTCCAGGGAGCGGGCGTAGAGGCAGTGATAGCGAAAGGGTTCGCATTCATCTGTATGCCCACGACTTGCAACCAAAACGAACTATAGCTGACGTATCCAGATGAGAGAAATCAACTTAACATGGGATTATTCAGCATAAAGGTGCAAGACCATCGGTTCTACGAACTTGCGCTGGAAGACGCAGTTATCACCATCAACAAAGATAACAAGACAATTCATATTGCAGGCACAGATGCGACCTTTCCCTATGTGCAGTCAGACGTTGAAGAAGCTCTGGTCGAGTCTGGTGGTGTTCTTCCGTTATATAGCAGGCTTGGAAAAGGAGTATTTCGACATCTGACGGCACCAAAGGTCAAGGGAGGGAAGAGAGTTGGCTATGGGATCGATACTGATTCTTTGGATAGCAAGGGAAGGACAGATTTATCTTGGTAGTTGTGGAATGGAGTATTTGGAGTTGCCATGGACATGATGCACTGGTAGAAATTGCACAGTGAAGCCATTTATATATTGTCCCTAAAATGGTAAGCATTTTAGATCCTATTATAGCTATGCTAATTCTATAGTATTAAAGACTATAGTATAACTTTTATATTTATGAAAATGAATTTAAGTTCAAGTCCAAGGGTATTATATCAAGAGTATTTACAAGTTCGAGCGCTGATGCTATTGGCCAATCCCAAATATTCCACTGGAGCTGCTCAAGATCAGGTAGTGTTTCCAAATCCGAGAAGATCTTCTTGCAAAGTAGGTCCAAAACATCAGCACATTGGCCAATATAATTCCCAATATCATCTGTGTGCCTGTGAAACTCCTTTAGGGTTGCAATACATAACTGTATCAGGTTCTCGTCTTGGTCAACTGTTACGGGATACCCTTTCCAGCCCGTGAAGAGGATTGTTAACCCTGCTTGCCAAAGCATGTGTATTCCATTGGGATAAAGAAGGGTGACAAGCATAGTCTCTGGCCAGTCGCCCGCCATGACTTGACTTGCGGCATGATTTGTTCCCAGAATACTTAAACTAGAAGACAATAACTCAACAAGTCTAGCGGAAGCCTGTCCGCACGCTTTGAGAGATGAAACGAATTGGGGGTCTGCAGTTGTAAACGACAAAGCTGGTCGATGTATGTGAATTGTAGCAACGCAGTGTGCAACTCTCAAAAATGTGGCCTCTAGAAGCTTGCTAGTCACTGGCGTGGACAGCTCAGGGTCAATCTCAGGTTCAAGAACGACCCGCTCCCACATGTTGAGCTCAGCCTGTAGACGTGTAATTTTAGCTACGCCCCCTCGGCGCCGGGTTGTAGTATATAGGTCTTCGAGAGTACGGCCAATGATGCGAGCAAGCTTGAACAGACTAATAGCTGTATCTACTTGTGATCGCTCACCTGGTAAAGGGAATTCGACGTGAGTGCGAGATAAGAGGTCATGGTCGACACTTGTCGGGAGATCGGTATCAACATCTTGATCACGAATCAGACGGGGCATTCCATGATAAGCGCTTGAGAACCTGGGTATGCAGTCAGTAACAACGCAACAGGACAAACAATTGACTTGCTGGCATACGCATCTAAGGAATATTGGCACCACCATGCCCGTCTTCTCAGTTCTGTCTCGAGGGGGTCGAACTTAAACCGACCAGAATGTCGATGCAACCCCAAAGTCTGAGCCAGTCGAGTAGCTAGACCGGATATATGGGATGCTGTTGAATAGCGCCCTGACAGCTGAACATATATCTGTGTGATTACTAAACCCTGCAAGCTTTGCAAACATGGTTGGCCAATAACACTGTCTAACAAAGTAGTGGAAATAATGTAAAAAGGTTCAGAAGCACATAGAAAGTGATTATGTTGTTGTGTACAATCTCCTCTCTGGCCAATCATTCCTAATGCAAGTAGACTGATTGTTTGGTAAAGGATAACGACATCATAGCCTGGACTTTGATACAAGCTCAGTAACCTTTGAATAGCATCAATTGTCGATGACTTGTGAACAATGGGATATAATGGTGTCCACCGGTCTATGGTCGCTTCCACAATCTTAATTGTGCTCGGAGGAAGTTGAGCGATGATGTCCGCCACTGGCGATCCAGAACTGTGGACTGAAGCTCCCCAGGGACTATGTAGGTATAGGCCATATGCACAGCTGGGGAGTGCATCCTTATGCATCTGGAGAAGTTGAAGCTGCTGTTCAACTTGACTTATGAAGTGGACGCCTGTAGTTGAACCGCCGAACATAGATGCTTGTCGATCATCGGCTACAAGGCGGCCCATATGGCCAATCACAGGCTCCTTCGTTGGGTTTAGAGCAACAGGCTGAGAGAGGGCTTGGGCGGTGCTCATTTGATGGCTAGATGACCTGGACGTAGTAGGGAGTGCTGTTCCTTGAGCAGCCGGCTGGAAGGGAAGCGGCCGGGGAGTTATGGTACTTGTCGGAGAGATTGGAACTGCTGCATTCTGTAGAGGATAACCGGTGTCCGTGGCATGTTGAGAAACATCCGGTGGTGTTTCACGGCGCTGCTCAACGCCTTCGGCCTCGTAGAAACTACAACATGTTAGGAAGCGATCGGGTCGCACATGGTAGAAAGTGACGCCTTGCCTTTTGCGCTTCCTATTTCTCTTCAACTTTGCGGTTGTAACACAGATAACATTGGCTTGGAGACATGGAGAACACTACAAGAAGGGATCAGCAACACTTAGACAAGGGGAAGACGCAGATTGCTTACATCATTGTCTTGGCCGTGACATCGAATCTTTCTTCTAAGGCCTGTGTTAGTGGGGAACGCCGATTGCAGATTATCTTGTTGGTGTTGACATGGTTTAAAACAAGCTGCAGTCTTCATTATAGGACATACCGTCGACAACGATCACTATCCAACTGGTATTAGTAGAAGACACCCCAAAAGTGGTCATGAATTGCAGAGGGCGGTGATAGCATACCATACTTGACCTGGAACTCGACTAGTTGACGAGTTTGAGGGCGCTTCGTCATGAGTTGAAGACATTATGAAGGTTACAAAGATCCTGTGTGCACTGTCCGAGAAATGACGAAAAGTTGTTCCACTGTCATGTGCGGGGTCGGTTGACTAAGCGAAATCGGAAGTGTAGGAGGGGGAGAGATGATACAACCAATTTAAAGGCAATCCAAGAGATCCACAAGTAACCTTTCTGATCAGTTTATTATACAGCTTAAGATTGCAGACTCTAAGAGGGCAAGACACCAAATTCGGGAGCAATGAAAACGTATATCTACTCAACCATGTTCATATATACGCAACTCAATTGTTTATCTACTTAGACGTTATGAAAGCATCTAATGCTTCTAATTGTCAGGGCATTGAGAGCATGTTCTAAGAGACAACTGTGTATATCCTAATTGTTCAAGCTAATCTCTGAGACCTTCAACATCTTTACAAAGTTCAATTGCTTTGAGTTACCAGTAGGCCCAGATTCAAAACCCATTTATGTAAAGTCAGAGTCCTCTAGTAGGCATAAAGAGCAACTGCCTCGTTCTCTGACTCAAGAATCTTGCGGTTGAGTCTCTTCAACCAGAACCTCATAGCCCAGGCACACATGATGCTCGTGGCAGCAAAGGCCACCATGGTAGAGAATCCCATGAGATAATCGGGACCATCTGATGAAGGCCAAAGGTAGGCGCAGTAGATGTAAGCCAAGTTGGCTGTAACATTGACCAGAGCATACACAACCGACTTCTTCTCAGGAGTCTGAGAGAGGGTATTGCTGACCCAGCCCAGAATAACAGATCCAACCGAGTAAGCGCCAGTAGCATAAAGGAAAGTTGCTGTATATCGCACTGCTACGTTGACAGTCGCGCATGACATCACAAATCCGATGACAGCCAGAGAGAGGCCTGCAGTGATATGCCAGGTCCGCTCGTTGAAGTGGCCAGACGACCATGCGAATGGGATACCAAGAATGCCAGAAACAAAATATGGGGGCGCGGTGAGAAGCAACGCCGTAGTAGACTTGAATCCCATGGCACGGACGATGGTCGGGAAGAAATTATTGAAGGAGCATGCACTGAAATCTAGTTAGCATGACTGGCCAGTAAAACCGACATCTGGAGGCAACGTACCTGATATGGAGGTTCTGCATAAGACAGAAAAGCCAGGTTCGAGGATCCTTGCAAGCTTGCTTGAGACCTTCCCAAGTTGTGCCTCGAACCTGCTGGCCGACAGTATCTCGACTGATTCGCTTGATACAAAGTTCGCGCTCTTCAGGGGTGAGCCATCGAGTCTCAGAAGGGTCATCGGGGAGTAGAAAGAAGCCGAAGACGGCGATAAGAGCGGTCACTGAGCCTTCAATGATGAATAGCCTGAAGGTTTACGCGTTAGTAACTAAGCCTTGTAACTGATTGGAAGTTGTTGACGTACCACTGCCAACCAGCAATTCCTTTGACTTGGTCAAGTGTAGAGAATGTTGCTGCCGCGATAAGCCCTGAACAGCCGGTGCTTACGACTTGGCCAGTGTAGAGCAGCGAAATGCGTGTAGCGAGTTCTTTCCGAGTGTAGTAGATCGATAGCAAATAGAGGGCGCCCGGATAGAATGGCTGTGATTACAGACTTAGCACCTGCAGGTGCAAATGGAAGCTGGCAGTACTTACAGCCTCAACAAAACCCAAGAAGAACCGACAAGCAATCAGGCCAGAGTAATTCGTGACAGTTGCGGTACAAGCTGACACGGCGGCCCAACAAATCATGCAGCAGGATAGGTAGATGGACGGTCGGGTTCGTGTCATGAACATGTTTGAGGGAACTGTGAAACGCTAGGGTTAGTGTTGAGAGTCATGATAATGGATTTGTAGAGCATACTTTGCATCAAGAGATAACCAACAAATAGAATCGAGATGGCGGTGTTGTATTGAACACCTTTGAGGTTCAGGTCTTTTTCGAGGCTATTCAGGCGTGCTTGGGGTAGAGCATTTCGATCGAGGTAGTTGAGGAAGTACATGGCCCAGAGAATAGGCTTACTCAATCAGCAATTCTGCATGAAGATAACGGTAATCTTTGGATTCAAGTCTCACCATTATCATCCTGTCGAGCTTGCGGACCAAGGCAATCTCAGCAGGGTCAGTCTTGGTTGCAGCACCCGAGTAGTCTCCGCGATAATCATCAACTCCATTCTGCTCGAGGACTTTCCCATCGTGAACGGCCTCGAAGCCAGTGTTAGGTTTCGCATCCTTTGAAGAGGCGGAAATTCGGGGCTCCGAAGGGACAGTCATGGCTGCGTTAAAGAGTATGCAGAAGAAGTGGCAAAAGAAAAGCTTGTTGTGGGTAGATCAAGGCGAAAACAAACCAGGAACTTGAACTTGAAGTCTGGAGAGCATGAGAATGGATGCCAAATCGAGAGCCTTCGTCACATTCTTATAAACCTCTGGAGCCAGTTTCTAGCCCACGCCGTCAAGCTAAACATTCCAGCTGTATACCCCATGGAGAAGAATTAGTCGTGGGGAGAATGCGGAGAAGCGCGAAGGCAAACCGTTGGACAATCGATCTATGTTGATCATGGGGGAAGCCTTTACGCCGCTATCCCGCTATTCCGTTATTCCGCCTGCGCGAGTCATGCTTATCCCGCATTAAGCGAGCCCAACGCCGTATCCCGTTCTCCACTATTCTTGAAAATCGAACAACAGCATCGGGATAGGGATAGTGATTGGTTATCTTCCAGCGGGCCACCGATCTTTGGTGCCGGTGTTGCTGTGGACCTGTCATGACAAGCGAGTGCATACATAAACCTCCACGTCCTTTGGCATGAGACCCTAGATTCATGCTTGTTTCTTTCTAGCCTCAAAGTCTTTGAGCACCTTAAACACGCAACAATGGCTGCTGCTACCGTTCATGATACTTTTCTGTTCAGAGACACTTTCGGAACTGAAGAGATTCGAGAGTGCTTCTCTGAACGATCATATGTCTCGAAATTAATCGAGGCAGAATGCGCCCTGGCTCAAGCAGAGGAAGACCAAGGCGTGATTCCTTCGGGAACTGCCAAAGTCATTCGTGAGCATTCTGATGTATCAAAAATCGATTGGCCTTTGCTTGCAAAGAGGGCAGAGGTTGTTGGTTACCCCATCCTTGGTCTCGTCGAACAAATGGCTTCTTGGGTTCCTCATCAGCAATGTAAGCACACAACCACTATCTGAATTGAGGATTGCGGTAGCTAACGAGACAAGCCGGATACATCCATTGGGGTGCTACGACACAAGATATCATGGACTTGGCTTCGCAACTGCAGATCAAGAGCGGTATCGCAATCGTGGAGCGCCACATCGATGAAACAATTAATACCCTCGAGTCGATGTCTTCCAAGTACCGCGACACGCCAATGGCAGGTCGAACACATCTACAACACGCTCTACCAATCACTTTCGGTTACAAATGTGGTGTTTGGCTTTCTGGGCTCCGACGTCACGCTGAGCGTCTCCAACAAATCAAGGAAAGGTGCCTTCTTGTGCAATTCGGCGGCGCTGCTGGTACTCTAGCTTCGCTAGGTAGCTCAAATGACGGTATTCGGGTACGAAAGAGGCTAGCCGCCATCTTGGGTCTCAAGGACCCCGTTATCACCTGGCACGTCGCTCGAGATACCATTGCTGAGGTTGTTAACTTTTTGGCATTGATTGGAGGTTCATTGGGAAAGATTGCGCTTGATCTGATGATTATGTCGTCTAACGAGCTTAATGAGGTAAGCGAATATCGCCATCTCTTTCAATAAACGTGAACTGACATGAAATGATTCCCAGGTTGCTGAGCCTTTTGTACCTCATCGAGGAGCATCGTCAACGATGCCTCAGAAACGAAACCCCATTTCGAGCGAGATCATCCTAGCACAATCTAAGATCCTTCGGGCACAAGCAGGGCTGGTATTAGATGGTATGGTATCAGACTTTGAGCGTGCCTCGGGACCTTGGCACCTAGAGTGGGCTGCACTTCCGGTTGCGTTTATCTCGGTAGTTGGCTCACTTCATCAAGCAAACTTTGCACTATCAGGCCTACAAGTCAATGCTGGGGCAATGAAGGCCAACCTTGAGTCGACACGAGGGCTCATTGTTGCTGAGGCTGTCATGATGAAACTCGCTGAGTTTGTAGGACGACAAGAGGCTCATGAAATCGTCTACGGTGCGTGCGTGTCTGCCGTCGAGGGAAATCTATCCTTGATAGAATCCCTACAAAAGATTGAGCAAGTTACAAAACATTTAACTACAGAGCAGCTGACGGCATTGGTTAATCCCACACAATACCTTGGTTGCTGTCAATTAATGGTTGACGAACTATTAAAAGTAGGGACCTCTAAGCTTTAAAACAAAAGCAGGAATAAATAGGGTTATAAATTGTTAATATTAAAGTGTATATTTAAAAGTTTATATAAAAGTCCTTATATATAATTAAAGTAAAAATAAAAGTATTTTAGTTTAGTAATATATTAATATAATATAATAAATACAAATATAATTTAAATTATAAAATCTTAAAGTTATTTAACTTAAATAAAATACTTTAAAAGATATTTTATAATTTATAATCTTAATAATTAAAATATATTTAATTTAATTTAATAATACTATTAAATAGCTATAAAAAGATATAATAAAACTAAAAATAATTATTAAATATAAACAAGGGTGTACTTGTGCACCTTAACTTAACTTTACTACTACGACGTCCATCCCATGTGCTAAGCCTCGTTAGTCGCCGATGTGGTTGGATGCCGCCAATCCCCAGACCTATGGTCGCGAAACCAGAGCCAAATCCCTTGATCCTCGTACCGTATAACCTTGGACTTTTTCTTAGCCGACACCCGTGTCGTTTTAAAGGGGGGCTGCGGTCCTCTCTTTTCCAGTTCACCAGGATCATAGTCCTCCGACGTCATTGCTGGATCGAAATCAACGATATCAAATGGTTTCTCTTCGTCTTTGCGTTTCTATGTAGGATCCTTATATACATATATGACACCGTGGTAACCAATATATGTGCCCTTTTGTGATGAAGTAAGGCCAGGGAGCTTGCCATGGGGCTCTTGTTTAGCTGCGTACTGAATATCTTTTCCCTTATCCTCCTAGCTTTAATAAGCCTTTTTGACCTCTTGAACCAGCTTGAAGACATCGCCGCGAGCCTTAAAATTCGTCCCGGTAATGCTGGGCACAGTCAACGTCACTGGCCCCAGGGATATGGAACACTTCAAATCGAATGGGATCACCATCCCCATTCCGAATATCTCTTGAAAATTGCCTCATGTTGAGATCATCTAGAGAGAATTCTGGATGGACAAAATAGAAGAATATGCTTGGCAGTGGCATTAAGATGTCTCTTGGGGGGTTGCTCCAGGTCAACTTGGCTGGTCGGCCTGCGTGATCCGTAGATTTGACAACATACTGTTTACTCGCAGAACACTTGAGTCTGATCATTATAAGTAGACTGTAGCTGGCTTCTGGTGATTATAGATTTGCTTGAGTTGAGTTGGTAGAGATTAATTATAGAGTATTGTTGGAGTTTTATAAATGGGTCCAGTTACATGACGAGCCTGCAGGCAGCAAACAAAATGGAAAAGCTGGCCATATCATACCTTACTAGATGCCCTGGACTTGTAAGAAAGACTTCTTTTTAAGAAAACCTTTATAAAAACTGACTATTTTCTATTGCTATATACTATCTATTTATTATTTCATGCACTCTTATTGCTAGCACAAAACATCAATATCACTAGGCACTGTCCATAGTGAAATAGCTATAACCTAAAAGGCACAAAGCCCGGGACCTCAAACACCAACACTTGTCTGCACTGCTGCCTTCCTCAGAGTCGCTGAGATGAGTCTCACGGTCTGGTCTCTAGATAACACCTAAGTATTAATAATCTGTAATCATAGCCAGTTTTTGTCGCCTCGTCTGTAAAGAGGTTCTCGTGTCTTACCAGGCCAAAAGTTGCCACACTCAGCTCACACGGACGGGTTCCTATATTACGTCAGCGATGTTCTTCAACAACGAGAACGCGAAATATCACATACAACTTGAAGAACTCCTTGATGGTGATGTTGTTATTGTCCAACATATCCTGGCATATTTGTGGAACTCGAAACGGCTTGTACTCCTTGCAACCTTCGATACCGCCCTCCTGATCAGAACGTCAGTAAAACATACCCTGTGAAGGCTAGTTAGATATAGGATGTGGGAGACCTACCCTGATATGGAGTTCAGTTGATGAAGGTACTGTGTTGGATGTAGTCGTCTTAGTAGGCTTCGTTGTCCTAGACGGTGCTGTACTCTGGTTTCCAGTCGCGGGTGAAGGTGCATTGCCATCATAAGCGCGACAAAGAGAAAATGCTGAGAATGTATAGTTACTCTTTATAAATAGTATCCGGCGTTTACAGCAGTATATAAAGAGTGTTGAAGAGCCAGGACAAAGCATAACCGCTTTACTGGCGACTCAGGGTTCTGATGCCTGGGAGACCTGGCTTCTGGCTGAGACTATCTGACAAACAGTCATAGCTGGATATTGTCTACATGTAATCTATTGCTTCCTTAAATGGCTGAGATGATGCGCACCATGAGTTTGAGGTTTTGTCGTTTTTCGGGCAGAAAACACTTTGGTGTGCAGCTTCACGGTTTGAGTGGGAGTCAGCTGTTTCTAAGTGCAATTAGTTACCTATACGATTTGCTAATTAGGACTCCGATATCGCGGATGCGAGACCGGAAGATATGGAGGAACTGGGCGTCATTATGATGGCGCTTACTAAGGGAGTGGATGAATGTTGTCACTGGGTTGGAGAGGAGCTTTTTGACAGGTTTGGACTAGCCACTGGTAATCATTCCTAATTTGCGACCTTAGGACTGGCGCTTACAATGTATGAGATATTGGTAACAATCTCAATGTAATATTGAACATGAATACCGAAATTCATCATGATCAAGCTGCAGCATCGATCCATCGTACGAAGTTGTCTGCCGACGGTCCAACATGTACCAACTCCTTCAACCTCCTCTTGTTGATCTTGTAACCTACGTAAGGATACTTCTCTACGAAATAGGCCCCACCGGAAAGCCTCTTGAACTTGCCCAGTTTCGTCTCAACATATTCCTCCAGCTCCTTAGCCAAGTTGTCCAAGGCCGAAGACCTTTCCTCAGTGTTTAAACCGTGGCTTGGTGTCGCGTCTGGCTGGAGGACAACAAATGCTGTAGGATGCTCCTGTTGAGTTTCTTGGTCACGAATACCCACCACAACGGCTGTTGCTACGGCAGGGTGGTCAAAGAGAACAGCCTCAAACTCAGCCGCCGAAGCGTGGGTACCGTAACCGTCGCCTACACGAAGTAGCTCTTTCAGCCGGTCAACGATGAAGACATTGGAATTCTCATCGACATATCCGACGTCACCAGAATGGAACCAGCCATCAGCGTCAAAGTCCTTGTTAGCCTCTTCATTGTCCTTGTAACCGGCGAAACGAGCAAGAGTATTCCTCACAAGGATCTCCCCTTGCTCGTTGTGACCAAGATCCTTGCCGGTCTCAATATCGAGCACCCTGGCTTGGAAGCCGTGGACGAGAGTGCCACTTGATCCTGGCACAGAAGAAGCCTCGTCGACTTGGAGTGCGATGAGGAGAGTCTCCGTTGTTCCCCATTCAAGAGTCAGACGAACACCGTTGAACTTGTCTTGGACTGCATCCCGGATCTTTGTATGGACAGGAGCTCCGGCGGATAGCAGCCATTTGATGCTCTCGTAAGTGACACCGACCTTCTCCGACTTTGCGATCTGGGCAGCAAGAGGTGGGGTGACAAACAAGAAGGTGATGGCATATTTATCGATAAGATGAAAGGTAGATTGATCAAAAGGTTGAGTGAGAATGATGACAGGGATTCCGAGGAGGATGTTGAGGCCGAGGTTCAGCTTTGCATTGATTCCATACGCAAAAGGTAGAGAGGAGAGCCAAACGTCCTTCTCAGGATCTGTGTCGGAGGGCACGGTTAGGCGGGTTGTGAGGAGATTGGCTGCCCAGTGAGCATGAGTTGTGAGGAATGACTTGACGTTGCCGGATGATCCACTTGTACGGTAAATGAAAGCATAGTGCTTCTCGGTTTCCTCGTGAGTGGAGAGTCTGAACCCATTGAAGAGCTCCTTTTCTTCAGCAAGCAGATCTTCGATGTTTCTGATTCCATCGGAAGATGTATCTAGGCTGATCAGAGGAATGCTATTGAATGCTTCAGCTGCAGGCTTAGTGATGGATGCCAGAGTTGAGTCAGTTATGATCAACTTGGCGTCAGCTTGCTGGAGTCTGGGAATAATTGCCAATGCATCAAGTCCCTGCTGAACTGGAATTGGAGAGATTGTGGCTCCGGCTGCCAGTGCTGCAAAGAATGCAATAGGATAGTTTATCTGTTGAATGTTAGTCACAAGCTTCGTAATCAATGAGGCAAAGAAGGCTTACAGAGTTATTAGCTAAGAATGCAATGACATGATTGGGCTTGATTCCGTATTTCTTGACAAGAACGCTAGCCAGTCGCAGGCTCTTGTTCTCAAGTTCTTCCAAGGTCAAAGTCTCTCCGGTCTCGTGGACCCGGTATAAGACTTTGTCTTTAGGATACTTCTCTCGAGCAGTGTTGAAGATGAAGTTGAACACGTCGGTTGAAGGCGGGTCAACCTTAGGGAATTTTGACTCAAAGACCATTTTTAGGATAGTGGAGATTGCAACTTTAGGTTGAAATGTGAAGACCTTCTCATTGATCTCAAAACAAGGTATTAAGTATTGAAGTTGTTGTGGTCTCCAATATGAGCCTGGTTCGCCGGTTTGTAGGCAGGTATGTACCCCCATCCAATACAACAATCTCGTCTTACTGGCAGAAAATCACATCAGGAGGAATACAATCCCAGGAGTTGTTCACTGTGTTTCAACATGCAACTGGAATTGACGCCATTCGCGATATTAACTTCCTATTCTCGTATTTTTCCAGCACACTCCGAGCCTTGTAAGAGCTAATGCACATCACTCACCATCTCGAGACGGCTCGTGAAGATCTATTAGCCTTTTCTCAGGTTAGCGTAGGGTATGACGTGGCGGTTCGAGCATCACATAAGCAGGTTGTGTTCCCAAATTCCGCTTCTACACGACATAAGGGTCTTTAATGACGCGACCAGCTTGCGCAGTCTTAGTCGGACTTCAATGGATATACGGGCTATATGCATAAGTTTTGCCAAGGGAACACAGCTACTTCACCGTGACATATGCATAGTAATCCCTGCTGTTGAACTGGTCCAGGGTATGCTGACAGGGTATCAAGCTCCGATGCGGCCCGGATCGTCTATACCAGCTAAAAGTAGACATGGCTTGTGAATAATGGAAGCATACACGGCTTGCCATTTCAATCAGGAGACATTTACATGATACTGTTGTAGTAGGTGATTGAGTATGTGTCTAAAAGTTTGTTCTAATCTTAATCCATAAATCGATCATAGGTCCATAATTGAGAATTGAACAAGGCTTGTCAGATCCAGGAGTGTTTCAGACCAGATATACCAAGCTCTCATACTCTTCCACCAAAAAGACTGAAAGATTTCATTGTTGTCAAATAATCTCTGACAATGGCGTCCAAAGAAACCACCAGTCTCCCAGTCATTGACTTTGCCAAAATTATTGGTCCCTCGATCTCTAGGTCCCCAGGAGTCCTGGAAGACAGCATTAAAGAGAAGCAAAAACTCTTCGACGCTTTCGTCAACGTTGGATTTGTGTACCTGGCAAACCACTCCATCCCTGACTTTGCACAAGAAAATCTCTTCTCTCACGCAAAGAAGTTCTTCGCTCTACCCGTATCGGAAAAGGCAAAGGTCGAGACAGGAGAGTCCAAAGGCTTTCATGGATGGTTTTCTCCCGCTCGAACTTCTGGAGATGCTCGCCATTCTGATCTCAAGGAAGCTTTCGATGTTGGGAAAGAGAACGACCCTACGAGGCCGAACCAGTGGCCCGAGAACTGGCCTGAGTTCCGAGACGACATGAATTTCTTCTTTGAGAAGTGTCATGAGGTCCATCTTGTTCTTCTTCGTGTTCTTGCAGAACAAGTCGGTGTCGATGGGGGCTTCTTTGAGCCTCATGTTGACGAAAAGGACCACTTCTTCCGCGTCATCTACTACCCTGAGACAACTCGGGCTGCGTTCAAAGAAAGGACCAGGGCCTCGGCACACACAGACTACGGCACCCTTACCCTACTTTTCAACGACGAGAGTGGGGGCCTGCAGGTGCGCCGAGCCGACGGGAAGTACATTGATGCTCCACCGATTCCCGGATGCGCCATTATCAACGGTAAGCTAGCGAACCCAGGAGATTCCTTCATGCAAGGTAAAATGGCTAACCAAGAACAGTTGGAGACCTCTTGTCCCGCTGGTTCAACGACATCCTCATCTCTACCGAGCACCGCGTTGTGGAGCCAGAACCAAAGGCTGATGCCGACGGCAACATTCCTGAGATTATCCCGGCACGCTACTCCATCGCCTGGTTTGGTCATCCTAACCGAGATGCGTTAGTCGAGCCACTCCAAGCTTGTTGCACTGCCGTGAACCCGCAGAAGTATGGCGCAGTCTATGCAGGAAAGCACGTTGTGGAGAGACTGGCGTATCTGCATAAAAACGGCCAAAACACCACGACCTGGACTGATGATATGCAGCGCGAGACGTCTGAGGCTGTAGCTAACGCCCCTCTGCTTCCAGCAGGCAGTGCATAGTTCTAAGTGATATTGTAAATAGTCTCTCTTTATTCAAGCGTTTTAATACTATCTCTGAAAGTCATTGCCTAGAAACGATTAAATTTGGTGTTAATTTATAGTCTTGTTCTTTTATCATCAACTTGTAATATGGATACTTAGTTCACTACTCCTGATACGTTATAGGAAAGACATATTTAGTGCGAAACAAGAGGCAGTTGAATTAGATTTCCTGAAACGCAAAGCTCGGCCGCCAAGCTCACTAGGCAGCCAGCAACACAATTCTCCTCACGGCTTAGGAATGTGTACGCCGGGATTGTGACTCATCGTGCATATGCCACCACAGTTTTGGCTAAGTGTCATGGTCAAGTATGTCCGAGCAACACTACCCCGACGATACCCAGTCGGTCTGCTACATCAATGCAATTCCAACTCCGACCCGTGTAAACTCTCTTCTAGGCCATGCATTAGCGGATCTGGTTCTCGAGCATACTCTATTTGCCACGATAGGATCTTGCACGAAGCCCCCACGTCTTGCAAGGCACGTTTTGGCCAGCAGCGGAATGTAACTGGCACGAACTGGAAACACAACAACTCATGGGAAAATCACGCAAAATCGTGACATTGTAAGCGTACGTGCGAGGCTCGTTTCTGCTCGCTGCGATTGACCGAACCCCAAGTTGAGCGTATGCCTGGAAGATCTCTGGTTGACTACATTTAGAAAGAGACTCCTTTATTTATTGCTTCGCTCACTTTTAATTGTAATTATTAAGATCAGCGATAACTTCTGTAGTCGCTTGTCTCCTTTCTTTTGTGCCAGAATCTATCGCAAGAAGAGGCTCATACAACCTTTTAGTAATCCCCTGATATACAGCCAGTGCTGAATTAGACAAGTGGCAACCACTACGGGATATGTTACATACACCCGCGATGCATGTTGAGATACCGGTAAAATCTTTACCCATGAACCAATTCCTACCCGTTTCCACTGCTAAGATACCTTCATCAGACACCCAACTTCCGGCTTCCTGTCGGCTACCGGAACCAAAAATCCACCGCTTCAGCGTTGGTCAGGGGAATACCGATAAGTAGCGAAGGGACCATCCATTGGACGCCGGACTCATGGCGGTCAAAGCACGCAGCTCAGGCTGTCGAGTACAGTGATACCGATGCTCTGCAAGACGTATGTGCATCACTCAAACAACTGCCACCTCTTGTCAGCCGCTTGGAGATAGAGCAGGCTCGTGTGCGCTTCTACCATGTTGCTCTGGGCCGTGGCTTCATTATCCAAGGCGGAGATTGTGCAGAAAGTTTCCACGATGTTCAACATGATATAATCCATCGCAAAGTTGAGTTGCTCCATCAACAGAGCCAGATACTCGAGGATGCAATAGGGAAGCCTGTCATACCACTTGGGCGAATTGCAGGACAATATGCCAAGCCAAGGTCAAACCCTCTCGAGGTCCTTCCAAATGGTGAAAAGGTGCACGCTTTCCGTGGTCACATTATAAACTCAGAGGGACTCGAGGACAGAAAGCCGGACCCAAAGAGACTCATGCTTGGTTACTTCTATGCTGCAGCCACACAGAACAGCATCCGTCATATCACTGGGCTGGCGAATTCGGTGCCCAGGAAGGCGTTCAACAAGTGTCATCTTTACACGTCTCATGAGGCACTTCATCTCCCCTACGAATCTGCCCTCACGCATGAGTCTTACAATCTGTCAGCAACATCGATCTGGCTGGGAGAGAGAACTCGCCAACTCGACGGCGCCCACGTTGAGTACGCTCGTGGACTACGAAACCCTATTGGCGTCAAGATTGGTCCGACAGCCACAGCAGCAGATGTCATTGCCCTGCTGGACACTCTAGCTCCCGATACAGCACAGTATGGCAAGGTCACCATTATCACTCGCATGGGCTATGGCAAGGTGAGACAGGTACTTCCCACCATCATCAGGGCAGTGCAGCTCAGCGGTCATGTACCGATCTGGATGTGTGACCCATGCCATGGTAATACATTTACTACGTCAGATGGGATCAAGACTAGAAAGGTTGAAGACCTATTGACTGAGCTTGAGGAGACATATGCTGCTCACCGGAGTCTTGGGAGTCACTTGGGAGGTATCCATCTGGAGCAAACAGGAGACGATGTCACAGAATGCATAGGTGGCTCATCTTGCGAGAACGAGGGAGGTTTGAAGGTTTGCTACCAGTCATTGTGTGACCCTCGGTTGTCAAGCGAGCAGGCTCTGATTTTAGTGAAACGCTTTGCCGAGTTTGTGAAGAACTCAGGTTGATAGCGATCATATCTAGTCTTATTTTTACTTAACCGCTGTCTCAAACTAGACCCATATCTCCAACCCAGTAGCACCTTTCACTTTTGGTATCTCTTGCTTAAAAAGTAGATGCTCTGAAGAACGTTGAGACCGTGATATGTTACAGTTACTGAGTCTTTGCATACCACATCCTAACCACTAATAACTCTAGCCATGTTCATAGTCATATTGGAACGAAAGGTCTCTACGTGGGTCAGTATAAGGCATAAAGTTCAAGGTTGTGTAAGCGTTATGTATGTCTTGACAGAATAAATCCCGTTGACCTATATAATTAAGACCCATGAATCTATATAGATCTAGTTTCCCACTCTCATTGGCCCAAGGGCTTCCGTCCATACACATAGTTGAGCTTGGGCTGATAGCCGTAAGTCTTAATCTCGACCTCTAGAGCATCGAGAAACGTATGGAACTCCCTGGCGTCCGCCGCAACCCCAGGAATGCCACCTTCTGTAAAGTTATTTTATTAGTATCAGTCTTCTTTACAATGATACGTTGGACTCACCAGGTATCTTCTCATCCAAGGTTCGGAAGCACTCAACCCATAGCTCAGCGGACACATTTCTCTGATCCTGGGATCTGGCCAGAGCTCCATAACCGTGATCGAACTGAACCTTGCGAATATCCTCTAAGCCAGCGTCCCGTAAGAGCCCCTCAAGCTTGTACGCAATATGGATGTCCATGCCGAAGCTGGCGGTAGACCACTCCTGTAGAGCAGCTTGCTTCCTCAGCTGCGGTCTGGTCACCTCGTCTGCGAGATTCTCGGGGTCAATCCATTCAGCCTCGACAAGCTGTATATAACCGCCAGGCTTGAGAGATGAAACCAGGTTCGAGATGACACGGGGCCACTCGGCAGACTGGATACCCCAGATAAGGAGCCTCTGGTTGATGACGTCGAATGTCGAGGACCAATCCCACGAAGATGGAAAGGGAGTTCTGACATCATGGCTCCGAAGCTCTACCTTGTGAGTTGCATTCGCATCTGGTGCAGGGAAGAGATCAGATCCAATATCGATTCCATAGAGCTCCAGATCGTGTGATGGGAGTTGGCGTGGCAGGTCCCGTAGCCAGAAACCTACGAATGTCAATATCACAGACAGGCCAGGGGTAACAGAGACTTACCATCAGCAGCACCCGAGTCTAGTACACGCAAGGACTTCTTCTCCTGAATGGCTGGTACTACGAGTAATTGACCACCCGTGGTAGTATTCATGAAGAGGTGTTGGCGATGCAGCCTCTCAATCTCCTGGGCATGGTGAGGTAGCATGTAGCTTCCTTCTGTGCCTGAGAATGGCGCCAGTGGCGTCGAAGCCGTGACTGCACCAGCCACAGCACTAACGGTTGCAGTAGACATTTCAGCAAATCGGGTTGGTTGGTATCAGGATACAGAGTCAAAAGCGGCCATTCCATCCGGCAAGTGTGAATAATTGCTAATTCTGTAGTATTGAGCTTTGAACCTGTATTTAATGGATATTATTATTAGGACCGTACATCTGTCTAGAGATTCCAAATGATTATGGTGATATATCGCCATCGGAACTAACAATCACCCTGACTTGGCTGTCGGCTGTATCTGGCAATATTCACAAGCACATAATCTGTGTCCAATTACGAAACAGATACACCGTCGTAATCCCTCACATGAATTATTCTGCAGATATCCTGCATGAAGATCTAATAATCTACTAGAATTGATTCACTTGCCTTTCTAATTCAGGGCAGCCCCACTATGCCGTCCAACTCCGATGCTCTCGGAGTTGAGCAACCTTGAACTGCCACAAATCTCCGAAGCTAAGTCCACAATTGTGTGCCACGCCCCTGTTAATGGCGCCAGACCTTCCACTGGTGACAATTGATACCAGTTTGGCAAAGCTCTCGATGGCGCTTTTCTTGACCTCTCTTTGCTTAGCTGCCTTTCCCAGTATCTCGTAGTCTGGAATGGGCACAACAACCAACAGCCTCAGCATCAACCAAAAACACGCCAAATTTGGCTTGGCTCAGCCCAGACTACCTCTGAATAAGAAAGAAAGCCCTGAGCACAGCATTTGGATCTACCAACAGCAGGACTAAGGAGCGTAGCGAGGACCAACACTTGGTCAGGGCCATCGGACATCAACAGCCAATACGCCCCGAGGACCCGTTGTGTTAAGCCTCACGCGGGGATGTTTTAATGCCAGAGATTAATCTCCCTCTCCGTTGCGTTATTCATCGATTATCTTGGGCATTCCGTTCCATAATCTCTTGTGCACGCGGTCGATTCCTTGGAACGATATCCAGACGTAAGAGTAAAGAAAAAACTACTATTTATCTTACAAAAGTCGGTCTGGGCATCCAGGGATAGGACCGTATTTACGCTTTCGACACAGCCACATCGCATCAGCAACCGACCAAGCTGTCGGTACAGTCAATCATTCGGTCCTCTATCATAGCCCTGCCCCTCTTACTCGTCTGCTCTTGTTTTCCTCGAATTCTCTGCCCAACCTTGATCCTCTGCATCCACATGCTTCTGGCCCGTACAATGGTCTCCGCTATCACTCCTCCCCCTTCCTCCGCGCCGCCCTACCGACTCGCCAATCTTGCCAATCTCACATTGGGTTATACAATCTACCCTTCGTGGACTCAGAAGGAGGGACTTGTTGCCATGACATCTCCCCCGTCTCCTCCCTACAATGACGATTCTTCGAAAGCTGAGCGCTACCCTCTCATTATAAACAATGCGCTCTATACTCCACCTGGAGTTTATAGTGTCCGACAGTTGGTCGCCACCACGACGCCCCTTCTAGATGCCATCATATCTCGCCTCGGTCCAGACGGAACAGACGATATCCCTGCTCGCTCTATTCTCATTAATGGCTTGGCTGCTTCTCTTGCGACTACGGGCAGAGAGTCTACACTCCCACTAGTCCACTCGTCCCAGGACACCGCGCGCAAGGAAATTGTGATACAGGCAAATAAGATCGCAAAGACGCTTGTTGGATACGTCCACGACAGTGTCGACCCCTCCAACGCCAATCCAAAGGTCCGACTCCGAAGCCCCTGTGAGGGGCACCTCTGGACCCCAACGGTTGCAGCCCTCCTCTTGGGACCGCGAAGTGACGCACATCTGATGGAGCTCTATAACGAGTGGCTTCATCGTATGATCCTCCTTCGTGACAGTTTGATCCCCTTTGAGAATTACGACAAGGTGCCTCTTGTCATACCTCAAGACTCGAGCCGAGGCATACGCGATCTGGAGGAGCCGCGGAAGCTTTTCCTTGTACACTGTTTAACAGGTACAATCCAGCACGTTGCAATTGTTGATCTCGCAAAGGTCTTCACAGCGCGTCATCTCCCTCGAGGTGGCTACGGCTTCCAGTACTCTCAAGGTCTTGTTCTGCCAGCCTTTTTATCAGGTTCTACTTCCCTTCACCTACTACGTTATCATCCCGCCCATGTCTATGACTCGGAGAGCGAGGTCCTGTTTGACTACGAGCACAAGGAATACATCGACGCTCCCAGAACAGAGCTCGCAGCTAGTGAAGCCGTCTCTGGGGACGGTAGCTGGAACCTACCCGCTCTGCTAGGAGTTGACACCAGAGTCACCGAGTCTTCTCTGGCAATCGACGCCGGGAAAGACGCTCTTCGACGCGTTGTCAAGCTACGCCTGACGCTGTACTCGGGGAAGTCTGTGTCTGTTGACCTTGGTCAGATCGCCCGCGGTCGACGCTACGCATATGAAGTCAAATCTGACAAAGGATCTCCAAAGGGAACATCATCACCTATCCTCAGCGCACTCTCAGCACAAGGTGGCAGTGGGACTCACAAGACAATCGTCCACGATGCAGCGGACATCCTCTCGCGACCTGGGCTTGTCATCTCACCGCGCGTAAAGGATGGTCATGGAAACACAATCCATATCATTCCCACCTCAGACCCCGTTCTGAAGCTAGCGCTTCTGGGAAAGTTTTATCCTGAGAATGTTATCCTATCAAGAGAAAGAGATAACATAGATGCTTTGAGCAAGGCTGGTAAGGGATTCGCGGAACGCCTTGTAATCCTGGACCGGATTAATGAGAAGGCTTTAAGCTAGCTAGAAATACTGGCACAGTCTGTAAAGATCGTCGAAAGCAAGTAGCTAATGCATTGCTTAATTAAGCTTCTATATATAAGCTCTCGCATGAGATTCAACAACCTGTGCGTAATGAGATTTGTTAGTGGGATTTTACAATCTTCATTTCTGGCTTTACTTATAATCTATGTAATTCAGTGTATCAGGGTTGTTTTATAGACTAACTATATAGACATAATTCTTGATTTCTTCTCGGTCCGTAAGTACTCAGAAGTATTTAGGTATTAGGCTCCTATTTAATGCAAAATAGAGAATCTAGATACAGGATTGCCTAGAGTATAATGGGTTGCGTCTTCGAAAAGAGCCACTCTTAAATTCGCATAGTAGCATGACTAAAGCCCGAGATTCTGCTACTGTACATCTGCTGTAGCAATGACGAGTTTCGTGAAATCATCAAACATGTCGAACCGCACCTGGCTAGCTCGAGAGCCTCGTTCCCCAGGCCTTCCTGAATCCCTGATCTGATCAACAGCCTGGCGAATGGTAACCTTTGTGCGTGCTAGATCGTCGGACAGAAGTTTAGACTTGGCAAGCATCCATTCCTCTGCCGAAGAGGCCTTCCAGACAGACTCGGGTGCTGGGAGAGTCAAATTATGAACGAGATTATCGTCTAGAGGTTCAAAGTAGTTCGGATCCTGCTTCTGAACGCGGCAGGATAGCGTATTTATGGCATTGACGAGGAACACAGTCCTTCGGATTGTCTCGTCCATAAGCCACTTTCGCCAATTGCTCTCTTCTCCATCCTCGACTGTTGAGGCTTGGAGATATTGTTTGGCGAGACGTCTCGTCATCTGCCAGTCGTTGTTAGCTTATACTTCTTGTCAACCCTCGGCAGGTAAGAGTTTGGCTAACTTTGAGGAAGAACATTTGCTGTGACTCAGCTGCACGTGTCTGTTCTGGATTTACGCTGACAAAGAAACCCAGGATCTGATAGATACACATAGCATGGACTACCGCAAGCATGTCGGCATCTGAGCCGGGTAATTGATGCTGAACACCATTAGCGGGACTGCATAACTAGACTATAAACCGGCCGCAAACTCACAAAACCTTTAACAAGCTTATTGCTCTCCTCGTTTATGAGCGAGTAAACAAATGTCTCGCTTACAGGGACAGAAGCATAGAACGCCCCGACACAGCAAAAAGCCTTAGCTAGTGGCTCTGCCACATCCCCAGCAGAACATCGATAGAGCTTGTGATGCACAAATGGGGGATATACTCCTGGTTGCAACATGACACTGGGGTAATTGCTGACCATTTTGATGAGATCATCGTCTTTGTGGAGTCTGTGGAAAGGACATGACTGCAGGTTTTGACTGACACCATACTGCGGACGCGGTGCGGCTGTATTTGGCAAGCCCTTACCACGCACAGCTTTGACAGCACTGTGGAGGGTTTTGCCTTGTTCAGTGTCAGCTTCGGCATGAAGAGGAGAGTTTTGGTTACTGCCGAGGTTGGCAGACGATGCTGTTCTTGGATAGTGGCCATCAGATGAGACTGGGGTGTTCAGCATAGTGGAGAACCCGCCCGCTTGAGATGTCTGGCCTGGCGTGATCCGATTATGAGTCAAGATTCCAAGTGAGCCCAGAAGATCAAAGTTTAAATCCTCAGAAACTCCTGTGAAGCCATTTCCTTGCATGGGGTCTTCGAGCTCGGGCGATATTGGTAGTTCAGGGGAAAGAAATGGATTCTGTGAGAACCAAGGTATTTCTTGCTGCCATCGAGACGCGGACTCTGCCTCATTCGTCAAGTTAAGAAATGAGATGCTGTCTCTTTCAACCTGGCCTGGGCTTGACGTGCCATCTCCATAGCCAACACTTGCTGTACCTGGCTGCGTGTTCACATGCCAACCATTGACGTTTGTACCGTTGGATGTAGGTACAGGTAATTGGTGTTGTTGGAGAGCTGTAAGTGATATGTTGTTCGAGATGTCAGAGGAGAGCCTTTGACCCCCCGCCTCCTGCATGACAGCTTCAATATCAAGCTCCGATTGACGACGAGTAGTGTAATTTGACGATAATGGGTTATCTCCGATGATGCTATTGTTTTCGTAGACCTGCCCCGACTCGGGGCGAATGTTCTGCCCGCGATGCCTTTGGGCTGCCTCTGTCTGCTGAGATGTGGCGTTGGGATTGCTGGCCGAGACGTATCGGCACGTCTTGTTCCTGTTGATGCAGCGTGAACATGACGGCGTGCCCAGATCACAGCTCAACTTGGAGGCTGCGCAGGCTGTGCAAGACTTCTGCTTGGACAACTTTTGTCGTTGGGATGCTTGGATGCAGCGCTGCTGGTGCTTGTACCGATATTCTTCTTCAAAGGTAAAGGAAATTCAATTAGCCTACTAGACGACTGAAAAAAAAAATTGCAGTAAAGGTAGAGCCAAAAGTGAGCGAGTGTTGGTTGTACAGACACGGACCGTCTACTGAAGTGGGCTGACCAAAGGCACGGCAGGGCGTAGTACTCACTCTGAGCGAACTCCTTGGGGCAGTTGGAGCAGCGCCAGGGGCCCTGCTTCGAGGCGTCCCTGGCCCGGCGGGACGTAGCCTGAGGGCGACTCGGTGAAAACAGAACCGGCTGCATCTCTCATTTCCTCCGAGGTAATGGTAAGAGGGAGCGGGCGTGGACAGAAGGCAGCAGAGGTCGTCTACATAGCTCCGAGAGGGACGGAGGGTTAAGCATGGCATCTCGTTCCGACTAAGTTAGCGTGTTATAGCGTGATTACAGGGATCTGCAATTAGCCAAACAGTCGTTCGGCGCTTAATCGTATGGGGAAATGCGTATCTGTACCCGGGAGTGGGGGCTAATCTACCCTACGCTTATCCATAATCACTTGCATGCAGTCTCATATTGGGCTACCCTACTCCGTAACCTAAAGTGAAGGATTGATCATGTCAATCCGCATGCCGGCAGAGTAAGCTAGCCAGAACTGTTCTCTTATCACTGTCTTTGGTGACTTCTAAACTTGATATTCGTCTTCGCCACGTCTCGCAACCTTTTACCTCAATGTCGTGATGGCATGCGGGGAAATTCCGCCGATGTTACGACCAAGTAACACTGCTTTACTGAATATCAGGAAAGGGCAGTGCACGTGCCCATATCGAGTTTATGGGACTGACGGGATGTTCTACCCTTTGTAATCCTAGGCCTCGGCAAGGCCCCTTCCCTGCCACGGCAGCAACAAACGGAAGGCAACTATGCACTCTCGGATGTCCTGAACCATCTACGAGCAGTTGAACCCTAGCTGACGACATCAGTATCTCAACATTGTGCTATGCATCCCCGACGCAACCAGCAATGACACGATACAAGCTGTTTCTCGAGTCATTCCCGACTAAGAACCCACACGCGGAAGCCTGTCGAGGATCCTGACAAGAGACACTTACTGGCTCGCATTGCTCTGGGTTTCAAACTCTCTTTGGCTAGCACAGTTTCAAGAACAATAGAGTGGGCAAGACTGTATGTGCTCTCGATCCCAATGCCCAGCTCCATATCGAGTTGATGTTGCTAAGTCGGGTTGCATAATAACCCGCGCTAGTCGCATCAAATTGAAGTCGAGCAAGTCTGCTGCTAAAAGACACTTGCCGTTCTTGTTATATGCCGACCGACATTTATTCGAGTTCACCTTAATCTCAGAGCCTTTCATACTACATCAAATCATTGTCAAAATGGGCACAATCAAGGTTCTCATCATCGATCATTATGACTCCTATACCAACAACATTCTGCAACTCCTTCAAGGTACCCAGAAAGGTCACGACGGAAAGTCATATCCCGAGTGGAGTGTAGCCATTGTTCGGTTTGATCAATTCTCATGGTAAGTCGACCACTGAAACTCCCAAGGCTTCAAGTGTAAGTAAAGACTGACTGTGTGTTTTCAGGGATCAATTCAAGTCGGAAATTCTCCCTCATCTAGATGCTATTATCCTATCCCCAGGCCCTGGCACACCGCAGCGAGAAGCAGACTTTGGCTTCAACGCTAGGCTCATAAGAGAAGTCAACATACCCATCTTGGGGATCTGCCTTGGACATCAAGGCATCGGTACATCGTTTGGCGCCAATATTATCCACGCACCCAACATTAAGCACGGTCAGATCTGCCAGATACACCACAGAGCCACAGGTATTCTTAGTGGTTTGCCGCAAAAGTTCGACGGGGTAAGGTACAACAGTCTTGTGTTGGATATTGAAGGTATCTTGTCTCTCCCCGTGTTCAGTCTTCACAATGTGATCTTGCTTACGCCCTCCAGATGTTCCACCAGAGCTTCAAGTTACGGCATGGACATACGACCCTGAAAACCCCTCAAAGAAGGTGTTAATGGGACTACAACATCGAGAACGTCCTGTCTTCGGCACACAATGGCATCCGGAAAGCGTCTGCTCTGCTCACGGCAAGCAGATCCTTTCAAACTTCCGAGATATCGTCTTGGACTTTTGGGTGACTAGTAACCCGAGAAATCAATGGACTAAGCGTCGAGTTCTTGAGAACGCCTCGCTGCCTGAGCATATACTTCAGCAGAATGCTGTCGAGCAAACCGACGTGGGCAAGACCCTGGTTGCGGAGGTTGACCCAGCACGACCGATCTCACCTTATTATGTCAAGTCTGCTAGAGTCGGCAAAGGTCCATCTGCAGAGATTGTGTTCCAAACATTGTTTAGGGGTAGATCACTAGACGGTGAGGCGTGGCTTGATAGTGCTAAGGTACGTGCGCCCACTCCAACGGTCAATGACCTTTTCACATTCTGACTTGGTTATAGGTTAGAGACTCACACTCTCGCAACTCATACTTATCATGGGCTTCCTTTACACTGAGCTACTCAACCAAGTCGAGAAACGTCTCTTTCTACCAGCACGGCAAAAACGTAAAATCGGAGAGGCTGAGTGTGTCGTATTGGTCGTGGCTAGAACAATTCCAACAGGAGACCATCGTGGCAAATACCGAAACACTCCCTGCTGGGTCGCTCGATCAGGAGACAGATGTTGGCCAGCCCTTGCTACAGGTTGGTCTCATCGGCTACTTTGGCTACGAGCTCAAGAGAGAATCACTACCGGGCTACGAGTTCACTCCACCCGACGAAAAGGATGTCAGTTTGAAGCACAGTGATAGCGAGCTACTCTTCGCAAACACCGTGCTTCGACTCGATAATTATACTGGAGAATGGACGTTGTTCAGTTTGATACGTCGAGGTGAAGACGATCCAATCGGCAATGCCATTGGTGCCTCGAGTAAGATAGGTATCGACGAGGCCGAATTTGGCCTCTATCTGACTCGTGTACGTGAGGTATTTGACGCGCCACCTTCGCCACCCTACGTTGAAGCACATCCTTTGCCCAATTTCGTCGCACTCGACAATGAGGCATCATATTCCAACACAATATGGGCGGCCAAGGAGGCCATCAAAGAAGGAGAGACCTACGAGCTTACATTGACAACAAAGTTTAGGGCAAAGAGCCCGGAAGTTGATCCCTATAGCTTATATCTAGACCTTCGGAAACGGAACCCTGCACCTTATTCTGCATACCTCCACTTTGCCGCCCATGACAAGACCATTCTTTCCTCATCTCCGGAGCGATTCATCTCCATTGATAGCAATGGAGTTGCTGAGATGAAGCCAATCAAGGGCACCCTTGCTGTTGACTCGGATCCAGTTGAGGATGAGAGACGAAAGCACCAGCTTGCGACTGATGTCAAGGAGCTGGCTGAAAACCTGATGGTAAGCACAAGCCCTTTTTCGGAGACTCACTTGGCTAATCTGGGATAGATCGTTGACCTTATTCGATCGGACCTTCACAATATCTCACCACCAAGCTCTATCTCTGTGCCAAAGCTCTTGCATGTAGAGACCTACCAAACTGTTCATCAGGTAAGACGACACTGTCTACGTGTTACTTGACTATAGCATCACTGACTGTTATTCAGCTTGTCACAACGATACAGTCCCATGTTGCACCATTTGTTGGAGGAACAAAGGTTATCGAGCGCTGTTTCCCGCCTGGTTCCATGACTGGCGCCCCCAAGCTTCGCTCCGTTCAGATCCTCGACTCTCTCGAAGGCCAACGCGAGCGAGGCATATACTCGGGAAGTATCGGATACATCTGCGCCAGCGGTACCGTCGACCAATCCGTCGTGATTCGCACAATCGTCAAGTCTGGCAATGAACTGGAGCTCGGTGCTGGGGGAGCGATCACTTGGCTGAGTGAGGCGGACAAGGAATGGGATGAGGTTATGGTTAAAGCAAATGCTGTTGCTCGAGGTAAAGGAAAGGCGCATATACCTGATGTAGCTGTCGGTCCCTTGGGCCCCTTTGCGGAGGAAGAGGGTCATCTGAGACAGGAGCATCGGCTCAGAACTGCAATCAGCGCGTGATTGGCGCTGCGATTGATCGAGGCAGTAGCATTCTTAGTGTGTAGTATAGATATCGCGTGGCAAACCTACATTCATTCAATACATTGCTTCAGACAAGAGTGAAGTGAACCAAGTCTAGTCTCATACCGACACGCGACACGACGGTTGTTCGGGGTTGCTTTGCTCTGTTGCCACCTTTCACTGTTTATAACGACGCCGCAGCGTAGACCAAAGACGGTGACTAGAGATTAAGGAACAGTGCATGGCGGCAAACAAGCGAACTCTACCATGATGCCAGCTCAGCAAAGTGGATGCGGATGAAAACAGTATATTAAAACTGCCACTAACGAATGAAAAATGCGAGACGGTTGACTCAGACTGATTGAGCTCGTGATATGTTCTACCTAACAAGACCCAAGCCGAGCAGCTTATCCAAGTGACAAAATTGAGTAGAGGCTATCTAAAAGAAGTAAAACAGCTTCCAACCCTTCACCTTGGTGGCCCAAGTAAAGAAGTAGACCAAGGCAAGATTACTGAATGTAAACACGATAAAGATTCCCCAACTACCCCATTGCCCACCGAGTTGGCCATCTCCAAGATTGAATTGGTCTAAGAATTGAGTTCCAGTGGTCCAACGACATACCTGGCAATATTCATCACCAAAGGCATCGGGGTTGAGCAGCTGAGCGGAGGCAGAGAGCGCCCATTCCGATGCATAAGAAGAGCAAGTCTCGTTAGCAGGGGCAGTAAATACTGTGAGGTCTGTTGATGAGCACGACACATCTACAGATGAGGTCACAGCCGTCACCATTCCGCCAAGAAGGTACGTGAATGGGGATAAGTAGTAGAGCTGTTGGTGTGTCAGATGAAAAGCCAATGGTCTAGATACGGAAATGTTGCGGCTTACCCAGTAACGCCAGAAGACTTGGATCTGGCTGTAAGGGACAATGATACCATTGAACCAATTACAAGTGCAGACGATAAATACAAGAACATTTCCAGCTGCACCAAGATCTGGGCTGAGGGCCATCATGAAGAGGCCAAGTAGAACCTGCACGTATTAGAAGAGTGCCACTACGCAACATGACTTGGGGGTGGACCTACTTGGAAAATCTCATACGTGAGAAGGAACAGAAAGATATAGCCAGCTTGATCTAAAGGCAACCCGCTTGGGAAGTACCAGATGACAAAATACAGGACGGTGACCAAGATGGCGCCAGGGATCTCGGAGAGAATGGTTGAAGAAACAAAAGCAATCCATCCATACGCATGAGATGGCCCTTCGCGAAATTGCCAGTATAGACTTGCAAAGAAGTAACGTGCCAAAATAACGTTGACAATGGCGTTACAAAGAAAGAGGATAAAGAAGACACTGAACATGCTGCAGTATTTGTTAGCAATTGAGAAAAGGGAGTAGAAGTGGAAGCAAAACTTACCGATTCTGTAAATCCTGCGGGCTAGTGCCGATCTGGAAAAAGGTGAAGCCGACGAGAATGGCGCTGATGACATGAACCCAGATCTTGGAGTAGATGTAGGGTGGGCTACGCCACTGGTTGAGCAGCATCCGCTTTGTGAGAAGCAATGTCTGAAGAAACACAGAGGCGTTGTGCTCGGATGTATCATCCCCACTACCATGAGCCGATGGAGTCTTGGAAGTATCACTGCTGGTTGTGATCTCTCGTCCGAGGTCAGCAGCCTCTTGAGAGGCAGCCCATGTCGAAGCCCAGTTGGAGCCCTTGTCAGATGTACGAGCGTTAACACCTGCGCCGACAGTCTCGAGGATGAACTCGCCGGGATTTGCACCCTCAGGACACGTTGCGCCGTTACGGGCAAAGTACGCGAGAGCTTCAGTGACCTTGCCGAAGCTACATCTTGGTCAGAGCTGTCTGGCATGGAGAGGGACATCTCGGGATGTAGGCTTACTAGAGTTGGTTGCCTTCTGAAGAAAGAGCCAGTAGATTGTCAAACTGTGAAAACACCAGAGCCGAAGGTTGATGGATAGTGACAACTATTGCCTGGCCTTGGCGAGCGAGTGTCTTGAGGTAATGGACAATGCGAGATGCACCTTGAGAATCCAGTCCTGAGGTTGGCTCATCTGCGAACAAAATCTCGGGCCGCGCAGCAAGTTCAACACCAATCTGATTAGGCCAACAATTCAGCATTCATACTTATAACGAGGAAAGAAACTGTAAAACGTACCGTCACTCTCTTGAGTCGCTCAACACCAAGACCGCTACCGTCTTCTCCAATGAGTGCATCTTGTACATCATTCAGATCAAGCAAATCCAGGACCGTGCTGACATAGGCTAGCTTCTCAGCTTTTGAGTAATGCCTCGGCTGTCGGAGTAGTGCAGAGAACTCGAGAGCCTCCCGAACGGTTGCTGTCCCATCGTGTAGATCCATCTGTTGCGCAAATCCTGAATCCTATCGTTAGCCACGATTCCACAGAAACCATCCTGGGCTTGCTCCATACCAACGGTCTTCCTATAGCTCGAGCTGGGAGGCTGATCCCCAACCAAAACCTCTCCACCGACGATGCTGCCCGCAAAGTTTGTCTGGCTCAGAGCCGTGAGTAGTGTCGTCTTTCCTGCTCCGCTGGCGCCGCAAAGAGCAGTAAGCTCTCCCCGCCTGACGTACCCCGAGATGCTCTTGAGAATGTGACTATCGCCAATGTCGACACTGAGCTGGTTCCACTTGAGGGCAACCTGTCCAATCCTACCTGAAAGGACGCTGACGTGGCCGGATGAGGGAGCAGACTTTTCAACATCATTTGAATCTGGGCTCGAAGTATGCCGGCGCGTCGCAAAGACGAGAGGAGCACCGCCATTGGGTGCAAAGCTCATGAACTCGCTTCCAAAGATACCGGCGACAAGATAGGCCAGACCGATGGCGATCATGATACCAATGTTTCGCCATCTGTTGGAGTAAGAGAATCCGAAAGACTCGGCGTACTGCTGTCCTGGTACACTAGTCTGGCCCGGTAAAGCACCTCTGACGGCGCAAGTCTGATGTCCCGCAACGCCCTGGGCTGGGACGAGGTTATCCTGGCACGAGAGATTGAGGTTGCTGAACTCGCTACTAAAGAGCTGAGGCAGGAGTCAGTGTTTGATGCCCCTCGGGAGACGTTTGGTTCGATATGGAACTTACATTCTCAAATCCGTAAAACATGGGGTTGATATGGTGCAGCCATCCGAAAGCTGGACTCATGTCATTGGGAGGGATCAGAAAGCCCGCAAACAGAAGAAGCACCGTGCAAGAAAATCCTCCATAGCGGAAACCTAGACGTTACAGTACCGCGTTAGTGCTGTCGCTGATCAGAGGGTAATATGAGCTTACAGTCATCCAACGTGCCTACAAAGTAGGCGAACATCCGGAGGAGGTTGCTGAAGCATACTGTCGATATAAAAAGTGTCAAGTAGAAGAAGAAGAATTTGCCAGCCTCAACCTGAAGCCGTGAAAGAAAGTAAAATACCAGAGTAAATAGAACGTGTTGGAAAGCGATGAGCGGCAGGTCAATAAGGAAACGGGCCAGTGCAACTGCAGCGGGGCGCGTCAAGTGGAGGTTTGCTGTAGGATAGTCATCAGTAACAAGGTCTCTAGAGATGTAGCGTTGGAATGGGCTGGTTTACCTTGCCTCTCGAGTACAGGCCTGTTTGTGTAAGCGTCGAAAAGCTCAGGAAATTGCAGCCATCCGTTCAGGATCAGTGCAAAGTACAAGATCCCACCACGGGTAAATGCACCCTGCGCATTGTTTTCGATGTCAAAATACACGCTGCCGCAAACCAGGCAGAGAATAATGGTTGTAATCCACTTGATGTAGTAAACCCGTCTCTGTCCCTTGACGAGCTGATATTCTCGTTTGAGGCTCTCCTTCACCTGAGAGGGCAGTGATAAACGATATGAGTAGGTTGGGAGTAGAGCATCTGCCTGGCCCTGCTTCTCTCGATATTCGTTGATCTCACTGATGAGGCGCGCGTGGTGGTCTGATCGCTTGAATGCTGCGGCAAGATCGGCAGAGGACTTGATGTTGTCTGCTTCTGACCCAGGTATAGCTCTCCTCTCGTCAGGGTCTGTCACGGTCGCAAGGAATTCGGCGGTTGTTTGACCTGGAATGGGAACAAATCCAAGATTCTGGAAATAGCTCCAGGCCTCGGATGTGCTTCCGAAAAAAGCTTCGTGTCCTTCTGAGAGAACGACCACCTTGTCGAAATTTCGGTATATCTCTTCGCCGGCCTGGTAGAGTGTTGCGAGAGTTGTTTTATGGCCGATATCGGTGAATGCTCTTAGGGCCTTCACAAAGTCCAGAGCCGTTGAAGAGTCGAGGCCCCGGGTGGAGTTATCGAAGCACTGGACTGACGAGCCAGCTGCTAGAACCTCGGCGATGGAAACACTAAGAAATGCGTGTCAGACATGATATTAACGAGGTGAGTGGAGTTTCTCTCTTACCGTTTTCTCTCTCCACCTGAGACTCCGGGAGAGAACGCACCACCAACTGGAGTGTCGAGAGCATGTGAGAGGCCGCAGATCTTGGCAATAACATCAACAAGGCTTGCCACGAGCTTCGTGTTCCGAGCATCTGTAGGAAGAGAATTACGGAGAGCAAACTGGATTGTCTGCCTCACGGTCAAGGACGCAATGTGTCTATCCTCTTCAGGTAGATAGATGGTCTCCCTGGCATGGTCACGCTTGAAGACAGAAGAAGATACGTTGGCGTATTCGAGATCACCAGTACTGGCCAGATTAGATCGGCTGGCGACAGTGCGGAGGAACGTAGAGCAGCCACTGCCCGGGCGCCCCAGGACAAGAAGCATCTCCCCAGGTTTGATGACGCCCGAGAATCCATTGAGGATCGTCTTCCCCTCAAGGACAGAGTTTCTTGGATTGATACGTGCCAAGACCTGTTCCTTGACAAAGCGAACCTGGTCGGGCCCAAAGGTATTGAGGATTGCTCGAGGCAGAGTCTTGACCCGAACCTGGGTTCCGGATGGGGCTGTTACCGAGAGATGCTTGAAAGAAACACCAATCTGCTTCGGTGTATCATTCCCACCTAGCGCTTGACTCTGAAGAAGCACCCGAATAGCGTCAAGACCTTCAGGGTCGAGGCCTTTGGGTACCGACAGCTCAATGGCAGCATCTTTCTGGGTTTCGAGGACCGACCCTTCGGTAGGTGTAGACATCTTCAGTACTTCTTCCTAGATGTAAGCTTGGGCGGTAAAAGCTGGATAAAAAATGGTAAAACAAGATCAATCGGTAGAGGCTGTAAGTCAATTTCCCAGCAAATCCTCAATCTTCTCAGTGTTTTGACCCAGCAGCGTCGCTGTAAGTCAAGCTGGTAGTGACTAAGACTGGATTCAGGTCAATGTGATGTGATCTTCCTATTTGGTTGGGAATAGAATGTCGGTGGTGGTGATTGGTCGGAGTCGCGCTAGAGAATAACTCGACTTGGGTCGCTTAAGAGAGGTTGGTTCACTTCATTTGCAGGGCAATAATCTCCGAGTTTCAATTGGTTTCCTTTCCATACACGAGTATCGCTAGAGAGCGTCGCGGGATTACGCAATTGAGAACTGCACTCAAGCGGTAGTGGACCTTCTAAAAATGTCCGACGCTGTTCGGAGCAAAATGGCAATGTATCCTCCCCTTCGGACTTGGCTGACCGTGGTCGGAGCTTTTCAACCGCACACTCAACATCGATTTCCGCGAAAACAGCAAGACCAACATCTTACTGCCCTGGTTGCACCGTATTTTCTCTTCTGCTAGAGGATGACTAGACTACGCGACCCTGTTCTTGGCATGTTAGTCTTGAGGTTGAAGGCGATTTCGAAGATGTGTCTGTTGGTTCTGCACTGCTCACTATTCAGCCTCATTATTGCGTGACGCTCTAGATTATGTTAGCGACATGTCTATTGGTGTGCCACTTGCGGTCCCAAGCTGCTGGAGACAGGCCAAGTTTAGTAGTCACAGCAAACAAACATGGTAAAGAAGTATTGGAAAGCACTTGACAAGGCTCACAATAAATAGAGAAGTGGACTCATGATAACTATCACTTTCTCTATTCTTTCATATTCACTGTATTACAAGTAAATATACACCTATCACTTGACTGTTACTACAAATCGCCAGAACGGACATATTGTACAATGGCTAATGCACTTGGCCCATCCACCCATTGGTGGAATGATGCCGGCTTGAGGAAGCTCTACCTCTGGCTGCCAGTTGTCATCCTCAGCAGTTCCTATCAAGGTTTTGATGGCATGATCATGAATGGTTTACAGTTGCTGCCCTCGTGGCAAGAAGGTAAGTGTCATTTAGCTCAAGCCCCTGGTAAATCGAAATGGTAAATCACAAGAGACTGACTCCGCATCCCAATCGCAGAATTCGACCATCCCGAAGGACCGGTTTTGGGCTTACTCAACTCTATTCAGACGGTTGGCGCCATGTTGGCGCTACCTTTTATTGGTTGGGTTGTCGATAAGGTCGGACGTCGCAAGTCCATTGCCTTTGGTGCCTCATGGACTCTGCTTGGCGCGATCCTACAGGCAACATCCAAGCACATCGCCCAATTCGTCATTTCCCGGTTCATCATTGGTTTCGGCCTCGCTTTCACCGTTGTTGGTGCCCCGCTGCTCCTAGCCGAGCTGGCTCTTCCAAAGCACCGTGGAACCATCTTATCCTACTTTCCTACCGCGTGGTACACGGGAGCTATTATTGCAGCCTGGACGACCTATGGAACTCAATTCATCCAGGACTCCCGCTCCTGGCGTATTCCCAGTGGTCTCCAAGCTGTCCCTGCTGTCATCCAGATCAGCCTTCTTTGGTTTATTCCCGAAAGTCCTCGTTGGCTTATCTCCAAGGGTAATGGCGCAGCAGCCCGAAGCTTCCTGGTAAAGCATCATGCCAACGGCGATGAGAGCAATCCCATTGTGGATATCGAATACACGCAGATCAAGGAAGCTATCCTCAAAGATGCACAGTATAAGGAGCAGGGCAGCTATATTGATCTCATCCGAACGAAGCCGAATAGAAGAAGACTTATTCTCGTCACGTTCTGTGGTCTGTTCCTTGAGGTGACAACGTCAGCAAAACCCTTCTAACAAAACCTCTGCTGACGGTCTATACAGATTTCCGGCAACGGCCTGGTCCAATACTATCTCCATTCCGTCCTAAACAGCATTGGAATTACCAAGACTATTGAGCAAACTACAGTTAACGGCTGCTTGTCTATCTACAACTTTGTCTTGGCCCTTGGAGCCTCTTTCTTGGTTGATAGGATTGGCCGCCGCAAGCTCTTTATTATCTCTACTGCCGGAATGTTCTTTGCCTTTATTTTGTGGACTACCTTTGCAGCGTGTGAGTATTTACTGTAACTGCATTTAGTTTGACTAAAGTATACTAATTCAGTTGACGCAGTATACACCGAACACGGCACACGGAACTACGCTATTGGTGTCATTGTTTCCATCTTCCTTAGCAATGGCGCTTATGACCTCGGATGGACTCCTCTCTGGGCTTACCCGGCCGAGCTTCTTCCCTACGAGGTGCGAGCCCGTGGTGTCGCCTACATGACGGGTATTATGCACGCCGCAGGATTCTTCTCTTCTTTTGTCAACCCAATCGGTCTGAAGAATGCTGGGTGGAAGTACTATATTGCATTTATTGTCTACACGTTTCTTGAGGTAAGTTTTCCATGGTGCCTTTATTGAATTGTTTGAGCCTAACTGACTGGTTCTCTGTAATAGCTTATTGCTGTCTGGTATTTCTTTGTTGAGACTAAGGGATATACCCTCGAGGAGATTGATACTATCTTTGAGACACCTGGTCTTACTTGGAAACAGAGGAGGAATCTAAAGGCTCCTAGCTTAGTTCGGGAGTCTAGCTCCATTGAGGAGAGTGGTGATGCTCCCCGCAAGTCTGATGTTGCAGTTTCCAAGGTAGAGCTTTGAGGGTGTTAAAGGGATGAGTACATTACGATATCAATGTATTTACGCCCTTACCAAAGCTAATCTTTGGACACATGCAAAGATGCAGGCTGTGTAGATAATATGATGTATCGTGGGTGACTCTGAAGTGGATTTTTAATTGACAGTTCAGTGCATTGCAGTCGCTCAAGCTGGTGCTCCCAGACATATGTCTTGATTGACTGGTGTCGGTCCCAAAGAAGTGGCGGTGTATGACATATAGCATAAGACTGTGTAGGAATTTTATTATCAGGACGGTTGAATCGTCGATTTAGCTCCTCGCTTATGCTTGGTCAACGTGTCATTTAGGGTTGACGCTGGTTCAAAGCTGATGCTTATCGCGCGCCTTACCCTATCCACCCCTGGTGCTGCGCCTTGTGGGCTTTTATTGACTCTATTGCGCCACAGCTGAATAGACTTACCATTACAGGCACGCTTAAATCGTTAACTCAACAAATTTGCCCTTGGTAACGAGCCCTGCGGGCTTTTATTGACCGTCTTCCACGACAGCTGAAAATTCTTCTCATTGAATATGGCTAGGACAAAGCAATAGCTTTTTTACTTGCAGCTGAATGATAGAGTATGAGAGATTTGAATTCGTGAAAAACTATTAATACTCGGACAAATGTGATAATTTTACTATTTATTCTTTCCTTACTCGCGGTGATACCTATGAATTTGTCACAGAAACTTCTCCTGAAATGGATTCATCATCACCATCCTCATCGCGTAACAGCCTAGACATTGGCTTCGACGCTGCAAAACTCGAAGCAGCTAATCGTTATGTCCGCTGGAACCTGTTATTCCTTCTAATCATCTTTACCTTTCTTCTATTTCCAATATGGATGCCCTTTACTCCTTATGTCAACCAAGTGACCAACGTCTTCATCATAATCATTATCGGTCTTTTCCAACTCATCTGGCTAATAGCGACAATCTGTGCCATTCGCCGAACACTAGCCATCAACAGACGAAACAAACTCAAGGTTGCAAAAGCCCAAGATGTTGAATCATCAGACGCCACGGCCAACTACTCCTCAAACATTCGTCACATAGTTGCCATGACCTTATATAAAGAGCCCATGAGCGTGCTGCAAACCACCTTGGACTCACTCGTGGAGCAAAAGGATGCCAAGTCCCGTCTCTCCGTCATTATTGGCATGGAATGCCGCACACCTGACAAGGAAGCCAAACGCGATGAGGTCTATGCAAAGTACGAGAATAAGTTCCTCCGTCTTATCGTTACTTTTCACCCCTCGGGCATTCCTGGCGAAATCAGCGGCAAGTGTTCCAACATGAACTACGCCTGTCGCCAGGGCCTACAGATTCTACGTCAAGATGTTGTTTACAACTATGAGAAATACGAACATATCTTTACCAACTGCGACTGCGACGCGGTTTTCGATCCCGAATACATGCTGGAGCTGGAAACTGAGTACTTAAAGCTAGATTCTGCTGATCGTCATTCCTCCATCTGGCAGTCCATCATCATCTACAAGCGCGACTCCATGCCCTTCTTTGTCGATATTACCGGTGTTTTGCGAACCTTTTTCTTCATGGGCGTTTTGATCCCCTGGAACATCAATCCCATGTCACACTACTCTCTCAGTGTTAAGTTGCTCAAGGAGGGCGCCTTTACTCACCCAGCCTACCAAATGGAGGATATTATTGCTTTGATACGCTACACCATCATGACGAGACGAGAAATCCGCATCAGGCCTTTGAATCTCATTTCCATCAACGGTCCAACCTCTGGAGCCAACTACGCTGATGAAATACGCGAATGGGCACTTCAGATTCGCCGATGGACCATTGGTGCCGGCGAAGTGTTTCATTACTTTATCGTCAAGACCTATCGAATGCCTGGACTGTACCTTTCTATCAGCTGGGCGACTCGCTTCTTCATCTACTATGGCCTCGTTCTCTGCGCCAGCGCCATCTTTTCTGTGGCTTCTCCTATCATTGTCCAGTTAATTAATGGCGTTGCTACTGAACATAATCGACTCTTCATCAGCGACACACTCTTTTCAACTATTTGCTTTATCTTCTTGGGAACTCAATACGTCTTTTTGCTCATTGCCTCCGTTCTTGTCCGTTGGAACCTACCTATGCCTTACGATAGTCATAACAATTACAACAATGGTGTTCGGGGTGTTGCAAGAGGGCTATTGCATTGGGTCTTGATGTTGCCGACCATCCTTGCTTACAGCTTTGTTGAGCTCTACTCCTTTTTCGAGCTGGCCTTCAGAGGAAAGGATGTTTGTAAACATAATGCCGCCAGCAAGAGTCATTTGGTTCTTGGGAAGGATGCTGGGACTTAATGCTGGGATCAATCAATGCCAATGCCTTTAGGAGCAAGAGGTTCGTTCTTTCAACAAATCTGTAGACAACCTTCTATGGTAAAGTGATACCACAGAAGGTTCCAGGCAAAGTGGACAAGGCCGATGCTGGCCTGAGCAAGAACTTTTGTACTTTCATATAAGGCAATTAGTTAACGCAATCTTCGCACGTAATTGTGCTCCTGGAAGAATTGATATGCACAGCAATTTAGACGGCTATACGGCTAGACAAGTACACTTAATGACTTAGTTCGTGAGCAGTATTGGATATCATCGGAGCATATTATTTGCCCGGCGCGGTTGGCCACCTCGCTTAAGGAAGATAGCCCGCATTGTCCACGTAATGATGTAAGATAGAGCTAAGCCCTTTATTCAATCGAACGACATGAGTCGGGAATGATCTGGGGTATAAAGTTGATTTGAGTTATGACGCGGATAAGTGTATATCCTCGTGAATTCAGATAACTCGGCAAAGCTGGGTTGCTTCCGCATTACCCGGGACCACGCGGCACTCGCCAACGCGGCAATAACGGCATATGGCGTATACAGTATCTCCAATTAATGTCAACTGCGGGTGCAGAGTCAGGTTCAGTTCTCCAGATTCTCCGTAGATTTTACTTTTTTATTATAGGGTCACCACGAAACTGAGGTAAGGATGATATATAATATCGTAACCCTAAGCTCTTGTTCTGGTCTCGGTGCAGGCTGCCCCAAGAATTTGATAAACAGGGGACAGGGAACAAAGAAAAGTGATCTTGCTTCTTCAGCTCGTTCATGACCAGAGCCCTCGAATTGACTCCTGTCACTTATTCCTCTCCATCTCGCCGTCTCATCGAATTCGTGCAAAGTGTCTCCCCAGACCGTCTTGAACTACGCTATCATGTCATACTTTGGCCTTCGGGGCAAGTCCCTAGCACCTTGCTGAGAATATTTGCAGCGATGGCCTTTGCTCTCCAAGGTTACGATCAAGCCGTCATGAACGGTCTCCTGACCCTGGATACCTTTAAGCACCAGTTTCCTCAGATCAAGAACTCCAATATCGAAGGTGAGCACACTTTGACTTTTTTTCTCGCCCGCCTTTCCTACTATGGCTGCTGACTGACGTCCTCTTTTCTTTCAGGTACAGCTGTGGCTATTTATGAAGTTGGCTATGCGATTGGAGCACTATCTTGCGCCTTTCTCGGCGACATTCTCGGTCGTCGTCGTACAATCTTTATTGCAGGTTGCATCGTCATTGTTGGTTTCGCGATACAGAGCAGCTCATTCTCTCTTGGACAACTCATTGCTTCCAGAGTCATCACAGGCCTCGGAGTAGGTGCATTGACCCTAAGGAAAGATGCCAGTCATCAGCCTCTATTGCTTAACTTAGCCCCAAAAGCTCCCAGATATATCATACCTGTTACTCCTTGCTAGATGCTAACAATTTGTTACAGTCTAGTATTATACATATTTACCCCCGAGCCATATCTGTAATAACACTTCCTCATACTGCCGCTTATTAGTCGCCCTTAGCTCAGAGTAGTATTAAGAACAGTATTTAATAAGGTTATCCCTACTAATAGTCAAGTAAATACACGCTTTACAACTATAACCATATTTAACTTTCAAGGCAGAAATAACTTAACTCTTGTTATCTTTAGGAAACATATATAGTAAATCCTATAGGGTCTACTCTAAATATAGAGCATTAACCGCTTTTAATATCTCCCTCTTTATATAATAGGTATAGCAGAAATAAATTTTAACGCTTTTACCAGGCCAGACTACTATTTTATAGATTAGATATATTAAAACAGGATACTTAGGTAAGATAGCAGTAAGGCTATTAATTTAAACGGCAGTATAAGATAGGACAGAGGGCAATAGGCCAGAGATCCTCTTAATAGAGCGGCTTATATTATTATAGCTAATTTATTTTCGCTTCTTAATATTAATAGCCACTAATTACTTACTAATAGTCATTAAGTTTATAGTAACTTAGGGGTTATCTGAGCATATGCGTTATAAAGGCCCAAACCGAGACTCTGTATCTAATAAGAGGATAAACTTACTAGCTAAATAGAAGAACTTATGCCATTTAGTCGAGGCCCATTAATATGCACGCATAAGCGACGGTTAAAGTTAGTATAGATATGCTCCGTTAAGGCCATATGTTATTCCGCGCTGCAAAGGCCGGTGACCACTTTGCTAAGCAAAAGTCACATTAAGATCAAATCTACCCTATGTAATGTGGGGCAAATAAATCAAATCTACTACAATTGTTTTGTCATTGACTACCAGGGTCGTTCTTCCAGCTTCAGTCTTGATGGACGCAGCGTCAAGCTGCTGCTTGAGTGATTTGCGCTGGCCACTAATTCCCAGAAGCGATTCTAACGACTGTTGTTGTGCTGCCATAGCGGGCTACCAGCGAATCGCGGAATACAGATGCTTCTCATCAGGGAGTAATATTAATTCTGAACCAGGTGTTTCTCCTACGCGAGCGAACGCAAAACATATAGTCGCGCCACCCCTGCCGCGTTCCTGGGTTCTATTGGTGTAATTAACTAGGGTACTACACTTAATTGATTACCCTATGCCTAGGACTCTAAACACCCTCGATATTTACAGGGCTGTTACATAGGAAAATCTATAAAATCTAGTATTTCAAGAAAATCAAGTTTGAAGCATTATGAACTTACTTACTTGAAATAAAGTGGGTTATCGACTTACTTGACTTACTTGGAATACTTGACTTGATACTTGAATTGAGGTCAGCGCTGGGGGTTACAAAGCCCCTCGCGGGTTGATACTTCCACCAAGACTATAATAACTTGATTACAGAGATGGAGGGGGTGCACTAGTAGCAGTTTACACGAGAATACTAAAACAACCTAGTGTATTCTGTCTTAAGGAGGTATAATAAATAGTTTATGCCTAGAAATGGTGGGATCCTGTGTGGGCTGTTGCCCTAAGTCATCTGAGGAAGGTAGCAGAACTAAGGTACATTAATAAAGAGAGAAGGTAACTAATCAGAAGTGAAAGTCATGAGACTTGCTCAAGTTCCATTTTGACTTCTCAGAAAGTAGAAGGATAGAGTTGCTATAGTGTCAAATCCAATAAACACTAAACCCGCTAACGATCGGCCGAGCTTAAACTCCCCTAGAGAAGTCCATACAACGATTGAGAGCTATCTCCAACACACAGCAGCATCCAGACGTCCCGCATCATCGATAGACTTGCAACGAAATTCACACCGTACCCAGCCTCCTAGGCATCCAAATGTCCTCGTCACTCGTGGAAATAATAAGCCACACCAGCAGGCCACTAATCATCGGAAATAGCTCATGCGCAGCATCGGACAAAATCATCGCCACACTTGGCCGCAAGACACGCCAAAATAAGTGGTGCAAGTCGTCCTCTGAGACATCGGACCGCGGCCGATCCGCATCCTCTTCTGATGCACCGGACACAATTGCCGTCAAGAGCTTGCACTTCAATAAGTCCGTCAAGGGCTGGTGTGTCGACGGCTTCTGCCTCCGCAGTTCCCTCCACCGCGGGGTTGGCGATTGCGAGTCCGGCGAGGATGGTCAGCAAGGTAACTGAGAACTTCATATTTGCAGTTGCGTGTTGAGAAAAGAGTTTCAAAGACGGGCAGATAGATAAGACTGTTTGAAAAGGTTGTCACTGACTTTGTGACAATATTCGTGAAAACATCTTATATTTATACTTTTTGCTTTCATCTAACTACTATGCCGGCCCCAGCCAGCAGCTAAGCTATCTCCATGAGAAAGCTGTTCAACGTTTACAATCGTATCGGAGCTGTCAATTACCCCGGGCTTACATTCACGTAAGGGCTTATAATCGCTCTGGAGTCTACAATCACTCCGGGATCTACAATTGCTCCTGGGTCTGCGATTGCTGCTGCGACCTGCGGGGTGCACACGGCTTACTAGGAGGAGAAGGTGCCCTGTCCCGACCCCGCCGATGTTCCCCGCTTTGAGCTTCATGGTCAGGTCCTTTTGTTATTTGCCGCTTTTCAAGCTATAATCGGCAGGTAGTTCAACTTACCTCTTGAGACAAACCGGCCGTCCTTGCAGAAATAATAGGACTTTCTATGTCACATTATGGAGCTAATGTAACCCTTCCACTGGCCGCTAGACGATCTATACCAAGCGGGCCAATCTGGACTGAAAGAATCTAATGTTATGAGGTAATGCCGGACTGTCTGCTTATTCTGCCTTTTTAGCTCCCCACTCTTTGACGTTTAGCGTCAGGACTCCTGTCATAACTGGCAGCTGATAGCTGGTGAATGGTCGTATTTGTCGGCTACTATAATTAAGCTTATTGCCTTAAAATAATCCTGCAGATCTTCCTGCCCTGGCTTATCTAGTGCTTATTTAAGAAAAGGATTTAAGGTTTAGAGAGTCTAATTTAGGGATAGCTGTAAGTCTAGGGTTCGGGTATTTACGGTCTATTGCTCTCCTATTGGCGTTGATTGAGAAATGCAGCCATTTCCCATTTTATCTGTATTTTGCAATACTTGGCACTCTTATTGTCTCGTAAATTTACAAGCTTTCTTCGCCATAACTAAGAGTTCTTCTGGGGTTTATATTACCAAAGGGTTTTATCTAGGACTTTAAACCGATGTAATTTATAAAGCTTCAGGTCAGCGCATGATGAGCTTGACATAGTCACTGAGGATACCTTGCGACAGAGCCTATAGGTGAGCCTGCTGGTTCTTGGCGTTCTGTCACTGAATTTGTTGGGATTTCCTTTGCGGGATTTTGGTGATGAGTATCATCCAATTATCACCTATGCCACTTTTGTGCCCAATGTTAACCTTGGTCCAACCCATCACCCGCTGGTTAATCATTGACCTCTCCATCTATGTGGGAGGTTCCGTTGTCTGCGGTTCTATTGTACATTTTCCTAGAGATACAGCGTCATGGCTTGTTCCCAGAGGCCTCCATGACAGAGTCTTCCATGTCGAGAGGCTAGTATAGGTTCTGCATGGATCGTCATCTGCGTTCGTTGTATTGGTAATCGCAGCTGTCGTTATTAGCAATCGACGCCGCTCCCTACCTGGGACCAGCATGCAAACACTGGAATGCCGTGCTCACCATTCTGCTCCTATTCATTGCTGAACAGGGCTTATCAATGGTAGTTGAAAAGGTGCCCGGAATATGCATGATATGCATTACTTGATTCAAGGTTTGATGAATAAATGCTTGATTCATGAGACCTTCCAGCAAGGCGCCTTGATGATCGTGGCCCAAAGGTTCGAGTACCGGCACTTGCGATGACATAGAGTAGTTCCATTGGAATAGATTAGATGATTCTATTTGGTTCGGCTCTCGAAACAACTTTGGCATTGAAGATGCTAATCCTATCATATGGTGATTTCCATTCATGACTGGAGAATATGCATGAAAACGGATAAGTCGAAAATAAACTGTGAAGCGGAGAAGAAACAAGACATAGAGGCTAGACTGTCTAGGATCCTTGTATCCATTGAGGGGTCGAAATGGCTCACAGTACGAGGGCTTTTATCCTGGGAGGGAAGCCTGGGACCATGAATTACTCAGCTGCACCGTTACCCTCTCTAGGATAAATTGACTAAGATGCGAGTGTTATGCCAGAGACCCCAAGCACTCGTGTAACTCACTGCTTCTCGAAGGACCGCATAGGACAGGGTTGTCCTATTCAGGGTGACACGGCTCATCTCTCATATCATCAGATCGTTCGACGCGATAGACGACGATCATTTCTCGACAAAGAATTCCAGTAATTTTCGCTCAGCTCCATTGGTTAGAGCGAATCAAAGCCCAAATCCTTCAATTTCGTTCTCGGAATCATCCAGGGAGCTTTGAAATTGGTTATGAAAGCCTTCTTCCTCATATGACCAGCTATAGGCGTCCTGCTTGTCGCCTGCGTTGTCCGTCCCGAGGCGACACTTACGATCCCAGTGTGTCTGGGTACATTTATGCTCAATGGATATTGAAAGGCGGTGGGATGATTTGATGGTATGAATAGTAAGGCGGTCATTTGATGGTCCGTTTTAATATTCCGCTCAGTTATCTACCATGTGAAATTGAGCCTGACTGGGACATCAGCCTCGGCCCATAGGATGACATTTGCGAAGGGTTCTGGTGACAACGATTGCGGACCGATAGGCGGGACGACGATGTCTAAAGCAGCTGCCGTGATGGTTAATATTTGAAAAAGATGAATCGTTCCAAGGTAGAACTGGTTGGGTGACCTGAGGCGCAATATGTCGAGGACGTCGCGGGAAAGCTAGTGAAGATCCTCAAGGGGAAGAAACAGCGTGAATAGGTTTGGAAGCTTGAGTAGCCTCAGCAGCCTGAGCTCGTTCAGCAGCAAGACCGTCGAGGCCAGCCGTAGGATGAATCGTTACATGGCGTTTCTGTTACTGGATCTGGACAGTCTGCGAAAGAGAAGATGTTGATAAAGCATATGAGAATGAAATCATCACAACATGGCTTTTAGGACCTGTGCCTGATAGCAAAGTTACGTGCTTGCTTTCTGTCATGCTTGTTGTCTGTTTATGTACCACAGATGATCTTACCGTCGATATTTTACTGTACCTGAAAGATCGAACGGCGTTTCTGGTATTCCTGATGGTGGTTAAGGAGCACCACGCGCCGCCATTATTGCTATGTCACCCTCATCCAATCGATGTCCTCGATATGTTCATCTAGCTTGTTGAGTTTGACTCGTTTCTTCCCATGATGACTATTATTGGGCTTCCAATCTATCTTTTCTAAGATGAGATGGATGGCCGTTAGTTCGTCCTGTCCGACGATCCGATTCTCTTGAAGATTGGACTCTGGCATCGTCTAGATCGTGGGTTTGGCTGTTGACACTTCCTCTTGTTATACGTGTTGGTAGCGAACTATTGTAAACTACCTCAATCATATGCAAGAGTCTTCTATGATCGCTCCTGATATCAGCTGGGGATAGAAGATAGGATGCTCACCACGAGGCAAGGTGCGGCTGAGGAACGAGACCACATCTCTGCGTGAGCAAGGTTATATGTACATGTATAGTTTTGAATTTTCGCATACTGGTAACAAGTCGACATATGCGTTCCAGCGCCCTAACTGGTAATTCAGTTCCCTCCGAACAGAACAGACCTGAGCCCTTCACCAAAGAAGTTGCTGATTTCGATCTAACAATCTACGTAGGTGAGCAAGGTACAACCGGATCTTTTAGTAAAGCAATGACCCAATGTATCTAGTTCGATCTCACAATATTATCACCCTCTCTAGTCCCTCTTTTGAAAAGACCATACCCACCAGCTCGGATCCACGAACTATCTCTATGAACCTATCTATTGTTTGCAGAAGAGGCCATATATTCATAGCTAATCACGGCGCCGAGGTGAGTGCATGCCGAACTCAGGTAAGTAGGGTACAACATCGATCCGCGCTCCATTCGATCATAGAACGGTTATCTACATTCACTCAACGCGAATAGTCACATAATCACACTGCGATTTGCAAACCTAGACTGCTTTTGCCGTCCCCAAATCAGTTGAAAAAGCCTCAGATTACAACCCGGTGTCTACCATCGAAAGAACTACAAGAAGCCTCTGCAAATCTGGCAAATCGAGAGAAGTCGCCTCTTTGATAGGAGTGTCCAGCGCTTGGGGATAGAGAGATATCGTTCCTTTCTTAAAGTTTCCTTACTCGAGGTTGTAGAAATTAGTGTTAGGTTAAAGAACAATTACCTAAGGAAACCACTAAACTCGCTGTTAATCGCAATTCCCTATAATAATCGAATAGCAAATTTCTAAAGCATACATCTAACACTTTAACTCTACATAATGGAAGGCAATGGCACCAAAGAGCCAATAAGCAAAGCCTAGTCGCGACGCCGAGGTCAACAAAATAGATAAGACTGATGTAATGAACAAATAAGACACAGGGAGGAAACTATATAAAGCGGACCGGGGGGGTAAAATCCCCGTCCTAGAGACATTCAAACATGTATGTCTACGGCAACGCTTGAGTGATGAAGCGCTTGGAGACAGAAAATTGAGCTGTGAAGGCATGTTGCAGACGGACAATCTGACTGGGACGCTATATATACAACAACAAAAAAAGAGCAGATCGAACCTATAACTTAGGCTAGCTGGTTTGACGATTTGATGAGTTGAAACCAGCGATAGGTATTACAGTACTTCTCGATAACGTGGAGCAAGAAGAGAAGCTTCTATTATAAATACTGAACTATAGCACATCATGCATAGATGTACGGAACAATACTTTCATCTTTTCTAGCTTAACCGATTATTTCGCCTAACCAGCGGCACCAGATTTGACCAGAGTTGTTGCCAATGCACCCCAAAATTGGCTTCCGGTCTGAAGCCCTGACGCTGTTACTATAGTCGAACAAATCGCGTCAGTAATATTATCGATCTATTAGATAACACGCCCTTATCTACAGTACCAGAGGTATGAGGGCCAGTTTCATCAACACGTTTCCCCAGCTCCAGTGCCGCCTCAACATTCGCTTGAATCAACAGCGTCGAGTTGCAAATTGTTGCAGTAAATGAGCACGATTATCAGGATCAGTTACGTTAGTGCTCATTTTGGGCGTGACGGACTCCTCTAACATCTATATGTAGAGAGACTTAGGCCATAGCCATGTAGGCTGTCAGGCATCGCTATTGACACCCCTCACCAGTCGAATTGCTCAGCGTTAATCATCTTCTCAAAGACAGCAAGCCAACACAGAGACCATGAGCTTGACGAGGAAACCTTCGAAGTCAAGTTTCATGTATAGCTCAGGCCGAACCTTGAGGATTTCATGACTCAACATGAATCCCAATGCAAGGAACATTTCCTTGTTGACTATTTGTGGAAAGGCGAGGACGATCGTGACGAAGTGACTGGAATCAAAATTGACCAGATGTTTGAGATTATCAAGAACAAGAGGAAAGGCGAGGAGGTCAAGTTTGGATGATCCAGGTGGTTGGTTTCTCCAAGCGTGAGACGGTCTCGGAGATGAGATCTAATGTGAAGAGTTGGGTCAAAGAGATGAAAGAGAATGGAAAATTATAATGAGAATGAAGGGTAATAGGTGCGTTGTAGTCGAGATGGCTGATGTCCAATCCGCCAAAGTGATTATAAAATTGGGTTCAGCTTTATATTTACAAGGACGAGTTTCAAATACCGATTTTTGACCTCAAAGCACCGAAACGCCAGTAGGCTTCACTTACAGAGGTACATGATTGACTTGTATGTTCATTGAGTGTTAATGAAACCCTTTTCTCTTTTCACCTTAACATATAATGCTTGCCATTTCAGCGGGGCGCTAAATCGATTTACCCTACACTCTTAATTATATTTATCTTGAGATGGAACTTAGTTACCCTAAAGAATGATTTAACTTCTAGCGGAAGTTGCCGAGCATCTTTAGCTAACTTAATCCGTTGTCTTTTGCCCCCGACCCCACTTTTGGTCGCTGATGACAGAAGAAAGATTTAACGGATCCTGAAAATAATTATCTTGAGCTTCTTTCTCTTCACCATCCCGCCTACAGTTGCAATCTTTGTCTTAAACTCCCCAAACCTAGAACTATTTCTCTAGCTATTTGATATCTTTAAGATAAATAAATTAAGTAAGATATATTTCTTATTAAAAATTTAGAAATAGTATTATAAAGTATTTTATAATATTAAGGTTTTTCTTTATTTAATAAGGCGTATCTGTATATTGTTATTGGCCTGCCATCTTGACCTTACTTAAGTTGACAGGTTTTTTGTCGGGAAATTCACAGCCCACAAATGCCGTCCGTATTGAGCTTATCGTGGCTTAATTTCTCTTATCAGAAGCTGACGGCATTGTATAAATTGGCGTCGCTTCTGCAATCTTACCTTGGAAATTACAAGCTCTCTTAAACCTCAATTGAATGCTTACATCGGTGCGGAATAGCTGTTCGTCACATTTTTGGACGCGAAGAACCCATGGATTGCTTATCAGGTCTTCGATCCTCAGTGCGTAAGAAGAATTACAATTATATGCCGGATAGCATTTATGTATTAAAAAATAGTGCATATTGACATGCTGGGGGGCTTTCAGGACAGAATGAAGAAGATTGACGATGTGAAAGTCAGACTAAAGACAGGTTGCTATTCGCCACCTAGTTCAGGTGACTACAAATCGGGTTGTTGTCGATATCCAATCTTTTGTCCTACGGCTCTCAGAGTGATAGAATCGAACCTAGACATTTGGCAAGCTTCTACGTGCTATGCTAACCAAGGGAGAAAAAACTTGCGCGCCGCGCTTTTGGTGATCTTATCCCCCAATCGTTTACTTCTGGCCGTATACTCCTTTTTCTCATTGATATGTGGAAAGGAGACATCAGGGACATCTTTTCCCAAAAACAAGCACAGCGGTTCCCAACCGTCGGCCAGGTTGAAGTTAAGAAGCTGTTCCCTCGGAACACTAGTGCGAACGTATTCGTAGTGCCGGATATATGCTGCTCTTAGATTCTGCTCAACATCTTCGGGGCAGTCCGATCTGGTCCAGCCCTGCTGCGTTCGGAATGACACCGAGCCACATGGGTAGCCAGCATAGTCGCCGACTTTTGTGACGAACCAACGCATCCAGGGGCTCATTATCGGCTTAACAACAGACTGCATGCTATTACACCAAGCGTCGATATCGCGCTCAACGAGGATCACCTTGGCGTCAGGATACGCCGGGATCAGAGACTCAGCATAGAAAGACGCCACGTCTGAAACGGCATCATACTGCCCAAAAACCTGGTCCCATTCCTCTCGAGAGAAGGGCGTCCCGCGATACGTAGGGAGGTTTGTGAATGTAGCGTCGTTGGCCTGGTCCAGGATTGGCCACTGCCATTGCAGATGGTCGAGCTCGCAGAGATCCCATCCATGGTGCGTGTTGGGAAACCCAAGTATCTCGAGTGCCTTCATCAACGAGGCAGTACCTGTGCGGGGGCTGCCCAGACACAGAATGGGTGGTCTTTCCAGCGGCTTGACGGGACGAACTTCTCCGCCTTCCGGAAAGATTGATCGACGGGTATCGACTGTACCAGCGGGCTTAGATTCTTCTGTCGGCGTCGAAGCCATCATCGCAGAATTGACATATATGTTTCTTTCCTGGACCAGTCATATCCAGCACTCAGCTAGATATGAGCGAGTGGTGAGGGACGTGGTTGCTTTTAATGTTGGCAGCGCTTCATCTTCCAAGCACGGATTGGATCGGTTAAGTAAATGTCATAAAGTGGGGACCATTCTCAGGCGCCAATGTTGAGAACTTCGGTTCTCTGATTGGCTGAGCTTGCATGTTATTGTGGGTATGCTCCTTTTAGGTTAAAACCACGCAAACGCGTATTTCCTTTGTAGAAAAATCAAGGCTCTTGAGATCCACTTTTCTATACTACCTATCGCTTATCACGATATCCAATCTAATAATAGGTTGCCCTACCTGCCGAAATAGAAATGGATTACCTGATTAAATCAGCATTGGACACAAGCGTACACACCTGAATTGAGACCGACCTGGCCAATCACATCTACCTACTAACTATAGGCTTTCTTCGGCGATGATATCTTTTATACCCTTGGTCGTGATTGGTCTTGGAGTGCCTATAGCTAATATACCCAAAGGGTAATGATTAGTTTGGTACTTCCGTAATAGTGGAAACATCTGATAATTACGGGTACTCTACTCTTATGGCACTGGTCTGTTTATCTCACGCTAAGCAGAGTTCTCGTTTAAAGACAAGGCATTTGATAAGCCGGCTCGCATTTAGGAGTGGAGGCTCGGACTCCCAAACAACAAATTACGAAATTATTATCATGCCTGTGAATTATACCAAAGCTTTCAATCCGCCAGGGCTGCATACCATATTCATCCCTTTCCCCGCGGCATATGAGGGGAAGAGGGGAGGTCATTCACCATCTTGATTGGCCATGTCGGACTCTAAATTAACTTTGACCAGCTTAAACAGCAAGTGGTTCAGTCGCATGCACTAGACCAATAACTGTTAATTTGTCTACCAGATTCATGACACCGTCAACCAACATACACTGCGTCTTTAGATGGTTATGTTTTTAAAGGCAACTTATGCCTTGTGTCAACTCAATGGGCTCCTGGCCACTATTTCTGGATCGCTGGGCCTTGGATAAAAATTCTCAGGGCATTCCTGACGAAATAGATTTATGTGTTATTGATTATGTAATAAGACCTTGATGTAGGGCGCCGTCGAGGCGCACAGGTCCTGTGCGCTCGAGGCACAGCCCCCTGTCAGCAGGCTAGGGACACAGTCCCCTGACTAAGCATTTCCTCCTGTTGAACTCTGGATTGACTGAATGCACCAACGCACTGAATGGAGGCGACAGCTACCTTTTGACTGTGATTGTTGAAATAGAGATAGGAAGAGCTATTTAAATTATAAACAGTTATAATAACCAGAGGATACTTAAGGGCTTTACTTTTGAGTAATAATCTAATACCTATGGCTTTTAATAATAATATAATCTTCTATAAACTTATTAATTGAGTAGAAAACTTCCTATTCCTTATTATCTGCTTTTATTCTCTCTTAAATAACTTTAATGTCTCTTCATTTCCAATTCTGCACCAATTAACATCTCCATACTCTTACCCTAAATTTCTTCCCTGAAAATGCGGTGCATTTCCGTTAAGGCCCGTAAACCGAGAACACGGAACACGCCGCGTTTCCACCATAAAGGCAGACTGCTGAATCACAGAAGGATATTCTTTACAGACGATACCACTTTCATGTTAATCTTTGGTTAAAGGGCTAGGCAGTCTCTGTCTCTTATAAATTGCAACTAATAGGATATTTTAGCAACCGGTATTAAATGAGGGGTTCTAATAAAAACAATACCCAGGATTGCTATATGGAACGCCTCATTGCTATTAGGATGAAGTAACGACTGGTTCAGTGCTTTCTTCACGATGAACCCTGCGGAACCGTGACACACAAGCACAATCTCGTGGTAGATCTATAGACAGACTATATTATAAAAAGACTAGCCTTAAGAAAGGGCGGAGGGGCTACCTTAGTGTCTAATACGCTATTCTGGTATGCTGTTGGTCTTTAGCTTTTACAATGAAAATCCACCACAATCGACCCTACGTGCGCAAAATGTTTTACTTACGCCCAGAGTGGATAGCTTCAACGAGCGCCTTGGCTCCTTTTGCAATATTCCCAACGTTTTCAAGAAGATTGCCGGCATGGGCAAATGCATACGTTTGTGTTAATGCTGGAAGTTTAAACGGGGATTCAATCGGGTGAGTGCTTAGCACTTGGTCGACCTCCTTCCATTCACCAGTGCCAGTAAAATAAGAATTCAGACCATGGATAAAGATGATTCTAGTCAAGTGATTAGCATGCGAGTTCTCGTAAGATGTCATTGGCTCGTAGCTACCGGTTTCGAGTTGGTCTGTTGACATGGCGTCCACAAGTCTGGAACATGGATATGAAAAACGTACAGGTCAAAAGCAGAGAAAGTGAAAGATAAGGCGAGGAACTTGGTAATTCTAAGTTAATATATTAATCTGGATCAGGATATCTTAAAACAATGTCGTGACCAACGGAAGGATGCTGAGTCAGCGGCTAACTTCTGTGCCGTACCTATACAACCTAACTCTTAGTGGAAAATTCAGCCTTATAATTTGCAACTTCACCGTAAAACAATTATCATAACCAACCGATATGCCTAAACAATTGCCATCTTCCCAGATTTCGACTATAGCAAAATGCAAGCCAAGCAATTTCCCATGCTGCAGCATAAAACACTATTATAATTATTACTTTTTTTTTTTTTTTCCAGCTAAGCTAGCCAGCGTGCTAGAATTTCGCATTTATCTTTTACATAATATGCAAAAACCACAGAGTGCAGGAAAAATAATCCAATTATCCATATTTTCCACCCTCTTTTTTCCATATTGCAAATTCCTAGTTCCTTACTGCTTATAGTTTTACTGGCTAGCCTTTTGCCTAGCTACAGTAAAAGCAGTAGTGGCCATCTAGCACCTATTATTACTACCTGGCAAACCGGTTCTTAGATATTATAAGCTTATTATATAGATAAAGAGAATAAAATATGTAGTCCCGTATAGCCAGGGTTTTAGAAGAGTGATAGGCCAAGACAGAGTACGGAAATATCATTAAGCTTTTCGAATATTAGAGGCCTTTATATAGCGGGGCAAATGAGTTGCTCTGGCTATATTGGCTCGAGTACTTAGGTGAATGCTGGTTTATGAGGACTACAAGGTATAGTTGAATTGCCTCCGCTTATGCGCTATTATGGCACTACCCTATATGAGATCTTTATTGCATCGAGTCGCATTACACGGCTTTCACTTTGCCGAGGGTTGCTTATCCACTTAGCGATCGATCTTTCAATCTCACTGAGACACAACGGGATGGACCACGACGGGCTCTTTGTTATCCAGATCTGTGCCGGCTGACATTAACCGGAAGCGGCACTTACCACCTGGTGGGGCAAGAAGCTATCTTTACATCTTCAGTACAACCTTCTATATATAGACTGAAGAACATCACTTCTCAACAGATATGGAATACATATGCTTAATATATAAAACTCCTATTTATCAGCGTTTGTTTCACGATTCGAGCTCTGACCAGCTCGTAGCTACTTATAGTACATATAACGTTTAAGGTAAGAAATGGGAGGGCCCAAAGACAGACAGGTGGGGATGCCGATTGGTTGGGTTGGATGGGGACTTGATAGAACCAACCAGGCTTAGCCAGAAGCTTGTTGCTCGCAAATATGGGGCACATGGTCCCCTTGCTAGCTGTTTAACAGCTTCAGATATGTCTTTCCGCGTCGTGATAATGGGATCGGCTCGGAGCCGAGCAAGCAGTCTTCGGTGCATGTGCTTGTCACAGAGTCGTGTTGATCTTTAAAATATTACTTAGTGACAGATGTGCATCTCCGACTACAGATAGAAGGGACGCGATGCGACTGATGATACAAGTCAGAAGACACTGCTTGTTACGCACATCATGTTCCATATCATTGAGGACAATGGAGGATGAGCACTAGAGGAAAGAAAAAGTCGTTTCTATTCTTATGCGTTTCTCCGGACCTAGTGCCGCCCGAGTCATGCGCTGTAACAAACAGCCTGTTTCACACCATGGACATTTTCCCGTCGAAACAGATTATCCATCCCACATCGGGTCTTGACGCCCGGGCAGAAAAGATAAGCAAGATGATGCAACGCCATATCTCTCACGCAGCGACGATCTAGCCTGGCTTGGGAAGGAGGCGACGATCCAGGAGTAGATAACCCGAAAACCATCAGCATCATAACGATATCGATAACAACCCCTTTGGTAATCTGAAACAGTTGACGTTCTCACTATGGTTTAGCGCATGGGCCGGAACCTAATTATGGTAGCTTCTTAGGGGCTTCCATTGGGTTCTTTTGTTTTTTCTGGCTTCAGCCACCAGCCACCCGCCAAGCTTTGGACAGAGCCGCAACACCAATGGTTTCTATCTGTATCATCGCGATAAGGCTCTTAAATTTCAACGCGTCAACAGAAGCACCCCTGGGCTTCGCCATAGGGTCTTATTCACCGGTAGCAGGCGGCTAATTATCATAATAATAATAATGACACTCGAGTATTGATAAAAAAAATAAAAAAAAAGAGGATCAGAGCGCTTGGCGTAGCACGGAGCAAAACTCCTTCAAACAGGTACCACTTTTACCACGTTTTGCGCTGTAGGATACCCACGGGGGGAGAAATGGCCCACCAAACTAAAACATATGCCGGAAGAGATTCTATTCTAAACTACTAGCGCGCGTATTCACCATAGAGGTGTTTGTCGCCACAAGTCTATAAATCGTCCGGGCCAAGACCCTTAAGTTTCTTTTTGGGACAGGCAGGAACTCGGGGAGCTGGAATCCCATTGCGCAACTAGATTTTCCTTTTTCTGTTTGTTTTCCTTTCCTTTATTTCTTTTCTCATCTGGACTTTCAGTTAGTCTATTTTGATCTTGGAATTCTTGTTTTTCCTTCTTGTCTTTGTATTTCAAGTCTTCACTCTATCTCGAACGGACGACTCTTCTTCGACAGAGATGACACCTCGCGATTGATTACCGAAACACAAAATGCCTACCATGGATAGAAGAAGCGGCGATAACTCAGCATGGACCGACTCCGTCGTGTCAACCCGC